AAAACGTTGCTAAATACAACGGCAAATTATGGATCCCGGAAGAGCTCCGAGACGATCTCATAAAAGACTATCACGAATTACCATTTCAAGGACACATGGGTGTATTCAAGACACTCAAACGAATTCAGCAGAAATTCGACTGTGCCAACCTGAGACAGCATGTACAGAGGTACATCAAGAATTGCAACCTTTGCAATAAAGCCAAGGCTTCACGACATAAACCTTACGGGGAACTACAGCCGATAGTACCGCCCGACCGAGCATGGAAGTCAGTAGCCATGGACTTCATTGTCAAGCTACCGCTATCCAAGGAACCCATGACAGGAACGGAATACGACAGTATCCTAGTCATCACGGAACGACTCACGAAGTACGCTTACTTCATTCCGTACAAAGAAGCTAGCAATGCAGAAGAACTCGCATATGCAATCTTACGAATAGTGATAAGCCAGCACGGGCTACCAGACGAATTCATCTCCGACAGAGACAAGCTCTTCACGTCGAAATTCTGGAAATCACTCATGACGCAGTTAGGCGTCAAACATAAGCTATCCACAGCTTATCATCCTCAGACGGATGGACAAACGGAACGAGCTAATCAGACGCTCGAACAGTACTTACGGTGCTATGTCAATTACGAACAAGACAATTGGGTATCGTTATTGCCCACAGCACAGTTTGCATACAATAGTGCGGTTAGTGAACCCACCGGAATGTCACCATTCTACGCAAACTATGGCTACCAGCCAGACATCACCAAAGAACCATTAGAAGGAGAAGAAGCTCCGAAAGCTATCGAACACGTCGATAAGCTACGAAACATGCAAGAATCATTGCAGCAGGAATTGATGTTTGTGCAACAACGCATGAAAACATACTACGACAAGAAAAGGGTTGAGGGACCAACCTTAGGGAGGGGAGACAAGGTCTACCTCTTACGCAAAAACATCAAAACAAAGCGACCAAGCGACAAACTCGATTTCAAAAAGATCGGACCATTCAAAATCGACGAAGTCATTTCGCCAGTCAATTATCGACTAGCGCTACCAAAAACCATGCGAATATTCCCAACCGTGCATATAGCCTTGCTTGAACCCGCACCAGAAAACACGAAACTAGAAACCAATCTAGAGGTCGAACAACTCGGTCAGCAAGAATATGAGGTCGAGGAAATCATGGGACACAGGAAAAAGGGAAGAGGTTATCAGTACTTGGTAAAATGGGAAGGGTACCCACATTCGGAAAACACTTGGGAACCTAAGAAGCATTTTGAGCGCTCCCCAGGAGTTCTTGAGGAGTACCATCGAAGGTATCCGCAGGGACGGACTCCTGCAAGAGCCCAACGGAGCTCCAATCAATAACCCCGAAACCACCATGCGCCTGTACGGCCAGGGCGGCTTCAGACTCCGCGCGCTCCTGCTCCTCTAACTCTTCCAGAGAACGAAGGCCACGCTGAACCATCTTCACACCGTTGGAACGAGCCTTCTCTTTCAGCTTGCGCAGACGAATCAACCGAGCAATCGCTTCGTTCATCTCCGATTGATGACGGCGTTGAAGCTCCAGAAAGCGCTCCTCAGCTATCACCTCCTCGCGTGAAAGACGCTGATGCTCTTCCCGTAACCGTTGAAGGGAAGAGAGCGGAACACCAGAACCATCGCAACTGCACCCCGCGCGGGTACACTCCTTACATTTCGAAACATCTTCCATCATCACACAATTCCAACCTTTGTCGAAACAACGAGAGCACGGCATAACTTCAAACCCGAAGTCGTCGAAAGCTGCGACGAGGTCGTGGCGACGAGCAGTGGATTGTTGCGGAGAAGTTCGGATTTTCTTAATTCCGGATGACCGCTTTTGAACACGATTAGACATGATGGCCATGCATCACAAAAACATGAAGAAGAAGGGAACTCACCAGATTGAAACGCGACGACACAGACCTACTTATGGACCAAGTCTTAGAGGGCTAAGACAAAGAGAGGGAGGACCTGATGTTACGAACGAGGCCATTACATGGGCCGCAGGGAAGTCCCCAGAACGCACCAACCAGAGGAAGGCTTGGCAACCAGCATGGTGATTGGCCAGGAGACACCATGAGGTCACGTGACCCTTCAGCTATGATCAGTGATGATCAGTGTAGCGACACTGATCAAAGGACACAGGGCTCAGTCGTGATCAGTATACCTCTACTGATCACCAGTGAGCAGAACTATCACAGTGAAGGAATGAATGGATATAATAAGGATTGGATTCCCTACTCTACATAGACAGTCATTACTTCAGTGATCAATCTAAGCATCTATCTTACCCATAGGTGAAGCTCACGCTTTGACGACTACACTTGTGAATCTCTTTGCTCAGTATATTCGAAGGTCTATCTCTATAGTCTTCTATTCGTGGCTAGCATATCTTGTTAGCATAAACCCCCTTGTATTATATTATTTGTGGTTGTGCAACCCGATAGTATAATCGTCACAATTAAGGGAAATACCTTAGAATAATTTAGAATAATATTATTAATCTATTAAATTAATAATTACTTAGATTATAAATCGTAATGGATTTATAATAACTATAAAAGTAAATAAAACGTAAGAGAGCTTTAATAACGAAATTATTACAAGGTAATTTCGCCTAAATAAGGAAAAGAGTATAAAGAACATTAAAGTTCTTATTAATTATATAACGGATAACTTTATAAGTTTTAACCGTATATTAATAGTAAAATATTCGTTTAAACGTTAATTTCTTACTTAATAAAATACCGTGTTAATATACTTATTACATTAATTAATAATAATATATTATATATTATAATACTTATAATAAAGCTATACGTTATAATAGTTATTTAAAGAGATATTATAAATCTTTATATAAAATAATCTTTTTATTAAAATATATTATAAGCTTATATTAAACTTATAAGTTTATTATCTTTTATTATTATTATCGGCTTTTATAACTTAATATTATATATATTTATACTTTTATATAACGAGTTATTCTTATAATCTTTTAATATATCCTTATAAAAATTACTAACTAATTATATTAAAAGCTTTAAAGTATAAAAGAAAATTTATTTATAAGTTTTATTTTTAAAACCTTATAATATTTAAGCCGAGAATAACTTTATATAAAGCCGGTATAATTTATTTAACCTTTTCGTTATAATAACATAATTAATACTTATTACTTTACTTAACATTTTTACAATATATACTTAATAATAAACCCTTTAAGTATTATTTTACTTTAAAAGCTTAGTTTAATTATTAAAGAGATATATAATAAATAATATAAAGTAAAGCATTATATTATATCCGGGCGTTATAAAGTATTATAACCCTACTCTTAAATTAAGTTAACACTTTTATTATGTTTTACCCTTACTTAAATACTTAGTTATTATATTATACGCCCCCTTTAGTTATATTTTTCTTTTTTAGTACTCGGGTTATCGAGCCGTTAGTCGCTTAATTGGGAATTTGCTAACCGTGTAACGAAGTATACTATAAATGGAGTTCTAAACTGATATAGTTTGCGATTCTTACATTATCGTAGTTCCTCGCTTGCCCAAAAAGCCCTGTTACCCGAACAAAACCTGGAATCGGGGATGAGAATCCTTTTGCCCCACCCATAGTGTCTCCACGATGCCTTACCCAATGCTCCACTTACAGGCTTCATATTCGGAATTAACCCGCCATGTCGCCATACGATCCAATCTCAGCCTTCTTCTAATACAAATGCTACTTCAGCCGCGCACGCAATTGGTTGGGTTTCCGAGGTGCATAGATTCAACGTCGTTGCTATATGTGGTGAATCTGGGGGTGTAAGTTTATGCAATCCAATCTCCGCCTTCTTCTGATGCAAATGCTACTTCAGCCGCGCACGCAATTGGTTGGGTTTCCGAGGTGCATAGATTCAACGTCGTTGCTGTATATAGTGAATCTGGGGGTGTAAGTTTATGCAATCCAATCTCCGCCTTCTTCTGATGCAAATGCTACTTCAGCCGCGCACGCAATTGGTTGGGTTTCCGAGGTGCATAGATTCAACGTCGTTGCTGTATGTGGTGAATCTGGGGGTGTAAGTTTATGCAATCCAATCTGCCCCTTCTTCTGATGCAAATGCTACTTCAGCCGCGCACGCAATTGGTTGGGTTTCCGAGGTGCATAGATTCAACGTCGTTGCTGTATATAGTGAATCTGGGGGTGTAAGTTTATGCAATCCAATCTCCGCCTTCTTCTGATGCAAATGCTACTTCAGCCGCGCACGCAATTGGTTGGGTTTCCGAGGTGCATAGATTCAACGTCGTTGCTGTATATAGTGAATCTGGGGTTGTAAGTTTATGCAATCCAATCTGCCCCTTCTTCTGATGCAAATGCTACTTCAGCCGCGCACGCAATTGGTTGGGTTTCCGAGGTGCATAGATTCAACGTCGTTGCTGTATGTGGTGAATCTGGGGGTGTAAGTTTATGCAATCCAATCTCCGCCTTCTTCTGATGCAAATGCTACTTCAGCCGTGCACGCCATTGGTTGGGTTTCCGAGGTGCATAGATTCAACGTCGTTGCTGTATGTGGTGAATCCGGGGGTGTAAGAGTATACGTATATTCAGTATAGGTACTTTCTACTCATTCTTGACGTGCCACCGAGGGACAGAACATTTTAAGACTACACGGCATGATCCAGCGGATCTGACGAGTATACGCACTGTCTGTACAAAAGTTTGTTAGTCTGGATGGTGACACCAGTTGTACTGCAGGTATAGGTTTGACATGCGTGCTCCAAGCTATGAAGTAACGACGGAGGAGTTTGTAGGACTCGTAAAAGAGCAATGGGCTGGTCAGGGCGTCAAAGACTAGCATCAGCCCAGATCATAGGAAATATAGTTTGCTCTTCTCACTAAGCGACAAGTCAATTGTCTGGCTCTTTCAGTGCTCAAATCTTTCGTTTCATATCACCAAGTCCAAGATTGATATCTCCGTTGCGAGACGCTATGGGTAGCCGCGACGAGTTTAACCTTCCTATGGTTGATATGTCACTGTTCATTAGTGGCAATCGCTTGGAACGAAGTCGATTTGCTGATCAGCTCCGAGACTCACTGGTAAAGCATGGGTTTGTCAAGGTTATCAACCATGGCATATCAGACTCTGAGGTAGAAGAAGTCTTTGATTGGGTAAGTTTGAAGCCCCAGACTACTGATAGCCATATGTCCGGTTGCTCAAGTAACTCCCAGTCCGAGAAGTTCTTCCAGCTTCCTATCGACGTCAAGAATCAAATCGTTCATCTGCCTAGTTCGAATCCACAAAGAGGATGGAGCAAGGTCGGATCCGAGAGCACGGCCAAGTTGTTTGGTGCACTATCCAAGAGTGGGGAGAAAATAGACAAGACGGATCTGAAGGTCAGCAGTCTGATCACGTATGTCACGGACAACTCAAAGAACAAAATCAGTTGACTTCAAGTGTAGGAACATTTCGATATCGGCGCAGTGAATGAGTCTGCATTTCCCAACAAATGGGTCAGTGAGTCTCATATGCCTGGCTTTCGATCCTTTCTGGAAGACTTCTACGAAAGATGCCATGTCATAAGCATGCAATTGCTAGAGGCTCTGGCTATTTCTTTGGCACAGCCCGCTGGTACATTCACAGACATGTGCGAGCAGAAGGCAAATGAACTGCGCTTAATCCACTACCCTCCTACCAAGCATTCGAGCACAGCCTCGGATCTCAACAGAGTATGGCCACATACAGACTTGGGAATCATCACGTGTCTCTTCCAGGACAATGTTGGAGGGCTGGAAATCGAGGACAGAGACAGAAGAATATTTCAACCAGTCATTCCGGGAAGACGCAGCGAACTCATTGTAAACATCAGTGAGACTATGCATAGATGGTCCAACGGAAAGGTATAGTCTTGAAATTTACCAGAAGACCATGATACTTGTTGACTTATGTCCAGATCCCGGCTGGTATTCACCAAGTCACGCTGCCCTCAGGGTATGTCAGCAAGTCTATTACTGACAATGAGATCGCCGTACCTGAACGATACTCTATTCCCTATTTTGTGAAGGCCGACCAAAATGCTCACGTCGGTCCTTTGTCTCACTTTGTAGACGACTCATCCCCTCCAAAATTTCCCAATATGACAGCATTAGAGTTCCAGATGCAGCGCCTGTCACAGGCATACTAACCTCGGTACCTCCACAGAGCAATGTATTTGACGCTGTCTATCTATCTGAAAAACATATGGCGCAGTAGAAGCACAACTAATCTTGTTTGTTTGGTTGTTTTGTTTTATTTTGTTTTATTTCCTTTTGCTTTTATAAGAATCAGAAGATAAAGAAAAGAAAAGAAAAGAAAAGCGTCTTGATGAAAGCTTGGAGGCATCAGACGAAGGTCTCAAAATGAGTAAATCTTTTTCATTTTTTTATTTTTCAACATGACATTCATTTTGCTCGTTTCGTTTCAATAAATAGCATTGATACACATAACAGAGTCACTGTCCCCAAGCAAAACGTTTAACCACTCTCTATGTGTCATTGTGCCACTATCTGTAAATCTGTTGATCAGACCTCCTCAAACATACAATAGTATTGCTGCTTGCATTTATCCTTAGTGGATTTGAGACTATGTTTCTTGATTGTTGCTTCAAGAGTTCCACTACCTAGCAATAGTCCATCCGGCATATATACGTTGATAAATTAGTAAAATGAATATAACAAGCATGTGTTCTGCATGGAGAAAGAAACACGAGGACAAGGATTCAAGTCACAAGTATGTTTTCTATTAGCATCCCAAGCACAAACTTGGTGGATGACAGTTATTTTTTTTAGGTTCTCAATTTGATACTTTCTAGTATATTTCGCTGTTAATCCTTCCACAATCTGAGACCCGCTGACTGTCAACGACTGCACGCTGGTCGAGACATTTGAATCAATAAGCTTGGACCTGCGATCTTCAAGGTCTTTTTCGAGCACTCAACTGTTCTTTCTAAGAACATGCAGGGAACTTCATTTTGTAACTAATTGTGATTTGAGAAGTTTTCGCCAACAACACATGCTAAAGGTATCTAGTAGGTCCAACCAAGCCTTTCTTGGTTATACTCAAAAGCAGTTATGTTGCTGTACTTCGATTCTGTACCTTCAGGCAAGAACTCGGGCTTGGTGCCGACGAGTTGCGACCGATTCGGTTTACCGAAGTAGGCCACTGAATATCTGGCATCTGCCCATCTTTCCGTCCCCGGTGGCAGGACGACCCGATGGACGGTAGAGCGGAGCTTGTCATTTGTCCAGCGCTGGAGGCAGTCTCCAATGTTGACAATCATTTCTCCCATGTGCTCAGATTCAACAGCAATATGGGAGCCCGGGTTAGCACGACTTTCCACCTCGAGTCCTCCGACGGAATCCTGGAAGAGCAAAGTGAGTGTACCGAAATCTTTGTGCTCCGAAATTCTCGTGGCACCTGGCGATATGTTAGACAGATCACAAGCTGGATAGTGAGTCAGACGCAGCTCGCATCCATTCTGTTGACGGGAATCATCCATGAAGATGGTAGGGTTAACCCCTAAGCCTATTGACAGGGCTTTGAGAAGTCTGATGTGGGCCTCGTCACACTTGTAGAAGAAAGGTTCCATGAAGGTTCTGAAACCTGGAAGATCGGTCTCATCCGGCCATTTGTTGGCGTAACGTTCGTCTTCTGCGGGCCCATAATCGAAAGATTCCTGTGAGGGATGTCAGCTGAAACCCACATCTTAGAAGATAGGATGAGAGATTGGAGTGAGGAAAGACCAACGGAAATCCGACAGACTAACTTTCATATCAAAGACTGGAACTGCTTCCCGGTTGCCTTTCTCAAATTCTGCGATTTGAGACACCTTCTCCTGTCCAGGGATGCTATAACCACGGTGGGGGTTTGCCTCAGCAGGATGGGCTACCTTCAACTTTGTTTCTAATGGAAGATCAAAGAATTTCTTGCTCTGGAGCGTACACACAGATTCAATTAGAAAACTTCCTCATTTAACACTAAGAGTTGGTGATCTTACCCACTCAAAAGCATCCTTTATTTCCTCGACACTGATGCCATGATTAATGACCTTGAAGAAACCCAAGGTGCTCAGGGAGTCGACGAGCTTAAGACAAAACTCATTTTGCTTAATTGGGTCTTCTCCAGCGAAATCGGCACAGTCCAACTGCTGGACAGCTTCACCGGTGGTAGGAGTAGAAATAGCCATTCTTGCTATAGTCTTGGGAGAGATGAATTAGAATCTTTATCAATGTTGCTCAATGTAAGGTCAAAAGTGATAATTCTAGTAGCTGCTGAGAAATCAACTTTTGCAAATATATATCGAGGAAGGATCAAGATTTAATTTCACTTTGCACAAATATCTCCAATTACTGTAAGTCATTCATCTGTAGATAAATGATACAAAATAATTGCATTTGGGTGTTTCAAAAGATTTTTATCTCTCTAAGCAATGTATTGTAGGACCATCGGAGGCTAAGCATATGCGAAGAAATTTCCCCATCGGTGATCTTCCAGGGACTGTTGCCAGGCTTTTGCCGCTGGCCATACGTTTGATTTCCGATACTGTGTGGAGCATCGCGTTGGTTTGTCTGCGTTACTCTGACAAGGATCTATGTGAGCGGGTTCAAGACCCGATATGTAACTACAACGGCGCATTTGGGTTGATTATTGTAATGATCGGAGCCGCGTTGGAATGGGCAGAGCTGCGACACTTGTAAGCACTAAAGTCATTGTGATGCTCAATGAGGTGATCTGCAGTTGGCGTCAGATCGTTTCTTCGTCACTACGGGTTGAATCCATGCCAAGGGTATTGCAAGTAGCTTAGTCATGCAGCGAGACGAGACGCATATGGTCTATAACAATGCAAGTCTCACGGGTTATCAGTAGCTCGAATAGCTAGGATTTACGATCCCTACATCGCTGCTATATGATGCGAGAGTACTCATCGAGGCTGTCATGTAGAAGATCACTCTTCAGCAGCCTTGAGGCGTGAGCGAGCTGCAGGAGATAAGTGCGAGTAGCTGCAGGCTACATCTGACATCAAGATTTGTACTACTGGATTCACTGCATACAATCTGACAGGATGCCTATAATTTGATAGACTGCATATAACCTGATAAAATGCAAGTGTATTATCCTTGCATGACGTATACTGGTATGTTCTGCGGTAACATCTGACATTTACGTTTACACCGAGTAATAGACTGCATATGAGCTGACAGAAATACAAGGATGTTCTATGCATGTTCCACGTCTTATAGGTACAAGCGTGCAGGGGCAATGTCAAGGGCGTGTGTTTAGTGATCTTGGCTAATTTTGTAGATCCGGAACCTGAAACTTCTACTGCGCACCTCTGCAGGCGGGAAGCGAAGCAATCCGATTCGCAGTCATCCATTGCGGATTTATGGGCTAGTCTAACTCGGCCAAGACGAAGTATAGGTTATGTAGCATAGCTATGTTGGGAAACCTCACCGTTAGCCAGTGGCACAAAACTTAGATGACTAATAATCAATCAATTGAAGAAAAAGTGGAGAGTGCTTAAACTCGCAAAAAGAGACCGATAGTGGCAAGCGTGAAATCGAATATGAAGACAGACAGACAAAATAGAAATAAAGTTGATAGAACTGAACAATAAACCTCTCGACTTTGATTTCATTTGAGATAAATTGAGAGTCTTTTGGAGATCCCTCTTGAGCTTAAATTCTACGATATAGAGAAAATGCTGCCAGAGCAGACAGAACATGGGCTTGACCCAGGAGCACGTCGGGGAATCGACGAGGATAGAGTCGACGAAGCAACTGCAATAGGGGCATCAGCTTTCTCCCTGCTGAATAGCCATGGTGCTCATGCGATTCGTGGCGAAATTGCTGATGCTTGTCACATTGATGCGCATCTTATTCAAGACGTCTATCCGTGCACTCCTATGCAGGAAGGCTTGATGTCTCTATCACTGAAGAATCCCGGACACTACACTATGCGAGCAGTCATGGAACTGCCGAAAGATGTCGACCTGGACAAATTCTGTTCTTCCTGGGAAACGGTAGTCTCGGAGTTGGCAATACTCAGGAATCGAATCATTCATCACCATGAGTTGGGATTTCTTCAAGTAGCCATAAAGGAGGACATCCAGTGGGCAAGTGAACAAACACTCGATGGCTACGAGAAGAAGTCGGAAATTCTCAACATGGTGCTAGGAGAACCCCTTTCACGATATGCTCTCATTGCTGGGGAAGGTCCACGTGTCTTGTTCGTGTGGACAGTCCATCACGCCATTTACGATGGCTGGCTCTTGCAAAAGGCGACAAATATGGCAAGCTCACTGTTCCAAGGGGATTTGCCGTTTAGCACCACGCCGTTTGCAAACTTTGTCAAGCATATCTTGAACGAGAACAAGGAGCCTGCACGAGAGTTCTGGGTTTCTTATTTGGCAGGATGCAAAGAGACACAGCTTCCACCCACTCCTAAACCAGTGGTGAAAAGGATGGCGAGCTCGTTCCGAGTAGAGCACGACTGCCAACTGGATCTGAAAAGACGGGCTGTAAAGCCGTCGATACTGGTATACGCAGCGTTCGCATTAGTGGCAGATGTCAGTCTATCAATTGATACTGTTTTTGGCACAATAAACTCGGGTAGGAGCTCGGAGCGTCCTGAATTGGCCAATGCTGCGGGACCGACCATTACTGCTACCCCAGTTCGGGTCAAGACGCATGGCAAGACATCTGTCATCGAATTCCTCCAGAGTGTTCAAGACGAATCTCGACAGCGAGAGAAGTTTCAACATGTCGGATTGCAGACCATTGCCAAGGTGAGTGAGGATGCAAAGAAGGCTTGTGACTTTCAGACAATGGTGATAGTGCAGCCAAGAGAGAACGACCTGGAAGCCGCACCTTCCATGGGCAAATGGATAACAGGATCTAAAGATCCTAGTTTACAGACGTACAAGTTGGTAATACACGCAATACTGAAGGGCCCAGTCATCAAACTCATTGCCGAGTCAAATGACAGCATCATTTTTCCCCAAGAGGCAACCGTGCTACTGCAGCGAATGGGAAACGTTATGACTCAGCTTGTCTCCCCTAGGCCAAATCAGATTGTATCAGATATTGATATTCTGGCACTGAGCGAGCATCAACAGTTATGGAGCTGGAATGGTGTGGTGCCACCGGCGGTCAATAGATGTTTGCACAGCCTCGTGGAGGAGCAGGCAAGAGCCCGCCCGGAAGCGCAAGCTGTGTGTGCCTGGGATGGTGAGCTGACCTATGAGGAATTGGACTCACTATCGACTAGGCTGGCGTGCCAGCTCACCAGAATCGGCTTCGGATCTCAAACAAAGCTTGTGCCCATATGTTTTTCGAAATCACGTTGGGCTGTGGTTGCGATGCTCGCGGTACTCAAGGCTGGTGGCACAATTGTACCAGTGGATCCGTCGCCAACAGCACACCACCGGAGGGAGAGCATCATCTCTCAGACTGGAGCTAAAATCGTACTTGCATCCGCTGATATCGCTCCAATTCTGGCTCGAGATGGCCGCGTGGTCATTACCGTACAAGATCAGAGCACGGATAACTCAGCCATAGTTAGCTCGGTTGAAGCTATAACCACTGTTCCATTGATGGCGGCATATGTTATATTCACATCTGGTAGTACTGGGAAGCCAAAAGGTGTAGTTATAGGTCACCGAGCAGCTAGCACTACCTGCGTTGTCCATTGGTCTCGGATTGGTGCAGGTATCGATACCCGCACCCTCCAATTCTCAGCCTTTACCTTTGATGTCAGCATCCTTGAAATCTTTGGCACCCTAACGCATGGAGGTTGTATATGCATACCATCAGAGAGCGACCGTCTCAATGCGTTAGAAAGCACGATCACTAAAATGGGTATCAACCTCACAGTCACGACCCCGACAGTGAGCCGTCTGCTTGAGCCGAAAAGGGTTCCATCACTCACCACAGTCGTCTTGTGCGGAGAGAACTCCAAGATGGAGGACCTCGAGAGATGGACGCAGCAAGCCAAGGTATTTGATGCTTACGGACCGACCGAGACGGCGATCTTATGCTCCATGCACGAGTTCCGTAAGGCTCCATCTGCTGGCGGGCTTGAACCTTGTATTGGCACTGCTACGGGCTCAGTGGTGTGGGTCGTTGTGCCGGACAATGTCAATCAACTCGCGCCTATTGGAGCAGTTGGTGAAGTCTTAATAGAAGGTCCTCTCGTCGGGGAAGGATACCTGAGTGACCCTGAACGAACGGCTGCGTCGTTCATCGAGGATCCGCCCTGGCTAGTGCGAGGGCTCCCAGGAACTTCTCATGTAGGCCGACGTGGTCGCTTGTACAAGAGTGGTGACTTAGTGAGATACAACGAAGACGGAACTCTAGTCTTCGTCGGCCGCCATGATGGCCAAGTCAAGATCCGTGGGCACCGTGTGGAATTGGGCGAAGTGGAACACCACATTCTGGCTTACATGCCGGATGCTAAGCGTGTCGCTGCCGACGTTATTGTACCGTCTGGGGAGGACGCAAATCCTCTACTAGCTGCATTTATTGCCACGGACGAAAGTTCTGGCAATGGTGTCAACAGTACTTCTATTCAGGACTCTGAAATACGGCTAATGGACGTCTCTAAAGACCTGGAAGATTATTTGGCAGCGCGATTGCCGGTTTATATGGTCCCAGCTGTGTACTTCCTCACCAACAAGTTACCTTTTAACGATTCAGGCAAGACTGATCGTCGAGCTTTGCGTGAGAAAACAAAACAGTTCTCTACAAAGCAGCTCTCTGAGCTTCGTAGCGGGCATCAAGGCAACAACAACAAATCGCCACCAGCCACAGCAACAGAGCGCATCATTCAGGAAATATGGGCTCGAGTGCTCAAGATTGATGCCGCCATGATTGGCGTTGACGATAGCTTCTTTCAGGTCGGTGGGGACTCTGTCACTGTAATCAAGTTCGTGGCAAACGCCCGTAGGGCTGATATGCCACTTTCTGTTGCTGACGTCTTCCGCGACCCGCGATTATCAGCTATATCGGCGACAATTTCGGGAATGGTGGCTCAATCACCACAGTACGAGTTGGACCCGTTCGCCTTGTTAGAGAGAAGGAGTAAGATAAGCGCAGCACAGTGCCATGATCGTATCGCTACCGCCTGTAACATTGATCCAGTACGCATCGAAGATGCATATCCTTGTACGCCCCTGCAGGAAGGTCTTCTTTCCTTGACATCCAAGGCTGTTGGTGCGTACACTACACGCAACGTTCTACACTTGTCAGAGCACGTCGATGTAGATCTTTTTCGCCGAACATGGGATCGGATAGTACAGATGTCACCAAACCTACGCACACGGATTGTTCGAGATGACGAGTTCGGTCTGGTCCAGGTCGTTGTCGACGAGAAGATCCACTGGGCGCAAGGGAATGACCTAGATGTCTTCCTCCGGCAGGACGCTGCACATGCCATGACCACTGGGGAGCCCCTCACCCGGTTTGCTCTAGTCGCGAACAAGTCAGGTTCGTGGTTCGTTTGGACGATCCATCATGCTTTATACGACGGGCAGTTTCTTGCGCGAATCCCCAATCTCGTAAGCCATATTTATAAAGGACAAGTGAACAGCACTGCATTGAAAGACTTCAAATACTTTGCGGAATATCTGGACAATCTGGATCGCGAAGCAGTTGATGCCTACTGGCAGTCGGCGCTCAGGGGCTATGACTCTGAACCCTTCCCTACGCCACCATCTGGTTCGGCTGTTTCAATGTCCGTTGTACCAAACTGCGTGTTGAAGCGAGAAATCTCAGTACCTCAGGCAATGGTGCCAGACATCACTGCCGGTAGTCTGATCCGGGCGGCCTGGGCGTTGGCGATGGCAGCTACATGTGGAGACAAAGACATCGTTTTTGGAGCCACGGTCACTGGGCGTAACGCAAGTATGGCTGGTATTGAGGACATTGCGGGACCTACGATAGCCACGGTACCAATCCGTCTGCGTATCCCCGATGGATCGACACAAACTGTAGGGGCTTATTTGAGCCAGGTGCAGAAACAATTCATGGATATGATACCCTTTGAACAGGCCGGGTTGCAGCGCATTCGGGAGCTTTCCACGGAAGCTCGACGGGCATGCCAGTTCCAAACGCTACTCGTCGTCCAGCCAGGCGACATCGACAGTTCAAATCCGATGAACAATGGAGAATTTCAAGAGGAGTTCGGTACCTGGAGGAACGATACTGAGGCCCAAGATTATGCTAGCTATGCCCTCAATGTCACCTGCGTACTGAACGCTGGCGGAATCGACGTGGAGGCAATCTTTGACACCTCCGCCGTCAGCGAATGGGTCGTCGGATTGGTTCTAGACCGTTTCGATGCCATTTTACAGCAGCTCGCACGTGCTACTGCTGACCAGACTATGGCTCTCGACGTACTGGCCCCGAGTGATTATGATTCCATCTGGAAGTGGAATAGCAGCGTCCCATCTGCAGTAGAAGGCTACGTGCACCATCTCGTGGAGAACCAGGCCAACATACGGCCGCAAGCTCAAGCAATATCCTCATGGGACGGTGACTTCAGTTACTACGAGCTCAATACCCATGCCAATAAGCTGGCAAGGCATTTGATCGCCCTGGGAATCGCCCCTGGAAAATTGGTACCGATATGTTTTGAAAAGTCGCGCTGGGCAGTGCTAGCAATGCTGGCAGTGCTCAAGGCCGGGGGTGTCATAGTTCCACTGGATCCGACTAGATCGGCTGACCGACGAGAGCGTATTATATCGCAGACCGATGCGACGGTGGTGGTGGCTTCTGCTCAACACGCTCAAATGCTGGTTCAGACCGGTCGAGTTGTGGTTTCGGTCGATCACAACAGTGTACAAAGCCTATTAGAAGCGCCTTTAAGTCCAAAAAAGGTGTTGTTGACACCACAAATGCCGGCATATATCATGTTCACGTCTGGAAGCACTGGTCAACCGAAGGGCGTCATAGTAGATCACCAAGCTGCCATCACCACATGCACGTACAATGCTCGAAGATTGGGATTTACTCGAGAATCTCGCACCTTTCAATTCTCCGCGTACACTTTTGACGTCAGCATCATAGAGATATTATCGACCTTGCTTTCTGGAGGGTGCGTTTGTATACCTTCGGATAACGATAGACTCGGCGATTTGGAAAGCAGCATTAATGCGAGCAACGCCAACTTCACCTTTCTGACTCCCACCGTGAGCCGATTATTGGAACCGGCCCAGGTGCCGTCGTTGACAACTCTCGCTTTAGGTGGAGAAAACAGTACGGACGAAGACTTTTCGCGATGGACTCATCAATCGCGGATCTTCAACGGATATGGTCCGACTGAGTGTACCCTATGTTCACTGTATGAATTCACGGATACTTCACCAGTCGGGTCTGGATCTTGCATCGGCACGTCCGTGGGCTCGGTGTTTTGGGTCGTGATGCCTGGAGACGAAAATCAGCTTGCACCCGTGGGGGCCATTGGAGAATTGCTGGTAGAGGGACCAGTTCTCTCACAAGGCTATCTGAATAGCCCAGAAAAGACCGCGGCCGCATTTTTTGAAGATCCTCATTGGTTGAGACGTGGAAATCCGTACCGCCCTGACCACAATGGTCGCCAAGGTCGCCTATATAGGACCGGCGATTTAGTGAGATACACCAACAACGGAAATTTACTATTCATCGGTCGACGAGATACACAAATTAAAATTCGCGGCCAGCGTGTTGAATTGGGCGAAGTCGAGCATCACGTACAGAAATGTATCCCCGGAGCTCGACAGGTCGTTGCTGAAGTGATAGTGCCACGAGGTGATGGCGTTCAACCCACGTTGGCGGTATTCATGGTCGCAGATAAGGACCTGAAAGGGTCATCGGATGAGAGACCGAGCAGGCATGTCAATGGGGACAGTAAAGGCGAGCATAATGGGAAAACAAATGGAGATCTGACAGCACGAATAATGAATCCCTCAGCTGAGGTGATTGACAAGCTTTCAGAGCGCCTGCCAGCGTATATGATTCCAGCTGTTTATTTACAAATGCGTGCACTGCCAATCAGCAGCTCAGGGAAAGCAGATCGCCAGATCATCCGCAATATCGGTGCTGAAATCTCAACTCAAGATCTTGCAGAGTTTCACAGAGAGCGCCAGGGTGATAGACGAGCCCCGTCTAGCCCTGCCGAGAAGTCTCTGCAAGAGATTTGGGCGAGGACTTTCAGGGTTGATGCCGATTTAATCAGCGTCGATGATGACTTCTTTCGACTTGGCGGTGACTCAATTGCGGCTATGAAACTCGTTGCTGACGCCCGCCGTTTGGGCTTTGCATTTTCGGCCACAGATGTTTACCGGAATCCCAAATTATTCGCTCTTGCAAAGCTACTGACACATGTACCCGAGGCTCAATCAGATGAGCTAGGCGCCTTCGCGTTACTAGAAGGCGATATAGCAGATTGTCGGAACCGAGTTGCTGCTGCTTGTGAGCTTGAACCTAAATGCGTTGAAGATGCGTATCCTTGCACGCCATTGCAAGAGGGTCTCCTGGCTCTCACAGCTAAATCCGAGGGTGCATACACCACTCAATGTCTTTTAACCTTATCAGATGGCGTCAATCTGGATCACTTCAGGGAGATGTGGGAAGAGGTGACATTACGTTTACCTATCCTACGTACACGAATTGTCCGAGACCCGCAGTATGGATTGCTTCAGGTCGTGGTAAACAAGCAAATAAAATGGGCGTACGAGGAGAATCTTGACATGTACCTGGACAAAGATGCTTCGGAACCGATGATAATGGGTCAACCATTAGCCCGCTATGCCTTAATATCAGACCGGAGCACACGTGGGTCGCAAAGCATCTCTTTCGTCTGGACGATACATCATGCACTTTATGATGGCCAGTTTTTCGGGCGGATAACGGATCTTGCCAACTGCCTCTATGGTGGCATCGCGGGGAAGGGATCTTTCAAAGAGTTCAAATACTTTGCAAGATATTTGGTCAATCAGAATGTTGAAGCCAGTGATGTTTTCTGGCGGTCACAGCTTGAAAATTACGAATCCTTGCCATTTCCCAGACTGCCATCGGTACCGAAAGAGGTAATAGCCAACCGTGTTGTTCGGCGACAGCTCGCGCCACTGCCAGCTTCATCACATCTCGTCACTGCCGCCAACCTGATACGAGCATCCTGGGCTCTGACAATTTCCGCCTCCTGCGGTGATAGCGATATCGTTTTTGGGACGACAGTCACTGGGCGACAAGCTGATGTACCCGGTATCGAAGATATCGCAGGGCCTACCTTTGCTACAATTCCTGTACGTATCCAGATTGCTACGACCGAGACGATCGCAGCATATCTTCATAAGGTCCAGGAACAGTCGGTTGATATGATTCCGTATGAGCAAGCTGGACTACAGCGGATCCATGAGCTTTCCGCAGATGGCCGCCGAGCCTGTCAGTTTCAGAACTTCTTGATTGTTCAGCCTCCCCAAGAAGTGAGAGAACTTGAGCATCTCGGTACCTGGACCACCAATGTGGATGCAAAAGACTTCGCTAGTTATGCACTTAATCTTGTCTGCGAGCTAGGCTCTAATTGTCCCAATGTGAAAGCCATTTTCGATCCAAGTCTGATCAGCGAGTGGGATGTGGAAAGGATGTTAGAGCGGCTGGATAGTGTGATTCAGCAACTAGCTTGTGCCACCAATGACCAGACACTGGCCGAGGTGGATATTCTGACAACCAGCGACTACCACTTACTGTCTCAATGGAACAGTCAGACACCAACAACAGTCGAACGTTGTGTGCACAGCCTGGTGGAGGACCAAGTCTTGGCCAGGCCGGCAGAGCAGGCGGTGTGCGCTTGGGATGGCGATTTTACGTACGGCGAGCTACAAACGCTCGCCAGTAACCTTGCATCTCATCTCGTGAATGTTGGAGGTGCTGGTCCCGGCAGGATGATACCGCTTTGCTTCGAGAAATCCTGTTGGGCTATAGTGGCGATGTTTGCAATCTTGAAAACGGGTGGCGTCGTTGTTCCGCTAGATCCTCTACAACCAGCGGATCGAAGAGAGCGGATCATATCACAAACTGGTGCCGATCTGGTGGTCACATCTACGCAATATGCAGAGAGTCTAGCCCGAGCAGGCCGGAACGTGGTCGTTGTTGAACCCAAATCCACGGTAGCGCTACCACTGACAACCGAAAACATCAACAGTAAATGTGAAGATCCGGACTCAATGGCTTTTGTCATGTTCACATCCGGCAGTACCGGGCAGCCAAAGGGTGTGGTCTTACAGCACCGGGCCATATCTACCGCTTGCGTTGCTCTCTGGAATCGATTTGGTGGCGGCTCGAATCCTCGGACGTTTCAGTTTTCGTCTTTCACGTTCGACATAAGCATCTGGGATATCTTCGGAACCATGATTCAAGGAGGTTGCGTCTGTATGCCTTCAGATGACCAAAGGCTCAGCAGCATGGAAGAGACTATCGACAGATTCAAGGCCAATCTCTTGATTACAACTCCTAGTGTGGGCAGACTGCTTGAGCCATCCAACGTCCCGTCACTGACTGTAGTCGTCTTGGGTGGCGAGACCAGCACAGACGAAGACTTCACACGGTGGGGGCCGTCCAGAACTTTCAACGGCTACGGACCAACAGAATGTACAATGTGCTCAGTCAATGAGTTTGTCGAGTCGTCGCCAGTTGGGTCAGGTTCCTGTATTGGTACAGCTGTAGGGTGCACATTCTGGGTTGTCACGCCAGACAACATCAATCAACTCGCACCAGTGGGAGCCATTGGCGAGTTATTAGTGGAAGGCCCCGTGCTATCGCAAGGATATCTGGGCGATCCGGATAGAACGGCGGCCGGTTTTGTTAAGGATCCTTCTTGGCTCTCTACTGGTGTTCTCGGCCAGGCAGGTCGACGTGGCCGCCTCTACAAAACCGGTGATCTGGTACGCTACAACAGTGTGGACGGAAGTCTGACCTATCTTGGCCGCAGAGATACCCAGACAAAGGTTCGTGGTCAACGCGTCGAGCTAGGCGAGGTCGAATACCATCTCCAGGCTTGTGTACCAGAAACACCCCAGGTCGTCGCCGAAATCATTACGCCACGTGGCGAGGGTGCAAGTTCCATGCTAGCCGCGTTTCTTGTCACCGGGAAGAGCATAGACGAGGATCCCAATAGCAAGCTAAACGGGAAGCCAAACGGACAATTGACAAGAAACTCTGACAAAAAGCTGCGTGACAATTTGAGCAACAAGCCCTGCGTTAACTTGGTGAACATCTCTACAGAAGCCGGCAGCGACTTGGCCAAGCGACTCCCAACATATATGGTACCAACTGTCTACTTCGCTGTCGATTCATTACCTCTCACAAGCTCGGGCAAAACGGATCGTCGAATGCTTCGGGAACTTGCTTCTGGGTTTTCAGCCCAAGAAATAGCTGAGTTCTGCAGCCGTCGAACAGAAAAGAGGAAGCCGTCGACACCAACGGAGCATTCGTTACAGCAACTATGGGCACTTATACTTAATATTGAAGCCACTGCTATAGGTGCGGATGATAGCTTCTTCCAACTCGGCGGCAATTCTATCGCTGCTATGAAGCTCGTTGCTGATGCTCGTCGTGCCAATATCGCACTGTCTGTTGCAGACGTATTCCGCAACCCACGACTGTCATCTCTCTCAGCTACCTGTAACTTGTGTCAAGCAACTGATGCGACTCCAGACGAGCTGAAACCCTTCAGCTTATTGGGAGAAGATGGTAAAGCCTGCTCCAGTCGAGTTGCAGACGCCTGTAGTCTTCAACCTCAAGATATTGAGGACATATATCCATGCACACCATTGCAGGAAGGTCTTCTCGCATTGACGTCAAAGTCTGAGGGTGCATATACGGCGCGAAGTGTACTAGCATTATCAAAAGATATCAACATCGATCGATTCCGAGATGCCTGGACTAAGGTAGCACAATTTTTGCCTATTCTGCGCACTCGGATTGTGCAGGACCTACAATATGGCCTAGTTCAGGTAGTGGTTGATAAACAGCTTGCATGGGGCGGCGGAGAACACCATGATCTTGAGAGTTTTACTAAATACGACTCAGCGCAGCCAATGGACCTTGGTCGGCCTCTTACCCGCTACGCAATAGTTATTGATGAATCACAGCGTGCGTGGTTCATTCTGACTTTGCACCACGCGCTTTATGACGGTCAATTCCTCAAGTGGATACCCGATCTGGCCAGTGCCTTTTACAGAGACATCCCTGCAGCGAGAGCGTTCAAGGAATTCAAGTACTTTTTAGCCTATTTGTCAAGGGTTGATGCCAATCGATCGGATGAATACTGGCGCTCAACTATGGATGGCTACAACTCTCCGCCGTTTCCGCTTCCCACATCATGGACGGGCAAGTCCGTAACAGCTAATCGAGTGTCAAGACAGCAATTGAACATACCACGAATATCAGATTCGAATGTGACTGCAGCTAGTGTAATCCGGGCAGCTTGGGCGATCACTATGGCTGCCTGTTCCAGTTCGGCAGATGTGGTCTTTGGTGCTACAGTCTCCGGGAGATACGCCGATGTTATTGGCATTACAGACGTCGCTGGACCTACGATTGCTACAGTCCCGGTCCGTATCCAGATAACCGCCAAGCAGACATTAACGCGGTATCTTCATCTAGTTCAAGAGCAATCTACCGACATGATTCCTTTTGAACAGGCAGGCTTACAACGAATCAGAGGGCTCTCGACAGATGCTCGCCAAGCATGTGAATTTCAAACACTGTTAGTGATTCAGCCTCAACAAGAAGCCGAGGAAATACATCATGAAGGTTTTGGTGATTGGAGGAATGACACGGAAGTTCAAGATTTTGCGACCTACGCGCTGACCTTGATTTGCACTCTCACTCCCGAAGGGGCTTCAGTGGAGGCCATCTTTGATCCATACTTCATCAGTGAATGGGTCATAAAGGCAACATTGAAACGTCTTGATTCGGTGATTCACCAGCTAGCCAAGGCCACACCACACCAGACCATAAATGACCTGGACATCTTGACGCCCGGCGACTACGAACAAATATGGAAGTGGAACCACAAATTCCCTTCCGATCTGGCCAGTTGTGTGCATGAACTCGTCGAAGCGCGAGCCAAAGACCAACCTACAGCACAAGCTGTATGTGCCTGGGACGGCGAGATGACATACCAGGAATTGAACGTACTCGCTAGTGAGCTGGCGAATCAACTTAAGAAATCGGGTATCGGGCAAGAGATCATGGTCCCTATTTATTTCGAAAAGTGCCAATGGGTCGTGGTTGCTATGCTTGCGGTACTCAAGGCCGGTGGCGTTGTCGTCCCTATAGATACGTCGCAGCCGGCAAATAGACGGGAGCGCATCATCGCCCAAACCGGCGCCAAGTTACTATTGACTTCTGTTCAATACGAAGCAGCTCTCGCCCAACCTGGTCGGACGGTCGTTGTGGTTGGGCCACATTCAATTCCCTCGAACCCGGTTCCTTCCGAGGCAGAATCTACAGGAAGCGTCGTTGCCATAGAACAAAGTCCATTCTCTACCGCCTTCGTGTTATTTACGTCTGGAAGCACAGGAGAGCCCAAAGGTGTAACGTTGAGCCACCGTGCTATCAGCAGTACCTGTGCTGCCAAGTGGGCTCGAACCGGGGGTGGCACTCAGACTCGGGCTTACCAGTTCTCATCCTATACATTCGACCTAAGTTACTACGAAATCTTCGGAAGCCTCATGCACGGAGGATGTACCTGTATACCTTCAGACGAGGAAAGACTTAATCGGGTAGAGGAGAGTATTAATGCGTTAAGGGCTAATCTACTTATACTAACTCCCACGATTAGTCGACTTCTAAACCCAAATCAGGTCCCTTCCGTAGAGACAATCATGTTAGCTGGTGAGAGTTGCAAGAAGGAAGACCTTTCTCGTTGGACAGACCATCGCGTGAGAGCCTTCAATGTGTATGGACCAACAGAATGTACGAGTTGTACCATCCACGAATTTAAGACTGATTCCTCAACCGAGCCAGCAGCGACCAGTCTTGGCACTGGTTCAGGATCGCTTCTTTGGGTAGTTATACCTGGGCATGAGGACCAGCTTGCACCTATCGGAGCCATAGGGGAGCTGCTTGTCGAAGGGCCTGTATTATCTTCGGGATATTTGGGTGACCCGGAAAAGACAGCAACATCTTTTATTGAAGATCCACCGTGGTTGCTTGCCGGCTTCCCTGGCTATCCTGGTCGTCATGGTCGCCTCTATAAGACGGGTGACTTAGTTCGATACAATGAGGACGGATCTTTGGTGTACATCGGTCGCAAAGATACACAAGTCAAGATTCGTGGCCAACGTCTGGAGCTCGGTGAGGTAGAACACCACGTGAAAGCTTGTGTTCCGGGGGTCAAGGAAATTGCGGCAGAAATGATACGACCTCGGAGCGATCTCTCTAACTCCATGCTGGCTGCATTCCTGGTCATGGATGAAACTCACAGAAATGACCACGATGTGAAAACCGGAGAGACTGAGTTGCAACTGATGACTATTTCAGTCACCATAGCAGACGACTTAGCTGAACGCTTGCCAACTTACATGGTTCCAGTTGTGTACTTCACCGTCAACGTACTACCCATGACCAGCTCGGGCAAGACTGATCGTCGGAGTTTATGTAGCATTGCTTCTGAGTTTTCGGGGCAAAAGATAGCAGAATATCGCAATGCCAATCTCATGGATAAGCGAATACCATCCACAGCAATGGAGAGGAAGCTACAGGATATCTGGGCACGAGTTCTTCAGATAAATTCCGACAACATTGGCGCCAACGACAACTTCTTCGGATTAGGTGGCGACTCCGTCTCGGTCATGAAGCTGGTTGCCGACGCTCGTCAGGTTGGCATTCCACTGCTCTCTCGAGAAGTTTTCCGCAATCCTCGACTGTCAGCACTAGCACAGGTGTCGAGCAAAGCGCAAGGGGTGCAAGGAGAGCTCGCTCCCTTCACATTACTGTCAGGGAGTTCGCGGCTCAAGAGCGATAACTCAGTCTCCTGGGTCGAGGATGAGATAAAACATCGGGCTCGGATAGCTGATGCTTGCGACCTTGATGATGGACAGCTGGTTGAAGACGCATACCCCTGTACACCACTACAGGAGGGCCTTCTTTCTCTAACAACCATGTCTTCGAGTGCGTACACTACCCGAGGTGCCCTTAAGTTATCGGGAGATACCGATCTTACTCGATTTCGCGACGCTTGGGAGCAGGCATCACAAAAACTCCCAATATTACGTACCAGAATTATCCAAGACACGGATTTTGGCCTGATCCAAGTCGTCGTCAATGAAAATCTCAAATGGGCTTACGGATACGACCTGGACAAGTATCTCAAGCAAGATGCCAACAAGCCGATGGACCTTGGACTACGTCTAATCCGATTCGGTATAGTATTCAGCAGCTCTGGTACCTGGTTTGTGTGCACGGTGCATCACGCCATCTATGATGGGCATCTTTTCAACCGCGTCCTAGCCCTAGTCAATAGCTTCTATCACGAATCTCCTCATCAGGCGCCTCAAATGCGAGACTTCAAGTATTTTATAAAGTACATCTCGGATATGGACACCGAATCTGCTGGCACATATTGGCGGTCCAAATTCGACGGCTATGATTCCGAGCCATTCCCTGCACCATCACTGAAATCGACGGCCACATCAGCCAAGTGCACTGTGAATCACCGCATAGCATTGCCTTACAAAGCACCATCAAATTCCAACATTACTCGTGCTAATCTTATAAGGGCGGCATGGGTATTGACAATAGCTGCCTGCTCCGGCACGTACGACGTGGTGGTTGGCGCGACAGTATCAGGACGGTACGCAGATGTCGACGGCGGCGCTGAGAACATTGCCGGACCCACGATTGCCACAGTGCCTGTACGTGTTCAAATAGACTCTGCACAAAATGTGACAGATTACCTTCGTCATATCCAGGAACAATCTGTCGACATGATTCCCTACGAGCAAGTTGGATTACAACATATCCAGGAGCTGTCCTCGGCGGCACGTCATGCGTGCAACTTCCAAAGCCTTCTCGTTGTACAACCTCGTAAGGAAGCTGACTCCGAGGTAATGAAAGACGGAAATTTTGGAACCTGGAAGAACTTGGCCGAGGACAAAGACTTTGCCATATATCCCTTGAATTTGATCTGCAATTTGGATACCGACAGTGCCGGGCTCCAGGTCCTTTTCGATTCGACTGCCATCAGCAACTGGTTTATGGAGTTGGTACTGGAACGATTAGATCAGGTTGTCCAGCAGTTGTTGTCTGCTACCGCTGGACAGACCATTGCAGATATAGAGGTTTTGGCGCCAACTGACCATCGCAGGTTGGGGTCCTGGAATGGTCAAGTACCACAAAGCAACGAGCGCTGCATTCATAGCTTCGTGGAGGAGCAGGCTATGGAACAACCGAATGCGCAGGCCGTGTTTGCCTGGGATGGCGAGTTCACCTACAAAGAGCTGGACACGCTGGCTAGTCAGCTGGCTCAGCACCTCATCACTCTCGGTCTTTTGCCTGAGATGATGGTACCGCTGTATTTTGAGAAATCACGATGGACTGTGGTGGCATTCCTGGCAGTTTTGAAGGCTGGCGGCGCGGTTGTTCCACTGGATCCAGAACGATCTCATGATCGCAGAGAACATATCATAGAGCAGACTGGTGCTCAGTTGATGCTGGCTTCTGCCAAGTATTCAGAAAACTGTGCTTGTGCTGGTCGAGTCGTTGTTATTGTTTGTCAGCAAAGCATGCTAGATTTGTGTGAGAAGTCATATGGCCCAGTCAAATGGCAGGTCACGCCCTCGATGGCAGCCTACGTCATGTTCACCTCTGGTAGCACCGGACAGCCGAAGGGTGTGGTCGTGGAGCACCGTGCAATGAGTACCAGTAGCTCCAACATTGCAAGAGAACTCTTGATCAACAGGCGATCCCGTGTGCTTCAGTTCTCTGCATATGTATTCGACGTCAGCATCATGGAGACAGCAAGCGCTCTCATGCATGGAGGTTGCTTATGCATACCTTCCGAGGATCAGAGACATCAAGATATCGAGGGCATCATCAACTCAATGAGCATAAGTGTGGCATTCCTGACACCTGCAATCGGCCGTTTAATTGAGCCCGACAGAGTTCCTTTACTGGAAACAATCTTCATGGGTGGTGAAGCTGCAGTTGACGATGATTTCATGCGATGGGAATCCAGGGCTCAGGCTGTCAACGCATACGGTCCCACGGAATGTTCTGCGATATGTTCTATCAGCACGAAGCACTCAAGCCCGGGCTGTGGCTCTCGTATCGGGTCTGCAATTAGCTGCGTTACCTGGATTGTGATGCCTGAAGACCCCAACCGGCTTGCTCCTGTCGGAGGAGTGGGTGAATTACTCATCGAGGGCCCCATCCTGGCACGAGGTTATCTTCATGACCCGACAAAGACAGCAGCATCGTTCATCGAGGACCCGCCATGGCTGCTACGTGGCACTGCTGATCAACTGGGCCGTCGAGGGCGTCTGTATCGCACAGGTGATCTTGTACGCTATGGTGAAAACGGTGAGCTAATCTTTCTCGGCCGAAAGGATACGCAAGTCAAAATCCGTGGCCAGCGCGTTGAGCTGGGAGAAGTCGAGTATCAGGTACGCGCGTGCGTCCCAGACGTGAGCCAAGTGGCTGCGGAGGTGATCACTCCGAGCGGTGCTGGCGGTGTCCCTGTGCTAGCAGCGTTCTTGACTATGGAAGGCAAGACAAATTCTATGGCTGATGCCATCCGTATGATCGATTTGACGGAGGCAGCTCAAGACAGGCTTGCTGAGAGACTCCCTGCCTATATGGTGCCAGTGCTCTACTTCGACATTAGTCGCTTCCCCATCAATAGATCCGGTAAAATCGACCGCCACCAACTTCGTGCCCTGGGTGATGGAGTCCAGATCGCGAATCGTGGACAGGTACGCCAACCTACATCAGAGGCGGAGCTTCAGATGCAAAATATATGGAGTCGCGCGCTGAGAATGGAACCCAACGCCATTGGACTGGACGACAGTTTCTTTGGCCTTGGTGGCAATTCAATCGTGGCGATGCAGCTCATGGGAGAAGCTCGTAGGGCAGGTCTCCAACTTTCGGTGGCAGATATTTTCCGCCATCCTAAGCTCTACGATATGGCAAAGCAAGCAAGCCCCTCATGTGGAAGTACATCCCAAGGCATACCGAAACATAACAAGTCCGAAGCCGTTGAGCAGTCCTACGCTCAAGAGCGCCTGTGGTTCCTCGATCGGTTGTATCCTGGATCCACGCATTATCTGATGCCAAGTGCATTTCGACTACGAGGTCCTCTCTCGTTGGATGCACTCAGTACAGCAATGTGTGCTCTGGAGCGTCGTCACGAGACACTCCGGACGGTTTTCGGGTCTGAAAATACTGTGAATGTTCAAATAGTCCGTCCATTCCAAACCAAGGAGCTGAAGGTTGTTGACATGCCCTGGGACCTGGATGGTGATTTTGTGCCTGCTCTACAGCAGGAACAGATGGTTCCAATCGATCTTGAGGGAGAGGCGAGCTGGAAGGTCTGTGTCTACCGATGTGGCACAGAAGATTATATCTTGTCTATTGTCATGCATCATATTATCTCTGATGGCTGGTCTGTCGACGTTCTTTGCAAGGAGCTCGCCAGATTTTACTCTGCCGCTCTTCGCGCGCAAGATCCTATCTCGCAGATAGAAGAGTTGCCAATCCAATACAGTGACTACTCCGTCTGGCAAAGGCAGGATGAGCAGGTCAATGAGCAACGTCGACAGCTCGACTACTGGGTCCAGCAACTACAGGGAAGTCGTCCCGCCGAAGTACCTTGTGACATGCCACGCCCGGCCAGGCTCTCGGGCCAGGCCGGTGTGCACCAACTCAGGATCGACGGGTCCTTATTCGAGGCTCTGGACCATTTCTGCAGAGACCGAGAGGTGACACCATTTGTGGTCCTCCTCGCCGCATTCAGAGCGACCCACTATCGCCTTACTGGTGTCAGTGATGCAGCTATCGGAACTGGCAATGCCAACCGCGACCGTTGGGAACTTAGAGACGCCGTTGGCTTCTTCGTGAACATGCAAGCCCTCCGCATCAAGATTGAAGATGAAACTTTTGAGGAACTAGTTCAGCAAGTCCAAGCCACGACAATTGATTCCTTAGCTAACCAGGACGTTCCGTTCGAAAGAATCGTCGCAAAGATTAATTCCGAAAGGGATCTATCTCGTAACCCAATATTCCAAGTGGCCATGCTACTACACTCTCAGCTGGAATTGGGAACATTGAGGCTTGAAGACGTTGAGACAGTGCCCATACCATTGCCAGTCACCACCAGGTTTGATCTCACCTTCCACTTTTACCAAGAAGAGCATGCGCTACAAGGCAGAATTCTGTACTCAACAGATCTCTATAAGCCTGAAACGGTCAGAAATATGCTCTCCGTTTTCGAATCGGTGCTTAATCGGAGTCTTTCTGACCCGAAGACGACAATTGCGACACTGCCGCTGCTGACAGACGAGCACTCCTCAGCATTGGACGCACTTGGCCTAGGCCAGATTCAAAGGACAGACTACCCTAAAGAAATGAGCGTCGTCGACGTGTTCCGCCAGCAAGCCGCTGCCACTCCCGAGAGCTTAGCCGTCAAGGACTCCTCATCCCAATTGACATATGCTCAGCTCGACCACCAATCGGACCTGCTGGCCGCTTGGTTGGTAAAGCGGTCTCTGGCTCCGGAAATACTCGTTGGTGTGCTTGCCAATCGATCCTGCTACACCATTACTGCTTTCATGGGTATTCTCAAGGCAAATCTGGCTTACCTGCCCCTCGACACCAGAACTCCGGAGGGTCGAATGGAAACAATCCTCTCGTCTGTACAAGGCCGTAGACTTGTTCTAGTGGGGCCCGCCGTGAAAATCCCAAACCTCGAAGTAGAGGATGTCGAATTCTTATTCATCAACAATATCCTCACTGGGTGCACAGAAGAATCGGAACCTCTTCAATTATCACCACTGGGGGCCCTGCCTTCACCAACTAGCCTTGCCTATGTCATGTTCACCTCCGGGTCCACCGGCAGGCCGAAGGGCGTTATGGCGGAACATCGTGGTATAGTCAGGCTAGCGAAACAGAACGTGCTCAACGAGCACCTCCCTCCAGCGGTTAGGATAGCTCATATGACGAACATCAGTTTCGACTTGTCGTCTTGGGAAATCTATACCGCTATCTTGAATGGCGGTTCTCTGATCTGTATCGACACAATGGCAATGTTGGATTTCACGACGACAAGTAGGATCTTTGCCCGCGAGGGAGTTCAGACTGCTGCTTTTACAGCGTCAGTTTTCAAGCAGTACATCAACCACAGTCCCGCCACGTTTTCTGACTTGGATGTGGTGTACGTAACCGCCGAGCGACTGGACCCGGAGGACATGTTTGCCGCATTGAAGGTTATGAAGGGCAAATTTGTCCAGACATACGGACCGACAGAAGACACGAGCACTAGTACGCAGTACTGGGCGACAGAGAAGGATCTGTGTACCAATGGGGTGCCAATTGGGCGCGCGATCAGCAATTCGGGTTCGTTCGTCATGGACTCGCAGCAGCGCCTGGTCCCGCTCGGCGTGATTGGAGAGCTTGTGGTGATAGGCGATGGTCTTGCCAGAGGATACGTGGACCCTCTACACAATATCAACAGATTCATTACGGTGAAGGTCCGGGGAGAAGAGATTAGAGCCTACCGGACGGGAGACTATGTACGCTATCGACCTACTGATGGAGAGTTAGAGTTTCTTGGACGAATCGATGGTCAAGTTAAGATACGGGGCCAGCGGGTTGAACTACCAGAGATTGAACACACCATTGGCAACCACGAATCAGTCGAACACGCTGTGGTCCTTTTAAACCGTGATGGCAACTCAGAGCCGCAGGTCATCAGCTTCGTTACCCTTCGCGAAAGAGATCTTGAACTCGATGGAACACATGACAACAGCGAAGAATCACAATACGTAGACGACTGGGAAGAGCACTTCAATCTTGATACATACAACTCGATTGGCAACACAGAACCAGAGAAGATTGGAAGAGACTTTCTAGGATGGACCTCCATGTACGATGGGAGCGAAATCGACAAGGGAGAAATGAATCAGTGGCTGGACGATACAATTGCAACGATACGTAACGGCGCCAACCCCGGTCGCATTCTTGAGATCGGAACAGGTTCAGGAATGCTTCTTTTCAACCTGGCATCCCAAGGCATAGATGGGTACGTCGGCCTCGAACCATCTCAAAAGGCAGCAAATTTCGTGAACCAGACCGCGGCATCTATTCCCACGATGAACGGCAAAGTCAAGGTTCATAAGGCTGCCGCTGCAGATATCGAACATCTAGGAAGCCTCGGCTTCCCTGACTGTGTAGTGGTGAACTCAGTTGCTCAGTACTTTCCAAGTCAAGCTTATCTCTCGAGGCTGGTGCAAAGTCTGCTCAAGCTGGATGGTGTGAAAAGACTCTTCTTTGGTGATATTCGATCCCATGCAGTATTCCAAGAGTTTTTGGCTACCAGAGCGTTGCATATGATTGGAGAAGAAGCAACTCAAGATGAGTTCAGACGGATAATGGCTGAAATGGAGCGGGCCGAGTCAGAGTTGCTCGTTGATCCAGCCTTCTTCACTCGACTTTTGAGAGAAATTCCCGACCAGATCGAGCACGTTGAGATTCTGCCCAAAAGAATGCATGCCACCAACGAACTCAGTTGTTATCGATTTGATGCTGTCATCCACCTCAGAGCAAGGGGACGTGCTTCGAGGCAACTCAATCACATTAGAGAGGACCGCTGGATTGACTTTGTGGAACAAGGGCTGACCGGAAAGGCACTCTCCAAGATGCTGCAGCAAACCCGAGCTGACTCACCTCTTGTTGCTATTAGCAATATTCCTCACGGAAAAACTATTTTCGAAAGACACATTATCGATTCACTCAATAACAGTGGAACTAGTCCATCCAGTGATAGAAAGTGGCTCTCATCAATCCGTCATCTCTCTCAAGCATGCGATTCGCTTTCTGCAGTGGACTTGGCCACGATAGCTCGGGAATCAGGGCATAGGGTCGAGCTTAGTTGGGCACGGCAGTACTCTCAGCGGGGAGGCATAGACGCAGTGTTCCATTGTCTCCAACCGGTCAGTGGTGAATCCAGAGTCATGTTCCAATTTCCTCATGATAGCACACATCCGCCTCGACCTCTTGCAAGCCAACCATTGCGCAAGCAATTGATCCACAAAGCTGAAAGACAAATCCGCGCGTCATTGGTAGCCAAGTTACCTTCGTACATGGTTCCTAGCTCAATCACCATCTTGGACAGGATGCCCTTCAACTCTAATGGTAAGGTTGATCGTCAAGAACTTACTAGAACACTCCAGAACAAGCCAGCCCCAGAAAGAACATCACTGGTACGGCAACCAACGTCGGAATCAGAAGCAAGGATGCAGCGAATATGGGCCAAGGTACTCGATGTTGAGCCCATCATCATTGGGCTTGACGATAGCTTCTTCCAGATTGGCGGCAACTCAATTGCAGCAATGAAAGTCGTTGGAGAGGCTTCGAAGACCGGTCTCAAGTTGGCTGTGGCCGACCTCTTCCGTTACCCGGTACTTTGTGATCTTGCCAGCCGAGCTGCTGAAAAGGTGGATATTGGCCCCGTGGAAATTGCACCTTTCTCTCTCCTTAGTGAGAATGGCGACGTCACGTCGTTCCTCCAGGAGATTGCAAGTCAATATCGGTTAAACTCGACTACCATATCCGACGCCTATCCCTGCACACCTCTACAGGAGGGTCTTCTATCCTTGACATCTAAGCAGTCTGGAGACTATGTCATGCAAGGTGTTTTAGAGCTTTCTTCTAAGGTGCAAATTGATTCTTTCCGTATGGCATGGGAGCAAGTACACCATACAATGCCCATATTGCGTACCCGACTTATTCAGCATAGCAGCCTCGGCCTTGTGCAGGTGGTAGTGGACGAAAAGATTCGATGGATTGAATCAGACAACCTCCAAAGATATCTTGAGGATGACAAGAATCATATAATGGACTTGGGTGAGGTTCTCACACGTCACGCCATCATCAAAGACGAAACGGGAACACCCAAATATTTCGTATGGACGATACATCATGCACTCTATGACGGATGGTCGATGCCTCTGATTATAGATGCCGTCAGGCGCGGATACGGAGGAGAAACCTTAGGACAAGGCCCACAATTTAAGGCGTTTATCAAGTACATCAAAGAGCAGGGGAATGAGAAGATGTCTACCTACTGGCGCGACACCTTGAATTCTTACGAGGGTGGATCGTTCCCATCAACACCACACTCCACAGATCAACCATTAGCGGACCAAGTGGTGGTGCACAAGTTTCCACAGGCCAAGCAACGATTCAGTGACATCACAGAATCGACACTGATCCGCGCCGCATGGAGCTTGGTAACTAAATGTATGTCCGGTTCAAACGACATCGTCTTCGGTACAACACTCTCTGGAAGAAATGCACCAGTTCCTGGCATTGAATTAATGGCAGCTCCAGCATTCGCAACAGTTCCTGTCCGTGTGAAGCTGGCGAGCAATCAGAAGGTCTCGGAATATCTGAGGACAGTTCAGCAGCAGGCGACAGAGATGATCCCGTTCGAACAAGCCGGACTGCATAGAATTGCTCGACTGTCTCCTGGATGCAGCAAAGCTTGCTCGTTCCAGACCCTGCTCGTGATTAACCCGCAGAGGACACCGAGCGATGGTGACACCACCGAGTCGCTCGGGGAGTGGATGGCCACAGATCAGCAGCAGCGGTTCAACTATCCTCTCGTAATTCAGGTCCAACTTGAGACACAAGAAGTGACAGCAAAGGCTAGCTACGATTCAAGAGTTCTTGATCCGGCATTGGTACGAAATCTTCTGGAACTACTTGGATTCGTGATGATACAGCTTATCGGCGCGCCTGCTGGGAGCCGCTTGACAGACATTGAGGTCGTCACAACGCCGGACCTTGAGCAAATTTGGAACTGGAATAGTACTCTTCCGAGCTCGGCCGATAGATGCGTGCATGATATCATCCAGGACCGTCTGCAGACTCAAAAGAGCGCACCTGCTATTTGCGCTTGGGATGGTGACCTGGCATATGGGGAACTTGACCGATTATCTTCAAATCTAGCGGCTAGACTCGTTGATCTTGGCATAGAGTCTGGGAAGTTGGTACCGTTGTGTTTTGAAAAGTCAAAGTGGAATATAGTGGCTATGCTGGCTGTGCTCAAGACTGGCGCAGCATTCGTTCCTCTGAACGCATCTCAGGCATCGGGGCGGAGGGATCGAGTGCTGGTTCAGTTTGCACCCGAAGTGATCTTGACATCGACGAACCACGCAACGGAACTGTACAGTCGTGGACGAACGGTACTGGTTATCAACACAGAGACTATGAATGACCTGCCAGAAAAGGCAATTGCCATACAAAAGCAACCATCGTCCGCAGCCTACACCATCTTTACCTCTGGCAGCACTGGCCAGCCGAAAGGTGTTGTGGTCGACCATCGCGCTCTGGTCACGAGTTGTCTGAGCCATGGATCAATAATTGGGTTTAACGAGGAGACGAGAATGCTTCAATTTACGTCGCATACATTCGACGTTAGCATTATGGAGATTCTGACTACCCTTGTGCATGGAGGTTGTATATGTATACCGTCCGACGACGCAAGATTTGACAACCTTGAACAAGCCGCTGATGGTATGAAGGTCAACATTGCCTCCCTGACACCATCTGTGGCAAGACTCGTGGATCAAAGCCGAATACCAACTCTAAGTTCGATCGTATTAGGTGGGGAGAACGCGACTGCCGGGGATTTTGAAAGATGGAGGCATCTTGCCCACGTTTTCAATGGCTATGGACCAACAGAATCTACTGTTTTCTGCGCTATCAACAAGGTGGCAAGCGGCAGCAGCAGTAGTAGCGGAGGTTGTATAGGAAGCGCTGTGGGCTCCGTACTGTGGATCGTCTCACAAGAAGATGACCAGCGCCTGGCACCGATAGGCGCTGTTGGAGAGCTAGTGATCGAGGGCCCTCTCTTGGCACAAGGTTATCTCAATGACCCAGAGAAAACAAACGCGTCATTCATCAAAGATCCGGCTTGGCTAACATGCGGATCGCCGACCCATGTCGGACGCCGGGGTCGTGTGTACAAGACCGGAGATCTAGTGCGCTACAACACGGATGGTAGCCTCTTCTATATTGGGCGAAAGGACTCTCAGGTCAAAATTCGCGGACAGCGCGTGGAATTAGGCGAAATAGAGTATCACCTTCGGGAGGCTATCCCCGGTGCCCTCCAGGTGTCTGTTGAAGTGATCACACCCAGCGGAGAAGGATCCACTCCGACTCTTACAGCCTTCCTTGTCTTGGAGAATGAGTTCACCGACGAAACATCACCCGAGGAGCGCAGCGAGAAGCCGTCGGTCCGGCCTTACAACATACCCTCCACGGTAGAAGACAGTTTGTCTGAAAGCTTACCTGCGTATATGATTCCCACGGCATATTTCATAATCAACAGGATTCCTATCAGCAGTTCGGGCAAGACCGACCGCGCGGTATTGCGCGAAATTGGGACGACGCCCTCACTCCAGCAACTGGCCGACACAAACGTCAAGGCCGGGATTCGCGCTCCTGCCACAGAAACAGAGTCAGCGTTGCAACAGATCTGGGCGTCCGTCCTGAACATCGATTCTGCTACCATCGGAGTTGACGACACCTTTTTCCGCCTCGGTGGCGACTCCATTACAGCCATGCAGGTTTCCGCATCAGCACGCTCCGCTCAAATTGATATCTCAACTAGAGATATACTCCGCAAGAAGACTATCTCTCGTCTCGCGAAGAGTGCTCTTGCTTCGAGTTACCGCCCTGGATCTAATGCTGTAGCTAAAGAAGAAGCTAGTGGTCAGCCGTTCCCACTGAGTCCCATCCAGAGCCTTTACACTCTTCTGGGAGACGACCCTACTAGATGTTTCGACCAGTGCTTTCTTCTCAAGCTGCGAGAAAAAGTTCCTTACGACACTCTAGTAACGGCCATTCAGACAATCATATCCAGGCATCCTATGCTACGGGCTAGGTTTAGCCAGACACACGAGGGAATCTGGGAGCAGCGCATTGCTGACGATGTCTCTCAGTCGTTCCATATACATCATATCCAGAACGCAACACTCGACGCTTTAGAACAAGCCAGCGAAATTCGACACTGTCGCGAAACCCTCGATGTCAAGAAGGGACCTGTTGTCGCGTCGGTTCTTTTTGAGAATCCAGACTCTCAGACTATATTCATTGCTGCGCACCATCTCGTCATCGACCTTGTCTCGTGGCGCCTGTTCCTACAAGAGCTGGAAGAACTGTTGAGTGGCAGGCAAAAGTTACTGCCTCCAACCCTGAGCTTCCGTACGTGGTGTGAACTTCAGTCGCGATATGCGGCAGAGAGCCTTAGCATCCCATCGTCTAGCTCTAGCGGCGAACAGCTGTCTTCATCGTCGTACTGGGGAATTGATAAAAACGACAACACCGCAGGCGCAACAACAACGAAGTATTTCTATCTAGACAATCAAACGAGTGCGAAAATTCTGGGCGGTGCAAATGACGCATTTGGGACGCGTCCACTGGAGCTGATGATAGCAGCCTTGATACACTCTTTCAGGACTGTGTTCCAGGACCGTGAGCCGCCAGCAATATTCAGCGAAGGCCACGGTCGGGAGCCCTGGAACAACATTATTGATATCACACGCACTGTAGGGTGGTTCACCACAATATACCCCGCGCATCCATCGATATCTGCGGATAGCTCCGTCATCGACACGATTCGCCTTACAAAAGACTTTATTCGTAGCCTATCAAAAAACGGGTGGTCGTATTTCACATCACGATTTGCAGACGAGAGGAAGGCTAGACCGAATGCTCAGGCTTTCCCAGTCGAGATTTTGCTCAATTTTGCTGGCTCGTATCAACAGCTGGAACGGCAAAAGTCGATCTTTGAACAGCTTCCGCTCCCAGAGAATTGTAAACCAGCATCCGCATCAGGTCTGAAGAGACAAGCTCTTTTCGATATCTCAGCAATCACAGACAAAGGGCGATTGGCCACTTCCTTCACATTCCCAAAGAACGCTCATCATCAAGAAAGAATCGCCTCTTGGGTGGACCAATACGAGACTATTCTAGGGGAGATTGCGTCTCAGTTATCAAACCGTCCCCGGGTGTGGACAGTCGCTGATTTCCCCATGGCTTTCAGCTCATACGAACACGTCGCCGACTTCCAAATTCACCTGTTGCCACAGCTTCAATACAAGGTGGACGATGTCGAGGATATCTACCCTTGTACAGTCGTGCAAGAGCGTTTCCTAGCTGCTCAACGTCAAGATCTGACGAAATACCGAATCAAGCTGGAGCTCGAGGTCCTTGAGAGCGGCCTCATTGACCTACCGAGAATTGAAGCCTCGTGGCGGGCTGTTGTGCGGCGACATTCCATTCTACGCGCACTGCTATCGAACCAAGTTCCAGGAAGCTCCCGGACGATGCACGTCGTCCTGAAAGACCCCACTCCCAACATAACATATATCCACGACAGGACAGTCTCTCGGAATAATCTCCCGCGGGAATCCAGTCCGCATCATGTTGGTTACGATGAGCGCGGCTTGCAGCATAGCTTGTCGATCCGCCAAGTTGACGAACACCGCGCTCTTCTCCGCATCGAGATCAACCACGTAATCATAGATGGCTACTCCATAGCAATACTCCTGAATGATCTCCGTCTGGCATATGGCGATCGCCTTGACCTCGAAGGCCCGCTCTACGGCGACTTTATCAAGTACGTCGAGCAGCAATCACTAGACGCGGACCGGGAGTTCTGGACGAGTCACCTCAAGGATATCGAAATATGCCATTTCCCGGTTGCAAAAAGCCACACGACTGGACAAGGCACCTTCAGAGTCAACGTGCCGCGTATAAATGCAGAAAAGATACATCACTTCTGCCTAAAGTCGGAGTTTACAACAGCCACTGTCATTCAGGCAGCATGGGCGTTGGTCCTGCAACAATACACAGGGTTGACGGTGCCATGCTTCGGGATGTTGACTTCTGGCAGAGATGTCCCTGTCGACGAAGTCAGTCAGATTCTTGGACCACTCATCAATATCGTCCCTTGCCGAGTTCAACTTTCCCAACCGCGGTCGGTCTCGAAGGTACTAGAGGAAATTCAAGACGATTATACCAAGAGCTTGTCGCACCAGACATATGCAATGGTAGAAAGCCAAGGGAAATCCGGGGTAAACAAGCCCGGACTTTTCAATACTGCTCTGTCCATACAGAGGCGGAGAGAAAGTCCGACTCAGGTCCAGGGCAGCAACACCATCGAGCTCAAACACAGCCAAGATCCAGTAGAAGTATGCTCAGCCCGTGTATCGACTTCAAATATGAATCGCGCTAACTTGATTTGTTTTAGTGGGATATATATGTCAGAGCGCAAGATTGGACTGATGGCCTCGACATAACTTTGGAGTTCTGGCAAGATTCAACGTTTGAAACGACTGGCCGGGAAGTGGCGGATTTCTTCAGTGCTGCTTTGGGGATTGTTATTTCGGCACGCGAAGACAGCATTGACAGTCTTCAATTGGGAAATTAGATAGAATGGGTTTCGTATGGAATTGGGTTCTCTTGTTGGATTCTTCTTAGGATGGGATGGCGTTTGGTTGCTTATGTGGCTCCTGGGTAAATAGACAGGCCTTGGGGCTCCTTTCCTTGGCAGATCAAACATAATTGTAGATCGTACATAATCGAAGGCGATTGTCAGGCAGTAATTGCAACAAGACGCACATCTCAATCAAGCACTGTAGCAATAGCGTATGAGCTGCGTCTCAGGGGCTTTACCCCGGGATCCTTGCTGAGACTGGGCCAACGGATCTACGACAACGCCCATTATGCGCAATACGGATGCTGCGCTGCAAGAGCGTTAAATAAAAGAGGGCAGGGTAGCTGTTAGTTAGAGGGGCAAAGTTCAGTCTTTATTCATTCTATACTACACCCATTGCCTATCTTGTAACTCTTCACTCTGCTGCCAACCCTGATCTGACAGCGATTCATATATACTCACAGGACGCAACATCTTCTTGCACATCATTGTAATTCTAGTTTTCCGAAACTGGCTCGAGAAAAAGAATTTACACATGATGTGAAACTGTGACAGCACGAATCTACCATTCACCCTGCCTCTATGCCAGTGTCATGTGTTTATCTACTCAGCATAGACAATGGAATATTCGTGATCAGGATATCTCTACCACTCCCTATGAGGTCACATGAAGACTCGGAGCTCTAGTAAGATGGCAGCTTTGTCGATGAAAGAACAAGACTGATCATTATTTTCCGGTAGACTAAAATATTCTCTTGTGTATCCATGTTTCTGAACAAATTCAAACCTATATAGCCACTATCATCATTGCTCAGAGTCAGTAGCAGCGGTCTTGAGTGCTTCAGAGAGCACCTCTCCGAGTGCCAATACCTTCTCTTCTTCCAGCCTACGGCCAACAACCTGAATGCCAACTGGAGCACCATGATATATCTCTGCATCATCTATATATATATATATATGAGCCACAAGCCAGGTTGATATTTATGATATCGCGAACTTACAAGAATTCCAATTTTTACCATCAATATCGTTCATGCGGCTTACGGACGAGGGAGCGATATCCATGCTTTTATCGGCAAAGGTGACAGGGACTGTCACGGCCGCATGGTCGAGCAAATTGTGAATGAGCGTATAACCTAAGAACCCAAGTGTTACAAACTGTCACGTGGTAGATGGTGCAAGCTGATTCTCACTTGAGCTGAAGAAGCAGTTATGTCTGACAGCAGCATGAGGAGCTACAGGTGCAATGATTCCATCGACGGGGCGGCCTTGATATCAGTCAGCAGTTCCAATTGAGGAGCGATAATAGTTTTTGTGACCTACCAGTGCCAGACAGTGATTTTGTCGATTCCCAATACTCGGCATACTGATCCTGGTACTCTCTGAACCTGGTCATGAGCTCATAGTACTCTTGAAGACTCATGGTCGGATTTGGCTTCTTCTTGCCAAATAAGGGCTCGAGGCTTTGAAGTAGTGGCTCTCCACTCAACTTGAGAGCATCATGCACGTCGTAAGTAGCTGCGTATAGTATATCTCCGCCAATCCAACCACCTAGTAGATGGCTTGGTGGCTTCCACTCAATGACCTTATGGCCAGCTCGGCGTGCGGCGTCCACAGTGAGCTGTACGCCGCGTGCGACAGGGGGATGCGGCCTCACTAGTCCATCGTTCGACAAAACGGCGAAACATAGTCCACCTGCAGATGCCTGAGCTCTGACTTGTTCAATGACTGATGGACGCCAGGGCAAGTTGATCACAGTAGGATCCAACTGCCATGCCTCGGTTTCGATGATAGCTCTTGTGAAGTGAATAAGATTCTCTATTTTAGTCGACATTGGCCCTACAACAGCCGGGATTACTGGCTTGCCTGCGAGTGAGGCGGCAACCCTCTTACTCGAGACCCTACCATGGCTTGGCTTCAGCCCAAAGAGGTTGTTGAAAGCGGCGGGCACCCGAAGTGATCCACCCTGATCTGCACCAACTCCAATAACTGATCCGCGGGATGCGAGCAGGGAACCCTCACCCCCAGAACTACCTCCCGGTGATAGGAGACGGTTGTATGGATTCAGCCCCGGGCCGTGAAGGTTTGAGAGCTCTTCACCTAGCATCAATGTCTGCGGGACGTGGGTCTGAGGCAGGGACTTGTCAGCAGCAGCATCTCAGGTAATTGGCAGGCAAGGTGTTTGAAACCTACCTTTGCGATGATTATTCCCCCCAGAGCCTTGATCTGCTTGACCAGTAGGCTCTCGGTCTCGGTAGTTTCTTTCCGGCCGAGCCAGCCAACATATCCCATTGCTGTCTCTAAGCCCTCCACTCTCAGTTGATCTTTGAGACTAACCGGTATGCCGTGGAGTGGCCCTACGAGTTTGTTGTTAGCTCTGAAGTATGCATCCTGGGATTTCGCTTCTTTGATGGCTTCCTCGAACCGGATCTCCGCAATGGAGTCCGTCATCTGGTGGTTAATAGCGGCTCGATGGCAAAAGGCAGTGACTAACTCCTCAGCTGTGAGCTGCTGGGATCTGTACTTGTTCAGGATTGCGGTAATACTGGTTTCGGCGGTAGCAGCGAGTTCCTCTGTACTGAGTCGCGCCCCAAGCGGAAGCGTACTCAGAAACTCATCTGTCGTGACATCAAGATCTGGCGAGTCCGTGCTGGTTGGCATGGAGCAGAACGATGCTGGCAGACGCCATTGGGCTGGTATTTTTGAGAGCACATCGGCTCGTTTGTTTTTTGCGATCTCTTCCCATGGTGTCATTATGTCTGCGCGGCTCTTGAGTAATGCGAATGGAGTTCAGGGCATACGACGAGGAAGTTTTCAACTAAGACGGCAAATCTAATCTTGCAAAGGTACAACTAAATGTATCCTTCAGAATCTAGTTCAATCCCATGTTCGTCATAGTTGTTACTCATTTGGTCAGGCTATGCCACGTATGCTCATACAAACAACTATCCCCGGCCGTCATCCGCCTTTGGTATTCCTCGCCCATGCTAAGACATGGACGCTAAGCGTGCATCCGCCAACAAGACGACCAGGGTTGGGTAGTACTACTTGCTGATTCATCTGGTTGATCTTGGGTGATCTGACTATAGATCTATTTTGCATGGCACATAATCAGCGCTAAAATTGCAGCACGTCAGGAAAGTGTGCCGATTGGGTAGGTGCCGCACAACGAGATTTGGCTCTTCCAAGCGTTACAGTACGCACCGCACAGTGTGGCGAACTAACAATAATCTGACCCGGGTACGTTAAGCTTGCCACCCTACCGGGTAGGTATAATGAGTCTCCACAATGTAGTCTTGTATTTGTGCGGACTTGACGGATTACGCCAGAAGTACCTCTAGGTACATACACCCACTGCATGCAGACTTCTGAGAAGAAGGCGGCAGCTCCGCCTTGCTTATTGTATGCATGTATTCACACGGCATCTTGTACTAGGATACATCACTGCAGGAAAGATGAATCCGATGCCGCCTTGGTTATAGTTGGAAAAAGTCATATGATGCTAACCTCTTGGCAGAATACGTTATTTCAGAGTCTAGCATCATCATTACTTTCCAGGATTCGACATTAGCAAATGGTTACTGCATTTGTGAAAATTCATTGTATCTGTCCTCCTTTACAGCCGCAATGACTCTTCCACTCACTATGAAAGCTGTCGTTTTCGACAGACCATACAAAGTCTCTATCCAAGACCGCCCGGTTCCTCGAGGTTGGCTGCTTCTGGCCACGCCCCAGTCGACGGATGTGCTGACAAATACCAGTTCAGGATGATGGAGATATTGTTGTCAAGGTAGAGGCTACTGCTATCTGCGGCTCGTAAGTGTTCTAGTCTGTAAGTTATCGTCGTTTGCTCCGTAACTAAGATTGCGTGGTGATTTGCATGTTTACCGTGGTCTCGAACGTACCACGTCTGGCACCATAATGGGTCACGAATTCACGGGCATCGTTGTCGAAGTCGGACCCAAAGTGCGGACGTTCAAGATCGGTGATAAAGTTGTCTCGCCGTTCACCGTATCTTGGTAAGAATAAAGCACACCAGATTCATTACAAGTTAGATTGCTGCTGATGCTGCCATAGCGGTGACTGCTTCTATTGCAGGAATGGTTGGACGTCCCGTTGTGTCGATTGTCTGGTATTTGGTTCCGAAAGGCTTGATGGTGCCCAGGCCCAATTTGTGCGCGTACCACTCGCTGATAGCACCGCCTTCAAGGCTCCTGAAGGCATCTCAAATAATGCACTGATTTTGATGGCAGATGTATTCCCAACTGGCTATTTCGGCGTGAAGAGTGCCATGGCTATGTCCCCGAGCGTAGATGGGTCTACTATAGTGATTATTGGGTGCGGTCCTGTTGGGCTTTGTGCCATTGTATCCGCTCTTCACTTCCGACAGAGGAACATATTTGCCATCGACGGCATCGAGAGCCGGCTGAAGATAGCCGAGAACCTTGGGGCTATTCCGCTCAATTTCAAGGACGGTTTGGCCAGCATGCAAGAACGAGTTTGGCGGGTGACTGAAGGGCGCGGTGCCGACATGGTAGTTGAGGTCGTTGGCAAGTCGCCAGCCCTGCGAACCGCCTATGAGTTGGTGAGGCCATTTGGTACCATTAGCAGTATTGGCGTGCATAACGCCGAGGTAAATTATAAATTTGCGACACCAAGGTGATATATCTTGCTAACCTTAGAAGATACCTTGGTCGGGTGCTGAAGCCTATGGGTCAGCGATTTCTCTCATGGAAGAAATTATGTGTTTGTCCGCTAATATCTGTCCCGACTTCAGCAAAAACTTGCGTGTGCAGATGGGTCGCTGTCCCGTCCGACATGTCTTCTCCGAATGCCTTCCAGTATTAGAACAAGTTCAAACTCAACTTGAGTGTGTAACCCTCTTCATCTCTAACCCGAAATCTTAAGCTGACACTTCGATTCTCCCATCTTAGATTCATGTTCGATCATATACTACCGCTCTCCTCGGCAGTGGAAGGTTTTGCGGCTTTCGATAGGATGGAGGTGCAAAAGGTAGTATTGAAGCCTTGAGTCTCATCGTGCTACATATGTATGGGAGGTAGAAAGGAAATAGGCATCCTAAGTCTTGACGTAGCCCACCGTTGGAAATGCCTGGTCAGTTTGTTCCATCAATTCATGACACAGCCTGGGCCCAGAGGGTTAGAGTTGGAACTTTATATGAAGTCTTATAACCATGCCACGGCTTTTACAATCACACATTCTTGGTTTGTGCAGTGCCGACACCCATATCCAGCGGCTATTCAAGCCTCTCCACAGAAAGCCAGACTTTCACAATTCCTCAGCGAAAGCAGTGACTCGCAGCTATTGGTGGCGAGTTCGCGGTTTCGCTTGTGCGACCAGACTCGACACCACTCGACCCACAAGGGTATAAGAAGTTACACAGGCCGAGTTTCTGCTCTGGTGAGCCATGGTAGCGCGAGATGCGATTGATGATTCAGTGCTGGACATGTCGGCTCGTCCTATTAAACCTGCCATGCCTTGCTGTGCGTAACAGTCAATAGTTGCATAGTGTTTTGGGAGCGGGTCTTTCTCGTAAGTTCCTCAAGTAATTAAATCATTGCTAAGCTACATACATTCGAGACTGCCTTATAGAGGCCTCAAGCTGAAGTGAAGAGTAAAAGATTACTAAATTAGACTATGGATTACCACCAGCGAATGGGCGCGCTGCATCCTCATCGCCTTCTCTTAAACTTGAATGAGGCAACGCGATCAAACTTTCCTATCAATATTTCCTGAAGGCTGTGATCATTTCTCTGTACTGCCCAGTCAAGAGCTGATCTCCCCCTGTTGTCCAAAGCATGGACATTAGCATTCCATTCAAGCAACCGCTTCACCGTTCCTTCGTATCCGTTGCGAGATGCCCCTATCAACGAAGTAGTCCCGAGATACTCGTACGACTCATCGCGCGCTTCAATATTCGTGTCGTTCTCCCAAACGAAGCTGTACCACGTCTTCATTGCCGTTCTTGGCTGCCCATATCAACGAAGTTTTACGATCATGGCGTGCCTCAATACCAACTCCTCGATAGCCATCAAAGCACGCTCATACAACGAGCAATCTAGACCGTCGTGTTGAGAAAGGTCCCAACCAACTATATTTCGACCTTACCAGCCACCTACTACCATGTACATATATATTGTGTTACCGCACACATGGCTACCCTCTGACACTCAATCTAACCAATCTACTCCTCATAAACTGATTCATTCTAACACGTCGGACCCTTATTTGATAGCTCCATGCTTCAGAAGCAGCCGTACCACTTCTTCGTGGCCGTTGCGACATGCCCATGTCAATGGACTTTGTAATCGTAGCAGGCCTCGACATTAGCCCTATGCTCCAAAATCAGCTATACCATTTCAGTAGAGCCATTCCTAGCTGCCCGTATCAATGAAGTTTGGCCATCGCCACGCGCCTCAGTATTGGCTCCACGTCCCAAAAGCAGCTACACCGCTGGTTTATGACCTTTCCTCCCTACCAACAACAAGAGAGTAAGCTCATTATGCGGGACCTCAATATTCGCCCCATGATCTAATAGCGCTTATACCATGATCTTATGACCAGTCAATACTACCTAGGAATGTGATAGGCTCTTGTAACGGGCTTCAGTAGCGACGTTTTTGTCTAGTAAAAGCTGCACAATAGCATCGTGCCCCTCAGTGATTGCCAAATGAACTGGTGTGCTCTCATCGGATGTATGGATACTGACATCAAGACCATTATCGAGTAGTTGCTGTACCAGTAATTCGTTGCCGTTGTAGTGGATATGATACAAGCATCTAGACTATTGACGGTTTGCTGGCGAATGCGCTGGCGGGTTTTCGACTACAGTAAAGAGACGATCGCTTGTAGAAGGACTAAAGGATATGCGTAAGATATAGTTCGCTGCCCTTAATAACACTTTAAAGTAGACCATACACTATATATGGCTATGCGTCCGCTCCAAATTATACCGAATAAGCCAGAAAGAGAAGGCTATTGTTTATTTGTGTCCGAGTATCATCTATTATGGCGCCGGTCTAACACGGCAGAGCGAAACAGAAGAAGAGACAAGAGCTAGGCTCTTGCCAGGCGATTATGGTTACTTGTAACAATTTTACAGTCATGACGAACGATTAGCTCGTTTTGTTTGACTCACTCACAAATTCATAGCTGCTCGGGCTTATCGGGAATAACGTTGAATACCTCGCATCCACAATTCATCTCTAGTAACACTGCAGCAAAAAAGAAAAGGGGGGGAGACATTTAAGAATATCAGTTCATCAAGATAGGCAAAACAGATAAATTTGGCACATGGTGGGATTGCTAAATAAAAAAAATCGAGAGAGTAACACTCCGATATGAATAGATTGCGACAAGTCTCACTCCTAACGCTATAATCTCGAGGAATGCTCGCCTAAAAAATAAAGATAAAAAAGCCGTCACTTGGCAAACGAACATGATATACACAAGACTCAGAAAGAGGATAAAGAGATGGTGCATTAAACACTCATTGAATTGGACTTCATTTGCAGAATAAAATTCGACTTCTTCTTCATCATTTCCTTAATACTGAACCACTCGACAACTATGGCGGGCTGTCTTTGCATGAGATGCAGGTACCTTAAGAGATCAGGGCGGAGTTCTGGGTCACTCCTTACAACGGAAAGAGTTATGTCGCCGGACTACCATGAATTTCCAACTACTCCACCTCTAAAACCTGCAAGATCGGAACGAAAACAATGAGAAGAATTGTCAAAATGGAGTGTGCGAATTATCACACCTGTAACGAACTTAGCAAATCTCTTTGATGATAAAAAATTTGAGAGCCTATCGAAGGGTTATCTCCTCAATCTGCACGATATTCCCACTGGCTGGGAAGTCCATTTCGTAAATACCAGTCACCTTCTAAGCGAGAATTAGCGCGGCGTCTAGAAACAATCGAGGCGCGAAATAAAGATCTGGCTAAACAGCTTGAATCTCTGCAAAAGGGACTGTAGCATATTTCGAAGGATCGAGGCAAAATAAGAAGGCAACTATTCCGGCGAAGTCGAGGAGAACGTAAGCCATCGGATCGAGTCGAAGCGGGCTATTTACCGGAGATGAAGTAATTAATCATTGGTTGAAGCCGCTTGTTCACAAGACGGCTCTCGCTTGTCCTTTGTATACTACGTACAGAGTAGTGATGTTATCATATTAATGGCAAGGCGATGATTTGAGCCGCAATCCGATGTCCGCCGTACACCGGTCTAACCGTGCCTAGGATCTGTGATCATGCTGTGCCTGAAAGAGCCACACGAAGCGGCAAGACCTCCCTGCGAGCCTGGCAAGGCGCGTCAAGCTATCCTTCGAATATTGAGTAGCGGAGACGACCCGGACCGAATCATGTCGATTTTTGGGGTTGAAACCCAGTTCTAGCACTTCGTCAGGAGGCTTCGATTCGCAGAACTTTTCTAACCGGGAAGATTGGGTTCTCATGCCGAGCAACATCAAGCAGTAGTTAACCCCAACTAAGACTTTAAGACAGCCGCCTGTAGCCGGAAAGGCCTACTCTTCCAATATAAATCCCCTGAACGTAGTATTATACGTAATTATAAGAGATCAAGATACGGTGCTTGCCTTAATATGTAGGAACTTACGACAGAACGACTTGCGTTAGGTAATATTCCCATCTAATATAAGGTCGATGATTGCATTCATAGCATATTCGAAAACTTCTTTGTCAATACCTTGCTGGCCGCTAGATGTCGTAACTTTTGTATCAAGTTGCTTATATCCTTCCTCGGTCAGTGAGTTTGCCTCGTCTCTGCTTTTGACTAGCTTGTCTTTCTAGGGATGCTTGAATTGACTTGGCGCGCGATTTAATTAGTTGTTAATATCACAAGTCATATGAGTATTTACCAGCAGGTAGTTCACGATCGTGGTGTAGTTCATTGAGTTCTATGAGTTCCAACAATGACGAAATATTTGGTAGTTTCAGTCCTGAATTATGCTTGGGCACATGATTATTACACCTCGTATACGATTTATCACATATTATATCTGCCAGTCCCAGCATTCTTTTTGCCACAGCTCTGAGTTCTTCGCATGCAGCCAGGGTTCTGCTTTCCTTCAACCACCATTAACAAGTATTCCCCAAATCACAGAGCAGGTATCACCTGAGGCTGTGGGTTTTAATTCTTCCCGTCTCAGATAAATGCAACTAGTCTAGTACAGGTCGAGAAAAACAATGGAAATGCCCTTCCATTGACGGATAACAGTATGATTAAAATCTGCCTTTAGCAATCTGGATTGCGCCTTATCGGCCGTGACGTTGATCATGTTCACCAAGTCCTCTCTGTATTTGGCTATTGGGTCAATGCCATCTCTGTCTCTGTCTACAGAAAATAGGAACCCGCCATCTTCAAAAATAGTGCCAGGAGTCATCCTCGTAGTATACAATGCTGCTTGTGTGGCTGGGTTGATAGGTGAACCATTAAAGTCTGCATCAATCAACACTCTGCAAAGCTGCCAATAGGCGACAATAGGAGCAGAAGATGATACATAAGGGCCTCGGTCAATACTTAATCCCGCTTATCGATAACCACGGATCTGGCGTACTGAATGACCATAAATTCACCGTCTTGCATAGATGCTGATTGTATGTTGCGCAGCCTTAGCGCTTATAGCCTGTAGAAAAGTAGAATACTTGGCACAGCCTTGGTGCTAGGTTAGGTTAGTCCATGTGACCAAGGTTGCTAATCAACCAGCTTAGGACCAATAACATGACTCACTCGGCGTAAGACCATAGGTTGTCTTAGTCTAATTTATGACTCTGATCAAACCACAAACCTGACATTCAATTTTTTCCCGTTCATTTACAAGCTGTCCTAGTTGCTTCGTAGTTCGTTACATAAACAAAGCGCTCCTTTTTCTTTTTTTCGTCTCCTTGTTCCTCTAAGGGCCACGTACATATTGAAGAAAATGATGGCCACGCCAATATCCGTTCCTGTGGCTTTACCCAAAGACAAAGCTCCGGACAAGAAGATAATCAGACAAATTATCGGCACACTTCTGACAAGAGAATGGCCGTTCGTGCATCCAGATAGTCTGGCAATGGCATACCATACCTCATCTGGCAATGCCCACTGTCCGGTGGAAACGCCCAACGCCGGCTAACAGTGCACCCATTGAGCCATTGAAAGTCTTCATCAAATTCCACAAGGAGACTGGTGCTGAAATAGAAATATTCAAGCATCTGGTACCAGGCAAGCATAAAGAAGCATTATTTTGCTACGAGTACGGTCAAATCGGACTGGGAGCCAAAGTTTACGGATTCTTCAAAACACAAGATGGTGCGTTCGGAAGAATTGATGAGTTCCTGGACGCACGTAACCTTCAACCAGAGGATGTTGAGAATGCGATTATTCGAGCGGATATTGCTAGAGGCCTAACACAGCTTCATGCCATGAAGAACTCATTGAAGAAGAAGGCAATAGAACTATATTATGGCGCGATCATTAATGGGCTTGACAGCTATCATAAGATGGACAAGTTGAAAGCACTTGGTCGGGAAGGAGGAGTGAATGTGGATGCCCTGATTGACTACAATTTTGGGGCGAGGTTGAGGAAAGTTGTAAACAGGCTAAAATCCATGGGAGGGAAAACAGGGTTGTGCATTCATGACGTCCAGTTCATGAACGTGTTGGTGAAGAATGATCCCAAGAAAGGAGAGAGCAAGATCACACTAGTCGACTTTGAATTCGTAATGCAGAACTATCGAGCTTTTGACATCGGCGAACACTTTATGCAAAAGATGTTCAAATGGTTCAATGCAGAAAACAAGCTAGCGGACTGCAGGAAGTACACAAAGGAAGAGAGATACACTTCTGTCAGGAATACGTAAACCAGTGGAACAAACTGACCAATGAATCGGATACTTGGGAATAGGTCCTTATGGAGTCCGAACTTGGATACCTGTTGGCCATTACCTTTGATGTCCACAACATGCTATGCATTATGTACGAAGAGGATGACAAGAATCCTTTAAACCTTATTGGACTTAACAAGCTCTTCGATGAGTTTATGGATCAGTATACTAAGCTTGGGTTGGAAGGCTTATAATCAAGTACTAGCTATCATAGAGCAAATAAATACAACCGCGAGTTTTGTCAAATGCCGTTCGCAGCCAATTGTGAAGATCCACCGTCGAAGGCATCGCTACAACTGATACACAACTGGTTGCTATGGGTATCGGTGAGAGCCTACCCAGATTGACCTGCATCATTATTGTAACAGTCTGATATCGCTGCATCGTAGTACGCGATGACAAAGTTAAGATAGCTAATGCAATGGGAGGGTCCTATCACGAATTTGCACGAACGGCACAATTTGAATTAAGTCGCTAAGTACCATGACTTTCAAATTTGAGCACTAAACTTAAATAGAGGCGCATCGCACCAATTTCCAAAACGATAAAGATGAACTTGTGCCGTTAGTTTCACGTTGTTCAAACTCTTGCAAGCTAACTGATTGCCCATGTATAAGAGAATCAGATTGTATGAATCGCCGCAGATGGGCTAGTGCATTGTAAGCAAAGTGCTGGAGCTCGTATTCGAAGCACGAACTTTAATTAGAGAACCAGTCACTCTGCTCACCTATTTGTCAAGAGTGATGCCATCAAAATTGCAGAACCCGTGCCATAGACATAAGTCGTGAAAGCTGAAGGTGGTAAAGATATGGGGCGAGCTTAGTGCGCTGGTCGCGGCGCTGGGATACGGATCAAGCAACTAAAAAAACCAGAAAAAACCAATTTGAAAGCATTTATGTAAGCAAGCATTCAATACACTATGCGACTAGGTTCTTCTGTGGTAGTCAGCCTATATAGCTTACCACTACTCAGGACCTTTTGAGCCTAAGGGTATCCCAAATCCAACATTAAAGAACTGGCTGAAGAATCTGGAGAGGTAGGAACGAAGCGCATATCACACGTCAATTAATGGTAGTCTAGAATTTCTAGTTAATCCGGCCAAATACCAGACGAGATAATGCACACCTACTAAGACCGAAATTGAGACGTGATGCGATATATGCTACATCCGCACGACCAGCTTCTTTCCTTTCAAACTACCCCTTTTCAGCATCTCAAGCCCTTCCTGAACGGCGTCAAGACCTCCTTCGATGATATGGAGATCAGGTAGAATGACACTTCCACTCTCCAGCAGATTCCCAAGCTCTTCCGTATAGCAAACGTTGGTTTTGTCTAGTACAAACTGCTTCATTTCTACCGTGTGCACCACGACATTCTCCGGTACCTCCTGAGACCCCGACATCATGGCCAGTGGCGCAAAGGCCACTATCACTTCCGTCGAGACAGACCTTAGACATATCGCCGCTGTCTTTGTTCCTACAAGATCGATTGCTCTCGTGATCCTACCACTGGTATTGTCGCGAACCTCTTTGATAAGTTGGTCATCGGACTTTCCATCTCGAACGACCACATATGATGCTCCCAGCTTCTCTGATAGCGCTTTCGTTTCTGCAGAGGTTACAGTAATTACGTTCAAGCCACTGTGAACGGCAAGTTGTGTAGCAAACTGACCAGTGACCGTAGATCCTCCCCAGATCAGCAGCCACTCCGTCTTTGATACCTCGATTGTGGAAGATGGCGTCGGCACTCCCAACCATTTCCAGAGAGTCATGCCAGCTGTTAATGCAGCCACACCAAGGCAAGCCGCGGCCTCGAAGGGAACTGTGCTGGGAATGGGGAGAACTGTGTGCGAGGGTACCACGACATACTCTTGAAAGCAGCCGGCACGGACGTCCTTATAATATGTACTCGTCCATACCCTCTCGCCCTCGTTGAATTTTTCAACACTTCGGCCAACCTGTGTTACAACTCCAGACATTTCTCGCCCAGTAACCTGATATTTGTCAGTTATACACACTTATACGGACGGAGGTGGGGACACGTACGTGAGGAAATTGTGGCAGACAGAAGTTGTAATCAACAGACTTCCAGTCAATAGGATTCAAGCCAACAAAATGGCTGCGGATCATGATCTCATCGTCGCCAACAGCTGGCATGGGAAAGTCGTGCCGGATCTCATACTTTCCCTTCTCTGCTACAACAAGAGCTTTCTGGGTCTGCGCTGGGATCTCCTGGGATAACGAAGTGGCAGAATCTTCGGACGTAGTACTGGAACTCTTTCCTGCCTCAATCACCACCTGGGCCAAGCCACGGCGTCTTCTGATTGAATTTGATCTGATCCTCTGTAGTAGCGACCGAACCGATTTCCACGAATTACGGCTTTTGGAAGTTTGCCCAGGACGAATATCAGTCATCTCGATCACAGCGAATTGTACGCTCCCGATTCTCGACCACTGAATTGGCTCAGGTAAACTCGGACAACACCGTTGATGGCGTTGGTAAGATGTTGCACAGCAAAAGTTATGATATAAGCGGCTCATGGAGAAATCCGTTATTGCCGAGAATCACTGACAAGCCTAACGAATGAGAAAAAGTCACCGGCAGCGCTAATCCACCTATCTAACAACTTGTCCTATCATCTTGCACATCTTGGGCGTCGCAGACAAGCTTGGCCAGCTAAGGGTTGGGAGTGTGGCGCTCCGAAAGTCACGACAACATTGCATGAGATTGCACCATCTGTCGGAATTTCATTATCGGCTGTCGGCGTGAATCATCGGAGCTTGGCCGAAACCTCAACGTCAAGTGTTTCAATATGCCTCGGCACAAAAACAATCTTAGTAGGCCCTTCAGTAGAATGTCGAATGAGAATTAATTTGGCAGCAAAATTCGTTCGTGAAACGTTTTGCATCCCATGGCCTGCTACATCAAATACCTTGGGTTGGTCTAGCCTAGTCAATGACAATTGCACGCTTATGGCGGCTTGAACGCGGTCGTCGCCGTCTCGGCCATTAAAGCCCAAGTTGAGCCTCCATACATACCTTTTCGTCAAAACGTGTAAGCTCGTCGCAATCTACCATTTACACTTACTTTCAAGCAAATATGGGAGAGACAAATTGAATTGTATAGCAGGCCGTAGCTAGGCTTGCTAATTTGAGAACAAACACATCGCAATAAACCGAGCTTTGGGCTTTGGCGTCGCGCAGATATTGGCGCAGCCCGCTAGTGACGCTGAGTCTACCGTCTATGGAGGCTTCAACAAGTTACTGATTATTTTGATTTGCTCGTTGACCAGACCCAGCTATTCTGCATTACTTCCAATGGGGCTTTAACTATGGTGCATAATCAACTATAGCGCTGGTGCCCATTTGTGAGTTAATCGGTTGTAGTGTTTCGGTGGCCCCAATATGCAAGTGACTTCATGTTTACCTGTCTACTATCAGGCCTGATCAGTCCGTCCAGCTTCCGGTCACTGCGCTTGTTAGCTTGCGATGGTGATTGAATAGAGATGTGAAGAAAACAAGGGCATGGTGAAAACATTGCCTCCTCGTGTGACACTCAATCGCGAGTATTGGGGAGTTACTAGCGCATCGCGAATCGGCAAGACAAATATCAATTGAAACCATAAGCAAGTATATTCCACAATCTAATTTTTGAATCTGTCGCGCTGTATATTTAACCACAATTATTGTTCAACTGGCACTGACAGGCTTATCAATCCGTATCTTTCTGTTCTTAAATACATACACCTACCTTATATTGTTACCTTACATAGTTACATTGGAATATGTAGAGTCCGCACAACTGTGAACACCTGCCTACTATATTCACCTCCTTCCCTCCCTGTGCCTGAGTTCTTCATACCACCGAAAGGTGTTCCCAATTCTCTGACAAGCCAGCAATTTACCCATACCAAGCCTGCTTCAATCTGCTCACCAACCCTACGCATTCTTGCACCGTCTTTAGTTAGCAGCACGGCGGCTAAACCATTGGGGTTATCGTTGGCGAGCTCGATGGCTTCCTCTTCAGAGCTAAATTTCGCAATAGTCACGACAGGACCAAAGATCTCTTCCCTCATGATACGCGATGATGTGGGAACATCCGTGAGAATGACTGGATCTATCCACAAACCCTCCTGGGGATCCAATATTGGTAGCGATCCTGCAACGAACGTCGCCTTTTCAGAGATAGCGAGCTCTAAGTACGATCTGATCTTGTTGTAGTGAGAAATTGATACGACTGCTCCCAATTTCCCTTCCCGGTGGTAGTTCTCTTTGACATATGAAGTAAAAGCTGAAACAAAACTTTCATAGATATCTGAATGAACATAGATGCGTGAGCCGCAAAGGCAAATCTTTTGGTGGTAAGCCTTACAAGCATTAATGGTGCTCACGTTATCCATTGCTTACCTCTCCTTGGTTTTCAAATGCTGCCATTGCTGCAGTTTCCACTGCCTTGGTGAGATCTACATCGTCAAAGACGAGAGTAGGATTCTTGCCACCTAATTCAAGCGACAAGTGTTTGTAGATCTGATCCGCAGTGTCTCTCCTAATCTGTATACCTGTTGCGGTTCCACCAGTGAAGCTCACTCCCTTCACGAGAGGACTCTTGACTAGTGCTGATCCGGTGGTGGGACCATCCCCAAATACCACATTTACAACTCCCGGTGGCAGCTCAGCTAAACGAAAGACTTCGGACAAGAGAAATGCAGACATTGACGTCACCTCAGAGGGCTTGGCGACCGCTGTGCATCCAAATGCGAGACATGGTGCGATCTTCCATGTGAGCAGGTATAAAGGCATATTCCAAGGTGAGATCAACGCAAAAACACCAGTCGGAGAACGGTGCTCATAAGTCAAGGCAACACCATCGATCATTCTTGCCGATGTTTCTTGATGTAAAATGAATGATGAAAAATAGCTGTCATCCCGTTAGTCCAAGGAACAGATAGATATATACTATATCGAAACCAGCTTACTTGAAATTCGTGACGGCACGGTCTACTTCCACTCTGGCACGAGCCAAGGTCTTTCCCTGATCGATGCTTTCCCATATTGCAAAGATTTCCTTGTTCTCCTGAATAATTTGGGCCACTCGTTGCAAGAGTTTAGACCGAGTTGCGACTGTAGTTTTGCTCCATGTCCTGAACGCATCTGTCGCACTCGCCAAGGCCGCATCAACCTCTTCGGCGCTGCTGACAGGTACCTTCGCGAAGATACGTCCTGTCTTTGGGTTGATCGCATCAATATGCTTTGTTGATGACTTGTAACCGTTTGCCACGAAGTTCTCGATCACCAATGTATTCTGTGTTCCCTGAGCATTCATGAATGCTTTCGCTTTATCTACAGAGTCACAGCTCCAAGCATCGCGGATAGCAGCACAACGGGCATCATCTGTTACCAGACCCATCATTTTTCTTCTTCCCATCCAATTTCAAAGACAAGTGTGCTGCGTGCGACTTTCAGAGAAGTATGTCATTCAATAGGCCGCTCTCTTCGGATCGCAATTGCGGCACGGTCTCCCAACTGTTGCGTTTACGATACATGTCTGCGTCTTCCGTTCTCATAATGCCAACCCCACTCAAGACTGCCCACTGTGCGGCACTTGGAAGCTCATGATCGACCTTGTCGGAAGCGGAAAGAGTCATGATTGGCTCTGATAAGACGGAGCCCGTAGGCGATCAAAGTGTCACCCCGGCTGGCACCTAGGTTAGACTAGGTTAGGCTTGTCTAAAAGATGGAGGACATGGCTAACCTAGTCAGAGCCTGGAGGATGTTAAACGAGAATCAGACAAGCTGAGGGGTGGCCCCCCCTGCGAAGAAAAGATTGTGACCCGTGCACAACGTGACCTGAGGGGTGCCCACGAGTAAAGCTAAGGGACACTATGGGGTCGCGATGTTTTGATTGGCCGATACTTTTTTATGCATAGCAGACAGGAATTGATAGCTACTGAATGAATTAGATTGGCGTGCACAAAAACCATAGCCTTGCGAATTGCTCAATATAGCCTTGCCAACCAGTTCTGAATTAATCCTGAATAGATTTTCACCTTACCTTTGACTTCACTATAAACCTCTAACTACCCTTTTATCGATAACAATATTTCGTATCTAGTCGCGTACAGAATTAATTAGAAAGCAAACAACAAAATATCGTACAAAAGGATGATAAGTTACCAGAATCGGTTATGAAGTAGAGACTTGAGGGCTTATACAAGCACTTCATAAATCCAACCAACCATATTATTACAAAAACACTCACTCCACAGCATCCCTCAGGTCACATAGGACCACCCCTCAGGTAACGTTGTGCACGGGCCACAATCTTTTCTTCGCAGGGGGGGCCACCCCTCAGCTTGTATGTAGTCTCATGTTAAACCAGGTGTAAAAGTCAAGCAACATTAATTCTCAGTACTTGCTCTCTTCCAGGGTTTCCGTGCGACAAGATCAAAAAGTCAATAGTCATGCATGGCAACATTCGGACTCTTCAGATCCGTTCGGACGCGAGTGACTTGTACCAACATCTGCGTGTATAACAGGCACCGGACGCATGGTGACCGTGGAAGACACAGAATTAACTGTAGACTCGATGCATTAGTTGGAGACTGCGCTACTAACCTAAGAAAGACAGGTAACAATTTGCTGGTAAGAGATACATATATTTCATTACAGCCTATCATCTACTACATAAAGGGCGATATCTATCCGGCGCAGGGGACAGTGCCTCGGTTCTGAATTGGGTGCAAGGCAATTCTGGCCAATTTGAAGGAACTCCCAAGAAATATGTCCACTGAGGAACAAACGAGTCCATTGATGGTGGGCAGAACCAGACGCAAATCACATCGTGGATCCAACTCAGGCCCTCTTCGATGGACAGGGAGAAGTATTAAATATTGTCTCTAAGGGAGTCATGCAAGGCAATAACCAAATGTCGAACACTATAAACACTAATTATAGACAGTGGTCTGACTGGGATGTTGTGGGAAAGCGTATACTAGCATTTGCATTGGAGTTGATAGGTCGCTCCAGTGCATATCATGTGCCTTGCAGTATTTGAGGTTACATTGTATTTAGTGAGGTGGAATATGACGAAAACAAACAGAAATGAGAGCTTGTTTAATAGAGTGACATGCGAATGTGCCGAGACCTTGAACACAGTTAATAGACCAAGGTAATAGAGTTTGATGCTTGACAGAAGTCGAGAGTGAAAGTTAGTGGTCGTTGCGCATCCGCTCCTAGCCGGATGGACGGCAGCTAACATCCGAACAGTTAACGGAACGGAACTGTGAAGACATATCGCACAACTGCTTTAGACTTAGGTTAGTCAAACCAAACGATTCAGCACTACTGCTCAACGGTCAACCAATACAAAAACACTCGGTGCAGCGAAGCAAAAAATCGGCTTTTGTCCAATAAGCCCTCTGCATTGACAACTGGGCAAACGCTCATGTTCCACATTCATGAATTCAAGCACAATGCCCTCTCCAAACGGGGAAGCATTCTTCTTGCCAGCAGAGAGGGCGCAGGGGCTGGCCAATTATCCCCATGCGCGCATTGTCCCTGCCAGCCAGAAAACTCTGTTTGTCTCTGGAACGTCTTCAAGGCGGGGCGACGGAAGTTATGCGGGGTGCACAACTGATGCCAGCGGTAACCACACTCTCGACATTCGGGAACAGACGAAAGCTGTTCTTGAGAACATTCAGTCAATCATCAAGGGCGCAACCAATGGAACAGCAGGCTTGGAGTGTGTACTCAATGCTACGGTATTCCTGACAGATATGAAGGATTACGCAGGCATGAACGAGGAATGGAACAAGGTTTGGCCCGACAAGACCAAGGCTCCCGCCAGAACATGCATCCAGGTAGCCGCACTGCCGAATGTGAGGCTGAACGTCGAAATCCAATGTACAGCGTTGTATTAGGATACCTCACAGAAAGAAAGTTGGGAGGACTCGAGCAGAGAGTAGGACACCAATTTCATGAAGGCACTCTCTGTTAATTGACAACCGTACCCGTATAAGGGCGTTACTTCTAACAGAAGTTTTCCTCAAATTCGGTAGCTATAACTTTCTGTAGTTGGGTTCTACAACCGCCCTTATAACTAGTACTAGAGGCAAAACAAGGTTAGGTTATTGGCATGGCACAAGAAAGTTGAGCAGGGTGTGAATGAGAGGTTAAAACGATTGATTGATCGGGAATTGAGTTAACAAGATTCCATTTCATCTCATGAAGCTAGTAACTACCTGAGCTCACCACACGCATGAAAATTGGTGGTGCAAGATGGTACTTCTTCTCTGGCGCCCCGTGGCTCTGAATTCCTGTTTTCTCCTGCCTAGGGCCGACAATGTGGTGTGCTGACGCTTCAAGGGCAGGGGGCAGCAGCGGGGTCTTGCGATTACACTTAGGTGGCAAGCCCGACAATGACAACCTAACAACGCTTGCAACAATAGGTCAAATTGATCGTTTACGTTATGCGCACATTCGAAGAATCGTTGGATCCTATGTGTTTCTATTTGTTAAACTCGACCAAGCAGAAACCGATGCATGTCTTGATCGCCGGCGGTGGCATTGTAGGGCTTACCATCGCTCAAGGCTGCCGCGAGAATGGCATTCCATACACTGTCTTCGAGAAAGATATCGACGGTGAGTAGCTACCTGACGAGAGGGAAGTCAGATATGGCTAACCTTAGTCCAGAGAATCGAAGGCACGGTTGGGCTTTGACGCTGCACTGGGTTTTAGATGCTCTTGAACGAACGATTGGAAAGGAGCGAGCTTCAGAGCTTTCGACAGTATGTAGGCCCGCTCGTCTTTTGCGTGGTGAACCCGAATTAATAATATTAAAGGCTGTCGTAGACTCATCTCTCAAAAAGGATGAAGGGAATTTCCTCTTCCTGAATGCCGAGACATGGTATGTTGATTTCCGCAATGTGACACTTCTAATTACGAGCTTCTAGTGAGACCCGCTTCAAAATTCCTCCCTCAAAAAGACGACTCCGCTTGCATCGCCAGAAGTTACGCGATGTGCTCACCAGTGGGCTGAACATACAAGAAGGAAAGGAACTCACCGCCGTTGATGAGGTTGACGGGGAAATCCGCGCACATTTCCAGGATGGCACCTACGTTGATGGCACCATATTAGTTGGCGCAGATGGTAATAACAGCAACGTGCGCAAGTTTCTCATGCCTGAAGATCATGAGCTGACCAAACTTCCTGTCCACCTCATCGGCGTTGTCAGGCATTTCACGCCTGAACAAGCTGCTCCAGTCCGGGCGCTAGATCCTTTGTTGTTCCAAGCGTTGCATCCAAAGACACAGAACTTTCTTTGGTACTCTGTTCAGGTTCGTTGCCGCTTTATGCTTACTTTTGTCCATTGACTGATAGAGACAATAGGAAAGCTTCACGGAGCCAGATGGCCGCCTCTCCTTCGACTGCTTGGTCATTATCTCATGGGTTGTGAGGGATCCTGTTGCAGACGCTATTCCAAAGACAAACCCTGAGCGCATCGCCATGATGAAAGCGCGAGCAAAAGAGTTTGCGGAGCCTCTACGTAGCATAGTCATGGATATACCTGACGATACGGACCATACTACGCCGCTCAGACTCGGTGATTTCCCCTGCCGCGACTGGGACAACCGGAATGGGCGGGTTACTCTTGCGGGTGACGCAGCACATGCAATGACAATGTATCGAGGCGAAGGCGCCAATCACGGTATCTTGGATGCTGCTTTACTTGTTGACGAGCTTAAAAAGATTCACAGCGGGGGTGTTGATCAGAAGAGAGCTATCGATGCATATGAGGCGGAAATGAGGCCGCGGACTCATGCTGCAGTCTTGAAGAGCCGCGATGCAGCTCTGGTAGCTCATGAGTGGGATCAACTCACGATTGATTCACCTGTTGTTGGCGCTCGGACAGCGCCATGTACGGCGTTCAAGCAGAGCTGATTATCTGAGTTGCTAATACTCATATCTTTGTTTCGTGGTCGAGCACATGCTACATGGATACGCCCGTTGCTTTTAAATTAACCTTAGCGACAAAACATAACTGTCCAGTAGTGTGACATCTTTGCATCCTTAGGATAACATCTGTGGTGCTTTCGCTTTTTACCCGAGGTTCGTTTGGGGAGCATGAGTCATGGTTATCGCATGTCCAGTCCCTGGAACAAGCTTCTACAAACGTCTTGTCAGCATAGATAAACGGTCCTTGACGTGTGTTCCCGAATGAAGATTTTCTACCAGTTAGTACAATTTATCGCAGTTCATGTGAGCAGTCGTGTATCCAAAGGTATGTTTGAAGTTTGTGATTTCAGGACTTTATTGGTGAGATATCCTTGCTTACGGTGCGCGATCTGTTCAACTCTCACGCACTTTTAGTATTCGAGCACCATGGCAACTCGCCCGTCGTCGTTGCGCCATAGCCTCTTCCCCTTCCAGGATCGTTCTTCATTCTTTTCCAACGCATACACAATACTCTTCTGCAACTCTGGCCAGCTCGAATCCTCACATACCAGGGTTCTCACATCAATGATAGTGGTCCCGCTGCCCAGGATACTCCAGCGGTCTTTCCAATCGCCGTTCTCCCATTTCTCGTTAACCTTAGCCAGTGCTTTCCAAGCCTCCTTAGACAATCCAATAGCAGCCTGCTTAGCTTTGCAGACTTCCCTCTCAGCCCTCTCATCTGCATTCTTAGCATTCATAAAGGCTCAGGTCGTAGCAATTCTATCGTCTGCCTCTTCCACTTCGTAACGCCTGCGTATCTCCACGTCCGATACGCCAGACCAACCTGGACCATCGTAACTACCTGTGCGTGTACGTAGACCCGCAAGATCAGTTGTCCTAAAATCCAGGTTGACGCGCAGTTTTGCTTGATTCTCGTCCCATGCTTGCATAGGCTGAAGATTACACTCAGTAATCAGTATTTGACCTTGAAGTTTTTCTTCCTCCCATTTATCAGCGTACAACTTGGTTTGTAATTTGTAGGTCGCATCCACGAGATGGATCTGCTGCTGGATAATCTCTCCCGCATTGGACATGATCGGGCTGTATAGATAGTTAAGTGCAGCATAGAACTTTTCTTTCTCCGTGGTATCTGGAGAAGAATTCCAGTAACTAAACTTTTTCTCACCGACGAGGCGCAGCTTTATCAAACATAATGGGTTTAAATCTTTTCGGCCAACCACAAGTCTTTTACAGTTCTTTGTAGGTACTGTAATAGTCAACATCTTCTTCGTCCTCTAGACTGTCGGCCGCTTTCGTACAGGCCTCCAGGTATCCACTCCAGGCCGCGGAAGCGCGAGATCATGTCTTGAATAAATTCAGGAGCAGCACGGGAAGGATACCCCTCTAGGTCATTCATGTTCTTTAAGCCTGACCCCATGAACGGTTGTCCCTGAAGTGCAGGGTCTTGGGTACTACCAAGACTGTCTAGCTGTCCGATGCGCCACATACGATCTGGGTCATGTCAGTCAATACCGTTTAGAGTTTTTGTGGCTATATTCACTCACAGTTTCTTGTGTCTAGCACCATAACACTCCCATGATTGCCTAGTTGGCTCAATGGTGCGTGCCAAGGGCGTATGTATGGTCCACTCTCGTCGCCCCAGTCCGTTGTGCCACCATCACCCGCAAGAAGTTCTTTTCCAAATCAAGGAGATAGATCATCTATACCAAAAGTCGGCTCGACGAGCCCTTACCACCAGTCCGCGTTCGGGCCTCTCAGGTCCTCCATGAACTCAAAAACTCGCCATGGTCAGACCCAAAGTTCCATTCTGGCTCGGTGATGTAATACGGCAGCATTTGATTCAGATCGACCACATCTTTGGCGAGGCCGTACGCTGCTGGCTTTGTTATGTCTAACTTCAGATATTGATGGGACGGAAATACGACGTGCTCAGCTTTGATATATATCATGTCGATAAAAGGCTGGTACCATTCCGTCATCAAATCCGCAATCTCCTTGATCCGAGAATTCGGGTTTGCAGGGTAAACTTCGCTGTAGGTGGAAGGGTCAATCGCCTCGTGGACGCCTAACATTCTTTGGGGAGCATCGATTAAACAGGTTTGGTTGGGTAGAAACAGCGACTAGAGACAGCGGATGGTATTACATAAAATGAGCGACAAGTAACAAAGGATGTTGTGGTAAGATACTGCAGGTCCGGATGAGGTGCTCAGACGAACAGCGCCACCTTCAAGCAGTGCGACAATTGGGCAGGTGGGGCAAACCTTCCAGGCAGCGTTGTGTTGCAAAAACGTTTCCGACTATGATTGTAAATGCTGGGAATATAACTATGGCCAAGATCATGACAATATTTCGCATCCTATTCATGCCTCCGATAATCTACTGTTACAGTCCCCACTTCCGTGTGGAGGTATTTATGGCAAAGGCTGTCCTGGGGTTGGCGTCCCGCTGCCACGGTCTTCCATTCGGGCTTAGATAAAGACGGAGTTCTTGCTTTGATTATGGCTCATCTAGTGGCGACAAGCGCGCCTGTACCTAATATCAAGTCAATTAACGGAACTCACGGGGGTAGATATTTGGCATTTGATTGATTTTACAAAACGGTAACTGCACCTATTCAAGACGACACGTCAATTATCCGTATCAGTGTAATGAGACCTTAAATTCGCTGCTGGATCCTGCCGCATGAATACTTCCAGCGCTCTGGTTATTATCTTGCACTAATTGAAGTAGTCAAGGCTAAGGTTAGCTAGCGGCTTATAGTGTTTTGTCCACTATTATATCACGCCATCACGCCCCGGAGGCAGCATGGCGTATGTCCACGGGGGGCTTTTATGGGTACTTCCAACGCTATGTTATTCTTTACAGCGTACCAAGAGAAGCTGTCTCGCGAATCACAACAAGCACTATCGCAGGACAAAGTCAACAGCAGGATACAACACTCAGCCTCCAGCTGCTGCAGAACAATAGACAGCAGATATTGCCCCAACACGAAATGTCACCATCTCCTCCCGTGCGCGACAGCAAACGGGACGGGCGTGGCTCGAGTGCCACACGCGGAAGGTGAATTGGCGATGTGGAAATGTATAGCCGCTGCGCAAATTTGCCTACGACTATCGGCGTTCACAATCGCGAGATAAAAGCCTCGTATTCAGCGGAGCATCCCTTGAGCAAAAGCTCGAAAGTTTCTCATTCAATGCCAGAACATCCGAAGTAATTTAGAGTTCTCGAATTACTCCGGTAGTCCAGATCCCGCATCAAACGTGAACACCATCGAACCCCGGACCACCTCAGTATCAGTGCTGAACGCCGCGTTCTACGTGGAGGTCTTGATGCTCACAGCAATGCAATTGTCAGCAAGAAGTAACAGCTGCTCCATGCTGTGGAAGCAGATGTTTGGCGACCTCGAACCCCTCGAGCTTCAAGTGGATCTTGACAACTCCTTGCAACGAGATCGACATTGGCAAGCGAGCCCTCGCTCAAACGACGGCAAGCCCCACGAGTATCAAGGTCCTGAACAGGCGACAAGAGTAGAGACGGAGAGCTTGACGTGCCAACCTTGAGACAACCGATACGCGGATCTCGGCTCTACTGCAAACGTGGCAGTTGAAGACTGCATCCGAGTCTGGAGGTATATCGCACAAGCTCCGGAAAAGAAGGACAACAATTTGGGAGGAAACATCGTTCGCCCGTATCCAGGCGACACAGCGAAGAAAGGATGCTATCGAGTCTTTGGTGCAACTTTCAACCGTGGTTCTTTTACTTGTAACAAGGAGTTGGCACTTCGTTCCCCGATTGCCGTTGTTAACGATACTGGATTTTTTGTTCATAAATTGTTGTCTTCTTGACAAATGGATTCCAGACATGCCACTGCCTTCTCCGTTTTAGTTGCTATTCCCATTACTATACCCCAGGTCCAGACAGTGTCGATCAATGATGTTCAGCAGCAAAGCCAACATTGCAATAGAATTGCGCAGTTCGTCATCCTACTCATCAAGAGAGGCAACTAGCGCAACTGATGGGCCAAGATGTTGTCGTGGCGCTTACACAGTCCGTGAAATTTCTAGCTAGCCCATAGGTCCACACGCGCAAACTTTTGGTACTTGAACATATGTAGGAAATATGTTTCAAACTATTTATGTAGGATACCCATCTGCACGATATTCGTCAAAGGCAATAGCCTTTTGGGGCTTGACTTAAAAGCAAAAAATGGTGTTGGTTTCAAAATGCTTGCCTTAGAAGCCCCCAGCCATGTGGGCACAAATTGCTGAGGTTAGTCCGTGAGCAGATACGGGTTTAGGCCTTCCACATCATGCGTCCGTATTCCTTACCATTCACCTCCCTGGGTTATCCGATGATATTCACTTTGTCGAAGATACTGTCCGCAATTTCCTCCGGCGTAATTGAGCCAGTTATATACCTTCATGGCCAATATGATTTTTCATTCGATGCGGGCAGCAGTTTCTATGCATAGCATTACAATTGCTGTAAAGTGAATGACGAATTGTTACTCGTTCTTCTGGGGAATATTGTACATTTATCCACCTGGTACTACGCAGCTGATACTACAATCAAACTGGTATCGAGGACCCTGCCCCATGTACGCTCACAGCTGTCGACTTATCTTTCAACACTCTCGTGCTGTTCTTTTCTGTGAAAGCATTGAGCCGGTTCTGAAATGGTTTTCTGAAAGAAGGGCCAAGATTAAAAAGATCAATAGCATTCCCGGCCAACATATTGGCCCTATCGATCCATGTCAAGAAACTGTTTAGTTTCTTCTCCGAGCATAGCATCTTGCCAGCAACTGGAACCTCTAAGTCATTGTTAGTAAGTGGTCTAGTCGAAGTGCAAGGCTAACATACCACCTAGTGGAAATGGATAGTCGCTTCCCATCACAATTCGGTCTGGTCCGATCTTCTTGCACAAGTATTCCATAAGGTCTGGATCGTGGACAAGAGAATCAACCCAGAACCCGCCCCTCGTAATATGATCCGATGGACTGACTCCGCCAGCTTGGCCTGCCAAAAGGTCTGGTCGACAGTCGTAGCCATGCTGAATCCGTCCGAGGAGTGCTGGGAAAGCGCCGCCGGCATGGGCAAAGCAGAGTTTTAATTTCGGGTGCCTGAGTAATGTTCCAGACGACGTGAGAGCCAGGATAGACAGTGCTGTTTCGGATGGCATACCCACTAGCCACGACCCCCAGTACTTGACCCACCTCTTACTGTTTTCTTTTGATAGCGAGTATCCCAATGGATGAACGAAGACGGGCATGTCCAGAGACTCGCAAGCCGCCCAGAATGGTTCAAGCGCTAGATCATCTAGGTTGACATCCCCAATAGTCGTTCCGATCTCAACCCCCTTCAAACCCAAAGATTTTGCCCGTCTCAGTTCTTCCACAGATGCAGCCACATCTTGTAATGGCACAGTCGCCAGGCCCACAAATCGTGTAGGATATTGCGAGCAAATACGGGCGATGTGATCATTTAGGGCTCTAGCAAGTACTGTGACTGGCTCCGCTGGCTCGTCATAGAAGAACAAAATAGGTACTGTGCTCAGTATCTGCACGTCAACTCCGGCAGCGTCCATTTCGACTAGTCTTGTTTCTGCGTGGATACAATTTGGCTCCACCGTTCTGAAGAAGGCACCCCCAACATATATATCGATCTGATCAGCATCTCCTGTCTTTGACGGCCGTAGAGTTAACCAGGGGCTGGAAGGGGAGTTGATCGGATGTGATGAAAGATCTGGAAGCTCGGAAGGCATGATATGGGTGTGAGTATCTATACGATACAAAGAAGATCCATCTACGACAGCAGGGCTGCGAAGAGACTTGTGCGAAAGGCCTGCAGTACAGCCGCAGTCATCGCTGAAGTCACTGTGATCACTAGGATCACTGCTAGAGTCTTCAATGCGTGAAGGGGCCATGCTATTCTGCTAAAAAAGTATGAGTAATGGGACGAATACTTTACAGGGCTACACAAATTATGGTAGATGGAGAAAGATGTAATCTTATTATATTCTTTTTTACTTCAGGGGACTGCTATATGCTTCCGATATACTATCAGACCTGCAGACCGCCAATGCCGTGTGCCATTTTGATTGCAATATGATTTGAGCTTAAGCTGTTCGCTGACGTTGCTGGCTTAGGGTGATTGGACCTTCAAGGATGAAAAGCCAGCCAATTGGCACAGTGTCCGCCCACTATCCGTCTTCCGCTCCGCAGGCATCCGTGAGCACATCCGAACCGGCACGACCCAATCTGCCAATCCTCAGTTAACTAAGGTTAGGTTAGTCAGTCTGATTCTGGCGACGACTTATATGTACACTTCAACGCTGCCATGAATCACCCAAACTTGCACGCAGTATTTCTGTGACGTCACAATGCTTACAGCTTACCTAAGGCACTCCAAATTGCAAGTCGATTTCCTCTGATACAATTGCATACAAGCTGGGCCGTTTACGATACCCACCCATGATATCTAACCTAACCTACTAAAGTCCGCAGCTTCTTGCTAGTTAAGGTATCTAAGCCTAAGGGTTACTGATTACTGATTACATCCTAGTACTAAACTCGTGTTACTCAGAACTTTGGTTCGATAAAACAATTTCGCATCTTGGTGACAGAGTCCTAGCCATATGAAATACATTTACGACCTAAATTATAGGGAGATTGAGTCGGACTACCTCAACGCCGGAAATTTAGTGTACCAAAATAGCAAGATTCGTCCCGCTATTAAAACCGTTTAGTTTCACCCTCGTAGCAGCGAAGGTGATGTAGCTAAAGGCTATACTTATGGTAGCTATGCCGGTCGCTCCTCAGAGCAGTTCACAATATGGTTGGCTCACTGGCTAATTCCCTATTAGGTGTGAAACTTGTGACAGATCGAAGAAACCTCAAATCCCGTCTATCTACTATAGTGAAGTTAGCGATACGTTTCCTCGTCTTTGGTTTATGCCGCTTCAAAACCCTTCTGTGCCCGGACTTACCAGATTTCGATTTTGCACGTTTACAAAGTGCTTTATCAATTATGCGGCTTCTGAACACCGCAGTTTGAAGTTTGAAAGTTTGCTTTCTTACGACATCCCCAACTATGCACCTCTTCCGCACAGGTAATCGTCAAAGGAAGTCGCCTCCAGAGACATGATAAACAGCCCTGTCTCCAACGTTAGATTGAAGGTGCTTACAACTTGGGGCCCAGTCATGAGTACGACTTTATTGGGATTGACAGCTGCCACGTCGACACAAAGAGCGCTGCAGATGTCGACATATCCATCAACTCAACGTGGGCTTACTATTTACAATCAAATGTGTGTAATATCTACATAGCAGATGTTGGGGACAGGACACGCGACTGCAGTGGCGGGTTTTTTGATAGTGAATGGTTTACTTATGGCTGAATTTCGTAAGACTAATTGCGCCAGCATGCGTCGAGTTTTATGCCCGAGATTGGTCAGAGATCGATACCAAGTTGGGACGATAAGAGGAGATCTCACACGTCACGACAATCGATCACCATCTCCTGGTACAGAACAAGCCTACCGATGGCTCCAACATCGCCGAGCTTCTCTCCTGGGCGGCTCACCGTCAAGTGGCTTAAGAAGCGATCTACCTATATAAAATCGTTGACTCGATTTTATGCTTCGCTAGAGTTTTCATGTCAATAATGAGCCTCTACTCGCGGGTGCTTCAGCACTTTCTTTGTCAAAAGAAATTTTGACAGCGAACAACTGTTAGAAATCGGATGAGTGTTTCACTAACTAGTAATTCTTGGCCTTGACAGATAATTCCTGAGAAATTAACATTCCTCGATACCGACGTCGGCCTTAGCTTAGCATCTCACGTAGCAGGCCTGAACCATACTACGAAGGATCATACAAAATCAGCTTCCCACCTACTACTCCACTGATTGACAAATCCGGAATCCCCAAGTTTCTATTGTTTACCCTGTCTTCCGGTCCTGCTACCGGACGTCAAATCTGTCGCTGCCATAATGGAAAAGAAGAAGATACTTGTTCTTAGGCCTCCATCACAATTTGGCAGTCAACACTTAGTACCTAACTTTACTGTCAGATATGACTTATTTGACATTCAAACATGTAATGCTAAGCATTGAACAGGCGTGAAGTTCTTTATGAGCATCAAAATTCTAGCACGAGAGAACAGAGCAGGAACTTTCTGGCTGAAAATAGGTACGAACTAAGAAGGATCCTGTCGAGGTGTTGTGCCAAATCTTCAGCAAGCACCATCATGACAAAAGTTATCATCTTCTGGAATTTATCGGCGATATATGCAGGTGGACAACCAAAGACGTCTCCAGTGTCAAAGTCCGTAGACGATAGCACAAACATCGCGCTTTATTCCTCCCTGAAACACCTGCTGGCCGCTGTACAAAACGCATCTTCAATATCAAACAGTTATATGTATAGGTTTCCAACGCTTTCCAGTTACTAATAACTATAGAGGTGCCGTATCCACGCTGCGCTGAAGATGCCGCATTTCTATTGAGCCCACGGGAAGGACCTCGCTCTGTAGCTGCACAAGCAATTCGAACCTGACATACTGGTTATCGGGTCCGCCAGATCGAGTCAGCGCATCTGGACATTGAATATGTGTGTGATGACTGATGATTGCGACGCTCTCTCCAGGGATACTGGCGGCGGAGTGTTTACGGCACAAATTGCAAAAAGTGCAAACTGTCAGACTCATCATCAATGACTTCTGTGCCTCTGTCATAGCCAGTTTCGGTAGACTTCGCAGGCGGTAAGGAATGGCAGCTTCGGTCTCGGTCGGTATTGCTGGTTATGAGAATAGCCAGCACCTCCGGAATATGTAGCAATTAGGAAGGCAAATGAAAGGCAAGCTAGTAAATTTCCGCAACGCTCTGTGTGGGATGACATATAGAATCACGCAACAAACCTATTCCGCACGCGCGTAGTTGTCAGATCGTTGTTCCGTGCGGAGGCTGATTATGTGACATCGACAGCGACAGTTTAGAACGTTTGCCACTGGAGAAAGGTTCATTCTCGTTGTCCGACCTTCTGCCATCGGAAATTGCCATCCATGATCCGCAATGACGAGTATCAGAACCATGTTTCCATATTTCGCATGAATTGATATTCAGCTGATTGTAATGTCAAATTCTAGAGAAACTACGACTAGTCTAGACTAATATAATACGACCATCTCCCTCAGTCTCTCCACTACTGTAAGCCCAACCCAACCGCCACCTACACTAATCTTCAGCGCTAAGACAGCACGCCAGCCCTAAGCTTTCTTCAAACTTGCATCATCTCTTGAGCTTTTCTTTAGCCAAGCCCGTACAACACCCTTTGAGAGTATCTTCACGGATGACGTAATGAATTCAATTGACTAGATTTTCTATCCATACGTTTCCTATGAATGCAGTTGCTGTAATTCGCGGAATGCGTGCAGTCAACTAGGCTAAGGAAGACGTTGACGCCCATTATCGCAATGTTTTATTTTCAGCGACTCTGCTTGTTCCTGTTTATTTTTTTGTCCAGTCAATTTATCCGCAGCCTCCTCTGTGTCACGCACCGGATGGCTAAATGGACCATTCCTCACCAATGGTAAATGGATCACCGATGCATCCGGTTTGGCTGTCACGTACGGTGAGTTTGACGTGCTGAGATCCAGCCCTTAGTAACAGTATACTAAAACCCACCAAGCTGGCGTGAATTTGCCAGGCCATGTAGAGACCATGATCCCAGAGGGTTTGCAATACCAGTCGGTATCCGATGTCGTGTCCATGGTGAAGAGCATAGGCATGAACTCTATCCGCTTGACTTGCTCCATTGAAATGATCGACCAGATCGAGGAGAATGGCGGTCGCGATATTGCCATCAGTGCGGCTTTCGTCAACGCTTTGGGGCAGGAGAACGGAACATCTGTTTTCGAGAAGGTGCTCTCAAAGAATCCTTCGTTCACGAATGATACTACCAGGTTATAGGTAAGTCGCAAACCTGTGGCTTTTCATATAACGGAACAAATGTGAACTCAAAGCTCACTGCTCACCAGGTTTTTGACGCTGTCGCTGCAGAAGCGGCGAAGCACGAGATCTATATTCATTTAGACAACCATGTCTAGAAAGCTGGATGGTGTTGTACTCCTGTGGATGGTAATACTTGTAAGTCGCTTTACAAGTAATGGGGTGCTTAGATGCTAAGAAACACAGGGTGGGGAGATACCTACTTTCCAGTGGGAAATTGGACCCGCGGACTTTCGTACAAGGCAGATCACGTAAGTCGGCTCAATGCACATTGCCCCCTTGGTAATGCTAAAGAGCACTCAGGGCAAACAATGGTCCAACCTCATGTCGATGTCTTTGCGAAATGAGCTCCGCCAGCCGATCTTGGATTCGCAGCTCTTCTCCGAGTCGTACAATTGGCAAGACTGGTACAAGTACGTTAAAGAAGGGGTACGAGCGATAAACTCCGTCAATGGATAGGTTTTGATATTCCTCTCCGGCCTAGATTCAGACACAACACTCCAGCCGGTGGTGCAGAGAACCGCGCTCACCCCTGGGTCTTCAAGTTTCAACCGTGAGGATTTTCCAGCCGACAAGTTGGTTCTGGAATTGCATAACTATGCCAATATCTTGGGTTCGGAGGTCAATAATTGTGCCGTGCTCCAGCAAAAACGCTTCCAGGGTGGGTTTCAGGCCCTGCAAGATGGCTCGCCCAATATTTTCCCTGTCGTGATGACCGAATACGGCTTTCAACAGGATGCTACGACGTGGCAAGGCACTTTTGCTGCTTGTCTCCAGACCTTTCTAGCCGATCTGCAGGCTGGATGGACGATATGGGCTTTGCCGGGGAGCTATTACATTCGACGAGACGCCCAAGATGCAAATGAACCCTGGGGACTGCTCACGCATGACTGGTCTGGTTGGAGATCACCAGAACACATCAACGGAAGTCTGGCAGAACTTGTGAGGGCCACTGCAGCGGCAAATGGACTGACACCATACAGCGGTGGGCAGAATGATAGCTCGTCCGGCAATAACACATCGCAAGACTCTGGAACTCTGACAATGCTTGCTGTATCTGTTATAACAAGTACGTTCTGGGGCATCGCAATTTCGAGCATTACTCTTGGATTAATCTGAATTGATGGCCAATGTGGTAGAAGTCGTGACCGGATGGTCTCATTCTGCTTACAAGACGAAGGATATAATTTCTGCCCACCACTATAGGTGTTTCGACGTTCCTCAGAGTTCAATGTATTTTGTCCCGAACACTGTCCACAAGACCATACATTAGCCGGCTTGCTTAATATCCATCGTTGCAGAGAATATTTGATCTGTTCTAAGCCTGAAATGCCTCAGGACAAAGACTCTCCCATTCCTGAAAATTCGTGGTCTGCACAGCGACACCATTACCAAATTCCCTTATCAGACTGCCAGCACTCCTGTCATACAACGGCCAATCTTGCGCCAGCGTCCCTAAAGCGCCACCGGAAACTAAAGACAACCATGCATCCTGCAAAACAACGCTGGTCTCGTTCTCCAAGGTAGTAGAAGGACCGCGGTAGTCAGAGTGTGTGCCAAATAACAATGGTAATTCAGAGTTGTGCCATGCGCCCATCCACGGTCTCGGCGACAAGTTGCTAAAATTTCCGGAAAACTCATACCGGAACACAGGAGCCCCGGCAGCAATACGATTGCTTCAAATCATTCATCAGCAGCAGTCAATGTTGACAGTGTATAGGGTCTACTTACTTGGCACTCTTGTAAGCGGGACAGAAGAAGTATTGCAACGTAACGGCGAACGCTAGGGTAGCATTTACACCATCAGGATCATATGGAACAAAGGGTACACCATCATCCCTGTTGGACCCCAGTATTGTGGGCTGTGATCAATTCAGTCAGTCAAGCCAATGTAGTATCATGGACACGCAACTCACCAGCGCTGCCACGCTACCATTAAGAGCTCGAGCCTCAAAATCGGAGAATACAGTTTTTTCATCGATGACGGGAGCAAAAGAAACCGCAGGCTCGGTGCCGTTGTCGGTATAAGAATGTAGGAACTCCTCGATTGCGTATGCATCAGCTTTTCTCATACAAGCTAGCTCCTCTGCAGGCTCAAGTCTACCACAACCGAACTGAGATGCTAGGAAGGTGAAGTTTGAATGAGGGGTGTCGTAGGAAAGAATGTCGAGATACTCGTTTCCGGAGTCCATCAACAGGCTAGATACGATAGGATCTTCAGGGTACGTATAGCTGTAGTACGCCACGCTGATTCCTCCAGCCGATTGTCCCCACAGTCCTACGATTCTAGTCAGCGAGAAGTTTGGACATTCCATGACATACTATGTGGACAAAATATAAATATGCCACGTTATTTCAGAACATGCACAACCTCGACCTCTGCCGCTGACGAGTTTTCAAATATTAGAGGGATTTCAGGGAAATGCTCCTTACCGATTCGATCGGCATCGCCGCCAAACGCAGCGATATTATCCCTAACCCATTCAACAGCCAATCTCTGGTCAAACAGACCCAAGTTCTGCTTCGCTTCGTCTAAGCCGGCTGCATTTGGGAATCCGAAGATGTTGACCCGATAGTTGAACGTCACAACAATGTGGTCCTGAGTCCGCTGGATCCACTGTGTCGGAATCTGATACGGTACATTCTCGCCGCCGGTCTTGAAACTGCCGCCGTAGATCCATAAGAGCACAGGGAGATGCTTTTTAGCACCGCGGGGCGCCCAAACGCTTATTGTCAAGCAGTCCTCGGACATTGGTCCGATGGTGCCATTGAGACCACCCTGGTTGAACTGCAAAACATCGTTGATCCAGATGCTGGAAAGACTTGTGAGGTACTGTATGCAGCTTGCAGCTGGCGTAGTCGCATTGAACTCGCCGAAAGGCTCGACTGCTTTGGGCGGTGCCCATCTTAGATCGTCGACAGGGGGCTTTCCATATGGGATGCCCAAAAACTGGCGGACATCTGGATTGACGGAATCGACAATGCCGTGTACGGTACCAGACTCAATCTTGACAGAGAGGTCAGCCTGTGAACATGATGGTTTTGTAGGCGAGCCAAGTATTGCCACGGCTTCTAGTAGTGCCACCAGCGCGAGGGATGACAGGCGCATCTCGAGCATTGGTCACAGAAAGACCGTTTAGTCGTCCTGGGAGCCGGTCATGGCGACTGGACAGGGAGTCGAAGGACTTATTAATGGTGTATCTAGTATTGACCATTAGTTGTTCCCGCTATTTTCCGCCGCTAGGGGTGAACTCTTCGTCGTGGCCCGGGTCAATGTCATTCCTTGAGGACCAGAACGGCGATCTGTGCCACAAGTCGTCATCTTGACGGATACATCCTGGTGGCTTGAAAGTTCAATTATGTACAAACATGCTTGTCATTTGATGTGTATGGGTCATGGAAGCAATCAAGTGGCTTTTGTGGGGTAGAGTTTCTTCAGCAATCTCTCCGCGGCTGCAGTGGGACTATACTAGGTCTGGCGGTATGGTCCGGGGGCTCGTAGGAAACCTTGTTGCTCCTTGGGCCCCAAGCATTTCTGGCGGTATGTGTCGCGTCCGCTTCTGATTGAGTGCCAAGCAATCGATATTATGTAGATCGGATATGGTGTTCGTCCGATGTATTGGACTAACAAGCAAGATTGGATTAGAAGTCAACTTTAACCGAGGCTGTTTTTGCTGTTTTTACTGAAATGACGAGTGGCAGTACAAAGCACACAGCAATGCGGCAGCTTGGAGCCGATAGCACAGCAGCAGGACTGACGCTGTCTCGGGCCTTGGACAGCCTCGGTTATCGGTGTAAGCTGCGTGCTTGGTACAAAAACAAAAACAAAACAAAAAAAGAAGTTGTAAGTCACTATCGATGAAAGTCAGCATCGATGAAAGTCAGGAGGACGGCCACGAAAGAAGACCAGCTGAAGTCTCATAATCAGTAGCATATGTCTCAAGTATAGAGTACTTATTAGGCGTTCTCCACCTTTCTCAAAAAAAACTTTTTAAATTTTTTTAAAAAGATTTCTCAGAAGTAGTCCCCGAGATGAAGGAGATTTATAGGCAGTAAAGCAGTGAGAAAGCTCAACTAACAAGATGCGAAATACCAGCTATTTAGAACACAGCTCGAGCATAATGTTATTCAGACGATCAGGGCTGACGATGGCTTTGTGTTGCCTCGAATATACGGTCACGTTATTCGGCCCAGAGTAATATGAGACCAATGCTGTGTAGTCTCGAGTGTTGCTCGACAGAAAGCCCCTCAGACCTGGGACTCAAAGTTTGTCCAGCTTATACATCTGAGCGTGTATTGCGTCGCTGGTCCTATCGCTGCAGAAGCCCACATAGTTAGTTGAAACACGGGTTTTGGAGGCCATGCAAGTTCAGGGAGTTTCGCTGTAGAAGACGAGGAGACGCTTGATCTCCAAGGCATCGTGAAAAGCTTGACGAATTACTGACAGGGGACTACGTCTACATGAGATACCAGACAGCCTCTATTGATCGGCGAGTCCTCCAGTCATGTATGGAACAATCAAGCTTTTGTCTCTAGCTTCAGAGAGGACCATGTTCCAGTTCGACTGGCATGTCTTGAGCAATTCCCGAACGAACTCCAAATCATTGGAATTGACCTGTTGCATTCATGTGTGGCCGGGAGAAGTGAGCAACACCAAGTACATTAGACACACGGCTGACAACGAATAGTTGAAGATGAGTTGATTAGCAATGGGGCTCCACGGAGCTTGGGCGCTCTTCAGTATGGTAGACTCCATTCGCAGTGTTCTGATGTCATGGAAAGAATCTCCCTGCTGGCACTTCGTAAATCCGTCAGGCACGAACCCGTAGTGAGCGGGAAGCCAGCTAATGTACACGCCGCCGTATTATATCGTACAGTTTCCTCAAGTCCCCACCAGTCCATCGTTTTCGTCGTCATGAAGGGTTTATTGGCTGTAACATGTTAGTTGAGCTGCGAGGCGATTTAGGATTTGACTGATGGAAGACCACGCACGGAGGAAGGAGGAGATCAGCCCAAGAGCTAGCGAGGAATGCTACTGCAGCCTGTGGATAACGTTAGAGACGGAAATCAGATATGGGCGCGAATGGATTGATGACATACACCAAAGACAGCCACGCTCCTGACAACAGCGGCATTCTCAGGCGATGTGATGGCATCGTAGGCCGAGCCGATGGTGCCCTTTTGGTGGGTGATACGACGGTTGGGGGCCATTTTGTTGGAAGAACGATTGTTCTAGTTGAGTTCTAGTTGAGTACGGATGTTTGTGCTGGGTTGCTGTGGCGGGAGGCGCTTTTGCGACGAGAAGGCACTGGACTTTTGTTGTTTGTGTATGGGATGCGACTGGTAGTGATGCAGACGGCAGGTTGGTAATGATGCGCCAGAAAAAGTTGTACAAGGCTGCGGCTGGGCCAAAGGGCGACAAGTTGCGCTAAGTTGCGCTACGTTAATCGGAGCTTTAGTACGGATTCGTACTACCCAGAGGGGCACCGGTGACCACAGCACTGTCTATGTGCTTATACCCTACTTACCTTAAGTACGTAGCTGGAGCGGGACCTCAAATCCAGTGAAGCTCGAGCCAGTCAGCGGGGCCATACAGGGGAGTCTCATGGCGTCACAGGAAGGCTGCAATAAAGCATTTGGGACGCAGGTTGCTGATGCGATGCGCTGCAGATGTAGATACGCACCATTTGAAGCAATTGAAATCAATCGTACTCCCTTCAGCGTCAGAATCCGTCGTCAAACTACCTGCGCTTTTGCTCAAGACCTAGCCTATAGTCACCAAGTACCAACACGAGGAGATGACAGCGACTCCCTCCAATTCATACGCCAACACTGGCGGCTTCCTCCCACCGTCGCTCCCCTCCCCCGCGCCCAGTACAGCGTCCAGTCGCGCCGCCGCAGGACTGCCTCACCCTCGGTCGAAACCACTTGTCCCTGGGTCACGAAAAGAAGACTATGCCCGTGATTATGTATATAGACGCCTGCTGCACATTTCTCGCCGTTATGTGAAGAAACACAGTATACCTGACCCGAATGACCAAGTGTCGGCCTACGGTACCTTCGACGAAGTGTGCATGGATCTCGAAGAGGTCGTGGACGTATTATGGTTTTCGGGAACGCGTAAGCTATATATAGTTTTGTTATGTATCTCTTTTTCTCCAAGCGCCTGCGCATCCATGGGTGACTAATCGCTTCTCTAGCCAGTCTCCAGGTCCCGTATCTACTCAATGTAGCTCTTGCCATTACCGAATATCTCCCTGCATTTCCGCCAGCGCCGCGCCCTACCTTTGCCCTTCTCAAGAAACTAGATCACTGCTTCTCCAGTTTACTGCAAGGCAGGGACATACGAAGCGGCGAAACTCTGCCAGGCTTTGAGCTTGGGATGAGCAAAGGGATGACTCGTACAGATATGGTGAGGATACGAAGCTTGGCCGACGAAACCCGAGGTTTAGTTGCTTTGAAAATGAGCGGAGAGGTAGAGGTTGACACTTCATTGTTCCCTGAAGACAGTGAGGTGGGCGTACCTATACTGTCAGGTAGGAAAAGAAAGGCGAATGCCGAGGAGAATGACAACGAGCATGACGTTAACGATGACGTTGACGATGCTCCGTCAACTAGCTCAGCAAGTTCAAGCTTATCCCTGAAGAGACAGAAGACGAAATCTCCGGCACGTGTAAAAGTCGAATCACCTGCTCTCAAGTTAGAGAATAGCAGTCCATCACCTAGAGCGAACGAAATTGCCCAGGCAGCTGATGCACATACGTCTTCGAACAGCGGGCAGTTCCACTGGGCAGTAGAGGAAGAAGACTCGGACGACGAGCAAGATCGTGCTACAGATCAAGCTGCGGATGAAGCAGGCAACGTGCAGCCACAGCAGATGACACCACCTACAATATCAGAGCCTGATTCACAACAGCCAGTTCTCACGAACCATCTCAATGATTATGTACTAGATGACGAGGAGGACCACGAACTACATATGAGTGTTGCGAAAGTCTACGAAAAGACCATAATTCAGCTTGGTAGGACGCTTGGAGAAACACTTGTCGATGATTAAGCACGAGGGGCTAGCCACTTTCTTGATCCGGTGATGACGACAACCGCGTCAAGTAAATATCCGTGTCAAGAGGTTTTAGGGTGGCGAACAGCGCAAGCCAGAAGTAGCTCGTTGCAGCCAGGGCAAGTAATAGAGTCGATGCTTAGAACACCTTGGTGACAGTTCGCATTGCTCTACGGATTATCTACAAATTTTGATGCTATAGGCAAAACAATTTAATATCCACATGCCTCGGAGCTGCGGCTGTGTTATGTGTCTAGGTTGCAAGCTGTAGGTGCCCCTGAAATTGACAGTATTGATTCTAATGACATAACAGAGAAAATGGATACACTCCTTCAACCTGGGCTAAAACTTTATAGCTTACCTAGAGGTGCTTGGGGGAACTTACTGGATATGTTCTAACGCATGGAGACAGGTTAACACCATCGGCACCATGTATCAGATAGGTTGGAGAGAAAGGTATCTATTTACAGCAATATTAGCGTCTTGGGCTAAGCATAAGTTGTCGTTGTGAAATAAGACCAATGCGAGAGATCAGATACTGTACCATCGTATGTTGTCGTTCATAACAAGTCAGGTCTAGAGCTAATGATGTCTCATCACTTGTGGCCGAGATTTGCTGGGTCGTGGATGGGTTGCAAGTTAGGATGTTGATATTCCTTACCTGCCGTTGGTTTGAGAGGCGACAGCCTTGGAAAAGAGCGAGCTTTCAGAATCGATTCGTCTTCCCAAAGGTCGGCCAGCATCACGCCAGCATGCATGTGGAATGTACCGATCGCCCAACAACGCAATGAGCAAGAACAATGGAAAAGCTTCATCTGCAGCACACTGTTCTTGTTCTTCTCACTACACACTACTCTCACTACCTCACACCACTCTCCACTCTCCACTCTCCACTACACTCTCTCCACCGCCCCCATCATGACGTACTTCATGAGTAACAGTGCAGGATCAACTACGTTGCTTTATCCTCTCGTGTCGTCTTGAGTTTCGTTCGCTTTTCAATCGTGTCGTGTCGGTCTTGGTGAATTTCGTTGAAGTGGCATGAGTAAAATAAATAAATAAAAATAAAGATTGCTGAAGGATCAGGTAGTGATCAGGGTAACTCTTCCCAATTTCGCAGTCCTGTGCAAACTATCGAAGTTCCAGAATCTCTGGGTGCTGATACTGGAGTTCATGGGATAAAGCCTGTACACAACTGCATGGCGCAGTATTGATCATGCTGTGAGAAGCGCGATGTCGGTTCTGAAGTCCTGGAGAGGGAATTGTGCGGGTTGGGTCGGTCGTGTCCATACAAATGAAAAATGGTAAAGGTGTAAGCAATGGTAAAAGGTGTGGTGCGGAAACCTAGGGTTCGGCAATAGATTAAAGGCCTTCTCTCCAGTCCGGAGAAAGGTGGTGCAGATTAGCTGTTGGGTTGGTATTGTTCATTCAAGACCGTCCTCTCTGTTTCTGGTATAAAAGCAGAGGGTTGATTCATAACGTCGTCAGGTGTCCTTCCTTCCTCAACCATCCCCTCCCTCATCTTTCAACGCCTTGGAACGTGAAATCCATCCCCCAGCCGGGAGCCAGCTCGCGTTGAGAAAAGCTTATGCGACGGGAGGGATTGCGGCAGGTGTAGTAATTACATCAACAGGAGCAGTAACCGGAGCGCTGATGGGGGCTCCAACAGGGGTACCAACGGGAGCACCGACGGGAGCACCAACAGAAGCGCCAGCAGGAGCACCAACGGGAGCGCCAACGTCTCCTCCAACAGCTGCCTTCTGCGGGCAGTCGCGAGAGATGTGGCCTGCCTCACCACACTGGTAGCAGGTCTTACCAGCAGTATTGAGAGGACCACCGTTGGGCGCAGTGCAGTCACGGGAAATGTGACCCAATTTTCCGCACGCGTAGCACTTCATAGCTTGTGCTTGGCAGTCACGAGCGAAGTGGTTTGGGCCACCACACTTGTAGCAGGTAGCTGGGCGAGCACCGCCTGCAAAGCCACCGCGTCCGAAACCACCACCGTAACCTCCACGGCCGACGGGTCCACCTCGAGGGATACCAACACCGGCAGGGTTAGGGCACGAGCGAGCCAAGTGACCGGGCTGTCCACAGTTGTAGCAGCGACCACTGGTACCGGTGCCACTCAGACGCAGCGTAGGGCAGTCAGCTTGGACATGGCCGAGACCTTGGCAGTGATAGCACTGCTTTGCCTCTGTAGTACGTGGGAGAGGGCACTGGTTGGACTCATGTCCTAGAACAACACTGTCAGCCAATGATCCTCAGATTTTGAAAAGATTACCACCACGTTTTGCGCGTACCTGGCTGCTTGCAGTTGTAACAAAGGCGCTCGGCAGATGAGCAGACCTCAGCATAATGACCAACATTGCCACACTTGTAGCAAGCACGACGCGAAAGGGACGACATCTTGGCAGTGTAAGAGTCTGGTGGCATTATTATTAGCAAGGTACCACCCAAAATCAAGGCGCTCCATCGAGTCTGAAATAGCAGTCCGCAGCAGCATAGTCGTTTAAATCGCCATCGCATTCGAAACAGCTCGGTTCCTCGGTTATTAGCTCCTTTTTGGAGGACTGTCAGGGGTTGCGCAGGGTCGAGCATGACATCTAGACGTCGCTATACAGGTGTTGTATTCAACATCCGAGAGGGAAAGTAAAACCCCACGCAATTTAGCGAGGGCCGTCTCGCATGAACATGCACCAAGGTATTGTAACACGGCGGCATGGGTGCCAAGTTTTTCCAGGACCTGGCAACATGCATGCGCTGTGCACAGCTACGCGAGACCTCGGGCGCTCTTCAGCGTACGATTCTTAAATAGCACTCCAGCTGCGTCACCTCGTCCGACATCCATTGTTCGAATTGTCCAAAACTCCCGACAATGTTCCCTCGAGCTAGAATATCATGGTGCCGCGCGTTGTTCTCAGGGGTGCGCCGTGCCATCATGACCTTGCATTGTATGTCGATAGCGACGCGAGTCTTGATTATAGGTGTCGCAGATGGTAATACAATCGGACGGTCGGAGGTGTATTACTTTGTTGGCTCTCGAACACAAGCGCATACTCGTCAACTCGGACGTTCACGATAGGTAGGTTGGTTCCCACCCTGAGTTGCGCTACTCGATCGCAAAGCGGTGCGTGCATCGATGCGACGGCGGGATGTCGTCTTATAGTCGCTGTGTAATCGCTCCGTACCCGAGGAACTGAGGGCTGCCCGTTCATGTAGAATTTGGCAACATATGCGACCCAAGCTGCGGACCGGCCTCCCAGACACAGACAGACTCGACCCAGTGGGTTGGGTGAAGGTATAAACTTTAAAAATAGAAATAAAACCTCTCACTCACCTTGATAGAGTTCCAATAGTAATATCCTGGTCGCTTTTCCAATTCCTGTTCGCACTCTTCCTTTCTGCTTCCTTTCTGCTTCCTAGCGACGACGCGACCACCGGATAAAAAGTCGAGGGTTTTGTCTGTAAAAATGATAGCGCACTTTGTGTAGAAGGTAAAGGAGGGGAAAAGAATGTGAAGGGCAAGCAAAAATGCGAGGAAAACTTTCAGCCAGACGGGCAGAAGACCCACGATCGACCGAACGATGGAGCCGTGCCAGCGCCAGCAGGGAATGAGGGATATGCGTGAGCGTCAGCGTGGGCATGGGCATGGGCGCATGGACGGGCGTCACGGAGTGGGAGGGTAAAGCAATTACAGTGGATCTTCACGGTTAGGGAGCCGCTGGGCTTCTGTGATAGTGCTTGGATCTGGAGACATCTCATGCCTATTCTTTATATGATCGATAGAATGTGACACTTACATGTACAGCTCTGTCTCAGACTGTTCAAACTGGTTGAACATCTGCAGTGTTTTGGAATGAGCCAAATTGTTCTGCTTTGCTATGATACGTGTAATATGACGCAGGTTTGTAGGTGACGTGACGAGTAGTTTTTATCGCAATATTTTCCTCATGGTCCAGACGCAACAATCCAGGGCCCTGCCTTGGTCAGAATCAATATTGTAATCACGGACAACCCAGCAAAAGGGGACAAGTCTCATCAACCCTTGCTCTGTCAGCTCAAGTTTCGACTATTTCATCTTATATTGCGGCCCAAGTTTTACCAATGTCCACGGATTGGTCAGGTATCACCACCCGGGGGCGTTGTTCCAGCTAATACCCTTTCTCACAGTACATCTCGCGTGCCAGCGTGCCAGTATGTAAATGGCAAATTAGTGCAGTTCCCTAAGGTTAGGGGTTACTAGTCTCCATACGTTTAGCCGTGATACCGTCCCGCAGCTCCTTGACGTTTGGCGAGTTAACCGGCGTTGAAATAAGTTGTTCTCGCACATGTTCGCTTTGAAATAGAATTCGTCCTTGGGCGTTGCGACTGCCGATGCGCGACTCAGGGTTTCAGATTATTGCAAACCTTATCTAGCACCTCTGGACAGCAGAAGCAGAACATCCAACACCTAGTCATTGACGTTCAACGCATCCTGTGCATGTGACACCGAGCAATACAAGTTGCAGACATCCCGCTGTCGGTAGGAATAAAAAGTACATGCTCAGTCGGGCATTGTTTCATGCTGCAAAACGAAGAAGTGACCTGGATGCGCATGGTGGGGAAGGCTCTTGGCGCCTATATTCCGAGGGAGGACGAAAGAGACATTGCTCAGCGTCATACCGCTTTTGGCTGAGGAGTGACTCACCCGAATGTACAATTTTCCACTGGTCTAAGTAGGTTGACTTCATATCAATCAATTCACTCTTTAACATGCATTCTCCGAACGGCACTGGCTTGGTGTCATGTGCTTCGTCGCAGGGTTTGAGATGGAGACTCAGAGTCAACACTTGACTCCGTCATTGCAAATCAATTGCTATAACCTCGGCGCAAAGAAAACAATGCGCACGCATGAGACTAAACTGGTGGTCGGCTACTACTGGCTCTAGAGCCTAGGTTAGAGCAGTGGAAGCCACGTGAAGCACGCTTGTTGGTGGGAACAAAGTGGGAGCGAACTGTCATCATCTCTCAGTGCTGACTCCGCCAGATCGGATTTAGAGCATTTTTCTTTTCTGGAACGTAGGCTTTATCGCTACTAAATAACACAAACTTGACAACTTGTTTCTGCTGAAGTGAAGGTATCAAACCCTGAGGTCCAGAGTGTACAAATGCACGACTAGAAATGCAGCGAACTCAAAATTGTCTACACAGCACTGGACTCCACGGTTTCCGTTTCCACAATCTCACCAGATCTCTCGCGAAAGATCTCGCGTATCATTGGTTTTTCTCTATTCTCGCGCTGGGGATATGAAGAGAATCTAAAGCTCAAGGTAGGCGGTCATCCAGGAGACCGTATAAGGGAAAGAGCTTAGTACACGAGGATTGAATGTGGTAACGATATTTCACATTTCTTGTGGCCGCTTTGTGGCTTATTGGAATAGCACTGTATACATGGCCCAACTTACCCAAGACCTCCAGTCGACTAGAATGGACGGCTTGGCTTAATGTTACCACACCGAGCTGAACTCTCATTCAACCTCCTATGATCACAGAGACCTTCCTCATTACCCGCGTTGTCTTCTATTTGACGACAACCAGCGAGGTATGGTAATTACGGTTTGTGCTTCGCCTATTATAAGACCCATCTCGTTTCTTCTACTTCTAAGCTCTGACTATGCAGCTTTTTTATGTTGGTAAGACTGCTCTGATGTTCGTTGCGCTCTACAAGTTGGCGCGAATGGGTGATTCATCGGTCCTGTTAACGTCAGCTTGTGTCTTCTTCTCGCTTCAGCGAAATTCTACTCACTTGGTCCGCTTCTCAGTTTCCACTTGAATCAGGCGCCCCAGATCGCTGTTGACCCGTGAAAACATGCCGTAAGTTCGCTCACGGATGCTCTTCTGTGCGTTGCAAAGATGACCCGCTACGTTCTGGACAAAGTTGGCTTGCTGGCCGGTCGTCTTAGCCAGTACCCTCCACAAGCCATTGGCTTGCTCGAAATCTTTGGGCTTGACTTCAGAGAAGACGTCTGAAACTACTTGGCCAGTCCAGCGTTCATGAGCACGGCTTTGTTCTGATACGGAAGAATAGATTAACGGACGAGAGGAGCTGGGATAGTTCGGGAGAGCTCCATGGTTTCCATTCACGGCCATGGCCCCATCGCGTTGGAATGGGTTAAAAGCTCGCAACGGTTGGTTCACCGGGATCTGTTGATAATTTACGCCTAGCCGGTGACGGTGTGTATCGGGATACGAGAATAGTCGGGATTGGAGAACCGGATCAGCCGATGGCTCCACACCCGGAACAAGATGCGAGGGCGAGAAAGCGGCTTGCTCGATCTCCGCAAAGTAGTTGTCAGCATTTTGGTTCAGAGTCAGCCTGCCAAATGGCCTGAGAGGAACATCTTTCTGAGGCCAAACTTTGGTGAGATCGAAGATATTCCATTTGAAGCCCTCGGCTTGTTCAGGTGTTAAAACTTGAACATAAACATCCCAGCTGGGGAAATCTCCCTTTTGGATAGCTTTGAATAAATCTTGAGTTTGCCAGTCTGGGTTTTCCGCCTCCATCTTCGAGGCTTCGGTACCTGTAAACGTCTTGTTGCCCTGTTTCGTCTTTAGGTGTATTTTAACATAAACGAACGACCCATCTGGCTTCGTCCACTTGAATGTGTGGCCGGAATACCCATTCATGTGTCGGTAGGAATACGGCGTTCCTCGATCCGAAAACAAATGCATTACTTGATGAGTACATTCTTGATGAGTGGACAGGTAATCCCAAAATGCATCAGCATCTTTGAGGTTACTCTGCGGATTCCGCTTTTGCGTATGGATGAACGTCGGGAAATTGGCAGGGTCGCGCAAAAAGAAGACCGGTGTGTTGTTGAATACCCAGTCCCAGTTTCCTTCTTCCGTATAGAACTTGATGGCAAACCCTCGCGGATCACGCGCCGAGTCAGGTGAGCCCTTTTCTCCTCCAACAGTGGAGAAGCGCACCAAAGCACGAGTCTTCTTGCCAACGGCATTGAGCATAGACGCAGAAGTCAGGTCCGAGACATCATGCGTGACAACAAACTATGAAAGTGTCAGCAATTATATCTACAGATGGACACCACGAAGTGCATACTTCACCATAAGCGCCAGCGCCCTTGGCGTGCACAACTCTCTCGGGAATACGCTCACGGTCAAAGTGCGCAAGGAGGTCGATAAGATGGAAGTCCTGTAAGAGAAGTGGTCCATTCTGCCCGACTCTTTGAAACGCGCTCGGGTTCTTCACAGGAGCGCCATTTGATGTCGTGTAAACCGACCCCGAATGCTGGAGGCCGGGCAGTGGATGCTGCATGCCTTTGCGAGAGGCCATAGCTACCTCTTATATGAGACCGAGTTTATACCCTAAGAAGATAACGGTATCTTTCAGAAACTTTGTGCGTGGCTGGAGATCACGGTAGGTGTGAACAGCGACCGCTAGTTGAATCTCGGCGAGATATACTTGAATGAATTTTTAAAATATAGCCTCTATACCCAACCAGAACATGCCAACGAAGGGAACTAATAGAGAATACATCTCTACAACGAGCTATAAAAAGTGTTGTTAATGCGCTGGCTGTAATTAGCCAACGTGGATACCGATGCCGTAAGCCCTCCACTTGAGCAGCCAATTCGGACCGACCGAGTACGGAAGCGAGGAATGTTTCCGCGAGCGCGCTCACGTGTCCGGCAGTATTGTTCGGAATGCGGCGAAAACACCTGTATCTACACGTACCACAAGGTTGATTGCGGGGAAATATACAACACCGGCTTCGCATCCGACCATGCATGTAGATCTCGGAGCTTTGCTTGACTGACTTAACTGGGTCCACCTCACCGGCAATTTTCCTTTGGTCCCTCCTTGGTAACTCATCAGAACAGAAAACTTACCAAGAGCTAGGTAAATCAATACATTGACATCTGTATTCCGTTGAAGTAGTCTAGCATATTTGAGCGAGCGAGCTATCTCCATATAGCACATGGCTCGCGGCGTGCAAAGTATATTTGAAACCAACCATGGGTGTCACTTCAATCATGACTTAATCTCGTCGACATTGGTACGTGTCTATGATAAACTATATTTCACCACACTTTCGAGATGAATACTACTCTCTTTTCTTATTGACTACACTATGTATCAATACATAAACTTATGTATAATCCAGTACGTACTCGGTAAACAAGCTTAAATAAATCAAGAGAAGCTGTCCCAACTTACGAGGGCTGTAAATATGGTGCAAAGCGCATGCTACCCCAATTCCTTTAGATGTTTGAGTGCGTAAACGCGGTGACAATCAACCAACATAAGAAATAGACCGTCGCATGCCGACCCAACATCATATCCATCCAAGCCCAGTAGGATAGCAATACAGCAAGCACAACCGTGACTATCACGTAGTAAAAAGGGTCCTCGGTGCGCCGCCGACATGTATTTCTACACTACCTGCCCATAGAAACGTCCACGATGGATCCGCCCAAGTCACAATGCGTTAACCCATCAGCTGCAATCCGTTTTCCAGCAGTATTGACGCCCGTGATCTTTGATGTTGGCTATAGAGATGTCAGCAAGTGTATTATCAAGGGTTGAAAAGAACAAAACAGTTGCTTGGTAGTTGATAAAAGGATTACGTACGATGATGAGAACGCAAAGCAGGGCTCGCAGAAGCCATGTATTCGTATATATCCAAGCTTTGGCATTGTTAAGACCAATTACCCGCTTACTATATGACTCTTTCATTGCTGTCATTGTTGTTAGGGCATTCTTTGACATCCCAGGTCGGCGTCTTTTCTGACAAGGAGCATTGCTAGGTCGTTGGCGTTATTCGGCTCTCTTGAAGGCAGATGATAAGTAGGCGGAGAGTCGAGAAGGCCTTCGCGTGGTTTGTATAGCGAGACTAAAAGAAGCAGATCCTCTCGCGGCCGCAGTGACAAAGAAATTAATCCATTATCGAGCTAAGGAGCACAGAGCCAGGGGCGTTAACATCGGTATGATCAACATAATATCCCGCTGCTTCTGGAGCTATGTTGCTAAAATAAGAGGATCTGCTCTGTAAGGTAATGGTATGACGAGAATTTTGCGAAACACGTTTCCATGCTCATGTTAGCGGCCGCGGTGCTTAACTGCATGAGAACTTCTATTATGGAATCAACCTGAGATGGCAGTTTATAACGACTAAATTGAATCCTGATACAATTATAATCCGATGGTGCAAATGGTCAAATACTAAATCCCAAGTGCCACTAGTCCGTCTGCTTTGCCTTGATTTGCTTTGCGCCCACGCCTACACTTCCTGTACCAGATATTCAATGGGAACATCATTTTATCTGCGTCATTATTGCCTACATAGAGAGAGGAGCGTCATAGCATGCATGTTCGGTTCTCCGCTTGGTCCGCTGCAATATGGAAACCCAGGTGGCTTGTATATAAAAAGACATTTATGCTCCTGAGTGCTGTTGCTTGCAGACTAATCAGTCGTGCGAACCATGCAAAAAGCAACAAGGCCAGAGCCTATCACCTCTCAATACAATGATCTTCCGATCAGAAATTTGTACCTTGCCCTATTCTCCCAGCCTCGGACGGGTGCGTGGGTAGAGGCACCCCGGAAGTGGAAAGAGTCGCATCGCTCAAGGGCGCCATTGATCTAGGCCGTGCCTCGACCACGTAGTCCACGCCATCATCCGACGCATAAGAGGGCGGGCGGTTAGCAGTAGCTGGCCTGGATGCTGCGTTCCCGAGTGGTACTGGTTCCTGATCATTCCGCTGCCAGTAGATGCGATTCGGATCGACGCGCTACAAACTCAATTAGGGTCTTCTTTGTTACAAGGCCAATGACTCAGTTCAGACAATTACGTACCACGCTCTCCCTCCATAGACCGTAAGCTGGAGGGTGTACTTTCGTTGTCTCGCTTTCCAGGCCAGCTGCTTCCTCATCTCGCGCCAATAACACGCGAATTGGCCGTTTTGGGACGGCATAACCACCGGGTCCCATCATCTCTGGTAGGCGTGCACGTTCTTCATCATCTGGTGATTTCGGGCGCATAACAATCATACATAGTCGGATGAGACCGTGACAAAACACGATCGTAGCGAAGAGAATGACTAATATGAGTAGGATAGTAAATTCGCTGTTGTTGATGTTCTTGGTGACGCTGAGCGCAAGGTCTGGAATTGCATGTTAGATCCGCATTTCTGGAATGCTCCAAGGCATGAGGCGCCGCAGCAGGGGAGACAACAGCCCAAGAGGCACTTACATATTATTAGCATCAGCGATAGGAACATGCCTAAGACGAAACATCTAAGCACTTGCGATCGAACTCGCCGGCTCTTGATCCATGGAAAACAATAGAGGAACCGTTTAGGTTGCCCTCGTTGTTGGGTTCCAGTTGAACCATTGCGACGCCTTCTCCGTCTCCCAGTCTCAGCGAGGTCCGCAAGGTGCATTTCTGCTGGATCGGCACCTCTAAAAGACCGCCTACTGCGGCCACTGGTAGAGTCTCTGCGAGAATGGGCTAGTTGAGGTTCAACTACAACCGGAAAACGCTCTGTTCGTGAACGCTGAAGTGAAGGCCGTGACTCAGTTTCATCAGAGTCTACTGACGAACTGTCATGAGAAGACGACTGATTTTGTTCGCTTCGTGTCCCAGTACGGGAGAGATTCGGCAACCCAACGCGAAACCTCCTCGTCTTTGGGCCATCCTCATCATCCCGATTCGTAGGCGACCGCTGCAGCCTGATGGCATGCCTTGGTTGTCCCGAGAAAACGGATGGTAGTTGAGGCCGACCAAGAACGAACCGCCGTGCCCGACCTGGGCTTTGCTCTTGCTCTTGCATCTGTTGCCCATTTCTAGGATGCCCATGCTCCAGGTCTGTCTCCTGTTCACCCGCCGGGGTTCCTCTTCGAAGAACTTTCGACCTGACATAATCCATTGCGAGTCACAAATTTCCAGTTGTTATGTCAGATGTCCCCAATACCTCGTGTTGGTCATGGTCTGAGATCACTCAGGCGGATGCACTGAACTGAAATGGATCGGCGGTATTGGTGGCGTTCTTCGAAGTAATCAGTTCCTTTCCAGGCGTACTAATTTAGAAGTCGTCGGGCGCAAAAGGCTATGTTTGCCGAACGAGAATGGTATGTTGACGATCTATAATACGGCTCGAATCCAACAAAGACTCTAGCCCTCTTGTCCTAGACGCGAGTCTCGCCCACAGATCAACGGAGACCGATGATATCTGTCCAGGACCGAGGGAATATCGCAGCCTCAAATCTTCGAGGTTTTCAGTCGAGCGTGGCCGGAAATCTAGGTCCTGCAAGTGATTGTACCGTGGAGTAATCGGTTGGTGAATGAATGAAGCAGACCAGCTGAATTTTGAAGGTTTGGCCAGAAGTCGGGCTTCCAGAGCCTATGAATGTGCAAGAGGGTGAGCGAGTGTAAAGAAGGATAGGTTAACGAGCAATAACGCCCTATTGGAGGAACAGCAAAGGCTGTAAGAGTCTTAGGCGTCCATTGGGAGAAGATGAAACCACAAAGTAGCAAAGTCAAGCCTCGTGGGAGACAGGAAACGCCAAGGTTGGCTCAAGACACTAATAGTACTCGTGTGGAGGGGGACCAGCCAAGGCAGTGTATGCCGTTCGAAAAGAACCTAGGTCAACGATAGGCGATAGCTTTGCGACTGATACACGGACGCGCATACGACACCAAGCTCAGGGTCGCTGTCATGGGCCTCCTTGTGGTCTCACCTGAGGCCGGGTGGGAAGGAGAGCCACTCGAATGCGACCAGGATATCGATACTTTACGAAACTTGAAGTTATGAAAGCTCGTTTCCTGAAGGGAGATTGCGAGTGCACGTCAATTGGGGCAAAAGAACCAGACGCACTTGCATCCGCAGGGCATCCTCGCTCCTGAATCTCCAATCAGGTTTGATAACGCGAATAGGAATGGAATAATTCTCAAAGCACACCAGGAGCCCCTGATCTTACCTGACCTTACCAGCAAGTTTACGAGAAGACAGTCTGGTTAACCAATGGATGGAGGCGGTTGGGAAGCAATGACATCTCTGACGGCGGGAGCTCGAGAATGAGACACGACGCAGGGGGACCAAGTGTTTCGGCTTGGGTACCGGAGGAAAGACACTACGCTGTATGTGGTGCACTAATAGCCGCCGCCTGCCAAGAAGGGATTGGTACCTTGGTACAACTCGTGGAGTGTCTAATTTTATATTCATTCAAGTACCAAGCACTTTGCCGCGATATCATTGCTTCCCCAGCCTGGAGCACGAACACACCCAAGTTGCTGCTGTCTTTCTTAGGAACACCCCAGTTTCATGATATCCTTCACTTTGTTGAGACCCTGTAGTCTTTTCACATTTGTCGTTATCGAATGGCAAATATCGAAGCAACTGATTATGATCTTCTGATGTCATTAATTCGTCGCTAAATGCAAAGTTGCCATGGCACGTAGAACCTTCTGCACACCTATCTGAATTTTTCATTACGGCTGCACGTGAATCCCTGGGGACTTCTGCCATTGAGCAGACTATGCCTTCAAGGGTATTACTTGAAGTATCAAATATCGCTTTGCCTCCCTCAAAACCCGGGGTCCGAGCACCATGTCACATGTGCATGGGCCTTTCTGCTTCTCGCCATCAGCTAGACTGATCAATGTCAGAGTTACAGCTGAAAGTTCGACAGTAACGAGGCGTGGCGTGCGTGGTTGAATTGCGTCATACGCTAGAACTCTGTGTGGCTTCTTCGGAACTGTCCCACGTATGACGGGCTCGGATTCCCCAATGGGTAGGAGCTACCTTTCGCCAGAGAGTCGTCTATAGCACCGCAGGCCCGAAGAGTCACTTGACTTTGGAGAACTGTTCATCAATGGCTTCATCGTAACTCGCCTAATAATATCCTGCGATCCGAAGAAGCAGAAAGAACTAGAGTCGTGTTAGAACAAAGACCCATGGTAGTAGGTCTGACCAGCTTACTAATTGGCTCTTCGTGTGGCGCAAATTCTGCGCAGTTGACTGTGCCCTTGTGACCCGGGAGTTTGTACAAGAGCTTGCCATTGTCACTCGACCAGATTACGACAGTGCCGTCCCCAGCAGGCGCAGCGATTTGTCGTCCGGTCTTGTCCCAGCTGGCGCGCATCAAGTTCTTCTCCAACCCTGCTTGCGCACCATCAAATGTGCGAATGTGTCGTTCGGTTGGCGCGAATGGTCGAATATCCCATGTCTTGGCTGTGGAGTCGTGCGAATATGAAAGTAGTGACTGGGCATCTGGTGAGACTCGTAAGCTGGTCACAGTATCGTTGTGACCAAGCATGGAGTACACGACAGCCTTCTTCCGCAAATCCCAGACCTTGATGTCATTATCGATGCCACCTGAGTAGATCTCGTTTCCAGCTTCTGAGACTGCCAGCGCGGTTATAGGGAACTCGGTCTCGATATAGTCCGCAGCGTTTTTGGTGCGCGGATCCCAGATGCCGATTGTGCCATCATCACTACCGCTGAATAACATTTCTTCTCCGCGCTTCGTGATGTCCATAACGTTGATGACCTCCTCGTGCCCAATGTATCGTCGGATTCGTTGGCCGGAGGTCAAATCCCAACTGGCGAGGTGCATGTCGGCTGATGCAGAGAACAGTATGGACGAGTCGCGCGACCATTGCAAGTCCAATATCGCGCCCTTGTGGCCGTTCAAAACACCATAGTTTTCGCAGTCGTGATGAGATCTCCATAAGAGTATGCTGCGATCCATGGATCCTGAGGCTATGAGATTGCCGGTTGGGTCGAATTTGGCGGCGAACACTTCTCCCGAGTGACCAGTGAGTTCCATCACAGGGGCATCTAGATTGCTTGTGCGTGGTGCCTATTTGTGGCTGTCAGTCAGCGCTCCAGTCACGGTTTGCTGTTGTGCGTTGAAAAAGCTGTTTTGCTTAGCTTACCGACTGGATCAATGCACCGCTCCCAGAGCCGTCTCTTCGAGCAAGCGCAGTGCTACTTCCAACATTCTGTCGCTTGACGATCATTTGACCGGCGGCGCCTGGGTCGTCAGACGGGCGACGGGGACGCTTTTCGGACATGATGATGATGATAATGGGGAGCGCAGGAGTTTTTGATGCAGTCTACGGGTCCGTAAAGTTGGACTTGTTGCTGTCAGTGCTGTCTTGGGAAATTCGGTGCGGTGAGAGTCGTCAGCCTTGGTGGCAATTGTGAGCAGATCAAGTCCTTCAAGACGATTGAGTCTGTGCAACGGCGCTCATCAACCACTTCAATGTCGTTGGTCTCAGCCCAGAGGCTGAAGCAACACCAAGCTCAAGCTCCAGTCAAGAAAATCGATCGGTGGTGGTGATGTTCCGCCACCGAGCAAGTGACGTCGGCATCTAGCACCACCGATGCGCCGGCCCTGTCCCACCTCAGTCTTTCACCGCCCACATGCACCATCCAGCGCCCTTTAATTCTGCCGAGTCTAAGTTCTAGTTGACATCCACGCTGCCACGCCTACGTCTACCACTGGAATAGCTGAATAGGTACCTATCAGCCTATCTACCTTTACGGAGCAAGGGTGGCCGACACAAAAGAACGGGTCAGCTCCTATCGCCAGTCTTCACAAGCTGCATATACCAAAAACCATTTAACTGGCGACCCGATTCTTTCATTCCACGACGGTCGACGTCTTACGATCCGTTCTTCACCGGCGTCTTCGCGCTTCACCTTCACCTTCACCTTCTCTGAGCCTTCGGCGTAGGCCTAAATCGCTGGCTGAGCCATGTCGGCAAGCAAGGCAGCCCGCGTGGGCGAGGAGTACGTTGCCGCACCTGCTCCCTCACTTGTAAACCCTTGACCTAGGCTGACTTGTGCATGATCAGAATCTGGAAGTAAGCTTCTCTGCGACTGTAGCATAAGACTTCACACTCATCTTCAAACAGGGGTCGAATCGACAAGGTCAACGCTGAGCTAGTCACACTCACCTACGGCACCATTGTCGCTCAACTATGCAAGGACTTCGAGGGCGACTATGTCGAGGTAAACAAACAACTCGATCGGATGGGCTACAACATTGGCCTGCGGTTGATTGAGGACTACCTTGCCAAGTCTAACACGATGCGCCGGTGTACCAACTTCCGCGAGACGGCCGAGATGATAGCCAAGGTCGGATTCAAGATCTTTCTGAACATTACCCCAACCATCACAAACTGGACCAACGACAGCAAGCAATTCTCCTTGGTCTTCGAAGAGAACCCACTGGCCGACTTTGTTGAGCTGCCCGATGACGGACGTGCCCAAGATGAGTTATGGTATTCGAACATCTTTTGTGGCGTTCTGCGCGGTGCTCTGGAGATGGTACAGATGCAAGTCGAGGCACATTTCATCAGCGATATATTAAGGGGGAATGATACTACAGAGATGCGGATAAGTCTGATAAGGTACATCGACGACGAGCTGCCGCCGGAGGATGATTAGAGGAACGATGTAATGGTTAAAACGATATGCATGATCTAGTTAATGGAGTTCGGGCTGATACTGTTCACGAAAAGGCAACAATGCATTGACAGTTCTTTATTAAAACTGGACCCAAAGGCGTGGATAAACCTGTGGCTTCATGCGAGGCGTGACATGGCATTGGTAGATTGACTGGCTGTGTTCATACCCGGCATTGACTTTGTGATACCTCGAGCAACTCTGTGAAAAGACTGCCTCAAGCGCACGTGAGACATTTGATCTGACCGCAAATGCATACAAGCCATACGGATGATCAATATCCATATGTACTACGAATTGTCCCCGCGCGATGGGTCGTACCAGACCGTTTTCCGCATCCTGCGAACCCCATGCGGGACGCGCCGCTGTCTGGCAGCCGGGCTCCCGCTCCGCGTCCCTCCCACTGAATTCGGCTCCTTGCAGGTAACCCACCAGGTCTCTTTTCATGCAGGCGCCACTTTCGAGATTAGAAACGTCACAAATTGGCAACATGAGATCAACGTGGTGCTGACTTGCAGTTGCATTCAGTAGGGTCGGATAGTGTCGATTTTTGGAGAGAAAAACGTGGCCTGGGTGCATTGTACCTGCATTGGTGAAGACACCAGGCTTGCCCCGGGCCCTGGGGGGCTCTTCTTCTAATCTTTGATTTAAGCATGCATTGGGGGCCAAAAAGTGCCGACACTAGAGTGTATTTGTTCAGGGTGCAATACATACAGAATTTCAAGCTCACAACCTTTCAGCGTTGTTCAGCATCTGATCTCGCACTTGCACGGCACTCTCCACTTGGTGATTATGATAGCGTCTTTGCACACCCCAGATTCAGTCCCCAGCCTGTCAGCGACATTTGGTCGAGTTAGTTGATGGACAAGGTTGGCCCAATCCTCCAGTGGGGAAAGTCATGAGAACGCCAACGCTGATCTTCTCTCCATAGCGGGATCCATCTGACTAGCTCTAACGAGTAGACCCTATAGCATAATATCATGTAGTACAAAATGTTCAAGCTCAAGAAAATTGCGCACAAGATTATGGATAGTAATCTCCATGGCATGCTCATGGACGACATGCGAAATATTTACATCGTGTACGGATCCGTACTCAGCACGAATCCGCAACAGGCTTGTAGATGGGGCTACCCTCTGTCATCTGCGAACGGTCTGACTTGGAGGATGACGAATGGCGACATATAGTCGGGCCAGCGCAAGTCGCCGCACCTAATCGAACGACACCGGGCGGACCTGATAACGTGGGGAGAAACGTTGTCTCTGAAGACAATGATCAGATACCTTACGATAATGATATATTCCTTTTTGCAATGTCTCATCCAGCGCATTGCATGGAAACAGTGCAATTTGAGATTCCAAACACATGTCTCACCATCCACTGCAAGGCTCCATTCGATCTCAAAAAAATAGTCCTACAGATGATGGCTGATGATCCGCTTGCCGGACTATCTTGCTTTCCGCCAAGATTGCATCTGAAGAGCATCTTACTTGTCGCAATTACAATGAATCCACGTATATTTATTCAAATCGAGCGTTCTGAACTCGTGCATGCAGCTGTATTTATTGCGAACTAAATTAGCGACAGTTTCTCTAGGAAGAATTCTTAATTATAGGTTGTAGTCTTCGCGAAACGCGTCGGATGTTGCATCACCAACTATGAGATTGATGTGTCGCGCCAAGCCAGAATTGGATGCCTTAGCAGCCTGAACAGCCTTATTTTTGGGACTCGTGCTCAAAGATACGCATCTAGGGCATGCCAAGAACACCTAAAAGGGAAGCCTGCCAACAATTTTGCAGCCTGCACACCACAAATCGTTCTCAAATATGCGCAGAGATCGACCCCAACTTCATGGGTTGTTCTAGTTATGACAACACTAAGGAATGATGCACTGTCCCACCATCGGTTTTACTGGGTTTTCGATACTCCCCAAGACCCAAGAACTACTGTACCCCCGTTCAAGTCTTGACTGGAACCAGATCTGGTCCAACCTTGAAGAAGCGTGTTGTTGCTGTCACTGTTGCTGTTACTGGTGCTGTGCTGCTGCCGGGGCTCCTGCTGATGTCTATGTATATTTGAATGTTTGACACCCATGCCAAATGCAAACTCTGAAATCCATGTTCATTATTCCTCCAACATCCAATACATTACACTCACTGCAATTGCCTTTGCCTGATTGACATGACATTTCAAAACTCGCATGTTGGTCTCTTTGAATGGTTCTGTTGTTGCATCCACTTTCTGCGGTCTCAGCTTCATCTCTTCGGTGGACGACCGGCATAAAAAGGCAGGCAGCTTGCGCGCACTTTCATCGACAATAGACACCTATAGACATCTTAAGCGATGCGCTAGCAGTGCTAGGGACGGCTGCACTGTGCATTTAAGGTTCGTAATGCTGCGAAGATGATGGTAGGGCTTGACGACCGCCCCTCGCCCTCCCGAGTTTTGATTGAATCTATTAACTATCCCCAACGACCTCGTCGCGCTTGGCCATTGCGCACTGCTTGCAATATCGAGGCTGTGTCGCTATTCTTCTTCTCATACATTGCAACTCCTTTCTCTGTATTGTCGCTAATTTGCACAGTGAAAGCACTCCATCTTGGAGAGTTCAGGGACCTGGGTAAAAGTTCTAGAGGTCTTCTAGCTCCTTTTCAAAACCCGGTGGTAGGCTGGAGCCGTCCTTTTCGGTTCCAACACAGCTAGCTATCTCAAAGTACCCTGGAGGTATTATCGCACCATTTGGAGAACCGGCGCCCTCCCCCTTCTCTCAGTGTCCTACAGTACATACCTTGAGGTACCCTTATCCTAGTGGTTGATCTCTTCTCTGTACGCCCAGCCCCCAGTGTCAATTCTCACTGGACCTTTGCACGTTTTCGCCAACGGACGCCCCAGCTCTGCCCAGTGCAACTCCCACTGAACCCACGGCATCAACTTGATCGCATCTTTCCAACCACGACTCTCCCCAAACTCGACCGCTCCCACCCCAGCTCGGCTGACTACCCACGACTCTCGACCACAATCTCGTCGTCGCTTGTCGATGATAATCGAGATATACTGGCAATTCGATTTTCGACTCGTCGAATTTCGGCTTACCACTAATCCTCATTCACTTATTGAATGATAGGTCTTGTCCGTAGTTGCAGTCGCAGTCGCCGTCGCCGCACGCAACTAACTCGGAGATTAGCCACCCGCATCTCTGCTCTCTACGCGACTGAACTGAACTGAACTTATCACCCGCCCGGCCAGCATAGTGTACCAGGAGGTTACCATTCTTCTCCTTCACTTTCCCTCCCGCCCCCAGGACTCCGTGGACCCGACCGTCGGACTGAACTTCTTCTTTCGCTGCTCATTTGTTTGTGTCGCGACTTGGAAGTTTTATTTCCCGTCGTCATTGTCCTCCTGCCTCTCTTTCTACATTTCCAAGCCCCCCGATAATCCACACCCCAACCACGACCACTGCTATCACATCACCTCTGGTCTAGGTGCTCTCAATCACAACAACACGTTTGGCGTCGCTTGTGTATTTGATATTCCAGCTGCATCTGCTCGCCATTATTGGCACCTCGCAATCAATCCTGCAACGCGCGTGCATATCTCTTGTCATCCGTCAGAGGGGCAAATTTTCGCGCCTGAGGCTGCCCATCTCACTCTAATCGCCTCCCCAATTTTTGCTTGGGAGAGATTCGATCGGAGTCCAAGCTCGCCGCAGGTTGTCACCCTCCCGACACGAACGCGGATCTTGGAGCATTGTCCCAAGTCACCATCAACGCCTTCATAATCTCCTCCGCCCCGTCAATATTCGCCGGCATATCTTGGAACTCCATTACAAGCGACGAGCGATTTGATTCTTCTCGTCCAGCTACTCCAGGTGCCTTTTTGTTAGTGTCGGCAGCCGCTGTCGCTCACCGAGACAAACCAACCTAACCAACGACTTTCCACATTTCATCGGGGGATCTGCTACATCACGTCACGTCACGTTTCGCGGAATTGCCTTGCGACCACACCAACTCATCGGATTATTTTCGAACTGGCTTCCAGACTTTCCGACCAGAACCACATCACGTCAGCATCAGCTGCCATCAACGCGTCCGCGCGATTCCCGACCCTGGAAGTCGCATTCAGATCCTGCGGATTTGACTGACCTTTAGCCGCGCCTACGCAGACCTTGTCTGCCCCAAATCATAATCATGAACAACGTCGGCATGGCCAATATGAACGCCATGGCCGGCCCGGTTGGTGCCCCCATGGCCATGCCCATGAACAACGGCGCAATGCCAATTGGAGCACAGCAAATGGCTCAGCAGCAGACACAAGCGCATAGGACAATGTTGAACACCTACATCTACGACTACTTTGTCAAAGAGGGTTTGTATGACGTCGCCCGTGCCATGTTAAGCAGCGAACAACACATCAATGTCCTGCAAAAGGACAGCCCGCGACAATCCAATGGTGCTGGCGACGACCCTATGGATACCGATAGCAAGGATGATCTCGACAAACGTCCTGCTGATCTGCCCGCTGCCAACATTCCTATTTCGTCCGACTCTTGCTTTCTGTACGAGTGGTTTGGTATGTTCTGGGAGATGCTCAATGGACATCGGAAGCCCAATGGCAACAACCAGGTGAATTCGTACATACAGCACACACAGGTAAGCTGCACTGATCTCGGATACCACACATAGTCGCTATGAGGCTAACTTGAACATAGCAACAAAATCGGTTGAAGCAAAATCAGCAACAAGAAATGTTGCGACAGATGCGCTCTGATCAGATGCAGTTCAACCCAGCTATGATGAGAAATATGCAAAACGGAATCGGCCCCATGGCACCGAACAAGAACAACCTTGCCAGGACAGCAATGGCAAATAACCAAAACAAGTAAGCTTTCGAGAGCGGTCACCTCTTTCATTTCATCGGTGCCACAGTCAGTGCTAACGGAAACCTCCCAAAAGCCCGCAAGCTATGGCTATGATGCAACAACAGGCCAAGCAGAATCAGATGCAACGCGATCCCTCGGACATGGATGGGAACCGACGACCTGCATCTCCCGGATCAACGGACAACGCGCCTTCGCCGAGCAAGAGACCACGATTAGAAGGCCAGGGTCCTCCTTTCAACCCGCAACAGGCAGGAGGCATAATGGCCAATGGTCGGCCGCAACAGCAAGGGATGCCAGGACAACAACAGGTGGGCACTGCGAATAACCCTACACAATTGGCGCGAGCACAAGCCGCGACCCAGCTATTGCTCTCGCACAACATCGATCCGAAATCGCTGACTCCTGACAAGTTCCAGAATTTCGCGAACCAGCCCCAAAACGTCCAGAAGAGCTCCATCGCCACCTACTCCCAGAACTTGCAGCAACACCATGGCCAACAGATGCCCAACAAGGCAATGGGCCAGCCCGGCAATCCTCAGGGTCAAGGTTCTCCCATGATGCAGCAGGGTCCGAACCCAGCCGAGATCAGCACTCTGTATAACGCCAACGACTTCGGAGGCATGCGTCCCGGTCCTGCGAATGGTCAAGGTGGAGGCAGTAACCATGCCCTGCAAGACTATCAGATGCAGTTGATGTTGCTCGAGCAGCAGAACAAGAAGCGACTGATGATGGCCCGCCAAGAACAAGACAGCATGGGCAACATCCCCCGAGCCGATGGTCCCGCCGGTCCTGGTGGTCCTGGAGGTCCTCCGGGCCCCAACGGACAGGTCTTCCCCGAGTCGTCACCCCAGGGAGCTCGTCCTGGCGCATCTCCCAATCCGAGTGAACAGCAGATGAAGCGAGGCACCCCGCAAATGAACCCCGCTGGTATTCCTTCGCCGCTGCCGGCTGACGGAGCGCAATCACGTGGATCGCCGAACCCCATGGCATTCATGCCAGGCGCCAACATGGACCCCAACTTGGCAGGTGGCCCACAGTTCATGAACGGCATGAACGGCCAGATGGTGAACGCCCAGCAGATGAATGGAGGTATGCGACCTCCAAGTTCCCACCCGGGTCAGCCCTTCAACGGCCAGGTCAACCCTCAACAGATGATGGCCGCCAGGCAGGCTCAGGGTGGTCAAGCAGGTCCCAACCAGATGCAATGGCAAGGTGGACCCAATGGTGCCATGATGACCCAAGGTCCTCAAGGTCAGGTGCAAGGAACACCACAGCAGCGTAATGCTCAGATGCCGCCACCTTCCGCACCCGCACCCGGTGGTCCAGCAAATGGTCGGACTCAACCCTCGTCCCCAGCGACCAGCAACGCTGCTCCTCCTACACCCCAACAATCTAACAAGAGTGCCCCCAAGAAGAAGGCCACCAAGGATACCAAAAAGGTGAGTGTGGACCTAGCGCTTGTGAAATTTCAGAGCTGATAAGTGTACTAATCTCAGGCTGCCGGAAAGAAGTCCAACGCAAATACAGGTGCAACACCAGCAGAATCTTCACAAGAGCAAGAGGTGCCTGCGCCTGCGACACCAATCACTCCCGCCCAGCCCGGATTTGGAAAGAACGGACCGAATGCAGGAGCGCAGCCGGTGCCTGCCACACAAACGACTGCACCTCCTGCTCCAGCCCCTGTCGCTCCGCAGGCTCAACCGGATCCTTCCGCGGGTTTTGGCATGGACAATACTGGTGCAATGGTAAGTCGAGTAAGGCCAGCTTCTTGTCATCGGATTGCTAACCCAAACATGAAGGGCATGGAATTCAGCAATCTGGATTTTGCCAACCCGATCGACTCTAACAACGTCCTTCAGGATTTTGATTTCGATTCTTTCCTCCATGATGGCGACGGTGGTGGAGATGCTTTCGACTTCACCAACACATTCGACATGCAAGGCGGCGAGATCGCGACCGAGTAGAGCTGGTTAATATTCGATTGCCCATAAGTCGTGCATCTCCCCGAGATTTAGGTGGTATCCACCCCACTCGGGCATCTCCTGGCGTTTGATGGTTGCTCTCTGTCATCCTTGGTTTTTTTTTTTTTTTTTTAACAAACTTCGCATTATCTCATGGCTGGGTATTTGCGCCTTGAGCGGTTGTGACGTTTTACGCGCTCAAAAGACGAACGAAAAACACGAGTCATCACATCCCAAAAGTCATCATCCCTTTTTTCAATTGCAAAAGCCATATTTTCTCTCAGAATATCGGCGTTTTCCTTTTCTGTCGGTCGTACATTACGCGCATACGCCATCTCTGACTTTGTTTACCGCGTCCCCTTTACAGGTTGCGGGGACGACACTCGGCGGCCACATCCTGGCAACCTGATGGAGTTGGGCTGATCTGTTTATTTTTGAATGAGGCATCACATGCTGCGGTTTTGCCTCGCGTTCCCACATAGCCTCTCTCCGCGTTTACAAGGCTTCTTTACACATTTTCCTCTTTCCACAAATCTACACAGCGTGTCAGTACTTGACCTTTGGTCTGCGCGCTGCTAATACATATCACTCATCTCGCATGCTGAGCTCAGGGCGTGGGAAAGGGATCTCAATCTTGACAATAAATTCGTTCATTGTGGAGACGATGGTTGACCAGATCTTGTATGGTTGTTCATACACTAAACCGGGGCAAGGGGCGATGGAGAAGAAAGACTCGAATGTCAAAACATGTTCAGTCTCTCGTGTATATCATAGAGCAAAGACACCAAAAGGCCTCGTTGCTCGTCTTGGCTTGAAAGGGGATGGATGAAGCGGTAGAAGGGGGGAGTGAGGAGTGAGGATCTGAGATTATGGATAAGCTCTCGGTCATTTTTGTTGTGCAGATTACCCACTATTACTGCTCGTATCTTTTTGAGGAGTTTTCGAAAAACTCCTAGGCCCAATGGGTCGATGGAGTCAATGGCATGATACTTTCTGTGATGTTCAAACTATGAAGACCCTTTCGACTTGTTTATATTATGACCAGTTGTGTTTTGAAGTCTTTATCAAGGCGATGAGGCTATATGTCCATGTGGTTTCTTCAACTCGAGTGGTTCCCGATCTGGGAATGTTTGAATGTGTTATAGTCGCGATTTAGTCATTCATCGTTGCAAAAGCACCATCCTTCCTGGATATGAATCCACATCGATTTGAGTGTCCAAACCTGCAAGGCCTCATTGCCCGTTCGAAGGAATCATTCGATAATGGCGATTTCAGATGTCAGTTGCCCTTCTGATTATATTCTTGACAAGTACCATAGGAACTGAGGTAGATCACCTTCTACTTTTACAAGCCTGGGATATTTCTCCATCATGTTTCCAATGCGTTAATTACTGAGCTGACCACGTAGATCTTGTAGCTCATTCATTATTATTATGAGCGAACTTTGACTCTATAATAGAACCACTACATAGCAGTTCGGTCATGCCGGAAGGTCCTCGGGTTGTATTTTAGTGCCACCTAGCTGAACACAACTTCTTCGAGTAATTTTTCCAAGGCGTTCGTTGTGATACTTTCAATCATGCCCTCCGCTGTCGAAGCGCAATTTGTCTGGTGCTCGAGGCGATTAGGTGTCAGCCGCGCTCATCTCGAGTCAGAGTCAATTGTCTCAGATATCCGATCAATGCCAGATCTAACCTCTACATAAAAAATTTATTTTTTTGAATGTGAGGTACCGGAGCATCCTTGTTTGTGCCCATTGCTTGCCGTTACTCGATGGTGCTCTAACATGCGCAGAAAGAACGGCTTATGCCAGCGATTGTTCCCTGGCAACGACAGTCCACCACAACAGTTCAAATCATGCTTAAGCTACTAGATGTTAGGTATCCTATTCTCGCTGACGAGAGCGAGATTCAAAAGATTCATTGTAATAAGCTAAGATGCAAATACCCGTGAAACCAGATTTCAATATGATCGTCGTTAGACATTGTGAAACACTGACAAGTCCCTCTAGCCGACGAACACGACAGGAATATCGTCTCTAGTCTGAACTTCACAGGCCGCCAATGTTAATACATAGGAGCTAGTGTAGGTTATAAGACGAGAATGACCTGCCCTATTACTAGTGATGTCCAACGTTCCAGTTCGATAGCCACTTCCCTCGCAAGTCCGAAGTTGGGTTTTCCATAGTCTGCGGCAATAGGCTTCTAGTCTCTTGTTCAGTCATCAAGGTTGACCAAGGCGTAAATGCGATCTCTCGAATCTGCGCACTGCAAATTCGAGATATTGGCATTGGATTGCATTCGTGTTGGAGCACTCGTTACAGCCTCAATCATGATCCTGGAGAGGTATTTCTGTGTAAATCCCTATGCCAGGAAATTATTGCGGGCCATAAACACCTAAAGCCTCTGTGGTGTACCTAAGGATCAGGTGAACTGATCTATTTTCGTGAATATCATGAGGAGGCTTATGTTTCACATATATAATATAGCGGACTTTAAGTACGATTCCTCAACACTTCCAGAATATCGCTATTCGGACAATGTATGGCTTTTGATTATAACACCTACTGCATAGACAGTCAATCTTAATATACTTAAGAGACAATGTTCATGAATTTCTTGTACCTGAAGTTGGAGGTCTTGGAACTGTTTCTTTGTTACTGGTCCTTCCATCAAATTGTCCTTGTAGCAATTCCTTCCACTGTAGGACCACTATCGTAGAACATCCTACCATAAGTAGTTAATGGTGTAGTTCAGCTAAATGAAGCTTGACAATACGCCAGCTGACGTGAGCTGTGCAATGACAAGATGGAATGCAACCACGGATATTGAGATAAACTCTATGTGAGTTTCTTGTATGGAACCCTCAATTTCAAGAAACCGGCCAAATCGGATCATGTTCAATAAGCGAGAGCGAAGACGAAACGCGGAAGTATCGCGTGAAAGGCAGCACATACGTCATGGTTGGCTACTTACGTCGTTTGATAAAGTAATTGCTCCCAGGTGCGTACCAAGAAAATATCCGCCGGGAAATGCTGGCAGGCCGATTCGTGCATTACTAACGATGAGCGCGCCCTTTTTGTTGCGTTGAAATGAGAGTTGTGGACGTCTGACACCCTCTGGGTTTCTGTGAAGTCTGGCATAGACGAGAATCGCAGTTTCGCCTGTCTTATTCTGGACTAAAGACTGATTCACTTTGTGTTGAAGAGAGTTCTTGGTCAAAAGACGAACTCTGTAGAGTAGCTATCTAGGTATGACTATCATGTAAGAGGGGTATAGGTTGTTTATGTAAGGGGTGAACTCGCCGCCTCGAAACTGCGAATGTTTTAACATCTCAACCTCACTTGTATCATCACACTTTTAGATTTGAAAGATAGTGTCTGCGTCTTATGCCTCGAAAACATCGTCAACGGCTGCGATAGAGATGGTAAGGATTTATTTCTAGGTAAGATTTCGGTAAGCAACGAACATCAGCAAGTATATCCCGTATGGGTGTCTGTCACGTTGACAGTGTTCATATTATCTAGTATCGACCCTTAGAAGGGATTCTCTCAGATTGCTATACATACCAGCCATAGTTGTGTGCAAGTGACGATACAAGAGAGCAGCGCAGCGCGTGGGTACACTTTCTAGCTAATAAGGGCACCATAAGCAATAACAGTTATGCTTGATAAAAAGCTGATTTAGAGCTGAAATGAGATAAACGCTCTCTCTTAATTCATAGGATAATTCTTTACATGTTAATTTGATTTATAAATGACAATAAGACTTGATTATAATAATGAAGGTTATCTCTCTTTCCTTTGCCTTTTCCTTTTCTTTCATCACGACTTCGACCTAACGAAACTTGAGTAAAGATTGGCTGCATTCGAGGATTATAAGTCCATAATCCTCCCGATCGATTCCAGCAGATATATATAGCTATGTTAAGAGTTGTCCTCGAGAAGTCAGTTATTGATCCATAACAGAGTTAATGAGCTCTTCCATCGATCGCCACTTGATAGCCAGTTCCTGCTCCGCGCGCTTTTCATCTGCAAATAGCTTTTGGTTTGAGGGTGAGGTTAATTTGATATCAAAATTAGGGTAAAGAATCTTCACAAAATCCATCACATCATGCCAAGTGAAAATCGGTCCTGAGAGAATCATCTCTGTACCTGATTGCACATCGGTTTTCAAGACTAGGTCGATGGCGCTTGCCACGTCGCGCACGTTCACGCAGGCAGGTGGGAACAGAGGCTGCACCGAAGTCAGAGACGTCCAGAACATGGCGTTTATACCGCTTATTTCCTCTGCTGCCTCTTGTATAAGGCTTGGACCAAGCACAAATGTTGAGTGTATCGGGATCGTCGAAAAATCAGGTTTATATTGCTGAGTCCAATCTCTGTAGACTTGATGTGCTAATATCTTCGATGCCTGATACTTGAGACCATGACCGAGGAGATCTTTCGGAAACGGCTCATCGAGACTAACGGGAATAGCCTCCCCCGTATTGTCTAGTAGAACCATTCAGTAAACGATGATGCTAAGGCCATGAATTACCACAAATTCTGATGAAAGTACACACCTGTCACCGAGAGGTCTGGTGCAGCGAGGGAGCCAAGTGGCATCAGCGACAACACGGAGGCCATTGATATAACCTTCTTGATTGTCTTAAGGGACTCTGTTGCTTCAAGTACGGCGGTGGTTCCGCGTATAGCAGGCTCGACATAGTCAGCCCTCACGTCAAAGCCTTTGCCGGGCATAGGCGAGGCGAGATGACAGATGTGGTCAACATGATCGGGCTTTTATTTCTAATGTTTAACCATGCGAAAGGTCTCGCTGAGATGCTTACAAAGCCATTCCAGCACAACTGGTTCTAATACTCTGTAATCATCGTGTTGCTACAATGTGATAGCGCAATGAGTAGATAATTGTCGATCATACCATCATTGCGTATTCGAATGGTTTCGCGTCTCGGTACGGAAAATCTGTTCAGTAATCGGATCAGGCCCGCATGCCTCGGCATTGTGGAATATGTAATATGTAATAAGTAATCAAGAGCTTGACCTAGGAAACCACTGTAAATTCTTAGTTTTTGCTGCTATAATTGTTGAAAAAATACGGACTCGCCAACATTTTCGTACTCTTCGGCAAGATTGTCACTATCATAAAACGAAGTCGCCCATTATATCTGTCAGAAAGCACGACGAACGTAACGGAAGACTGGACAATTATGATAATCCCTCCAAACGATTGAACAAATATTGAAGATTGGGACAGCTCCAAATCATTAGCCATTGGGGGATTGCCAAGTTTGGAGAAATTCTGGAGTATTTGACGAATGAGATGGATACATGCATTCCTGCCGTGCACGAGACCTGGTCAAAACAAACTCAGGACATGAAGTGCTAGTGGTGCCAATACATCGGCTGGCGCGTTTGCCTACTTTCAAGAGAATAACCTCATTCATGCTGAGAATCCAACGCCTGAAGGTATCAGAGTGAGGGAGACTTGCGTATGACGAACTGGCGAGGCAATGGCTTCTCGAAAACAAGCTCTGCGCTCGGGAATTTACCCAGAGGCCGAATGAGATGCTGGAATTGGGCTTCCCGGACAGGAGCCACCTTGGCACCTTAGCAAGTTCTCTATCTCGAACCGATACTTACTCTTTTTGACAAAGTACTTGATTGCATCGATATCTAAAGGGAAGACAATTAACAAGATCGTCGATATTTTCAAAGTCGTCCTCGATTGGCTCAGAGACCTCTAGGCGTTGCTTAAGGGGATATATTGCATTGCCATCGGACTCGATGTGTCCTTTGACTTTAGGCAGGGTTCTGACGCAAGCGAGGAATAAGGAGATCACTAGAGAGAGTACCTGGAGCGTCGTAAAGACGGACACGTTGTTTCGCCTCAGGGCCGTCTTCATACTACAGGATCATCGATGGCTTCAGGCAATTGATGCTTGAGAATTGATCTGGCTCCTGTGGTTCGTTTCGTCATTATTGGCGTTGATCTATATTGATGTGAGGCGCATAAAGTTCTCTTCATTTTCTTCTGGTCGTCACGACAGGTTGTAGATACAATTGGACAGATGCCTTATTATCGAGTGAAAACGAAAGTACAATGCTACCTCGGGCTCGAATATTTTCCTGCATCATATTATTCAGGCTGTTCATCCAATTGATTGGGATTCTGCTGTACTTGGCTTTGGCACGCTGCGGTCGCCAGAACCACAAACACACGTAGCCGGCGTAGCAGTTAGCATCGGAGAAAAACCCATGTGATGCGCTGGCACATCGCCATGTCATCTTCAGCCCAGTTATTGGGCTACGCGATTGGCCAAGCGCATTGGAGGCGAACTTCTACAGTATATGAAACTTGTATCGATACACAAGATCTCACCGTATTCAAGTTTGAACCCCCCCCTCAAACAAAGGTCATCGGATCGTGCCGGGTGGGTGGTCCTCACCCCGAGAACAATTGAAAACAGGGTGTAACTTAGATTTTGATAAAACACGAATGCAAACGAGTACTGCAGGTTTACTACAATAATGCGTGGTTCTGAATTTGAGCCGTCACCACGAGCCAGCAATAGGATAAGGTTCCCACTGGTTGAGACGTCACGGCTGTTGAAGGCGGCAAGGTCATTCCGAGAACATAATGGTGGCGGAAACATCCCTACTTTTGAGCCAAGCTTGTAATGCAAGCTATTATACTACCGTACGAACAGTACTGATCGTCACATTTGGCACGGACACCATTCTAGCAGACTTCGGATTACCATAACGTGCCCAGAGCTTGAGGTCTGTTCAGGTAGCCCACAGACTCACACAACTAAGTCTGTGAGGTTGCTTGGAGAATTTTTGCATTCTCAGGTAAAACACACGAAACTCGAATGGCAATAGCTTTTTAGGAATTGTATCTCGTGGACAGCTCATGCTGCGCAAGAGTCGTACCTAGTTTCGTTTTGTTTCTCCGCATGTTTGGCACACACTCCGGAGGAACGTATGCAGGTCACGACATGTGTATGCAGATGTGGTGCACACACCAACCATTCGGCCTTGCCCACGGTTTTTGTTCAGTGGCCAATCAAGATGCCTAACGACCTTACGCTCCCATAACTTCGCTTATGCAGGTTAAGACAGAAATTTACCCTGGAATTCATCCTGTCCAAAAGACCGGGACTTGGCCAAGATGGTGTTGAAACTTGAAACACGGGGGGTTCTGGTAGCGTGGACGCGCCACCACGAGTAATTTTTGTGTCACTTCGCGCATGATGGCTTTTGGCTTCTAGATTTCTGTCTTTCGGGTTTGGTGTTAGGCTCACTCTCAAATTTTGACAATGAAATGTGAAGGCCATGATGCGTACGGTGTTACCTTGAATGACAGGCCGGTGTATGAACCCGTCCGCAACCTCTGGTCCTCCTTGGCTCGGTCTGAAAGTGAGTGAGATAGACGTTGTCGCTAGATATCTTCAGGAAACTTCCGCTGTTGACCGTAGTTTTGAGTTGCAGGAACCGTTGAAATAGTAAGAAAATCAAACTATCTTCCCACCGAAATCATTTATTGTGTGCTATTTTCTGTGTCCAAAAGATTTCTTTCGTGGAGAGAGCGACGCGACTCTGCCGCGCGCATGCTCAATGCCAATCAATGAATGGAGATCTGGAGCCGCGCCAATGCCCTTCATCTTTTAGCGGGCGGCTTGGGTCGCGCCGGCGGTTCAGGCTCTTTTGATCGTCTCCTTCCGCATGCTAAATCCGTACACACTTCGCTTAATAGAGTCTCCTCGGCATTCTCATGGCAAATGAAGGGCATGGGCAAGAGCTATGCGCTTGAATATGTCAAATTGCGATCCATGCTCAAGATATTGAAAGGGGGAGGCTGACTGCAATGATATTCGACACCCATGTGGTGATCAATCAATCTATGGAGTCAGGCACATGCATGCCATGGGCAAGTAGCTCGAGCTTCACCAAGTCGTCTCGGATGCATGGTCAAGCCACGATCCTCCTTCCCTTTCGTGTCCCTCATCCGATCTTTATTTCACCACTCCCTGGTATTCACATGCAGGTCCAAGTACGCAACAAAAAAAAAAAGTCCGATGTTTTTGTTCCAAAACGCCCCCTTCACACATGCTCAATGTTTAGTTTCTTGTTTGTGCCTTACTCGTTCAAACTATGTGTAGCAACCCGCAAACCCCACGAAAGAACACGGCTGTCCTGCAAGTTTCTGGAAAGCAGAGTCGCTTCGGGCATCCGCTGATATATCTAACCAAGGTATCCCTTGGCCCATGTCCATCTCCATGATAGGTACATCTTGAGCCGCTGTATTGCTCATCTATATGGTATGTAGTGTTCACCGGTAGATGGTGGCTCAGCTACTCTATCTCCCTCGTCGCCCAGTCTTGGCTCCGACTTGTCAGGAGAACCAGCTTGTTTAAGGCTGTTCGACTTCGTCGCTATCCCTCCAACCATTCCAATTTGGGTCTCGGCCCAGGTACAAGCGCCCCATGTTCCACAGCAATACCTCATGAATTTCAGGAGGTTCGTTGGCACCCACCTATCCACACTTCGACCCCCAGTCTTCAAGCGTAGACCTCGGCCATTCGTCAAGCTTTTTATGGTTTCGTCAATGATTGGAGTCTTTCCCGCTTCGGTCGTGGCTAGACCCCCATGCCACCCCTTGTTTTCCCACCCGGCAATGGGCTTCCCCTGCCCAAGCCTGCTATAGTGGATAATTATCAAAGCAGGTGGGCATACCGTCCCAATGCCGGGTCGATGCAACATATATTAGAAGATGGATGTCCCACTCACCAATGCGATCCCCTACGTCTGAGTTGTTGATTTTTGGTATCTCACTTTCACTTCATCCGCCTCTTTGCTCTTTGAGCCTCACATTCCTTATATTCTCCCAGCCATCCATTGGCTCTGGTCATTCTTTTTAGATACTTCAATCAATACCTGCTAGTCAGGCTTGCTATTTCTAGCAACAAACTTCACGTTCTTTTTTGTCGATTATCCACACATTTCGATCAAACACTCGGACGAAAATCACGCCTACTATAACGATATATAACAGTATATATATATATATATATCATAACTTCGGTCTTGACCATTTGTAAATCAACGTTCGACAAGATGCGTTTCTCCACCAGCAGTATTGTATCTTTCCTCCCGGCCTTGGCCGCTGCCATCCAACCGCCAACTCTTGATGGCTTCAGCATTTTATTTGCCGATGACTTTACTGGAACTGCCGGTTCATCTCCAAAGTCTGCAAACTGGAATGTCGCCACGGCCATCAACACAAACAACGAGGTCCAGAGCTACACCACGTCGAACAGCAACCTTCAGATCAGTGGCGGCGAGACGATTCAGTTTGTTCCTCGAAAGGGAGCCACTGGGATTTGGAGTTCAGGCCGCATTGAAACTGTAGGTGCATGGACTCCTACAGCAGGAAAGGTCATGGTCATTCAATCGAGCATTTTGTTGGGTGACAACGCCGCGGCAAACAAGCAAGGACTGTGGCCGGCTTTCTGGGCTCTGGGTGATGCCATGAGGCACGGTACCGATTGGCCTCTGGCCGGTGAGATCGATATCTTTGAGCAGGTCAACGGTGTGCCGACTGCATATGGTACCGTCCACTGTGACGCCAGTGCTTGCGACGAGCCCAATGGTCTCAAGGCTACCGTCGCGATGCCTACTGAAGGTTTCAACACATACGGCGTCAGAATCGATCTGACCAACTCGGACTGGACTCAGCAGACTATCCAGTGGCAACTCAACGGCGTGACCTACAATACCCTCACTGGAGCAACCATCGCGGACCAAGGTATCTGGGCAACATTGGCACACAGCCCCCTGTACATTCTGCTCAATGTTGCAGTTGGTGTAAGTCATTCCTCACTTGATGTCCTGGTTCGTGTTGCTAACTTTCGGTAGGGCGACTGGCCAGGTTCGCCTAACGATGCCACCCTTGACGGCTACGGCTCCATGATGGAAGTTGGCTACGTTGCTGTCTACTCGACCTAGTACCTTCATTAGGACTCATTGCACGAGTTATGATCTATAGAGCGGCGTTGAATTTATATACGGCACGGCGTTTCAGACTCAGCGTCTGGTGGACTTCGATTCTTCAAGATACCTCTTCACTTCTTCAAGCCTGCTCAACTAGTAGCTAGGCATTTTTGGACATATTCTGGTCTCGGATGAGAAGAAACTTACTCGCATGTGAGAGGCTGCTCCAGCTAAGTGGCTTTGTTACATACTTGGGTGTCAGTAGCGATATACACTATAAATTGAAATGTGTACAATGGAAAGTTTTTATGGCAACCTCAGAGGCACAACATCCTAGCGGCAGTACGAATGTCCGAGTTCCACTCGTTAAGAGGCCTAGTGTAGGAAAACTTGCTACGTAACAGATGTGTGTTTGCGCACTAATTAGAATAATACTCAATTAACAGGCAGAAGGTTGCAAAAGAGGTGGCTAACTGACATTCATTTCGCCAGGCTGGTTCTTTCAGCGGTGATGCGATGGGCAGGTACACAGTATAGAGGACGCCAGCTGAAGATGCATATGCATGACGCGGATGCCTCAAACTATGTACCGCAGGAGTAGTTTCGCTGGTCTTATTGTTGATCTACAAGCTCCGGTGAACAACTTCATTGAACTGCTATTTGACAAGAGCTATCTTTTCTCCTGGCCGCAAGGCTATCCTACGACAATGGAGGACACATCGTCTCGGTCCCTACCTTACATGATCAACCTGAACAGTCAGGTCCTAGACTAATAACAAGTTAATGAGTTTAGGTATGGCGCTTATGCAGAGTTCACATCATTCGACGGTCAGAGTTCATGCCAAGGCGCCACCAGTCAGCACACCACAGTTGACATCCAGCCTGCCAGTTTTCACCGACTGCATGACTCAGCAGTCGTCACCTAACATCGAATCTGCTTGTATTGTCTACTGCGGGGTCATAGTGGTACAAGTCGAGGGCTGAGTATACTCCCCCACCCACCATGAAAATCCCTCACCACAACTCCACCATATCTCAATCAAATCACATCGGATCTTTTCCAAATGACTCCTCACCGATTTTAAATCACGAATATTCAACAATCGGACCTGTGGCGCAGCGGTGAGTAGCATTCCTTTCCTCTAAATCAAACATCTCATCTAATATCCATACAGGTAGCGCGTCTGATTCCAGTCACATGGAACTTCCAGAAGGTCATCCGTTCAAATCGGGTCAGGTTCAATTCCACTAAGTTCCAACGAACTTCCTCTTTTTGGTATTTTTTCTCTATTTCCATAATGAGTTACTGGTCGGTGGAAGGGAAGTCTTTAGATGTACGAAGGTAGTCTCTACCAGTCCGCTTCCGGCCCAACATTGCCCCATGTATTCAGCCTACCATAAGGGTTTTTAACATGTCTGAGTCTTCTGTTCCACTAGTGCAGGCATCTGTCAATTAAAATCCAGGCTGTTGGTCTTGTAACGTTGATGTTACCATGGCGTCGAGTGAGCCAAAAGTGAACAAGTGTATGCTGATGCATGGAGCGTGCTTATCGATAAGAGAATTTTCCTGAAACAGTCTGAATCGGTGACGGTACAGAGTATAATGTGCACTTTTATATTGAAGAGTCAGGTAGCAATCTTTCGATCCTTCGTAGTCCTCATAGCAGAATTCTTACTGTGGAACAAAACAAACATGCACCATCTGGCACCTTCCCATGCAATACTCTGTAACGTTCGGATGTGGTAATCATACAAGACATTTACAATTGACATAGGAACGGCTCCCTAATCGAGTTCGCTTCACCTTGCATGTAATTCACAATTATATTCTCGAATGCCCCAGGGACCTGCATTGGGTTGAGTCGCAATGTCCGATACGGCACGAGTTCCTTCTGCAGCAATACTGTAGTAATGTCTGCCCATATCAACCTCAGCCATGGCCACAGGTGCAGTAGTATTCGTTGTGTAGCTCATCCACGGTTCTCTGTGCGCGAGCGCGCTCCTCCTCAGCGAGTACCAAGCGGTGATCTCGTCCGCGTAATGACAGCTATTATACAGACCTTAACCTAGGCATTACAGTGACACAGATGTCTTCTAGGCTCGATAGATGCTCATCTCTTGAAGGATATGGAACTGCCCTTCCAACACAAACCTGCATTAATGGACGTGAAAGTTACCACTTGTTCCTATTTGTACAGCCGAGAAACGAGATGGTGTGGTGGTTAATGAAATGCCGTTGCTGAGCAGTCATGAGCATTGCAACTGATGCACGTCTTGTCGCAACTTCTTCTTTATTCACACCGCCCAAGTGGGATCGGAGATCATAGATGACGGACTTTCATCAATGTGCACGATGCTTCCGGAGCACTGTAGTGTATACTACCACTCTAGCCAGGACAGGTGAATGCATGGGAAGTTACAACCAGATCATTGCGAAACATAGCTTAGGGTCCAAACACTACAAGGGGCGAATGGTATAGGCGACACAGAAGTAATTATGGCCTCTGGGTGCAAGTCTCTAAACATGGTGAACGAATTGCTTGACCTAGTACGAATGCGAAAACAGCGTCCAAGGACGAGAAATATGCCGGTGCTAACTCAACTCCATGTGTCTTCCACTCTTATAGTGCCCCGCCGTTGTCATGTAGCTAGTATTGGACGCCGATCGAGGAGTTGGTAGCCAGAGACAACTTAGCTTGCCTGAATCTAGTCGCTACGAGTAACGAACAACCTGGATACTGACGGACTCCCGGCTAAGAGTCCATCTTCTACCTCCACCGTTGCCATTTCGTATGGTCCGCCTGGCCGATACTTCTCGTCCCTAGCATTCGTCTGATATCTGAATATAGCAACCATACACATTTATCGAGCGGTCCAGATGCTCCCGAAATCATGGTGTACTCTGCCACTTAGGTGACCTTTCGAGTTTGTAGATTTTTTCCAAAGTAAAGCCGCCAAAAACCTTCATCCGCCATACCCACCCAATACCGACTCAAATGGATAATCTCGAACTGACTTCCCCAGGACATTACTGTCCAGTGATAGATAATAAGTAGACTTAGGTTATTAGCCTGTGTTGATTACTAGCATGGAACTGGTACATATCGCGCAGCTTGCGCCATAGTGATACGTCGATGAAGGTTTCCGACTGGCGTAAGGAATTCGCAACGACTACCTAGACTGGTTTCCGAATCTGTACTATAAGCAGAAATACCTTCTTCAATTCCGATCTTGGCCCCCATGGCCCACCCGTTGACCAAGAAATTCCACCGCAGAACACAAGCCTGAATATGGATCAGGTGTTTCGTACCATATCTGTCAACTTCATCGATGTCAATATATCGACTGCGAGACTGCGCACATAGAATCACCGTCCCGCTGATGGCTACGTCTCAGAACCTAAACTCTACTTGGGCAATCTGCACATTGTGTTTCGGCACTCCTATTCCCAGTCAGTTTTGGTCCCCCCAGCCAATCCAACATTCCTGATTCGGAGCAGCCCATATTCAATTTGTCCGCCGGATTGCGTGTCCCCTCACTTATCAACTACTATCCACTCAGCATGCCCAAGGAGGCCACGAAGAGGAAGCTATCTAAGCGTCGCCGACCTGAGTGCAATGGGTGTGGCGAGGATGAAGAAGGGACACCGAATTCGCTAAGCTAAATGATTAGGAGGAAAAGGCCACGAGCCTTGAGTGTGGCGACACAGCGGATGATCAAGCATCGGCCATCCGCAACCCTCGTGTCACACGCGCTGTTGCGAAGAGAATAGCTATGATTGATGAGGACACCAATGCCAGACGAGTCTCAAAACGCATGAAGACAGTAATTATAAGTGGTTTCGACATGAACGCAGATGAGGCGCATAAACCGCAGGTTGCTCACAATCCAAATGGTTCTGCGAAGAAGGGCAAGGGCAAGGCAAGTATCAGCACCAACATCACCTCCCGCGGTGCAAAGACCTCCAGGACTACCGCTAGTGCTTCTATAAGTCATGGTGTTGGCATAGTTTCTAGAGCGGCCGCGACTATCGCAGCTCCAGAGCCGATGCCAATGCAGCACGAGGACTGGGCTGCATCACAAGACCATGAGGGACCACAGGTCCATTGGTCCAATGGCGAGGTTGAAAACAACAGTGTGGTCGTGATCAGTGGTGATGATGGCAGTGATAAGGACAGTATCAATTCATACATCATCGTAAAACAATTCCCATGTACGACAAACCGGGACGCCAGGTCACCACTGTAGAGGAAGATCCAAGCGGTCAGCGACAGAGGAGTAGAGTGGGCTGAAATCATTGGGACCGGAAGTTGAAATGTTGAAATGATCATAAAAATGGCGGAGTCGAAGCTGATGGGCTTCTTGTAATCGGAGATACACTCGGGAGTCGCTATGGATTCGTATTGCTGGACACATCGGGAGCTTATATCATGCTGTTCATACTAGGGTTAGTATCTGGGTGACCTACATGGCCGAGAGCGTCAACTAGCAATTATCTGAGCTTGATATTTGCGATCTTGGCCTGTTGCAGTGGACACTGAACTGAAAGAAGGATGGCGTGTACAAACCAGGTAGAAACGAAATCTGCAAAGTGGCACCCGTATTGGGTTTCAGCTGTGCCGCCTCATGAATGTAAGCTTACCTCCATGTTGAGTTCCCTTGACAAACCAAACCCCACACAGCCACAAAGCGCCCCGCGATGACACGGTTTCTTAATGAGCTCCAGCTCGTGGCAGCTAAAAAGCATCCACTACGGCAATGTAAGTAATTTAACATTTACACCCATCACAAGCGCGTCTCTCACAGGTCTTTCATCACCATTGAGCAGCGCAATCCACCAAGATGGATTTCCTTCAGGTATGTGTCGACTGCTAGATACGTCCAGTACTGCAAACCGGGATGGAAACTGACGTGGCTCTCTCACAGCGCCTTGCTCGGTTCATCGACCGTCCACTCTTCCCGTGGAAACGGATCATCATAGGCTTCTCAGTGGGTCAGTACCTCTTTGAAGAATTCCTATCGTATCGCCAGTACCAAGTCCTCAAGAAGAACAAGCCCCCAAAGGTCCTCGAAGCCGAAATCTCCCAGGAAACGTATGACAAGAGCCAGGAATATGGTCGCGCAAAGGCAAAGTTTGGCTTCATCAAGGGTCTCTACGGTCAAATCCAGAACATCGCATTCATCCACTTTGACGTCCTTCCCAAGCTTTGGTCATGGACTGGCCAGCTCCTCCTCAACTTCGCTCCTGCTCGTTTCACCGGCGAGATCTCGCACTCCATCGTCTTCATTCTGAGCTTCATCATGATCCAACAAGCTTTGTCTCTGCCCACTTCCATCTACCACACTTTCGTCCTCGAAGAGAAGTTTGGTTTCAATAAGCAAACTCCTAAGCTGTTCATCACGGATATGATCAAGTCCAACGTCCTAACATTCGTTCTTGCGCCTCCGATCCTTGCCGGCTTCCTCAGCATCGTCCAGAAGACCGGAAACCAATTCTTCTACTACCTTTGGCTGTTTGTTGCTGGTCTCCAGGTCTTCATGATCACCATCTATCCGATCGCCATTCTACCTCTGTTCAACAAGCTCTCTCCCCTCGAGGAAGGCAAGCTCAAGAACGACGTCGAAGGTCTGGCCAAGAAGCTCAAGTTTCCTCTCCACGAACTTTTCGTGATCGACGGCAGCAAGCGCAGTGCTCACAGTAACGCCTACTTCTTTGGTCTCCCGTGGAAAAAGCATATCGTCATTTATGACACCTTGATTGAGAAGAGCAAGGCTGAGGAAGTCACTGCCGTCTTGGCGCACGAGTTGGGTCACTGGAGTCTCGGCCACACCACTAAGCTCTTTGGTATTTCTCAGGTGGGTTCAACCCATTCTCGATTCGTGCCCGCTTTTTACTGACCAGGTGCAGGCGCACGTCTTCTATATTTTCCTCCTGTTCTCCGTGTTTGTCAACAACGCTTCTCTGTACGCTGATTTCGGCTTCGTCAAGGAGCGTCCCATCATCATTGGTTTCCTCCTCTTCTCCGACGCTCTGGCGCCTATGGATCTCATCATCAAGCTTGTCATGAACATCATCAGCCGTCGCTTTGAGTTCCAAGCTGATGAGTTCGCCCGCAACCTTGGATATAAGGCCGAGCTTGCTGCTTCTCTCATTAAGCTGCAAGTTCAGAACCTCAGCACCATGGACGCCGATTGGATGTACGCAAGCTACCACTTCTCGCATCCAATTCTGTCCGAGAGACTGAAGGCACTTGACTGGGTACCTACCGGAAAGGTGGTTGAAGAGAAGTCAGAGGTCGTCAGGGCTGCAGACAGAGAACTATAGACTATATGGGAGATGGTGATGTATGATAGATCTGGACCCAGGATCTCGCTGGAGCAATCTACGAGCTCCATGTGAAGTATGCCAAGGCCGCTTGTTAATTGGGGTCACACGATACAAGTAGCGTTGGCACTGAGAATGCTTTCTTGGGCATGGCGCCTAATCATGCTAGAAGTCATTGTTGCAAGGATGCAGTAAAAACTGTACATAAATGTATGAGGTAGATGGGTCGCGTTCAGTTCACGCTTCTTGCTCCGTACCGAGCACTTTGCATATGTATGTAAGTGTGCGGAGGGTGACAAGGTGGTAGAATTGAAAAACGCTAGGTTAGTTGAGTACCCGACCGAGTACCCAATCATGATCTCCCAACACGAATCCTAGTGATATTTTCGGCAGCAGAACCTGTATCGCGATGAGCTGCGCCGCAAAGGAATCTGAGACGCGGAAATTACCCTGGGGGTGTCAGATCATGGTTCGACCATCCTGTTCCACGAAATCTTCTGTGAGTTTCTTCGGCGTTGGGACTTCTTTGTTCTAAGGTTATTTCAATCAATCCGAACAACATGGCTATACCTACACCATTAACCACGGTGTTCACTCCTCCCTCGGAATGCCTCTCCACAATATTCTGGTCTAGCGGCGGCCAGTACCAACTTGGCTATTCGACTGAATGCATCCCTTCCGGGCCCGCTCCGAGCTTGAGCTCTTATTTTTCACCCGGGCTATACTGTCCCGAGAGCTACACGGTCGCATGTACGGATCTCGTCATCCTCGGCGCCACGTCGACAGAAACGCAAGCTGTCTGCTGCCCGAGGCTGGACGGGATCGCGTCGGGTCGCTTCGCCGATGCGAGTTTCAGGTGTAATACGGATCGTGCTATGCCCTGGTACTCGTCGCTAGGATGCACCATGAATTTTGGCACCGCGGCGACGGAGGGGCCGATTACGGTTCTGTATACCAGGTCCTCGACGACCTATGTAAGTAGGATGTTACTGCATCTCTGGTTCTCAATACAATGCGCTCTGTTCTCATGTTGGCACCGTCATATCTTAGGGAAGCTAACATGTCCCAGACCACGACATACTCAGCCGCAACAACGGATGGCCTGAACGCGTACAGCGTCAAGATTGCCTGGCGAGCTTCAGACCTCACCCAGTCTTCCACTGGCTCGGCAACGGCTTCTGAGTCATCAATCGGTTCTGCATCCAATCTTCCAGACGCAACAGCGGACAGCGCCTCTGTCACCTCGTCATCCGCGACGAGTGGCTCCTCGACCACTCCGCCGTCAGGAGCGGCTGGCTCTGCCGCTGATGGAGGGTTGAGTACTTCCGCCAAGATAGCAATCGGCATTACTATCCCGGTCGCAATTATAGCACTCATTATCGTCGGGCTGCTAGTCATCAGGCGGAAGAAGAGGGCGGCCCATATGACTGATCCCGGGGTCGAAATAAGTTCAAATCCTGTTTACGAAAAAGACACTACTTTTACGAGCGATTTGGGCAGTGAACAGACCAGCGAGGTGGACAGTAGGATGGTCGGCGGGCTACAGGAGTTACCGGGTCATGTTTGGCGATGAGAGGAGTAATGTTGATAGAGCGTAGCCGTATGACCTTGATGAGAGCACGATTTGACGAGCGGCTATCGGGATTGTGGAAAGAGAAATACATTGGCGTTTACATGACTTTTTCAAGTGAATGGGCTCAGACAAGGACCAGGAGGTGTGTGTGTAATCATATATACCACGCTCCATTTTTGCTCTATAACAACTGGACTCATACACGACGATGCGGCATACTTTCCTCGCGGTTGCGATATGTGCAAATCGGCTGTTCCCTTTTGATGTCATCCAAAGCAATGATCTGGTGAATGTCATCCGGGGGTACATAAAACTTGCTATGTGTCGACGACATCTTCTCATATATGCATCACCGAATTAACAAGTGAGATGGCGACCGAGGACACGGGCAGCCTTCTTATCTGATATGTCACCAACGACACCCAATCAAGCTCGCAGACTTGATCGCTTGCGCCCTCGGAAGTGGCATTGCGCACATTGTCTTCACTGGCAGTGCAGCCACTGTCAGCATCACTCCACAACATTTTATCTTGATCACATCTTCAAGCATTACCCAACTACCGAGGTCAGGATCTGCGTATACTCTGTTGTCAGATTATCAGTGCAACTCTTCAATCATCATGTAAATATCACTCACACAAAGGATTTGAGAACAAAAGCAATCACTACTTAATCATTTCGAACCTGTGTTCGAAAATAAGCCACCACTTGACGTTATTGAATTGTTGACCTCGACGAGGAGACTACCGCCGGATGTTTTCGGGTCTGCCGTTGAGAACACGGTACCACTTGATGCCTTCGGAGTTGTGGTTCCGAAAATACCGCTGCTTGACGTTCTTGGGTCTGCTTTATCGAGTATATTACTACCTGGTGCCACAGAAGATTGGGTAGAAGACGATGGTGTCCATAATAAGACCCCGAGTGGTCGGTCGCCGACTGCCAAAGACTTTGAGGTACCAAATTCAGCCAAGATGGATTTGCCGTTTGTATTGCTATTGCTTAGACCATCAAATATGGCTTGATAACTTGGATTTATATTACCATTGAGCTTCTTTCGGGCGGCGTCCGTAAATAGATCTCGCTGGTTTTTCAGTAGGTCTTGCAATATTTCTTTTTCCATACGTGTTCGATGCCGATTGATGAGAATTGTTCGGAACTCCAAGTCTAATGGCTGCGGGTGACCATTTTGATAATGGTGAAGGAGCTATCGAACCTTGCTCTCTAGCAAGGAGGTCTTTGCCTCGAAAAACGGGTCGACAATCTTGATAAGAATAGCAGGACGGGTTTTATCGTCTGGACCTACGAGGTGACACAAGAGCTTTTCAACCAAAGTTTGAATTGTTTTGGAGGACTACCCGAGCATGTGCCTGTGCAATAGCTCCCATGGTTGGGATTGATAACGAAAGAGCTCGACAGCTATTCGATCATTTGACGTACCCGGAAGCTCAGTTCCTTGGTCGGCGGAGGACTGGGTCTCTAATTTCCTAGCTGCACTTTCGAAAGAAACCTCCTTCGGATCCTCGAACTGGTAATAACCCAGTAAACTATGCAGGTATGAGGGCAAATCCCGTTGTGAAGATTCTTTCTACTGGAATTTGTCGGCTTCGATACTAGCCCCCTTGAGAAGAATAACACGCGCGGAGCCCTTGGTCGCTAAAACGGTATGCGAAAATGCGGTTCAGGTTCGGGATCAACGCTTGTAGTTCCGAATCCGTCCATCCATGTGGCTCATGCCTCTGCTAGTAGGGAACAAGCCGCCAAAGAATCCGTGGGAGTAATTGCCATCCACTGCGTGAAGAGACAAAATCTAGAATTATGAGGCCATTTTGTCAATATATGCCCGTAGCTTTCTTGGAGTTGGACGCGGCTCTCCAAGACGCTTGAGATGGGCTGTCTCTCGGTGATAATACTCGTAGTTCTCTCAATGTAGCTTTGAAGGTGGCATTTGATATGACTGAGTAGAATGCCACTCAGTCTTTTTCTCAACACATCTACACCCTGATTTTTCGAAGGCACCGAAGACCAGGAACTTGTCTGGAAGAAATCTTTCTCTTTGTTGTTTCTTTCCCGGCCCGAGGTGTCTTCTTCACCTTCACCACGGTTTTGCAACACATGCCAACCTAATGACAGCCAGTGAGACTTGTCGAGATTCGTAGCTAACCGGATGAATTTTTTTCATCTTGGGACCAAGCTCTGAGCGTATCGAGTTTGGTAATGATGCCAATGGTATGCGTTCTGTCTTGGTCGTGAATTCTGACTTTTGGAAGGACTTTTTGTACGATCAATTGGTTCCGTGCTGATACAATTGCATGAATAACGCTATTTTTCTCGCCATATAGCATTCAACACGGCACTCCATAACCTTCCGGTCGGCAGCAGACTGACTGTTGTCCTTGGAGTGGCAAAATCCGGGAAGATCTACCAGTGTGAGATGGGGAATATCGGGACCGCATAATTCGCTCCCCAGAATATCCTCAGAAAATCCAGCACCATCTTGGAGCATTGTACCTTGGCATTCTCAACGATCTTGGGCAATTCATCCTTGTCAAATCGAGTCTCGCTGAATTGTTGCACATCCTTGCTTGTGGACGACAAAGATTGTATCTGGACATCCACTTTCGATCTGGAGTCGGTGCGCAGGACCAACTCGGTGGAAAATCTTGTGCAGAGTCCGTCTTTGACTGGAAATCAAACTCGCGATATTGCCTCGAGAACGGAGCTCTTCCCCGACGACTGGTCACCCACAACAATAATCTGTGGGAGGTCTATTAATCGACCTACTCCATGCTTGCGTACATCATCGATGGTGTCAAGGAGTGCTTTCTGGTCTCCATTCAATTGCTCTAAGACATGAGCATCAAGGGATATATTTAACATTAAATTTGATTAAGTAGATCTGGGCAATACTAATTTCGTAGACGTGAAAGAAGTTGTGCATCATAGTATTGGTGTTTGCAGGCCGAGTAGAAGTTCAAGTAGGCAGGAGACCCCGGACCACAACAAGGCTGAGACCGCGACAGGGGGTGTAGGCGGCCCCGGTGGCCTATTACGCCCGACGTTGCTCTTCTTCTTTTCGGGCCTTGTAGGTTAATATTTCGGCCCCATAAGAAGCCGCAAATATCTTCGACTGGATTCATTGTATATGCTCTTCAAGGGCGTGGCTTTACTGGGATTAAACAGTACGCTGACCAAACGGAATGAAGCTGTATCCCACTTTCCACCCGCCGTGCTCAGGCCCAAACGTACCGCCGGCTTGGGCACATCTTAAGGGATAATCTGACCCCTTATTTTTTTAGGATCAGCGCTCACAAATGCTAGCTCTATCAACTTTAGTCAAACATCTTCCATTTAAAAAGATTAGGCGGTAATATCTCAAGAATGGGGCACAAGTATCTGATAATTCACTGGGGCGAAAAACCCCCCCCCCCCCCCCCCCCCCCAAGTATACAATACGTGCGTCTACTTTTCGGCGGCATGTATATTCACACAGCCTTGATTGTGCAACAAGTAAACCTGAAAGAAAGAAAAAATACCACGATGAAGACACTTCCAAACCCACTGCTGATGATCTACTATCGTTGGTATTATCCGACTCATCCGAGTGATACAGCAAGATAACAGTACAGTAAGATTGAGTGATATCTTGTTCGAGTGATCTAAGTCGTTGTAAGCTTCTTTGCTGAGAGTAACTTAGTGTCCCATTGTGGATGGCATTCTGACAGAACGTGCATTGCAAAGACAAGGCTGAAATGAAGCCAACGGATGCTTGTTTTACTAAGATGTTGTAGTTACGCATGTAAGTCTTCCTCTTTCCCATACATACATAATTTCGTCAGACTTGCTAGCCACGTCACTTCTGATGTGAGCAAGAAACAGGTGCAAGTAGTGAGTTTCCATGTGACAAAAATTAGTGAATCAAGTTCGTCTCGGCTCCTTGTTATCGAGTCTTCGTATTACGTCACGTCATCTTCTTCATGACGATGCCAGAAGCTATCGTTCATAACGAAAAATCATGGATGAAATCAAAAATTCCCCGGACTACGACCCCGAAGGAGTAGAAGACCGAGCGACAAGGCCGCGCTGTGCTATGCAGTTGTCAGCTCGGTAAGACAGCGAATGCTTGATCTCGCCATCTTCCCGGAAGGTAAGTATACCAGAAAGGAAATTTTAAAAAGTACTGATGGGAGGGAAGTCAGGAATTTATAGGGAGATCGTAGGGGCGGCTGATTGCTTCGGAATTTGCGGCCTCCGGGAGTGGGGATCGCCAAGACAGCTAGTCTGCAAGAATTTGCTCAGCCAATTTCCCAGAACCTCGTGCGTATGTTTGGCATACAACTTCATTTCTTGCCTGACGATCTGAACCCAATGAATTGCACAGTTTAGAAGAAGAGAGGTAGGTGCAAGACTTGATATTGTTGTAACTATCTGGGAGTGAGAATTATTTAGATAAGTCAACCAGGTCGTCCTGCCTGATCACTACAGCAAAGACCTGGCAAGGCATTATGAAATGTGCCTAAAAGGTATTGACATCAACAACCAACTGGTTCGCATTTGTAGGACTTGTGTAGGCGTGGTTGGCGGAGCCGGATTGGAGCCGGCTTGGACTTCATCCCTAATTGCTCTTCAAAATAGTGCATCTTACTGTTATACGCCTTTCACAATATGGATGTCTTAATCCAAAGGACAATACTCCAATGCCAACCTCTACGCAAGCATTATTTGCCTTGTTACGTCTATATGTGCGCTCGGTGCACTGGAAGGTTAGGCACAAAGCCTTACCGGCCAAACCCTTTTACGAAGATTCCGTATTTGTGGTTTGCCTAGTTGGAATAGATAAACATCCAGTAGATTGGTGGACAGCTTCGCAGACTGGTTGAATAGGCAACTAATAAGGCCCAAATAATCCCGGAACGAAATCATTTCTGCTGTTATGTTCTAATGACTTTCTCTCTCCACGATACATATGTTATGAACGGGAATGCTCTATTTCACCCTTGCGGATGATTCTGGAACGGATTCCTGAGTCAACAAGTATAGGTAAATCGAATTAGTACCTCTTGGGCAGAAGATGAGACAGTAGGACCGGACTTTGAACAAGACGTTACACAACACAAGAAACACTGCTTTGAAAACTCATGGGTTTTCTCTACTTAGGTATCTTGGTTTAACAACGTCCAGCATCTACCACAAGGTATCTATCCTTTTATGCTTCTTATGGTGCCTCAACCCCTTTGCGGCTATCGCATGTTCGCCTTGACTCTCTCCAGCAACTGTTCCCTTGTGTCCCCGTCTTGGGGATGCAGGTTCCGCTAGGCTTGCCATCAGCATTTCATCCTACCTTCGTCGCCAGTTGAGAAATACTTACAGCGGCAAGCCACCGTCTCATTTCTTCTCTAGTCCAGCTTTCAGGATTGCCTGTCGGGTCTGATGCAGTGGGAAACATGTCTCCACCCCAAATAGCATACACAGCGGCTGCTGTTACGATGCCAGCGAACCCTTTCGCCCAACGTTCTATTAGCTATCTTGTTTCTGCTCATGTAGTTCAACGCGTACCAAGAAATGCGTTCTGCAGAAGCTGTTAATCATGAACTGCAGGGGCGAGACTTGCGGCAAGTTGAGAGCCTACCTTTGAGCGCAGCGCATTGTCAATCGGAGTAGGCATTTGGCGGGTGGGATGTCTGGGACTGGGTCTCAATGTACTCAGATGAATAATAAATAAATAAATAAAAGTATGTAAAGAGGAGTTATAATTCGGTATGTCAATTTAACGCAATGCGACAAGTGATATGAAGTCAAACTTGTGATGTTGGCCAAGTGGCGACTTCCTCCCCGGCGCCTTTTGGGAGGACACATCTGCCCCTCCGCAATGACCAAGTTTCTGCCTGGAGCCACGCAAGCACGCAGCTTCTCTGGAACACAACGTACTCAAACAGAAGCTGAATGATACAATACCAAATAAGGACTGCAGGTTAATTCGAATAATTATTGATGTCGCAGTCTCTGCAGACTCGTCGTACGGGATTCTTACAACCTGGGGATCATCTTGTTCTGCTTTTGGACTTCTGCAATAACCTGGAGAAGCACGGTGATAAAAAGTAGACAAAGTCTCAGACCACAAGCTCTTTCTTAGACTCTGGTATCACATTTTCGTGTGCTGTTTTCATTGCCTTGTTGGTTGGTTCTTCTGATTGAATGATCAGTTATCGAACACACCCTAGTTGGGTAACTTCGACCTATCGAATGATAACTCCCCATATCCTTCAACCCTCTTGATACCCTCCCCATGGTTGAAATTCTTCAGCACCATCTCTACCTCGCCAAAGTAGTTTATATCACCCCTCCGTTCAAACCCGAGCCCCCTGAACAATGCCTGACTTCCCTCATTCGTCGCCTGAATCCGTACGAGTAGTTCCTTCATCTCCAGGTTGTTCTTCTCTTCAGTACTAGCAGCATACTCGGCCAGTATCGCACTGACATTTCTTCTGATAAACCACAGTAACGTCGAAACAGCGGCCCTGCCCAGACCCTTCCCACGGTTCGCAGTGTCGGCTATCATGATATCCACTTCGCCAACACAGTACCTCTGTGCAGAGGCGTCGATTCTATTTGTCATACTCAAGGGAACACCAGCAGCATGTTGCGTCTCCCCATCTTCCGCCGCCTCGTCCTCCTCCCAAGGCGTCAGGAACATATTGATGTCACCAACCATGCGCTCATTGTCGTCCGCCTCGCCTGCAATCACTGCAACAGCTGGGATGGACTCAAGAGGTTTGCAGACGATGAACGTCAACTTGTCCGCTGAGGTGCGCCAAGAGGTCTGGTTCTCGTATTCTTCATCGAGTGTGAGACGATCTGAGGCTGTCGCTTCACGGATTGCCTGTGTTTGATGTGAGCCAAATTAATCACGTCTTAGCATGCGCGCATACATGTATGCAGTGCGCAAGAATACGATGCCTTACCGCATCCTCCATCCATGTGTGATATTGCGGGACGTGGTGTGCATCGTAGGGCACCAATAGAACTTTGGGCGTCGAGATTGCTGGTAGATTGTTAGCTTTGTAAATCACAGATCATGTTCGTGTTGAAATTCACCAATGGTTTCGTTGAACTTCATCTTGAATTGAGATGTGAAGCACATCAAAATCGGTCATTGAGTTTGTTGTGCGACTTTCAATTGAGAAGTATTCTTCGCGCTATCCGGAATTTACTGTAGGGAGGCGGCGATTTCGCAGCCCCATACGCCTTTGATGGCCCCGTCAACAGGCGCCCTGCCTAGAGAAGAATTGCACAAAGCCTGCAACGAGGTGTAGGGTATCATAGCATCTTGCATATACAGTATTCTACATGTGACTCTTGTTCTACACAATTTCGCGTTCACCAATAGCCTCAGATTCAACCTTCCCACGGGATTGGAGGGAACACGCTGCTGGAAGCTCCTTCACCAAGTGGCACCCTCGACACTCCGTACGTCGCATCTGCATCCACCCTCGCATACGCCAATGTTCTACTTGCCGGGTCTACACCAAGCCTATCCAGAACCTCGGCTGCCTTTCCTGGAATGAAAGGCTGTAGGAGAATGCCGGAAATACGTATTGACTCGGCTGCAAGATACACGACCCCTTGAAGGTGCAACTTGTGAGAATCGCCTTTTCCTGCAAGATTCCAAGGCGCAGTAGAAGTAATGTAACGATTCGACTATCAGGTATTAGGCCGGGATTGTTTTGGAGCAGTGGACAGTCTTACCTCGAAAAGAAACTCCATAATCTTATGGAGAGCAGACTTCGGGGAACCTGCCTCGAAATCGTCGGTTACAGTTCCAGCTAGAGCATGAAGATATTGAAGCTGATCATTAACCAGCTTCGCAATCTCTGGTTCGTTCACTGTGCTCAATGCCGCCCGTCGTACATCCTGTGATTGCATATGTTCAATGGCTTCACGAACATTCCATTTCTTCGAGCGTGTAACACGATTCAGGAAGTTACCCAAGCTGCCCTGTAAGCCCTTCTTGTACTTGTCCACAATGTACTCATTGCTATAGTTGGAGTCGGACTCCATAGCGGCGCTGTAGATCAGAAAGTAACGCATGGTGTCTACTCCCCAGCGATCAATGGCGAAGAAAGGGTTGACAACATTGCCAACCGATTTCGACATCTTTCTTGCATCCATCAACCAGTGACCGTGGGTCAGAATGCGCTTTGGTAGAGGGAGGTCCAGAGCCATCAGTAATGCAGGCCAGTAGATGCAATGAAATCGGACAATGTCCTTGCCAATGACTTGTACATCGGCAGGCCAGCCACCAAGATGTTCGGAGCCAGGGGTCCAATTGGGATATCCGGCATATGTGATGTAGTTGATGAGAGCGTCCACCCAGACATAGATGGTCTGACTTGGGTCGTCAGGCACTGGGATGCCCCATTGAAGACGGCTGACTGGGCGAGATATCGAAAGATCCTCCAAGTTGTTTTCAACCCAAGCCACCACCTCTCGCATCCGACTTGCTGGTGTTACCCACTCAGGGTTCTCTCGATAAAACTCCAACAGCCTGTCTTTCAAAGCTGTCATCCGGAAGTGGTAGTTCTTCTCTTCAGTCCATTCGACAGCATTGCCTGTCTCGATCGAAGCCATAAATGTCTTGCCGGTACGAGGATGCACCTGCTTCGTAATTGTGTCCTCGGGGTAGAAAGTCTCGTCACTGACACAGTACCACCCCTCATGTTTGGTCTCGTAGATGTAACCGTTCTCATAGAGTCTGCGCCAGAAATATTCTACTGCTTCTTTGTGCTCGGGATCGGTCGTGCGAATAAAATAATCGTTTGATATGTTTGCTTTCTTTGCAAGGTCTTTGAAGATCTCGGAATTACTATCGCAAAGGGTTTTCGGTGGAAGGTCTTGAAGCTCTGCGGCTTGCTGTACCTTCATACCATGTTCGTCGGTTCCGGTACATAGCAGGGCTGGTCGTTCGTTCTTAAGCACTTCCCAGCGCTTGAGGACGTCCGCCAGGACCATGGTGAAGAGGTGACCGACATGAGGAGCTTTAGGATGAGTCAATACATTGCGTAGAAGGATCTAGGGCCTCACGATTCTTCTTACAAGCATTGACGTAGAAGATTGGCGTGGTGATGTAGTATGGCTTGACCACATCAACTCTTTGGGCGGAGCTGCTGAAAGTCCTGGACCTCTCCAGGTGAGACTTGCTCGTGCGCACTGGCGCAAACCGATGGTGTGGACTTGATAGGCATACCCATGCGCTACGAGCAGCTACATTGTATCGCAAGCTCAAGAGTCTCCTGGTCGGAATTGTTACGAGACCTTGCATTGCTACGGAGATGGTGGTCATTATCTTTGAAGAGCTTAGAGCTGTTCATGAATTGGTCGGAGTATCATCTCAAGTTCGCCGAGTACAGTGTTTACGTACTGTGTTGAGATCGTTGGAAACTGTGTGGCTGTCCAGGTTCACTTCGATTTTACACTCCATGAAGCGCAGTTTTAGAATAACCCGGCTTCAGAATGACTGTACAAGAAATGACCGTCGCGATTCTAGGCACTCGCATACTTTCGGCTTTCAAGTTCCGCTCACGACTGAGTCACCAGCCAATCCAGCCTCGGTGAACATTTGAGGTTGAGCTCGATCGTCATCGCTTCAAAGCTCTCAGTATCGGATCGAGCCGATGTGACGCCCGGCTGTCAAGAGACACCGTCCGCCCCCACGCTAGAACCGCTAGAAGCTTTGGGAGAAGGACGAGCTGGACCTTTCGCCTGCCAATGGTCAGCGGAATCAAGTCCGTATGGATCCGCGTGGAACCACATGCAACTTCCGTTTCGGGTTCTGCACAAAAGTATCTTGGGGATGCAGCCCTGCAACTCGGCTGGCTGTCCTAGTTCGGTGACACAGTCGTCTGTACTAGTCTGAGCATAGCCATGCCGGCGCCGGAGACATGAGCTCGGTGTACGGTTTGGACACGCCCACGTGGACGGTGAGGTCATGTTCAATTGACCCCGGCCTTGGATTTACATGGCGGCCATAGCCAAGTATCATTACATTGCTATCCCACCGATGTTGTGGTTCAGTCGCAGGCGGAACCCCGCCTACTGAAGTTGGTGCGGTATCTATGTGACGAGACAGGGCTCGGTCTACGTGTAGTGTAAGTGGAAATCACGAAGAAGATAAGCCTACATATACCCTCTCTTATCCGTTGCATCGTGGAACCTTTTATCTACCATGCAGAAAAACTTTCACTTGTCAAGAGTCAAATTCGTTCTGCTGCATCCCTATGATCCATCATAGTTTTGATCGAACTACCATCATCACTACACAAGCATGTTACGGCCAAGCTACGACGAGCTACTCAGACGAGTCGAAGAGCAACATGCGCAATACATTCGCAGTCTTCGAGAACTCCATGACTACTTGCCAGATCATACCACAGAGCAGCGCGCCATTAGCGCTCCAACACCTCCTTTGAAGCCCCTTTCTATAGCTTCAACATTCGTCAACGAGCTCAGTCCTATCCCAGTCGAAGTAGGTCGTCGATCACGTCGGCCCACCAATGAGCTTGGCGATAGGAGAGCTTTTCTGATGAAGAACACCCCAGCCTCCTTGATAAGTATGGATATCGATAGCGACGATGAGGATTTCCAGCATTTATCTCCCCCACATTTGACTTTAGGGTCGTCTGTCGATGACAGTATCTGTGTCCAAACACCCTTGCAGGCGTACTCGATTCATGACCACGAGCTTTATTGCCACCTCAAAGGCGGACAGCTCTCCGAGCCACTTCAGATAGCACTGGATGATGTTTACCGAAGGCGCGACGAAATTGAGACTTATTCTTTGTTCCGGCTTTTCAATGAGCTGCATGATAAACTGTACGATAGCGCAGCTTATGAGGTATATGATGTTGGTAGAGATGGTATGGCGAAAGCCAAGCACTCTGCAGAGGACAACGATACAGATTTGATCCTAGATGCTAAAAGAGTATGGGATACTATCAAGGTGTGGCTGCCCACTCGACATCTATTGTTTAAAGAGTCCAGGACTGATCTAGACTCTAGCATATCAATAATGATGGAAGCGTGGTTGGAAGAATGACGTGAGTGTAAATCATTCATTGTGTTTACCGCCATGCTCAGCCATGTGGACGTGACTATCTCGACTGCGACATTCAAAGAATAGAAGCTAATTGCGTCGGATAGTTCCCTAATGGACCCATCACCTCTGATGCTCGGTGCATTATACTTGAGTATGAGCCCTCATTTTGACATGGACGAGCTTTTCCAACACCTTGTGACTAGAGACGGAAACAAAGGCAAGACCAGGGTATGACCACGAAGTAACTACCTAAGCCCCAAGCTAAGCTAAGGGTTTATTAGGCATATATGGATCGAGCATTCGAACCCACAGAACTGCGTCAAAGGACGTCCTTCTTCGTCTTCAAGTACTACACAGTCGTCAGCGAAAAGCTTACGCCACCACCTTGGCAGCACTACGACCATCGGCCAGCGGATAAGCGTGGCGACGACCATATAGACATCTGTGAGTGTAGCTCGATCCTAGCTCTTTCCCTCTCTGGAGACCCAATTCGCACATTCGGTCGAAAGAAGAAGCGTTCGAAAGCAGAACAAGGAAAGATCTTCGATTCTTTCGCACCTTGGCAACTCGTCAATGTCCAGTGTTTTCCTGACGATGTCAATGTGATGCGGACAGAGGACTCTCGAAGTAATTTTTGCAATGGTCCGTTTGCTTTTCTGGACACGCTTGCTAGGGAGTATAGGGATGCTGTCAAGAGGAACATTGCTCTCAATGGTCTCATTACCAAGCTAATCACACTACCAGTAAGTCATGAGAGAGCATTTATAGCACAAGCCGGCTCGCGCGCTAATCTATAACAGGTGACATTCATGTTCGACTACCGCCTCCGCGATAAACTTCTTTTTGAGGACAAACACTTTACATACTCTCGGCGATACTTCTGGGCCTACAACACTCTCGCCGTGATCAACGACGGCATTAAATCCATGATCAACGCTTACACGGAGACATTCACCAAGGACTTCTGGGCAGGCAAACACCCCACTCTATTCCCTCATCCAGACACCACGCACAACACACCTGAGTTCCATACCTACATCAACGCACTGCACCCCCTCCGCCAGGAACTCGAGGTTGCCGTCTCGATGCTCCAGCAGACCTACAACAAGAACGAAGTCACCCGCCAGGAAATCAAGAGTCTCCGGGATCAGCTCTTCTCTGGCAGCAGCGTGAAGGAGAGTCGGCGAGCCATAGAACAGGGCGATAATATCAAGATCCTGACGAGCCTCAGCATGATTTTCCTGCCCCTGACCTTCGTGACAAGCGTCTGGAGCATGACAGGATTTCCGCTCGATGTGGATGATTGGCAGTTCCCTGCAACTATGATATGTGCTTGTGTGCCGTTCTTGGTGTTTGTGTTATTGGTGCAGACAAGGACGGGGATGGAGTTTTTGATGAGCCGGATTGAGTGGTTGGATGAAAGGTTCAAACGGGCGATTATGAGATGGAGCGTTAGAAGGGAGGCGGCGGCGGCAGCAAGCGTGATGGTAAAAGTTGAAGTGAAGGAGCCAAGGCCGAGACGAAGGAGGGGGTTCTCAAAGAAAGAGGCAATACCGGAGAATGTGGAGGTCGTGAAGCCTTCTGAAACCGGCTCGTGGATGAACAGATTACGGTGGAGGAGTACGCCGAAACTGAATAATGGAGCTGTATGATTGCCACCATAGCTGATAGCACTTAGTCGATGTTCGAGTCAGTTAATATTTGCGCGGCATTCTTGTCATCTTCTAAATTTCTGATTGTCCCATTCAAGGCCCTGGTTCGGTCAATGGCCTTGTAAGGGTTGCAATTGCAGCGCAAAAAGGAAAACCTAAGCCGACGAAAGGGGGGCATTCGGGAATGGCGAGCCGTCATATTGGCATCTAAATCATTGGGCGCCGTTCTGTTGTCGAGGTGACGCCAACTCGGTAACTCTCAGATCATGACACCACACACTCATTTTCCGACGATGCATAAGATGAAGAACGCGGTGGTAGCGACAGGGTCAAATATCCCCAAGGATAACTTCTCCCACATGAGCGCAGGCACTTGGTGGATTGAGGGACTTATTTCTCACTTGTCTACACAAAAGCTTCATGGGCCCAAAGGAACACGTTAGACCTAGATTTATTGTACGTGGTGTTACCATTGTGAGGCTTGACTATCTCTTCATTTATTATCTATTATTACCGTATTACGATGGAGTAGAATGTGTCTTACTGGAATAGTCAGAATGGTAAATAGACTAGGGCATGAACTTGGGAATATTGGAAAAGGTCTCTATTGATTATAGTAGGAAACCCAGGTTGTCGAATTACGTCTGCCACTGCTCTGAGAGTAGCCGTCCATTTCGCCCCCTTGACCTTGAACCAATGAGGCTAGGCACGGAGAATTTTGACCAGTGTGTCTACAAGAAAGTCGTGTAAAGAAGTCCTACAGCTAAACCAACCGCCCAACAAGAGAGTGCAGCAGTTGCGCCATTTCCTCCCACCGCTCTACCTGGGCCAGCAGCGCTCGTTGTGTTCACCGGACCTTCAGACGACGAAGACGACGGCGTAGCCGTAGCATCAGCAGCGTTGTGGATTAGCGTTACCATCGCGGCCATGGTGACAGCAGTCCAGTTACCCGGATCCGTGATGGTCTGCGTGATGGTCTTCGAGATCGGGTGGGTAGACACATAGCTGATTAAAATCCCCGTGACTGTGGTACCGAAAACGCTGAGATCCGTGGATACTCGAGTGTAATCATCTCCAGGAACCATGCGAGCACATCCCACCGTGGGGAGCGTGTATGATGGTAAAGCAGACCAACAATAACCATTCAGATTTACGTTATAATTGCTAAGATGGCGGTTAATACTCAGCGGGAAAAGCCAGTTCTTTACAGCAGATATTGTGGAGAAGGAGAGCTTACCTAGGGCAGCAGAGTATAGCAGTCTCGCTCTTGTCCAGTCCCTGCAACATGACGTTGGGTCTGATGTTTACATAGCCTAGATTCCAACCACTGCTGGGAACAGAGGTTGGCACGAATGCATCACCAGAACTGATGATTGAGCCAGCGTCGTTGGATGCGACACCGACTGTAACATGTCCGGAAGGACAAACCAAGCCAGGAGAGTAATATAATATAGTGCTGCCGGCGACCGGATTATTTATGTCAATGTCCGCATACATGCTGTCGATGGCCTTTCCCGACGGGAGACAGTCACCAATTGTCGCCGCGGTCGGCGTAGTTGAGCATAAATTTTGGTAAGGGATTAGACTGGTTGAGTTGGTGTCGCTGTCTACGTAGTTCGTCGCAAGTAGGACGTCCCTTGTTGCTTCGGTGAAGCATGAAACTGGAGCAGTATATGTTGTTGAGAGTGGGCCCATATTGGTAAGGGCCCATCCTCCGAGTGATGAGGTAGGCATGATTTCGATGCGTAAAGCAAGCTCGTGTTAAGACGCAATTAGTGCATGTTGTAATTAACAGTTACTATAGACTAACCATCAAATTCTCGCAAAGCGGTCGCGACTTGGAGGCTTTTGTACCATCAGCTGTACCTTGGTTGAAGGATCCTTCGCCGCCGAGAGTGGTAAAGTGTGCTGCATTTAATTGGCCTGAGGGACGAAGATTGTGGCACAGCTAGGCAGATTTTGAGTGAATCGCGATTTCCCCCGTATTTCTTCCATGATGGCTGCCGTCTGTACCTCGTGGTTTGCTCTGACCAACAGCATTACCTGAGATATTGCTTCCATCACTGTAATATTATACCGATGCGTTTATCACACAGCTGCTTGGATGCCGGACGATGCGTGAACAAGTTTTTCGGATTATTTTGAGATATTTGGTACAGGTTACTTTTCGCCAAATTTGATGTCTGTTGAAGGTGATCGATTGCGTGTCGAAAGTGTGCTCATTCTTAAACGTGTTTCCTTCAGATAAAATAGAGATACCATAAAATCATCAGTGCCTATAAGATCGTCTTACATGCAGCCTAGCTGATGATTCCAAGTTTATACCCACATAACGTCGTCCCAACAGGCGTTAACCTCGGCCTTGGGAGGATTGCATACACATGAGTGCGACCATAGTAGAGTCGTCAGATGATATATAGCATCTGAATACTTATCGCATCTACGTCTTAATAGTATACTACGTTGTAGTGCATGCGCTAAACAAGCAATTGCATACGAATCGGGCTCTTATGTAGTGGACCATTAAAGTCAGCTGAAGCCGAATCCACTTGAACTCAGCGCATGTCTGATTCTGATTCAGGGTTCGTGGGTTTCAAGGCTTATTACCTCTGCAAACCACGGAATTCCCGAGTTTTTGAGATCATCTGACTTATGTAAAGAACGTGTTTCTTACAGGTTTGACCAAGCGCATTTCACTGGTTGATCGAGCTGCCAGTGTGAACAAGACGCAGGAACATTATGGGTCATACCCAGTGTGCAAGGCGCAAACCACTGCAAGAGCGCTGAAGCTGTCTCCTCTGCGGAACAATGCCGATAGTGGTGCTAGGTGGACATGGGCACAGCCTGTCTTTTCAATTGAGCACAGATGACTGGTTCGTCTGCGAGGCTCAAGAAATTGAATATCGTTCCAGCACCTCCGCTGCTGAAGTCATGACCGTTACCCCATTTGGACCAACGCCTGCACGGCTAGCTAAACAACCCCCGGCCCCCGGCCCCCGCGCGTGTCGGCGATTGACGCGAAGGGGGGGAGAAAAAAAAAAGGGGGCCAGCTCAAAATGCCACTATTGGTTCCATGTAACTACTAACTTAAGTTACAGCTTACGGAAGACAAAGATGGTGGTGTCATGATAACGGGCTGCACATGGAACATGCACGACAGTGCAGCTATGACAGCAGTTCGTCTTTGCCCTCCCGTCCCTGCCATTCCACTCCTTCATTTTACAAAGTCAAGTCCTAGATATCTGCTGGTGTGACCTGAACTGGACAATAATTGTTAGGTACATAGAATCGTCACACGCCGCATCTAATCTCCTATTCTAATTAATTTCCAACGCTTCTCTCAGCTCCCTGCATTCGCACCCTTTGCGCCAGACCACCCAGCTACGAACATCACCTCTTTTCGCTGCAACTTAATGTAGAACACATCTCTACAGAAACACACAAATTCTCATTGGAAGCGCGATATTCTGGGAGGAAAGGGAAATAAAAAAAATAAAGTCATTTAAACCAACTGAAAATTCGAGGGCAAGGTTACAACCAACGTTCAAGCGGCCAGCTTACAACACACTAAAGACCCCTAACGATCCGAGTCAACGACAGGGAGATTCTACGTCTGACTCTACGAATGACTCTCGTGCCAACCACGCCAGATAGCACGACCTCGGACGAAATGTCGACCAATGGTTTATACGAAGACATGGAGAGGCTTCATGTCAACGGCAATGGCAATGCGAATGGCAGCAGAGGAGTATCGCCCGGAACACTGCGCAAAAAGAAGGCTCGCAAGCAGTCCAACGCTATGATGCCTCCTTTTATGGTTTCGGCCCCGGGAAAGGTTATTGTGTCTGGAGAGCACTCGGTGGTTTATGGAAAGGTACGCCACGCAGATTTATGAGTCCTCCGAGGGCAGTCCCCCGGCCCTGTCTTGCGCAAAAATGCTTACCTTTGGCACAAGCCTGCGATCGCTGCTTCCATATCCCTGAGATCGTATCTCCACGTCACCACCCTCTCGAAATCAAGGCGCACCGTCAGCCTGCGCTTCCCCGACATCGACCTCGAGCACACTTGGAACATTGACGATCTACCTTGGGACATATTCCAGTCCTCGACAAAGAAGAAGTATTACTACGACCTGGTCACCACCCTCGACGCCGACCTTGTCGAGGCGTTGCAGCCGCACTTGCAGGATATCTCGCCGCACAAGTCCGAACCAGATCGCAAAATACACAGAAATTCGGCGAGCTCATTCTTGTACCTCTTCCTCTCCTTGGGATCGCCCAAGTTCCCAGGATGTCTATACACACTGCGCTCGACGATACCGATCGGCGCCGGCCTCGGAAGCAGCGCATCGATAGCTGTGTGTCAGTCGGCAGCACTTCTTTTGCAGCTACGTACGCTGTCCGGACCGCATCCTGACCAGCCGCCAGAGGAGGCGCGCTTACAAGTGGAAAGAATCAACAGGTGGGCATTCGTGGCGGAGATGTGCATACACGGCAACCCATCGGGTGTGGACAATACGGTTGCAACCCAAGGAAAGGCGGTGGTGTACCAGAGGACAGACTACCAGAAACCGCCGACGGTGCGCCCGCTGTGGGACTTCCCGGAGTTGCCATTGCTGCTAGTGGACACGAAGCAGCCGAAATCTACGGCATTCGAAGTGGCCAAGGTTGCGAGGCTGAGGAGCAACCATCCCAAACTGGTGGGCCCCATTCTGGATGCGATGGACAAGGTTGTTCAAGCCATGAATGAATTGATCGGCGATGAGGATTTCGACAGTGAGGATGTGGAGAGTCTCAGCAAGGTTGGCGAGCTCATGACGGTAAATCATGGCCTCTTGGTGTCACTAGGCGTGTCGCATCCCCGCTTGGAGCGTGTACGAGAACTGGTCGATCACGAAGGCCTCGGATGGACGAAGCTCACTGGTGCAGGAGGTGGTGGCTGTTCAATAACGCTGATGCGGCCAGATGCTCCTAGGGACAAGTGGGATAAACTGGAGGAACAGCTGGACAGGGAAGGATATCAGAAGTTCGAAACCACTCTTGGCGGAGACGGTGTTGGCGTGCTTTGGCCGGCTGTTCTGAAGAATGGAATGGAGGACGAGGACGAAGAGGGAGGTATGGAGATTGACATGGAAAAGTTCTTGAAAGCGCCTGGCAACGATGGTGTGGAAAGGCTTGTAGGTGTACACGATGGAGGGGCTGAGAGGGAAGGTTGGAAGTTCTGGCGTGTCGAAACGCATTGAAAACTGATTGGTGGGCGTACCGCCAATGGCTTTACTTAGTTGCTTCAATTGCCTGCTCTCGGGCATCTGTTGTGTAGATCTTATGAGAGCAACGGAGACAATTCGCCTTATGGCATGGCAGGCAATACATCATGCACTCGGTCTCTGCTCGGTAGACGGGACAGTAGCAAGTACAGTAACTTACTCATCGACCAATCGTCGTTTTACTGCTGAAAGTGGATGTGTGTCATGGTCACTCACTACTTGGTGCAGCCATGCAGATTGTTGCTGTTCCGCAATTCAACTCCCTTGCCACATGCAGAGCTCTACTTTGTTTAGTCTAGACATATGCACACCTTGCTATTGCCGCCAAGCACACGTGTGGTTTCTCAGCTCGGCTCATCGGCTCAGCTCCAGCTCAGCTCATCAGCATGAACAATGCAACACACCACCTAACTACAGTACAGGGGCCTCTTTGAGCTAAGGTTAAAACGTGGGGTTACGCAGCTAGAACTTAAGTGGAAAGGAAAGCTTGACCACACCTCCGGGCAAACCCCCCCCACCATCGACAACTCGGAATCTGGAAGCTCTCCAACAAGCCATGCCACCAAAAGGCAAAGCAGCCCCAAAGGCGAAGATTGTTGATGGTGAGTCCGATGCGAGCGTTGGTCTCGACTGAGCTCGTTGATTGCTTGCATATGCAGTGCGGCCAACACAGATACAGAGAGCCTTGCACTGACTTTCCCCAGCGAAGCCCGGCCCGAAGACGGTCATTGAGCGCGCTCAGCACATCTACGAAGCCACCAACCCACACGAAGCCGTTCGCCAGCAGGTGGGACTCCGTGGGCTTTCGACCGTCGAGAAGACAGCATATCTCAACGCGGACTTCCTAAGCAGCGGCAGCGTCGACCGGCTCGGAAAGAAGGCACAGAAGGAGCTCTGGAAGCAAGTCAACGAGGCCAATACCCCGTCGCGGAAACTCTCCAAGCCGTCGCTCGAGGTTTGGGGCAAGGACAAGTACGCCCGCAACATCGGCGAGTACGCTATCCAGCAGTACGAGGACAGAGGCGCCAAAGTCTTCCGGCTCACCGTCTTGTTGAGCGAGAGTCGACAGTTCAGGCTCAAGAGGAACAAGTTTGTCCACGAGAACGGCAAGGCCCGCTCTCTGCCAGGCAAAGAAATCGAGGCAGAGTCTACGAGAAGGAAGGAGATGGCGGCTCTCAAGGATGAGCTCTACGGGGAGAAGTTGGGCTCCTATTCTACAGACCCGGATTGGGATGACGTGATACCCATACCTCAGACAGAGCCAGAGGGCGCTTTGGCTTCCATCGCATATCCAGAGGACTATGCTGAGTGTAAGTCGACCGTAATACCAGGGTCTGAGGGTCCTCGCTGACGGAAATACAGCAACGTCCTACCTCCGCGCCGTCATGGCCGCCGAGGAATACTCACCGCGCTGTCTCAAGCTCACCGAGAACATCATCTACATGAACCCAGCTCACTACACCGTCTGGTTATACCGATTCTCCGTCATTCAACATCTCAACATTCCTCTCCTCGACGAGCTAGATTGGCTCAACGAAGTAGCTATGGAGCATCAGAAGAACTACCAGATCTGGCACCATCGCCAGCTCCTGCTGGACCACTACTACCCTTCCATCAAGGACACCCCGGACCAGGTCAAGCGTTTTGCCAAGAATGAGCGCGATTTCATGATGGACATGTTCTCCGAGGATGCCAAGAACTACCACGTCTGGACTTACCGACAATATGCCGTCCGGAGATTGGGTATGTGGGATGTCGATGAGCTGCAGAGCATCGCCGGCATGATCGACCAGGACGTGCGCAACAACTCGGCTTGGTCCCACCGCTTCTTCCTTGTCTTCTCCGACCCGAACAACACGACCAAAGACTCGCATGCTACCGAGCACGATCCAGCTGTGCCGGCGGATATCGTGGGTCGCGAGATTGACTATGCACAGCAGAAGATAAAGCTGGCACCTCAGAACCAGAGCACCTGGAATTACCTGAAGGGTGTTCTAATCAAGGGCGGACGGAAGCTGGGCAGTGTCGGGGAGTATGTCGAGCTGTACGTGAACAACCTCGGCGAGGAAGGAGAACAGGTTCGTAGCTCGCATGCTCTCGAGCTGTTGGCGGATATCTATGCCGAGGCTGGCGAGAAGGAGAAGGCGGATTTGTGTCTCAGGAGACTGGGCGATAAGTGGGACCCCATACGTCTCGGGTATTGGGAGTGGAAGAGAACGCAAATCGCTGAATCGTGATAGGGAAAGGGCGAATAGCTAAACGAAGATCTACTCCACTGTTCAAGCTGGTGGTCATACTTATCTGCTTGTTCTTGTACTACGTACCGTAAAAACAGGTTCTGTGTCCGCTATAAAGGCATATTAACGCAGGCATTATTATCAACACTTCCTATCTTGCAACAAAGAGACTTGATATCACTAGCTTCAGGGATTGAACATGTTCAGTCAGGCTGCAAGGACGATCAATAGTCCTTGCTGATCTCATAACTCGTCGAGACGTTTCTCATTGCTCCTGGTACTGTAATTCTTTTCTGGGAAGAAAGTCTGTGTTCCTCGAGCATGCCATCTGGCTTGATAGAACCGCACCAGGACTGAGTTCCTGAATACTTGACCCATTCAGGTCGGAATCTGTGCGAACCGGATCAGCCATCATGCAAAGTAAAGCCTCGAAATCTTAAAAGTCTGAGTGACCATGGATAGATTGACCAACCAAATGGAAAGCGGCCGATAACAAGCTATTATCTCATTCACGAAGCCACTCATAAATCTCCAGCCACCTAGGTTTTACCTTCAAGTGGTTGAAGAGGTTGAGGAACTTTGTCTTTCTAAGTTGGCAAACATCGCCTTCGATAAGCAATGTCATATGAAGGTCCAGGGATGACTTGCCCAAGGATGATCGACACAAGCTTCGTTACGTACTGCACACGAAAAAGCCAGGCAGATGCACTCCCCCGGAATTTCAAAAGCACTTGTTGGTGTTATCATTGCTGGCATGGATGTACCTCGAGGTTGTGTTGCTGGACCCTTGACATTGCTACTCATTGTCTGCTCGTTGTTATGCAGACGCTCCCAATTGCGGATTCCTAAGCGGCTGGCTTTTGGAAGTTTTCCTCATTATTCCCAACCCCATGATGTAAAAATGTGCTCGTACATCTTTGTCCTCTGGTCCTCGAACGACCAGCGAAGCCCAAGGTGTTTTGATAATACTGAAAGAATTACCCACCTACACCCCTGTACTCAGTACCTGTCGTAAAATTAAGGTTTTGGCTGACGCGGCTTTGCGATGGCGTTATCGTTCTTGAGCCGCCAAATTAGCCCCATAACTATGCCATTCTTATTTCCATACATGGATTATATCATCCACACTATAATGGTGCATTCTCTGAACGCATGTCCTCTGACTGCTATATAACGGATGCGACCGATTGAACAACAACGAGTCGCAACGATGCGTTTCGCATTGCGGTATGGCATATAGACTCGTCACGAAAGCGAGGATGTCGGTGATGATGAAATTAAGTAGTGCTATGGCGCGGTTTATCCGTACATAGATTTGGCATGACTATCCATGCATGGCCGGCTGTAGTCTATGAGGGCAGATAATATCATCGCAGAGAGCTGTACTACTCGCCTGGTCAACGATGGAGTAGAAGTCTCTGCTACGCCTTACAGCGGTATGATTTGTCTGCGCATCTGGTATCTCTATAGACTGTACTTTAGAACGCGTAGATATCTAGTAGTCTACGAGCATTGAAACAAATATATTAGTCCAACCACTCAGTTATGTACTCGGTCTAATGTATTTTCCGGGAGACGCATATAACTCTCAGCTGATAGCAAAGGAGGATACTGGTATATCTAGCGTCTTTACATAGGAAGTATTCATCCTCTACGCCGGGACGCGCACCGACCAACCAAAATCATCGAAATCACGTCTTAGCTCCAAGGTGAGTATTATAGGTGTCACATTCGGTGCGCTCATAGTAATACTGACCTTCGGAGGTGTATCATGCTTCAATTGAACAAGTAAATATTGTTTCATCCAGCAGAGCAGTATATCTGAGGCTCATTGAAATACAGAGCTGAGATCTGTTCATCAGCCGCAAAAAGTGGCAAGTCGGAATTACTAAATAATAGCATCATCTAGATCGGCTGTAGCAAGTCGTCATTTAACATTACTAATCCACCGAAGAAATATCATGAATTGTACTACAAAGCACGAAAGCTATAAGTATTTTTCTTTTATCCTTTTAGGAATTGTAATCTGGCTGTGACACTTGTTGTACACGATTTTGAGACTCTTTCACACATTTAACAATCTCTTTCTTTAGGAGTGGTGTATGCCTCAGTCCTTATGAGGGTGGCACTTTGAAGATGGTGATGTTTTTGACGTCTATCTAGGTACATCACATATAATCTGCATCGATGCAAATCGAAATTCAAACCGCCGTTCAAGCCTTCTCCAAGATATATCGTTTGTAAACCTCTACGCTACCGATAATTCATTGGCTATCCATCCAATTTTGTCATTTGTTTTCATATCATGCGGGGATACTGATCTTGAAAGAGTCTTCCGCCAACGAGCACAGTACGGTAGTAATGGGTTCGGCGGCACAGTTCTCGATGCCAATTAACCTGACGTAAAAGTTTTCATGTATACGGGTTCGTCCGCATAAGTAGCGCTTCGGCTAGGTAAGCGCCAAGAAGATTAATCCTGGTGAACTGTAAGGCTGTTTTAAAGCTTGAGCAGCTAACAAAGTAAGCTTACTTTCCAAACTAACCTTTATATCCTTGAAAACCAGGAATCTAGCCATTTGCGGATAATCCGGATAACTTATAGCAGATATCATATGCTCGGGGAAATGGCGCTGTTGCAAAGAATCTCGCTTGTGGAGCATAACCATGATTGCCCCTTAAAAAGCCTTGCATCAAATCATTCGATCCATGGTTGCATTGCGGAGCAGCATTGGCATTACTGTCCTGCTTTGTACCCATTTCGTATCTCGCTACACCTTCTCCACTAGCGTAACATCTGTGCCTTCAAACGTGGCTCAGTTTTATCGGTCTATTGCTAAGTTTGGTAAGGTTGTGTATTCAGGAGAATGAATACAAACGAGTTCGATTACTATCGAATTACGCTGCGGCTTCTCGTTGTGCTCCCACTAAGATCAAAAGAATCACTCTCTTCGTTTAGTCCTCGTCTCCCTTTCGCCTTGCCTTACAGTGGTGTTATCTATTATGACATAAAAGGTCAGAAAGAGCAGTGGGAGGACAACCAGTTCAAAATTGAATGTTTCCAAGCGTTGATTGGCTTCCGGCCGGGGTCACTTTCAAAAAGTACAAGGCAGCTTTAATTTGTGAGACCCGTAAGAGTGTTGATTTAATGGTTGTGGCTGGCTCAAAATGATTCTGCTGGCCCTTGTAAAGTATTTAACCCACTATGCTTTTCAAGGTCTGGTACCGTAGGACAAGCATTTCATGGGCAAGGAGGTTTTCGGTTTCGAATAGAGGGGATAATCCATTTTCTCCAACCACACACGAGCGCGGCCTTGTTTAACAGCTTTGGTAGCAAATCTCTCATCGATCTACATGTCTACTTGGAAGAAATGGCCATTGGCTTAAACTCTTTGTATACAACAAAACCCAACTTCTCACACTAGATTTACCGATAATCAAATCAGCGCTACTAATCTTTCGAGAACTTGTTCAAATTGCTTAGAACTGTGAGTTGGTTATATGTACGAACCATGTATTAATCTTTCTGGCTTTTTTGGATCTTTCTGAAACCTATTATCTACACACTCCATATTAACGCCACAGCAGACAAAGTTAGGGATCCCCAATCATAAATCTTCACCTAACTAAGTGCCTATCTACATAGGTAGAATTAGTTCCGGCGGGTACAAACCAACGGGTGAGAATGCTTCAGCGCAATAAGAGGCGTACCATTTAGGGTAGAGCTCCGAGTTAGACCCTTTCGTCTAAGTTTACACGAACATTCCGTTTAGGGCATACCTCTTACAGTGAGAAAATCATTTGCAGGTCTGCCTAAGAGGTGTGATTGAAGGATTCATATCTGCTGTGTGACTGTACTCAATGAAATCAGCACCCTGGAATCCACCCGGCCCTTCCGGCAATCGAGATGTGCGGGCCTACCATAGCCGTCTTTAATGGTGGAGAGCGAAAGTCCTTCTGTCCGCACTAACTGTCAGCCCTTACTTACCCAAAACCTTTACATGGCGTGAACCTCAGATAGAACTCTATTTGATACCATTCGTTGTCGTAAAACTCACCCCAATCTTGACGACCTCAACCGACCTCCTCATTTTCTACGGATTAAGGAGGACCTCAATTCGAAATCCTCTATGTCCAGTCTTCTCGGAGCAATGCACGCTTGGCAATCACCGCGCGCTCTAGCAGTACTGGCTCTGCTTATTCTTGCTATTCTGTTACTATCAAACCTGCGAAGCCCTATCCTGCTTGACCATGGTCTGCAACAGGAGCACACCGGGGCAGACCGTACAAAATGGCCACCGACTCTGCCACCAGTCGACGAAACGGAAGCGTACTGGCTACAGACATCGCTCTCTGGCTCTTTTGAAGATCAGTCCATTGAAATAGGGCAACGTGCCGGAGTTCTCCGTGACTGGATTCAATCGTATGATCCGTATTCCAAAGCACTTCATCCGCAGTTGCACGCCGAATCTATTGAGAAAGCAGCTGTCACGCTCTTTCCCTTCCTGGCGAATACATTACGGAAGTCAAAAAGCAAGAACCCTATGGAGAATATTCAACCCCCATTCAACAAATCCTCCCGTGGTATAGTAATATTGACAAGCGTCAAAACCTTTCGACAGACTTTCCACCTCCTTGGCGCGCTCACGGAGGTTGTCCTAACCGATCTGCCTATACAAATAGCGTACAGTGGTAATGACAGCCTAAGGTCTTTCCAGCGGGAAATGTTAGCCTACCGCTTTCCGAGCATCAGTTTCCTCGATATCAGCACTTTGTTCGTAGATAACTCGCTACCTCTGGAAACCTCTGACAGTGCCCTGAAGATACTTGCAGGGCTCGCCACGACTTTCGAGCAGTTTATTCTTCTTGAAGCAAACACAGTTTTGCTTTACAGACCCGATTTATTGTTTAAACAATCTGCATATCATCGCACTGGGGCTCTCCTATTCGGGCGTCCTGTCCAATCACCAATGAGATTTCCGGCAACCTACCCGCCAGAAGTGTTGACATCTCATTCCTCGACTGAATGGACCCAGGGTTCGGATGTTAAGAAGACACAATATTTACAAGAAAAATACTGGAGCGTAGTTGTTCTGGATAAGTCCCGTGTCGATGTACTGATCGGATTGTTGCATGCATCCTGGCAAACAATACTGAACGGGCATGGACGGATTGACGATACCGCTCCAGATAGAGAGATAGATGTATGGCGCCTTGCATTTGAGCTCACGGGTTCGCCCCATGGGCTGCAGACACCCTCTGCTGCTGTGATCGGATGGCCGCGCCACGGAGCAGAGGAAGAAATTTGCAGCTTTGCTGATGGATACTCCGAGGAAAATGGAACGCTCTTATGGTACACTTCACTTATCGTAAGAAAGGATGAGCCGAGTTTCGGAAATGATAACGTACCAACGCATCGGGTGGTGATGTTGTCAAGCCAGGAGGTTTTGAATGGGAAAGACATTCTTTGCACAGTAAGAGAAAATGCGAGAACGCTCACACACGCACAACAACAGATTATCCAAAAGACTGCACAAAAAGCGCAGCAACTGGATTCGGAGTTTGGATTAGCCAACATGCATAAATCATTAACATCATCTGACACATAAGGAAGGCATAGGGGCCCTGGACCCATGTCCAACGGGGAGCTTTGGAGTAATGGCCTCAGTAGTTGGTAATTACACAGAGCATTGCTATGAACCTCATGTATCAAAATTGGTAAATATACAACAACGGTTCCCCCACGAGTTAAGCTTTTACCGAATGGTCATTTCTCTAAATGCTACAATACTATGAGATTCAATATAAGGATTAGCTTCACCGAGTTTCAAATGTAACGAATACAAATAACCCACCATGATCAAAAAACATTTCACCTCCACCTAACGGGTTCAATCGTTTCTGTGAAACCATAAGAAATAATTTTCGCTGCTTTAAAAGCCATGTTTATGCCAGTTGTAAACCTGTCCAGCCTGACAACTCTCCTAGCCATCATGTACACATTTTGATCGAAGATCAAGTATGATAGACTATAGGTCGATCTGTAGGATCGTGGCACAGACTGAGCCCAGAGTTCAGGTAGTATCAAGAATATTGGACTCTCGTAATGCTGACTGCATTGCTTACCGACCTGGTGAAGTTTCTTCTTGTGCTCGGCGGTTAAAGAAAACTACACGGGAATCCTCCCTCTCGTAGGATCATGTAGTGGTACAACGATCCACATTACAATAAAAGTACACCATGCGCACTGTGAGAAAGTAACAATATAGAGTATTTTGACCATAATCAAAGAAAAAAAAAACCATTAAAAAGCGGACTCTAAACTGTGTAGGATATGATATGATCGACACAAAGGTGCCGCTGGACCGATCTGAGAAGCTACTATTCACACTGGCATCACCAGTCACCTGAACTACACCCTTCTTACTACCAAGACAAAGGTGGTACGAGAAACCATCGACCATGGAGGACTCGCTTTTTGCGGCATGCCTTCACCCGATCTAGGCTCAAATCAGGTTGTGTCTCCTGGGTCATGAGACTGGGTAGAGGGCATGATTTCTGTTTCGAAGAAATATAAATAGCTGAGAATTTCTCCTCCAGAGAGTCCAGAACACTTAGAAATCAAGCCTTCCAAACAATCAAATCAATTCGACTACACTACCCTCCAATATACCAACCGCACCTCTTTCACAATGAAGTTCACAGCTCTCATCTGCACTCTCATGGCTGCCGCGGCTGTGAATGCTTCAGCAGTTCCTGAGATCCAGGCCAGAGACACTTGCGGCGCTGGCTATGGTGGTGATCAACGACGTACAAACAGTCCTTGTCAATCCTCCAACGGCGATAGGCACTTCTGCGGTTGCGACAGGACCGGTGTGGTATGTTGACATATCCAAGTTGATGTATCAAACGCTCTTCGCTGATGTATATTTCCGTGACAGGTCCAGTGCCAGGGTGGCACCTGGAGAGAGATTCGGGACTGCGGTAGCGGCACATGCCACGGTGGCAACGACGGCGGAGCCGTTTGCTAGAGTGAGAACAGCAACCGTTTTCATATTTACACTACGGTATGTTAACCAGTCTCCCACTAAGACCATCCGGGATTATCAATACTGAACTCAGTTCTTATATTTAGGACCAAGGTGAGAAAATTTGATAACTGAAGGTTGTTAAAGAAGGGTTTCCAAAAGAAAAGCCGTCAGAAAGATTCAACATCAATCGACTGACTGAAATTGGAACGGGAAAATTTTTATGTTACTAGTCGCTCATTTATGGATACATAGTTTATAATATTCATTGTGGTGCCAGCTAGATACTTGACAGTTTTACCGATTACTGAGGTCATTTTGAGGAATTCATCACTGGATCTGTCATCGTCACTAGTTTGCTGCTATGGAGTGTGCTTGGTGTTGAGCGTGGAGCGTGTAAGGGCAATGCCTCGTATCAAATCACTGATAGAGATCGATTGTTATTTTGCGAGGACCGCCAGGTCCTCACTAAAACCCGATACCTGCCCTTGCATTAGACTGCACATAACGAGCCACATTTGGTGTTATCTGGAGTGGAATAAACATTTGTGGAGCAAGTGTAGTTGCATCCGTATCCATAGATGAGTTATACATGGGTTCTAATTGAAACTATGCGACAACCAATGCCCATTGATTCCAATGGCGTAATATTACCAGAAACGGGTTTTACTAAAAAGTTCTGCCAAATCCGCTCGCGCACTCCCTCGTTTAACCGTGGACATCAGCGCGGCTGATTCTGATCCCTCAAGCCAGCCTCACCGAGGTTCTCAGTCAGTGAATCGTTATCTCATACCCGCCCGGTCGAAACATTGGTGTGCACTGGATTCGATAGCTGTAGGATGGTTCGTAGCACAATGTGTCAAAGGTTACACAACAGTCGCCGCTAATTAGCGCTCATGCGTCTGACCTGGCTCACCATGTTAGCTCGTCGGGTAAAGGGCTACCGGGAGTCATCCGGCTGTAGCCTAGCCTAGACTAGTGATATTAACGGGTTTTCCCATAGGACTAACTATGTACTTGCCGCTGGCTTTGCGAAGGTCTTAGAGCGCTTTAGTAGGGCCATACTAACGTTAGGTAATGAGCCTAGACCGCTAAATGATCCTACGGACCTGCATTCGACTGTCTCAGTAGAATATAATTAGGTAGAATTGAGAACGGTTCTAGCGTGATTCTCAGGAAAGCATGGTACGATTGCAAAGGGCTCCTAAAGTACAGTGCATTAGCTTCATGTAAGATTTATGGTTAATGTGACGTACATTCCGAAATGGCCAATTATCTACAGTAGGCAAGGGGTCTTTGAGGAGCATTTCCCCTTCGCTCATAAGCGGCGGCCTGTAACTGTCATTGAAGCAAGCGAGGACTTTCGGACCGCATGTTTCTGTAAAAGTCAGGCTCAGTGCGTCTGCGCCAGATGCATTGGAAGGGCGAGGATCAACTTTTGCGTTCGGCGTCTGACGACGTGGACTCTTTCAAAATAAGAGATACTCACTATTTTCGTCTTGAAGATAGCGAGGCCGGTGAATACGCTTCGAACGCTTAGGTCAGCTCAGTGCCTCTTTTCTTCCATTTCTTTTCTTCTCTTCTTTCCTCTTTTTCCATTTCATCCTATTTCTTCTCGGCTTGCCAAAGTCTTTCTATATATCCAATCATTAGCAACGACTTTGGTGGAAAATCTTTTTACTTATGCGGTGCGCTTCGTGAGATTATAGAATTGAGGTGGCATATCACCACGACTCAAAGCTCTCATCCCTGCTCGAATAATGAAATTTCGGAACAGCCTGTCATTCCAAATCGAAATACCTCTCGTGCCTTCTTGCCACTTTGCTACTATCACATTTCCTCTTATTTTCTTGGTCATTTGTCAGCATATGCAGTTTACACTTTCCGGGCCAACAAATCAATAAACAAACCAACAACACTGAGGCAAATGTTGTAATTAGCTGTAGACATCGTTTTGTAGGAAGCATATCCAGTGATAGAAGCCGAGCATTTTGGTAATTGAGTGGCGGCACGTTGGGCCTATACAAGAAAGTAAAATGACCGAGTAGGATTCTATCCACTGTTTACGAGCACAGCTTGAACCTGACATAACTCGGGCGATGCAAAAGTCGCCACCGCAAACTACACTGGCCCCAAGATAGTTGTGTCCACATGAACCAATCCACATGCCTAACGTAGGATCCAGCCGACGGAGCAGCTGCATGATAAGTGGTAGAGATCCGGTTTAGAGAGAAATACAGTCAATGATATTCCTGAGTAGCGCTACTTTTTCCCCGCGTGTTGGCCTCTTCTACGTAAAGCCGATGTCTTGTGTGCAAGAATGTATCACTCCTAGACAATAAAAGTCCAGATCTATGCTGATTGGGGAAGGTCGGGACCTCTCTGTCTTCCTGGGTAGATAGGTATCAGATATTCCGTTTCCATATCTAAATGCTCAAAATGCACATCGAATGCATTCATTGTCGCAACGGAATGTGTGGTCTTCGCCAAGGCTACCTCAAAGTGTCACTGTGGGGCTTGACTCCATAGTGCTTTGTATTGGTCTATGGTATGTGTAGAACTAAGATATCGTCCAACAGCTTACGTTATGGGGATATATCGGTCGAATTGGTGTATCTAATGACTGATATCCATGGTGCAGTGCTGATGAAGTGTTCAGCCTAACATCAGCCAGAGCTGCTGCCAAATCAAATCAGATTTATCAGATTTATCATAAATTGGCGTGAACTGGGCAAATCATCCGGCTCAGCCAAGTTTATAAATACATCGTTTAACAGGACCGATTTGTAGATTAATAGCCGTTTCGGTGATGAAAAGTAACCCGATATAGATGAAAAGTATATAGGAAGCTGCGCTTTGCCGTAACGATTCCCGTGAACTGTTTGTATTAGACTAGATGGTTTTACGAATAGTGATGACTTTTGGTGTTTTGTTTACTACAAAGGGAACGATAATCTGCGTTATAATACAACAATTTTTCACCAAAGCTAGCCTTCTAATTAGCCCATAACCTACTTTAATATAATAAAAAAAACCCCCCATGATAATAAGTCGGATTTGCTTACCATTTGGTAAACAACACTTATTAATCATAACTATAACAACATAATTAAGGAAAAAAGCTTTATATAATAAAGATGGTCTATATAAAGGGTATAAGACTGCCAAAAAGCAAGTGCTTAAAGACGTTATTATCGGTTTGTTCACTATTAGTCATGACTAACCTAAGTTACTTCACTTACATTGTGTACGTACGAATTCGTACTGCTTTAGCGACGGCTCGTTAATCTAGTCTAGCATTGGTTAGAAGCGTATTAACGTGGCGGATTCTCGGAACGGAACAATAGTTAGACCGTAAGAAGGTCTTTAATTGGCCCGGAGCTTTATTCCGGTTTGGTTTATAAAGTGTGTATACAAATAAATAAACTTGACCAATTTGCGATATTAGCGTAAATCAAAAACATCAAGAGCTTCAATGTTACGAACGAAGGCCAGGAACCAGGCCTGAAGTGGAGAAAGGAAGCATGGGGCAGCCGGTCACCACTGCTGAGATTCTATTGGACAAAAGACAGCACAGGACTCTGGGTCACGTGACGTAGGAGCGACACAGGGGATGGCGCTTCATGCGACTCTAGGAGCGATGAAGGCGCCGCGCTCCCAGCGCTCCACGGAATATCAGTGAAGGAATGAATGGATATAATAAGGATTGGGTTTCCTACTCTACATAGACAGTCATTACTTCAGTGATCAATCTAAGCATCTATCTTACCCATAGGTGAAGCTCACGCTTTGACGACTACACTTGTGAATCTCTTTGCTCAGTATATTCTTGAAGGTCTATCTCTATAGTCTTCTATTCGTGGCTAGCATATCTTGTTAGCATAAACCCCCTTGCATTATATTATTTGTAGTTGTGCAACCCGATAGTATAATCGTCACATTCAATTTGATTTATTTGCTTTGTCAGCAGCTCTGTCATCAGCCACTTCACGCATTAACTAGTCCTAGATTCTGGGAGTGACATGATGAACATTGCGCACGTGACTCCACGATTTCAGTTGAAATCAGTATTCATTGGTTGTTTCATTGGTGGGGAATATTGGGTTTTTAATGTGCTTTTTAGTAATCTTGGGTTGTATTTTGGCCGCGGGAGCCGTCATTGGACGTTGATGTGAGCTCCGCGGCCGCCGGCTTAGAAAACAATTCTTGGCATCCTAAATAGAATGACTACTCGGCCGACGTGTAATATATAAAATCACTATATAATAACCCGTATCCTATCTACCGAATTAGATATATAGTATCAATCACACGAGCAGGATGGTGCGCGTAGCAATCGCTGGGTCCGGCGACACGGCTCGCTATGTTTGCGAAGAGTTCACCAAAGCCGGCCACGAACTAGTAATTCTAACACGGAGCCACAAACCTCAACTTGAGCGGCCTGGTGTCACTCAAGCTGTTACAGACTATAGCGAAGACTCCCTCAGGGCACCGCTGTCGGATTGCGACGTCCTCATCTCGCTTATTCTAACCTACGACGCATCAACTTATATCAAAATTCACCGCACGCTCATCAAAGCATGTCAGCAGAGTCCAAAATGCAAACGATTCATTCCTTCCGAGTACGGCGTGAATCTGGAGGACTTTCCTGATCAACCTGGGTTCTACTGGCGATCGAGGGAGCCGATCCGGGAAGTGCTTAGAAACCAGCGCATCATCGAATGGACACTAGTTTCTGTTGGTTGGTTGATTGACTATATCGTGCCCGCGAAAAATCGCTATCTGAAAGATGTCGGCGAGGCTTTTCCTGTCGACCTTGCTGCACGCAAATTCGTGATCCCGGGAACTGGGAAGGAGCTGGTGGATGTCACATGGGCCCGCGACTTCGCAAAGGGACTTGCTGTCCTGGTCAATGCGTCGGAATGGGATACCTATACATATATGTCAGGCGAAAAGACGCGCTGGAATGATGTTGCTGATATGGTCAAGCGCAAATATGGTGGTGAATTTGAGACCGAGTATCGATCGCTGTACAAATTGATCGAGACAATCAAGAATGCCGAGGAGGGAAGTGAGGCTGCGATCATCGCTGAGTACCAGATTGTCTCCCCCAGCGGGGCATGCTCGCTCCCGTGCGAGAAGGTGCAGGCTCAGAGGCAGAAGTTATTCCGAGGATGTCATTTTCGATCTGTGCAAGAAGGCATGAGCGAAACTGATGGTGACTCAGGGGTGATCGTCTGAACGACATGAGACGGTTGCAGACTGGTGATTTTTGACCACAGATGATTGGCGGCTCCCTTGGAGGAGACGTGGGATTATTTGCACGGAAAGTGGGTTATATGGCCGGACTTCCAACATGACTCCGTAGCTGTTATGCCAAACTCCAACTTTTAAATAACGTCGTGGGGCAATGATTAGTTTTAATGACAGCAGCCATATATGCACGTATAAGAACTGTGACAGGGTAAGAGCTGGTGGGCTATGAGCATCATGTCATATTAGTGTTGCCAATTCCAGAGGAGACTTTATGGAACACTGAGATATGGCATAGGAATGTGTTTGTCTCATACTCGCGTCTATGCGTCTAGACCATCTAATTCGATAAGTTTCGTTACCAACTTGATAACCTCGCTCTCTTGTACATCGGCTTGCGGATCGTTGACTTTTAGTGCAATGATGTTGTCTACCATACCCCTGAGCCTAGAGACCAAAACTCCAATCCGAGCCCATCCACGAAGTCTGTTGAATTGTCAGTAACATTCTGGAGACAACGACAATGTTTCACTTACCGTAGCCATCCATCAACAAGAAGTCCTCGGCCCATAGTATCCAGCTCAATGGCTCCAGAAAACAACAGCAGTGTGAAAGCATTAAAAGCTGAAGAGCACAGAGTTAATATTGAAATGCAAGGGAGAAATAATATGAGAACTTACGAGTCAGATCCCTGATGAATATTTTGCTTGTTGCCATCATATTGAAGTAGGATACGAAGGCCGCATTACCAGAGAAGCCTTGACTGTCAAACAACATGCTGCTTGGATGGATGAATACTCTCCCGTTCTCTTGCGTGAAATACTTGATAGTCTTAGCTTCAGGGTCAATCTCTACAGCACCAGTGACTGATGCAGCAAACTTCTTATCGGGCAATTGTATGCGCGCGATCTGAGGCGTAAAAGCAGCCGCGGTGAGCGCCCGCACGATAGATGTAGACGCTGTGCTATGGCTTGACCGGCGCGAGTCATAAAGGGCGGAAGGCGAAACAATACCAATCTCAGTCAAGGCTGAATAGTACTGCGTTCTCGTGGTGGCTATATCAGAAAGAGTCTGATACGAGAGAAAGTTGTCGTCGCAGAAGTTGCGTATTTGTCGCTGAGGCACCCTGTCCTCGACCATTGAGTTCCACTCCTTCACAGCGCGAAGGTCCGTCAACAGGTCGCCATCACCATTCGAAAATCTCTTCCGTGTTTCTCTGGCAGCATCTCTCTTGTCCGGCGGGGAAAGGAAAGGACTCTTTGTACTAAGAATTGCGGCGATCAGGATCGATTCCTCCAAGCATCCAAAAATGGCACCAAACACCATGAGCTTGCCGCAACGCAAATCAGCGGGGATCATGGCTAGTTGTTGACCAAGTGCAGTCAGCTCGTCTCCATCAAGAGCACCCATCCGCTGCAGAATCTGGATCGCCCCCTCTACAGCTGTGGACTCAGGAGGGGTCGGGGTCCTTCCAAGGAACCCAGCAACATCACGAGTTCCCATGGCGCGAACTGACAAACAAAGCTGCTCAAGTGGTACACGGCGAATTTCAGGATCTGGTCTTTCCGCCATATGCTGCTCTTCGGTTTTGCGCGTAAAGAGCTTGTAGCAATTACCAGCCTGGACTCTACCTGCACGTCCTCGGCGCTGTTTACATGCTGCGCGTGATGCCCAATTCTCTTCAAGCTTGCGCATATTGTTCTGCGGGTCGTAGCTGGTTTCCTTGACTTTGCCTGTGTCGATGACGGCAACAATATCGTCAATGGTGATTGATGTCTCGGCTACGTTAGTTGCAACCACGACCTTTCGCTTGCCGGGGGGTGGTTTGGCGAAGACTCGCTTCTGGTCTCGAGTATCGAGAGACGCATGTAGTGGTAAGACGTGCAGAGATGAGACGGTCTGGAGTTCCTTGACGGTTCGATTGATCTCCATAACACCAGGAAGGAAAATAAGGATGCCGCCCTCCTTGCCGCTCTCTTCCAGATGTCCATCAATACCTTTAGCTGTTTCGACGAGCAGTTGGTAGTTGATTCTCGAGCCTAATTTTTGTATGATTTTGTTGATAGGGTCTTGAGCTGCTGCTTTGTCATCATCTTCCACGTGATCATAGTACCGATCTTTGCTGATAGTGAAATTTGTCATTCGAATGATGTCGTCCAGATAATAGTCTTCGACCGGATATGTTCTACCAGCGATCTCAACCAGGCCAACCTGTAATCCTTCTGAAGTGAAATAGTTCCTGAAGGTCGCAGCATCCAATGTAGCACTCATGAGAACCAACTTCAAGTCTTTCCTTCGTTTTAGTACGTCTCGAATGATGCTCAGAAGAAAGTCTGTATCCAAACTGCGCTCGTGGACTTCGTCAATAACTACATGACTGACGTCAGCCAAGGATGCAACAACGTCCTCAGTTCGACCACCTGATGTCTGTAGTCTCCGTAGTAGAACACCTGTAGTAACGAATGTGATCTTCGTTTGGTTGCTAACTTTGTTCTCTCCTCGGATGGAGTAACCGACCTCTTTGCCAACCTGTACGCAACGCTCGTCGCTAACACGATCAGCTAGACCCAGAGCCGAGATTCGACGAGGTTGTGTGCAGACGATGTTGGCAGCTCTGCCAAAACCTCTGGCATAAAGGTCATCTAATATGAACTGAACAGACTGGGTGGACTTTCCAGAACCCGTTTCTCCTGCGATGATTGTCACTTGATTTTGTGTGACGGTCTGCACAATTTTGTCCCTGACCTGCCATGCTGGAAGTTTCTGACGCTGTGCTATCATCTGTTTCAAAGAAGGCTCTTCTTGCCTTGATAGCCATTCATCCTTGTTGCGAGTATCAACGATCCATTTCAGGGGCGCCGGGTGTCTACTTGACTTCTTCATCTTCCCAACGACACTCCGGATCTCAGATGCCGTGGATATAACACCTGAAATGTCTCTAAGCTTTCCAGGCCGTTGAATTATGCCGTTGATATTCTGCTGGAGCCAATCTACTAGGAAGTAGATCTTCATTGGTTCCTCCCCAAGTGAGTCGTTCATGTAGGCGAGCGTTCTTTTGACGATGCTTAGCTTGATATAGGATGGTAAATCTGAAACCACTGAAACGATGACATCCTTAGGGTATTCAGGAGACCGTTGAATCTGCGCATAAGTTTCAATGTCTTTTTTAGGCCCATTCATGACAGACTCAATGCGAATTTGACAGATGGCGTCAGAAAGGCGCTTGTAATGTTCACCGAAAACAGCTTCCAAGCTTTCCATCTCCTCAGCCCAGCATTCCTCAGGAGTCCCAAGGATCAGTGGTTCTTCTGCTACATCAGTTGCAGTCGTGCCGTCGCCACTAGACAGCAGGATTTCCTGGAGAGCACCTGCGGTCAGCCCTTCGTCGGCGCCCTTCTCATCGTAGACTTTTCTACAAAGCTCGACGGAATAGCCTGATTGTGACAGCCGCTTGATCGCAGCCTCTCGCTTAAGGTCTGATGTCGCAGCGATGGAAACACCAGCACTGTAGCTCTCTGGGAGCGCCCATTTTGGTAAGTCGTCCTCCGGGACGTGGATGAGCAGCCACTCTAAAGTCTCTTCACGATCCTTACACTCATCGACTGCTTCCTCAGCATGACTCTTTCTGAAGCCTGAAGCTGTGAACTCCTTGATGATAGCATCCTTCTGAGGTGTTGACATTTGAACACCATGTGGATTCCAGATGACCTCGCGCCGCAAAAGGTCCTCGAGTTGAGAGCGTGTCTTCCGGCCCATCTCGATCTTCGGTACTGTCGTCCAACCTTTCATGGGATTAGAGCCACCACCTCCGGAACTGGCAGCATTACTTCGAAGCACCAAACCAGCAGCGCCAGGCATGTTCTTGGCCTTCTCCTTGATAGCGTCTTGCTCTTTACGCTTCTTCTCCGCTGTGACTTTCGCGTCTTCTCTCTCCTTCATAGTAGCAAATGGATCTGCGTCATACTGCCACCCAAGACCATTCCTGGCGTCCTCCCTTTTAAGGGCCTCGAACTCTTTCCAAAGAGATCTGTAATCTGGTGGCAACGTGGTATGTATGTTCTTCATGCTACATACACGAAACAGAGCATATGTGGCGGCTGCATGCCTTGCTTCTAAAGCCGTGGGTTTCGTGATCAAGTGCTTGTGAGAAGCAGGTATCTTGAAGGATGGCAACGTCTGCATCTCGTGCGTCTTTGAATGCTTTGCGCTGAGCGTTACAAAGCAAGAATAGCCCTCGGCATTTTTGTGCATCTGCCTTTGCGTTAATAAAAGTAAGGGTGCGGTACCAAAGAATCACTTACGTTGTCATAACTAGGCTTCTCCCACTTCTGTCGTTGGCAGTGCTCAGACAACAGGTTGACTGGAAGCTTCCCTGTCCAACTGGCTCCGCCAACAATTTGCTTCGCCGTAGGCTTTGGAGGTCCTGATGCCTCTGGCGCTACCTCAGCGAGTCCGTTCTTACCTGATCCGCCTGCATTCTGGCTTCTCCTGGGTTTGGGTTCCTTGTCTGAATTTGTAAAAACGATGAAGTCGTCCTCCTTTGGTGGCGCACTCTGCTTCACAGGTTTCTTCGCCTTAGCCCCAGAAACTCCAGCTGCGGGGGGCGTTGGAGCAGGAGCCTTCTCTTTCCCTTTCTTAGCCATTTTGTGCTGGATTGGCTACTGCCAAAAAGATTTTCGCAATCAGGTCATGACACGAGCTGCTCATAAACAACGTTGGCCGAGGATTGGTTGCGAAGGCAACGCTTTATGTGAGGTTGAAATCCCTTCTGGTACAATTTCTCCACTCGACAGCACCGTCAGTGTAACAGGTGAACACTGTGTTTCTGGTGCGCGCTAGTGCCGCCTTTAGTGGTTGAATTCCTACCTCAACAGTACAGTGCTTGGTCTTTTTGGGTGTCGACTAAGGTTCGGTTAGTTGCTGCATCACTACTGGCACAAGCTTGCGTTCGCGTAGAATATGACTTCATCATCTCGTCTTGCAGTCTTGAGCAACAGATAGCCGGAAGCGCATAGTCCGATCGCGCTAGGATCTTACTTGATTTCACTATTCAAGATGTCTCTTACAGATTCGGATTCCGAAGATGCCATTACAAACAAGGAAATCGCCGGCGAAGCCTCAGCACCACCTGCCAGCCAGGCTGGAGTGTCAAGTACCACCACGCAACGCAATGCCTGTAAGTCACTCATCGCCTATAGTTCGCCATCACTAAATTTGTGCTCAGTCTCAGAACTTATGAAGTCAAAAGCGAAGGTTCCTGCACAACCCACAAAAGACTCTACTTCAAAGTCGTCTAGCTTAGCAATTTCATTTAAAGGCCGAGATGGTCTAGGAGCGTATACGCACGACCCAGCAGTATTCCCACCAAGTCGGGTCATTTACTATGATGATGACTTTGTCGTCATCAACGATCTTTATCCTAAGTCTTCGGTTCACACACTCCTACTGCCAAGATCTCCGCGCAGTCGCTTGCACCCCTTCGACGCTTTTGAGGACACCGACTTCCTTGCCAAGGTGCAAGCTGAAGCGCTCAAACTCAAGCAATTGGTGGCAAAGGAGCTGCAACGGCGCTATGGACAGTACAGCGAAAGGGATAAGGTACGCGAGGCAGTGCTGAATGGGGAGCTGGAGTGGAACAAGGAGGAGCTACCTGAGGGACGCGAGTGGGAACGGGAAGCTATGGTCGGCATTCATGCGCATCCTTCTATGAATGATCTTCATGTCCACGTGATATCTCGCGATATGTTCTCGGAGTGTTTGCAGCACCGAAAACATTACGAGTCATTCAACACGCCCTTCTTCATTGATGTGACGGATTTTCCTTTAGCGAAAAACGACCCGAGGAGACATCCGGGACGTGCTGGGTTCCTTAATCAGGACTTGAAGTGTTGGCGCTGTGGACAGAACTTTGGGAAGAAGTTCAAGCAGCTAAAGGAGCACTTGAAGGAAGAATTTGAAAAGTGGAAACAGGAGTAAAATCGGCTTGCGTTAAGGACTGGAGACGTCAGTGCAACGAGCTGAGTGACATATTCTCATCATGACTACATCGCCAGAGCAATCCAATCAAAACTTGTTCTTTCCATTTCCTCTTCTGCCTTCAGTAGTTCAATACAGAGCCCCTTGAAAACATTGTCCGAAGGCATCCATTAGCAAAGATGGATATCATTCCAAAAGGTGCAAGAGCTCCTATCATTCATCACTACGAGGGCGACTTTACGGGAAATTTCCTTGCCATTCGTGCGGCGTTTCTATACCAACTCAGCTGTGGTAGTACTCATATCACGTCGGTTGATCCCTCTAGCAAGCTAGTAATTAATGTCCGCTACTTGGAGCATCAGCTCAATCTTGAAGTCCCTGCACGTTTCTTGATTATGCTGAAAAGACAGCGCGCACTGGGCCTCTCAGCAAGTACCTGGAGCCCAACGGTGGACGCGGCTATGGAGCACCGGACGACCTGAGTGATCTTAACACCGCCCAATAAAACGTTAAAAAGTCGGGCCTCAGCTGTTGCCACCCCACAAGCTCATGTGTGATGCTACCGAGCGTGGCAGAGTTGTGAGCCCAAACTTGTTCGTTTCTGGAGTGGAAGGGTTGCGATTAAATAAGTCGACTCAAGTGTCATCCAGTTGGCCTGCTTGGAAATTTCATCATCACGCATTATCCAACTTCGAGTGCGATTTGGCTATAACGATATCGCGTTGTGAAGTGACTTCACGTAGAAATCAGCGCGGCGCGAACGTTCCGGTAGCGCTTATCACTTATATTGAATTCATAGTAATAGTTTCTTAGTTTTCTTAGACGTAGCAAGTCAGCAACCGTTTATGAAAACTTTAGACTATATTTAGCAATATATGGGCATTACTTTGCGACCTATAGGGTTATTAGTATATACATCGCTTATATTTTAACGTTTACTATAACTTAATACATGACAATTACATGATAAGGCAACTTGAATGATTATCATGTTTCAATAGCCAAGTATAAAATAACGATAGTGGTTTGCGCAAACCCCCCCCCCCCCCCCCCCCCCAAAAAAAAGGAACAAAAAGAAAAAAACATCAAAAGAAAAGGAAAGAAAAGTGGGAAGAAAATGAATTCAAAGAAAAAAAACCATATTTCACTTGCAATAACTGAAACGCCTATTAGAGCTTTAGATACCTTTTATCAATTTTATGGAACAGTCGACATTCGACGGGTTCTTCTTGGCATTTCCACCAGGGTTCCGTATTTCTGGTTGTCGTCTACAATTAACATGCTTGTTTTGGCCTCCATCTTTGCAACTTCGAATAAACTCCCTTGCTGGAGGGATCGGGCATCAGGCCCTCGGTCATGCTGAAGAACGTTCCAAAGTTCCATGAGTATTTTTGTCGCTCTTCTGATGTCTGTATTGACAGTACGCCATCATTTTGCTGCGATTTCCTGCCTAGCGGTCGTACATGTTCATTCACATCGTTGCTTCGAAAGTTGTACCCAGCTGGCGTAGCTCGGAGAATCTATCAGTATATGGTGTTATGGAAATCCCTAATCATTTCTCAACAAGTTCCGGCAAAGTCTACAGCGCCGGGTCGACCAGGGCTCTCTCCTCTCGCCATGGTTGGACAGCTTGTCAGTCAGCATAGGTTTGAATGTCTAGCTCACCCGCCAGACAGTAGAGCTTGTCTGTGTCAAACTTGGTGGAACACATAGCCTCATACTTGTCATTGTTTCGGTGTCTGCCATTGGCTGGAGCTATGCTTTTAAAGATGGTATCGATATTTGTTAGGGAAAGTCACTCGGCGTATAGCCACTCTGCGTTACCGGTGCAGTTGCCTTGTAAGGTCCACAGCATACTGCGAACAAATCGACAAGGATGGATTTGTGGTTGGTAATGGCTTCTTAAAAGACATCGTTTCTGGGACGGGTGAGTAGGCCAATGAACATCAGAGTACCTCGTGTAGATGACAACATACAAATTTGGGCCGATAGATTGTCACTGCAACGAGTGAGCCGTGAACTGATATGTCAGACGTAATTTAAACACAACGCCAGACTAGATGCAGTGTGCGGGAAGAGGCGGTGCCTGCACCATTCTTTCTATAGCAGCATAGGCTATCCACGTCAAAATGCCAATAACTTAGTTCACGCTGCCAAAACAGAAGGTCTATAGCGGACTTAATTCTCCACACCATATGAGCTGCGGCGCCCATACTTCCTCCGCGCACCAATAAACATGGCACAAATCACCTATATCGTGCGTAAGGGCAGGTACCTAGCTGACAGAGAAATGTGGATTTGGGAGAGCCCATAGTACAGCTGGCTACCATGCTGGCCAAAGTCAAAAGTGTTCAGGGCAAAACCTGATACACACACACTTAACTATGACATTCTAGTCATAGTCGAGACCTCTCCACCAATAGGAGAACAGACAGCGCATCGGAGATCCAAGCTTTTATGTATACATTGGCTGTACTGATTTCACAGCATAGGCCAGATAGGAACGACAGTGAACAATCGGACAAATCAGTCACGCCCTCCTATTAACGCTGCTTATCCTCCTGAAAGCATCGACGAACAATCTTGACAGGTATGTCGGTGATGCGACACCCTACTCGTCCTGTGGAGGACCATGGTTAGAACGAGTAGTAGAAAGCGGAACAGTAACCATTACCTCGGGAGCGTCATCGTCTTCCTCCAAGTCGTCACCTGAAGCATCTGCTACGGGAACGTCTTCGCCATCTAATGCATCACCGACCTCGATATCAGCTTCTTCTCCATCGTCGACTTCAGCAGCTATGGGGAATGTGAGCTGCCACGTTGGCGTGACGCGCCACGCGCCGATTGACACACGACAAGATGCATAAACATCAGCGTTAGAACTTACCTTCATCTTCCAGCGGAGCCTCATCCACAAGAGCATCATCTTGTTCTCCCTCTGCGTCGCTCTGGTCTTCGGCAACATCGACACTTTCGCTCTTTGGCTTTCTGCCGGGGCGGCCCTTGGCACTACCAGGAGCAGACTTGGTGGCGGAAGTTGCCTTTGATGTAACAGATTTCTTGGGCGTGGCAGCAGTGCCGTTCTTTGGGGGACGACCGCGGCCACGTCCGGTCGGGGGAGGCTTGGGCTTGGGTGTGACTCTATCGGCAGGATCCTTCGGGGGACGACCGCGGCCACGGCCAGACGGGGGTGGCTTGACTACCTTGCTGACACCGTTCTTGGGAGGTCTGCCACGACCTCTCTTCTTCTCGCCATCGGCAGTAGCGGCTGGACCGGACTCGGCTGCGGTGATAGGTGCATCCTTGGCGGCAGTTGTTCTCTGTTCGCGACCCGCGGGACGGGCGCGAGTGCGGCTAGGAGCCATTGCGGTGAGGTTCGGTGATCTATGATATTTGTATAAATTATACAAAAATGGGTCAAAGCCTTGCCGAGTGATCAGACAAGAAATGATGGAGTTGGTCTTGTTGGGAATGTTGATAAGAATTGGAGAAAATAAAAAATGAGAAGAAGTTGGGCACAGAGGAAGGCGCAAACGTTACTGGAGCGAAATGATGGACGCGCTTTCCTCAAGCTTGAACTTGAGTCGCGTCATTAGCAGCATGGTCTGTGCTGCATTGTAAATGGCTGAACAACCTAAATTATTCAATCCGCGACACCTTGCAAGTTGCACATGTGCATTGGAATAAGCAAGATGTTATATTGAGTTTTAATTGCCATCTTTGACTCCCACGGCGTTACACAATGGTCTTGTGCTAAGTAAACTTTTTCTGAATTGCTTTTTCACGTTTTGATGCTTGCTCAGTGATTGCAAAAGCTTCCAATCGCATCTGCCCCATGTAACCACACCAGGGACTAGACTGGCTGATGTTCTTCTCTTTCTCATCAACCAGCCTACTACGCCAGAGTTTTCATTGTCCCACAACGTCGCCGAAGAGAAAATGAATATCATGTACCTTCAGAACCCATGAAGTATTCCTGATGTGCATGCGCTTTAGACTACTCGTGGTACTACCTATTTCTACAGCACTGAGGCTGTGAGGTTAGCGCGCTCACACGCTTCATCCACTTGATATTCATTCCAACTGAAGAGTAGTTCATCGAAACTCAGAGCTGCGCCAAATAATATAAAACCACAAACCTTCTTCTATTGGACCCCCATCGCTATTGTATCGATACTGTTACTCTGTAAGTATCTCGAAAGGCATACCTAGATCTGGTTAGAATTGCTGGTCATTGCTACCGGTAGACGCTATGGCGGAAGTTCCAGCCTTTGTAGATCCTGGGGAAAGTTGAAGATTGAGCAGCGATCACATGATTTCAACTTAAGCAATTGTTGTGTATGAACGAATCTGACCGCTCTAGTGCTTGCACTGCCAACTGCAGAAGCATCAGTAGAGTAAGCTGTAACAAAGTGTCGCCTGTTGGATAGACTCAGTTATGTCTACATCTCGCTGCACCAATAGAACCGTAACAGGGGCATGCTCCAACCCCGTTGACTTTCCCGGCCCACGTCGCCCGAATCAGCGCAGCTTGCCGATGCGCTCACGTCTGTTCCGAGTGCGCAATATTGCTATCAGCCTCATATCCATACTGTCTGGTAAAGAGTGGATCGCAGGCTTCTCGTTGTAATGATGATCATCCTCAGTCATCCCCCAGCTGTCGATGCGTATGTGAGCTATGAGCTCATTGGAAGCGGCCTCGAGAATCACGTACCTATTCTGCCGGTTTTGACCAAGTTTGGATTGGCGTGTTTGCGATGAACATCAAGATCTTGGTTATGTAATAAAACTGTAATCGGGCATCGAAGTCTACAGCTGCGGACAAGCTTGAAGGAATCATGTTGATTGCGGACGCTAAGCAGGGGTGTGTCCACTTACGCCAAGCCATTTTATTCCCTTCTAGAAAAAGTAGCGGGTAGATGACCTGGGCAAGAACTTCGGGTCATATTTAATATCCCAGCAATGAGTAGGTGCCGGAACATTGAAAATTACGCTATTCGTCTGCGGAAAATTACGCTGTTCGTCTGCGGAAGCCAACACGTACTTATTCATGTGTATCTGAGAGTGGTAAAGACCACCAGCCTAATATCCAAATATGCTCGGAACGTGCTCTTGGGATCAATTGCAGCTGTGCCGCTTCCTCTAGCCGTTGCCACCACCACACGATCCTCGGTATCTGTTGTGTTAAGGATGATAATCAATTGTTGATAATAACAAGCTCCATCCCTTTGCGAATTTCACGGCGTTGGATTGAATAAGTCCCTTGGGTGCTCCCTATCCTCTGATTAGCCATTCTCAGGAAGGACGTCATTAGACGGTCCGCAACATCTCACCGCCTTGTATTGGCGATTCTCACATCCTAGCGATATTCCTCCGCATCACGGTTGTGGATGAACCCTAGTAACGGTAAAGCATCGTTCATTCAAGCGTAGGCTGACGTCAATTATAACCCTTAACATCCTGATCTGCAGTTATCGCAAGCCTGGTGTCTCTCCGGAGGGGTTCCGTACCCAGTCTGGGGATTTCCTCATCCATCTTCTTAAAGAGACCAAGAGCGAACGCTACCTGCTGACACATCCAGCGCTCCTTTGACCCTTTGATCCTTAACCGCGCGTGGCTCCCAGGCTGGCTGCGGCTGCGTGGCATCGCCAAGCTTATAATCGCGGACCAGGCTGCTTTCGGGCCTTTCATCGGCCTGATGTGACAATTCGGCAACGTCAGGAGGATTTCAGAAGCAGAGGGGAAATTCATTGTTAGCAGCGAGAGCGGTTATGTTGTGCGGGATGAGATTTTGGTGACAAAAAAGGAGTGAGATATTGTCAGTGAGGCTGGGCGGACTCCTACCTGAATAGTGACTAGTCTATGTCACACGTTCTGCCCTGACTAGCACTGACTCTATCGAAGTTCGGCTTTCACTGGGTACATTAACATTGACCGCAAGTAGGCTGCATGTTCTGTTATGAAGCAGGGTTCAGAGAATCTGGCCGTCGATGCGAGACTGGCGGACTGAAAGTTATCCCTCATCGCCCTTATTTTTTAATGTCCTGCAACTCCTTGTCCTATTTTTAGGATAGGGATAGAGTCGGTCGCACGCAATGGACAGCTAGGTTAGGTTACTTAATAGTGAATGTAACTTATAGCCAACTTCAAAATTCTCCGTAGCGCACGCATCATGCCCCGCCCTTGATGTACTTCTTGTTTTAGGCCCATAGCCTTACAAGAATGGAGTGATCAATCGCCGATTATCTCGCAGTACCATTAATTTAGAAAGACCTGGAAAAAATCTACTCTGCCAACTGGGGTGCAGATTGTATGAAATAGTCTCAATCTTACTTGCATCAGACAAGATATTTGATACACGGTCGGCCGTCTCCGTCGGTGATAAGATTCGGGCAAACGTGCCAAAAGATAGCTCTGACAGCCAGCGGCCAGGTGCTTCCCCACCGCGGAGCAGCCCGAGCTGGTCAGATAATCTTGTCTAATCTGCAACTCTAAACATGAAGGGTACGCCCCGAAAGGCGATTGGTAGCGGCGAAGTGGCCGTTGGTACAGGGTTTGACGTGGATGCGGGGTTATATAATGAGTACTCTGACGGTGGTTGTTGAGTAATTATATCTTGGAGCTGCATCTCTCTTTCCCTAACAACTGTGCCTTCGTTGTTCGCAAACATTGTAATTGTTGCTTGAAGCTTGATCATCTCAGCGGAAGTCAACGCAGGCGCACTCCTTACACGCCATGGCAGACATCAAGTACTCAGATCGCAGCATCCCTAAGATCTCACTGCATGACTTTGACGAGCGGATAGATGAGATTACGGCCAAGCTCGTCGAAGCGTCGGAAACTGACGGTTTCTTCGCGCTGGTCAATCATGGCATATCAACAGAAGAGATCGAGACACAATTTGAAGCTGCCGAGCGCTTCTTCTCTCTACCAGACGATGTGAAAGCCACGGTGCCCTTCTCTCACAAGAACACAGGATGGGAGAAAGCGGCTCAGATTCGCCCCAGCACCGGTGTCGCAGATCAAAAAGAGTCGTACCAGATGCAGTATGGGGAGATGATGGAGGGTATGTGGCTGCCAGAAGAGACACTCCCAGGATTTAGGGATCGGAGTCTGGAGTTTATGCGCAAGGTTCAGACAGTATCGGAGAAGCTCATGGTGTGCTTCGCCAAAGGTCTGGGCTTTCCGGATAACTACTTCATCCAAGCGCACGACATCTCGAGGCCGAATATACAGACAGTACTTAGAGCTCTCCACTACTTCCCAGTTGATCCGACAGTGCCGACGCCGAGAAACTACTACCGGGCTGGAGCGCATGCGGACTGGGATCTCTTGACATTGCTCTTCCAAAGGCCAGGTCAGAGTGGATTAGAGATCTGCCCGGGGAGAGAAGTCCATACTGCATTCGGGCTTGGCGACACATGGACAAAAGTCGAGCCTACAGCCGGAGAGATTGTCTGTAACATGTAAGTATGTGAACATCATGAGCCTTGCGTCGTTCACTGACATCCTTGAAGTGGTGACCTGTTGATGTCGTGGAGTGACGACCGATTCAAATCGACGTTCCACCGTGTCAAAACACCGACTGACCCAGAAGTCGACTACTACGGCCCGAGGTACAGTATGGCATATTTCAACCAGCCATGCACAGACTGCCAGATTCAGGGCCCATCGAAGAAGTACCCCATGGTCACTGGATCACAGTTCACAGAAGCTGCCATGAAGCGAAATTTCGCAGCTCTCGAAGCCAAGAAAGAGTTAAACAAGTTAGAAGAGATGAAAAGAAAGCCGGTATGTGCAATATAGGCATTAGTGGGACGTGAGCAAAGCAGAATTAGTTTGAAGGTTAAGCTACTAATAGCTGAAACTCTGACTGCTTGTGATGTTGGCGGTCTGAGTGAGCTGAAGCTTTCGTGTCGCATGGGATGGTGCTTATCTGGCTCACTGTTGGCTTATCGGCGTGTTTGTTTTTCCGTCATCTTCGGGGCGTTGGTTCTGACGTCGCGCCCATGAACTGGTACCTCGTTTATGAATCGCGCCATCTCCATAGCAGTTGTGCTTGCGAAGGCGGGAGCTACGGTGACATGACCGAAATGTAAAAGCTGGCTATGAAAATAGATGAAGTGATGTAATTGGACCCTGCACAAAGTGTTCGTCCAAGTTGGCACCACTTCTACTTCCACTGCAAACAAATACAAGGCAGACAGCTGGCGTTTAGTACTTGAATACACAATGTTGGGTTTCCTGGATGTGAGATATCTACAGTACGTCCTTTTCCGGTCCGAATCTGTGTGGCAGTCTACGTGGAAGTTGGTAGTATTCAATCTGGATACAATAGAGTTCATTCTATGTAGTTAGTCTAGTCTAGGCGCAATAGCGGCGTCCAATCGGCAAATTGACTTTGTAAGCCCCCACCACCCGCCTGTAAACATTCAGGCGAGAGCCCAAATTGGTTGTCTCTGCTATATGCATATATAGCGAACCGGACAGCGTCTTGTTGATGTTAATTCATAATCTTCGTCACAACTATATTGAGAATGACGTCCCTGAAGGCATTGCCCGAGAACTACGCCACGGGCCTCAGGCTGATCGATGAAGCGCATGCGCAAGACCCTAAAACCATCGCCGGCACAGATGGAAGCGGGACAATTGCGTATGAGCTACATTATGCACAAAAAATGACGAAGTGGTTAGCGGCAAGATATCCGGAAGCGTCGCCATCACTACAGCTTGCTATCCGAGCTCAACATTTCAGGAGGTGAGATATATGGCAAATGGTCACAAGTTCTGCACTCGCTGATCTGGCTGTCAGATGGGAGATCCCTAGGAGCTCATATCCTATGACGCGCCTGGGCTACTTGACCTGGCGTTCTAAGCAAAAGGCACAGGCTGCGACGCAGGTAGCGGAACTATTGAGCTCGCCTTCTATTAACCCTCATCTCCCGGAGGAGGACATAGACAGGGTCGCGGCACTGATTCGCAAGGAGAACCTCAAGAACAATGAGGAGACACAAGTTCTCGAGGATACTGCTTGTCTTGTGTTCCTAGATGACCAATTTGACGATTTTGAGAAGAAGGACGAGATAGATGAAGAGAAGATCATCGGTATTCTGAAGAAAACGTGGGTCAAGATGAGCCCAAAGGGCCAGGAATTAGCATTGGGGATGCAGCACAGTGACAGGGCAAAGAGTTTGCTTGGAAAGGCGTTGGCGGGTTAAGCCCAAAAGGACTCAATCGCTTCGTGCACTTTGAAATTCTGGTGTCGCAACTGGTTGGGTTAACTAGGTTAGGACATACTTCGGTTGCGTGACTAGGGAATATGCAACTGGTAGACAAATCAATCACAAGTTTTCAGGTTGTCTATATTGGTGAGTCGAATTTTGCTTCAATTTTACCCCTCAAAACTGGCATTCTCGCCGCTCGGTATTCTTTCCTCCGAGTAGTACCACTAACATCCGCTAAGTTATAGCGATCCTCCCCTATCCCCAACCCTTGTGTGTTGTTACGGAGATTCTATACCATACATAAAGTCAAAGCTACATCAATCTCTTAAAAGACTTCGTCGCAACTCAATTCTCATGTTATGCTCGCTGCATCACTACTGAAGATTCAAAATGCAAGAGCGATCTATCTCCGCCGAGGAGATCTCACAACACGCCTCCCTCCACGATCTGTGGGTTGTCGTGGACAGTGTGGTCTACGACGTCACAGCCTTTGCCCCGGAGCATCCAGGCGGCGTCAACATACTTCTGCAACATGGTGGACGAGACGCGACAGCAGCATACTCGGAGGTTCACTCGGCATCTCTCATCAAAACTTCCTTACCATCTCCATGTCATATAGGTAGAATTGACGCAGCCACGATCACCAAATCTTGGACTGCACCACTATCAGGAAGTGCTTCACCCCAGAAGAAGGGGGGGACTCTGAAACCGCCATTAGAGAGCCTCATTTGCGCTCATGATTTTGAGTTAGCTGCAGAGAAGAGCTTTACGCCAAAGGCGTGGGCTTTTGCGTCGTCAGCGGCAACGGATTGCTATACCAAGGACAGAAATCGTGGGACATACAGGGACATCATATTACGTCCTCGTATCCTCACGAACGTCAAAAGTGTCGACCGAGCCACGACTATGCTAGGACACAAGATACACTATCCCATTTTCTGTTCGGCTACATCGATGGGTAAGATGTTCCATCCTCAGGGCGAAAGAGAGATCGGGCGTGCATGTAAGAGTTTGGGGATTCCTCAAATGGTCTCGACAAGTGCTTCATATTCATTTCTTGACATCATGAACGCTCACAGGGAGGGTGACAATGGCATGACAGGGGGTGTGCCGGTGTTCTTTCAGCTCTACATGGACAAGAACCGCGAAAAGTCCAAGGCATTATTGAAGCATGTCACAGAACAAGGCGCGAAGGCAATCTTTCTTACAGTGGATGCACCTGTCACAGGCAAACGCGAAGCCGATGAACGGGTCAAGGCAGACGAGAGTATTGGGTCGCCTATGACCGGTGTTCAGGCTCAAAACGATGAGAAAGGTGGTGCTTTGGGTCGGATCATGGGTGGCTTCATCGACCCGACTACAGCATGGGACGATATTGCATGGATACGTGAATGCGCACCGGGATTGGCAGTGATCTTGAAAGGAGTTCAGACCGCTTCAGATGCTGTCATGGCCATGCATGCTGGAGTCGACGGTATTTTACTCTCAAACCATGGAGGCAGAAGTCTGGACACGTCGCCTGCAACGATACTAGTTCTTCTCGAGCTGCAAAAGTGTTGCCCTGAGGTCTTCGACAAGCTAGAAGTCTACGTTGACGGAGGAATATCACGGGGAACCGACATCTTTAAAGCTCTTTGCCTAGGTGCCAAAGCTGTGGGAATTGGTAGAGGCTTCCTGTATGCATTGAACTATGGCCAGGAAGGTATCAAACATTATATTAACAGTAAGTTTATTGTCTTACTGATTGTCAAGCGCTAACAATGACAGTCTTGAATGATGAACTTGAGACAACGATGCGCATGTGTGGCATCACCAGCCTGGATCAAGTGCATCCTGGGCTTCTTCACACGGGCGCTGTTGACCACTTGATACCCTCTGGAGAGAGCCACCCATATGCTCGCTGGAGCCCAAGAATGAAGAGCAAACTGTGAAATATTTACTCTTGATTTGCTTGGATCCTCATCCTCAACCACAATGCCATTGCCAAGAAATGAACCTCCCGCTGCTAAATGGCCTGGAATCGTGGCAATATTCAAGTAGAAACAAAACTAGAAAGCAGCCGTTGTTGAAACGAAAGATTTGCTATGGCAGAGCAGTCGTGCTATGCAACTATGATTGCACTGATGGGAGTTGCTGCAGCAATCAAGTTTTCTGGAGCAAACGCTTCCTCATGCCCTGAATTTAATCGATTGACACATCAAATCAGCCTTCCTTCTCGTTTTCATTCTTCCAACTACAGGACCTCAGATAAAACGCTTTGTAAGCTCTACACGTCACCGCCTACAATCCGACAAACTCCACCACCGCCCGACAGTACAACCACAACTGTATCCCACACCACACCACATGCGCCTTCCCACCTTCGTTTCACGACATCAACTGGACTGCGGAAGTTTCATCATCTACATAGCGACTTAATACTGATATAATCAACGTAATGGAGTGCTTTTATGATCTCGCAAAGGACAACAGTCAGTGGACAACCGACGAAGATGGCGCCGTCTGCAAGCTGAAAAAGGACGGTATGAGCTGGGCCGAGATCGGAAGATCCATCAGTCGTGAGGAAACCTTGGTTCAGAGGCGCTTCAGATACATCAAGTCGATCATCGAAGCGGCGGGATGTGACACCGATTCTATCGGCGAGACCTGGGCCGATGACGTCCGCAGCAAGGGCCAGGACATCCCTTCCCCTGACAAGCCATCACCTGCTAAGCCGTCACGTGAGAAGCCGCCCTTTTCTAATCATTCATCTCTGCCCAAGCAAAACGCCTCGCCGTCAAACCAGCCGTCACGACCAGATCAGGTATCGCCTCTCAAGCGCTCTGTCCCGCCACACCCATCGTCTCCAGAATCATCACTATCAAAGCCAACGCCCTCAGAGCACACAATCAGCAGTACGTCAAGCAATGGCTCATCCGAGGTCTTTCGCATTCGGACATTCGCCAGCCGCATACGAGACTTGGAAATGAGCAAGCAACCTGTCCACGATAGAGGCGGCGGAGGCAAGACGCAGACGAAAATCAACGACAAACAGAAGCATATGAAAACTGACGGCAAGAAGAAGCAGCCCACGTCCACTCCCAAGATAGGGAAGCTGAACCTTGCGGGGAAGATCACCAAGAAGGATGGTCACCGGTTCGCGGAATTAGCCGATGCTTCTTCGTCCTCGTCCTCTTTTTCCTCGTCGTCGGAGCAAGAAGTGGAGGAGAAGGGAGAGGAAGAAGAGGAGGAGGAAGAGGAGGAGGAAGAAGAGGAAGAGGGGGAGGAGGAGGAGGACGAGTTCGATCACGAGGCGGAGCGCGAGGAGCAGAAGCGTTTCCTGTACCATGAGTACTGGAGCGAGATGTACCCAAAGCAGAAGACGTATAGAGCGGATGCGTTCTGGAGTGAGGGTGATTGCAAGGTGCTCGCAGTCATCGAGGCTAAGGATGAGGCGCTCAGGTACAAGCGCATGCAGGCAGAGTTCTTCAACGCCACGGGCAGGATGATATCATGTGAGATTATCAAGTACAAGATGTCATAGAGCAAGTGAAAGGAATGGGGCAGCGGGACTAAGCAAGTGTGAACAATATAATTATGCCTAGATAGGTCAAAGTTGGTACACAGGATGTCGAAGAATCATGTCTGCGATGCAATATTCGAGGAGTTATAGTCGATGCATCCCTTCTGATGCGACGCAACAGATCATGCTAATTTAAACAAAAGTCACACCCAAGTCATATCGATCCACCTTGAAATGCTGGGGGGAAAAGATGACTGGGTATCATCGAATACAGAGAGAATACAAGCTAGCGGTATCCCAGCTTTTGGCCAAACAAAGATCGCCTGAAATATAGGTCAAGATGACTTATCTTCGACCAATTCAAAGATGCATCTCCCGAACTTCTTCAAAAACTCCGATGAGCTATGCAAATTAGCTAGTATGGTGGGATATTTTATAGAAAGCCCGAGTATTACAGGCTCCTCAATATTCGAATTACTGGTAGATCTTTATTGTTTGCGAACCTTCATGAAGTTCGCTTTCTTCGTAGTGGTTCTTGTACCCGCGTGTACGACAGCGGTCCTTCGGAAATATGTACCAATTCAAGACTGGGTATATCGCTTTGAAAATAGCAAGTCGTTTAGATCGGATTTTGCATGCCCGCGGGAGGAACAGCTGTCGCTATGCTGTCACCTTGCGACGTGACCAAGATTGCGGGGCTTTGACCTCGGCTTCGCGATCCGATACTCGATCCCAAGCCACGCTTCATCATCTTGCCTAATACCGTAACAAGTTCACACGCATCGGCGAACATGTCATCGTCCATCCCCTCTTGAGCTTCATACACCTCGGAAATGGTTTTTTTCGCCAATTTACGACTCCCTTCCGCATCGTGTACACACTCGTAAAGAAAGGCTGCGTATTCTGTTTTCAAAGAAAGTCGAAGTGAATGCGACCCCCAAAGATTTTGGTCGGCGAGTTCAATGGCTTGTATGAAATAATTATGCGCTGTAGGCAAGTAGTCCACTGCTGGAAGCAAAAATGCAGCCACGGCTTCGGGTGGCACCGGCCCAAACCCAGGCGGTGGTCCAACAGGTCCACCTTCCAGGACATGAGTAGGCTGTAAAGAGGACCTGGCAGTCTCAGGTATGTCATCGTCTCTCGCCACACCTTTGCCCTTGTCGAGTCGTGCCGACATATATCCAGCCGCAGCAGCAGCTAGTGCCTCCGGGGTCATTGTTGATACAGGCGGGCTGTTGTGAAATAACACAAAAATGTGATAGAATGATGCTCGCAACTTGAACGCAAGCACTTTCAGCTCAACGTGATCTCCAACCATCGGGAGAACATATTGCTCCAGCATCACAAGACCCTCTCGAGAGAGCCATATTATGTGCAGGTACAATTCGAGCGACTGGGTCATGCGCGTCGTGTCTAATTTCCGGTGTTTACGGGCCTTGACCAAGTGGCCTGCAAGATTTATGGAAAGACCAAGGATTTTGTATAGCATCGAGCTAAGCAGGGCATTGCTAGGCTCAACTGCTCTTGCGAGCTTGCCGAGAAATTTTTGGTCGACCTCAGAAGATGCCATCGGATCGCACTAGGCCTATCGGCGCAATGGCTTGCTGCTTCAGTGTCAGCTGTGTCATCCGGAGCTCCTGGTATCCCGAGAATGCATGCTGGTCGATCTGGTGAACATGGGGCAATTGAGCAGTGCTCCATAAAGACTCAGCAATGGTGGCACTTCATCTGCATAGAAGGCGGGCATTTTGTAGCCCCAAGATAAAGCAAGTGCGAGGAAGAACCGTACCTTGTGCGCCGATGGCTCCCAATGATCCTACAAAGCGGCAAGGCTGGCGATATTAATCGAGACGATACTAATTGACAGCTCCACTAGGCCACCTGTAGTCGTCCAACACCTGGGATTGGCTTCCACTATACTTGAGTTGAGATTGGGTGACTGAGTCTGATGATGGCCTGTTGCGGGTTTGTGTGGGCTGGTGGTTGTGAAGTTGTCGAGGGGAGTGTTGTGAGAGGATATGCTGTCCCGAAAGCTGCTGTGGAAGAGACCTATACTACTGTCATGCCCTGCTGAGACTTATAGAGAGGACTCAGTGTGGCCACATAAGCAATCGGGCACGAGAAAGCGTTGCCTGGGGCCCAGGTGATGATGTGAGTAGTGGCAGCCCTAGACGAAAGAGCCAGCAAACTTAGGCTTTGCGTCACAGGAATGAGTTTCGAGTAAGATTAGATATCAAATTACAAAGAGCTGTCTTCACAATTAGCTGGAATTCATCAGAGTGAATCGCATTAAGCTTGAAGCCGCGCAATCATTGGAGGAGTACTGACCAATATGGTACAGCGAAGACACCACAACCCAAAAGGCCCAATTGACGGCCGGTGACCGTGGCCTAACTGTCGCAAACGAAAGATGTGGGTCAGGGCGAGGAGCCGAAACGATTGAGAGGCTGGGGAGAGGTGAAGGAGGACGGTGATGTTGGCTGTCTCCTATCGTGAAGCATTTCGGCGTCAAGTATTCCCTATGACAAGCGTGCAGCGGAGGTGTTTTGCAATATATATATGATCGCCGTGGAGCTGGGATCCCTTGATGCTGCAAATGACGCTCGGAGGACCCTTAGACCTGGATTTCGTAGGCCGGAAATCCAATGGCGGTGTAAGGTCCACCGGCTGCTTGAATCTTACAAGTTGGTATTGGACTATGTGGAGCAGCCGCTCGTGAAAGTCCGGAGATGTTACTTAGTGAGAGATCGAGTCCTGGAAATCAACTGCCTTGGCTTGAGCTCGTTGAACTTGAAAAAACAACAACGTGTAAAGCGGTAAGGCACAAGAGGTTTAGGATCATAAACATGAGGTACGTATGTGTGACTGGAGGTCACTCGCGACGGGTTATTAAGCATGAGCTAGAGAGTGCAGTGTTTAAAGGAGAAATGCAGGCTGGTAAGCTTCCCATGCATGAACGATGGTGGGTCGTTGAGGCCCTCGTGCAGAAGGCGCCGGAGGCTCTCGCAGTGAGAGTGCAGATAAACGAGCGCGATGGGAAATGAGAGACGCGAACAATGCTGCGCTGCAGCCAGGCCCAGACAATTAACAAAGACGAGGATCCGGGTAAAGCAGATACACGACCCCCCCAAAAAAGATCGAGGTCTGGAGGGCAATGGCAAGCGAATGAAGGCCTGTCGATGATGCAGACACGCTGATGCAAGATGAGTTGTCAAAAGTCGAGTCGAGAATCAGGTCGAATCGACCCTCAGGCCAAATCCGATGCTACCTACGAGACTAACCTAGGCGGGGACTGGTTGGAGCCAGCTACCTGCCAGCTTACAGCATATAACGAACGGATCGGTGCTTGTCAGGATCCCTGAGAAAATTTCTGGAAAAGATCTGGTGCTCAACATTGAACCTCAACTTCGCATTTATGTAGGTCGGATTTGATACCTGTCCTCGATCATGGGCAGCTTGTCTCTGTCATTGAGTATTGTTTGATTATCGATGGCATCCCAGCCCCATTGATCCCTGTCTGCCATGTACAGCGCGCAACCCTGCAATATAGCTCAGCCCAGCTTTCTCGAAATTGTTGGATGATGAAGCGGTTGTATTGTAGCAACACCTTCCTGTTGAACACCATCAGACCTCTCGATATGGAAAATGGGCGACTCAGCATTTTAGTTCTAACGTAGGTGTTGGCAAACGGGTTCCTGGCAGAAGCGAAACTCTAACACGACGCGCAACATGGTGCTCTCCACGACAACAGGCGTCCCAGATTGAATTAGATTATACAGGCGACGAAGACGTTGCTTAGTTACCCCAGAACCCGCATCCTCATATCTAAGACATGCAATTCCGATCCATGACACACGGCGGAATCGTTTGGCACACACATGATCCATAGACGCTTCTGCGTCTCTTTTGCCGCGTGGGCACGCGCTCCTTTGGAGCAAAGCGGAACAATATCTTTTTAAGTTGTACCAGCGCAATTCCCGTGCAATTATTACTACAATTGATGCCCATAATTTTTCGTCTATCGTACATGATGCCACCAAGGCAACTCGGTGCATCGTGTACCAGCCCCAGCCAATGCCGAGTTGCAACCACACTATGGATCGGTTTCATATCGCCATGAGTTCCTGAATCTCAATTTCAAACCCCAGACACAGCTGCATCAAGTCGTTCCTTCGTCCGTATACAACCATGCAGGCTATCTGCACTTCGTGTGCACTGAAAAACGCGGAAGACGGCCAGCAAGTTCCTTGTACAGGGATCGCGAGATAGAGTTACAGACTTGTTAAGCAGGTCACCAAGGAGGGCAAAGGGCCCCGTCCGTCTGGAACTTCCAGCCACCTCAATTCTTCCCACACAACGGGAGCTAAACACGCCTAGCCTAGGTTAGTTGATTGTAAGTCTACTGTGGTACGTGAGCCCAGCTGATAAGGATGTGCATAGTACAGTGGGTTAGCTGGTTTTCGCTCCCGCTGTCTTTAGGCGCTGTCTTTAACCCAATGCTAATCTTGTCAGCCAAGACAAACCAAGTCGCTGCAGGAGGGTGTGAGCCATTTTGACATGACAGCTCATCAACCTTTCATGACCTCACGGAAAAACGAATCAAATTGGCTGGGTATCTATCAATAACTCCTGGGGCCAAATTCATACTTGGCCATGAAATATGCGACCATCCCCTCCATCGTCTCCTTTGTCGAAATGGCTGTGGAATCCTAGGCCTCGATTGGTGTTCACGGACCAGTGACATGTTCTGCCTGCCTCGATCTGGCTCCACCTCAGCTATGATGATACTTCGAACAAACAGAAGGAACTGGCGGTGAAGATGCTCATGACCCGTATTGTTCAATCGCCACATACCATTCCGGCTTTTACGTTGCAATTGCATCGGCAACGTGCTGTAACCGGTATTGTCCTTTGCTTTGTGGTATCACGCATCTCTAGATTGCACAGAAAACGTGTCGCTGCCCGGGCTTGCTTGGTTGAGTTGCCTAACGTGGGACACAACGAACACACGAATTGTACTGGTAGGGACATCCATCCATTATGATCGCTATGATCTTTCACTTTGACTCGACGTCCTTCAGGCGTTACAAAGCATAGGCAAAAAAGGCATGCGGCCCTATTACGCCTTTCTCCCGTGCAATTACTCGAGCAATTGTTTCAAGATGGACACCTTACTCCTGGTCTGGCTCTGATGCACCTAGGAGAACTCTAAGCCGACGACTATAGAAGTCGACGTGCTCTCTAACAATTGGCCGCGATGCCAAATTGGGGCCGGTCGTGACGTTGACCCGGCATTTGGACACCTGCAGGCTCAAGCTCAGCTCAGGCTCAGATATCGTTTCAATGTCTTTCTCCGGACCTGCGTCAAACGTAGCAACTCAGATTCGAGATCCCCACACCCACATCCAATCCATGGCGTTGGTAGCGGATTCTTTCCTATTGGCCCCACGTCGTCAACTCGAGAAAAGCACATGCACGCGACGCAGAGAACAGGCAAAAGGCTGGCTACATTATCTACCCGACCTCGACTTCAGGACTCGTTGCGAACATACGCCAAAGACCATGCGAAGTTTATGAGCATATCGTTTGCTACTAGATTAGCTCTACAGTGTGCTATGATTTGCCCTTGAGTCTGATCCTCACATGCTGTGGAACTTACTCAGCCGTGCTGAAACAGGCTACTCATAACTGGCTGCCGTTACCGATAAATCAAGAGACCTGCCATCCCAATAGGGAAATTCGCGACTGGCAAATGCCATAGGCAGTTGCCAAATACTGATAAGTATAGCCGATCGGGTTGAAGTTTGTATATTGACAATGCGAGTTATCTCACTTAGATCTAGCTGAAGCACCAAATTGATGCCATCTCAAGTTGATATTTCAACGATCACACATAGGACGGATAGGAACTTAAGAATAGCAACATCTCAAATCAATTATGATACGGCTACCTGAAACGTTCGGACCGTACTATTTGAATGACTCGCTCGTTACTACTTCAACTTTACTTTTCGAGTTGAACAATATCCCCCCCCCCCCAAGGGACAAACAAAAACTATTGGACGTCTCCTGTCTTGCATACAGACAACTATTGCCCAGACATATAACCTTATTTGTACAACCTTGCAGCCCGAACAGGAAAAGCAACCCAACTCGCCACACACGTAGTCATAGATAGCAATTGCTTCTCAGGCTCACAAGTTACCATAATAAGACCTTGGAACCCACCCCTTCATTTCTACGACAGTCATCTTTGAATCTCATTCATTCTTTCACTCACTTACTCACTCACTCACTCACTTGTTCGTTTTGAATACACATCCACTCATTCATACCGGCTGACATCAAACTTACGATCTTGATACATTCACTTTACCACATGAGCCCCCATCACTCACTTTCTACGAAGACCCGTTCATTTATTCACTCATCCATTCACTTTAAAAAGTGACCAACGCCGAACTTCCTGCCAAACCATAAGACAATTCCGTAGCAGAAGCTCCAGATCAAATCCCCAAACGACCAAACCAACAAATCAACCAGTCCTAAAGAACCAAAAGCCACCTGGCCGGCCCCCAACATGTGCAAATACTACGCCCACGCCTTCAGCTGCAAGCACTCCTCCCTAACCTTTGCTCGCTTCTGCAACCCGGCCTCCTTCACGCAGACGCCCTGCGGCCAGCAGACCATCTGGCACACGATCGGCCTCGAGGAGGCGTGCGAAGAGTGCCAGGTCTGGTTCCCAGACAAGTACTGCAGCGGGGGTCCCGTCGCGGCGGCGCCTCCCCCCGTCATCGCGCCCGTCGTCGCGCAGCATCACCATCACAGCAGCAGGCGCGTGGTGGGAGGTGTCAAGCCCAATAGGAGGAGGTCGAGGTCCTGAGGGTTAGAAGAATGGTCCCGTCTTGCTGGATGAGCGGGGGAAGGGGCTGGCTGTGGATGGCACGGGAGAACACGATAAGCAAGCCTTGGCTTGGGTCTCTACTGCCTCGCAGCTCGCATTTCTCTCTGTTCTCGTCGGGGATGTGTGCCATTTCGGCTGTTGGGGTGTAAGATGAGGTGGTAATAGACGGTAGTTTGCATGGGTTTCCGACGTGCTGTACGCGCATGGGGCTGCGAAACAGCCATGGGATTGAGGCGCGACGGGATTCTTTCATTTAGCGTACATTGCGTCGTTCTGTATTTCGACATGGGAGTTTCTCGCGGATTATGGGATCTGGACATTTTCGAATATTGCGATCGAACTGATCGTTCGTTGGTTATTGTTGAGCGTGTTTGTCATGGGACTTTCATGGTTTAGGGGGGTTCATGGAGTACAAGATTGAATTTCCTTCAAAGAGGGTTCATGGCTCGGCATACACAAAAGTCGTGGGTTACTGGTGTCATAAAAAGGTATCATTGTAGCAGCTAGATAGACCGGTGAAGGCATTGCCTGGTGCATGCCAATTTCCCGGCGTCACCTCAACTTTCATTACAAATGCATCGCGAAGGCAGAAATATGGTGTCGATTCTGTTCATGACCCTGCAAAGATTTGACCGTCCAATGCAAATCGACCGTAGCGCCAATAGCCCATATGTAAGTGAAGTAAGGTCGTTGGTATCCTATCGAAAAAGACCCCAATGTATGATCGACGCCGTGGGTTTCCATCCTCCCAAAATTTTCCGTAGTTCGTACCCATATAAATTAGAAACTTAGTATGCACCACCCGTGAAGAAGGGTAAGTCGCATCAGGACAGCACAACAGGTGGTTTTCCTCTGAGAGTAGATGGCTTATTACGCCTTCGATTCATCACGGTACCCAGGCCATCTTCAAGTGCAGAGCTCTCCTCGCCGCCCTCAAATCTTTCGTGACCCACCAAGATAACCTTGATGACGTTGCTGAGCCCAATCGCAACACTCCCTCGTCCTACACGAACCATCGGGCCAGTCGTATTGACGTAGAGATGTTCAGCCTCGTCTGTGTCCCGACACAATGGCATCGTGTCCCACGTCTCAACATTTCCTGCCTGTGAAAGCATCCAGATCTCCCACATATCTTGATTTCGAATGTTTGGGGTCGGTGCTTGAGTATGGCTCGAACGACGGCGACGCAATTCGCCATTGCCATTTTGGTGAGCGTGCCCATTCTCCAGACGTGTTTTGGGTATAGACTTCTTCCTTACACCGAGTAAGATTCGCGACGGGAGAGCCTCCCATGTGCCCGGATCCTTCACAACACTCCTCATTTCCTTAGTTTCGGGCCACCTGCAGCAAGTCTTGCTAACAGGCAAACCGGGAGCACGGAAACATATTGATGCTCCCTCGTCTTGAGGCATGTATGTTTGCACGACTAAGTCCCGAGTGAAGGCGTTTAAATATGCAAATGTGAGATACTTCAGGCCTACAGACCCGCATCGCATAGTCCTTCTCTTTGAATGGAAGCACTTCAAGGTCTTGGGCTGTATAGGATCAGTTCTGAACGAATGTATCGAAGTGTAAGTCTCTGCGTGAACCAGGTCAATAGACTGCACACGAACGACCAGGATAAATCCGAGCTCAGGTAGCGCCACAAGTGACATGAATTCCTTGTCTCTTGGTCGCGGTATGTCGACGGTATTGCAGTCCCAGCCAGAGGCTTCTTGACTTAAACAATGGACCTGGCCATCGCGCGTGGAGGTCATGACTTTGGTAGTAGCTTTTGCTACAAATTGTTAGATCTTTGAACAAAGGGGTTTCGTTACTAAAGCGAAACTACAAGTACTGACCTTGTTCGACGAGAGCACCGACCGAGACGAGTGTACCGTCGGTGATTAAATAGCTTTCAGTCTCGCCCTTTTCTGGCTTGATTTCGGTCATGGTGCCATCGCGTCTCAACAACAATACTGGGTGTACCCCTTCCGACTCCTGCGCAGCAAAGAAGAAAGCTTCAGGTCGATGCCGGAATGGCTCTATTGCGGTAGACGGCCCCCAGCGACACTCCTGCAAATCCCACATCACAACTGTTCGCGTCATAAGCAGGGCTAAATACCGAGAGTCGTCATCGATACACATAGCCAGAATCGGGAAGACAATTTTGACCTGATCGTTGCCCATCAAGGCATAGCTTCCACCAGCTTTCACGTCCCACACCCGAATTATCCTGTCCAGGCCCACAGAGACAACATGGCCATCTGGTGAAGCGGAAAGCGCCACCACATCTAGTGAATGACCTTTTCCCAAGGTCTGTACAGTCAGGAGTGGCTCCTCTTCCACACCAACCGATGGACTCTCGGCAAGTTCGTCATATAATAGATAATTCATGAGAATACGGACCGCAGCCGCTATCGTTAGAACCGTCACTACAAATGGCAGAGTCTGATGGCGCACGAAGTCATATACGGCTGGCAGAAAGCGACGTTCGCTCGTGGACAACATGCGATCAGCTCCCTTTTTGACGAAGACGATAGGATCAAAAACTCTGGCAACGTAACTATGTGCGTCTGGCTTGACGACGTTGATGACTTCGCGCGCCGTCTCATGATCTTGAAGACGAAGCCATGACGTTGGGCTTCTAGCTTGATGAATATCGATGAGTAAAGACGACTTTGGCCCAGTGTCTGTGTACCTCTTTGAGAGCATGGTAATAAGGCCAATAAGGTGCAGGAGACTCATGTCGAAGAAGTGCCATTGGGCGATGAGGACAAATCCTACCATGACGATGGTGCCAGCGATTCGTGTTGACATGGCAATTTTGCCTTGCAGCAGTGCCTCGAGCCAGGTCTGGCCAGCTTTCGCTTCTGCAGGCGTCCGATGATTGCGTATCGATGCTTTAGCCAAAGCATCGCTGAGCTCAGTTCGTCGGACATCGACGCTGAGCACGGATAGGAAGAAAGTGGACAAGTAGAAGAAGTCGAATATGATTGCGATGGCGGCAAAGGTACAGAAGGCCTGGACACCTGGCGAAACGACATATGACAGTCCCCACAGTATGAAAAGATTCTGGCCAACGCTGGCCAGGGCAATGTGACCCGTTGTACCGAAGGCGTGTCCGATCCGGTTGCTGGTGCTGTCTTCAGGTGTGGTAAGAATGACGGCGTTGATCAGCCGGAAAATGTTTTCTAAACTCATGGAGAAGATGGCGACTGGGTACGCCAGCTGAGGTATCCTGGATAAATCGATCTTGAAGACGGCACAAACAGTGAAACTTGACAAGATTGACAGAATCAGCTGTGCCATGACGGTGACGACCAGCCCAATCTTGGACTTGACAGCCCGCAGTTTGGTCAGGCTCACGACAAAATATAAAGCCACAAGCAGGTAGGCAGCGCCCAAAGCAAGTCCGTCTTGGACGGACATGGGTCTGAATTGAAACTCGTATATCTGGCTGCGCATGCTCGTTCCATCCGATGGGTAAATGTCCCATTTGTCAGCCATCTTGCGAGCGAGCTCCTCACATTTTGCTTGCCAGATACGGCCGATGGGCGAGTTCCGACGATGAATGAGGGTGATGACAAGAGCGTCAGCTGCAGCCAACTTGCGATCTTCAAACCGCTTTCCACTAAAGACGATCGAATGGCGCAGTGTGACATTGACCGAGGTATGCTGAGTCTTCTTGTTGTTTACCGTCGCAATGATATCCTTGTCAGCCGCAAGCTTATTCTCGTCGCACGACCAGTAGAGCAGAGGCGAGTGGAAGAACCAGGACTCGTCCGTAAGACCATTGGCGATGTGGAAGGAATCTCGCTGTCGGGGGTTCAGATCGAGCGCAGTCGTACGGGAAAAGTCTACTGTCTCGAGCGGTCGAGGAAGCTGGCGCGGACTGAAGTCTATCGTGGGGCCGAGGAGTTCGTTCTGCAGCTCGAGAGCACCATGCAAGACATCCTGATCGAGAGCTCGCATGTAGTCTCCGTGGACCCAGATGTAGCGCATCATGACGTCGGGTTCCAGCCCGCCCTTGTCCTCCAGTGGTTGTGCATCGGTCCAGACATGGTGAGGGAGGTTGGAGGCACCATTGGTGAAGTCGTTGGTATATAGGAACGGAAATGGGTATATAAGTATGGAGGCGACGGTTACTGATAGCAATAATGTGCTGATTACGTGGCGGGCAGCGTATCTGCCGTATCGTGTGCAGGCGTCCCGCAAGGGATGAGTTGGGCTGAGTACAGGAGCTTCAGTGGTCCTGATACATGCGTGTTAGTACTGAAGGGCCACCACCCATGACGGTCGACATTACGTCTCAACATCACGTCTCGACACTGCCACCTTATGACTGGGAGGTGATATATGACTAACCCTCTGAATGGATAGAGAAGATACCAAATCATTCTCTCGGCTCATCTGTCGATCAGCCGTTGAAAATCAAGGGGAAATGAACTATCACTATGGATATTGAAGTTGTGATCGCAGCTGGAGTACAGTTCGCCACATATGGCCATCCGTCTCTTGGGCAAGAGGGGGCATGATCTTTTTCCAAGCTGAGGGACAAGGATTGCCGCTAAGACACAGACTCGAAGCACAAGTCGAGCTTCATTAATAGGAGAGCCACTTTAGAGGGAAGACCTGACCTAGGGTAGGTTGTAGTTGTACTTTACGTAGCTGGCTGACTCTAGGCGGGATGGATGTGGAAAAGGAAGAAGAACCCGAGGCCGGATCAGTAGCTTGCTAATCCAATTACTTCCGGTCTTTTGACCACTGCGACGTATGCATGGGGGTACTGTCACTGTACATGTATCCGTACAATACAATACGCTGTAAAGAGTAGCCGAAAGCGACCACTGACTCGGATCCGAGAAGTGTCAAGAGTGTGTCCCCAAAACCCAGCTTGCCCAGCTGCCCAGCTTGAGCTGCAAGCCACGCATTTGACAATGGGCACTATCAAGGTGATCGTCGATTGGGGACCGGCCTTTGAGACGTTCACGGGCGAACGGGCTTGCTCGGCTGGCGGGTTGCGGGTACGGATGACACAAAATTGGGAAAGCCCCTTCGTCTTTTACGGGGTCTCTCGAGACATCTTTCACAAATCAGAGGTCACATCACAGGTGAATGCCAGCCACAGGGGGCCACAGGGGAGCCACAAGGCGTGCCAGGGCACTAGAGCCAATGCTACAGGGGGACTTTAGCGGGGTTCTGCCGGTCCCGCCCCGCCAGAGAAATGTTCCCTCGAGAGCCGACTGGTTATTGGGGGGTTTTTTTTTTTTTTTTCCTCCCCTGGGAGGGGGGGGGGGGGGTTCTCCCTCCTTCCTCAGGGGCCACTTCCCGCACAAATTTGTCTGGTCGAGGGCCGGAGGTGCGCTGGAAAACTTCCGCGCTCAATCAAATATCGATGCTTACATGCATAACACAGGATACTCTGGCCATGCAGCACGAACATGCATCATAACCGGACCGTGGCAGCATGTGATCGCAAAGCACTAGGTTAGCAACTCATAATGATGTACTTGTTATTATGTAAGTGCTGCTTAGACACTCGAACACGCTTGGACTCTCCGTGATGTGTCTCTATCCATGATTCAAGATCCAATGCCGTGTAACAAAGTGGCATCCCTGTTGGGCATCAAAGCTGGCGGACCGAACCGCCCATGCCGTGCAATCTCATTTAATCCCCCTTATCACGAAAGACCATGCCGCCGAGGGCAACATTATGTCGAGACGGAGTTCCCATTGCTGCATTGGCCAGACCAGGCCAATTTGGGGGAAAAGGACGACATACCTATGGTTGGCTCAGACAAGCATGCTTGGATGTCTTTCAGTTGCATGTAGCACAAGTTCTACAGCGCTCCGGTGAGACAGCATCGGCGCAACCTTGTCATGACTTTGCAAGCGATTTCTGCGACAATAAGCTCAGGTGCACGTTAACTCCCATCTTAAATTATCACATAGCAAATACCCAGCCTTTCCCATTTAGTGATAATGCAATTGTGAACAATGGCATGTTGCCGTTTTCTCTTGTCAGGCCATTCCCTCGTCATGCAGCATGTTCGTGAAGCATCCCATTGGTCGCACAGTGGCGGATGCCGACGTTAATTGAAAATGGTCCCGCTCGTAGCCCAATCTGCAATTTCAGGGTCCAAGAACTAGCTAGGCTCGTCAACCATCTCGTCTCTCGATTCTCCCGCCCCCACGATCGTGTGACAAGGTCGCTTCATTCGCCAGATCTGTGATAATCGCATAGATATAAGGCTGACCTCTCGCTGACCATCCCGCTCAACCACAACAAGGCACATGCCCTGTGGGGAGCTATCCAAGGAATTTGGCATCTGCTGCTCACAGCCGTCCGGTTGTCACCATCGCCGGCCAGGCGAAATAACACACTGGGAATAGTGTCATATCTTGAAACAAACATTTGCTGCGGCGGTAATCTGGAACCCAGGGGACTAGCAACATAAATCAGCCACCATGACAGAGTCAGATCTAGGTCAGAACAAGGCGGACCCGGTGGAGGAGCTCATTACAGGTTACAATGAACTCAATTCCTCCCGTATAGAGGAATTACAGGAAGAGCCAAGTCCACTCGAGTTCATGCGCTTCGTAGCAAAGAACACACCCTTTGTTGTCCGTGGTGCTGCAAAAGATTGGAGGGCAACCAAGACCTGGAGTGCGCAGTATCTCCGGGAAGCCCTTAGAGGTCATCAAGTCAATGTTGCCGTGACACCATATGGGTGAGTTAACGAGTATGGATTGTGGCCAAGTTTTTTGAGCTTGTGTGTGTGAGAGAGAGTGTGTAGTGACTCACTGCAAGACTAGAAACGCCGACGCACCAACACTGGATGCCCAAGGTAATCTCATCTTCGCCAAACCACACGAGGAGGACCAGACGTTCGAGGAGTTCATCGACTACCTGACAGAACAAGAGGATGACCCTTCCTGCTCAGACACCTTGGAGGTGCGGTACGCGCAAACTCAAAACGACAACCTGCGCCACGAGTATATCTCCCTTTTCTCTGAGACCCTGAAATCCATCCCCTTTGCCCGGATAGCCCTGGAAAAGGAGCCCGACGCCATCAACATGTGGGTCGGCAACTCGTACTCGACGACAGCCATGCACCGGGACAACTACGAGAACATATACGTGCAGATCACGGGCCAGAAACACTTTGTCCTGCTCCCCGCGCTGTGCCAGCCCTGCATCAACGAGCAGGAGCTGCGTCCTGCGACCTATGTCCGGCAGGGCGGCGATCTGGTATTGCAGATGGACGACGGGGCAGATGGCGGTGTGCCCTTTGCCATATGGGACCCGGATCGGCCGCACGCCAAAAGGACCAAATACTCGCATCTTGCCCAGCCTGTGCGTGTGACGCTGGATCCGGGCGACATGCTTTACCTGCCCGCTATGTGGTACCACAAGGTATCACAGTCCTGTGCTGAAGGGGGGGTCTGCATAGCTGTCAACTACTGGTATTTTGACCTTTTCTACTTCCTTCATGTATATCTCCACTGACCATATAACAGGTATGACATGGACTTTAGCGGACCGTTATACCCCCTGACATCGTTTGTTCGAGACATGTCGAAACGACAATGAGAAGCGCAAATTGCCTTGTGTCCATTGACAAGCATACTTCTAGTCATGGGTCAATTCTTCTAGTCGTAAGTTCATTCATTAAGTATCTAAGTATGCTCAAAAAGTCATTATCGATGAAGACCAATTTTTGTCGCTTGCTAGCCTGATCCTGTCCGTCTCATGCTCCCAAACACCAGAAGTTTCTAACACAAATGCTTCAACATTCTTCCCGTCCTCTGACAACTCAAAAGTTGAGCCGCACACCCAGTGGCGCCTTGAAGTTCTCTCCCACGAACCGACCTTTGTCGTCACCAATCTTCCTCTTGAACAGCGACAGGTCCTTGAGCAGCTCATGCATATAGTCCTGCATCTCATTCGCCCGTTCCTCGTGAACCTCGGGCGAGTAATCGTCGTCGTCGTCCTCGTACAGCTCATCGACCGGTTCCGCTTCTGTGTCCTCGTCGGCGAGGTCCTCTCGCGTTGCGTTCTCCTTGTCCGCCTCGTCGTGCTTCAGAGGGTCCTTTGTGCTGACAACAACTTCTGGTATTGGGTTCTTCAAACTGTCAAGCGCCAACTTCAGATGTAGTCGCAGAGCTTCGTTCTCGGTCTGCAGGCTGCGAATCTTGCCTTCTGCCACGAGACTGCGCTCTTCCATCATGCGCTGCATGCTTCCGACACGATTCTGATACTCCTCAAGCTTCTCTTCACTCTCCTTTTGATCCTTTTCACGCCTTCGAGTATCTGCGACTGAAGCCTGCAACAGCCGAATCTCTTCTGCCATGGCCGCTATTTGTGCGTCTCTTTCAGCTGCAGAAATATGGTCCTGGTTAACAACAGCACGGGTGTGGATACGCTTAGCCTGGTCAGCGTATCGGAGCGTTGAGAGTGTCTCCTCGTAATCGGATGGCGCTATACAGGCAACCATGGCCGTCTTGCTGTTTCCGCCCAGGGAATCCTTGAGAAGCCACGTCAAGATGGAATCCCGATACGGCACAACGTCAGCCTTTCTTTTGCCCCGGCCACGCTTCGGATCGGCGAGCGCGGCAATGACACGACCAAGGGTAGTCAGTGACTTGTTGATATTGCTGCCCTCCCGAAGTCGTGCGCCCGTGGCCTCGGTGGATTTGGCTCTCTCGCTTCCTGCCAGATCAACAAGTCTGATTCTCGAACTCCGCTCCGTGGTCTCATCCGTCTCCATGTCGTGGTGGATCTGCTTCAGCATGATGGTGAAGACAGCATGGCTTCGACTACTGGTGTCATTCATCTTGGTGCTCGCGACGGTCCGCGACTGGTCTCCCATCTTCATGTAGCGCAAGATCTCGTTCAAGTTCCTAACAGGGACCTCGGTCAAGTCTTTTACGTAAGGGCCCTCGGAGGGCGACTCGCGGATCTTGAGATAATACGGTGCTTGGTTGGGGACGACTGGCATGAGCAGGTCGCGTACATGCTCGTTGTAGACTTCGAAGTAGGATGCTCGTACGTGATATGAGATGTTGGGCGTCTCTTGCTGTGCAGCTTCGATGCGCTCGAACAAGTCTTCGCATGTTCGGGGTATCAAGCCGGGCTGGTCGGGTGTTCCCATCATGGTGTATGATTTGCCCGAGCCGGTCTGTCCGTATGCGAAGATGCAAGTATGGTATCCTTCAAAGTTGTGGTCAAGGAACTCCTCGCCAAGTACGTTGTATACATCCTCCTGGTGCGCATAATGTCTGTCCTTCATGTTGTGACTCCAGAAGGAGTTGTCGAAAGTAAAGCTCTTCTCCTCTATCAGTTTGCGGGTTCTCGCCTTGGAATTGGCAGGGTCCCTATCGTTGGGGGCGTGCAGTGTCGTCTCTTGGGTTATGGGGTCCATGCTGATAAGGCAGTCTGCACCTCTCTCGATCTCTGCGATTGTCGTATCAGTCGCCAGCATGACGGAACAAAAGACGGCGGCAAGACATACCTCTCGGCAAGAAGGCGCGCACCCTCACGACGACCTTGACATTGACGCCACCGCCATCCATCTTCATATGCGACGGCAGAGCGCCATCCCTCGCCCTCAGTGAAGGCGTAGAGGCAGAGGAGCGGACGCTCGATCTGAGATCCACCGACGCCATGAAATATTCGGACACGGGAGGATGGTCGTCGTCCACAAAGCAGTCACGTCTGTTGGCGGGATCGACCAATGCAACAATAACGCAGACTCCGAGCAATGTCTCGCAGATAGAGTCGATGATGTCGCGGGATCGTTGCGTGTGGAATGTGCCATACATCTAGTCGGTTGATGCGCAAAGTGGAGCCGAGCCCTGTACACGTTATTGTCGGATGTGTTGACTTTCGTTGTCGTTGCCGGGGCACCCGCGGCGGTGTGGGGAAGGCTCGAGAGTGGAAGGGCCAAAGGCACTGTGACGGTGGGCTAGGGGGATGATCCGCACCGGCGGCTGGGCACCTTTGCGCAATTGACAGCTTCGCTTTCACTAATTTATCGTTGAGCTTCGAGCGTACGCTGATGGGTTAAAAGTCTCCAAGAGCGATGGAGTTGAAATTGAGGACTGGCTGCGTTGAAGTCTGAGTGTAAGAAAAAGTGTATTTGCATGAAGACTTTTGTCCATCTCAGACATCTTGTTGCACCCTAACATTTGAGTTCTCCCCAGCGTAGCGTACATACTGTAGTTCCGTAGACCATGTACTTCCAGTACGGCTTGATAATAAGCCACTGCCCAGGGCGAAATGAACATCTGTTTTCAACTTTGGTGTGTGTAGCTACGGCATACCCTGTCCAAGTACGGTACGCGCCAGGCTCTTCTTTCTCACCTGATCGCCCAATATTCCAACCCAGAACCATTGTGCTGATGCATGTGGAAAATCCCCTTCCATGCATTATGCATACCTGCATTCTGGGTTGATGCATTCCCACATTGGCGAGCTACACATACTAAGTTAACTTAAACCTCGTGAACATCACACAGTCTTGGGTGTCCAGCAGTAGTACAGCTTCTTTAGACGTCAAAACCAAGTCAGATTTTGAACTGGCAATTCCTAGATCTACGGGGCCCTTCACATTTCAGAGTCTCTCTCAGATTTCCAAATGGTGCCAGCTGCACCCAAACATCTACCTCTTAGTCAGTCAGTAAACTAACTTTGGGGTTATCAACTTTTCCAGAGCGAACCAGCAATTCGAAGACACCATTCACGATTAAGTCTACTGCCTCGCGAGAGCGGATTGCCGCCAGGTCATTCTTGTATCTGTTGCACGGCTCCTCTTTCTCTTTGACCACCTCCAACCTCTGTCCATGTTGCAATCTGTATTTTGCGTCACCAAAGCAGTGACTCTGCGCTGCATACCATTAATCTAGGGTCCTAACGACCGATTTCAGGTCCTTTGCAGGGCTGGTCGCCGCATTCCTTTTGGTTCGGAAGATTAAGTACCCTTGGTGAGGTTTCGCAGCGCTAATCCTGTCTGGAGAATCTCGAGGGCAAGATCGCCAGTGCCATGAAGCGTAGAGACACCTAAAAACGCTTTTGACTGCTATAGTGACATCAGACGGATGTGGAAAGTACAAGAGTTGTTAATCATTTTCGGCGGCGCTTCGTTATCGGAAGCACAGCGCTCTTTCGCGTTAAGCACCTCTCGAAGTTCATCTCGTTCGTTATCTTTGCACGCCTCGCCAATGTTGTCTGGTATTCAACCATTCGGCGTTATCTGGGTTTCCCGGCATACTCCGACGAAGCGATACTGACTGACTACGATTTTCCTCTCTCACAAGGAGCACTTGAGAGGCTCGGATTTCGCCAACATGTGGTCGAGAGGACCTGGTACTCTCAACACAACTCCACCCCTACTACCTTCCACTTAAACGATCCGTCAGAAATCTAACAAGTCGGCCTGTGAGTCAAGTTCCCGTTCGAATTTCGAGCGACGAGGACCGAAAGAGGGGGATTTGGTGTTGTGGAGGTATGTTCAGAAGTGTAAATATGTTGGAATTTGTGCTAAAAGGAACAATCTATCGTGCATCACCCGAGTATATTGAGAGTAGGCTCTTTAATAACGGCCGATGGAGACCGCAGGGGGCATATGCAGTTGCTGTGAAGCCCTTTCCAAATCACCACATTGACGTTAATAAAGAGGCGGATAATCTTTGTGCCGTTGGCAGAAAGCTGGCTACGCACAGTCATGTTGGAACAATGCATCGTGATTGCCGAAGCCTGAAGGTTCTCCCATGAATGGCTTCATGAAGGCACATGCCATGTATACTTCGCGCACATGGATTTGAAAGCAGATAATGTATTAATCATCAGGTTTAAGGACAAGAATACAGGAACTTGGAGGCTGGCAGATTTTGGCATTTCTGTAGTCAAACGGGTCTCAAACAGTGGTCCTCAAGGAAAAACAACGAACACGAAAGCAAGACGCCCACCGAGCATTTACTAGGCCCGCGAAGTTCACAGAAGTTTTCAGTATCCTGACCTCGCCAAGTAGGGAGAAGGAGCGATATTTGGTCATTCGGCACAATACCTTTTTTGTATCATAGGCCTTCATGCAGGCAGCTCACGGTGCACCTTCTCGAATACCACCACTCAGTTCAGGAAGGCCGCATGTTGATGAAAGACAGGAGGCACTGGAATAAAAGTTGGAGCAGGTTCAACTCTGCCCCTTTGCCAAACAATGAGGCTATCTTATGATCCCTAATGCAGGCCGTGCCTTCTTGGCGGAATTTTCTCCGAAATTTTGGTCACGAAGCTTTATGAATGTCTAAAATTATGGCGCGTCACCCTGTAACTCATAGTGCACAGCTGAGAGCATCTGAAATCAAAGCTGGAAGCAAATACAATGACCACTCTCTCGCCAAAATAAACGAAGTGCCCTTTGGAAGGCTCATGTAAATGCATACCGAATTTGGCATCCTTCGACAGCATTACCAACTATGCGAGCTACAGACCAGTCTCAGAAAATGCTCGCAAATTAAGGCGCTCCCTTGAGAAGCTCGCCGGTTTGTTCTGATTATCACTTGCGACTTGGAAGGCAAGATTGAGATCGTCAAGTTCGGCTGAAATCCCGATGCTTCCAGAAGCCGCCGGTCATTAGAACCACGAGTTTGAAAGAGCTCTTACCCAGCTATACTTGGACAAGACACAATGAATTGACCAGATTCGATGGATCCGAACTAAAGTTTAACTAGTAACTCTGCCGCCAGGGACATGGAATTTCCCGTTTCTTAACCCACCATACTAGCACGAAGATAATACCGGTAATAATGAAGAATATCAACCAGATAACGACAAATAGCCAGAAGTTGTCACCAATGACCAATCTTCGTAACTCACTGTCGAAGCCTAAGAAGTTCATCCCGAAAATGTTTTGAGATCTATTAGCTGTACTGTTGTCTCTATGAACAACAATTCAATTAGGGTTTATCTTACCCCAACGAAGCTTCCAGGGAGGTAGAACACATAGGGCAGGGTCATAATATTTACAATACCACTGTTGTCGACCGAGTCCTGTTGCAGCTCTTGTAGGCTCGTGGTGGCGATGCTAGTCTCTTGGGCCAAGATTCTTTTCTCTCTCGATCAGATCGTGATTCTCTTACGCGAGGTTTTCCATATGTCGGCCATGTCACGGATCTCTATATCCAATTTTGCGGTCTCTAGCTGGTTGTGCAAAGTCAGGTTGTATCCAACCTAATATCGTCAGTGACTAACTGGAGAACTTACCATATCTATGGCATTTTGGATCCTGTTCTGAAGCACACTACTACTGGCTCTAAATTCCGCCAAAGATGTTTCAATGGACGTTAGAGCTTTTGAGCACTGCATGGGACAACGTAAATCAGATAACCAAATTCTCACAATCTGAAGATTGTTGTCGCAAGAAGCGTTTGCAAAGAGCAAGTAACGCAAACTCTGGACCCTATCAAACCTATCTGGCTCATCTGATAAACTAATGCAAAACATGACTTGATCGTTCTGCGTTTGTGTTTACTCCAACACGTTTTTCTGAACTGACGATCCTGTCGAACTGCGAGCTCAAAAGTTTGAAATACGGTTTGCAGTTGTCGGAATAGCTTGTGAGCAGCACCACGTGCAATACTTCAGGACTTGCTTCAATTTCAGCCCACCGAGCCAGTTTGCCGTTAGAAAATTGGGCTCAATGCGAGTATTTTGCTCAATCTGTCCAGAAAACTATCTTTTCGGCACTGTTTAGGATGAGAAAAAGATCAGAGCCAAGTTTGTGGCGATGGTGGACTCCGACATGACGAGACGGTCGCGGAGCAGAACCAACACTGTCATTTCTTTCGTAAAAGTTGAACTTATAGAATACGAGATTAATGCCCGATTTTAGACTACTTAGAGAAACTCATCTATTAACAAGGCCGTAGTGATTATAAAGCTGATAGAGTCGATCCTTACATCCAACCTTATGACGGTGCCCTATGTAGTTTGTGGTGTGAACATCCAGCCACTTTACCTCGGTATAGAGAAATAGAGAAATAGAGAATCATCGTTAATACTTAACCACAGAAATTACTCCATAATCCCTTGGGTGGCTGAATTACGTAAATAGTAGTAAAAACAGCTTGGCAACTTAATACAGCCTTTAATTAATTCAACTTCCAATCCCTTTGTTTAACACATCTTTAGTTTCAATGGTTAACACCCCCTTTAGTACAGTGAGCCAGTCGGCAAACGTTCCCAATTGAGTAAGATAAGTATGTTGTATAACCTCGTTTCGCAACGGATTATCATCAATGCAGCACCTTACAGCCACAATCCTACCTCATGATGTGCTCTCTTGTACTCAAATATATCAGTTATGCCTCAGCCTAATTATTACTTCTAATTGCAGAAGGTAATCTATCAGCTCAGCCTCGAATTCGTATGTTCGTATTGATACAGACTACTGAAACGTACAACTTAACCTGGACGCGTGGCTTCACTGACTTGATGGAAAGACTTAATACATAAGCTTTAGACAACAGAGCAACGTCAAGCCTTATCATTACTACCAGTCTCTATCCAATAATTTCACAGAATGGCTTTGAGCTAGTTGAAGAAATTGTCATGCAAGCCCGGCGACTGGCTGCCCATTCTTGGGAATATGGAATATGGGACTATGTCGGAAGCATTGTTGGAATGCTACCACGGAAGCTGTTCTGTATTGGGTAATAATACTTTCCTCAATGGAAGACCGCCCGTCTTGCATATAGACGAGATCCAGTTCTAGGATATACCCAGCCTTACATCTCAATAAATACTGCAACTCTCATCGATGGAGACGGTGTGTGAAAGCAATCTGGAGAACCCTTTGAAGCTAACACTGGACGGAGCGCCGCCAATAACCCTGCATCTCTAGGTGTGCCCGCCGTACTGATAGGCCAAAAAGAATCCAGCCTTCTTTGAAGCAGCAAAGCGACAAGTTCAGCATATTGTGGATAAGGTCTTCCGTTGGCAAATGGTGCTATCAGCCATAGAGAAGTGATTGTAGAGTCGTGAACGACTTTATTTATATGGCTCCGACAGCCTTGGCATATCAGGCCGTCCAAACAAAGTAAATCGCTATGATGAAGGAGTCCATTCGACAATGCCAAAAATACCAAGATATTCTCCGTATCCTAATAGTATAAAGTGTGACCGGCCCACTGATTAGTCACACTGGAGCCACATTCATCTGGTTCTAAATATATTGCTTGGGCAGATGAGAAGCGACGGGCCATCGCTGAGAGAATTTGGGAGGATCGCCTCCTATATCCCGTGATCAATACATTGGACTGGCGTGAAAGAAGCCCTTCATATGAGTTCCCGGAGGCGCAGAGCTTTACTACATTTATATTCTCGGGCTATGAAGATTTCATGGATGGTCGAAATCGAAGAATAAGAGATTGTGAGCCAGCCCGATTCAATGAACTTTAAGTTCCACGATAACTCGAAAAGGACAAAACTAGATCCTACTCGATGGCATTATTGAGGTTGAAGTCGGCTAGCTCCACCATACAACGTACCACATCAACTCTACACTCGAAGATAAGCATTTATCTGGGTCGAGATCTCCATGGACTATGTCTCAGTCGAGGAGACATTTAAGATCTAAAGCCACATCAAAACAGATCCAGAGTCTAGCCATCATCATCAGACGAGAGGGATGCCTGGCTGGAATTTTCGAGAAGTTCTTTCGAGAGTAAAAAGTTTCTTCAAAGTACAATCTTGAAGGAGCTTGTGTGTGATTTTAGTTAGAGTAGTCGTATCCTTATGCCTTAAACTTCACTTTATTACGTTTTACAAGGCTTTTGACTGCCAACTCCGGATCTCTGAGTTTTGGTTACTCTCCTCTTTGAATACGCCTTCATTATGATCTATCTTTTCTAACTGTAGGACAATGTTTCGTAGGCCAAAGCCGCTGGTAGATTTAGAGGATGGAGATTATGCTCCATCCATGCCGAAGAAAAAGTAGAGTTTTGATGAGGATTCGGTTGTGATGGTGTGGCTCACCAATAACAAACATGTCCAGAATGGCGACGTACTGCGAGATGGACGATGAAGTCTTAAAAGAGACTCGTACCCAGGACTGTCTATGGGTGGTTATCACCTTCATTAGCAATGCTGAAATCTATCCTGGAGCAGACTACACGTTCAATTTATTGCTTTTATTGTTGCTACCAGATTCGATGCGAAAGTCTTGGCAAACGTGGGGCACTATCTAATTATACTGAAATAGGCGACATGGGAAAACTGCAAAAGAGGCAATCATGACCGATGGGATTTGCAAAGAATTGGTCTACACCGTCTTCCGAAAGTGTTGAAGTAGCTTTCTCTTCATTCATGGCCTATGGCTACCATTTTTCGGCAAAATTAATGTGATACTATGAGAGACTCAGGCTTGCTGCCAATCTAAGCTACATAATGGGCACTTACAATTTAGCGCATCGAACGAGAGCATCGGTCTGGTTGGTATGCCCAGGGAATAGGATGACCTTGGCGTAAGCTCTAATTCTGTCGCTACCTCAAAAGTGCGGTGCTTCCTGGGCGACCAAAGTACAGACTGATCACGTGGTTCTTCATGCTGAATTACTGATGCAATGAAATCCCAGTCTTGAGCCAATTGTATGGTAAGCTGCGCCTTTCGAGTATTGAAAGGGAAGAACAGCCCCAGTTATTACATTCCTTTTCCATTGACACATATGGACGAGCTCATTGTGTTATGATGTCAGAAAATACTAACTAGCGGAGAGTCTTGTCAATGTCACTTAAACACGATTTCCTACCCAATATTCCGGAACTAGTATCACTCCCCCGGCAGATTCCGGGACTATCAGGCATCGATGGCGATACCAGACATTCGCATGTGTAGTTTTTCCACTTTGATACCTGAATTATCAACACCAGACTTTTTCAAGATGTATTCGCATGGCAGCCTGTTGGCCCGGAGGCAGATTGCGGCGCAGACAGCAATCTAGGTCTAGCGTCACCAACCCCTGATTGAGGGGTTATGAGACTCCAAATGACTATATAAAAGGAATTTTTTCCTCACCGCTACGTATATTGCAAAGGATACAGATCTATGCGTGTTGGGAAGTTTGCCTGCGGTTACTACGAAGAAGCTAGCAGTACTCTTCCAACAGCCCATCTATCGAGTAAAGCCTTCCCCTCCAGAATCAGACTATCATCATGATACTCCCCTTTGTCATTGTTCTCGCGACGGCGTCAAGTCTTGGCGCAGCACAATACTTAGTTGATCCTCCTACTACCGCGGCTGCAGATACCATCAAGGACTGCACATATTGGCAAGTCGCTTCATCCAACGATACTTGCACTAGTATAAGCGAGTATTGGGGCCCGATATTGGGTTGGCTCCCAGAGCAATTTTACGTATATGTACGGATGGAAGCCTGTAGAGTTGGTAGAAGAGCACTAATTCTTGATAGAATCCAAGCCTAGCCGATGGTTGCGAGCTTGTCGTTGGCAACTCATACTGCATTGAACAGAATTGGGGGATACCTCCCACGACTTCTACTTCGACCAGCAGTTCTGTCACCAGCACCACTACTCCAACTCCGACTCCAACTCCTACGACGATTCTCGAAGCTTGCGAATTTGAGGCCGGGGGCTACGCAAGCTATTGCCCGCGTTGTGTCTCCCTCTGTGAGGACAGTTCGAACTATGGAGATTGTTTTTGGAGTGTCTTTTACCAGATCAATGGCTACGACAGCCAGTGTTGGCAGCACGGCGGCATCGATTGTGAAAACAAGGCGGTAGATAAAGTTTGTCCCAAGGCCTAGTAGCAGGTCTGACTGGATCGTGTTTCTAAATGTGTGGACCGTAAATTATCCACTAAGGATAATGATCTGACGCTTCAACAATAGGAGGGAATGTCCAGCCGTAGTGAGGTGAGATTTCTACTCACATGACTTCTTCCCCACAGTCGCTTAATCAGTGATCACAGCGTAATTAGAAACTCACTTTCAATCGTTTGTTGCAGTTATGGTCATGGTCCTAGTTGGGCTTGTATTTAGAGACATAGTCGAGCTTGTACGGTAGGATTATAGTATGTCTAAGATCAAAGTTGAAGTTAAGTCAGGGTGGTCCATCCCAATGCTATAATGTATCTTAAATTTTCCAATTTCTCTTTTTTTTTTCTTTTTCTTCCAGACAAATAAGGGAATATGTTAGCTAGGTTGAACAACCAACGCCATCACGACCTGCAAGGTGCTGGGAACATATCTGGTTGCAACATACGAACAAACCTAGCATTTATTATCCGCGGTGTGCTATGAAACAGTGTCAAACAATCATTCGGATCTCATAAACATGAAAATGCTATAGTATCAATAAATGGAAAAAGTTTCCCCAGACGTGATTCACATCGCTGACTAGACGAGGTGTCTATCCTCCCACAAATCTCCGCGACAGCAATGATCTTCGTTTCTCTATATATAATACACCACAACCTCCACACCTTCGCATAAATTATATCGTTCTTATAATAAAACCTGAAAAAGCGGAGTTAAGGGCATCTGGAGGGATGAAAGAATCGCTAACCAATTCAATATAGTAAATCTAAATGCTTGTATCGCCTGATCATATCAAGCAGACACCTCCGCGTCCCCGTTGCTTGTAGACTCGCGCAATATTCTTTGTTAGCATTCCATTATTATCAGAATCCTTTGAATCGTACGTATACAGTTACTCTGTCATTGCCTCCTTCGTGCAGTAATTTGGCGCGGTGCGGCTCGAAAATTGGAAAATGAGCGGCTCCACCAGGCGTGAGTGTTCAACTAACTCAAACCAGTTACCAAGTGCTGCGGACTTTGACATGCTTTTCAGTACTCATGAATACCGTAACAAGGGATATGTGCAAGTGAATTTCCGTTTAGATCCGTTCGCGTTGAGTGGCCATCACCGCCAGCTCAGTGGTATCCAAGATCAAAAGTACGGCATATTTTCCTGACCCCATATTCAGCATATGTGGCTTTTGTGGCCACAACCGCTCCATACATATGTCTCGAGTGTCAGGATCAATTAGTCATTTCAGTCGTTGCCTGGACCTACGTGGCTTTAGCTTTGACTGTTCATCACCTATCCTTTATGCTGCGTGCTTGCTCCATTTACGAATCCGCTCGCCGTACTATATGACGATTAGCGCAACAGTATTCTTCACGAAATTTATGGTTTAACTTACACGATAAAATACGAATGGTATAGGAATGAACAGCACCGCAATGCCACCGAGTAATGAATTTCCAGGACCAATACCGAGCTGAACGAATAGTGACCGTGCCTATTTAATTCATAGTCTAAGCCAAAGCGAATATACAAATGTGGATGGGACGCTCAACGTGACTTACAAACAGTGGGAAGGCTGCACCGAGTGAGGCGCGGAACAACGCGGCGCCTGCAAAGACAGACGCGGCGTCTGGGGCATACGCAATGCCGATATACATGTACACTGAGTTAAACAGTGTAACCACACCAATGGCGAACAAACCGGAGCCAATGATTGGTACTACCCAGTGCACACCTTCCCGTGACGACCAACCGAACCAGAACAAACAGACCGGGAGCGTGAAGCAGCCGATGAATGCCGGGGGGAGAACCATTTCAGGCTTGAAATTACCCGACAGCATTGCTGGAACAAGGCTTCTCTTAATCCACAAGAGGAAAAGAGAAACGGATATGGCCGTGAATACCAGGATGCCGAAGAACACAAGTCCCTGTTCGCCAGAGGCGAAATTGTATATGCCTCCAAATACAATAGGGAATGACTCGAACCATATAAACAGTATACCATAGAGAAGAGCGGCATACAGGTCAACAAATAAGATAATGGGTTCGGTAAAGATGAGAGTAAACGCCCGAGCTAGAAGAAACATGTTATCCTTCGGAGAATAGTGCGCCGAGTCTGCTTCAGTTTGACTTTTCAAACGTTCATTTCCAGTTGCTTTCCTGAGTCTCTTGGCTCGGTTGTAAAGGATGTTGCTGGCGCTGGTTTCTGGAAAGAAGAAAAACATCACAACAAGCACAAAGATACATAGTAGTGTAAATGCCCAAATGGTCCAGCGCCAGCCCATAGCCGGTGCAAGGTAACCGCCGATGATGGGCCCAAATACCGGTCCCATGATACCCGCTGACGACCAGAGACAAAGAAAGTATGGTACTACTGGCGGTGGGTATATGTCATTAATGGTCCCACCTCCAGTCGCTAGGCAAGGGCTACCACAAAAGCCTGTCAACCATCGGAAAAATAAGAAGATAGTGACATTCGGTGCAAAACCAACTGGGAGTTGGAACAAAATAAAGGCTAAGAGTGTCCAGAAGAAAATTCCGGTTCGGCCCAATCTTGGCATTTCCGATAGAGGCGACCAGAGCATTGGCCCGAGACCGTATCCGCTATTATGAGAGTTGAGAAGTCAACGGAGGTTATCAACAGTGTGAAGGAGTTTCATTTGATTTCTTACAAGCTGAACAGCGAAAGGCCCAAGGTTGCAACAACGGGGCTGACACCAAACTCGTCCATGAAGTAAGGTTCACCAGGCACATAAATTGAGCTCGCAATATATACCGCGAAATTGAGAAGACACATTTGAAGGGCAATCAAATGTTTCGAGCTGCTGGGCCAGTTCTGGGGGTTCTGAGTGAGTATTGGGTAAGCGGGTGTAGCATTGAAGACGCCATTGAGCGGTAGAGACCCTACCTCTGGATCGTCCGGGCCATACCAGCCTATCACGAGAGCATCTAAGCCGTCATGACCACGTCCTGTATTTTGCTCGGAAGCTGCGATATTTTGTGCATCCTTGTCGGACGCATCGTTTGTGCCCCTGTGCTCCGAAGTTGTCTGGGACTGGTGCGACCCATCTTGCTGGATTGCTTTCTTCCATAACGAAGAATCACGCTCGTCGGGAAATTGGAAGGTCTTGTTGCCCGAAACGAAGCGCACGAGCTGGCCAAAGATGGTACTCTCCACGTGAAGTTTCATATTGGGATATGTCTCGTCAATCATACGTGAGACAATGGGAAGGCAGTGAGTTGGACTTCAAGACAGTCTTCAACCATCGAGTATATTGATCACGCTGTGGAGCTAAGAGAAGGTATGGAGCTAAGAGAAGGCATGGAGCTAAGAGAAGGCATGGAGCTAAGAGAAGGTATAGAGCACGTTCCCGTACTGTTTTACTAAACGCCAACGCCGATGGAGTTATGTATCATATCCGAGTTAAGTCCGGGGTGCTGATCAATCAAATCAGCGGCGTACCAACAATAGTATGGCAACTTTGCATAATCTCTCTAACAAACAACAAGATGTTAATCATGTGCAATCAATAATACGTTGAACGCTGAAACACCTTCACAATTCTAGTGGGAGTGCTCCATGGCATCCATCCGGCGCCTTAGAAGGCTATACAGTGGCCGCTTGACGGGAGTATCCCCACAACCGCTCTCTAGTACGACTAATGCCAGAATCACCTTGAAAAAGCGTAGAGACCGTTTCAACTTTACGCTTGGACAACAGAGTCTATCGTTTTTAGTCCTAGTCTGACACCAATCGAGTACAACCAGACTCTGCATACATAAAAGCAAAGATAGCAGAGTTTTTATGCACATCACATATCCTCCGGCGGACGAGGTGGGAATTGCCACATATATTTTCATATCCGTATTTTAAAGTACTACGTACTGGAGATTGAATAGTGTGGAACATCTTCTAAAGGCTTGACTTGTTCCTTTAGTACTTGCCAAAGGTCCTGGGAAGCAGTTGGTCAAATCTCACCACTGAAGCAGTCTCGTCAAACACAGGGACAAGGTTCATCTTCTCATATAACTTTGACTCGGTTCTCAACTTCTCGATACACTGACGATATAACTCATCAGTACAAGTATAAGAATTTTGCACACTTTATCATACTTACTGCTTCAGCCATGGCCGGTGCAAATCGCCATATTCGATGTAACTGGTCCAATTGATGCCGAGAGCCTCAGCCTTCCATTGTGTTACAATTTCTGCATTATGAACTTTGATCCACCAATCTGGCTTATTAGTGATCTCTTCGATGTATTGAAGTATGCACGATTCCCGAGTTGTAAGGGTATTGGCTTCAAAATCAAAACTTCCGCTTCCAATAAGATTCGGAAAGCGGTCCTCCTCATCGGGTAAGAAGTCGACAGGGAGACCAACACCAGGAAGCATCATTTTAGTCAGCAATTCTGAAAATAAGTGTTTGAATCATAATGTATCAACCACACATAACTTGATCTGAAGGTTTGGGGCCTATATACAACAAAAGCCACACTTGACCACGATAACATCCACACAAACCACAAAATTGAATATGGTAAGAAGATTAACCTTAAGTTTAGCTAAAAGTCCCATAATAGGCAGCAGGTCCCAGGAAACCAAACCGCAAGGTTCTGCTCTATGATGACTAGTTGCTGCCTTGCTTCGCCAAAACATTGACATGAAGCTGTCGCTTCGTGACATTATTAAAAAAGTTCTAGTGGTATCAGCTGGACCGATAGAAACGGATCCATCATGCAAAGTAGTCTGTATGTATACCGCGTGAGGTAGATATATCAGCGATGTTATACGTAATAACGTTATAACAAGAGTTGGAATGACAAAGAATTTTATTTCTCCGGACTGCTGTGAGCTGTCATGGAACTTACATCAGCGTATTTTGGATCCTTTGACAACCAAGATAAAACCTACGTTTTGGGTGCAAGGCTCTCCACAGTTGATCGAGGTCAACTTCATCCCGTATATTGAGACTTCAACCTCTCTGCGGCAAACTTTCTGATAGAAAAGAAATTTGACAGAGAGCATGTAAACACTATAGATGACGTCAGTGTTACTATGTTTGTCATGGCAGTCCTATACAACCGTCCAAAAGCTGTCAGGGGTTTCCTGGACACTGATGGGGCAGCAAACTTCAGAACTACCATATACTTCGGCAACACCGCTCTTCACGAGATAGTCGTTATAGGATCTGTCAATACTCTCAAGTTGATATTGACACATGCTCAGGATCACATGAATATTTCAAAACTCTCCCACAGTGTCGAAGCATTGTTTTCACATGGCAGGACATACATTCAAGCCCGACGCGGATACAGTCGCTTCTTGCCCCTTAAATTCTCACGCGAAGCAGCAGCTTGATCTTTGATTCAGTCGTACCAATGCGAAAACTCGGAGTTTTGTGTGTGCTTGTCGTTAGTGCGAGGCGGTTGCACATGGCCCAGCTGCATTTGGCCACAACTCGAGCGTGACATCTAAGATCAGACTGAGAATCAGGGCGTCGACGAATTGAAGCAAGATATCCAGATTGCATAGCGATATTGCCAGGTAAGAACATCGCTGAAGCGGCAGCTCACAAAAGGCTGCAGCAGCAATTTGAAGCTCGGCGCCACTCTCCTAAAAATTGAAGGACTGCGGGCTTTTTATCCTGGATATTTCAATGTGTTCAGTTGGTCAATGACAACTGCGCACCGCGCATCTGACGTACGAAGAGAACCGAGGCCTTGGTGTATAATTGTCAATGGTTGAAATAATGTTTAGATTTGGCCCAGTGAACAGACGTATACTAAATCAAATGTTTATCCTGTGAGAACATTGATTGAACTCCCATCAATACACCATTTCTTCAAAACAATCCTCACTGCGCATCCGATCGCATCCAATCGAACGTATCCAAAAGCTCGAAATTGAAATCAGGTAATGAGCCAAGACCCCAATCCATGGAATCCAGCGCTACATTGGTTACATCCAAACTAGTGTTCAGAGAATGATCCAATACGCGTTGAACCACTGCTTTGCAGTCGTCACAAAGATCTCTATCTGGTGCCAACTTGTCAACCCAGTCGAGTGAGCCAACAAATAAGCTCATTTGTTGGACGATGCTCGAGCGACTAACACTAGGATCCTTTGGATGAATCCTGGAGAAAGTCGGCCGAAGTAACTCGAGGCAAAGCACTCCAGCTGCTGGCCCACCGTAGGCGAGGACCTAAAATACTTGATTAGATGTATGTAGACCCAAGTAAATGTGATTTGGCACCAAAAGTTTACTTACGAGCCATTGGAAATTGCGTTTGACACTGGGCCATGCAAACCTCTCTCTATGTGTCCAAAAAACCAGTACAGTTGTAAGCATAATGAAGCTTGTAACTATGAGATCACCCTCGTTGGGCCTTCCATGCAAAACAAGCAATCGTTGGGTGAAAAAGATGTTTTTGAGGTGTTCTAGATAGACCAGGATTTGTAAAAAGACTTTTCGCATATCAGTGTTGAGATCGTTCAACTCGTTAGGCTGATGAATCAGACTTCTAGGGAATTGTGAGTAAACGATGTGCTGTTGAGCTTCAATTTCTCTAAGAGCAATTAGTCCTCGTTCAAATATTTATGGGCGAAGATACGAGAGACTTACTCTAGGTGTTCTACCGTCACGACGGCATTGTGGGTCAGTGCGATTTCAACCAATTCGTCCCGGATATATGCAATCATGGCTCGAGCTCGCATGACGGTTGCTGAATAAAGGCCACCATCCGTGTTCCAACCATGCTCATCAAGTGACTCGAAAGCACGATTTAAATCATCCTGACCAGATACAAGATCCTGATCCCGAAGGTCAAGCGGGAGTGGTGTCGAGCAGTAACGACGGTTTAGAAGTGGAGGACGCCCCGTGAACGTAACACCAAGTTTATCACTGATGAAGATTTGGGTAAATAAACGCCTTCGAGTCTCGGAGTATAGAGTGGGTCGATAAGACGCATCTTGTGGCTGTACGTGAAGCCCTAGGTAAATCATCATTGCAACAACAACACCGTACGAGGCGAACGACACAAGTTCTTCAACAGTGTGTCAGTCTACGATAATTAACAGGAACTGAGGTAACTCGAGAACTCACTAGTTTCGCCAACAATGGTTGATTCCAAGGTTGCGTTTCGACGGCAAAGGTCCAGTAACAGGATGTTTTGTTCAGCGAACCGACGCGCCAAGTCGATGCAGTAGCCAATGCAAACAAGTGCAGTCTCAGATGTACATCTGGACGCAAGCCAATGGGTGCGGCTGCAGTAGGCGGAATGTACTACATCTGATAATGAATGCGAGGCATAGGCCCATAAAAGACCGATTGACTCCCATCTCAGATTGCCTTCACAGAACTGGTCCAGCCACTCCTTCGATGTGGAAATATTATTTTGGAACGGCTGAACTGTATTGCGGCATATTTTCTCGGCCAGAGATTCAAGTCCATCCCCACCTTCCTTTCGAGCTTCAGTGAGTAGGGTCTGCACCGAAGTCGCAATGCGGTCCACGGCAACATCGGCCCAGTCGTGGGCGTCGTATAAAGGCCCATCGGGACGCCCATCTGGATCATTGAGCTGTTCCGGGAGACACTGCAGTACGTAAAGGCACATCTCCCGCAAGGGCGGTGGCAGATCGCGAAAAGAAGTGTGATCTTCTTTGACCCCTGGAATGACTCGGCCACCGTCGAATTCTGGCGCACTAAGAAGTGACAAGCTATCTCGCGCTTCTTCGAATGCGGCATTGTAGCTTGTAACTCCAAGATAGCCCCGACCATGACTTACCTTTCTTACAGCGGACGACCTTGGCCGTTCGGCTGATTGTTGACTGCTTGGCGTATTGGCCTTGGTGGCGTGTTGCCCAATACGCGGTCGTGGATTCTCAATAGCACGTCGCGACAGCCTAGACGAGCGCGGTCTTGGCTCTTGCCCAGTATAAACACACTCGGTACCATCAGCACGCCTCCGGCACCGATTGCAAATGGGACGCGCATGATCGCAAGCAACTTTACGGACTCGGCAAGGATCGCATGCTGCTAGGCGCCCATTCAACCGACGAGGCAGAGCTATTTGCCCCAGTCCTACATCCTCCATCGTTGTGCTAAATTCTGGTGATCGTACTGAAGAAGGCCTGGGCATTCAATCGTAAGCGACTGTAGCGTCACGTGCGAAGTGGAGATCTAGTCGCGACGGGAGTTCCCATTTAGTCTAGGTTAGAGGCCCCGACCGGCCATATCCAAGTTAACCTTTCCACCCCATTCCACCATCCCAGTTTCGTGCTCTCTAAATCCATCGGAGACGCTCAACTCGCCCAGCCTCCTGTACGTGGTCAGCACTAGATGGCAGATTCAGCTTCCTAGGAAAATCTCGTCGGATCCATTTCATTAGGGCCCACAAGCTCCACGCCATCTTGCGGCTGAACTGCAGGGTCCAACTAACAACAAGTGGTATAGTGCATAGTATAGCCTGGGCAGAATCACTGTCGAATGTCTGCCAATCTTCTGAAAGCCTTACTGTGCTGTTTGCCATTCGTATGACTAAAGCCGTTCTAGACAACAGCAGCCGCGGCATCTTCAGGAATTCACTGATTTCTGCAACACCTAACGCAGCTCGAAGATTTGAGAGACCACAGGCGAAGTTTTTGCGGTGTCTTCAATCTTCGGACAAGGATCATAACTCTTCGCGAAGTCTTGCCTTTAACCCCGACATGGCGAGAAAACAAAACCCGATTCGCGACCAGCTAAGCCTCAATGAGCCAAGCTTTGACTGGATATTTCTAAGGTTAGTCTTGGCATTATCTCGTTGCAAGTAGACACAGCAATACCAAGTACAAGCCGATTGCCATATGGGGGTTTCCGGTCCATTCGGCGATGCGCTCCGTATATGAATGGGGACCCAGGATATTAGCAAGCATTTATTTCAAGGGTCGGAGAGATCTAGCGAAGATGATAGATTAGCGAAATTAGATTCAATATAAAGAATCTTGCAGAATGTGCTGCGGGTGTGACAAAGAAAAGCAATTCTCCGTTTCATCGTCCAGCCTGTCTAGCTCAGCTGTACCTTGTGATGTTCTGTGTGGTTTTGTTAATGTTTTGTCGAATCGAGACATGGCCGCTGACGTTCAGAGCTTGAGACTAGACTACTCTGTGCTATAGACGACACTAAAGCGCGGCCTCACCCGGCACCGTCGTGTGTATGCCACTAGCGCACATGGTGGCCATATGAAATACTCCAATACAACTGGACGTGGTTTTAGGAAGTATAATTCCATCAATCACCAAACGTGACTGATATTCAATCAAAGCCCCTTGTAGGTTTTCTGCCGCGTCATGTGCTATCAGCAATACCAGCTGCTGCATTTGAGGACCCCATAGTTCTGATGCAGCGATCATACGGTGAGAACGGCCGCTAATCGCAGATGTTTCAGTTTGTCTTTCTTTTATTGTTGCTGCCACCATCATACCGGTGACCAAGCTGCTGGGTACGGTGTCACGAAGCCGTTCTCACATATTAGTATTCCGGTGCGGTGTGCGTCACCGGTTGTTAGGGCTTTAGGATGGCAATGCCTGCCGGCTGCCGTTAGGGGTAAGGCTTGCGACATTGCACCTCCCTATACAAGAGGCTCACCGCTTTTCTTTTAATAAATGGTCGAGATTGTATAGCTGCATAGAGGAAGAACGAAGTCGTCCGTCCAGCCAATTCATACGAGGCAATGCATCGGGCTATTAAAATAGCCGATGTGCAGCCATCTGGAAGTAAGAGGCGTGATAGCTTGTGAATGGTAGTTGTTCTATGTGTGGCTTGATTTAATACTCGGTCATGTAACTATGGCTCTAGTTGTCGAGTCTCGTCAACTATCTTGTTCCTTTGTTGAGTTTTGTGGCGGATCAGGCGATTTATTTATGACGCTATTGATCAACGATGAAAAGGAAACTCAATCGAGGACCATGTCGCCTCTGAATATTAGGGATTTAGTACTTGAGGGATGTTGAAGGCGAACGTGCAAGATGGAGTGAGATTACTCATATGACGTAAATGCAGTGAACACTGACCTACTATCATATTTGCCACATGGTAGGATGAAGTCGATTCCAAGGTTATCAGCCTGAAAAACTTTAATACATCGGTGTAACTCATTGCAACCCTGTGCTGTACCAACTTTTGATGCGTATTATCACTTGTAAAAGCCCGGAATCGGTCCGACGGGTTGTCGTATGTTCTATAAAGCCTTACTGAGAGTATGTCGAGATGTTTTAAATGTACGGACCGCGTATGAACTGGACAAATGGTGGTTTTCATCCTACCGTAGACCCAGCACCACATTCATATGTTCACAGAACCCATGAGATTTAGTCGTTGAGGGGCTTCCGAACAGTGAGTTTGACATATCGGTGTTCGTTCTGTCAGGCCCACAATGTCATTGGTGGCCTCTTGCGCGGCTATGTGCTGCACGCTAAGTGCCGCCCGTTGTCTGAGACCTGCCTATGCTTTTTGCACACCTGATAGAATATTAGCGGGTACGCTCTCGGTAGACTACATAAAGTACAAGTAGTATTAAAAGTTAAGAATGTTTTATCATAAGCTAAAGCGGTGTTCTTGACCGACCAGTTGAGAGGTTGCTGAAGGGAATTGTGCTCACACGATTTCGAGGTATGAGATAGAATCAAATTTTAGGAAGGACGAATGACTTGGTTGACTGGAAATCATCGTTGTTGGAAGGACTTGGCTGGGATAAGAAGACCAGTGAATCGGAACTGATATTGCTGCAAGTAAAGTGGTCGGGACAACCTTTCAGCAAAATTGACCGATGGTTGTCTCACATATGTCAGGGGCTCTGCATTAAAACATATACGCAAACCTCGTCGATTCCGCTTTCACGAAAGCTCCTGCATCTAGTGAGGCCTCATTATGCACATACAGGACCGTTCATAGTTGACAGATGAAGGAAAGCAAACTTCAGTTTTGCGGCCGTTCTTTGAACTACTCTTCTCGCAGGGAAAGTGTATGGGTACAGCACAGCCTCAATTGATTATTAGTACTTGAAGGGTGATACCATGTCACATGTGCCATGGTATCCATGAAAGAATAAAGGCCGGACAGAGTGCGAAATCCTCTGTCATGATTGGTTGAGCGAGGAGAGCATTGAACGGCGACTCTCCCATGTCGAGGTACAGCGAAAAGAGAGTGTCACTTAGTTAATAAGGCTACTTCTGAGTGTTAAGATACTAAGTTTGAGACATTGAGAGCCAGGTTCCACGGTGACTGCTGCAGCAACGGCGGAAACCAATGTTAAAGTTCAAGACAATCGCTAAATGCGGTGTTTCCGGTGCAAGACCGCTCTTGCTCGCTTGTTGTGACACTTTTCGGGAAATGCCACAATGATTGTTTACTCGACTCACCATTGGCACTTGTCCAAGCACAAAAGTTGATTTCAATATGGTATCTGCATTACTACTTCGACGTGGAGTTGGCGCATAAGATTCGCACATTTCAACCTTTTGTTCCGCACAACGTGCCTCAGCTAGCTTTTGGAACAGCGCATTCAGTGATGCCTCATCAGTAAGCTCAGCGGACGGCTCTTGCAAGAGGACCGCAGCGCAATTTTTACTTCTCAACAAAGATTGCTGCTGGGATCAACTACTTACAGGTAGTCATTGTTAGGGGGTTGGCCCATGCACTCTCTAGATAGCCGAGATCTCCGAGTCGGCGCAAGACTTAAACACTGCACGATTCCTCGTCGTTCCAATCCTTGAAGTAATATACCTGTGCCCTACTTGGCATGCTCATTACTGAGACACGCACATGAATGTCGAAAAGTGGCGAAGAAGCACACATGTCAAGACCAACGCCGCTGCTTGTACGTCCAGAGTCCACGATATGTGTAGCCATTAGGTATTGAATTCAAGCTGGTCAGCTTGCGCGGTCCTGTGTAATACGGACCTTGCCTGCAGGTGCGGATCGCCTAGGCTGGGATCACCGGGGTCGCTTGGGTATAATGCTCCAATAGTAGAATTTGTCCGGGATTGATGGAGCAATAAAGAGACCTGCACCGTGCGATGTATCGAAAAACCTACTATTAAGAAATTGCAACTATGAATGCGGAAAACGACATGGGAATGCGGGTTTGGTAGTCAGCTACATGCTGTCACAGATCTGGACATTCCTATTTCCCTGCGTGGACGGTTTGATTACAGCCAGAGGAAACGTAGTCATGTTGGACCATGTCCATCGAAGGGGTGTTTGCTTCCAATCATCACTGTTGTCGATGCGGAAAAGCTTGAACCTAAAGATTTTAATCGCATGTTCGCCGTGCTACAGAATTTACACCACAAGAATATGTCAGCTCCAAAACAGGTTCACCGCGATGCGCTGTGTATCAACACGTTGCACATGATGTTGCTGTGTGTTGTCTTTTGCTCAAGTGCGTTGAAGTTTTGCCCCGGTAACGTTTATGCTACAGGCTCTGGAGCTATCGGCATGCGCCATGAGCCGCCAGATGAGGCCGCCATAAAGTACCTCTTACCTCGCTTGTGCCCGGATTTACCGAGAGACTTATAAGGGCATCGTCATGGCAGGTTACAGGGCATTAGTGCCTGTGCGTCTGATAGTTAGTGGCATTGGACCCTGAAAAGAAGGTGCAATTTGTGGCTGTGAGGTAGCCACTTCCTCCCCGCTGGTCGTCCCGCCGCTCCGACTTCGACAGATGATTATTCACACCCTTAACATCCCTTTTCGGTCAGACCAGCCCATCGCCGAGGGCCTTCTCACATATGGTTTTTGCATTGAACAAGACTAAACTTAGTGCCAGGCCTTCCGATGACTGCCGATCAGCTTCTTGTGGTTGTTGGTTGGAGTACAATTAAGTCATTGTCCTGCACCCATTCCATTAATCGAACTAGATTAGGTAGTTTTCATGGGATAGCGCTACGATGACTACTGAACGTTAAGTGACATCTTGGTAAATGACTCGGATGAGCCATTGGATCACAACGTTTCTTCACACCAGCCAAGTTTTGCTACGCACAATAGATATGTCACTGGCGGCATCAACGGAGCGGACTTGGGAGCGGGAAAGGGAAATAAGAAAGGCTCCAACCCCCAACCAAGACCGCCATGGTTAGCTCAAGTGTTGGAGCACCTATTGATGATACTATCACATACGGCGAAGCCACACCGAGTCCTACTATCGAGATCATCCCTGGCCTTGCCTATCTCTTTCGTTCAACCAAACCTCTGCTTCCGGAGCGCAACCGTTCTCCACATTAACTGTCATTGTTCGACGAAGGACCTCTCAGTGGACGGCCGCAAGGATTAAAAAAGAACTTACCAAGTCCCAGACAGTCGGCGGCGGCTCTACCGGGCTCAGCTGGCTGGTCCCTGCTTAGCTCTGTAACCTCTATGCAGGTTCTCAATGCACCGCAATTCTACCACAGAGACGTAGGTACTCTTTACTACATTGATCCAGCTGCGTCAACCCTCCCTGGAGTTGGCTCAGTCAGGCTAGACTAGTGCAAAACGGGAATAATAGTAAACGAGACATTCATCCCAGTCTGCTTCCCAATAAACGTATATATTGAAAGAGCCTCTCAATGATTTTTGTATTCTCATTTATAGCACCAACTGCCTTGTCATGCCACTGGGACGGCGGCGGGCGAAACAAAGAACCGGACACAGCTCTCATGCGGCTTTAAGAAACCAATTGGATGGTACGCTGCCCTCTCAAACGTCTAAACTGCGCTCCACTCCCTTACCAACGACAATAATCTCTAATGTTTGGCATACCGTAGTCCATTCAAGTGTTATTAGACACTGCCACACTACCGACTTATACTTGCTCTACCCATGAAGTGGTCCCGTACCGCCTTGTGCGAAGCTTTGATATATCTATTGCCGTGGCCCTGAATTTCTTAGCAACTGGACTTTACCGCGATGGCATTTCCTCATCATAGCGGAGGTGGCGGGCCCTCTTCCGTGCCCATGCCCATGCCATTTCAACAAGGCCGGTCCCATCCATCACCGCAGCCGTCATCTTCTTCCGCGGCTCATGGGCGCGGTCCAATTCCAGACTTCCATCACCCTCATGCGAGCCCGATGTTTGGCTTGCAGGATAACCAGTTCGACATTTTTGAGTGGTATCCACAATTCCAATCTTGTCTGAGATACTTCTTGGATCATGCCCAGTACAGTGGGCCTGTCCAGGCCGTTGCAGCTTTTGTGAACATCCAGCTGCCGTGCCAGAAATCCAACCACCCGATACCATCGTCGAGGTCTAGCGGGGGATCTCAATCAGGTGTTGCATCACCAACTGTCCGACCTGGGGGCGCTTTGCCAACAACGGGGCCTTCGAGCAGCATTGTCACCCTAACGCCTTACATTCGTCGCCTCGTAGCGACGGGGTTTGATTTCCCTGGGGTCCTTCATGGCTTTTTCGGTGACGATTGGGTGGCCGGAGTAGGCCGACTTCATGAAGTAGAACGCAGAAACTATTTATTTGCGGCAAAGAGTGCCTGCTGGCTCGATGTAAAACGTGCTTACGATGATGGGGACGGGCAAAGTATTCCTTTTCTCCGTCCGCTGCAGCATGCTACGGAGGAAGAATTGGTCAGCGCGGAAACACACTGGAGCGAATGGCTTTCTATGCAGGATTGGTTGATCGGGCCAAGATCTATCGACAACCTTGACGCCAACTCGGAAAGAGACCATATGGGTGGTTACAAAGGAGAAGCACAGGAGGATGGGCGTAGTCGCTACCATGACATTCGATAATTCGAAAGGTCATGGCCACCTCACTGGCCCAAGGCATCATTTCACAGTACCAACGTCCAACCACAACGTCTTACGACAATCCCTCGGTGTAACAGGACATCTAAAGAAGAGGATGGTGTTTTTGCCGATTGCGTACACAGATGGCGAGAAATGGGGCACGGTTTTACATCCATACATCTACACATTCATACTTCTTGGCTTATCGATGGTCCCACGAATTCCTGGACCATATTTTATTTTTGAGTGAAAGCTTTACGCCTGACCTCTATCTGATTGTGCCTGCATCTTCAACCACAGTTGGAGGCCCCAGGATTTGAGGCAGCCGGCACAATTGCAAGACAGGCAAACTAGTTTCAATGTTGATGAACTTAGCTTTATGATAGTGTTCATTACAAGCACTGCCATTGGGCAATGCAGTAACGGTTCCCGGCCATTTCCACGAATCATTTAACATAATCTAGCTTGCTGATCATACGGATCCGTACGTATAATCTCTGTTGTAACTCAGCTCCATACAAAAGTACTGTGCGAAACGATCGCCACTCAATGATGAGTGCACCCCTCAACACAATGAAACGTTCAACCGTTGAAGTGATTTCTGTCGCGCAACGTATTTACTTGAGGGTCTGGTCGACACTCCGAGTCGAATTGACACGCGGTTGATATTGTTGCGTTTCGAACGATCTAGTGGTTATGCGCAGAGCGCTCAGTTTAGCATTCTTGTTCGCTGGAACGCCGATTTTTGGGAACCACAGTTGTACGCGAACAGAACCTTGCTGCCGCGCGGTGCGGTCGGTCAATGGCCGGAGGAACCCCGCGGACGCTATTCTTGGTGGTGACTTAGGGGCGTCTCCTTCAGTGGGTTTCGGCCTCTGATTAACACTGGTTAACACTTTCCCGAGCGCTAGTAAAGGCAGGGCTGCGCCTGGTTCATAGTCATTTTGAGCTGAGCCTGAAAGCTACCGACCGTTTCCAGGTCAGCCTCGCGCTCATTTTCGTGCTCCCGGGGGCTTTGACTCTCAACTCAATGTCAACTCAACTCGACAAACGCACTCTTCTTGGGGTCCTGGAAACCCATACGACCCTCCGTTCCATATCCGCCTGCACTTTCCACTGTCTGGACATCTGCTTCTTGATATCAGCGAAACCCAATGTAGCAGGCGCAAAGTACTGCCCTGTTGTAGCCCAGCATGGAGATGGACATTGATGTGGAACAAGACAATGATGGCCTGCAGTATCCTGCACAGGCGCGCGACCACAAGCAGGCATACGAGGAGTGGGACAAGTTTCTGACCCGTTGCATATGCACACGCCTCAGCAACCAGAAATTCGCGGACTTCGTGTCGATTCTTCACTCCAAACACCCGTTACCGCCTGTCGCCGTCGCCGACATCTTCTTGAAGCCCTGCTCCTTCAACCGCGACACCCTCGATCCGCTTGTGCAGCACCAATACATACGGACCCTGAGCGACAAGAAATACATAGACGCCCCATCCATACTCAATGCCCTGTACAAGTACTCGACCTCCCACACGCAAGCCCAGGCTGTCGGCCATACCGACCTTGACGCCGCGCAAGCGGGCGACGCCAGATGGAGGAGCTCGTATGGACAGGAAGAGACAAACTTCTACAGCCTTACTAAGGCAGTGGCACAAGGCACCGGCATCAAGTCTCGCAGCGACGCCCTGGGTGTCTGCAAGATCGTGGCCAAATGGATGACCCTGTTCACCTTGGCGGCCTCTGCATTTGCCCAGGACATCATGGGACAGCTTCACAGTACGCGGGCAAAGGAAGATATGGAGGCGTCCAGAGCTGCGTTTGTCATGCTGCTTCTCGGCGTTTGCGAGAATGCGACTGTTCTTCAAGCTCTGAGTAACTCGTCTGCGAAGGGTGAGTGGAAAGTGTAATGCTGTACCGCATGGCTGCTTTGCTTACAACTACACAGAGGTGCGAAAAGCCTTGTCGGAAAGTCTCACGAGCTTTGTCCCATCTATTATGCAGAGTGGTGCGTCGGCCATAGCAGATCGCCTCGAAGCCTTTCGTACGGGCACACTTGCCAGCTTTGAGCCTGTCGACAAGAAGAATGAGGCTGCTAAGGCCGAGTTTGACGACCTCCTCGACTCGACCTTGGGGCTGGAAAATTTCCCTGTCACTGAGCTGCCTGTCGTCAATACCCGTGCTGGCCTATACATCTACCTCAATGCTTCAGTATGTAATTTTTATGTGAATAAGGAGCTACTATTGACTTGATACAGCTGGTCTGTAGACCATTCGTCGACGACGCATATCTCTACAACTATTTACAAATTCGTTACAATGTATGTGTTACAACTCTGAGATGAGATAACCCACCAGCTGACAGACTAGGGGGACTATCAAACTTGCTTCATAGATCTAATTCTCGCTTCCTTCGACGTCCTTGCGAACGCTGTGTTCCGCAGCGAGGGACAGAAGACAGCCCACGTCCTGCACTCATATCTAATTAATAAGCTACCAGTGTTACTGGCAAATCTTGCGCAACCATTATCATCGGTGTTTCCTCCGGTGACACCTCAGTACTGCATAACAACGGCATTAGCTCAGGTTGATACTAATGCTTTCCCGACGCTCTCTGCCATGTTTGACGTTTCGACGAGCAGCAACAACACGTTCACAGATAGCGTTCGACAAGAGTTCTGCTGGGCCTGCTGCTTGCATGGCTTGATTCCTGAATCAGCAATTGAAGGACTCCTGGGCGAGATATCATACCAGTCACTCCCCGAGGGCGGGAAACTAGTCAAGGAAAAGCTGTTCAACAAGTGCATGTCAAATCCCGAGACAATCACAGTCCTCGTTGGCGAGATTGACAAGATGGACGGTAATGTGGGTGCAATTTGTCAGGCCTTAGCCGAGGTAAGAGTACCCCCAGCAGAATCTTGACATGAGTCTGACTTGAGAAGGTTATCACCCATATGTGTGCTACCAAGGACACTATGACACTTAAGCAGATCTGTAGCCAGCTTGCAAAGAAGCCTCTTTCTTTAGACGTGCTTCTACTCTTCGTAAAGCTTGATACCGTCCTGCGTCCTCTTTGCGACTTGCTTGATAATTGGAAATATGACGATGAGCAAGGCGAATACCAGCCCGTATACGAAGAGTTTGGCTCGATTTTGTTGCTAGTTCTGGCTTTTGTTCATCGATACAATCTCAGCGCTTTGGACCTAGGGGTTACGTCATCTGATTCCTTCACCGCGAAGCTTTTGTGCAGCGGGCAATATAACAGGCCGATGGAAGAATTATCAGAGCAGGAAAGTGCGCAGCTGGGAGGATGGATTCAGGGCCTCTTCAATTCCGAAAGTGGAGGCCTCGGCGACGAATTGATGTCCTCTTGCACGCCACAGGACTTTCACCTCCTTGTTTCAACGCTTTTTTACCAAACTGTCCTGGCACTCAGCGGAGACCGACTGCCAGAAGAGAACTTGAAGAATGGATTTGAATGTAAGTGGTCAACCTCGATCTTGATAGTGGGAGCTACTAATGATTATAATAGATTTGGTTGACACCTTTCTATTGCCATCACTAGTTATGGCAGTTAGATTCTTATCTGATTACCTTAGAACTAGCAGAGGAAATGAGCCAAAAGCTGTGATCAAAATATTGCAAATCATCTTGCTAACAAAACAAGGCTCTAACGAAGCTCAAGCAATGCTAGCAGCTGTCATTACAATAGTTGCGAAGCCGCTAGAGCATGCTCTTAGATCTCATCAACGGCAGGACCCCAAGAACCAAGACATTGAGCCCTTACTCAAAGCAGTCAAAGACAGCAACCCTGTACCGTCCAGGACGGGAGGTTCCGACCAGAAAGAATTTGAGGGGTGGTCCAACACACCCAATGGTGGTTTACAAGCAGCAGTCCGCTATACAATCCAGACAATGGTACAGTGGAGTTTACATCCAGGTCTGAACGTCACGCCCACCCCCTATACACATCGCCAAATGATCTTTGCGCTCAAGACCCTTGGAGCCAAGCGATTACTGCAGTTAATCATGGATGAGGTCAAACTCACAAGCGAAGCGGGCAGTGCGAGCTACATATACGATATCGCAGTATCCTTAATATGCGCTCCAGATGTAACCAACCTACCACCACCTTTGTCACAGGGTGACCCAACCCTGTCAACATCCTCCACACAACCTCGGCTAAGCCTGCGACAAGTGCTCAGATGGCAAGCGGAGGATTGCAAGAAGATACAGAAAACTGACCCGGTCGCCGCGGAACATATCGTCCGTCTTTTTAGAAGAGTTGAAGCGCAGATGCATATAGTGATACCACAGGCACCCACATTGATGCAGGAAGACCTTGGCCTCGGGCTGGATGATAACGCAGCTACGTCTCTGGATGGGCTTGCTGCTACTCAGGGTGATGTCATGGTACCGGACGATACTGGGATGGATCTGGACCTGGGTGCTGGCGCTGCTGACATGGGTTTGGACATGGGCGTTGGTGATGGTGGACTTGGACTTGGTGGTGACGATGATATTTTCGGGTCTTTGGGGCCTGTTGGTGATGGCACAGACCTCCTTGATGGATGGGATGGTATGCTTTAGTGGAAACGCAGATGCTGCCATCACATTGAAGACCAAATAATCTGTCAGTGAGCCCCTACATGATGGACCATAGTTGGAGAGTCGACTATTTGGTCGCAAATAGTCTAGGAGCCATGAACGAAGTGATACCCCCTTTACGTCCTTCAATCGGTTGCGAGCTGAGCTGTTCGCGGAGGAGGAATTGGGATTATGCGACATTGGATTATCTTTAAAGTACAACTGAAACACGACAGCGCCACACGTTAAAACTAGAGGGAAATCGAAAGGAAAGGGAAAAAAATCAAAATCAAGATGTAGTCTCTACCCAAGAACCAAGAGTGAACTGCGAATTGCACATGTTCGTTAACTCCCAATCCTCGGCCCCCATCTCGCCAATCATATCCTCGTCTTCTTTGCTGCCGCACAGTCCCGCAATGAACATGGTTGCCATGAAATGATCATCTGTAGCATGCGCATCACGGTACATGGGATGCTTCATCAGACTCGTGACCTTGCGCCTCAGCAGCGGACCGCCAGCGCCCTTCTTGCTCCTTATCTTCTTCCCGAACGTCGCCTCATGCACGGGCACAACCTGCTCGTGGCCCGGGCACAGCGCCGATATGACCTCCTGTCTGAAGTCCAGCGCCCACGGCTCCGGCGGGGTCGGCTGCGCAAAGTTGTCCCGGTGCCGCACCATCGGCCCCCACACATTGCGGTACAGGTTGTGCACCGAACCCCCGGACCCGATGAACAGCGTCCTGTGCCGCCGCGCCCGCAGCGGCCGCAGCGCCGCCCCCACCGACACGTGGAAGTGCGCGTCGTACGTGTGGTTCATGCTGATCAGCGTCGTGGGCGGACAACCGGCCGGGAACATCCGGATCAGAATCAGGTACGTGTCGTGGATCCAGTCGAACTTGGGGTCCGCCGACGATGGGATCCCCGACGCCGCCAGGTGCGACTGGATCGTGGGAACGAAGTCCAGATCCGGGTTCAGCGCGTAGTTCTTGTATTTCGACGGGTGCACGTAGGCCACGGGCGACTTCTCGGGGCTGGGGTTGGCGGATATCAGGATCCCGGGGAGCGAGGTCGCCCAGTGTGCGCCCTGCCGTACGTCGTATGTCAGCTTTCCGCTCCAGTATCAATAAATAATGTGGTGGGTGTCTTGGGGCATCTCGACTCACCATCATGACCACGTGTTCGATGCCGTTCGCCAGAGCCTCGTTGCCGCATTGCTCCCAGTAATCGGCCGAGGCGTGCTCCTCGCCCAGCATCATGGTCGAGCCGTGGGAGAAGAGGTGCACGGGAGCCATTGGCTCGTCTTTCCTTCCTACGGCCATTTTGCGTATGTACTTTTTTCCACTTCTTCACGTTTTCTCCGATTTTTAAGCGAGATGGTATGGCTAGGACGCCCGGGCGTGTGGAAGTAGGTATGCACCGTGAGACCGCCCAGACTTTATGAACGATCAACAGACGCGTCAACTTGAGCAAATACGATTCTCTATAACCAAGACGGGCTTTTGTGAGATTCCATTGGAAATATCAGGCACTTTGGTCTCAGATGGTCGCAGCATCGGCGTTGGACGCGAGAATTGCCCCCATGTTGACCTCAAACGTGCATGAGCTTGGTACGCAACACATATCTCGGTAGAAGTGGGCGCCCACTGTTTGCCGCTGCTACCCCCCACTCCGTCCCGGTCCCCGCGAACCCGGAGTTACCGGGGCGCAAAACAGATGGGCACGAAACAACGATGCCTTCCGCCTAGTCAATGCATATCCTGATGTGATAGTGGCATGCTATGGGTTCACTTTAGGCATCATTATTGTTCCTACCGTAGCGAAGGTTATTCGTGGGGCCGTACAGCTTTCGAGGTATCAAAAATTAACGGTCAGTATTGTAACCTAGCCTTAGGTTAGGCCATTGTTGCTAACTAGTGCTGCGGTTATGCCCACATGGTAAATTTGGGGTAGGTATACGCTACCAGATGATGCCGACTACCACAGTTTGGGACAGAAAGGTGCACAAATAATATTTCAAATGAACGAGATGAAACAATCATTTACAGACACTATTCAATCCAGATAATATACAGGCTGACAGAGTCTAGTGGCTGTCCCATGTTTACAATTCATCAATGCCTCCAACGCAAAGCTTGCTCAAATCCTTTCCTCCCCACAACCCATGCACCATAACTCACAATAGGCAGAATGCCAAAGAGGGTGATGCTAGCCATTGTTACGAACCCAGCTTCGAAGAACCCAAGTGACGCATTGCCAGGTTGTCCTGTCGGCTTCAGCGGCCTGACTGCCAGCGTCCTAATCGCCGAAGTTGTAGTCTTCTTGGATCCTAGAAGCAGCTCCTCTGCCATCGCAAATGTCTCCGGCGGCGCCTCAATAAACTGTGGTCTCGCCTTTGAGAACATGTCTTTGTTGTACCTGTAGTAGAAATCTGCATCATGTGCAACAGGAGCCGCTGGCCCCACTAGCAATTGGACGGGTATCTGGTTGATGCAGGAAACATGGCACGGAAGATGTTGAGCTAGGTATTTGGCAGATCCGGCGTCAGCGAAGAAATAACCCGCCAGCAATGGGCTTCTACTGCAAATTAGCCTTGACGACGAGCACAAACAATAACTGGACCTACTCAAATTCCTCCGTAAAGATGGCATCGACAAGACCTGAGACACTGGCAATAGGGAGATATCTTCCACTAATCTTCAGATGCGCAAGCGGCGATGTCCTACGAGCACATGTTAGCAACCGAAACTTTCCACTCGAAAGCTTGAGAAGGATTCTTCATACCTATCAGATACATCCACAAGCTTAAAGTCATCCGAGCCGAAGCTCGACACTTGCTTCTTCTCCTCCGCATCCCTGACCGCTTTACGTGTGGCTTCGCTCTGGTTCCCACTGACCTTCTTGATGCCAGATTCTTTGGCAAACGCCAACGTAGCATATTTTGAGCATGCTTCGAAGAACTCCTGCTTCACGAACTCGTTCACCAACACCAGATCAGGTGCGTACGGCGATGTACCGCCAAAGCTAAACCTGGCGTTGGTAATGGCCTTGGCAGCCGCCTGCACATCTGCCGTCCTGTCTACGACAGCGACCGTGCGTGTAATTGTAGCAGAGAGAAGCTGATTAGTTTTTGTATTCGAAGCAGCACTGGTCGTTTGGTCAACTAGCATGGCCGACTCGAGTATCGAGAAATCTTTGATCGTCTTGCTCAAACAGAACGTGTTCAGATCCAACGCATCTGGGAGGATCTTGCGCAGGACCGAGTCAACTTGGAGGAGCGTGTCTTCGAGCTAGATTATTTGCATCAGCGCTGTCTCACGACACTCTGCGAAAAGCGCTTACCTCAAGTATAACACAATTTCCAGCCGCAATAGCAGCGGCCAGGGGCGCGACGACGGAATAAAACCGAGTGTGACTCGTGGGTCGGATGATAACCAGTCCAACACCCAGTCTGCGCGTCGTATTATCCTTCCCCTCGGTCACAGGGAGATACTCCTTCTTATGCTCTTCCGCGAAGTCTATTGTTTCGTACCAGTGTCTGATCGTGTCCATTGCAAGGTAGTATTCAGTTTCAACTTCTGCTGGAGATGCTTGAGAATCTCGGGCTAGAGCACTGCATACTAGCCCGGCTTCGTTGCGTAATGCAGCGTGGAGGCTATGGATCTGGTTTTGGCGGTAGCGTATGTTCTCTGTTCGGCCGTCAATTACGGCCAACTGCAGCCTCTCGATTGCGAGTTCCTGGGACGCCATGGTGGATAGGTCTTCTATGGGTTTCCCACTGAGACTATTGTGGTGTTTTCAGCAAGTGCAATAGAAGTCGCAACAGATTGCAACAGATTGCAACGATCTAGTCTTTGCGACCAGGGAAAATATGTGGCAATCTAGAATTACTTCCGAGTATCATAGCTCTCTACATCGGAAAGTCCGCTTCGTATCACGGTCACTTACCCCAAACAATAGAAGCTGGGGTATGCGCTTCGGTAAGTGGGGTGTGGATACCTGCCCCCAGACACGACTCCAAGGAGCTTTCATCCTTGTCCACGGACGGACCAAATCCGAGGGAGTGCTCGGGACGATCGTGCTATGCTAGCCTGAGCCTGATGACAAGTTCCTGCATTGCGCGCCCAGAGCTGGCTTTGAGTAGGTTGTCGCATTCCGGCGACCTAGACTCATCTCCCCCCGTTTGGTAAAGAAAGGTCAACACCAAAGCCCAAGCATCGCGAACTTTCCTCTACAGCCGTCGCGTGCGTCCTTCTGTATCAGCAGGGTTTCATAATTCCAAGATGTCGGTGACGACGACGGATAACCCCGTGACCACCACCATCGCCTCGACTTTGCAAGACTACGAAATCCACCTCACGGGCGAACAAGACCTACCACCGCGACATGTCTGGGTGCCTCTGACGGATCACAATGCGCCGCCGGCCGACAACCCGGAGGGATGGCAAGACTCGTTCCGCGGCGTGCCCAACTACCGTCCCATCAACAGAGAACTCGACTGGGACTCGAGACCGTGGGGATCAAATGGGATTGAGACTGGCTTTGTGTTTTTAATGTTGCATGGTTGTTGGTTGACCGGGGTAAGTAGCGTCCGTTGAGGAAATTGACTGAACGATATACTTCCCAGATAGTATGTATGCTGACTTTATCTTTTTCTTTTTGCTCGACAGGTTACGAACTGGTTATGGAGGACTACTGGAGGCCGCTTTAACAAGACGTTCTGGCGTTGGAAGGTTGGAGGCGAGTTTTAGGTTGCCCTCAGTGCTGGTCGAGTTCGCAGTGGAGATTGCATACAATTCTAACCTTCAGTTACATGTTTATGCGTCACAATGCCCGTAACGCAGACAGCAAAAAATATCAGCTTATATTATCTCCTTTTTCTCTTGAAGAAGCATCAAAAATTTTTTTTTTTCTTAATATAACTGGTTGATGAACTCAATTCCCTTGATTCGTGTGGTCATTGACAAACTTGATGTTGAAGTTTTCTGCCTTGTTCCTCGTACAAATAAAGTGCACTACTTTCGAACCCCGACCCGCTGTATATTGTATTGTATCATCTGTTCACATCGCTGATTAGCCAAAGAAAACATGTTGGTCCTCTCGCTTGATCGATGCCAAACTCAAAGCCTATTAAAAGAAGAAATGAACACATCGGGTACATCGGCGCTCGTAAGTCCGTTCAATACGCCAGTTTCACCGAGTACTGAACTGAGCCGCCGTTGATGCCCCTCCCCCACCTGTCTTCCGGTACGCATGAATGAGGGGACTGACTGGCAACATCCGGGTGCACAATGAGCAACGCCGTGAAAGACATGAGAGAACTCGGCATTGATTGAATTTAATTAACTTTTCAGACCTTTATTTCCTGGCTTGTAACCACATCCTGGGACGAAGTATCAAGTACCCAGCAGACGACCAAAGAGCATCCCCTACACTTACACACACCCCGAGCGCCAAGATGGAAGTCCAAACACCCCCGATCCGTGACATCTCGTCCACTGTCGAAGACGCGGAGAACAACTTGATCTTCCACAAGAACGTCTCCATTCCGCTGAAGGCATCTAAACTTCCCATCCGCGCCAACGTGTACTTGCCACTGTCCGCCAAGTCCGGCGACAAGTTTCCCGTCCTGGTCACCTACGGCCCCTATGGCAAAGACATCCCTTACGAGACCTTCTATAAGGGCTCCTTCAGTCAGGTCAACCCGGAGCACCGGTCCAAGTACAGCGCCTGGGAGACGCCGGACCCGGTGTTCTGGACGCGGCACGGCTACGCCATCGTGAGGGCGGACGAGAGGGGCCTGGGGCAGAGCCCCGGATTCCTAGACACCATGAGCAAGGGTACCAGCGAGTGCTTCTTTGATGTGGTGGAGTGGGCTGCCGAGCAGGGCTGGAGCAGCGGCAAAGTCGGGCTCCTGGGGATCTCGTACTATGCCGGCACGCAGTGGCGAGTTGCGGCGCGGCGGCCCAAGGGGCTGGCTGCCATCATTCCCTGGGAGGGCATGTCGGACTACTACCGTGACCGCTGCCAGCACGGTGGCATCTTGTCCAATAAGTTTATCGGCTTCTGGTGGAACCGTCAGGTGCTGGTGAACCAGTACGGAAAGCCCGGCCGCTCGAAGCTTCAGTTTCCTCCCGATGGACCAGGTGCCCGTGGCCAAGAAGATACGCTCGAGGGCGATCTAGGAGAAGACGTCCTGACCCAGAACAGGCAGGACCAAACCGTCGACAACGCCAAGTATAAGTACCGCGATGACGACTACTATGCGAGCAAGGAGTTCAAGCTCGAGGACATCGAGGTGCCGCTTCTGAGCGTCGCCAACTGGGGAGGCATCCTGCTTCATCTGCGCGGCAACGTCGAGGGCTACAATCATGCTGGCTCGAAGCACAAGTGGCTCCGCTTCATCACCGGCCGCCACGATCTCCCCTTTTACTACAGGGAGGAGGTAGAAATCCAGAGGAGTTTCTTGGATGCTTTCCTGAAGGGCGATGATCGCGATGGCTGGACAGAGCCAGGCAAGATTGCGCCCGTGACCGTCACGCTGCGAAAGGGTGATGTTGGCTTCAACGATGCCGAGGCCGAGAAAGCTTACCCCAAGAGAGAAGAGGAGGCCTGGCCGATTCCGAGAACCCAATACACAAGGTTCTACCTAACTCCAGACCAAATTCTGTCGAAAGATAAACCTACCGTCACCGAGGCCAAGCAGGTCTCGTACAAAGCCCTAGGCTCCATCGAGAAGCCAGAACTCGTCCAGTTCGCCACCGCTCCGTTTGAACAGGAGACAGAGATCACCGGTCACATCACAGCGCACCTCAACGTTTCGTTGACGGCCGAGGAGGCCGCCGGCGAGAAAGACATCGACCTCTTCGTGACCCTCAGGCACATCGACACCAACGGCAAGGAGATACACTATACGGGCACCGCCGGTGATCCCGTGCCCCTGACCAAGGGATGGCTGAGAGTCAGCTTCCGCAAGGTGCACACGGATCACCCCAAGAACCGCCCTTACCTGCCGCACCGCGAGTACCTCTCGACAGACGTGCTCCCGGTCAAGTCCGCTGAGGTGTACCCTGTTGAGGTTGAGATTTGGCCCTCGAACGTCGTGGTCGAGAAGGGTGGTAAGCTGGTCTTTGAGGTGGCCAGTGGTGATACGCAGGGCTCTGGTATCTTCCAGCACTGCTCTGAGACAGACAGGTATGTATTTCAAGAACAAGTGTACCGACAAACATCATGCTAACTGGAACAGACCGTCGTCAAAATTCGCTGGACGGAATCATATCCATTTTGGAGAAAATCTGGAGAATTATGTCACTCTGCCCGTCATTCCTCCGAAATGAAGTTTTTAGGAGGATGGAAATTGTTTAGATAGCAATAAGCTGAAATAGTGAAAAGAGTTGCACAAGAAATTTACTTGGAAGATTTTTTTGTGTCTCGAGAAATAATTCAGAAGTATTCTTGAGTTGCGCCCTGAGCAATGATTATAGTACAGGTTATAATCGCGAATGTGCACTGTGACGTGAATATCGCCTAGCACATGAGAAATCCCCGCCTAGCTTGCTCAGACCCCGTAAACCATCAAGTTAAAGCCGAACTGCTGTGTCGATTGTATCTCGATGTATTACTGTGTTGCTGGAACTCTCGGTCTGGTTCGGTACCGTATATGGGGCATATAATTGAGTCCCGGAACGGCGGGGGCGGGGCTTACCAGTGGCAGATGGGCACCTTGGATCTTACACATATAACAATTTTCTCGACAACCAAGAAGAAATCTTGTATGAATCAATTGCACAAGATAGTTTGGTTTTGAAAAGACATGTCGACATAACGAGCAATGGCATACTCCGAGCATTTTTCTCTTGGCAACATTCCCTATGGAATTGCAACCACGATAAGTGATGCACACCGGGATAGAGCAGTGGTCACCCGGTTGGGAGACAAGGTTATATTTGTAGGGGATTTGTCGTTGGATGCAACGGATCAAGTGAACGCAGCTCTGAAGCAGGTGTGTTGCCTTGCCTGAAGGTCTTCAGACAATGTGCTGACTGTACCCTAGCCTACCCTTAACGAATTAGCAGCCCTAAGCAGGTCTGAACAGCAGCAGCTCAGGCAAAAGCTGAAGTCCGTCCTTTCTGATAGCACGGCTGTGAACAGACATGGATTCAAGCTGGCAGAAGTGGTGCTTCATTTGCCCATTACCGTAGCTGGATTCACAGACTATTCGTGCTCAAAGGAACACGTGCTGAACGCCGGAGAGGCCGTGTTTGGCAAGCGGTCCATGCCACCTGCATTTTTACATTACCCAGTCGGATATTCAGGCACGTCATCAACGATTGTTGTCTCGGGCACGCCAGTGCAGAGGCCGAATGGCATGTATCGGGCAGGGGAAACAATCGAGTTCGGTGCCAGCAGAGCAATGGATTACGAGCTCGAGTTTGCTGCCGTGATTGGAAAGCCAACGAAAATGGGCGAGAGTGTGAAGCTGGACAACGCTGATGACCATATTTTCGGGCTGGTCCTACTCAACGACTGGAGCGGTGAGTAGTACAACTAAGTTGGCTGGCCTCCATACTGACTACAGCCCGCAGCTCGTGATATCCAAGGACTTGAGATGACTCCACTGGGACCGATGAATGGCAAGAGCTTTTCGACATCGATTTCTCCTTGGGTCATCACGTTGGATGCCCTGGAACGTTTTGCGACTGCTGCTCCGACGAAGGAAATCCCAGTTGCTGCGTTTCTGCACGACAAGAAGGAAAAGCCAAGCTATAACATCGAGCTGCAGGCAGAGCTCCTTCGGGGTGACAACTCAACTAAGCTGTGTACTGCTAATGTATCATGGATGTACTGGACATTCCGCGATCTCGTGGTGCAGAAGACCATCAACGGATGCAATCTCAATACTGGCGATCTTCTGGCCACAGGCACAGTGTCCGGTGTGGGCGACGACGAGCATGGTTGTCTCTTGGAAATGACCAAAGGCGGCAAGGTTGAGTTTGAGATAGTTGGTGGAGCAAAGAGAACCTACCTGCAAGATGGGGATGGTGTTAGAATGACGGCATACTGCGGCGGTGGTGTTGGTTTTGGAGATTGCACTGGATTCATAACTCCGGCAAAGATAATGTAGTGTGCGCAGGCAATTTCAAAGGCAAGGTGCATGGGCAAGCTCGGAAACAGAAATGTAGCCCAGAATGTGCATGGTCTTTTTTTCATGCGACATGTACACTGACTCTCGCAGAATGTGCTTCTGGGCCAATGAGGCTCTAAAGGTTACTGTGAATAAGTTTAATACGAGGTATGCGGCCATGAGCATGAGCATGCACGCAATCGAGACCCTGGAGCTGGTTTGATTCCAGAAGCTTGGAGATGGCGGAGAAACCGGCCAGCCACCTGAACCAATCCCACTTTATGAGACAATTACACTCCATTATTGGTCCAAACTGTTTCCGCCCCAGGGGTCAGCTCAATGGCCACGTTCGCACAATAACTTTTTGGGGAGAAGCTCCTGTTGTTGCTCCTGGTTGCGTCGCTGGACTCTCCTGCTCCGCACTGGCAAAGAGTCAATTGAGTGTTGACTTGACTTGACTCCCTCCCACTTCACTCCTCCATTTCATTTCATTCCATTTCTCCTCACCTTAACTGTCACGGTAATTTCTTATCTCAAAATGGTAGCTCTCCAGTACTCGGTTCTCGCCGCTTTGGCACTTCGTGTCGTCTCTGTCTTTGCTCAGGAAGACCCATCTGTACGTCACCAACGCCAAACCTCGAGCTCTCCCTCTCCCTCTCCCCCCTTTCAGAGCTGCAGCTCGTGTGCGACGTATTCAAGCTAACCTTCATGTCACGGCACAGCCTCTTGACGAAGGCGCCGGTAGCCCTGGCAACTCCCCTGAACTCAATGCCGACATCATCGCCAGCTTCCCCGACGCCGACATCTTTGGTGTCAAGCTGGTCAACGGTCGTCCCACCAAGGCAGTCATTGAGATCGCGAACCACGAGGCGGAACCTATCCAGTTCGCCTTCATTGGCGGTTCTCTCAACACCCTGCAGCCTGTGCCCGCCGACGTTCACCCTTCGAGCAGCATTGTCCGCAACCTGACCACTGTCCGATACGATGCCATCATCCCTGCCGGCGAGACCCAGTCCCTGCCTTACTCCTTCGTCCTGGACATGAACCCTCAGGAACTCCAGCTTCTGTTGGGCGCTGTTGTCACTTCCCAGGCTGGCAACATCTTCCAGGTCACCGTTGCCAACCAGACTGTCAGCATTGTTGAGGCTCCTACCAGCATCTTCGACCCCCAGATGTGAGCCTGCCCCTGTGTACTTGCCATGCTATTGAAGGGATGCTTTCAGCTAACAGTATTTCTAGCATCTTCCTGTACCTCGTTCTCGGAGCTGCCTTTGCTGGTACTTCCTACTTCGTCTACAAGACCTACATCGAGGCTTTCTTCCCCGGCCAGCCCAAGAAGACCAGAGCGCCCAAGGGCAAGCAGGCCAAGCTCATCGAGAAGGAGCCTCTCTCTGGCGGCGAGGGTACCGCCACTGGTGCTGACTCGGGTTTCGATGCTAGCTGGATTCCCCAGGACCACATCAACCGGCCCACCGCAAAGCGCGTCAAGAGCGGTGCCGCCCAAAAGAAGCCCCTCAAGACTGTTCAGTAGAGCCAGCTGGCTGAAGACTCGGATACTGCCGCCCCTGCATCTGCTACAGTGAACTCGGGAAAGACAGGAAAGAGGAGGTCGAACAAAACAGCGCCGAAAGGGCACTGGGCCATATGTAACTTATCTCATGTGCAACAGTTGGGCGGGGAATTAAAAGCAGAACCGCCGGGTCGTGATTGAAGGCTGGTTTGCATTTGCGTATTTGTTAACAACATTATGACAAAGGCCTAAAAGAAAGCTATAAATCACCATCCAACGCCCCGTTCTAATAATATGATAGTCGTATGTATGCGCGCTCTGAATTCAAATTCCAAAATATGCAATCAACCCATGTCCCATGCACCGTATATGTACACGTTCTTGATACCCAAACTCATCTTGAATAATCCTCTCCAAATATAGTCGCATGATTTGGTACCTTGGGAACTCCCATCACAGCGGCAGAGCATTACGCGAGACGAGTTTTGACAGCTCGTCGCACGTGTGAACAAGACCGATCCATTGAACCCAAGCAGGTTCCTTGTGATCGCGAAACCATTCTTTCCGAGCTCATCTCCGAGCGGCCCCCAACACGCAGCGGTAAGTCACCAATCACTCCATGGAACCATTTTTGAATTCAGAAGTCGGTTGCCCTGATCATTAATCTATCACATATCATCCATCTATCCGTCTCAGAAATGACTCCTCTCATAAGGCGGCGAATACGGCGAATGGCTGCCCGGCGGACTCCGATACCTCTCCGGAATCTCACCCCCCGGCAGCTCCGCCCGGAACCCAGGCGTGAGATGACTGCCCGCGTCTGGCGGGTGATGCGGCGCATACAACTCCACCGGTCCTTGTCGCTGCTCCGTGCCCAGCTCCGCCACCGCCAGCAGCGGCTGTCCCGCACCAACCCCACCACCAGTAGTAGTATTCATCGTCGTCTGCTGCGCGTCCTGCGGCTTGTAGAATATGCCCCCCATGCCGCCCGCCGCCATGGTCGAGTGGGTCCCGATGGGCGACACCGTGTTCCAGCCCGTCGACGCGGACAGCGGGATTGCGCTGTTCTCCGGATACGGACTGTGCAGCTCCTGTGCGGTGCTGCTGGTCCCGAACGTGCTGCTGTATTCCCCCGGCAGCGGCGAGCCCCCCGTCTGCGTGTATGCGCCGCCCGGCGCCGGTCGCCGCCGCCGGTTGTACACCCAGATGAACACAGCGCCTAGGAGACACAGGATCCCCCCGATCGCTATGCCGGCCCCTATGCCGATCTTTGCGCCCGTGGACAGGCCGGCGCTGCCTGCGGCTCCTGTGCTGGTCGGACTACTCGTCGCCCCCGTCGTCGTCGTCGTTATGGGGCCCCCTGTGCCCGTCGTCGTCGTCGTCGTCGTCATGCCTGTAGTGGTTGCCGTAGCCGTCTGACTCGTCGTCGTCGTCGTAGGCGTAGCCGTTGCGGTGGCCTGGGTCTCGGTGGCAGCGCTCGCCTGGGCCAGGAAGGCAGCCTCGCCCACGGTGATGATGACGCCGGTGCCGTCGCAGTTGTTCTGCAGCGTGGCGTAGACTGTCTTCAGGTCGCTCGGGCTCTCCTTGGACACGCACGACGCGACGTTGTAGATGAAGTTGCCGCCGTTGGTGCACAGGCACGAGTTCATCTCCTGACCCGTGTCGCCTGTGCACCCGCTCGCGTCCGCCGACGAGGACATGCATGATTGCGAGCCCGCCGGGTAGGCGCTGAAGTCGTTCTCGAAGGCGTGGGTCGGGGCCGGGGTGGTTGTGAGCAGCAGCAGGAGCAGCGTCTGCAGTGGCATGGGAAGTGGTGTGCCTCGCATTGTGCCCGTCCTGACTTGACCTAGAGCCGCCTGCCCAGGGGTCGAGTTCAAAGGGTTGTCCTGGTGGAGTCCTGTCAACTAACTATATTGGTATGGCATACGACATTACGCAGAGAAAACTTGGGCAGATTTGAGGTACAGGATAATATGGAGTAGTGAAGTATAAAGCGAGTGTGGATCAATTGATTGGTTTCGACGGATGGGAAAATTGACCGACCAAAAGATCAGAGAGAGTAAATCCAAGAAAAGGAAAATAGCGAGTGTATTCCAAGTTTGTTGTTTTCGATGTAGACTAGATCTTCTTAACTTAATGGACAAGGTTTAAAGCCAAAATACGATGAACCCACCCCCCCAGAAGGGACAAGGGAAAGCTGAACCTCCATGACAGAAAGGCTTGGGACTTGGCGGAAAGCTCACCCAGATCGCTGGACCTGCAGCTGAGCTGGAGCTGGAGTTGGCACAGGTAGCAGTGCCAAGTTTAGTTAGGTGCCTGCACTGCACAGCAAGGCGCAAGATTAGAAGGGTTTGGCGCCCACCCGGCCGCTTGTTTTGAGTTGCACGCACATTCAGGAGAAGAGCTGGGAAGTGGGCGGTGCAGCGAAAGGGAAGGTCTGGAATGCGCTGTTCGTGTGTCCCATTTCTCCAGGTGCGAGAATGCGATCCATTCTCCGCTATGGAGATTAAACCAGCTCATGTGATCCTTTCGGACACAACGACAGAAAAGGAGCAAGACACTAACGGGTGCTAGCGGACTTCAAGGGGCGCTGATTCTATTTATGGGATTCTGCAGGTTCTGACATTATGTTCTTATAGGATTTTGACAATGAGGCTCAGAAGACTGGTTTGAGCCTCAATTTCAAAAGTCATCGACGGTTGTTCTGGGATAGAACCTTTATCCCCTTATTGGACTCAAATGTCGAAACTACAGATGTCGGAACGACGACCACGATCAGGACAACCCCTTTAGTCTTCACTGTTGGTCTTCTGTCATCGATGTGGAACTCCAGATAACCTTACGTTAGAAATATTCAACTGCCGACTTTCTTACAAATTGAACTCAATGGCACAGCACTTACCTAAGCTTATGCCTCTGGTAGAATCGAAGCCCTTGCAATATCGACCTATACGGTACCATGATCAAAGGGTGTTGATGGGTATGGTGTCATCATTCCAAAAACAAAAAGAATAAAAAAAATAAAAAAAAATAAAAACTATCATCTTTTCCCTCCCTCCTTTCTATCTTTTCTTTTTCCTTACGCCTTACGAACCATGTCAATTCGACGATTTATGAATGTCGACTAATTTCAGGTACGGATGCTACGAGGTGCAAGCAAGGCTATGCAGAGCTCTCGTCAATTACCACTCAGCTCGACAGGAGGAACTGGTCTCCAGGGACCTTCTCCTCCTGCGTCGCGTGACTGTGCCGACTTACTCGCGCATGCCACCAGCACAGTGATTTGTCGTGAACCTTGACATAAGCAAACGATAATAAGCCCATCCAAGTGACGACGAGATCAGTTTGACGGGGTCGTTTCCCGAGCCTGGACGAGGCCTACCTAGACCAGTATCTTCTCTCAACAATGCCGACATGGTTGTATGTGCTCTAACTAGATCAAATGAAAGATTTCCCCATAGATGCTCATATCTTTCATAGTTTTTGTTTTCACCTCAAGTACGCGAGACTTCCTCTGATATCTAGCCATCTCGATCCCAAAGATTTCAAGACTCTGCACCGGGTTTGCATGGAGCGTGCCATTGTTTCCATCTCTCAAGACAGATGGATCTCTGGCTATTCCTTGGGCATCTGAAACTGATAGACCGGGTATGAGTGTTCAGGAAACCTCCCATGAATTGCCCCACTATCCACAAGGCAATCCAGCTCGCAGCTGGCCAAGAAGTCGAGGCTGCCCTGAATGATGAGAAGATTGGTCGCAGTGTCTTGGAAGACTTTCGCTATAGGATGTCTACAGTCCAGCTTGATTTCCAGTCATTTGTCTGCCGATCCAAACAAAATCAACAAGCCATATATCGAATTAACGGATTATTTCCACTTGAGGCGTTACAACTCGAATCTTGATGTCGCCCAAGAAGCTTATTCCAACGTTTGTAGAAGATCGAATAAAACAAGGATATTTGGCTCGTGATGTTTGGCCTCGCCCTCAGGTGATAAATTCCGATTGACACCACATCCAGTCAAGGCAAAGATCGCTGCTTTGAGATAGGTTAATGCGATCTTCTTGAAACCACACTTCGTCACAGTTCCGGCAGATAGATCTAACTCTTATTATATCCTGAACCTCCCATTTATCATAGGGCATACGTCGATGTGGATTGCGACAACTGAGACCCGGCTGTTTCTTTCAGGTAAGTTGCTCTGATTGATACAGATGGCGCTCACCCATAGCATACGTGTCCTTGTCGACATATCACAAATGCCTTGGCACATCATCAAGATTGCTTGTCACTGAGATTGTGTTTGCGCGCTCGATCCGCCACGGACGATGTCAAAGCCGGGTGGTTCAGTGGAGCCCCGAACATAGGAGAGAGCTTCGTATTGGCAAATAAAGGCCTGCTTTGTGTCTCTCACCCAAGAGGTATACCATCTTCGAGGTCTTGCGCTCCTGCCGCATCCTCCGGCGACGGCACTTGTGCCGTGCTAAGCCTTACGCAAATGCCATTGCCGAGGGTTCCGGATAACAGGTCAGTAGTCGTATATCAAAACCATGGCTATCCATCACTGCACATGTGTAGGTTGTCATTTGTTAGAATTACGAGAGACTACGTGTCACGACGTCGAAGCAAATTCTGCGAAAATCAACGTTCACGTTGCGTGGATGCATCTCGCTTAATAAGGGCTTGTTCGCAAGGCTTTTCCTGAAACCCCAACTCACGTTATGCTGCCTGCATGTGCTGCACCGTATGGAGCTGAAGCTAAATGAGGACTGGTAGCTAGCGTGAAAAGGCATAGCAACCATAAAGCATCGTTGCTGCACCTGGCGCATCCAGCAACACGAATAATTGATCGTTCAGAGTTGTAATTTATGGCGAAGGCAACCTTTAGCTTCTGCCCAGATCATGGGCCCGTTATTGTGAGCAACTGTACTGGCGTTGGAGAGAAGGACCAAGACCACATCTCCGACCGACGCTCTCGGCCTGGAATCAACCGCTCGCCACCTTGTGGAACTTCCTCACCACCCAAACAAGGGGATATACCAAGCGCACTCAGGGCACTTTCGACTCATGGCGAGTCATTATGTAAACTAGGATCTCTGATTGATCAATCACCAGAACAATCGTCGGCCGTTTGACCAAACGGGGCGGACTGGGGACTAGTCCAGCCCTGTCATTCCCCATCTCTAGCATCGAGACCCCTGGAATATGGGAAATAGTGGATTCACCAGCGACGGTTAATGCCGCTACAGGAAATATCCTTACGATAAGTTCGAGGATTATCATGAATGGCGAGCATGTCGCCCTCTTTTGTTTCTTCCCCGCACGTCTAATCTGGTGCAGGAAGCTTTCGTCGGGACCAAAGATGACGGGCTTTTCTGTTACAGTTCAGAGCATCGTCACCCTGGGCGCCGCCTGGGTCGTGTTTGAGCTTCTGAAGGCACTCTATAATATCTCCCCACTTCACCCGCTACACAAGATTCCGGGTCCGAAACTCGCGGCGGCCTCTTATCTGCTGGAGTTCTATCACGATGTCGTCCTTGGGGGTAGATACACGCACGCTATCCAGCAGATGCATGAGCAATACGGTAAGCAACAACTACCATTGTAGACTTGACAATGGTGGCTAATTAAATCGGATAGGTCCCATAGTTCGCATCAACCCAAATGAGACGCACTGTAATGATGTTGGCTTCTCGGACGAGATCTACGCCGTTGGCGGCAGAAAGAGGGACAAGCCCGTCCACCAAATCAGCGGTTCCGCGTAAGTTCTTTCCTCTATTCTCCCATTTGGGGGATGACAAAAAGGTTAAACTGACCTCACTTGACGAGAATAGTGCGGGAGCTGGGAACTCCTTCGGCACCAAAGACCACGACCTGCACCGGACCCGGCGCGGGCCCGTGGCCAAATTCTTCTCACAGGCCATGATCGCCAGGCTGGAAGGAGAGATCCACGGCATGGTGCACAGACTGTGCGACAAGCTGCTCGCGGAGGCTGGCAGGAAGGAACCCATCGATGTCGCTATGGCATACAGCTGTTTCACCTCTGATGCCATCTTCGGCTACTGCTTCGGCGAGGAACAGGGCTTCCTGCGCCAGGAGGGCTGGTATCCTAACCATCGGGAGGCGACACTCGCCGTTCTCAAGCCAGTCTTCTTCCTTCGGTTCTTTCCGGTCTTGGCCAAGTTGCAAGACTACGCAATTCTGTAAGCACCAAACCATCTGAATATCACATTGGCCTGGCTAGTTGTGAGGACTGACAAAAATCCAGGTTCGTCGACTACCTCCCTGAGGACGTCGCTCTCCTCCTCCGCTCGCTGAAGATCACCGTTCCCGGCCTCGTCGCCAAGACCAAGGTAGATCTAGACGCCGGGATCCGTCATGAGCGTCCAACTGTCTTCGTCTCGCTCCTGGAGTCCGATCTAGACGCTGATGAGAAGTCACTAGACAGACTTGCTGAAGAGGCCATCACCGTCGTCAATGCAGGCACCGAGACCACGAGCTGGGCACTGACCGTTATCACCTTCCATCTGCTGAGTAAGCCACAACTACTCTCGAGGCTAAGAAAAGAACTCGAAGATGCTGTCGAGAATCCGAACAACTTGCCTCCCTGGACTGTGCTCGAGAAGCTCCCGTACTTGGGTGCCGTGATTCAGGAAGGTCTGCGCCTGTCGTACGGCGTATCGGCCCGTACTGCGCGTGAGGCCACGCAAGAGGACCTGATATACCGCGGAGAATTCAACAAGAAGCCGGTTGAGCTGCTGCTGCCACGGGGCTTCGCCATCGGTATGTCGGCGGCCATCACGCACCACGACGAGAACATTTTCCCGGATTCCCACTCGTTCATCCCCGAGCGCTGGCTGGACGAGAACAACCAGCGGAGGAAAGAGGTCGAGCGCGGCATGATGGCCTGGTCCAAAGGTAGCCGAGCATGTCTTGGAAAGAAGTAAGTTATTCCACTAAGCCGGGGACCGGACTCCTCGAATGCCTCCGTGAGTTCTAACAGTTATTAGTCTCGCGCTTTGCGAACTTCATCTGAGTCTTACGGCTTTAGTCCTACGTGTCATCCCTCGCATGACACTCTTCGAGACGACAGAAAGGGATGTTATTTACGATCATGACATGTTCATTCCGCGCCCTGTCGCGGACAGTAAAGGCGTGCGCGTCACTATTGAATAGGATCAAAGACAGTAAAATAGGAATGATAACTCCTTTTTTTCACTATATAATTCTGTAATGTGTATAGCTGGCTGGCGCTGCTATTGGGCCGTACTCGCATCAGAATGTTGCGCTAGTAGTCTGTATCATGAAACTCTAAAAGTCATTATCTGCGCGAAATATACGTTGACCTTGGCCATTTCTTTTCTTCTTCAGGTTCGGTACATAAAACAAATTCTTCGGCCTATTCCATATTATAAAAGGGCTCGAAACTACACGATAACGTTACGTGTCCCGGATGGAGCGCTTCTTATCTCAGCGAAATGACAAGCGGGCAGATCTCGACACATTCTTGAAGATCCGCGATATCTATGTACCGGTCGTAATTAATATTAAAAAAAAACGTTTCGAGATTACGCAAGATCTAAAAAATAAATTAATGGTACTTGATTATTTGAACTGATTCAAGTCAAAAGTAGTTCCACACAAATTGAAGTACATAACTTAAGCTTAATTAACATGTTTAATGCTTGTAGCCTTAAGGGTAGAACCCATCCTGCTCACACTTTATATTGGGAGCATGGAAACCCGCCAGAGGCCCTTAAATTAGCATTGATGACTAAGGAGGAGCGCAGTGACCGTTATGAAGTGGTCTCAATCAGGCACTCGTGTTTCAATAACCCCAATTGCTCTGAGAAAGGCGTCTGCCATGAAGGCGCGAGCTTCCCACAGAAACAATCCGCCCAGACGGCCCGGGGGTGCCTGGTCTTTCCAGTATTGCGGCGGCGCACGAGTTCCTCCAAGAGTGTCTGCCCAGTTCATGATTGGTTTCATCCACGGGTTCAGTACAAAGTATAGGTCATCGGCATCCTCCACATTGTCGCCATCGTTTGCATCCGTGCCAGCAGCAGTTGTATTGCCAGCGCCTGAGCCTGGGACTGGCCCAGGCGTGATGCTTTGGTCGTTTAATATCGCTGATGTTCTGGGGTTATCTTCGACGCCGCGATGGGGCATGGTAGATGGCTGTACGCTCTCTGGAGCTACTATAATACCGGTCTGTTCCTCGATTGACCGTTCATCTCGCTGGCGGTTCGGTAGGATTTGACCTAGTACTTCTATGATCCCTTCCTCTCCGGGAGTGTTGCTATTGGCTTCCGAGTCCGAGCTCCTACCTCTCTCAAAATCTCGGTATCTGTAAACTGCGCCAATAACGCTCTCTGAGCTACGCTCTCCGGCGCCTCTCGATGCACGACCTCTGGCGATGTCGTTCTCGATCATAGCCAGTATGTTCCGGTACTCTTCATTACCGCGGTCCTTGCGTGTCCAGAGGTCTTCGCGCCGTTTAACAATCTTCTTCAGCTCGCGCACCTGCTCCTTGGACTCGGCGATCCGCCCAAGACGTTTGAGGCACTGAGCTCGTCTTGTCGTCATCCAGAGCCGTCGGCGCAAAGTGGTCCTTTCGTCTATGTTGACACCGCAGAAGTGGCCTAGGTCTTCGAAACAGTCGTCAATCTTGTCCAGCACATGCACTACCCCCTCCCAATCTCGCAAGTTGGTGTAAATCTAATCAACATGGTTAGTGTCATGTAAGGCTTACCGTACAGGTACCGGGTATTTCCTCACCTCGGCGAGCTTCTCGTATATGTCGATCTGGTTCCTGGTGTCATTTCCTAGAATGGCATTTCGAAGGGCGCAGTCCAGGTTCCTCTTGGCCTGCACCCTCTCCGCGACGGATGAGCCATTCAAGGCCCTGAAAGCCTCAACGGCGTTGTTCAACGCCTGGCGGCCGGGCGGGTCCTGCATTCCAGGGACAGAAGACTATTTTCGTCGTCAGTGTATAGATTTACTAATACTGCAGCTCGAGCACGTACCAACGCGATAGATGGTAGAGCTCTCTGAGTCTCGAGCAGGTCTATGGAGAGGCCTATCCCCCTAAAGGCGTGGCTTCGGCCCCACATGTCAGCAAAAGTCCTGAAGGCGTCAGGCAGTTCCATCCCTGCGGCGATGTCGGACCACGGCTGCAGTGAGGTGTCGACAAAGCGTTCCTCCTCAATAGCCAGCTCTATCTCGGCTAGACAAGATATAGACTTTGCTATTCGGAAGAGCGCCGCAAAACCATCGTTATTTCCCCCGTCCTCGATATTCTCAATCGACTCCAGCAGGGTCTTTAGTGCATGTTCGTAGAGAACCGCTGTCTCTGGTGACGTTTCATAGTAGTACTCTATTAAAAACTGGCAAAATATGGTCACGCGGATGAGTTGAAGGTCGGTTAATCGACTCCTACGAACCATTAGACCGGCCATGACCAGATTCTGAATCGCCTCGTTGTTTGTAGCAACAAATTCAGGGACGATCCGCTGCAGTGCAGACAGCGTGAGGTCAGCGAACATGTTGACTGCATGCGTCGGCAATTTGCTGTTGAAGGCATTGAACGAGCACACGATCCAGGGAACGTCAAACATGTAAGATTCTTCATCGTCAGTGTCGATGTGGCCGAGCAGGTGATGTAACACGGCCATAAGATTCTCCCACTCAGAAATGAGCTCCTCCAACACAACCACCTGGCTTCGGATCCAATCTATGCTTCTGTTATGGTAGTACGCAGCTGCGCTGCGCCAGCTCGAGTTCCAGCATTCCACGGACATGGGCTGGTTCCGAACGAATTGTGAGAACAAGGGATGGAGAAATGTCGCCGGTAATTGTCTTTCATCACCCAAGACTAGCTTTCCAGCTTCCTCGAGTGAAAGCGTGACGGCTTGCAGATTGCGGGTAAACTGATCTCCTTCGGAGGGTAGGACGTAGTCTAGATATCCCTTTGGGACGGAATGGGTAAAGGGAATGAGAGCTATCAGGAAAGTATTGTGCGACTGAAAAATATTTTTCCATCTGTCGGAGAGCTCCTTCACGCTGGGGTTGTCCCAGACTAACTTCAACCTCGCCGTCTGCAGAGCCCAGTATAGTTCCGAAGGTCTATAGCCGATCTCAGCTGATAGAACGGTCTCGATGGCCAAGGGGTTCCGGCCAAGGGTCTTGAGTATGCATTGATCATACCAGAGCGCAGAGTATGAATCGCGCCCTATCAAAGAAATTGTGGATTTGTCACCACGTATCTGGCGAGCGAATGCAGATGCAGATGGGCTGGGTAGCTCACCCAGCCTGCGGGTTCTACATTCTCGTCCGGTTTTCTCATGGACCTTTTTGCGCAGCGATGTCAGCTGTGTAGTAGACGAAACCAGAACAAAAGAAGGCGTTTTATTTTCATCTGTGGTGTCTTTTGGTCCAATGAACATGGCTAATAGGTCAGCCATCCAGGGAAGTTCGGTTTCCAGGTTGGATACAACTAGGATACATATATGCTCGGATAAGTACCTGAGCAGGCAGTCTTCCGTGGTATCAGGATGTGACTCGATACTTTCCCTTGTCTGTGAAGGCGGAACAATTTGTGCGCAGATTATAGCAATGGCGCTCCCGATGGTGCTGACTGCTGGCGAGCAGCTCAATTGGAAAATGCGCTGGACAATTTTGGTCTCCTCCAACCAATTGCTCAAGTCATTTAACATCGCACGCTTGCCTACCCCAACTGGTCCATATATAACGACACACCGGTCCATGAACAGAAGAGTCTCCAGCGTGAGCATGTCGGACTCTCGGCCAAGCAATTCTCTCCCTACCTCGACTCTGGGCGGTGCCGGGGGATCACGGGGGGTTCGTTCCAGCGCCAACGAGTGCCTGTGCAATTGAGGACCACTGACGTAGATTACAGGCAAAACATCATCATCTAGCGTCACATTGAGCCCAAACAGTTCGGAATTGCGAGTCCTGTCCGACCTCAGCGCCGCGCGGGCTTGACGTATCGCGCATGTAACTGTCATGGCCCTCCAGATCAGGTTCTCGTACAGAGATTCCATGAATATAGTTACGGCGGTTTTTGTTACCTTATATGCCATGCCGAGAACATAGGGGATGCCGTGATTTCCCAGCTGGCTCGCAAAGTTAGCACCCAGGCCGCGGCTAGTCGAGGCGCTCTGGCAGGCGTTCATCACGACTAGCTTTACTCGGTTGACGGCCAGCGCCTGTCCGATTTCATCGGCTCCGACACCGATGGTACGTTCAAGCCGGGTGTTGCCTTGCTTTGGCGGATCCTGAAAGAACAAGACAGCCCTAAGAGCGGATCAGCAATCCAGTGTCCTACACTCGAGCCCCTGGAGGACAGAGCAACTCACTTTCCGTTCTGAACAGCCCCGTGCAGGTCAAGCTGTACCATATCGTAATCCTTTCGGTGGAGGTATTGAAGGAACGCCTCCTTCGTCCCTGGGCGGGCAATGTCGACAGACACCGAATCGATGCCGGCCTGGTGGAGCTTGCGAATCAAAGGGCCGGTGGTTAGACGGGGATCGATCGAGTCGTCTTTCTTTCTAGCGACAACAATGAGAATGTTAGTCTGCTCCACGGTTTCTTTCTGAGTCGGCGTCCGCTGAAGGTGCAGTTTCCCCTGCCCTGCTGTTGAGACACGGAACACGTTAAATTGTACGTCGCTTTGCCACAGCTCCGGTGACTCCAGCGCTTCCCAGCGTAGCTTGGAAACATCAGGTCCGTCCACCACCTCTAGGATTACCTTCGAGAACCCGAGTGCGGAGATGTTCTCGTCATCGATGCTCAACTCGCGAAATAGAATACCTGATTGCTGTTTGAGATTTGATCGGGCCCGCTGGGCCCGCATGGAGTTCAACGGCTCCTCCTTATATTTTTCAAAATACCATTCGATGTCCTCTTCCTCTGTATCCTTCGGTATTGATAGGCTGCATCTTAATGGGAATGCAAACTCAAGGAAGCTAGGTTGTTCCCCTCCTGTCACGTAGTAAGACAGGTCAACGTCGACCTGATCGTGGCTGGAGAGGCGAGGCCGGTGAGCTTCTTCGATGTTGATGAACAGGGTGTCTCCCATAGTTACCTCGATAGCAACGACTGAAAATTGGGCAGATTGGGCGCTACACTCTCGGCAGGCCAACTTGCAGGAAGACACGCTGAATTTCGGGCGGTACTCTATATACAGCTAGACAGGCCTGCATTTAGTGCTCTACATGAAACCCAGGAGAACTTAGCGAGGACTCTCTGCCGCAAGTTGGCCTGACTCAGCTGCTGAGACAGCTTAGAGGACCCATGTAGTGGTGTGTTGAAGGCAATGCCATCGCTGGATCTAGCCAACTGGCCAAGTCTTGGCGCAATGGATTGCATGTGGCTTGAAGTCTATTCGTTTTCAGCTTCGCAGCCGCAGAACGTAGTAGATGGGGTATTGTTTTTAATTGTTACTTGGTAAGCTGTGACTTGGCCTGAGGGACCGGTAAGGGTCTAGGGCTTTCTCTTCTGCTATGCTAAACTGATCATGGCGTTGCCATCACCCGCTTGAAAGGCAGGCTCGCTGCCTGGTGGGGAGAAGACGATGTCATTCTTGTACGAGTCTTCCAAGCCATTCACGATGCGATCTTCCCACTCCTCCTCCTCCTCATCGGACGGATCTACGTTATGGTGTGAACACACGGATGTGCAATCGATGGGAGCTCTTGGTTCAGGCTACTTACCTTGACCGTGCCCAAACATACCATCGCCCGGTGCATTCTCACCGCCGCGTAGCTTGATCTGTCCCTTGACGAGCTTGGACAAGAACTTCCAAGTCCGGTCCAGCTGGCGGGAGCGCACAGCAATGATGTGCTCGCCGGCGTGCGTGGCTCTCCACCCGGCCAGGGCTTTATTGCTCCTTTTCCATTTCGCCTCCAGGGATGGGAGGTCCAAAGGGCCAATTCCCGCAGCCACGAGTGCTGCCTCCATGGCCTCAGTAAGGCAGATGTTAAAGGCGCCGGAGGACGAACTGGCGTCGAGACCTTGGCAGGTCACGTTGACGACGCTTATAAACCCCGTTATCATGTACAAATTAACGTTATCGTTTAGCCACTCCTCAGCTTGTGATAAGTTCTCCCTAATTGCTAGGATGTTTCGCAGGACCTGTTTCTCTTGAGGCAAAGAGAATATTCGTACTATTTGGCCGTGCCAACTGGCTGTGCTCGTCCGCGCCTTGGTTCTCTCCGCGCCTAGAAGCTTGTCTAGCTGTACCCGAGTTGCCGAATCAGTTGCCCGCTCGAGGAAGAGTGATGCATCCTGGGCCTCGATGTGAAATGGTTCCGCTGACTTGCTGTAGAACGGTGACGGGTCTTCTGGGACATAGTTGGACCAGGGCTGGTTCACGTTGTCACATATCCTCCCCAGTAGTACTTTCTGCTGTGTGCTGGGAATGAAATTCTTTGCATCTAGGAGTAGGAATTTCTCACGGCCAGTCATTCTGACGAGAGCGAAGGCGTACGAGGTTATTTTCTTAATCGTATTGTTGGTTGTCCGGACTGAACAGGTTTGATGTTACCACCAAAAGACATAACGACAAGAGTCGTCTCATTCTAGCACTATATAGTAGTTAAAGCAACTTGGGTTTCTGTCCGATTTAGCCTCTTCTTCTCTCAAGCTTCCCCAACCCTTGGTAAAATGGTAATGGTGTCATGCACAATCCTGACGCCCTCCACATAAACTTTAGGTGGTGAGCGTCATGAATGTGCGACGATAAAGTTAGGCATGGCCCGATTAACACGCACTATTAAAGGGGCTAGCGGGACGTTCGCTGGACGTTCGGCGGCGATGCTGTGGCTGGCCGCCCTTCGAGTTTAAGAGTGTCAGCTGCACAATTTTGCTCTTAGCCTAACGCCACTGGCGCCTGCGTTACTCCGTCCTAACGGTATCTTAATGTTTTATAGGTGATGGAATAAGACCGACATGGCACATATCCCATTCGAGACACTCATCGTGGACATCTTGCTGCCTCAACTGAACAACGCGCTATTCTTTGGTCAGAACTCGTGCCTAGAGTCAACGTGGTTTACTACAACGTAAAAGCTTCCTCAGCCTGTTGGATATATAACAAAAACTTATGGTAAGCTGCTCGCATGTGGAGGCGTAAGTAATCATGGAGGCCACCCTTGCGATATATTCATCCGATGAAGGTGAAGAGGTTGGAGATGTTAACACAGCGGCGCCATCCGAGGGTACGATGGAAACCATTGCAACCCACGAAGCAACAGTGGCGATAATGGATTTCGCAAGACGATATGTTAACAACGAGAACATCGTGAATACTGCTGTCCGAGGCGATTTGGCACAGCTGAGGCACTTAGTTCAGCGCAACGTGGACATCAACGTGCAGGATGGACTTCAGGAGACGGCATTGTTTGCCGCAGTCTGCCACCAACACGTCGACGCTGTCGAGCTTTTACTGCAAGCGGGAGCCAACCCAAACCTTACGTGCAGTAACTCCTGGAAGGCATTGCACGCAGTGAGCCGCAGTGGCAATGAGGGTATTGCAAGACTGCTGCTTCGGCATGGAGCAAACACTGAAGCCCGAGATAGCGTTGGGTGGGTCCCTCTTCATGTGGCCAGTCTCTACGGAAATGAAAATATCGTCGCCGTTCTGCTTGAGCACCACTCCAACCCGAACGCCAGAGCGGCGGATCAGAGCACGCCCCTTCACATTGCGGCAGACTTTGGGCACGAAGCAGTAATCCGGAGGCTCGTGCAGCATGGAGCCGACTTGGGGGCTCAGTGTACGGTGGGCAATACTCCGTTGCACGTTGCTGCAATGCCAAGACCCTTTCCTACCCAAGTCTGCCTGTTCGTTGAACTGGGGTCGAATCCGAACATTGCTAACAGGGTGGGAAATACCCCGTTGCACCTTGCCGTCCGCTCCGGCTTTAATGCTGAAGAGGCTGTGATCCCTCTGCTAAGACATGGAGCTGACGCTAATATTAAAAATGGGTACGGCTGGACACCATTATTGCTCGCAATCAGCCAAAGAAACAACTCCGACCATTTTCTTGATGAAACGGCCACCGCCATCATTGAGGAGCCCGCCACGGATGTAAATTCTGTCTCTGCTCTCTTACAAGGAGAAACGACGCCGCTAGTCCTCGCCATCGAGTCGAGAAACGTGAAGGCCGTCGAGTTGCTTCTGAGACGCGGCGCCACCTTTAGACACACTGTTGACCGCAATGGAACTCCTGTTGGCCCCGTCTTCCTTGCGGCTGCAGTCTGCAGTGGTCCAGCGGAGGCCGAGATAATGAATCTGCTCCTCGAACGGGGCGCAAATCCTAATGAGGAGGTTGGCGCAGGGATATCGGCGGTGCATGTCGCAGCGCTGAACGGAAATGCAGCGTGTCTGAGGTTACTTCTTAAACGAAGGGCTGGCACTGACCCAGGCAACGTTAATCATGCCGATGCGCATGGAAGTACGCCCATGCACGTTGCCGCAAGGGAACAGCAGCCCGAGTGCATCGAGGTCCTCCTAGAGCACTGCGCAGACGTAAACGCTAAAGACGTCTCAAAAGCTACACCTCTGCATATGGCTGCTCGGACTGCCAATGAGCAGTCAATACGGCTGCTTATGGCTGCTGGCGCCGACGTCCAGACCACCGAGATTTACGAGCTCAAGACCCCTCTCGATATTGTGCGCGATATGTACCATGAGACGAGCGACCTCTACCTTAAGAGCGACTATCTCACACTGCTCTCCGTGATGATTGAAAAGCTAGCGGAAAGGGATCCTCAGGCACGGCAGCTTGTAGAGGGCGAGATGCACGAAGGCTGGTACGGGGCACAACTTTCAAGGCTCACACAGTTGATAGATGACGGGACGCGGCCACGTGGAGCCGGCTTGGCGGTGCTTAGGCAGAGATATTACCCTGTTTCGATTGGAATAATGAGAGTATAACGCATTACGGAATGTAATTTAACAGATCATGGACCGGCGGCGTTTATAATAATGGACCGTGGTTATAAGCGCACTTCGTCGTGTATAGTTTTCAAGGATTGAAACTATTATGAGTCAATATAGCTACGTAGCCTATCACAAACTTGTCGTTTAGTAAGAAAACCTAGGACCGGTCCAAAGTTAAACGGAATGGATTGCTATCCACCACTATTTGCTTCATCTCGCCACCAGCAAGACCTAGAGATTCGGCTGGTGCCTTTGCTCTCGTACTTCTTGGCGTTGAGTTGCGCCTCACGTAACTTTTTATCTCTCGCATACACAGCAAGTATATTTTTTTCGGTAGAAGTCAATCGCAAGCAGCCCACAGTTTATCGAGTCTTTGTATGCACAGTCTATATTATATGAACTACCAGCCGTTGCACTCCAGAGCAACTCGTAGAGAGTAACTAGAAAAATCGGCTCTGTGCGTGACTTGGAGGGTGACCGTGGAGATTCTCGATCCGCTAGAGGGCTAAAGGTGCCTAAGTACAGCCCAGCGGTGATATATGTGGTAAGGAATCATGTATCATGATGATGATATGGATAACTGTCCATGCAATGCACCACTAACACATTTAACATGCAGGTCTGGTCACCTGCTCAGTCTATTGGTTGCATGTCGAAGCTGTCGTCATATTCTTGGAACTGCGACAGTAGGGTTTGCCGCTTCAGTAGGACGATCGACCAATTGATCGTCTTTATTTCCACCTCATAATACTGCATGGTTAGTTAAACCTCTGGACTAACATTACAATCATGTCTTCCATGGTTAGACTTGAAATGTAACTGGGAAAACACCCATCGAATTTCGGGGGGTCTGATAATGGCCAAGATTTTCCGACGATGTTATACTTCGTGCCTCATGTAGCACTCCAATTGGAGTCCGATTCACTCGTGTCCTTTCGACTGCGTCTCGGCTCATACACATTATTGACTACTTGTTCAAGAAACTGTGACCTGAATCCAACATAAACCAACAAACTCAAACAATTGTTGGACTCTTCCAGTGCAGCATACTGGTAAGACCAGCATTGAAAGCACAGCCAAAAAATTGGACAAGAAGTTCGGATCACCTCCTCTCAGTGCCCGCCACAAGTCTGAGTTTGAAGCCCCGTTAGCCTTGTCAAGACTTCCCTTACCTAGCACCGCTTCACAGCTGCCTCAAAGATCCTACATGAGTCCGTTCGTTAGATAAGCTGGGAATGCTAATCAGTAGTCCTCCAACCCCAACATCGGGTAAACGTCGATCTATCGCAATCTCGGGCTGAGTTTGATGGCGAGGGCATCGGGGATAATTTTCATTTTGTTCAGACTGGAAATGTCGATCAATATTCCGTCCCCGCTAGATGTTCCCTAGCAAAGATTCGGGTTGTACCCACCGCTGCAGATTCCGAGCTTGGACGATGCACCGCTGATCGTCTTAATTATCCTCTGGACTTGGGCTACACTTGAAGGTCATATGACGCAGCGCGGCTTCGAGCTAGCAGCATTTAGACTTACAATATCTGCTGTTCTACTAGCTGTTGAATGGTATGTGCGTTCAACGAGTTGAACATAAGCATCGGCAGATAATTACTGCACACGGTTGTCCGCACTAAATCCATTCGACAGTCCCAAAGCCCTTTTGCCCAAGTCGGCGATCTCCTAGAAATTGGGAGCGTAAGGGAGGGCCGTGAAGTATGAATGCAGAAATGCTGCCTCCTAATGGTCTACGTACTCTCTCATGTAGTTCAGCTTTCCTTCCTTGGTACGAGTAGATAACCGGGGCGCAGAGGACGCCAAGGCCAAGAAATCTCTTTGATGATTATATGAGTGTAGTTCTGCTAAAGCAGGGACGTTCAACGTAGAAGTCTCTGAGCAGGCAGTTTCACAGTGTTCGCCTACCTCTCTCAGCTGGATTTGAAATTCCATGTCGTGCTGAGACTTGAAGTGGCAGCTCGGTTGATTCGTATAAAACATAATGATAGAGTCCATTCCCGCCTCAACATGGAATGTCTTGGTTGCGGTGTCACCTAGGTTAGTTGAGAGCAGAGCTCAGGCGAGATGGCTGTGGCAAATGGTACCAACGCGAGAGCCCATAGAACAAGATACAACACAGGCGGGCACTATTTTGAGTTGAGGAACAGATTTCACAGTTTCCAATGATTCTGTTGATAAAAGAAATTTGTACTATGCATGAGTTCTTAATGAAACTTATACTTGTGTCTTCCCATCCCAGTTTGATGTTTTAAAGCAAGACAATTTAACTAGCCTCCAGAACGAGCTGATAAACTGTCTTGCCTGTTAGTCATTGAGGCAGTCAGAATAGCCGGCATGGACTTATCTTAAAGCTTTTATAATTTGATGATGTGTTTCACAGTATGATTAGAGTGCCTGAGAACAAGCAAAGTAGCTCTTGGGGTAGGTCTTCGAAGCAAGCCATTGCCGCGATACGACTTTGGTCAGTTCGAAAGTCTAGCCTTGTGGCACACTATCTCGAAATCATTCATTCAATGAGAGACTATGGTCATGTGGAGATGCAGAGAATTAGGAAAAAAAAGATGTGAAGTGTGATTCAAAGAGATTTCAGGAGTTCGAGTACCCATACTGTTATAGGCCATCAATGCACGTAGAGCCAGCAGCAGTGCAGATTAATATTTCGGCAGCTCTACTCATGGTGAGCTGGTCAAAACATTATCATGGCTTCTTCAAACCCTTTCCAAACAACTCCGCACCAACCTCTTTAACAAGATCCTCTTGTGGAAACTGCCTCGATTTGGCAATAATGGTATCCTCGGCATCCATTGACCTTAGAAGGTCTATCAGTTCACTCCCCAGTGGGGCGCAGTAGACCAGGTATCCTAATGCCAGCAGCATGCCGCGAAGAGCTTCAGAGGATGAAGTCTCTTGCGCAATGGCTTCGAGTGCCGACGCGGCAAGCTCAACTTGATCGGATTCAGGGATAGCATCTTCGGATGTGGAAGCCCTTCTTTTCTTGCTATTGGCAGAGGCAATGTTAAAGAGCAGAGAAGCGGCAGCTACTCGGACGTTGTTGTGGCTATCATCCAAGAAGCTTGTGGATACTAGTTGGGTGATCGGGTTTCTCAATGTCGCCTGGGAGAGAATCTGATCCGGGTAAAGTGGGCTGGAGAACAAGTTACAGGCCATCTGCAGAGTTACTAGTCGTAACGCATAGGGGCAATCTGTTCCTCTATTGTTGGCGTAATCGAGAAGTGACACCACGGTCTTGTGCCCGGATTCTTCTGCAAAATAACCGCTGACTCTCACGTCAATCAAAGCGCACCTGAACAGGTCTACAACAGTGAACATGACTTCAACCGGGAGTTCACCACTGCGCAATAAAGCCGAGAAGCCTTGCAAATCAGGCATTGTAGTCTGTGAGGTTTAGTCAGCCTGCGTTGGATCTGTTGTGGTTTCAGAAGGAAAAAATGATTGTTCTGCACTTACCTGTGCTGGCCCTTCTGCCGCTCGTACCTCAATGAAGTGCTTCACCCCTTGGATGTATGTGTTCGCAGAGGCAGCTCCCATCTTAGCGACAAGTTTATCAAGAGGTGGTGTCTTGATATACAAGACAGGCTTGACGTCAGGATCAGCGAAATGTGGCAGACGGAGAGCTTCATGGAGGTGTCTTGGATTGACCATCTCAACTAGAAGACGGACAGTGCTACGTAGGCGGGCTGCATCAGCACCAGACCAGCGTTCCTGTTCCTGTCCATAGAGGAACGTGGCAATAGTGGGAGTAGCTCTAATACCATATCTTTGGCCAATGTCAAATGCTTGAGACGTGTCGACTTTGATCAATGTGGCTCGATCACCAAGCTCTGTCGCCAGTTGGTCATACACTGGGTACAGCACCTTACATGGAGGGCATGTTGCTGATGTGAAGAAGATGACGGCACAAGACGTTTTTGCCACGTCGAGCAAACTATCCAGCTCTTGTGGACTTGAAACGATTTTGACAGTTCCGGCTTTCGGGGTATGGCCATTCGTTTGCGCAGATGGTGCAGTGGCGGAAGCGACAGGCCTGCTCAGCGGGTCGCTTTGAATACCTAAAAGTCCACCTTGTTGTGCCTTTCTCGCTTGTACCATTCCTTCAAGTTGTGGCTGGAGCATCCTCCCAAAGGGCGAGTCAAGTACAGCCTGCGGCATATTGCTGATACGTTCAGGAATGCCGTTGCCCAGAAGGAACATGGCGAAATCATTGCTAAAGTTGTTGCAGTTGTGCCTGAAGAGATCATATGCGGCTGGTGTGAATATGCTTCGGAGCGAGTCGACATACTCCACTATGACCTCGATAGGCAAGTCTGTCTTGCCCAGGTGCAGGCGCTCCAAGGGTCTACCTAGATGTGAACTTCCAGGTCGAATGGTGTTGATACCACTGTCATATACATATTCGACTCCGCCAAGCTCAATCGAGGTATGATAGATGGCGTCTAGCTGAAATCCTAGAAGACTCATTGACATCTGACGGGCTAAGCCGCCGGAGAGGTCGTACACTAGAAGGTGCACATCCATTGCGGGAATGGTTTTGCCTACACGAGATGGCTCCCTAGGAAGAAAATACTGTCAATCCCTTGCTGATGGCGGCTGTAAAGTGCCTGAGACTGGTCCACGGGATGGGTCCTCGTGGTTGTGGGTGCCAAAATTGAAATATATGTAACGAGGTGGTCCGTTGACTCCAGAACTTTATGTGGCTGAAATGAGAACTCGACAAGGCTTGAGGAGATCTAAAATCTAGTCTAGTTGTGTGAAATCTGGAAGCGCGAATACCGTTACTACGAATGGGTGAAAGCATACGGCAAAGGAAATCTATTTGAAGTTATTGGGAGATCGTGTTGCAGCGGAAGGCAACTTTCGAAGTACGTCAGTCAGAGTCAGACAATTGGTCGGTGATAGAAGCCAGTCGAGTCGTATTCAAGGTGGCGAGATTAGTGGTCAAGTGAAGCTCTATCTATGTTTCTAAGCAGCTGAATTGCGGTAATGCAGCGCATGGACTGTCTTGATTGCATCTCTGTACAAACGTAAAACATGTTCCTTCCAAAATGATTATGGGTTTCTCGCAAGGGAATAAACCGTTGATGCATTCTTGTTGATTCTTGTCGGTAGAATTATTGCACAGAAGGAACGCAATTTGCCACTTGATCTCTCAAGAAGATATTCCTGTAGGTAGACGTTATTAAATCGCCAGAGCTGACCAAAGCATTGAAGCACAGCCATTGTGGCGTTGACAGTTTATTCTTCACAGGCTCCGATGGCGGTGCACGGGCAAGGATCCAGCATGCCATGCCCTGTATGCCAAGACGCTAAGTTACGTGCTGTAAATGGTAGAAAGGGGGAACGTTGTCCAGATTCCGCAGATTGCGAGCGGAGAGGCCTGCCTGCAGCCTGCCTCCCTGCCTGGCGCGGTCAAGGGGGTGGCCTCTGCCCTGAATCTTCAAGGCAATTGATCCAACTTCGATAACGCTTGAAATTAGCCTGGTCTAGGGGAAAATCTTCGAGATTTGAACGCAACACGGGTGCATATGCATGCATTGCCTACAACTCCTTTCCCATCGATTCTAGCGTCTGCCGTCCCTTTTCTCTGTTAGAGTTGACTCTTAGTCGTTCTTGCCTCGCGTCCTGTCTTTTCACCATCAAATACTTCTGTAAGGTTTTAATTAACTTTGTTGGTCCCAAGAGCGACCATCCGCCTTCGGGTTCTTGCATTTCCAGCGCTTGTAATCAATCTCCTTCTTTCAACCCACCCATCGCTCATTCTCTTCCGCCCACCGCGCAGCGCATCGCCGCGCAGTCCCCGGAATTCTCCTTCTCCTTCTCTTTCCCACTGGAAAGGGGAACTGCGCATGATTGCTCTATGAGGAGAACTTCAGTCTCGCTGCCTACTAAGCAAGCAGCTCGCGACCCTCACGAGAAACCAGCCCGTTACGAGTCCGGTCTTCACCACCGGGCCAACAACCAAACCGGCATCCTGGAGAAACTACAGCAAGCCACGGGCATGAATCAACAGCAGAAGGCAAGGTGGCTGAAGACCACGGCCATAGTAGCCTTCCTGATCTTCTTGTTCTATTTCCTGTCCCCAAAGGGCGCCGATATCTACCAAGATGGTACGTCAGGTCAATTGAGAGGTCCACCCCAGGTTGAAACAGCCATCCGTAAATGCTAACTTCCATCACAGTGTCGACAAACCCATCCACTGGTGGGCAGACTCCCTCAGACTCGACCTACGGTACTGGGGCATGCACCAAGTCCTTCTCCAAGGACAAGCCCATCGTCCAGTATGTCTTGATGATCGACGCCGGCAGCACTGGTTCCCGTATCCACGTCTACAAGTTCAACAACTGTGGACCCACCCCCGAGCTCGAGAAGGAAGAATTTAAGATGACCGCAAAGAACGTCGGAGGCCTGAGCAAGTATAAGGACGACCCTCTGGCCGCTGCCAAGACTCTCGACGACTTGATGGCCGTCGCCATGGAGCACGTTCCTGACAAGCTCAAGGGCTGCTCTCCAGTTGCTGTCAAGGCGACTGCTGGTTTGCGTATGATTGGCACCGAAGCCGCCGACAAGATCCTCAAGACCGTCCGTGAGCACCTGGAGACCAAGTACCCATTCCCTGTCGTCTCCGAGGCCGAGAACGGTGTCGCAATCATGGACGGTTCTGATGAAGGTGTCTATGCCTGGATCACCACCAACTACCTGCTCGGCAAGATTGGCGGGCCTGACCAGGACCCCACCGCTGCCATTTTTGATCTCGGCGGTGGCTCAACTCAGATCGTTTTCGAGCCCACCTTTAAGGGAGTTGAGGGAAGCGGCATGCCCGACCGCCTGGCCGATGGCGACCACAAGTACAAGCTTGACTTTGGTGGTCGCAAGTTCGAACTGTACCAGCACTCGCACTTGGGATACGGTCTGATGGCTGCCCGCAACTCTATCCATCTTACTCTCCTAAATGACATAGCCAAGGGATACACCTCCAACGAGTGGCTGAACAAGCCCATCGTCAACCCTTGCATCAACGCCGGCCAGAGTGACAAGATCACGGTGGATGTTGGTTCCAACTCTCCTCTTGGCTCCGGCAAGATCGAGCTCAACATGACCGGACCCTCTGTCCCCGCACCTGCGCAGTGCCGCCAGCTTGCTGAGCGCATCCTGAACAAGGAAGCTGCCTGTGCCCTGGCTCCTTGCTCTTTCAATGGTATCCACCAGCCTTCTCTTGGCAAGACCTTCGCCAAGGAGGACGTGTACGTCTTCTCCTTCTTCTACGACCGCCTCCAGCCTCTCGGCATGCCCGACAGCTTCACCCTGCGCGAGCTCCACGACCTCACCCACACCGTGTGCTCGGGCGAGTCCCACTGGGATGTCTTCAAGAGCTTTCCCGACGCCCTTGATGAGCTCAGGGACCGCGGCGAGAGCTGTCTCGACCTGAGCTTCATGGTCGGTCTCTTGCACACTGGCTACGACATGCCCATTGACCGTGAGGTCCGCATCGCCAAGAAGCTCAAGGGCAACGAGTTGGGATGGTGCTTAGGTGCTAGGTATGTCTCAAACTTCTTTTCTCTGCGTTTTCTTACCTGATACCCGTTCCTTATATGATGATCCGCTCAAACATGCATGGCTTGCTGAATTTCTTGACCGGAACTCGTCTGTTGAGACACAGCACATACGTCTGATTATATATTTCCCGCCTTGATTGGCTTGTCACATGATCACATTTATACGATGGCTTGAATATGTGCTAATTCCTATCATAGTCTGCCTCTTCTGGCCAAGGGCTCAGGTTGGCAATGCAAGATCTCCGAGATCCACTAAGATACCAACTGTGACGATTTGAACGGGATGGGCCACTCTCATAGAGTGATAATGAAATCGATATGCCTCTGGTCTTCAGGGTGAAGTCCATTAGAGAAAAATCATAGCTTTTTTCTTCTTTTATTACGCTGGCGTTGGGACAAAACTTATCCTTGTACATATATGTATGGGCTCGTGTACGAGATCTCCTGAGGCTGGAGAACGAGTAGAAAGTTGCTCGATGTGCTTGTAGAAAACAGGAAATGCATTCATGATTATGAAAGAGTTCATCTAAAGGCTCAACCATTAAAAGCAAATGACCTGACCTGTATCGAATCCTGGCAATACCTGTACGTTTCACGGCCAAACATGACCAACATCTTCCGGGTAGGATCGCACATGCTCACAGCGTAGCTTAATCAGTACCTTTGTAACATTTACAAGCCGCAAATCTAATGTTGGAAAGCTCTAGAAGCTAAGCCAACAACCTAAAATGTAGTCAAGCAAGTGGTATTGGTATTTTGGTTTTTCTAAAGTGGTGACCCAACCTCACAGCCAGCCTGTTCTCCCCAGACCAAACATCAACAGTGGGCGGCTCACCGTCTCTTCACCACGTGCTCTAGTCGTGTTGTATTTGTGCTTCGCCGGCACTGTCATGTATCGTCTTAATGACCAGGAATGCATCATCTGTACTCAAGGACCAGTGGTATCTTGATGCTTCCCCCAATACCTCAAAGCGGCACGTCCACCATCTCAATGACGTCCTCCATGACCTCCTCCGGCCCGACGCCCTCGAGCAGCTGCTCGACGGCGGCGACCTCGCTGCCCCACTGCATGCTGCGCTCCTCCCTGCGCGGGTCCGTCACGATCCGGATCCGGTGTAGGTAGACCTTGCGCAGTGCGAGGGCGACCAGCGCGGGCGTCACGAAGTCCAAGCCGTGCAGCACCGCCATGCTGCGGACCAGCGTGTCGAGGTGCTTGGTGGCCTGCGGCGCGACCGAGCCCACGCCCCCGACCGCGCGGTGCATCCGCAGGAACGAGATCAGGTTCATTTGGTACCGCAGGACCTCGACATCGACGCTGACGGAGCACGAGGCCAGCGAGAGCGTCGTCACGTCCGACTCGGAGAGCAGGGTGCCCTCGTCCTCGTCCTTCCTTGGCCCTCGCCCGGGGCTGGGGGCGAAGAGCTCCCGGTGCGGTGTGCTAGCTCGGCTCGGTCGCCGCACCACCGAGGCGTCGCTGTCGGTGGAATCTGTCCTAGGCTCGGCTCCGTCCTCGTCGTATGTGATAACCCTATCGCGCTCTTCGAGGTGCACGAATCCGTCCAGAGGATCGTGCCAGTGCGCGAGGTAGAAAAAGTCGTTCAGGTGCTCCGTGAGCCGGGCCTCGCCTCCACTGCCGGCACCGAGGACGGCGACAAATAGGAATTGCTTCGGTGCCGCCTGCACGCTGGTTCGAGTGAATATGCGGCGGGTCCGCAGCAGCTCGAGGGCCTGTATCTGGACGACTTTGGGGGCCTTGTCGAGGTCTCGAGCCAGGATTATGTTGGCGATCTGCGGCGAAGGCTGGGTGGTTGTTTTGGCGGCAGCGGACAGCTGGGAGAGCGGGGAGAGTCCAGATGTGCGCCTCTGCTGGGAAGAAGACGGGTGCAGGGAGGAGTTGAAGTATGAGTCCTGCGCGGACGCCGTTCGTGTCTGTAGAGGTGAACCGGAGCTCGGAGTCGAGCTGGAGAGGAGGATCGAGGCGACGAAGTCATCGAGGGTTGTGTCGGGGGTGAGGGAGACGAGGGCGGGTCTGAGCTTAAAGGTTTCCGTTGCTACCTATTGCGCATGGTGGTTAATTATCTGTAGCATTTCCAGGCAAGCGGAAGAAGGGGCATACCAACTGCAGCTCTTCCACCAAGTCATCTAGGGCTTCGGGCTCGGTGCTGATGATGCAATGCTCTCTGTTTATGAGGCAGAGCAACGCTGCCAGGTCCAGGTCGCCGAGACCGTGGATCTTGGACAGCAACTCCTCATCCGCCATTGGTGAGAGATTTGGCGAAATGAGATGCCATGGGACAGGTGTCAGTTGCGACGGCCTACCTCAGATGGGCCGTCTAAACATGTAATCGCGATCAAGTGATGCTGGGTGGTCATGCCATCAAGGACTAGGAATGCTGAGAAGTGATTGATGGATGTCCGGGCCAGTAGCGAAGCTAAGCTCGTGCTCTCGCTCAATTGATGGGTGCGCTTACCAGCAGGTGCTAACCTTAGAATAGTTAACTTAAATTATGCATTGCAGTATCTCATACAAGTGGCCTGGGCCGTGGAGCTCTGGAGTGGGGCTACGTCACAATGATGTTGTCCACTATAGACATGTGCCATATACCACAGTTCAAAGCACCAGTCCATAACACCAGGGGCAAGTATATTGTATAATAGGTCTTTCAGCCTCAATTTATGCGATACGTGACTCTCGGACTCCAGCTCGCAATCTCACATCATGTCGCGAGCGCCAACTGTCCATGTCCCGACTTTAGGCATTCCAATCATTTTCCGCAGCTGTCTTTGCGTCACTTCGAATCCGGGGACCGCTGAGTGCCAACACTGTAGTCAGTCATCAGTGCCTCTTGTTTTTCACGCGGCCGGAAAAATAACAAAGAGGAGAAGAGGTAAACTCACTTTCCTTGCCAGAACTTTTGGTCCACCTTGTCCTCGCCCGCAGCCCCAGCACGATCATGCCTCTTCTCAAAGTCCGCGTTGTGCTGCTCGACCTCACGCTTCTGCTCCTCGCTCAGCCCCGACTTCACTCCAGAGACGGATTGATTGTGGATCTTGGGCTTGGGTGCGCCCTCGCCCTGGGGACCCTTGAGTGCCTCACCTCCTTTCACCGACCCCGTTGGGCTGGATCCCGTTTCCTTTGCCTCCTTGGATCGTGAGCCCCCCGATTTGGCGCTGGCCTCTGATGGGTTCTTCTGACCGCTGTTGCCGCTGCCCTGGCCCATATCTGGCGCTGACGGACCCGGATGCTCTGATGATTGTTGTGCCTTTGATGCTCCGGGCTGCTTCTGGGGGGACTCGCCCTCGGGGCTACCCTTACCATCGCCATAGCCCTGCTGCGCGAAAGCTCGAGGAGTGCTCGTGAATGTACGGTAGGTAGATGATGCTGCTGGAGCTCGGAGGCGAGCTATCGAGGATGCTGCTCTGAGAGCATTACTGATGCGTGGGGCGACCATTGTGTTGCTGTATTTGAGCTCTGAGTGTGATCGGTGGTATTATTGTTTCTGAGATCAAAGTGGATAAATTGCTTGCAGGTGAATGATTTAATGGGTGAAGTGCCAGGTTGAGCTTTCTGAGACATGTCATAGGGTCATCTTTACTGCGGCTCGATGATGAAGTCTAAATGACATCACTAGCAAGATATCCACCAACCCCAAGCTATGTATGAGCTCACTCCGGGCGTCACAGCTAGCATATTCGTCATGAGATCGACGCAACCTAAACTGTTTTATGGCAATTGAGGCTCAATCGCTTGCAGATCAGAAATATTAATCACTTGGCTCGATTGGCCGATTCTACTCAATGAGCACACCATCTCAATTCTCATTCATGTCCGAGGGGAGTCTTGGCACGAAAATCAACTATTATACTAGCCACTTATCCAAACCCAATTTTGACCATTCACAGACGAAAATATACAAATTATGCTTACCACCACCATTCATTTCTACAACGTCGTTTTCACGGCAAGACGACTTTGGACCCAGTCGAACTGCTGTCTAGCCTCCCATTGAGGTGATCTAGCTGGTTGACTTAGTAGCCCTAGACTAGAGTCAATCATATAGGGCTTCATGAGTTGGATTTGGGCATGACACAACCTAATTGTTTTTCAACTGATATCGACCAGATTGAAATTATTTCTACGCACTCTTGACCCATGCTGCACCTTGCATAAGGCCGCTATCAAGCCCGGAGCGACACAGGAGCCAGTTTCAGAGCCTAGGAATACACAAATGTAAGAGGCAGCCCTCGTCCTGAGATGCTGAGGTTTACCTCACCCGAATCGTTCAGCCCAGACCCACATGGATCAAAGATCGAGACCAGATTTCAGAACTCATGTCACCTGAGGGACTTGAGCGACGAACCGCAGACCCGAAACGATGTCTACTTTGGCGCGCTTGAAGGCCAGGCAACAATCTTTTCAGTTCTCACCAAACTCACGTGATATCATTTCATTTGTTGGACAGTTCAATATTCCTCCACCACTCAATACCATTGCCAGATCAGACCTATTCTGACATACACTATCAGCTTTATTTATGTTGCACCATTGCTTTTAATCCTCCGCCTGTGCATGCCTGATCCAACGCATAGGTTCCAGCATGAACTTACTCCTTGGAGTAGACTATTGACCGTATTATCTGACAGCAGTCCCCCAAAATACTTTACGTGTTTGTTGCGACGGGAATTGGCTGCTTGGCAAAATGTCAATGTCAAAGTTGGCCACGACAATTACAACAGCAAGAAACACCAACACTGACGCCAATAGCAAATACCGTAACACAGACGATGCCCTAAACTCTTTCTAGTCACCACCCCTGTTTCCCACTTAAACTGATGACGTTCATTCTAACAGATCTCTACGGAGAGAGATTGGAAAAACATATAAATTGATTTCGTTTACTTAGAAATACTTCAAAAATTTTAAAAATACTATGCTGTTGGAATATATTATTCGCGGTCTCGTACGACGGTTGACTACGTAGTATAGGTAGTCACGCGGCGTGCTAGCAGTAAGCCACCATAGCCACGATGTGGCTGTCGGCAGTTAGTAGCCGTACGGGTGAACCCTTAACCCCCCTATCTATAGACCACGTACGAGGGGAAGAATCCCTTCTTCTCCTTCGTACGATAGCGCTGAATAGATCTATTTGTCGCCCACACTGTACGGAAAGAATTGAATGGAGAAGCCATTCCACAAATTAAATATATAAATGTAAGTTCCAGAATAATTACTTCTACGCTAAAGTTTACCGATTTATAAAAGTCTTCAATTTATAAGCTGGTATATTCAGCAATTAAATATATTTTATAGAACTTAAGAAGCAAAATTTAAGAATATGTACTTATAAGCACAATGTTAAAATGGTATACTTTGCAATTTATTCTGGGTTTATATGAGGTGATTAAATATAATGGGTTTTAACGTGATCCTGGGGTTGGTGACCAGGTAAAATTCCAATTTTTTCAGCCTTCAGCCTCCGGAAAGACAGCAGAACAGTCACAGCGTGGAATGGAGCAAGCCGCTCGATTACACATATAGCCTGGCTTCGTGCGCCGCAGCACCAACAACAGGGCGGCACATGAAGCTTACCAACAAGTCCCTCCAGGGTGAAACCAACGTCGGTGGTTACAATGTCAGTGGCTTGGGCTTCGAGAATAGAGAAGCCTACCGAAAAAATTGAGGGATCTTATGTCGAAGACTTTTGTCTTTCCAACTTCTCCGTGCATATTCTCCCACAACTTCCCCAATCGTGAAGTCAACAGTCAAGAAGGGGCAACAATTTAGGATAATGACGAATCACATACTGAATTAACTGCTCTTCGAATTCTGCGAAGCTACTAATCTTTTTTTCTCAAGCGCAATCTCTTGGGTATCATAGCTCTTCACTTTACAATCTCGCTTTTCAAACCACATTCGTCAAGCGTGGATCTTTATGTTAATAGGGTTGTGTGGTGAATTGAGCATTATTTCGTCTCTTCTTCGTATTAATTACTATTGTGGAATGGCTTATCCATTCATTTCTTTCCGTACAGTTTGGGCGACAAATAGATCTATTCAGCGCTATCGTACGAAAGGAAGAAGGGATTCTTCCCATCGTACGCGATCTACAGATAGGGGTTTGGCCTATACGGCTGCAAGCTGCCGACAGCCACGGTGTGGCTGTAGTGGCTTGCCGTCAGTACGCCGGTAACTAGCTAGACTATATGGTCGTGCGAGACCGCGGATAACCATATTCCAACAACTATTGCCTTTATGTTACCACTTGCTCTCCAAGAGTAAGCTTGTCCTCATACATATCCAACGCACTTTCCATTTACAACCACAGTGCCACATGAAAATGGTGCTAGAGCGTGCTTTGCACGATATATTTTGACTTTGATAATATCAGTATCGACCTGACCTTGTGGCCAATATGGTTATTACCCAACCATCATATTTAGGTCATCTTGGTTGTATACGAGATAGCATGGCCAATCCAACCCTGAGACTAGTTCTGACCGTATACTAAACACCGTTCATTAGCTTTCAAGCTATCCTTTATCGAATGACTTACTTGTATTTCATCTCTTACATCCTCATGCGGCTGCTCGCTTTCCGTACACGGGATATTGTCGACCGTCTTACCTGGATATTATTTTGCTTGACGAGCGTGCATCTGCTCTCAAAGCTCGGAGCCGGAGTAACCAGCTACAATCAAATAACAAATTTTAACAAGAAATCAATGCCTAACTCTAACGACGGTGTTCTGCTTGACTCATATTTTTTTTGGTCAGCAAGCGCCAGACACTTGTTGGGCGCATTAACATCTACTGTCAGGTCTTTATATAGCATGACTGAGTGGTACATGCTGATATGAACTATTCACTTGCATTTTGCTTGAGATGTATCATCTATTATTTGGTAGGTTACAGCCTCCGACTCCGGAATAAAAGAAAAGCGAGGTGTGGACGATCACTGTTGGGAGATAAATGTCTGTGGTAGGTCCACATCCTCCAGCAACAGACAAATGACATGAATGTTATTGCCAATGGTCATCGTCCTCTGTCTGTCTGATTCGGAGGTCTGACCGACACTACCATACATTCCTTCACATTCGCGCCCTATATTCCTACGTATGAGCATGAAATTCTTGCAAACGTTCATACACCACAAATCTGCAACAATGGCTTCGTGAAACGTCCTAGCACAGTGGCATCATTTTCTCTCCCTGAATTGAAAAATCTTATCGAAGTTCAAAGTTTCAGCAAATGCATCCTTATGAAAAAGAAATATTGTTGCCATGTGAGGGGACGTGGCATCGCTGAATCATCAAACATTATGAGAACACAAGGCTGACTTCAGAGCAGCTGGGGAGGACACGGTGCCAAATTGACCTACTAGGGTTTTCCTAAGCCGTAGAACACTGCAGCAGTCAGTAAGTGATGTGGCATTTCGGTGTCTTAGGCATATTTCAAATTGCCTCCCATCCCAACAAGTATCAGTCCCGTCCAAGGTTTTCGATATTACCATCCTCTCAAAACATCAGTGAATGCCCTAAACCCAGTGAACAATGAACAACGCAGCCTTACCCCTTACTTCGTTCATCATGGCGCCCCCACTACCTGTTGAAGATAGCCAAAAGGGTTCTCGATGCCCAGATCATTGATACTGTGCCTAGTAGATCCAGGAAAGTGAATTTTACGGATTACAGTCGGCTTACTGGAGACAATCGAAAGACGCAGAAGGAGATAAACACTAAGTAACAGGCATCATCGAAGCGAACAACTTCGACAGGTGTGGTGGTGCCGCTAAATGTTGCCAGCAAGGCCAGTGAGAAATTTCAGGTTTATCCATGAGTCAAATCAATCAAGCGCTGTTCAAACATAATGATGAGAGTGGGATAGACAGCTATTCCGACGCAAGTTTCACTGTTTAATTCCGATATACATTCATGGAAAAGAAAATAAAGGCACTTAGTCAGCAAACTACAATAACAAGTTTAAGCCAAGTTAACGGATTCCCAACAGTGGTTAGTCTTGGGGTTGCTGTAGAAGGGAACGTATATTCGGGTTGGGTGAGAATATTTGGTAGTTGGGCTCAGTGGAAATTGGTGGCCTATTTACTTGCTCTTGAATCATGTAAGGCTATTTCTCGGGAGTATGGCCATATTTTGGGTAGTATAAAACGTAGCAAGATAACGTAAAAAACGAAAAAAAAATACAACACATCTTAACCGCACCTTGTAACGTAATTGGCAAACAGAAAACAAATTCAGGTCCCGCTACGAGGGCATCGACGGTGAAAAGAACGATATAGCAAATTGGGCAACTATAAGATTCGGCGACGACAGGTTAACACCATTAGACACAGAAATAACCGTGATATATCTAACAAACACCAGTGAGCGTGTTAAGTCTACACTGGTCAGTTAGACGCATGGAAATGGACAGTAGCACAATGTTAAGTCTTTTAATGGAGAAGGCAGTGGGGAACAAGATCTTTACAAAGGGGATATGATGCAATGTCGTCCACTTTGAGATGTCAACACACAGGAGCCGTTCTGTGTGTTGATTGCCGCTTTCAAAAATGTAGAACCAGGGTGTGGTGTTTCTCGCCGTGAATAGAACAAGAGTGTGTGAATAGCGTATTACGATAGTGTGACATTCAAAACAGTGGGCCCACCGTCCATAGAACGATGGTAATCTCAGGGTATATATTCGTTGCTACAGATAGCTATAGAGTACGACTACTTTTAACGATATTGAGAGCAAGAAATCACGAATTTATAGCAGGACAGGCGTATCCACCCATAACTGAAAGGTACAAGGGGTGGAGGTAGGCTCAGCTTGTTTGACCTACCCGGCACCGCACGATGTGTGGAGGAAGATCCTCCGCCAAACTACAACCTTGTGTACTCAGTAAGGTAAATATGCACGCTTTCCCACCTTTGAATCCGGAGATTCGTTACAGCATTATGCGTACAGCTTAGAAGATATAGCCGGAAAACTTTGCTATGCAAGGTGGTAAGACGATATCATTATATCCTGTGTGTAGTTTTGTGTATCTAGGTACGTTGCTATGTTGTTATCAAAATGATAAGAGTGACTCATCCTGACTCATCGTGACTTGTGCACTCGTTCAGCTCATTCATTGGTGATTTTTCATATTCAACTCAAGACTCTGAGTATTACTCTGGCATGGAAGATTGGTGGAGGGAAGTAGACTGTGCAAAAACAGGTAGTATTGCCGACGTTTAAAATTGATTTCATGCTTTCGATAGGATAATATAGATTAAGCGTGCGCTAGTAATGGTAAAGGGTTAACTGGCTATAAAGAGCTCTTGGCCTCCTTCGAGTACACTAGTGTTCGTTTCGTCAGATCGCCTTGATGGGTATCAGCCCCTCACAATTTGCCGCCATTCCCAGCGTCAGACTGTGGAGTGACTGATACTGTTATTGAATTACAATATTAAACGGGTGAGACTCTTCCGTACTCATGGTGGTAGCTCTATTGGTTAGGGATAGCCATTACGGAAAGTGTATCAAGACTTACAGATAATCTCCATCAAATAGGTCAGCCAGGGATTTATCTTTCGATTCGTAAAGGGGTGCTTATCAAGTGTTCAGATTCCATTCAATGAAGTAATCCATTGTTCCACACCTTATTCATACCTTTTGATCTCAAAGCCACCATCGCTGGCGCCTATACCTCTCTCGCCTTGACAAACATACAAGGGGCAACACTCGAGCTATTGAGACGGCACAGGCAATGGCCCCGTGTAGCGAGTTTGCTCGCAGCCGAAGCAAGTATCTTATCTGAAGTACTGTCCTACATCCCAAGATCATATCCAACGGGAAATATCGAGCATTTTGATGCAAAGGCCTAGATTGAACAGTATATTCGTGGCCTCCCGAACAAACCCGCATTTTTCGCATCAGCATATTTCGCACAGAACTTCACTTCAAAGCAGGTGCGTTTCCCGCCAATGATAGCAGGTATGTCTATGCTACTTTGTGTGGCAAAAACACGTTGTTACCACTAGTAGATATCACTGATGCTGGGAAGCGGGTTGTTGCTACTCTTGAAGAGCCAGAGAATCCAACGGCAAAGTGATCGCTGCATCACATGCTCTGTACACTTGGGCCCGAGATCGCTCAGGTCATCTCAAATGTTATTCGCAAGATCATTAACTATCAGCAGGTACCCGTAGAAGAGAAGATGCCGGAAATAATGGAGGATGATTTAACAATGTTTGTGTTCTTTTAGCGACTATGGATATTTTAGCAATAAAATGCAAGAGGATTTCAGATAGTCTCTTAAGCAGACCGAAAGCCATTTGAAGTCGCCCCAAAAGTTCTGTGAGGGAAGGTTTAAATTCAAGTCTACATAAACCTTAGATCAGAGACCATAAGAAAACAATGTTTGAAGTACAATAATCAACATTATCAAAAGCATCATCTGGTGTGTCAAAAACAGGATCATAGCCGAGCCAGCCAAGGCCTTGAGCAAACTATAAATTGCGTACTTTCAAATGATATATTGTCAGATCGGGGTTGGCAGCAGAGTGAAGACTGACAAGATAGGCAATAGGTGTGGTATAGATTGAATAAAGACTGAACTCTGCCCTTCCAACTAACAGCTAGCCCGCCCTCTTTTATCTAGCACTCTTCTAGCGCAGTGCCTGTGTTGCGTATAACAGGCGCTGCCATAGATCCGTCGGCCCGGTTTCTGCATGCGTCCCGGAGGCAAAGCCTCTGAGACGCAGCTTGTACGCTGCTGCTACAGTTATTGATTGAGATGTGCGCCTTGTTGCAATTCCTGTCTGACATATATGTCCTATAAATAATCATAGAGAAGTGATATTCACTAGAACTTTACCAATTGACTTCCATTCAACATTATAGCTACCGACAGAAATATGCCACCGCTCTATCTCAGGTCCATCACTGTTATCAACAGGACATAGTCTTTGCTCTATTACGTCCAATGCAGCCAGTGTATGTGCTAGTCCCAACTATATACGATTAGGTTCAAGCAACGATGTGATTCTAGTCTACAAGTTCGTGAAACCGCTGGAGCAATTGCATATGACAAAGCTAAGACTGCTGCCATCTATGGTCGCGGATATAATAAGATGAGTGAGTTGCTCGTCTCCTGTACATTCAGGAAGAGCATAGCCGTCAGTTTCATAGTCAATCTCTTTAAGGTTTGAATCACCTCCATCCTAGTGTATATGATCGACATTTCTAGGCTTTGGTTCCCGATCACCCGAGAAAACTGCGCTGTGGGTAAAGATCATTCCAATGCATGAATGCCAAAACCGCCAGCTAAACAAAGCCAAGAAAGTATCTCGCACGCGTCTACCCTTAGAGAGCATAAAGGTATTACTTAACGCAATGAAAATATCATTCTTCAATATTACAATATTTTATGAGAAATTATATTCATTCACAATAGAGTCGGTTATAAATGCTGTGGTTCGAGATTGGCAAATCATTAGTGAATACTAATGCCGGAGCTAGAAGCACAAGTCTATGTGCAAGATATCTTCATGGCTGGACAAGTTGAAAGCTGTCTCTAGTTTACGGGGATGTAAACCTGCTTCTTACACGCTGCTCATCGTTTGTGTAGTCCGTTTCAGGTTATGATCCTTCGCCTGGGGGCCCTTGAGACCATCTTGGGACTGGACACGAGGCCTCGCCCCCAATGTATACCTATACAGTAGGACCTGACCCAGTGATAAATAGTGGAGACTTCTCCTGTGGGTCGTACTGACAGATCCGTACCTACTCGGAATCCTTGGCGGGCCCATATATGGGAAATGCTAGCACTACACTATACTGTGAAGGGGAACTTACGAAACGTGCAGCCCGTGTATTCTGACTTAATCAAGTATCCTTTTCTCTATGGCATGTCTGCCCCACATGATCCACTTCCAGTGCTCAAATTGGTCATAAATTCTAGTGGCACGATAGAGAAATGGCAAACTTGGGATTGCGGGATGTGGCATCCGGATCCGACGCTCTAAATACCCCAACGGGTGATATGCTGCAAAGTCCCTGAACGCTCATAATCCCTGTCATGATGAGATTGCACGTGGGCGCTGCGTCGTACTGCAGTAAGCGAGCACACGCGACTGGTTGACAGCAGGTGAATAATCAATTTGCACACACAAGCTAGGATGAAAAGGATGTGATACCTAGAATTAGGACATGTCGTTTGAGTTCGTGCAGGCAGTTTTGTAATCATGTACTATATTGGCTCTCCTATGGAACGCCACGTTACTAGTGCTTATCCGTTCCCAACAAGCTCTTGCAGATTCGCAAGCTCATCCTCGCTATTTACGCTGCCGCATAGATGCTGGTTCATCGTAAGTACCGATTACTTGAACACTATGTATATGATGACAATTAGTCAGATCCTTTACATGCAAGCCGAGAATGGCTAGGCCTTCCAAAGGACCATGCTGAGCCAGGTTAGTCAACTCACAGGAAGGTCTCACGTCATGTCAATTTCCTTACTAATGACCAATTCTGAGGCGAATCGAGGTATTGTTTCATTTGAGATATCATGACTACAATCTAGGTGAGATTACATGCTCCCGGTCAACACTATGCAGCCCTCAGGCTACTTCCTTTGGTGCTAAGCTATCATGCATCCTTTTAGCGCTAGAATGACATCAATACATATTGTGTATGTACTCCCCTTATGCATCTCCATTGAATCCGACTCCATACCAAGGATCCTCGCATGTATGAAATCCTTGTGGCGTGACAACAGGAGCCCTATCTCACAACCTGGCTAAATCCTTACAAAACGAGAATTCGGCTCAAGCAATACGGCTTGTAGACTTTGAATGCGAAATAATCATACACTATCTCCAAGTCTAGCTGGTGTCAAACGAAACTACTGATATGTAGTTATGGTTGAAAGCTGAAGCCATGCTTTTACATCAGGAATAGCCAGACAATTTTGATCCAATTTCATTTCCACAGGGCTGATAGAGATCCCATGAGACTTCATATACCTGTTTTCTGACTGCATCCTATACTCACAGTAACAAAGAGCCATGTCTTCTCCATCAGAAAGACTTCCGCGCACCTCCCCAGAAGAGGTCGTGTCTCGCGAGGACTTTGCCTTGTTACAGAGCTTCCTACGAGTAGCACGCTTTTTGCAAGCGCAACCCATCAATTCAGGTTTGTAACACTGCATTTGATCGACTCGTACGAAGATGCTGATACTTGTTTAAGATCCCGCCTTAGCCCAGCACATTGGCCACCGTGAGACATCAAGCAAGGGAGACTCCGGCCATAGTCATTTGACGAACACACCGCCTAGCATTGGGCAGACAGCTAGATTGGACAATGATTATGATAACGACAACGACGACGATGATGACGAAGACGATGAGGAGGATGATGATGATGATGAGTACGACGAAGAAGTTGATAGGCCCAGAAGAATCGATACCCGATCTGCTCAGCGCGAGCGATCCAACAGCCAACAAAAGACAACTAGGGCGTCGACTCAGCGTCGGCGCCAACAACAGGTACAGCAACAACAACAACAACAACAACAACAACAACAACAACAAAAACAACAGGAACAGGAACAAAGGCAGCTTCAACAACAGCCACAGCGTCCTCTACCGCCGCGGCGGCAGCGGCCCCATGCTGCTGTCGAGAAGCGATATCGATCCGTCCTGAACAGCAAGATCCAGCAGCTCTCTGCCTCTATCCCCTCATCAAACGCCTTCAGCCTGACTGACCCTACAAGTGCAACACCCGTGAATCCAGCATCTGAGGAGGCGACGAAGCTGCCCACAAAGTCAGTCGTCCTCGACAGAGCTATACAATACATCAATCACCTCGTGTCCACGTACGAACAATACGAGGCGGATCAAAGCAACCTGCGGGGGAGATTACAGCTCTGGCTCGACAATAATTCGCCGCCGGCCGTGGCAGATAGCATTAAGCTGTAAAAGACGCAAGGTGCTACCACGTAGATTGCAGTTGTCAAACGAAAAAAGAATAACCAAATATCAGAACAGCAAAAATTGTAGTGGGGTATTGATTGACTTCGATCCGTATCTGCCCACACTATCTTTCTATTCACTTTTATTTCCCCCACTTGTATATCAATGCGACGTGTATACAAACATGTAATGATACGAAGGACACTTTTTCTAACAGAGTATTTTCTTGAGACAAGCCTGTTCGTAGATGGCTACAAGATCTTGTGACTATGCTAGAGATCTTTTCATCCTATTTTTGTAATCATTTTTGGGGGGGGGGGGGGCTTTGCCAAGATGGACGGCAATACATTGCTGCCCTTGTTTGTGTGACCAACCATCCCCCATCTGCCTGCTTGGCACATGTTTTCCGGGTACCCGGAGCGGGGTATGACCCTGGATCTGCTAAGGCTCCACTTCGAGTGAGACGACGCGACATGTTAGATGTGTACTGATCCTGTATTCCCGTTTATTTGAGAATGTATGATGTCCGGTTAAGCCTACCCCGGTCTAATCGCCGTACCGGAGGGTACCCGTAGAAATACTGACATATGATAATCTAACGAAAACAGCCGAACTGGTAAGAGACCACTGTTACAAGAACCTGCCATTTCATATGCAAAGTGAGCAAAGGAATCTGAGATCCTTCCATCCTTCATATCTCTTCATATAGTCATATGGTGCCACCAATTCGTTTGTGGTGCCGGCTCACGAGCCGTACTGTTTTTAGATCACCTGGTTAAAAACTATAGAGCATAAGGAATAATCAATATCGTCACGAGTTTACTCTTGGGTTAGTATTGGTCTCTCTCGTTTAAGATGCTTCGCGAAGTATTATTCGGCGCTATTGGTGTCATTATTCTCGTTTATAGCGTCGAATGGCTACTTGGCATTTTTGATGATCCGCGTGAGCCTCGCCGGATATCCTCCACAATACCCATCATCGGCCACTTTCTGGGTTTCATGTACTATGGATTTGACTATTACGATATCTTGAGGTAAGGACGGAAAGTCTTCAACGCCAATGTTAGGCGCTTATATTTAGATTAGTCAGAAAACAGATGCAGAAGTTTACACAATCCGTGTTCTGGTCTTTAAAGTGTATATAACACATGCTATACGCCTGACAAATACAATCCAAAAAACAAGGACCTTATCAACTAGGCCCTTCCTTCGGACGGAGAATAAAATTCACTCCAATGTCAGCGACGAGGCGCACACTTTGTTTGATGGGGAGCTATTGGAAGCTTTCCGTCTGCGTACTAAGAAAGCACTGGCTCCTGGAACTTCTCTAGATATGCTTAGCCTGCGAATCGGAGAGGAATCGCTCCGCGAAATCTCGAACATGTTGAGACGAGATGAAACTGGGCTGCTTGCATGGGCTAAGCATGCCGTTGTGGAGATTACCAGCATTGCTTTGTTTGGTGTCCAACATCCTTTCAAAGATCCTGACATTGTTGATGCCATGTGGTGAGTCAAAACCACGAATGTGGCGACATGATAATATAATGTCAGACTAATACAATTTCAGGACATGGGAAGACTTTAGACCCAGCCATCAAATGGGTATGGATTTCTGGCATACAGGCTACAAAGCTCGTGCCAAGGTGTTCGACGCTTTTCAGAGATACTTTCGAAATATCCCAGACGATGTGTCCTTGATGATTCGAGAACGCCAGGAAGTTCTTCGACAGGGCGGTATGGGTGAGGAGGACATTGCCAAAATGCAGTCGTTCTTTAGCGATGCCTATTATAATATCACGCCTACGTTATTTTGGACGATCTATGAAGTTTACTCCCGCCCTCAGCTTCTAGCAGCCATTCGCAAAGAGTTACACAGCAAGGCAGTCCGGAGGTCAGAAAAGGGTGAGGTCTTTATCCTGGACATCGCTGCACTGAAGACGGAGTGCCATATCTTGTTGTCCACGTACCAAGAAACGCAGCGTACTAGGCATGCCCCTGCCACTTCGCGTATGGTTGCGGAAGACACACTCCTCGACGGTAAATATCTCTTGAAGAAAGGCAATTGGTTCCAAATGCCTGTGCAGCCCGTCCATGTGAACACGAAGATCTGGGGCCCCCACGCTGACGTTTTCGACCCATACCGTTTCGTTCCTCCAGGCATTGATGAGACGAAGATCAAGATATTGCCTAACAGCTTCCTCCCATGGGGCGCGGCGCCGTATACGTGCCCAGCCCGCCAGTTTGTTTCGACGGAAGTGTTGACGATCACAGCTCTGTTGGCTCTGCAAGTGGATCTGGTGCCCATAAGTAGTAAGGAGTGGGAGCGTGACCCGGCGTTACGGTTATTGGAAAAGCCGACACTTGCACGCCCTAAAAAGGACGTACGAGTCAGAGTTTCTCCGCGGGAGGGATCGGGAGGCTGGACAGTCGTTCTGGGACAAAGCAAAGCAAGGATTCCTTTAGCGTCTGGATGATATGAGAATACGACGTAGTCACCAGCTAAGCTGAGTCTCGTGTGAACCCTGGTTTTTATCTTTGCATGTAGACTTTTTTCTTGAACACTCCTAATACAATTGTCGACACCTTGATTCATATAACAGGAGCGTGGGTAGTCTTCGCGTGATTCAATGGATGATAATAAATGTCTCAAACCAAGGATCTTACAGTTTCATTTTTTGTTAAGATATTGTCGGCATAATTATCGTCGCTGTTTCTCGTTTCTGTTTCTAATTCAAGTATGAACCAGTACATATTCTATCCTTAGTCCAAGTGTTAATCATGTAAAGATGGGTAACTGCCTCTTCACGAAAACATTGGGAGTAGACTCATTATAATGACCGCCCACGTTTATAGTCTTGAGAATAATTTCTCGACGGTTGTCAAAACTTGATTGAGATGCTAACATTTGTGGGGAGAGTAGGATCAAGACACCATGATGCGCATTTCTGTGTGGATGTGACCTACTAGAAGCAGTCTTCAGCTTTGTTATATTCGGGTCCTATTATTTCGAAGACTCAACTATTCCATAACACATCGAATTTCATAAATGCTACTTATATAGAGTTTTTTCCAACCATGCAACAACCTCTTGCCAAGCCTCATTCTGTATTTGTAATTGCTTGGTGCGCCATTCACCCTTGAGCTGTACCCAGAAGTGAGTCCACCCGTGGGGCATGTCTCTAGCACACCAATATTTAACTCCGTTTTGCTCCCAAGCCTTGATATAATCACCGTCGGCTTGTCGACTCGCAAGCTTACAAGCTAATAAGTATGCCTCTTGGCATAACATGTCCGCACTTCCCGTTATGAAAAACACAGGCTGAGGAATGTCGGCGCGAGTGGCATAGTAGGGGCTGAGGAGCCTTTCCCGCATATCTTGGCCCGGGGAAGGAAAGCCCCAGTCTGAAAGCGCACGAGTCTTCTCCATATCGTCCGGGCCTCCCCATGGCATAGCTTTTGGGTAGGAACCACGAGCTTCGCCTGACCGATCGGTCAACGGCTGGAATGTCACTAACACTTTGATGCGATCTTTGAGCTCCGGGATCTGAGCGACTGCAAGAGCAATAGTAGCACCGGCTGAGAAGCCGCCCACGACAACCTTTTGAGTGTCGATGGGCAAAGATTTGTCGTCCAAAGCTGCGGTGATCACCGCAGCCACGTCGTGAATCGCCGTGGGAAAACGATGCTCTGGAGCACGGCGATAACTGACTGCGATGACAACGTAGTTATGCTGGTCCGCCAAGAAACGCGCCTGCGCGTGATCCATCGCTGGAGAGCCAATGATGAAAGCAACGCCATGAATGAGAAAACATATTGCGTGCTTCTCCCCTTCTTTGTGGTTTGCAGGGATGAAGACGTGATGACGCAGCGTAGGCCGCGTCGGATAAGACTGAACTTTGTCCGGCCTCTGCGTGGCCCAAAACTTTCGATCGCGTATCTTGAACTGGAAAAATATAATCTCACAGAGATATCGATAAGCAATGGCACACAGAAACAGCCATGCTCCCTGAAGAGTTCCAACCCAAGGTTGATGGGTTAGGATGGTAGTACGCTTCTTCAACTGAGGCATTTTGTCAAACGTAAGGTCACTTGATGAGCAATTGAGAAAACTCCGAGTACTGTAGCTGTAACCCACAACTGGAAACATGAAACTTCATTGTTCTAGTATAAGTAAATCGCCAAGTGTAAGGATCCCTCAATCCTGTATAGTAATTCGTCCATAAGAGTGGCGTCACTACAACCCAATTCGTGGGGCTGCTGCCACTAAAACGGACTCTAGTCTTGTCTCATGAATCACCCTCGCAAGAAAGACATACGTGAAAGCGAGGCTTCACAATCATATTTTTGGGGTTGCAAGCGTGACTTCATTTATGCGTGAGACAGCGACTCTTTGATTTGTCACTTGCCATCATTCAATTATGCTTCGCGAAATCCTGGCTAGTGTTGCAGGGCTTATTCTCTTGGGCTACGGTATTGAATCTTTGTTCAGCTACTTCGACGACCCACGAGAGCCTCGTCGGGTAAGACCAATAATCCCTCTTCCTATTATCGGCCATGTGCTAGGGTTCTTGCGCCATGGATTTGATTATTATGATGTTCTTAGGTGAGCACTCAATTTGTTAGAACGACACAGATTGGTAAAGTATTCACATTCAAGCCAGTAACCAGAACAAGGATGTTGAAATATACACCATCGGCGTCTTAAATTTCAAGGTTTATGTTACCCATGCAATGCGGCTTACGAATTTGATGCAAAAGTCGAAGGCCATTTCCTTGAGACCTTTTCTACGAACTGCCAACAAGATCCATGGAGATATCAGCGACGCGGCCCATACCACTTTTGACGGTAATTTGGTAGAAAGCTTTAGCAATCGTACTAAAGAAGCGCTTGCTCCAGGGCCGCACATGGATGAACAAAATGTGCGGATGGGGGAGGAGTCGGTGCTTGAAGTCACGGAATTGTTGAACCAAGAATTAGTGGAATTTCAACTCTTCGATTGGGCCAAGCATATAATTGTCCAAGCCACGGGGGTAGGTTTGTTTGGTAGCGAGCATCCATTCAAAGATCCAGAAATTGCGGATGCTATGTGGTAAGTCACAGGGAATCTTGTCAAATATCCTCAACATCTTGCTCTGCACCTCTCTATTTCTCCACTTCTCCTCAAGAACCATAATGGTTGCGTCGCATGGTAAACTAACAACGAAGAAGGACTTGGGATGAGTATAGACCCAGTCATATTTTTGGGGTGGACCCCCTGGGCAAGGGCTACAAAGCCCGGACGAAGGTATTTGCAGCCATGCGGAGGTACTTTCAGAAGATGCCCGATGATGCATCCCTGATGATACGAGAACGCCAAAGGATCTTACTCGAAGGAGGTGTCAGCGAAGAAGATTCATACAGGATCCAGTCCACTCTTAGTAATGCCTATTTTAACACAATCCCAACGTTATATTGGACTGTGTATGAAATATACTCCCGGCCTGCACTGTTGGAGGCCATACGCGACGAGATACGCAGTCGAGCGACACAGAAGTCTGAGGATGGTTTTGTCCTGGATATTGCCATCCTCCAAACCGAGTGCCACCTACTACTGTCTGCTTACCAAGAGACCCAGCGTTTGAGGCATGCACAAGTCGCATTCCGTTCGATCCTGGAGGATACACTGATAGATCAGTATATGTTGAAGAAAGGTCACCACCTCCATCTGTCAGCCAAGCCAGTTCACAAGGATCCCAAAATCTGGGGTGCCCACGTCAATCATTTTGATCCCTACAGGTTTATGCCTGCAAGGACAGGGGAGACTGAAGCCAAGTCCAGGATATTACCAACAAGCTTCCTACCGTGGGGCGCAGCACCCTGGTTATGTCCGGCACGCCAGTTTGCATCCACCGAAATTCTGATTATTGTTGCTTTGCTCGTGTTGAGGACCAATCTGGTTCCAGCGGACGGCAATGGTTGGGAGCAAGACCCGCCCATTGAGAAAATAAAGATCGCGACGTTACCACATCCTTTACATGATACGCGCTTCAAGATTTTACCTCGGGAGGAGGGAGCAGGCACGTGGAAAGTTGTGATAGGCAAGAGCAAAGCCAGAATAGCTCTAGCGTCCGGATAAAGATAAACAGAGCCGGTGATCTTCGTGAGCGAAGCTAGCTACCGGTTCATATTCTAACGAAGAAGAAATAGGTACAAGGACTCATCTTCGGCCGTATGTGTTGTGTGATTGCGTGGGTCATTGACTAGCTACAAAAAAAAGGATATAAAAACAAGTACAGAAAAGGGGGGAGGGGAATCTAAGTTAGTGTGTGACACATTCTTCTGGGTGGCTGTGAAGGGTCACGTGTTCGAGGGAAGACTAATTCCCGCATCTCAACACGGTAAAAGATACTGAAAATAGTTAAGACTGTGCAGAAACGTTCCGTCGCTATGCCTCGTGCTAATCAGTTTAATCAGCACGTGCTTCAAGTCGAGTGTTTCTTGTATGTAGTTAGTACCTGGGTATCATTCATAGCTCACGAGTGGCCCACAATCAACATTCAAACCGATCGAGGGGAGAAAAAAATGGTGATTTGACGCGTTGCTATGTCTAAGATTGTGTCGCCCGGTTCAAAAGCTTACCCGCGATCATGTGATGCTACTATTTGCAACGTGGAAATAGGCTAACCTAGTCTAGTACTACTTTGAGATATCATTGGGAAGATATAAATCATTAACAATCCAGATTAACCAACATGATATTTACAAAGTGACGAAAAGCAAGAAGCTAACAATGCCTTGCTGTGGTTGAGAACCCACTAAATGGGCAGCCTGCCTATTTGCAAACCCCCAGCATTGGCATCTGGTTAGTGCCATGTAGCCGCCGACCATGCACATGTCCATTGTAGCGATAGCCGCACCTGGACAGAACGTGTTTGTTTATTATACCTCTCGTCTTTACAGGTCGTACTCCGTACAGATTGCAACGACAACACCCCGGGTATCTTGTTCGCAGCACTGTCACGGGCCAACAAGTGACTGGAAGCCAGTGAGGCCATCATGTCCTATTAATTAGATTGAAGCTTTTCCTTCAGTCGCTGCACCGCCAGTGCGCCTAAAAGCTCCATCGTCTTGGACGAGTCTGCTAATTCAAGGACTGTGATCTCGATGCCAAGGGTTTGCTTCCACCAGTTGCGAATCTCAATTGCGACTAGTGAGTCAGCACCCATTGACGTGAGTGTTTGGCTCGTGTCTATGACAGCATCCTCTTGCATGAGGAAAGCAAAGATTCGCTTCGCAATTTCTTCGGCGAGGAAGATTGTAGCGGACAGATCGTCGAGCCGTTCTGGCTCGCTCGTTAGAGACCCTAAAAAGGTGCGAAGACCTTCGTTGCCAGCGCCATCACCTTGCACCGGCGCGCCCTGGGTGTTGCGGAATACAGATAAACGTGGGTCTCGTCTGAAAGACGCAGTGTTTTGTGGATCGGCCAGTGGCAATGCTGTATCGTTATATAGCACCACCTGAGATGGCTCCTCAAATGCCACAGTTGGCGTCGGGTTCATAGGCACAATATATTTGCTAGATGATCTCTCTACGGCGAGCTGAAGACACCGGAGGAACTCGGCCTCCACCATGAATCCAGCTAGGGCACGCCCCAGACGTTCGGCGACATTCTTATTTACCGCGACGTAGCCAATATCACCAATGGCGGCGATGTCCAGGACCGCGGCCGGGAGACCCTGGCCGTGGCGGAAATGTAAAAAGGCGTCAAGATAGGCATTGGCTGCCGCATAGTTGGACTGTCCGTAAGCGCCCAGCGTCCCGCCCGTGGAACCGCACATAATGAAGAAGTCAAGATCCTTGGGCAGAAGCTCATGTAGATTCATGGTGCCCTGAATCTTCGGATTGGTAGTAGTTGTCCACGCCTCATGGTCCATGTTCAAAAAGCCGGCATCGCGCAGGACCATCGCCAGCTGCAGGACGCCCTTGATGGGATGGTTCCCAGCGTCAGCCACGACCTTTTGTACGAAGTCGTAGTTCGCTACGTCGCCGGCGATGCAGCGGAGCTCGCAGCCCATCTCGCCTAGCTCCTCGACAAACAGTCGGTGTTCAGGCAGCGTCCCCGCAGAAGGTGAGAATACGATGAGATGGCGAGCACCATGGCTCGCCATCCAAGAAAGGATCGACCGGCCCAAACCTCCGAGCCCACCTGCAAGCAAGTAGACCCCGTCAGGGCTGAAGATGGGCTTGGGAGCTGGTAACGCTATCGGAAGAGAGGCAGGGTCTTCCGGCATCCTGACGACGATGCGACCCATGTGAATACCCTTCTGCATATAGCGGAAGGCGTCTTGGATTTTCTCGGCCTCAAAGACGGTTGTGGGGTACAATGGGACAATTTCGCCCGCTTCGAAGAGTTCAATAGATTGCCGCAGGAAGGGCACAAGCCGATACTTCTGGGTCACGATCATGGTAGCTAGATCGACACCAAAGAAGGCACGGTTTCCGACAAATGGGTTCATAGCCAAGCGACCGCGGCCAAGGAAGTCTCTCTTTCCAATATCTACCATGCAGCCACCCGCCGCCACACACTTCCACGAGGCGTGGAGTAGCTCGCCGGAGAGCGAATTCAGGACTACATCGACGCCCAATCCATCGGTAAAACGCATCACATCCGCAACGAAGCTGTCATCGTGGGATTGGAAGATGCGATCGCGCGGTATACCAAGCTCATTGACCAAAAAGTCAACCTTGACCGGCGACCCTACCGTGCAGTAGATATCGGCGCCAATCCAGCGTGCGATGTGAATGGCCGCAATGCCCACGCCACCGGCCGCGCTATGGATCAGTACAGATTGTCCTCGCTTCATGTGTGCCTTCTCAAGGAAGCTCCATAGAACAGTCGCGTAAGGAATGATCAAACCGGCCGCGTCCTCGTCGCTCACACCCGCCGGAGCCCGTGCCACCAATTCAGCCGGCAACTGCATCTCCGTCGCGAAGCAAGACGTCAGGATCTCCATAAATACAACACGGTCGCCAACGGCCACGTGCTCGACACCCTCGCCCACGGCCGTTACGATGGCTAACCCCTCGCTGCCGAGACCGTGATAGCCATCCTTTTCCATCTGGCCGTCGGGGCCGACAATGCCCATGGCCACGGCCACGTCGTGGAAGTTCAATCCCGTCACCTTGATCCGTATCTGAACCTGGTTGGGAGCGATCGGTGGGAGTGGATGGCCGGTCCAACACATGGTCTGCAACATGCCCGGTTGACCTATGGTGAGATGTTTCGCTTCAGTTTGAGGTGCGGCGTTGGCCAGCGCCTGATCAACCGACGACGTATGGATTCGACTTATCAGCACCTGGCCGTTTCGCCATACGTACTCAGAATCCATGTCCAGACTGTCGTTCTCCGAGGCTGCCTGCTGCGCTCGCTGGACCCTGCCCAGCACCTGCGCTACAGCCTGACTGGCCTCGCTATCGAGCTTGTCCAGTTCGAAGGTGACAAAGTCAATGGCCAGCTCTGCACGAATACACCGTGCCACTCCTGGTATCTGACCATACTGTGGATCCAAGCATTGCGTTTGTGCGGGTCGCATAAGCCACAGCAGTGCCTGTCCCGATACGTCGCCAACGAGGTCGATAAAGGTCGTAAGATCGTCGGCACCAACATTTGCCAGTATAGGAGCGTGTTCGTCATTGACATCCATTAGTGAGACGATATCCTGCCCCTCCGGTAGTCTTGCGCCCCAGACATATTCGTCCACGGTATAGCCCGCGGTTTCAAGTGAACTCTTGATGTTCTGTCCAAAGTTGTCCAGCTCATGAGTCGGTTTGAGCAGAGTTATAATGTGTTTACCAATGTCGCTAGGCTCGAATGATTCATTGGATCGAGCCCGAGCTAGGATATTAGTGGTATTGAAGAAGTGAGGGTGCTTATTGTCGCGAACAGCCGACTGAATACCGTGGAAGCCGCTCTGCTGTAGCTTGGAATCCCACGCCTCTTCTTGGAGAACGGGACGCTCTGCACGGCCGTCGTTGATACCAGCCCACCATCCATCAAATAGGCCCATGATGAGGTCAGCATACCTCGTGTCTGCGCACTGTTAACTTTTTCCTGAACTAATTGCATACTGAAAAATCACGTACGTCCGCAAAACTCCTGCATGAAGATTTGCCCATCCGGTTTCAACAATGTTCGGCACCTCGTCAACGTCTCGATCAAGTTGGGGGTAGCATGCAAGACCTAGATCGTTAGCGATTCCACACGTTAATCTCACTCACTCGTAGTAATTTAGTGTCATTAGGTCAAACTTACATTAGAGGCAATTATTAAATCATACGAAGCCGCTGCAAATCCTTGTTCGAGCGGATCTACTGTAATATCACAGACGGCAAACTTGAGGTTTGGGTATTGACTGAAACGCTCTTTGGTCTGGTTGACAAAACCAGCCGAGACGTCAGTAATCGTATAATCTTCGTAAAGGTGTTCCCCATGGCTCGACTTCATGGCCGCCAGCACAATAGCAGTCGTGCTTCCGGTGCCGGCTCCGATTTCGAGCACGCGGATTTGCGGCTTATTGAGACCTAGAACGCGGAAGAAGTCGGTAATATCGGACCAAGAATTGGTTTCGTCGTAAAATCTCTGCAACAGGCCTCCGACGAGTAGAACATCAATTAAGGTCTCTCGACCTTCAAGAAGGTCTCTGATATTGTAGTAGACGCGCCACAGCGTTTCGGCAATGACCTCCACCGGGCGTCCTTTGCTTTTCTCTCGCCACTGTTCCAGTTTTTCACGTCGAGCCGCTCGGCTCAAAGCCTTTAGGTCCTGAGCGTCGGGTATGTTGGAAAGTCCTTTGTCAACTTGATCCATATGTTTGGCCACGCCGTCTAAGAAGTGTTTGAAGAATGGTTGGGCAAGGGATGTGACCGTGGTTGCCTCCTCGTGGATCTCGGCCGCGCACAGCAAGCCGAATTGCTCAGCAAACATAATGTCAGCCGTCACGTCGCGCGATGGACGCATTAGTGTTTCGGGAGAGGTGAAGTCAATCGCTGGATGCCACTGCAGCGACATCGATTTCAGCTCCGGAGCCGCGTGTGAGAGCGCGCTCTCCATCGTCGCGACCTGGAACCCTTTGAGCAGGAATGCCACCTTTCCATCACCACTTACGATGCCATATGAGTCGCCCACTGTCGCTCCAATGCGGCCGTGCGAAGTGGTGCTAACATGGAGTGTTGCTTGGCTGCCTTCGGCGCTTACGTAGAATTGCTCAATGAAGGTTGGCAAAAACAGCCTGTCCAACCGACGATATTCACCCTGGGCGAGTGCCACAGACCATGACTGAAGAACAAGATCCAAAGTTGACGGATGGAGTGCGTATACCTCTCCCTCGTCTTGGTAGTCAGTGACACTAGCCGAGGCACTTTGCTTGACGGGACTTGCCGTGATGTTGTCTAGCCCAATAAAACGGTTGCTGTAGTTGAGACCAATACGTGACAGTGCAGCATACCAACGTTTCGAATCCACAAAGCGCTTATTTGGTGTCACAACTGGAGATAGAGGGAGGGCTACGCCACATCCATCGGTAACCAAGCCCCAGCAGTGCTTCGTCCAGGTCCCGTTGTTTTCAGACGAGATGGAGAATTCCCACCATTTGCTATCCTTGGAGACAGTTAGAGAGTGCTTCCTCAATGTTGTAATTATCTCAGTGCCCTTGCCCTCAGTGAGAAGCATGGCAGCAGCAATGTTGACATCTTGCACTGTGTATGCTGACGAAGATGTTAGCTGCGCTACAGCCGTTCCAGCAATGGCAATGTAGCCAGCGGCAGGGAACACAATATCATTTTCAACACAATGATCTGCTAACCAAGGAACCTCGCCCAGTCGGAGCACGTTCCTCCATGCGGGCTCAGTCTCGCTACTCTCAAGAATGCGTAGGCCGAGTAGCTCATGTTTACGATGCTTACGGAATCTCAAGCCGGCCATTACGCGGGTCTCAGCCCAGTGCCGCGTTTCATAATTCCAGGGGTACGAAGGCAATTCCGGCAAGGTAAACGTACGGTCGGAACTAGGCACCCGCGGTGCGATACCGAAGCAATAGAGCTTGCCAACGGCCGTCAGGAAGGTACGGGAAGCATCTTGGCCACGATCGGCGAGCGCGGCATATGGAGCCGAGTGCCCGGTCTCTTTGTATATCTGCCGCAGGGGGCCCGCGAGTGAGGCGTGTGGACCAATCTCCAAGTGCGCTGTGCTGGGCATATCCACCAGCAACCGAGTTCCTGCGGTTCGAAATAGAACGGGGCTAACGAGATTGAGTTGCCAGTACTGTGGACCGAAAACCTTGCCTTCGCCCACCTGCCGGCCGTACACTGTAGAGTAGAATGGCACTTGAGGCGGTTTTGGCGCAAGGTGTGGTGTGATGAGAGATTTGTAGAGGTCTCCAACGGTGGACATGTGATGAGAGTGGTAGGCCGTCGTCACGCGAAGCTTTCGGACAAACAGATTGGGATGCGCCTCCTTCAAACTGTCTATGATCTCATCCAGGACCTCCAAGTCACCTGAAATGGTTACGCTGGCATTGCTATTCTCACACGCGATCACGACTCCTGGCTTTAGAAACTGTTCCATATTGTCGCCGCCCATGCCGACAGCCGCCATGCCGCCAGGTGCCTTGTTGTGCGTACATGCGTAGCCACGGTAGTAAGCAGTAATTATGGCTTCACGGCTTGTAAAAATACCAGCAGCATAGGCCGCGGCAATCTCTCCACTGGAGTGTCCTGTGACGGCCGATGGCCTGATGTCCCACACAGCGAGGGCATCAACATATGCAACCTGAATAGCAGTGCATATGGGCTGAGCGCGGTCGACTGGATTTAAAAGATCCTTGTCAGCGGTGTCGGTCAGCAATAACTCCTCCAGAGTCCAGTCGGGCGGGTGTTCAAGCGACTTCAGCACCTTATCCATGCTCCGAATACTCCCCGCGAAGGTTGCGTTCTCTTGCATCATCTCACGCCCCATACCTACCCATTGAGCACCCTGGCCGGTGAAGACAAAAGCGACTCTGCTGACGCTTGGGGATTCTGACGGCGCTGCAGGCTCGCTTAGAGTTTGACCATCCGCAATGCAATACGTGGCTAGTTTGAGGCGCTCCCGCCGGGAAGCGAGAGTATACTCCAAGGCATCTAGGTCCTCCGGACTTTTCTCCAGATATCGCCCGTAGTTGGCAGCCATCTTTGCGATGGCGGGTGTGCTGTTGGCGGATAACAATAGCAAACCCATGTGTCTAGGTGTTGTTGTAAGTCCGTCGTCATTCACCGATACACTGCTGCCATTGGTGGGACCCTCATCATTGGTATATTGACCATTACCGTTTGTAGGGTACCCATTGCTGTTGGTAGAGCTACCATTATCGTTGGAGTGGCCATTGCCGTTGGTGTGACAGTTGCCATTAGAAGAGTGCCCGTCATCATTGGTATACTGACCATTACCATTCGTAAAGTGATCATTACCACCGACAGAATGACCTTTGCCGTAGGAGTGGCCATTCCCATTTTCAGAAATGCAGTTGTCATTGATGGTGTGAGCATTGTCACTATCTGTTACGCCGCCACTGGTCGTTGAATGGTTTTCATTGGCTGTCACACCGTTGCCATTGACCACCAAGCCATTGAATTTACCTACTTCACCCCGGCGTGGTGATGGGATCCCCATCGATGCTGCGGAATCAATAACAATCTAGAGATACATGTTGGTAAGTCAAATCGCCATTAAAACATTTGGAATTATGTTGTTTGGGGACTTACGTGTACATTGGAACCTCCCAATCCAAATGAGTTAATGCTAACCCGCTCAAGGATTCCTTCAGGCCATCGGCATGGCTCTATTGGTACTGAAAGGTTGCGGTCCCATGGGACTGGAAAGAAATATCAGCATTATAGTCTGTTGAACGCAAGCTATACAGGGAACATGCCCAATTACAAGGAAACTCACTCTTCGGATTTGGCCTCTCAAACTTGATGTTGGGCAAGATTGTTTTGTTCTCAAGAGCAACAACGGACTTTATGATGCTCGCCATGGCAGAGCCACCTTCTCCATGGCCAAGATTAGGTTTCACTGAGCCGATGTACACCTTTTCTTCGCCACCGAAACAGGCGGCGATGGCCGTTGTCTCCAAGGGATCGCCGACTGGCGTGCCCGTGCCATGAAGCTCGATAACCTTAGTTTCTGCCAGTGGCAGTCCCGCCAACTCATATGTCTGACGGATCAGCTTCTCTTGTGCAACGGCGTTGGGAGTGCCAAAGGTTCGAGAACCATCACCTCCGTCCGCGTTGCTGTCACACGCGCGGATGACAGCGCGGATAGGGTTGCCGTCGCGTATGGCATCGTCGAGTCGCTTGATGTATAGTGCGCATACTGACTCGCCGCGAGCGAAGCCGTCAGCGCCAACGTCAAAGGTTTTACAGTTTCCATCGGCGGCCAACAATCCGAACTGGGTCATGGCCATGCTTATCCGGGGAGTGATGATTATGTTGGCGCCGGCCACTATGGCCGACGGGCATGAACCCGCGCGGATCGCCAATACAGCTTGGTGAACCGCTTCGGCCGTGGCCGAACATGCAGTCTTGATACTAACGCTAGGGCCTAACAGATCATACTCAAATGCAAGCCGGTTCGCCAGGGCAAAATCTGCCTTGCCCGTCATCTGGTACGGCGCCGGATTGAGCAAGTCGGCATTCTGCAGGTCCTGCCAATCTTCCGTGAAATCGCCCACAAACGTGCCGATGTTCCTCCCCCGAAAATCCGCCTCGCCGGCGCTCTCAAATGCTTCGCGTGTCACCTCGAGAAGTAGGCGCTGACTGGGATCCATCGCGGCGAGCTCAGCGTTAGATATCCTGAACATCGAGGCATCAAATTGCGCCAGATCGACGTCTAAGTAATATCCATATTTAGTAGCAATGAAGCCAGGTTTACCAGCTGGATCGTGGTACGCTTCCACATTGTAGCGGTCTTCAGGGACGACGTTTCTAGCATCACCCTTGTTGACAAGAAATTCAAAAAGCTCTGATGAGCTTCGGATACCGCCTGGCAGTCTCACGCCCATGCCACAGATGGCCACAGGTGTATTGGGAAGTGCCATGCTTAGTGACATGCAAGAGATGTAGGGGGAAATGAATGAGAGTGAAAGTAAAGCTAGTTGAAAGCAGAGTACATGGGTAGAGTATGTTGTCTATGTAGATATTAGAAAGCTATTCCTCAAGTTGCATTTGGTTTGTCAGTCATGCATCTATAGACAGTAAACCATTCAGGAGCTATCAGAGAATCAACACTGTGCGTGTTCTATAAAGAGACTGTGAATCCCTGTCAGTGCTTTTGGGAGACCCATTGGTGGCACCACCGAACCTTCTTGCCTACTCATGCCACCCTCGCTCATAGAGAACAGGAGATTACATCATCAAGCGCTCATCAGGTGTACCTACACGCCACACAAGGGCAACCTTGCATTACCAGGACTTGCCTTGGACTCGCTGAACGGCGCTTAGTGTCTCTTCGGCTAAGACCTAATCGATATTTGCACAATAATTCGGATGAGGTAAATACAACTTCACAGTATCTCGATAGGAAGCCAACAATATGGGATCTCTGCACAAAAGCAAATTCGATGAGTTTCGTAGACTAGACCTAGTCTACGGCACGGTTGCTTGCCATAGTCTCTGGACATCCATCTTGACGCCCAAGGGGCTCGTTAAGGAACGACATGGCGGCAGCGGCATACCTACTCATATTCCCGTGCTTGTGTTCTGGCATGGAGGAGGGTTCATAGTCGGGGATCGCCTATACGAGCCTTGGTGGCCGGGCTGGCTGCTCCAGCTTGCGGTGTCACAAAACGCTATGATCGTGGCCCCTGATTATCGCCTTCTCCCCGAGGCGTCGGGGGCGGACATTGTGGATGATCTTCACTCCTTCTGGACTTGGTTCCTCGAGATCCTACCAAGTATAACCGAAAGGGAGTCGTGGGGCGTCCGACCCGACCTCAGCCGCATTATCTGTGCTGGACATAGCGCCGGAGGGACCCTCGCATTATTGTCAGCTCTCGAGCGCCCAGAGGTGGCAGTCAAAGCAGTTTTATCTCTCTATGGACCGCTCGATGACAGCGTTCCTGAACTTAAGATATCACGTCCAAGGATGATTTTAGGATCGTGGCCGCCTCCGCCTCGGCGGGCAGAGGCAACGATTCGATCCTACGTTCAAAAGACAAGAGGCAAAGTTCGGACCGATGGAGACCCAACAGAGATGTGGGAACTGGTCACATGTATCCTACAGCAGGGCCGTCTGCCACGAATGATGAACCAGCGGCCTGATCCACGTCTTGATGTCATTGCTACAATCAAGAAGAATGGGATATTGCCTCCCATATGGATGATCCACGGAGAGAACGACTCTGTGGTAAGCAATTTTCGCACGATTTCTATAACCTATGTTGATTTTCTTCTACTGATCATGATTGGTTCTAAACAGGTTCCAACGAGTTGCTCTACAGAGTTTGTTAGACGCGTAGAAGAGATTGTGCCCAATATGCCAAAACTCCTGTCAATACAGCCTGGTGAGCACAATTTTGACGCTTCCATGACAATGAAAGAAGGTTGGATAGCAGATGGGTGTGATTTCATCCTCAGGTACTGGTAAGGAGGGATCGGCTGAGCTAAACCATCTGTAGAAGGTACGTTAGCGTGGGCCCAAAGGATTGGAGGAATTGTAGGAACATGATCTGCAGAATACTGGTGGAACAATATAAGGAATCTGAAATGCTTGAGTCTTGATCAACCTTTAAACAATGCCTTTTGTCAGACCTGATTTTCGGTCACGTTTGTGTACGCTGTTCAAGTGCGATGCCTTTAAAGACTGTGTGGCGTATTTTGTTGCACACATAGATGCATATATATCCTTTGTTGTCTCTCACCTGATATTAGTATCCTGAGATTGCCAGCTTCCGGGGACACTAATCACTAGACCAGATTGACTTGATTATGGTGAGAAATATATAAATGGAGAAAAAAGTATTCGTGACATGAGCATTTAGACGTTCCTTTCTTATGGATGGTGTTTCATTTGCGAGGTTTTCAAATTGATATATTTCCAGAATGGTGCATATTGTCAATGTTGCTGATCTGTGATGCCATGATTAATGTTAAGAATATTAATTTGACAGGTCATCGCTATTATAGACACGTCGCTTGTGGTGATCAATAGGAGCCTATTCATGTACCTAGTTTGGTTGCTACAGATGGATACCTAGGGCCACACCTCAGCCATCCATTAGGCTACATCTTTTTTAGTAATTGGATATAAGTTTTGAAATATATTTTTTCAGCTTAGAATCGTCGTATGAACTCAAGTTATACCGCAGGAATACAATTCGGCACTACTCTTTTACATAAATAGACGAATTGGTGGATTTGTGTAAACATGATCCTTCTGTGCTTACCATAACCACAAATCTGCGCTCAAAATATTAGTGGTGCCACTCTGGTGTCACATATGCAAGATAACAAGAACAGACGGCTCGTACAATCTTTGCAAGTTAATTATAGTTTCAACGGTACCCATATGTATCGACCCTTGTATTATGCATGCCACTAGATTTTCTGAGCCGTTATTGGTGCGATGCAAGTAAGAGGCAAACCTCAATATGCACTTTGCAGTATTGTATAGCACTCTGTAACAATTCATCGCTATCGCTAGGCCAAATCGCTCATTGTTTGCTGAACTGAATATTTTCTTTCAGTTTTCTTTCTTTCTGTTATCCTCACCTATTGTCATGGAGGCCATTTTAGATGACATCGCCATTGCGCAGCCACCAGAGAAGTTGATTGCGTTGAAACTCAAGCTTGAAGAGCTGGCTGCGAATGCTCTTAGTATAAATCCACGCAAGTTGCGAAACAAGAGCCACAAAACATGGCTGGCACTAGGTGGAGATTCCTTAACAGCCGTGAGCTTCATGGGCGCATGCCATGAAGCCGGCTTTGATGTTGATATTTCAAATGTTGTTCAAGCCAAAAGTCTTGACGACTTGATTGAGAGGATTGCGAAGATACACGGATTTGCTCACCCAGCCATTAATGGCAACGGAAGTTTGCGTCATTCATCGGAACGACCCCTTTCAGAGGGACTACGCGTGGTACTGAACGGGTCTATTGATGAGGTTGAAGGCGTCGGACCTTGCTCCCCCATGCAGGAAAACTTTATCGCGCTGCAAAGCGTTGATACTCAGGCATACCAACTGCAGGTGGCGATGACCATAGCTTCTACCAATCCTGCAGTCGTGATCAATATCAACACAATCGAGCAATCCTGGAGAGCGGTGGTGAGAAGACACGCAGCTCTTCGAACCACATTTTTGGAGAGCGTGGACCGCCCTGGACGGTTTGAACAGGTCGTATGGAAAGATATCAACCCCCGAATCAGCGTCCTACAATTGGCCGAGGCTCAGAATACTACATCTTTCGAGGAGCATAGCTCCAAATTTCCTCATCATTTAATCCTGGCACGAGCACCAAACAACAGCCTTTTCTTACGACTGATCGTTTCACATGCTATAGTCGACGGCGTGTCGATTGAGTTGCTGTTCCGAGATCTATTGCAAGCCTTAACAGGAACTCTTCCTACCGATGGACACATGAGGTGTGATGACTTTCTAGCAGCGCAGCAACCAGATACTTCCATCGAGGCCCTCGACTATTGGTCTCGATATACCGAGGCCTTCGAGGGCAGTTTTCTGAGTAGCACCAAATTGGAACCAACGAAACCGACACGCTTGTACACCATCGATCAAGACATGCTCCTCCCGCCGGAGTTGGCCGAGAATCTCTTGGATCATTCAAACGCTACGTTGGCAAACGCGTGCCAGGTCGCATACGCGCTCGTATTGCGTAGTTACACTGGTACAAGCAAGGTCTGTTTCTCGTACACAGCCTCAGGCCGACAGAAGCGCATCAAGGGTTTACAGGACGCAGTTGGCAATTTTGTCAACACGCTTCCCTGCTGCATTGATCTTACGGCAAACCCAACTATAGCTGAGGTCATGGCTGGTACTCAGGGTGATTTCTTGCACAGTCTGCCATTCCAAGGAGCGAACTTGACCGGCAACCAAGAGGGAAGGGGTTTATCCATACAACAACTCAGTGACTCTCTTTTGTCATTCCAACGTCTAGTCCCCGAAGAAGAACTTGCCCAGGCGGGATTTGCCGTGAATATCTTGTCTTGGGATGCACCTTCAGATGTAGGTTGAAGAGCCACTTGCCATAAATTGAACACGAAGCAGTATCAGCAGCAGCTAACATAACTCGTGTGTAGTACAACTACACTTTGGCGATCTCTCTTGATAAACAACGATTAGGGTTCAGGCTTAGTGCCTGGGAATCGCTGACATCCAGAGAAGATGCCCTGAATATGATGCAACTCTTCCAAGACAGTCTCATGTTTGTGCTTCATGACACAAGCAAGCCTTGTTCTGATTTTATGGGGCTAACTGCGACGGACCAAGCGATAATAACTACTCGCAATGAAAACCCATATGGCGTCATACGTAACTGTGTTCATGACCAGGTATGGGCCATAACGAAGCAACAGCCCGACGACACAGCGGTCCATGCGTGGGATGGGGAGCTCACGTATAGTGAATTGCATAGCTCAGCTTGTCGACTGGCATCTAACCTGATTCGTTCCGGCTTAGAACTCGAAGAAAAGGTTGGTGTCTGCATGGACAAGTCCCAATGGGTGCCGGTTGTCATGCTAGCAATTCTGAAAGCCGGAGGTGTAGTGGTCCCCCTAGGAAACCAGTACCCACCAGATCGAATTCATACAATCGTTCAGAATGCCGAGGTGTCCATATTGTTAGCCGATCGAGTGCACGCAAAACGCCTGGAAGGCATTGTGCCCCATATAATTACAATCGACGCTGTATTTCTCGATCAACAACCGCCACCAACGGACACGGCTTGGCCTGCGGTGTCACCAGACAATGCAGCTTGGATCGTTCACACTTCTGGGAGCACGGGATTTCCCAAAGGCGTGGTATTGGAACACAAGACGCTTTGCGCACCAATGCATGTCCAGGCAGTCCGGTATAGCATGGGACGGTCCACACGGGCCCTGCAGTTCTCGGCCCATACATTCGACGTTGTCGTCAAGGACATATTCACTACGCTAAGTTTTGGTGGATGTGTCTGTATTCCCTCCGAGAGCGAAAGGCTCAACAACCTCAGCCTGACTATTAATACAATGAAAGTCAATTTTGCCACATTGACTCCGACTGTGGCGTCACTGCTCGATCCACGGGATGTACCTACGCTCGAGACGATAGTCTCAACGGGCGAGGCATTAAGCCCAACAGTTCTACAGCCCTGGCTGAAATACAGTCGTGTGAAATGGTTCAATGGCTACGGTCCTTCGGAATGTTCTCATGTCTCTACAATTAACGGACCTATCACACGTGCTGAGGATGGATCCAATATTGGATTTCCTGCAGCGAATTGCCTTTGGGTGGTAGACCCCCTCGATTACCACCGTCTCAGTCCAATCGGTGCGGTAGGGGAACTTTTAATTGAAGGTGCCATTGCGCGCGAGTATCTGAACGATCTGGCAAGTACTGTGGCGGCTTTCATTGTTGACCCAGATTTCCTGAACCGGCTTGGCTTGGCGCCAGGTCGGCGTATGTACCGTACCGGAGATCTAGTTCGACAAAATAAGGACGGGACCTTGACATACCTGGGTCGTAAGGATACGCAGATTAAGATCCGTGGTCAGCGAGTTGAGGTAGGAGAAATTGAGACTCGAATCTCACAATCGCTGCCAGGAAGCCCCCTCGTCTGTGTGGACTTGCTACATCCAAGAGATAATCTCTTGGGATCGTCCATGTTAATCGCAGCGATCGAGATACATCAGGTGACGTCCCCACAGGTCATAGCACCGGGCACGCTATGCGAAGCATCCGAAAGTATGCAAGATTTATTGCAAAGCCTGCATACCAAATTACTTGACGGATTGCCTCTCTACATGGTTCCAAATCACTTCGTACCTTTCGTTATGCTGCCCAGGAATGCATCGGCCAAAATGGACCGACGTGCTACACGCGAGATACTCGGTAGACTAACGGAACGAGAGCTCGCAAGCTTTAAACCAACAAATGTCACACGTACCATATCAACAGAAACAGGAAGGCGCCTCCAGGCCATTTGGGCCGAGGTGCTTGGGCGTACTACAGCAGAGATCGGCGAGAATGATCACTTTATGCAGCTTGGTGGTGATTCAGTGGTAGCCATGCGTATGGTTGGCATCGCTCGGAAGAGTGGCTTGCTTCTCTCAGTGTCCGACATTGTGCAACACCCGCGATTAATTGACCTGGTGAGGGTCGTTGATGGCTTTGATCAGACGGCGGAGCAAGCCGCAAGAGATGATTCTCGAGCCTTTGAGTTGTGGGACGGATACCTCTCTGCCAGCACCACTGAACAGGAAGCACTCTTGGCCGGTGTAGCAGATCAGTGCGGCATTCCTCCGAGCCATGTGGTAGACGTATATCCTGCTTCACCACTTCAGGAAGGTCTCATGGCAATGACATCTCAGTATCAGGGAACCTATGTTGCTCAACAGGTATTCCGTATGGAAGCTAGAATTGACATCGAAAGGTTCCAAGAGGCCTGGGAGAACGTAGCATCATCCCTTGCGATTATGCGGACCCGAATTGTTTATACGCCGGGCGCAGGTTCGGTACAAGTGGTAATACGAGATGCACCACGGTGGACTGTATCAACTGACCTAGCCGCTTTTCTGAAAGAAGATCGAGAAGCCTCATTTGCCTATGGGACTCCGCTGCACCGATTTGCCATCATCGATGACAGCAAAAAAGGTGGTCGATATTTCGCATGGACAGCCCACCATTCTGCATACGATGGGCAGACTGTCACCAGAACGCTGACGATGGTCGCCCAGGTCTTCCAGGGAGGCACATGTGAAGCTGTCATTCCGATCACACGTTTTATTCGTTCTCTTGGACAAAGTAGCCAAAATGTGGGATGGGAGCGCTCCAAAAAATATTGGAAAAAGGAGCTCCTAAATGCTCAATTGACGCGGTTTCCAGAGTTACCTAGTCCCTCGTACCGCCCGTTTGCTGACGGCGTGATGAGACATCACTTCAAGCCATTGGACCAACTAGAGAAATCCAACAGGCATGGCAGCCGCGTCTCGTTAGCCATTCTGTTGCGAGCAGCATGGGCTTTGGTGGTTGCCGGCGGCACAGGCAACGATGAGGCCATGCTTGCGATCGTCCTCTCGGGTCGCGATGCGCCTGTTTTCGGCATCGAAGATATTGTCGCGCCCACCATCACCACCGTTCCTGTCAGAGTCCGCCTTGATCGGAGCCAGGCCGTGACCGATTTCCTCTCCGCGATTGATGCACAAAGTAAGAATATGGCACCCCACACGCAGTTTGGACTTGCCAATATTCGTCGTGAAGTTTCGGATGTGGGCCACAATTTTGATCCCGGCCACCTGTTTGTGGTGCACTTTGGAACTCCGCCAGAAGACATCACGGCCGCTGCCACTCTCGGTCTAGAGAGAATGGCTGGGGAAAGACAAAACTTCGAAGGGTATGCCCTCGTGGTCGAATGCTCACTTGATGATAAAGGCACAGACATCGTAGTGGAAACGCATTTTGACACTAAAGTCCTCACTCCGGAACGAGTAGCAGTGTTACTGTCACGGCTGGACCACATTACGCATGAGTTGGAGCGTTACAACGTCCCAGATGCTGCCTTAGACAATTCTCAGAGGAGCCGCACCATTGGCAACATTGATGTAATCACCACGAGTGAAAAGGAGAAACTCATGAGCTGGAACAGACCGCCTCCTGATGCTTTTCGAGGCACTTTGGATCAGTTAGTCGCAAAACAGATCGCAGAAACCCCGCAAGCTCTGGCAGTCTCTGCAAGGGGTTGTGAGCTGACTTACTCTGAGCTCGACGACGCCGCTGGCCGTCTGGCACAGCTCCTGGTCGTGGTCGGGGTTGGCCCCGAGGTTCTCGTCGGGGTCTGCATGGACAAGTCTGAATATTCCGTAATTTCCATGTTGGCGATCTTGCGGGCAGGCGGTGGTGTGGTACCGCTTGGGATACAAAACACCACTGCCCGGATGCAAACTCTCGTTACTGATGCAGAGATTTCGGTCGCCTTGGTCGACGTGGCGCAGGCCAAGCGATTTAATGCATTGAGTCTTCATACAATTGTCGTCAACGCCACTCTGCTGAAGTCCCTGCCAGGCCAGGGTAGCAATACATCTATACTCTCGCGAGCCAGTCCGAACAATCCAGCGTGGATGATCTTCACCTCAGGCAGTACAGGAGTCCCGAAGGGCGTCGTTCTGGAACACCAAGCTTTGTGCCATGGTATCTTAGCCGCGGGAGTGCGGTTTGGTGTAACACCCGCGACCCGAACTTTCCAATTTTCTGCCTTCACGTTCGATGTTAGCATTACTGATGTATTCACCACTTTGACCTATGGGGGCTGCATTTGCATGCCGTCGGAGAGAGATCGTACTGACGACTTGGTCGGCGCCATGAATGACTTCGCTGTCACACTAGCGGTGTTGACCCCCACCGTAACTGCCTTGCTTGACCCTGAGACAGTACCCGCATCCCTAGACACCATCGTTCTTGTAGGCGAAGCTATTAAACCAGAGGCTGTCGAGCCCTGGGCGGGTCATATCAAAGTTTTCAACGCCTACGGACCGGCCGAATGTTCAATATATTCTGTCATCAACGGTCCAATCCTTCGCCCGGAGGACGCACCCATCATTGGATCCAATGTGTCCAACCGATTATGGATAACACATCCCTTGGACCACAATTCTCTAGTTCCCATTGGCGCCCCGGGTGAACTACTTATCGAAGGGCCGTCGCTAGCTCGCTCATACCTCCATGATCCTAACAAGACAGCCGCTTCTTTTGTTGTTGACCCTGATTTCGCCACTTCACTGAACCTCGCACCCGGGCGCCGCATGTATCGAACTGGTGATCTTGTCCGACAGAATCCCGACGATGGGTTGTTGGTTTGTCTAGGCCGTCTCGATGCCCAGATCAAAATCCGTGGCCAGCGGGTGGAAGTGGGAGAGATTGAAAGTCACATTGTGCGTTTGCAGCCCGCGATACATCGCGCATGTGTTGATCTTGTATCGCTGCGCGATTCGTCAGAACCATTGCTCCTGGCCGCGGTGGCGCTTCCTAAGGGTCTCGAAGATAAGAGGAACAGCCTGGACAATGATGATCATCAACCCGAGATTGCAGAGGCAATTTATAGGCCTTCCCCTCCAGTAAACGCATTCTTAGGAGAACTCCGCGGCTATCTCGCGAAAGTTCTGCCCCTCTATATGGTCCCCACGCACTTTGTGCCCATGGACCTGCCTGTAAACGCCTCTGGAAAATTGGATCGACGTGCAAGTAGAACCATACTAGAAAGTCTCACCCGCAAACAGCTGCTAGCATTTGCGGTAGACCGAAGAAACAAGGCAGAGGACCGTTTGCTCTCAAAGACCGAGGAACAGCTTCGTTTACTGTGGGCTCAAGTACTCGGTCTCCAAGCCGGAGAAGGTGGCACCGCCGAAGATGACTTCTTTGAGCTCGGAGGTGACTCTGTAGCGGCTATGAGACTCGCCGCGGCGGCGCGAAACGCACCGCTGCCTATGCAACTTGGAGTGAGACAGATTCTCCAGAACCCACGGCTTGTAGATATGGCACGGGTGTCCGGTGAGAACACAGCCGCGGCAGTGGCTGTTGCCGCGAAAGCAGATCCCAAGCCTTTTGAGCTTTGGAGCGGCTTCCTTGAAGCCACTGTCGACCAACAAAAGGCTTCACTAAGTACTCTCATCAAGCAATGCAAGGATATTGCCGGACCTGAGGACATTATTGACGTGTATCCTACTACGTCGTTACAAGAAGGTTTAATGGCCATAACATCTAAGCAGACGAGTGCCTACGTAGCGCAGCAAGTCTTCCGGCTGGGAGCAGATGTCGATATATCCCGCCTACATTGGGCTTGGGAGTTCATGAGCAGCAAACTGTCTATCCTCCGCACACGTATCGTATACACGGCTCAAGGTTCTTTGCAGGTTGTTGTGAAAAGGGCCCAAGAGTGGGTGTATGTTACTGGCTTGAGTAGTTATCTCGCACAAGATCAGTCGCAGCCTTTCGCTTATGGGACGTCGCTGCATCGCCTCGCGATTATTCAAGACGAGTCAAGCAAGTATTTCGTCTGGACGGTCCACCATGCGGCATATGATGGATGGACACTATCGCTCGCGTTGCGCATGCTCGTGCAAACGTATCAGGGCGAGCAAGGAAGCTTAATGGCGACGCCAATTCCGCGCTTCATTAGATACCTACAGCAAGTTGACGAAAACGCCTTGAACGCGTACTGGAGAAGCCAGCTCCAAGACGCCCAACTTACCCGCTTTCCCTCTCTTCCATCCTTGACATACCAGCCACATGCCGGCAGTCTCCTCCGAACATGCATCAACGGCTTCTTGAAAAGTCACCGTGGCGTTAGAAATGGCACCATAAACGACACCTCTAAGGCAACAATTCCATTGGGCGTTCTGTTGCGAGCGGCGTGGGCTGCAACCGTCGCGGCCTATACGGGAAACAATGAGGCCACATTCAATGTTTCTCTCAGTGGTCGGGACGTGCCTGTTCAAGATATCGCCAATGTGGTGGGGCCCACCCTCACAACCGTTCCGGTCCGAATAGTGCTGAACAATGCACAATCTGCGGATGATTTCCTTGATGCCGTAAACAAACAAGCCAAAGAAATGGTTACTTTTGCTCATGCTGGTCTGCATAGAATTCGGAACGCGGTGCCCGGACTCGGCGCAGACTTTGACGCAGGACACTTGTTCATCATACAGCCCGCACCCACAGAAGCTGAAGGTTCTGGACTCGAAGCGATTGGTTTGGAGCTTGAAACAAACATAGCCGACAGCGCCGAGACTCGCGACTTTGGCGGGTACGCCCTCGCGGTGGACTGCACGGTTGATGCCGACTCTGTTGAGATTGAAATGCGCTATGATAGTGAAATTCTCCCGCCCGCTCGAGCAGCAGCCCTTCTGTCCCATTTTGAGCACACGATCCGGCAGCTGGACAGCCGCGACCGTGGAACTACCTTAGCCGACCTTGACCTCTTCAGCCCAGCCGATGCGAAGACGATCCAGACATGGAATAAGAACACACCGTGCGATACACAAGCTTGCATTCACGAGCTTATACACAAAATGGTGGAGGAAAACCCTGAAGCTCAAGCCATTGACGCTTGGGACGGGGAGTTTTCGTATGCGAAGCTCTATGCGACCGCTCGTCAGCTTGCCCAGCATCTCGTTAGTGATTGTGGGGTGAAGCCTGAGACCACCGTCGGGCTATGTATGGATAAGTCTTGCTGGGCCGTCATATCCATGCTCGCAATCCTGATGGCTGGTGGCGCCGTAGTGCCCTTGGGTATCCAACAACCCCTGACTAGGGTTGCAACCATTGCGCAGGACGCGAGTATTTCCACTATCCTTGTAGATAGCAGGCATGCGCAACGTCTCGCGCAACTGGAAGGGATCTCACCCTGCCTTGTTACTGTGAACGGCACTTTCATGGAAGCTCTGCCACTGCTGCCTCCCATGACTAGTGGGCCATTGTCCAATCGCGTTCTGCCTAGCAACGCGGCTTGGGTCGTATACACATCTGGTAGCACAGGCGTACCCAAAGGCGTGGTTTTAGAACACAAGTCGCTTTGTAGCAGCTTCCACGCACATGGTCCCCGGGTTGGATTCGGGCGCGATACAAGAGCTCTCCAATTCTCCGCCTTCACTTTTGATAATGCTATCGAGGATATTTTGTCTGTACTAGTGTTCGGAGGTTGTGTTTGTGTTCCATCTGAGGATCAGCGTCTTAACACCCTAGCCGACACAATCCGCCAGCTGAATGTGAATTTAGTGAATGTCACACCAACTGTAGCGTCGCTGATTAATCCAGCTGATGTACCCATGGTTAAGACTCTGTAAGTAAAAAACAACATGTTCCTCCCTCGTCGTGGAGTTGGAAGCTGACGATGTCTCTCTTTCAAATCTTCAGTCTCCTCGGTGGAGAAACAGTCAGCCCCGCTGTGGTGGAGCAGTGGCTAGGACACGCCAAGGTAATCAATACATACGGTCCAGCGGAATGTTCCGTTGATGTCGCCTGCTCTGCGCCCATGCAGCAACCACGCGACGCATACACCATTGGTTTCCCGCTCGGCGTCTGTTTCTGGGTTGCCAGCCCGTCTGACTACAACCGCCTAGTACCAATAGGGATGCCAGGTGAACTCCTAGTAGAAGGCCCCCATCTCGGACGAGGATATATCAATGACCCCGAGAAGACAGCCAAAAGCTTTGTATGGGATCCGGATTTCGTCACGCAGCTGGGCTTGTCACCTCGGCGTCGCATGTACAGGACTGGAGACCTCGTCCAGCAGAATGCCGATGGTTCGCTGGTCCATCTTGGACGCATTGATACGCAAATCAAAGTTCGTGGTCAAAGAGTCGAAACAGGTGAAATCGAAAGCCATATCGTGCGGCTTCAGCGGGAGGTTCGCATTGCCTGTGTTGATTTGGTAAAGCCGAGTGATACGTCTAGTGACCCAATGCTCGTAGCAGCCATCGACGTTGGTGACTTTGGCCGCGATGAGAACGACAATGCAGAAGGTCTACTGCCGCAGATGGTGCGGCGGCCGACGAATGCCCTTAATGCCATGATCGAGAATTTGCGCAACGAATTGTTTTCGGTTCTTCCACGCTACATGGTACCGCATTTTGTGTCAATGACAAGCCTGCCACAAAATGCTTCTGGTAAGTTAGACAGGCGGGTTACACATGGGATCCTCGCTGGTCTTAGCCGCGAACAGCTTGGAGTGTTTGAAGCAACAATGGACAACTTCGAAGACAGAGTTCTGTCCCCCATGGAGGATCAACTACGCCGTATCTGGATCAAAGTTCTAGGGTGCTCGTCCAAAATTGGTGTCCATGCCCATTTCGTTCAACTTGGAGGCGACTCCGTTACTGCGATGCGTATTGTTGCAGCAGCCCAAGGCGAGGGCATCCGCATTGGAGTGGCCGATATACTCCAAAGTCCGCGCCTATCCGACCTTGCCTGTGTAGCTGAGAATTACATCGTAGCCAGAGCCTCCGTGGAAGATCCTTCCCCGTTCCAACTCTGGCATGGTTTCAGTGAGGCCAGTGCGCAGAAGCAGAGAGAATGGCTTTTCGATATTGCCGACCGGTGCGGTGTGTCATCGGAAGACATCGAAGACATTTATCCCGCAACGCCTCTTCAAGAAGGTCTTATGGCAGTGACAGCTGAGCAACCCGACGCATACTTTGCTCAATTCAAATTCCGCATGCGTGATGTCGACTTGTTGCGTTTTAAAGCAGCCTGGGGTAAGCTAATGAATTCTCTCACAATTCTGCGGACTCGCATCGTGTACGACGCTGCCCGCGCAGCCTCGGTACAGGTTGTAGTGCGTAAAGCTCTGTCCTGGGGTCACGGAGATGATCTGCAAACGTATCTAGCCAATGATGAGGCACTGCATTTTGCGTATGGGACGCCTCTTCACCGTCTGGCAATTATCAAGACCACGGACGGCAAGGAAGATTACTTCGTGTGGACCCTACATCACAGTGCTTACGACGGGTATCAAGTTGCGTTGACGCTTAACATGCTGGCAAAACTCTACCAGACCGGAGGAGAGTTCTATCCTCCGCCTCCACCAATCCCTCGTTTCATCGAATATTTGCAGCGGAAAGACAAAGATCAGGTAGCTGCGTATTGGAAACAGCAGCTTGAAGGGGTTCCCCTGGCCCGCTTTCCTCCGCTACCGCACATCTCGTACCGCCCGCGGTCTAGTGCTTTCTCTCGATGGCGGGTACAGCATATTCAACAGCTCCATGGGGGCGCGCCGGTCGCGACACTCTTGCGAGCGGCCTGGGCTCTCACCGTCGCATCGTATACAGGAAGCACTGAAAGTATATCAGCTGTGGCCCTCGCTGGCCGCAACATCCCGGTCCTAGACATTGGTAATATGGCAATGCCTACTCTGACGACGGTCCCTATGAGAACGCGCTTCGATGATCGTACGCAGCTCGTTTCCGATCTTCTGGAGGGTATGGAGCGACAGGGCGAGGAGATGCAACCGTTCCTGCATACCGGTATGCAGCACATTCGCGCTGCAATGCCTGGTCTCGGAGCCGACTTTGACCCAGGCCATCTGTTTATCGTGCAACCAACGATGGGGGACAATGATGCAGACTCGCTCCAAACAATCGGCCTTGAAGAACTTGCCACTAACAAGGCAGATTTTAGTGGATATGCGCTCGCAGTACAGTGCATGGTTGATCCCAAAGGGACAGTGGATGTCGAAATGCTATACGACGACGAGATGCTTCCCGAATCCGTGGCGGAGGCTCTATTCTCACAGTTCGAACACATAATACAACAGCTAGAAACTCACAGCGGTTCTACGATTGGTGAACTCGATCTTTTGAGAGAGGCAGATGTGGAGCGAATAAGAAAATGGAATCAGCCCGTCCTGCAAGCAACCCCCCTTCGTGCCTGTATCCACGACCTCGTACAGAAAATGGTTGATGAACAACCGCATGCACAAGCTATATCAGCCTGGGATGGCGACCTGACCTATGCCGAATTGAACGAAACTGCTTCCCGGTTGTCACACCACTTAGTCAATATTGGTGTTGGGCCCGAAGTGACGGTAGGCGTCTGCATGGATAAATCGCTATGGGCAATGGTATCCATGCTGGCTATATTGCAAGCCGGCGGAGTAGTAGTAGCACTCGGCCCACAACACCCGCTGACACGCATTGAGGCAATCATTACAGATGCCGACATACGCGTGACGCTGGTCGACAAAGCACAAGCCCAACGACTGCAGGGTGTACCGCATCCAATTGTGGTCGACTCCCTGTTCATTCAGCAACTCCCAGCACACCCAGCACCTCCCCGCAGGACAGACCTGACACCGGACAATGCTGCTTGGATTGTGTACACATCAGGCAGCACCGGCACGCCCAAGGGGGTGGTCCTTGAGCACCGCGCACTATGTACCGGAATCGTCAGTCATGGCACCATCTTCGGCAACAGCACCCACACTCGTGCTCTTCAGTTTGCCTCACATACCTTCGGCGTCGTTCTAGAGGACATGTTTACCACACTTATCTTCGGCGGCTGCACGTGCATCCCGTCCGAGGACCAGCGCCTCAATATGAGCGAGCTAGCAGATGTTATCCGGCGCATGGAGGTTAATTTTGTCAATTTGACATCGACCGCTGCATCCATGATAGATCCGCACGAGGTCCCAATGGTTGAGACAGTAGTGCTAGGCGGTGAAGCCGTTCGGCCAGCCGTGGCGGAATTATGGCTGAAACACGCAAAGGTGCTTAATGCCTATGGCCAGAGCGAGTGCTCCGTTGAATCCGTTATTGGTCTAGTAGAGCACGAGCGAGACGCCGCCGTCATTGGTTCACCCATTGGTGGCTCCGTTGCTTGGGTGGTCGATACATCCAACTGGAACCATCTCGTTCCTGTGGGAACCCCAGGTGAGCTTCTGATCCAGGGGCCTCTCCTTGCGCGAGGCTATCTGAATGATGCAGACAAAACTTCTGCCGCATTTATAACGGATCCGGATTTTCTGATACGACTCGGTATCTTTCCGGGAACTGGTCACCGCATGTACCGCACAGGTGATCTAGTGCAGCAAAATTTTGACGGCTCACTTGTCTACTTGGGCCGTTGTGATTCTCAAATCAAAGTACGGGGCCAACGGGTTGAGCCCGGAGAGATTGAGAGTCGCATTGTACAACTTCACAGCGATATTTCTCATGCTTTCGTCGGTCTGGTGAGACCATGCGATGCACCTATCTCTGCTAATCCGGTGCTCGTAGCCGCTATCGAGCTCCGAGAACTCGTAGAGATTAGGTCATTTGACAAGATTGAAAATAAGCACGGATTACCGCGTGCCGTGCGATCACCTACACAACAGCTAACTGCTATGGTACAACACATAAGGACCGCTCTGCTCCAGGAGCTTCCTCCGCATATGGTTCCCAGCTATTTTGTGCCCATGTCAAATCACTTGCCGGTCAATGCGTCTGGCAAATTAGATCGACGAGCTACACATACTATTCTCGCCAGCTTAAATCGAGACCAACTCGAAGCCTCCAGCAGAACTGATAAAAAGACGAACAGAGCGCTATCGGCCACAGAAATCAAACTTCGTGAAGCGTATGCCGAGATCCTTGGCCGCCCTGTGGAAGAAATTGGGCCAGACGATCACTTCATTGAACTAGGTGGCGACTCTGTGGCAGCCATGCACGTCGTGGCGGCGTGCCGCAAGCGTGGCCTAACAGTTTCTGTACGTGATTTGTTGCAGAAGCAAAGTATCACGACTCTGTCGCCGTACGTACAAGAATGGACTCAAAACGACACACCTCAAAGTTCGGATCATAGACTGGCCGGGGTGTCATCAGCTGTGACCGACATTCAGGAGTGGATGTTGAACTACCATGTCGCGCGCCCTGATGTCGGCATGACGTATTTCGCAATGGATGCATCAGAAGCACTGGTAGGTGAGAGGATGGCTCATGCCTGTCGGAATCTACTGGGTTCGATTGAGACGTTGCATACGGGATTTGTCCTCGAGCAGGGAACCTGGAAGCGGATTGTACTCTCGCCGTTTGTCCCTGACGTGCAGACACATATCACAGATGGCACTATAGACGAATGGACTGCAGACTTCCTTCAGCGTGAAGGTTCCAAGCCCCTGCAGCCCGGTCGACCGCTAGCAGATATCGCGATCTGCACCACCAAGCAACAGGGAGGGCAACACCGTATCCTCTTCCGCCTCTCACACGCAATCTGGGACGGTATGTGTATACCAATATTCTGGTCGACCTTGCAAGAACTATATCAGAACGGCCATGCCAAGAAAGCTGCGACTTTTTCACAGTACGTCGCCCAAGTCGAGAAGCGTCGTACTCCCGAGTCCTCTAGATACTGGGCAAACTTGCTCAAGGGTGCGGACATGACACCTATTGGGCACACCACAACTCAGGCCAATGAATACGTGTACCGAGCGGGCGTGATAGGTCCCAAAATGATGAAGGTCGGCCAGAATCTACCTAAGGGCATGACCTGCGCAAACGTAGTCAAAGCGGCGTGGTCCGTGGTGTTAGCTCGACATGCAAAGCGCGCCGATGTTGTATTCGCAGATCTCGTCTCTGGTCGTGCTGGGGTCGACCCATCCGTGGCTGATGCTCTGGGCTGTTGTTCAACGCCGATTCCAGTGCGCGTCCAGCTAGAGCCTTCTTTGACGTATGCAGACCTGGTACAAATGTTGCAAGTTCAGCAGCTCGACAGCATTCCCTTCGAAACTTATGGATTCAACCGCATTGTTAGGGAGTGTACAGACTGGCCCGCAGATACAGTGGCCACCTCATGGATCAACCACGTCCCAACTCGCATGGCCGGTACACTCGACATCGACGGCACGGAGTACACACTTTGCCAGCCGAAACAACAAGAGGAGAAGAACTGGACATTTAGCGAGGCCCGAATCTCTTGGACGCACAGCAACAACATGCTTGAGTTTCATCTGGTTTATGCTATCAACAAAGTATCAAACAGGATTGCCCAGCGCCTCTACGACGAACTCGCTTCCACCTTAGAGCGAATTTTCACATCTCCTGACTCTTTGATTGGAGAGCAATTAACAATTGGCGCGACGAACAAAGTTTGGTTCGACAGGAACTGATTTAAAGAGGGGTCTGAACGCCAAGGAACGGGAATTGGCGTAGGCAATCTGGCTTCAGCCCATACAAATGGCTAGATTTTATCAAGCCTCTGTTGACTTAACATTCTTTAGTCTTACCTAATCCTAACCTCGCTCGTAAAGCTTGGCGTGTGAGTAATGAATTCTGGACAATGCCTACGCATGAGGAATCAAAGTAGTGGCATACGCTCCCGTTATCATTAATTACTGTCAACCTACTGGGATATAGTTATGTTGTAAGAAGTTCAAGATACCGCAGAAACACTGTTCAAGCAAAGAAGCACGAATTTTGAATTACAAATTAGAATAGTTCTGCATTACACCACACCACTTTGAGTTAGAGGTCAGGTGGCAATCGTTTCACTTGATCGGTACACAGTATGCGGCAGCATATGTCAACGAAAACAATACCAACTTTCGCTTGAGCACCACAAAATCACTTGCCCAAAACGGCCTGGCATTTCTTTTCGTGTTAGAAAGGCGTCAGAAGTGATTCCTCATCTCTTTACACTTTTCTAACCAGCTTGCTGAACTCCCAGAATGGGCAAGGGAACTTACCTGTGTCATGACACGTTTTGAATTGAGATATGACAAAGATATTGATCCTTTAATCCTTCAAGAATAACACACATTACTCTCGCTCTTAGGCCAGGCTTTACACGCATGCGATATTGCTAGTAAGAGAACACTAACAATGAACGATAGTTGATAATGCCACTACTAATAGTTACGCTCATTTAACTTCACACGGAAAGCGAATCCTGTTAAGCCAAGCCGCGTACTCAGTGATTACGCAGCGCCTCCTCGTCATTCTTACGGTCTTGGTCAAGTTTCAACAATAACACATTCGTGACTACACATGCTGGTGAATTGTGATTTTGGTAGTCGATGATGTGAGGCATTCACCTTGGACATACTGCCATTATGCAAGACCAACAAAGCGCCAGCGTCGATAACATTCAACCGGGTGAGCCATTTCCTCCTAGATTTTACAATGGTCATGTCGACACATTCGTTCCTCAGAATGTCTTCGTCTATACAATGTAAAGTCTTCCTTGAAAGGAAAATGCAAGTCTGAATTAGTTGCTGACCCGTTCCGCGTCCCCACGCATAGCCGCGAACTGGCTCGGCCATGAAATGACCAAGCTACGTTTGCTCCCCCAAATTATCGGGCATCGTGGGTACAGCGCTGCGTACCCCGAAAATACGATGGCTGCATTTCGTGGAGCGGTGGATGTTGGTGCTCACGGTATCGAAACTGACTTACATCTATCAAAGGATGGTGTTGTCGTTTTGTCGCACGTTAGTTCTCACAAGGTCACCCTAAAAGGAGTCCTCTGTCAAATCAGTCCGTGGATCAGGAAACCTAACCGCTTGAGACTAGGACGCGACATTGAACCGTTGCTTTGGCGAGCCGCATAAGGTTGCTGAGTGCGATTGGAGCTATCTACGCACACTTCGTACTTTACGCGAATGGAAGGAGCCAATGCCTTGTCTGGTAGATCTTCTAACGTACGTGGCCCAGCCCAGGATAGACCACATATGGCTGTTACTCGACATCAAGGTATAGTTCATGCTGACGCGATTTAAGAAAGTCGCATCGTTTTTCGATAACTAATGCTCTCTGTGCTATATGTAAAGAGAGATGATATTGCAGACGAGTTGTTCACTTCCCTTGTAGCGGCAATAGCTTCCGTTCCTGCAACCTCACGTCCGTGGAGTAAAAGGATCATACTTGGGGTCTGGGACGTAAGATTGAGCTCGATATGGTCAGCCTTGTGTTTTTGATGCTAATGAATAGATAGGCAGATTGGGTAGTGGCATGTCACAGATATCTTCCAGAATTCTCCGTCGTCTTAACGACATCATCGCCAGCCTATGCATCAGCAATACTTGCAGTCCCTGGTTTGCATCTCAGCCTACTCAACTACTCCTTTGCCACCGCCAGAGGGGCCCAAGTCATATTAGAAGCTAGGAAGAAGGCGCGGATGATTTTCTCATGGTCGGACAATGCGGAGGAGTGGATGGCTTTGAGCATACGCAACAGGATTGACGGCGTTATTACGGATGATCCCAAACGCTTTAATGATCTATGCAGTCAGTGGCAAGATGAGATGGTGCGGGAGAGGGCCAGTCGGTCGACCATATGGGAGATGAGCTTTTGGGCGGGTATTAATATCAATGTATGGGTATCAGAAACCATTTCTAACTTCAGGCAAGGCCCGCCAAGCATACAAGTAAAGAAAGCACTAGGTATATAACGAATACTCCCGGTATCCACACAAATCGATGGCAATCACTTGAGAGGAAGCTCATTTCCGTAGATTGGCCCTGTCCCACACTGGATCGCTGAGTGTATCCTTGGCGGATATAGAGTTCCGCAATGGTACTTGGTCAAGTCCAGGGGGCTGTCCATAACAGTGAAATTATTGGCATGATTCGCAGCACTATACACATAACCCCTAGCATTAATATCATTTAGAAAAAGAGACCCGCCTCTAACGACCGCATCAGATGTCGCATAACATATTATTTACTATGTGAACCTTTTACTTATCTGTAATCCTCAAATTAGGCCGCACGCGGCCATTCGAATACCGCCGAATCCTATTGCAACTCCCTCTAGCCACATGAGTATTGCGAGCTGTGGTCCGACTAAAGACGGCACCGCACCGAGGACACCGACAAATGGGTCGGGCGCGGGACTTTTCCCTAAGATGGCGTCGAAGATTGCTACGTGTGGTAAATTTGCGCCCATTGCATCCATGCTCCCAACAGCAAAGGCTCGTGCCATCGCCATCGCCATCGCCATCGCCATCCCCGTTGTTTCCTCCTGTGTCCGATTTACCAAGAATGACAGGGCTAATAGTAGTGATTGGCGTGTATAACGGCTGAAAGGACCCCACGTAGGTGAGGTCACTGGAAGGTGGCAGCCCATCGGGGCAGGTAACCATGTGACTACTGTGGCTGCCATTACGGCCCTCATTGCTCTCACTGTCACTAAAATCGTCTTCATCAAAGAAGTCGTCATCGTCATCTTCTTCTTCCTCATCGCATTCGCCGCTCGTATTCGCTTGATCTTCTCCATCGTCAACTTCCGAGCTTGTACTTTGTTCGTCATTGTCTTCCTCATCCACGTCGTCACTCATATATTCATCGCTGTCGTCTGATAGCTCATCCTCGTCCTCATCCTTAGGCCCCCCAAATATTTCACCAACCATGACGGGCTGATTAATTTTTAAATCAAAATTGAATGTAGGCCGAATGTACGTAGGTTCTGATGGTAAAAAGAGTTTGGCGCCACTTGAAGTTTTGTTTTGGAACACATTCATGACCCGCATTACGCGTCGAAATAGGTCCATGTCCTCTTGTGAGGGAGTACCAGTGTTCCCAACTGTGCCCATGGTGAGATTCATGCGTTTAGTCATCATTGTGAGGATAGTGAAGTCATATCACCAATCCCGCGACAAGTCAGGATATGATCAGTTCAGTAGGACGTCGACAAGAGGCCTGAATGTTGTTCTATCGATATCGGCGGCCTGTAAACTGGCTATCCGAGCGACTTGACGCTTCAGGTTTGCATACGCATTAGCCATGGCTCACCAATCACTACCACAGTCTTGCTCTTGTGTTAGTATGAAGTTGTGCCGTGTCAATCCGTGGCGCCACGAGTGGTAAAATACATGCATTGCAATTATGGTGCCACAATGGATTAAATAGGATCTAGTCCGGGGTTTCAACTATATCCCGCAGCTAAGAGTACAGGGCAGACAACAAAGTGCGGTGAGCAAATGCCGTCGGAGCCATTATGGTGCTGCATTGGTGCCACCCGTACAGTCGGCAATATTGCGGCGCCGCAAAGTCAGTCCCTCGACATGCGGAGAAGCCTGTAAGCGTGAGATTTCAGTGCATGGGTTGCTGTTGCTAATTTTAACTTGCAATGTCAGCGTCAGCATCACTAATGCTTGGACAACGGTCGTTGGCACGACCGAAGGCGAAAACTTGAAACTTCACAAAAAAGGCGAAGAAATGAAAACAAGAAGTGAAAGGGCTCATGCGCACACACCCTTGTATTCTTAATAGCTCCATAGCGCATTTTGCAACTGTACTATAACACCTGCTGGCTTTGATTGGTCGAATATAGACTTTCAAGCTCGAGGTCTAAGAAAACCGCAACCCCAAGTCTTACCCTTGCTCACTCGATCAATGTTGTGACATCTGGTGAGGAAACAGCGAACAGAAACGAGAAAAAATCATGGAATTTCGATCCATAAACCAGCAGCGGCAACAACCACAACCGTCAGCATGTTCGATCGAAGTTGAGAACTCATGGGGTCCTCAAGTCCATGGCTGCGGTACGGATTTTGACTTGACGCTCCTCTTCCAAGAGGTTGTACTATTCATTGGGCCGCTGGCTATAGCGATTTGCCTGTTTATGGTGCGCCTATGGCAGTTGATTCAAAGTGATTCTATTATCGCGTCTTCCCTGCTTCATCGGCTCAAAGTGGTGAGAACCACATCAATCGACCCTACTGTCCTCGGTAGGCTCACTAACCAGGGCTGCGCTAACAATATATTTCGTGTTCCAGGGTAGCTATGTACTGTTAACGCTCCTCCAATCCGCTCTTTTGGCGGTTCAAGTGTCCCTGCGGCCCTCACTGACCCAGGCAACGATTGCCGCCTCCTGTCTGGGGATTATTGGCGCCTTGATGCTCCTGGTCGTTTCGCATCTAGAGCATAATCGCTCGGTGCGAGGTTCAACGTTTCTGATTCTCTATTTAGGTTTTACTACCATAGCAGATGCGCTACGTGCTCGCACTCTATGGACCATGCCTCCAGAGAACGGCCCTGTGGCCGCCATCCTTACCGCCTTTTGTGCCTGTAAGCTCCTGCTCTTCATCCTCGAGCGCGGGCATAAAGAGGTCCAGCCCGGGATCCGCCAACCGACCCCCGACGAGGGAGCTGATATCGTTTCGCGGCTCTTCTTATGGTGGCTGCTTCCATTATTTAGGATGGGGAGGGAAAAGCCAACAATGACATCTGAGACGCTCCCCGATATTGAGCTCCGACTAACCGTCGCCCACCATCTGCAGAGCTCAGGAGCAAGCGATGGTGCCAGCGAGTTGAGCAAGTCATCCATTTTTCTGGACATATTAGCTTCACGAGGATCGTTGCTGTTGAGCGGTATACCCCCGCGAATCTGCTATACGGGTTTCCTTTTTGCACAGCCTTTCCTAGTTCAGCGAGCTACTGATTGGCTCTCGACTTCATTGGATGCCAACACCTACAAGGTCGGTGGCGGCCTCATTGCGGCCTACTTGATCGTGTACGTTGGTCTAGGGGTAAGTTCATTGTCATCCTGTTTCGCACATGCCACTTTATCATAATATGTAACAAGATAGTAACTGTGAAACATCCATACAGACAACACAGGCTTTCTATCGTCAATGTACGGCTCGCGCCATCACTGCTATCCGCGCCGACTTGGTTAGCATGATACATAACCACAGTCTGAAACTCAGCGCGTCTTCATCTGCCCAAGATTCAGCGTCTACCCTAATGAGCGCCGATGTCGAGCGGTTCGTGACGGGATCGCGCAACATGCACGAGTGTTGGGCGTGTATCATTGAACTCGCCCTGGGCCTGTGGCTCTTGGAACGGCAGATAGGTGTGGCCACTGCCGCAGCGGGAGGGCTAACCATTGTTTTCATCGGGCTAACATCCCTGGTTGTTGGAGCGGCCGGAAAGCGACAAAACGAGTGGCTCAAGGGTATGGAGACGCGCATCGTTGGTACAACGCAGGCGCTCAAGGCCATGAAAGGCATCAAGATGACGGGGATCGCCTGTACGATCCGCCGGGATATAATAGGCCTCCGGAGAGCCGAAGTCCGCAAGATGAGGAGGTTTCGGCAAATCCTTATGGTGGTTTTGTGGGCCATGTGGGTCCCCGTCGTGATGGCTCCTATCGTCGCCTTCACCTATTACAATGTCTCTATTGGCCCAAAGTCCGGATCGATCCTAACTCCTGCTATGGTATATCAGTGCCTGACCATCTTAAACCTGTTTGGCAACAACATTGCAACTCTTCTTGAAAGTTCTGTAAATCTTGTCACTGCAGGAGCTTCCCTCCTGAGAATTCAGGCATTTCTCCTCGGTGAAAATACACGTCATGACACTCGAGTGCTCATGTCATCGCGCCATCCACTGCCCGGTATTGATGACGACGAAACGCCACTCTTCCGTTCGCCTCGGCGGCTTTCAAACAATGGTATCCGCCTGCAGCGGTTGCGGCAAAGTCTCACCCACAGCCCTGCTGCTCTTCGACTTACTCGAGCGTGCGCTGGGTGGAGTACAGATGGGCCCTTGATTGTCAACGATGCGAATCTGGATGTATCTTCCCCAAATGTTGTGGCCGTGGTCGGTCCAACAGGCAGCGGAAAGACAACGTTACTCCAGTTACTCCTTGGAGAGACACAGTCCACCGAGGGCGTGGTCGGCATCACAACCCGACATATCGGCTACTGCAGTCAGACCCCGTGGCTCACTCATGCCTCTATCCGAGATAACATTATAGGGTCGGAAGGTTTCATGGAAATTTGGTACAACACCGTTGTTCACGCAACTTCCCTTCAGCAAGACCTCAATTTGATGACACTGGGTGACAGCACGATCGTTGGAGATGCGGGGAGTACTTTGAGCGGGGGACAGAAGAAAAGGATAGCCCTCGCCCGAGCAATATATTCCAGGGCACCAGTTCTCATTCTTGACGACCCATTTAACGGCCTTGATGGCCGCACAGAGAGTGCCGTGATAGAAGCACTGCTTGGACCTGAGGGACTGCTGCGCAAAAATGAAACTTTGGTCATATGGGCAACAAGCACGCGTACGTAAGAGCTGCTGCAGGTCAAACTTTTGATTTAAAAAGCTAATTAGTAGGTACAGTTCAGCAAGCCCGCCACGCTGACCGCGTCATTTCTCTCACCGACTCTGGCAACATTCGAAAGAGAGACTCTTTGTTGATAGCCAGCAGTAAGGCGAATACATCCTGGTTTAACGATGATTCCGGAGGCGAAGACTCCGCTGTCAACGTGGACACAGGTGCTCTCACCACCATGGAGGTCGTTGAGGGCATTGTTGTTGGCCCAGATCCATCGTCGAATGACGATAGTCATGCACCCGGAAAGAACCCTGCTGCTTACAGGTATTATATTGGTGGTGGTGGCAAGCGAAAATTTCTATTTTTTCTCTGCACAATCGCCATCTTCGTTGTTGCTGCTATGTTCAGTCGTTGAGTAGTTCCTTACCCTACAAGCTGGTATCTTGCTTGCAACCTTCGGGAGAATCGCAACTGACTCTTCACTAGAGGTATGGGCAGTTCGATGGGCCGATAACAACGTCATCGACCCTTCCCGCCTTCAAGGGTTCTATATTGGCATATATTTCGCGATTGGGGCCATCCAGCTAATTGCTTGGACTTTTGCGGGTCTGTATGTTTGATAGTCCAATGAATCCGCTCTCAGCTTTTATGGTATTTCCTGCTGATGCCTCCATTTCACTTGCAGGTTCTTCATATTCAGTATCGCCGAAAAGGCTGCCGATCGCTGCCATACAGTCCTCTTGGATACCGTCTTAAAGTTAGTTTCACGTCAGCCCCTATTTGTGCTCGTTGATCCGCCCAGTGGTATTTGGTGTCCTCTGTCGGTCGATGGAACACTGGCTGACCTGTAGGAAACTAGTGCGCCTATGTCATTTTTTGATTCTACAGCAGCTGGTAAAACCATTAACAGATTTAGTCAGGACTTGCAGCTCATAGACACTGAGTTGCCGTATAATCTGATGGGAACCGTTACGCAGTTTCTGGTTGCGTTTGGACAGTGCGGTATTATTATTTACGGATCCCCGTGGTCCGGCATAGCTATCCCCGTCGTTGCTATCGCCGTCTTTTGGCTCCAGCGCACCTATCTACCCACATCGCGCCAGCTACGGTTACTCGAGATAGAAGCTAAGGCGCCCTTATTCTCCAATTTTCTCGAGACCCTTAGCGGACTAGCGACAATCCGGGCGATGCGGTGGACATCGGCGTACATCCACAAGAACAAGTTGGCAGTCACAGCCAGTCAAAAGCCGTTCTACCTGCTCTTTGCGGCTCAGAACTGGCTAAATCTGGTGCTGGATCTGATTACGGCTGGTCTTGCTGTCACTATCATGTGCGTGGGCGTAGCTACGCGGTCGCAGGCCAACTCCACGCTCGGCTTAGCTCTCTTTAGCGCTGCCAGTTTCGGCGGGTCGGCCAAGAATGTAATACAGCATTGGACCCAGCTGGAGATCAGCATGGGTGCCATCGAACGTGTGCGTGCCTTCACTGTGAACACCGCTTCCGAGAGACAGGAACATGGCGGTCTCCAGGAAACTTCCGCATCCAAAGCAAGGTTTGGAGAGGGCAGCATCACGTTTTCTAACGTCTCTGCTAGATATAAGTGCGTAAAGTCCCTAAAACCCCTCGGTCTTAACCAATATTTTAACAACGGCGTTTATCTACAGACCATCTTTACCACTCGTCATCCGCAATATCTCCTTTAATATTCAGCCGGGTCAGCGATATGCAATCTGCGGCAGAACGGGGAGGTACGTACAGTTCTGAATCACCCTCCTTTGTAGCTGTAACTGAAAACGACAAGTGGCAAGAGCACGCTACTTGCGACGCTTCTACGTCTCATCCCTGTAGATAGTGGGCAAATAGCGGTCGACGGTGCGGACATTTCCAGAAGCGACCCTGACCATGTGCGATCACGATTCATTACCTTGCCCCAGGACCCGGTGCTGATCGGTGGAACGGTGCGCCACAACATGCAACTTTATGAACCCCACAGTACAGAACAGGAAATGATTACAGCACTCGAGGCCTTTGGCTTGTGGGATATCATTATACAGAAAGGCGGGATTGATACAGTAATGAATGACGAGCTTTTATCTCACGGACAGAGGCAGCTTTTCTGCTTCGCCCGGTCCACTCTGCAGAAAGGGAATATCGTCATCCTGGATGAGCCTTCCAGCCAGACTGACCGCGTCACCGAGCAGAAGATCGAGATGATGATTCGCAAGAGATTCGAGCGCCACACAGTCCTATGTATCGCGCACAAGCTTAGTACAATTTTAAGCTTTAACACAGTTATTGTCATGGAAGCTGGCTCGATTGCCGAGTCTGGTAGCCCTCACGCATTGCTTGAGGACCGTACGTCTCTGTTATCTACGTTGATGCAAAGCCAGCGCGAGCAGGATCAGCAGGTCTAGCTGACTTGAGAATGGTACGGATGTATAGAAGTATTCACCAACCATCATTTAGTCCAGAGGAAAGTTCTCAGCATATATAAAGTCGGTCTATCAACATCATGAACATCTGTAATTCCACTCCTCAATATATATCTTCATAGACTGGAACTTGTAAGGATTCATATGCTTATGGGGTCCCTTACAGAGTACGTAATGTATGTAACGTCACATGTCCCTTTGCATATTGGTTGTAGGCCCATCATAGAAACAATTACTACACCTGCAGCTAGACACAAATGCCACCTTTCTTAGGTCCCTTCAGTTAGTTCCCATACTGCATTACCCCATAACACTATAATGATCTATTCAAGTTCTGACAGGACAATCATTTGAGTCATATCGGGCAAGAGATTGGCGTCCATCTCTGTGCCTGGTCGCAGCTCTTTCTGTCCCTCTGGAAGCGATATATCGTACTTGAGTAATAAGTTTGCCACAATCATCTTTCCCAGGGCGCTGGCGTAGTGACGCCCAGGACAAGTGAGGCGGCCACTTCCCCACATACCGTTACCGGGCTCAATGCCGTGGAACTCGCGGTCAGGCGACAGCGGCAGACCTTTGATGTCGAGAAAGCGGCGGGCGTCAAACGTCTCGGGGTTCTGGTAGAAGTCCGGGTCGAGAGCCATGGCCTCGCCGGCTACCGCGATGTACGTTCCTTGTGGGATCCACGTCCCGTCGGAAAGGCCGAAGGAAGACTTTGCGACCCGTGTAATAGCCACTTAGATGGATTAGTCGGCGTGTTTATTTTCTTATCACTGTTTTCCTGCAAGCTTCGGTTCCCGTTGTCAATACACGATAGATAGACTTACAGCCTTCAGGCGCCATCATGCGCAGCGACTCTTTCAGAAACGCGTCGAGCAGGTGCAGCTTTTTGCTGACTTCCAACGTCCATTGCATATTTTCACTGGCCAGGGCTGTCACGGCTTCAGCACGAATATCGGCAATATACTCTGGATGCGCGCAAAGATCGTTAATGGCTTGCGTGATGGCATAAGTCGACGTATTCAACTAAGATCAACAACATTTTAATTACATAGCACGACAGTAAAGAATTGTTCGGATCTCTACTTACTGCTCCTGTAATAATTCCCACTATCTGCAAGGCGACCTTTCGTGGAGACTCATTGTACTCAGCCAGGAACTTGAGAATATCGACGTCCTGATTATCCGGGTGAAGTCGCTTCCGAATTGGCTCCTCAAGGAATCGGTCGGCCTTGGTAAGAATCGCCTCCAGCTTGTTGTCGCGCACAAGAAAGGGTTTCACGAGGGGCCGAAGGACGCGGGGCCAAGGCTTCAGTGCATCACGAATGCGCCAGGCCTCGGGGAAGTACTCCATGACAATCTTGTCCCAGTCACCACCATGGGCGAGCTCCTCGCCAATGAACACCGTCGAGGTTAAGCTCTGGACCATGGCGTAACAGAATTGGTGGACGTTCATCTGCTCTGTCATAATCGCACAGTCAGAAAAGGGGGCTATCCTATTCCCGCCGATGTTGTACAACCCTACATACTGGTATCTTTAGGAACCTGACTGAATAGGGCTTCGCTTGTGCGCCGATATTCGCGGTGCATTATGGGTACCACTGTTTCTAGCAAGAAAAGACATGTTAGTGAAAGCATTTGGAGGCCTGCAAGTGCACAATAAATGCTATCTTACTAAGACTCCGCGTTAGAGGACCACGGACAGCCTCAATATGCTGCTGGCCCCCCATAGCAATATCCCCGCCAATATGCTCGCCCACCCAATAATCCATAAGCACCTGGGAGTGGCTTATCTTGGTCTCGGGTAGCATACGTATCTCGGGCAGGAAATTTGGCGCAATGACCAACTGCTCCTTTTCGGCCGTCTGAATGACGAAGTTCTTGCCCTTATGCTGTTGTCGAAGATGTAAGTAAAATCATAGGCTCCCTAGGTTGGATAGGTATTCGCACACCTCTGTGTAGCCAGCTCGCACCATTGCTCGTCCCTTTTGTCGAAAGTCTTGCGCCGCGGCTTTTTTGTTCAATCCGAAGAGACCCGGCGAGCGCCCTACCCTGATCCATGATTTCCTTCTCGATACGATGCCTCTTATCGCCGCCAGCAATGCAGCAACGAGCAAGACGCACAAAGTAGAATAATTCACATCGGCCTTGATCGTTGCTAGCCTTGCTAAGAGCGGGGTATACAGAGTGCTCATAGCGTAGAAAGAAGCGCTGCAAAGCGTATTCACAATGTACTGGCTAGAGATGGAAATGACGTACTGCGACTTACGCAACAGCTATGGAACAGCAGCAAAATAATATTGTCAGGGGGTCTAACTTCCGCCCATATAATTTTTGTACGAATGCAAGAGCAGTGAGATTATCTGCAGATTAAAGCGTAAGCTGTACTTGGCGATCCTAGAATCCCGCGAGCTAACTAGCAAGATTATATAAAGGTGCACGATGGGCGAGAAATTGTAGGTCATTCCACAAAGGCTGGATTCAAGGATCACGCTTTCTTTAGAGTCTCGTAAATCATTGTTCAATGGTTTGTCTGTACACGGGTGCCGAGGGTCTTAATGCGGCCAATATTGACAACCCCCCATAATGAAAGCGGAACCAGTATTGGAGTTGGTTTGCCTGGTGGCGCCACTTACAATCAACTCACACTTCAAGACAGACAATGGTACCACCAACCGTGACCGATTTTTGCCTATCATTAGATGAAAATACCAATTACTTCGTGATGTGATTACAGAAGCAGAAACCAATGGACTCTTGAATCTGCATTTTCTGAAGCCATTGATAACGACACCTGCATAATGTTGACGGCCCTCATATCCACCTCGGCGCTGGCCGTGGTGGCTTGGCTTATTATTCGGCACACAGCCAAGCTGACGAGAAAGTCCAGTCTGAATATACCATACCTCAGCTTCCCAGATGGTGACAACTCGCCCCAGCGTTACACCCTCGATACGGGAAATCTTCTGGCACAGGGGTACGAGCAGTATTCAAAGAAAGGCTTGCCATTTTCCATGTTTAACTATACGGATGCAGCCCGTCCTATTGTCGTCCTTCCAGTCAAGTATCTTGAGGAAGTTCGCCGCGCAAGCTCGTCCAAGCTCAGTTTCTTGAGTTATCTTAATAAGGTAGATAAAGCAATATACTTTTCGGCGCATAGTCTCGCCTTTTCGCAGTGCGGCTGACATTCTTACTTGGGGCAGTCCACTATTGCTGAGGACATCGGCGCTCCTCTCGTGACTGATCGCGTAATTCATCTTGTACGGCAAGACTTGAACAAATCGCTCAGTGAGTTGTTTCCAGCTTTGGAAAGACATTTATCTCCCACTCAGAGTAACTGACGGGACATTGCACAATTAGATGAATTAATTCAGCCCATTCAGCAAGCCTGCGATAAGCTGATCCCGGCACTTATCCCACCCAGCCAGGATTGGACCCCATTCAATGGGTTTGCACTTCTTTTGCCACTTATTTCTCGGGTAATGGCACGGGTGCTGCTGGGGCCTGAGTTATGGGACAACGAGGAGTGGCATGCGGTAGTAACAGCGTACTTTCAAGCCGGTTTTGCGGCTTCGGCGCGTGTTCGCGATACCTATCACCCTCTGCTTCGTTGGACATCCAGATACCTGGACAAGGATGTGAAAGCCATTTACGAGGCCCGTCGCAAGGGTGAAGCTATTATAAAACCTGTGATAGAGGCCCGCATCGCAAATACCCGTAACCGCGCGGGTGGACAGGAGACAGGATACAACGATGGCGTCCAGTGGCTCGTAGACTCGTATCTGTCCGAAAACAAGCGTGTCAGCGCTGGTCGAATAATGCAGGATGAAGCATTCCTCGTGGCTGCCTCCGTCCACAGTATTGCACTTACAACTCTCTCCATCCTTTTGGACCTTGTCGATCACCCCAAAACGCTGGCTGAAGTTCGGGACGAGATTTCGAAAGTGTATGCTGAGTACGGCAGCTGGACGCGCCAGTCCCTTAGCGCGCTACGGCTTTTGGACAGCTTCATGAAAGAGAGCCAACGGCTGAATAATTTTCAATATAGTTCGTAGAAACGTTCCCGCTCGCATTCAGAGAAATTCCTCCGGACACGTTGGCTAACACATGCTCTCAGACACTATGCAGCGCAGAGCAATCGTGGATTATACCTTCAAAGACGGTCTGCGGATCCCAGCTGGCACTTCAATCGTCGTGCCCAGCCGTCTACTAGGGCGTGACTCTGACCTGCACGACAACGCTCTTCAGTTCGAAGCCAACCGTTGGAAGCGCATGCGCGAGGAAGGCGACGCCACAAAGTTTCATTTCGCCTCCCTACAGGATGATATGCTGCCGTGGGGAAGCGGGTCGCACGCCTGTCCCGGTCGCTTCCTTGCGCAAGAAATCATCAAGCTCATCTTCATTCACCTTGTCACCAAATACGACATCAAATTTCCAGAAGGTGTGGAAAGTCGGCCGCCGGATCTTGCCGAAAACGCCAACTCTAATCCAAATGTCATGGCCACTTTCCTTTTCAAGGAGAGATGAGGCTCTCATATAGCTCTCTTCAGTTGACAAACAGCATAATGATCAGACATATAAATAAAACAAATATAAAAGGCCATGAATAACGAACCCTTAGAAAGCGCTTGCTGTATATTTAAGGCATGTGACTTTATACTTAAGAATTGAATGAAGACTGCCCACTGCGGAAGTGTATTTAACTGGTAAACAAAGCATTCGGCTATTTCTGGAAATTTTGTATTCTCTTAGAAGTTAAAAATTGTGACTCTGATTATAGACGCTGTGTATCCTAAAATAAGCTAAGTTTTTCGAAAGTAGTAAAACAAAGAAATATTCTGTGTGACTAGAATGAACGAATGAAAGCAATGATTTATAACAACAAATTTGAAGAAACGAATAAGATTCGGTAGATAATATAAAAAGTTGGTTCCTAAATATACATCAATATTCTTTAATTCGATTCATAGTGCTTCATTACTGCTAATGAGCTCTGATACCCTTCAATATCCTCCTACGTAACTTTGAACGATGTGGATGTATTTTGCATGTTCAAGGAGTGCAAAGCCAAATGAAGATCGACAATAAAAGCATCGCAGCGGGCCTTCGAGAAGTCTTCTCGCACTACCACGCGAAGAATCTTCACGTCTTCGTTGTGCGGTGCCATAGTATACGCTGGTACTACCCAGCCACCCTGTTGACGCAGCTTGTGTGACAAGGTGAACTCATCGAACTGGTAGTTATTGGTCATATCGAGGCGAAATGCTATGAGTGGGAGTCGCTGCTGGCGTTTCTTGCACAAAAGTATGAACGTGCCCATCTCTTCTAGGTGCAAGGCGAGGTATTCTGCTACGCGGAAAAGGTCCACCATGACCCGTCGATAGCCTTCCATACCAAGGCTAATTAGCCGGTAGTATTGACTGATGATGGGTGAAGCACTACGGGAAAAGTTGAGAGTGACAGAGGTCTGCTCTGTGCCGAGATAATTCATTTCGAAGATAAGCTCTATAGAAAAACTTAGATGTGCGATCGTTGAAGAATGCCCACATGCCATGGTAATGACCTTACCTTTGGGCAGGTATTCTGCACTCCGCCAGATGGCCCAGCCAATGCCAGCATACACAAGTCCATACTTGTGGCCAGAGACATTGATTGAGACAACTTTTTCAAGGCGAAAGTCCCAGACTAGGTCAGGTTCAACGAATGGAGCGACGAATCCCCCAGACGCAGCATCAACATGGATGGGAACGTCAAGGTCCCTCTCGATCAGTAGATCGTTGATGGCTTTGATGTCATCGTACTCGCCAGTGTAGGTTGTGCCTAAAATGGAGCAAATTCCAATCGTATTCTCATCCACAAGTTCGACAGCCGCCTGAGGGTCAATGATGTAGCAATCGCGGGCGCAAAAGACGTATCTCTCCTCAATGTCGAAGTATCGAGCCGCCTTTTTCCAACATACCTGTATGGTAGAGCTCATAATCAAATTGGGTGCACTGTAATCCTTACCAGCGACCTTTTGTCTGTTGACCCAGCGTTTCTTCATGGCGAGTGTCGCCAGCAAAATAGCTTCGGACGAGCCTATTGTGCTAGTACCGACAGCGTCGCTGGACCTTCCCGAGTCTGGGGCATGGAAGAGGTTGGCGATCATGTTGAGACAGCGATTGTGAATATCGGCGGTGATGGGGTACGACTCATAATGGACGAAGTTCTTACTCAACCCGTCTACTATAAGTTCTCTGGCATGTTCATCCATGTGTGTCGTCACGAAAGACCCAAGGCTAGGTGAGGATAAAGTTAGTGTGTGTATTGCACCATTAACACCAGCAGGATTCGGACTATTCGCCTTGAACATACTTCAGAGCCGGAGTTCCATCCATGGCAAGGTCATGCTGAATCTTCCGGACGGCAATCTCGGGCGGCATCTCATCTTCCGGAATGTGGTTCCTGGGCAGCCCGTGAAAATCGTCTTGCCCGACTATTCCATTATCAAGCCTATTTGAATTTGATCCTGGCGATGTGCCTGGATCCCAGCCATGGGGAATATCAATCAGCTCAGCGTCACCCATGACTTTGCGGCAATTGCAAATGGGGTCAAGAGGTATCAAGTTATTAGTTCATCTATTCACCCAGACAATCAAGCCGGTCCGTAGAAATCCGGTTGCTTCGCAGTTACGACATATATTTCTTTTCGTCCCAAATAAGCCTAAGCCCAATACATGGCTAGCGTCCGCTTGATCGACCGCATTTTATCTCTTTTACTCGTGGAACATGATTAAGTTTAGTATCGAAGCTGCTATACAATATAGCTGCTGAAGGCTATATATGGAATAGTTTCAATTGATATGTGTAAACTTTCCCGTCATGATCAGATAATGAGATGAAATTTCAGAATCATCATTCCTGTAATCCTTCAAGAGAACCTCTGTACTACGAATACATAAGTGTGGAGCTGTCATCATGATCGTGTTAGAGTATTGACGCTAGCTTTGATTTGTAAGAAGTTTCACTCAATACAAGGATTGCAGGCGATCGCAGCTTAAATTATACTGTTTGATTCTGTCCTATCAGGTGGGGTCATGTTCTCACGCATGCCGTTATAGAAGATTCGTCGCCGCCGCTTGTGGTTTTTTTGACATCGATTCAGGTAGCTTTCTTCGTCAGGGCACTAGCTCAATGGCGATTTACACTTTCTAAGTCTTTTATACCGAAGTCCCCATTTTAAGAACTGAGGCATGGAATCAATGCGAGAGGTATCTCAGACATGCGCAACAGATGAAGGAGTGGGCACAAAGTCACAATAGAAAGGAATCAGTCGTTCGGCTCATATCGCAAATATCAAATTTTGAATACAGCAAAGGAGAGAGTAGCTATGTAATACACTAAGCGGACACGACATAAACAGATTATATTTAGAAAATGTTCAAATGTAAGACCGAAAATAGTTTAGAAACTTACAGTGTGAGCTTTCGCTTTTATGGGATAAAGTTTCATTATAGAAAGCCAGTGTGCCAATTTTGGAACTTTCGGCTGACAAAGTACAGCTTACGGGCCGTTAGGCTTTGGTAACTCAAGCCAGCCCTCACAATCGTGCTGCATGGTATTGATAGGCTTTACAGATATACAATAGATATATGAAAAGTGTGTATAGTACTGCAGAGATACCATAACCTATAATAGAACGATAGATGTAGTAACAATGAAATTCTTGACTGTTCTCGAGTACGTGACTAAGTATATAGACTCATCATTAAGTCCGTAATAGTAGTGGTATCGTTTGTGTACCATTCTCGTAGTGAAGGTAGACTTTAAAGACATAATTTTGCCTTTGAAATTGGCATTATATTGATGTACATAGGCAGCCGGCTTTCTAAAGACGTTAACAAGTACATACTACGAGATCCTGGCAGTCTTAAATTTTTCTTCATGTGACTAGTGAAGTGATGTATTTGAGAACCAAGATGTAATCAATATGCCTCGCAAAAACCCGATCAGAGCGCTAGGTATCTGGATACAAATTACCATGGCAGAAAAACAAGGTTCACTGATCAGCCATGCGATATCCGCGTTTGTGCTCCCTACATTGCTATAAGGCATTGTGTGATAGTTTTCAGCTCAGACGCAGAGTAAGGTTGGGCAAAGGGCGCTGATGCTGGATAGCTGCAGTAGGGATTTCACTTCCGAACTGTTGTGAAAATCGCAGTGGCAAGAAATCTGGGTAGCCAGCCTTGCAGCAATCCTCCGTTTGCAAAGGTATGGCCGTCTCAACCTCGGTTCGCCAATCAGCGCCGTTCCAACACCAACGCAACTCACCTTACCGCTAGCATCGGTTGGTCATCAGGACGGACTGGCGTCTTCGGCATAGTGGCTAAGCTAGACACCATCTGGCTGATAAGCAGTATTCGGCTGGCTATAATGCCTACGATACAAGCTTTGAGTCAGTTTATTTTACAGTACTGAAGATATACATTCAAATAACTTAGAGTCAGGCGAAACAGATAAGGGGAAGCGCTTATCTGACTAATGCCCAACTATTGTATCCGCCTTGCACACACGCACGAACGCACAATACTCAAAACAATTTTAATACTTCATCAGATATGTTCTTTACACGCTTTTACATGATATCGGAGTATTGGCTTCTAATAGGTTTGGATATATATAATCCAAGGAATGCTAAACATATCCACCAAAAGCACATCTGTATTGCCGTGTAACTCTGTGCGAATCAGCCAAGTGAAATTTGCAAGCATGCCTCCTTATTCCCTGATTCCAGATTGACAGGAAATAATTGCTGACTAAACCGCAATGGCCATCAGTCTATGTTACTGTCACGCAGCCATTTACACACCAATCAATATATAAGAGCACTCCTTGAACTCCTCCAATATCGCACAGAAACACGGCGTTTTCCCCACCGCCAACCTCAACCAAATTTTATAATAAATAGTTTCCTCAGTCTGAGGTTGTTAATTCCCTCCAATTGAATTCTATATTAGGCCTTCCATTACTAGTGGTTTGGTGATTACAGACCAGTTGCAACCAGATCAGGGCCACAATATAGCACCACTGAAACGCAATTGTCTGCTACAGCGTTGGTGGCCAAGAAAATTGAAATCGCGGTAACGAGCTTCAAATTACAGATGCCTATTTTAAAATATTAAAACAGCTGAGGTGTAGAATGGTGGTTGTGATTCAATTTCAAATTAGATGAAGACAAATGCCCGTTATTTACATTTGGTCTCAAAGATCAACGACATATGATACCTCTTCAAGTAGCACAAAATGTAACACAGGGTAATTATAAACTTTCGTGTACATAGTAGCGTCGAGGTTAAGGTCATTACCGTTAAGATCTATATTGTGAAGCTTCCCGAGAATAAAATTTGCTTTCAACTACCTCTGAATATGGCTATCCATGATAAGCACCCAGTCAGCATGTTGAGTTGCACAAGACTCAAACGCAGCGTCGAATCTGTATTAAAGCTCAGCCGGACTACCTGTGAAATCAATCGGTGGGCATTAGCGAGCTGTAAGCCAAAAAAACTCGACTGCTCTTTTGATGAAACGATGAACCATCATTGACTAGTGGTTTTGTCCGCTGAACTAAGTAATAGTGCACAGCCTTGGCTAGGGGAAAAGGGATAACAAGGCGCAAAGTGCCCCAGCATAGATAAGATATGGACATGGTTCCCTTCCCCAAAAGACACATTTAGATTTAAAAGTCTATTAACGGATGCTAGAAAGAGACAGCAATATGGATAGAGAGGAACTTTTTATCATTCCTAAATTCCACTCGCCTGATGCAAATCGTCCTCGGGTATCCCGATGGGTGTTTGATCATCTGTAGAGATTGCGTGTTGATAGGACCTGGCATGATGTCATAAGATAAGTATGGTAAGGTAATCTAATTACTCAAATCGGGTACAACGGATTACCCTAGCTCGCTGAAATCAAACTATTTCGCCTTGTATCGACAAATTAACGAACAAAATTAAGAGTATCTAAAGGTACTCTTTACCAAAATAGGACGAGGTTATGAGGAGTAGATTGATCGATTACTAAGTTAAGTATCAGTAGGTAGATATACGTGGGGTAGCACACTGTTATATACATGATAGGTGCCTAGGAAGCCCGAAATGTAGGTGGCTGGGACACTAGTTCAACACTTTCATATGATGGAAACTGAGGAAAGGCGAGTGTGAAATGTAAGCAGAGGCTCATCGGCGGGTTATCATGATTTATTAACTAGCAGTGCAGCTATAAATTGAGTTTCCATTTCTTTTCAATCAGCGAAACACGACTGCGAACGTAATCTTCTAGTTCAATTCTTGACGTATTGTGTATACCACCATATCACCCACATCTCTAGGGAACTACTTGTAGAAAGCCGCAACAAATACCATCGCCTCTAATATTTACGTCGAGTCCCCATCAACTAGTAGTAAACCACTCGCTGGTAACTTCATAGTCTTCTCATAAAATGTTTCGGCTTCTTTATACTTTCCCTGATCGCTAAGTATAACACCGATTTCATTCACACTCGTGAAAGGCTCAGGGCGTACCCTGTTTAGCACGGCATTCCTTAATTCTAACACTCTATATTTCATATATTCAGCCCGGATCTTACTCATTCTGTTGTTTCCGTATGTGATGATATTGATTAATCGAATAATCGCTTTAAAACTTCATCCACCTGTCCTATTTTTCGTACTTCTACATCAACTCCTGTGTGGCCAAATTTATAAGCTCATGAACATCGTACGACTCTATATATGTCGTATCCTGTCCCTACCACCGCACTCGCTACGTCACAAACTCGTATGATTTAGCATTTCCAAGACTTCCGCAATAGCTATAGTAAATATTAATAGAGGATGGAGAAGGGAATGTTTTCTCGCCGCAAACATACCATGAATATTGAACGAGACCGACCAGCTAAACTTCCTTTCTTTTGCTATGGTTTGGTTAATTCATACTTGATAATTAGAGATGATCGAAATGAGGCAGCTTGCTTGTGGATTACGTTTATAGACTTTTACAAGTAAGCGCCAAAAACAACAAACTCTCTACTGTCCTCCTTTGGAACTGAATCTCCTTAGAAAACTGTGCATAATATCTTTCTTTGAGCTGTGGAGGTGAAGCGCTTCACCTAACATGAACCTTGGTTTCTTATGGCCGCAGGCCCGACACCTAATGCTTGAACGATTAAATTTTCTGCATCACATAGACAGTCAATTTCGGAGATCGACCTAAACACCTTATCTTACAACTACACTCATGTACCATCTTTGCTCATTACACACCAAGATCTAACCTTATAGTTTTACCTTGCGGCTAGAGTACGAGTACGCCCTGCTAGCATAAAGCAAGCCTGTTGTATTATTTACGGTTTTGCAACCTGATATCGTAATCGTCACCTCCGCTTTTATTCCAGGCCGCCATTAGGTGATATGTAGTTCTTTTTGGACATGGCCCAGACAGGGCAACGAGCATTTTCAAATTTATTGTACTTACTTACCCCCCTCCCCCTTTTTATTATCTTTAAATAGAGTACAGTGACTCGTGTTTCATTGTTTGTCAGAGTCTAAAGTCCCGCGCAAGGTGACACAATGCAATTTCCAACCCACTAGCAATACAGCGCAATATGTGGATGAACCTTACCCCCTCATTCGTAGTACACCCTTGGATACCTTGCCTGACGTGTTGCGAGGAAGCATTTCAAGAATCTCATATCTTCCACGTATCCAGTGTGACTCTGTCAGCTTGCTCTCGATGAAGTCATCCAATTGGTCAAAAAGCTCATCCGGATCAATTAAGTCGGCGCCTTGGTCGACTTGTTTTGGGCGCATGACGAATGCCTTTGGTCGCTCCCCGAACAAGTCATCGGGCACTCCAATGACAGCTACATCGGCTACACTAGGGTGCTGCCGCAGGCATTCTTCAATGGTAACGGGCGCAACCTGCATGCCCTACACGATAAATCATCGGTATCAGCTAGATTATTGTTCTCTGGCTAGGAAGAGTGACTTACTTTGACCTTTATCATATCTCTCAGTCTATCAACAATGCACAAATGCGCATCGCCTTCAGGGCTCCTACGAAACAGAGCCATGTCGCCAGTGTGCAGCCAGCCCTCTCTGAATGTAGCTGCCTTTCCGTCGTCGTCACCAAGGTAGCCATCTGCCTGATTAGGCGACGCTAGTAGCAACTCACCAGGTACGTCAAAGGACTCCACCTCACTGCCATCTTCCCGACACAGACGTGCTTTATACGATGGTAGCAATACGCCAACTGAGCCAGGGATGTATTCGTGCGGGCTACTCATGGCGACGGCTGCCGGACTTTCCGTTAAGCCTACAGTGCAGTCTCCGGTCAGCATGTATGGTTCCACCTCGTATAGTAAAGTGAATAAGAGCCTGTAATACCGTAACCGGTGACCATGTTCCAGCCTGGCTGTACCGCTTTTGTTTTGGCATATAATTCAGCGGTCACGCTACCAGCGCCTACATAGATAGTATCAACCGACGACAAGTCAAAAGCCTTGAATAGAAACGGATTGCCGATTAGGGTGGAGAGCACCGAGGGTACCTAAGAGTAAAACAAGTTATAAGCACAAGATCTATCGCGATGACATTGAAGCGGAGAGAATGATCAAATACCAAGTAAAGTCTGTTAATGCGGTGAGTCTGGATAGACGCCAGAGTTTCCTTCATGTCGAATTTTGTATGCAAAATGAAATGATCCCGTACGTATATGGACGTGTGCGATGCGACTATGCCTTGGACATGACTCATAGGCAAAACGCCTAGCACTACCTCAACATCGCGATGGCGGGATATGCGCTCTAGTGCGACTAGCTGTAGGATGTTGGCGATGATGCTAACGTGCGTTAAGCGGGCAAGTTTCTGTATACAGCAATGCCATTCTGTCAGCGACTTTCCAGCGACTTTCCCTGCCACACTTTAAGGTATGAATCATGCTGGGTATTACCTGAACTCCAGATGTTCCGCTCGTCGGACACAGATATGCGATCTTAGACTTGGACTCTTTCGAGGACCAATCGGACACTGGGAGATGATCTATGGAACTGCCAAGTGCTAGCAACTCATTTATAGTCTTCAACTTCTCCTTGGTGCCATTGGGGCTATTGGTTTCATTAGTGCCGTTGGTTTTCGCGCTGGTCACGGGCTCAGTCAAATACAACCGCCGCCCGGATTCGTTGGCAATAGCTGTTGCAGCACGACCCGAGTCAAGCAATGATGGAGATGTAATAAGGACATTGCAATTACTATGTCTCAGGTGTTTCGCATTCTCCTCTGGTGAAGTGGTTGCATGTAGAAGAAGACACGTGCCTCCCACACGTTGGATGGCCCAACAGTAGGTCAGATAATCAAGCTTATCTCATTTTCCAAATCAGCACACCTCCAATAATCACGGAAGTTTTCTTTTGGGGCAATGAAGCATAGAATCTTACCGTATTCTCGGACAAAATTGCGACGACCTTACCCCCTGGTAAATCCACATTGGGCGACCATTGCAAGTCGTGAGCGAGGCCAGCAGCTAATTCTTCAACATCCTTAGCGATCTGGCGAGGTGTTTTCGATTTCTGCGCATCCGCAGAGGTGAGAACGGGTGGCTCAAGTTCAGACTCGGAAGCAACACCTGGCGGCCCACGAAGCACAAAGTCACTTATCGTGCCCAACTCGGTCAGGTTTTGTGCAATCGCCGGTAGCCATGAAGGTGGATGGAAGATCATGGTGCTTTCCGTCTATTATTAACAGTAGGCAGGTTGCTCTCTTCCACAGCTGATCGGAAACAAGTTTCTTGTGACGGAACCCTAAGTATTACTTGACTGAATAGCAGTGCGCTAAATGCTAGAGCAAACAAATGATTGTTCGTAGCCATATCTACTACGACAGTGATACATGTTGGGTGACAGTATACGTGATGAAGGTGCGAGAATCCCTCAATCCTACGCAATGTTCTCCAATTGAGTGGTACCACACCACCATAGTCAGCTCAGTTGTTCATGCACTACCTTGGCTGGAGAACGAAGAGGTAAATTTGACTATAACCGGGCGATCAAATTTTACTGCACCTCAATTCAACCCCGTCACTAGCAGAGGTCTGTCAAAATGCTGTATGAAGCTTCAATCGTCCTCCTCGCTGGAGTTGTCATCCTTGCCTATGGTGTTGAATTCATTTTCAATCAATTTGATGACCCGCGGGAGCCCCGCCGAATAACGCCAAAAGTGCCGGTGCCCGTCATTGGCCATATCCTAGGGGTTTTTCGTTATGGCTTTAACTACTATAGTCTTCTGAGGTAAGATCAGGCTTTTTCACAACATAGTTAAGCTCCTCTTCTGCTCACGTTGATACTCCCAGTAAGAACACGGACGCAGAGATTTACGCCCTTGGGATTTTAAACTTTAAAGTGTATATTACTCAAACCACCCGGCTCACTCACCTGGTTCAAAAGTCAAAGGCATTATCTTTCACGCCGTTTCTTAAAGTTCCTAGTACGGTTGTGAGCAAAGATGCACATGCCTTATTTGATGGAAGTCTTCTGGAGAGCTTCAGCCTCCGCACGAAAGAGGCGCTGACACCAGGTCCTCATTTGGATATGCAAAACCTTAGAATGGCCCATCAACTGCTCATACATGTGACGGAAATGGTACAACAGAGTGAAGTGGATTTATTCCACTGGGCAAAGCACGCCATTGTACAGGCAACGGCCGCGGGTTTGTATGGTCTTCAACATCCGTTTAGAGATCGTGACACAGAGGATGCTTTGTGGTAATTTAGCTGTTTTCTTGAATGTTCGTTCTTAGCAAGCTAATGGACAACCAGGATTTGGGAGGAGCGTAGACCTGGTCAAATGCTAGGGCTAGATCTCTTCTACAAAGGCTACAGAGCTCGGGCCAAAGTTTTTGATGCTTTCCGCAAATATTTCAAGCATATACCTGACGACGTCTCCTATTTGATACTACAGCGCCAAAAGCTTCTCCGCGAGGGTGGTATCCCTGAAGAGGACACCTACAAGATGCAAGCTACCCTTAGCAATGCAGCATATCCCAATACAGTCCCCACACTCTTCTGGACTGTTCATGAGATCTACTCTCGCCCTGAGCTCTTGGAAGTTATCCGTCAGGAGTTGTTAGATAAAGCAGTGGGGAAGTCCGATGATGGCACTGGATTTGTTCTCGATATTGCTGCTCTCCAGACGGAATGCCATATCTTGTTATCAGCTTATCAGGAAACGCAACGTACAAGACACTCACAGGTAGCTTGGCGCATGGTCACAGAAGATACTCTTTTGGACCAATATTTACTCAAGAAAGGAAACTATCTCCAGATGCCCGTGCGACCTGTTCACGAGAGTCAATCAATCTGGGGTTCCCAAGCCAACGTGTTTGATCCCTATCGGTTTGTGCCAGCAAAGAATGGCGAAACGAAACCAAAAGTCATGCCGAGCACCTTCTTACCTTGGGGGTCACCACCTCATTTGTGTCCTGCTCGTCAGTTTGCCTCCACAGAAATCCTAATCGCGGCGGCCTTATTGATTTTGCGGGTGCAGTTGACACCGGTGAGTGGAAGGGGTTGGGAGCGGGCGCCGCCGGTGAAGTCGGGGACACCAACCCTGCCACGACCTAAGCAGGATATACGTCTCAAAATCACGACTCGAGATGAAGGCAAGCAGAGCTGGACTGTCATGATAGGGAAGAGCAAATCCAGGATATCCCTGGCATCTGGATGAAAGCGCTGGCATTTTAATTTAGTGGAGCTCAACCTATTCCAATAATCAAGTGATACATGACTGGAGTTGCCAAGGCCTGTTGATGTCGTGGGTTGGGGCAATCTGCATGTCTATGGAATCAAGTCATACTCATCCATTTTGTTTGAAATCGACGTCTGATGATCGGCCGCCGGAGGCGATAGAATTTTGCCCGGCTTTCAGAAGTCACTCAATTAGTGATTTCTTGTGCTCCACTTGACGTCTGTCGAGCCTACCGCACGGAGGAGCAAAGTGAACTTCCGTATGGGACTTCACATATAAACATCCCGACAAGTGCCAGCCCAAAATGGCGAATGCCCATTCCCTTTGCTGGTGAACAGCAGTGAACACCCATTGGTTACCTAGCAGCCCTCGATGACTTTATTAATCTAAATAATCATTTCTTTGTGTTGAAATGGTTGCATATTTATTTAGTCTCAATGAATCGTTTCTCAATACCGCGTATCACATGTGGTTGACACTTTATAGTGAGTCTTACATACCGACATGATGATATGATTTATGACAACCGCATTCAACTTCAGGATAGATCTGGACATGAGAATGTAGATGCATAAGCTGCTTGAAATTTTCCTATGCACCCATCGTCTATGACAGACCTCTAAAATTCTTGTTCTTGGTCACCCATGGATGTTTCTATTCATCAGACCACGTATGATTCCCCTTGGCTGCTTCTGTGAAGGCACTTTCTACCAAGGTCGCGATTCGCCTACATGCTTCATTGGCCTCATCCTCCGTGACCAAACTAAAGCTTAGCCGAAGCTGACATGTCTTGCTCCGGCTGGGCATAAATGCCATCCCCGGAACGGCGATGACACCAGCCGCGCTAGAAAAACTAGTCAATACTTCAAAGCTGTCACGACCAGGCGGGAGCAGCAACTTGATCCAAAGAAACATGCCGGCAGTGGGAACTTCCCATGTGGCCTTGTCTTGGAGATACCGTTCAGCCGCGGCAACCAGCATGTCCCGCTTATGGCGATAGAACTCTGCCGCATTGGATGTGTGTGTGAGAAATCCCTCGTGGCCCCAATGCCTTAATAGAGCTAGGGCGATAACCTGGGAGGTTGAAGCGGCTTGGAGGCTGGAGTGAAATTAGTATCCAGGGAGTCTTCTTCGGAACTTTTGGTAAAAGTCTCATTCTCTTCCATACTATCAACTTACTTCGTGTTTCCGGTGATCATGTTGACCTTTTGCAAGATGGACGGTGATGTGGTAAGGAATCCTAGGCGCATCCCAGCGCTCACAATCTTACTTAGAGAGTCAAATCGCAGTACACGGCCGGTTTCGCCGTTGACCTCGGCCTCCAGGGACACATAGCTGCGAGCCTTGACAGCAGGATCCGCAAAATCCAGGAAATAGTAAGCATCGTCTTCAAAGATGAGGAAGTTAAACTTTTTAGCGAGACGCAGGCTGTGATGTGAATCAGCTACCCACGAGCGAGTGCTAGTAACCTATTATAGGAAGGGATAAAAGGAAGAAACATTAAAAGAAACTCTACCAACATTTCGATCTTGCGTGCCTGAGTACATGACCGCCCAGTTGGGTTGGAACCTGTTGGGACGGTATATAGGATACGGGGTCGACGCTTATGGTCAGGCCATTGAGAAAGGACTATTTCGAGCTCCGTTGGGTTTAAGCCTTCAGCATCAGATAATACCTCTAACTGGATAGTTAGCGGCCGGTCTAGTCACGTTAACCGCGCTTGTTACCTACCCACAAGATTGTGACAATCTGCACTAAGGAATCCCAGAGTACCCCTGGAAAAGCATATGTTAAACGTGAAATCATGCTTCTAACCTGGGGGTTCGCCTTACGAGTATGCCGGCCTGTCACAATTGGTCAGCAATAAAACATTATGGATATTATTGGATTCATGCATACGTATCAATGAGAACGTAGTCACCTGGATCCGTAAACACTTGGAACGCTTTGTACAAGAGGTCCTGACTGCCACTGCCAATCGCACAGCCCCATGTTCCGACTGGCCCTGGGCCGTGTATCCTCGCCTGGAATTCCTCAAACCACTAAACTGGACGTGAGAAGACTGCTAAAGCCATAATGGGAAGCCATGGGAAAGTCGGCTAGCGTTTCACTCTTACCTGGCGCAATTCTGGGATGCCGCCGGGTAGCAGGGCATACTGAAAAGCATCATGCAGATCTGTCTCATTCAATATGAGTTGCTCATTGGTGCCCTTGAGACCTATTGAGATACTGGAAAATGGGAAGCAGTCAGGGTTGGGCTTTCCTAAATTGCATAGTTAACAACTGCCCAGGATCGTACCGTATAAGCAGTACCATTTGCTTACCCACGATGAGGGAGATCATGCCCGGCACAGCCTCAAGAGGGAGAAGACTCGAAACTACCGAACGTTGTCAGTCAATACTGCATTCACTGCAGTGCGATGGGGACTCAGACTGGCTGGAGGCTGCCATTTGCGCACACGCTGTGAGAGCAATTCCGTGCTGTTGAAAATCCGGATATCTTTGGGAGGTGACTCTCCGTGGACCTGCGCTGCGGTCGCGACGGCCATGGCGGAACTCGTATTCTCTAACTGCGATGTGGAGTAGTGATTTCACGATAAAGACACATACGGGCAGAAATAGCTTTCAAGAGCAGCAAGTCTCAAATACAAGGGGTAATTCATTCCTCATACCGATAGGGGCATTCGGTAAAATCATTAACTACTTATTCGATCCGATAGCAGCGCTTTCAATGATAGCTAATCGCTATCAGCAACGCAAAACGATATAGAGCACCGAGTTGCGCAATTTGTGACTTAGTCTAGTGTAGAACTAGTATTCATGGAGGTGGACTTCTGCGGCGGCCGCGTCCCATGGAATGATTCTCGAATACATTGCAGGAATGCAGGAACAAGAGTGGCTCTTATGTACTAACAAATTTCACCTTTTGTACGACTGGGATATTGTAGCAGTAACTACTCCGCTTCTCGGCGAATCTGGCGCTTTGCACAACTCGAATTTCAATTTGCGTTCCCATAATGTAGTGGCTTAAGTCTGCTGCCCTGCCCTGCGACGGAACTATTACAGAACCTCGTTGCAACAATACTGTCCCACGCTGAAGTTTTAGGGTGGGGTGAGAGGCACAGTATGCAAGCTTCTACTGCATATAGTAGAAATTGAGAAATATTGAACATGCAGTTATCAATGTTAAATGATCCTTTAATCCTAGCGCTATGTTACATGGTTGGATAGTGTCTCTCATAATTCACATTAAAACTATACCAGCCAAGGTTCCTTTTGCCCAGGCGCCAACTCAATAATAACCTCACTTTATACTTACTTGATCGCTCAGCTAGCCAATCAGAATGCTTCACGAAGCCGCAGTCATCATCGCTGGGTGCATCATCTTCGCGTACAGTATAGAATTCTTCTTCACAAAGCTTGACGACCCACGAGAGCCACGCCGCGTGACACCCGATATACCTGTCATCGGCCATCTTTTGGGAGCCTTATACCACGGGTTTGATTATCTTAACCTGGCAGGGTAAGATATGATCTCTATAGATGAGCCTTTGGCACTCTTATTAAGTTGGATAGCAAAAATGTGAATGCAGAGATTTATACAGTCGGCATCTTAAACTTTAAGGTATTAGTTTTCGATATTGCAACTGCCATAAATTTGAGCTCTGACATCTCCGAAAAACTTCAAGGTATACATTACTCACGCTCCGCGGCTCCTGAATGTCATGCAGAAGTCGAAAACCTTGTCGGTAGGGCCCATTCTTCAAAGTGCGAACAGTATACACTCCGGTGCAAGTACCGAAGGCAATGCACTTTTTGATGGAGAGGTGCTGGAGGGTTTTCGCGACCGCACTAGAGAAGCACTTGCTCCAGGTCTCCACCTCGATGAGCAAAATCTTAGGATGGGCACACAGTCAATCAATGAAGTTACAAAGATTGTGGAACTACAAGACGAAATCGAATTGCTCGACTGGGTGAAGCATGTTATCTTACAAGGCACCAGCGCAGGATTCTATGGCATGCAGCATCCGTTCAGAGACCCTGAAATGGAGACTGCTATGTGGTAAGCTTATCGATCACCTGCCCCTTTTAATTTTTTAAATTGGCTAGCTCGAACAAAATACTAAGAGAACAAGGGATTGGGACAGACATAGACCCGGTATCCACATAAAGGTAGATCCTTTACGCAAGGGTTACAATGCTCGTGCCAAGGTAGTAGACGCCCTCGGGAAGTATTTCGAGAATCTGCCCGAGGACGTATCGTATCTGGTGAGAGAGCGCCAGAAGGTCCTTCGAGAAGGGGGTATCAGTGAGGAGGATGGCCTGAAAATGCAGGCCTTTCTTAACGATGGCAATTTCAATATCGTTCCCACGCTATACTGGACCATCTACGAGATCTTTTCTCGTCCTGACCTTCTAGAAGCAATCAGACAAGAAGTTGCTGATCACGCCCTACAGAAGTCTAATGATGGGTTTATTCTGGACATCTCAGCTGTCAAAACTAAGTGTCACCTCTTGCTATCGGCGTACCAAGAGACCCAACGCACGCGTCACATGTTGTCCACGTCACGCATGGTTTTAGAAGATACCCTCCTAGATGGCCAATACCTCCTCAAGAAGGGCAATTTGCTCTACCTTCCCGCCAAGCCTATCCACCACAACACTCAGATATGGGGCCCCCAAGCCAGCGTGTTTGACCCGTACCGTTTTGTGCCTGGCGCAACCGAGACAAAGATTCTGCCGAGCAATTTTCTACCATGGGGGTCAGCCCCTCACATTTGTCCCACTCGTCAATTCATCTCGACAGGCATCCTAGTTCTTATGGCCATAATGGTGTCAAGAGTCAATCTCACGTCAGCGAATGGCAGAGACTGGAAGGATGAGCCGGTGGTGCGGTGGCTGGAAATAGCCACATTACCCACCGCGAGTGAGAAGGTGTACCTGAAAGTCAGCCCACGAAATCAGGGACTTGGGAAGTGGAGAGTTGTGACTGGTACAAGCAAGACAGCAGTGCCTCTCGTATCGGGATGAGGACATAATGCGTCGATTACCCAGATTGGGTGGAGTATTTTCTTCCCGTTTCTCCGGCCCGCGACCAGATAACGATCAAATTATGTTGGTACCCTAAACTGATCATGGGTCAATAACCAAGTTAGTTCTCTGTATACTCATAGGTATGCCATCCACAGGGCTCGTCCCATGTCGAGTAGGAACCAGTCGTTGCTTAGGTTTTAATAGCCTTCTCAATACATAGAACGCATTTGGGAAGTGCTCAAAATCAAGTAAGATTATAGGGGAGCTGGAATTTATCTAAAATATGTGCAAAGTACAGGTCCTTCCAGCACAAAAAGGGCTCTGTTGGTTTGGCGCCAGCAACCGCAATAGAACGTGATAGAGCTTGTGTCTGACCAGAGGCCGTATGTATTTCAACCCAAGGCCAGATGGGAAGCTGTTCCAAATTGGTGAAAGCGCGGCGCATAAATTCATTACAACGCGCCGGTGGTTAGGGTCGTGATGGGAGAGGCCGTGAAGGGGTGCGAAGTCATCAGCATAAAATAGAATTGCAACTGAGGGAAGGAGAAAAAAGAAAGTATGGTATTGTGTTTCTAATACTGTACGTCTACCTTGCTAGGACTGCTGTTGTTTTTCAAGAAAGTACAGTTATTGTGCATGAAATGTCCACATAGTTATACACGCACACTGCCCGGCCAATTCTTGTTAGCAGGGGTTCTCATTCCTAACCGCTGACACGTGCGCGTCCTTAAACCCGTCCGTAGGGCAAATCTCTAACATCAGTCAAGGCTAGCTGACTCGATTGACCGTGGAGGTGAGGGCCGGTTCTGATTAACGTTAGGCTATGCCATCAGTGTCTTCTCCAACAAACAAGCTATTGGCTACGTTGAGTTCTGGTAATGCATTGCTTGTTTTACAGACATTGGTCCATACAGCTATACGCCACTGTGCTGTTGTTCCTGTTGTTGTTCATGTTGTTGTTCCTGTTGTTGGTCTTGTTGTTTTTGTGGTTGCTCGCGACTCACTGGTGCGTTCGCCTTTATCATCTGTTGCATACGATTGCGCATATCCTGAACATCACACTGCAACTGTTTCAGTTTCATGGCTTCCCGGCGGCAGCACCTGGTCAGTATGTTGATGGTCTCGATTGTCACAGAGAGCGTGGCCGTCTTGCGTTGTCGGCTACCCGTCGTCGCTGGCTCATCATTAGGTCCAGAGTAAGGAGGTCTGTCCAGTTGTACTGTCCATTCCTGTGAATCGGTTCGACAAATTCGTTGCGCGGCCTCGCTCGACAGCGTCCGGGCGAGAGCCGCATACTTGCTATCCAGGGTAGATCGATAGCGTTTCTCCACTGCGTAATGACGTCTCTGACTTCCATTCTGCTTGCGGGGTTGATTGCCCTGTAGCAAAGACTATGAGAACGCTGATTGTTCGACATGGTTTCAGTATAGGGTTCCTACCTTCTGTATGTTAGGCTCGTTGCTACGGGATGTACCGGATCTCAGCGAGGCTTCGGGAACTACCTCAGCCAACATGTTCGAGTGCGTTGAACTTTCTAACCAAGAATTCAACCAGTAAGTTAATTGGCTCATTGAAGGATCACACTTTGAGGGCTTTGAACCAACCTGTGGAATGAAGCATCGATAAGGGACTCAACATGGGCCACTGTGTTGCAGCTGGATTTGAGGGATAACCGTCTAGCGCGGAGAAGTCACAGTCAAGTAATTGACTTGGCATTTGTACAGTCCCAAAATCTGCAGCACTTTCTAGAGCGACGCCATCCACGTTGCAGAAGTAGTCGGCGGTGTGGTTCAGGATAGGCGAACGCTCAGTCTCGTGTGTCACGGCGCTTTCGAACATGTTTTCGGAGGAGGGATGTTGACTGATTGACTTTCAGCCAATAGCAATGGCAAAAGAAACGAGGACGACAATCATGTAACTTTGCATTTTATACATTGGTCTATCCTCATGGACGTGGTGATGGTAGTACACGATTGGAAGCCAAGGCTTACAGTAAGGTAATAGACGACTGCTCGCGACCGACGCATACATGAACCCCGCACTAGTCTGGGCCTCACCCCAGAATGATCCTTCGGTAACCAGGTGTGAAGGATACAGTATGTAAATGTACTCAGTAAAGGTACAGCTTCAGATCCGAGTACCGTCGATACACGTACCTAGAAGTATCACATAAGCACATGAATCCATAGCTCCAGATCTGCACCATTGTGGATCAATCATGCGACCGTTAGACACCAAGGGATTGCGATTGGTATTACGCGAAGTTTGAGCAAAGCTCATCATACCAGAGGATTTGATGCCCGATCCTTTGGGAAACGAAAACCTTTTTAGCCAATTACAGGGAGTGCCATCCCAACGGCCTGCAGTGTGTCGCCTGAAAAGAACCCCGTCGTTCGCGTAGTTCGCATATAGTTTCATCATCCACAACACATCACACCCTACGTTGGGAATCCCCTGCAGCAGTGGGTACGAGCATAAGGATGAGACGACATAGTGACCCCCGGCGGAGAATGGACATGGGTCATCAAGTCTCACCAAAGGCTCTAGCTTTGGCTGCCACAAGACTACATAGAACAACATTACAAGTTAATAAGATTAAAGTGGTATCATGGCGATTGGTCGCCGAACAAACCCGTATATTTATATCTCCTAAAAAACATTATCATATTTTGTTGTTATAATAAATACAAAAGGGTACATGAACATGGGAGTGTCCAGTTTACTTCGTCCTCTGCAGACCCACGAACATTCAATCTTACTAACGTTTCATTAGACCAAAAAAAAAAAAAAAAAAACCACGCGTAATGACCTCGACTGTCATTGCACTGTTTGTCATAAGCGCTAGATAATCAGACATTATGACAAGAAGGCAACCTGAAGGAACAGACACTAACCTCAGAGTGTGCACTGACTCTTTGTATCTACCGTCTACCCCACTACGCCGCCTGGTGGCCTGGGGGCTTCGTTGCCTGCCTCGAATCTCCCCCTGCCAATTGTAAATCAAGTATCTAGGTGGGACTTGATCGCGGCCTCATTCGATGCAGTCGGCAGAATAATCCTTGTTTGATTCAATTATTCGTTGTAGTTCCACCGTTATCACAAGTCACACTAGTCTAGGTTAGTGATCCTCCACGACCTCGGACAACTCGGAGATTTAACCAACAACTATTACTCGTACACCCCAGGTCGAAAAGAACCCAGATTTTTTCACATCAGTCCCTCAAAAGGCCAAATCATTACAAGCTATCGGATGTTGAGGTAGACGATTGTACAAGAGTAGCGTTTTCTTTGGAGTCAATATGACAATAAAAAACCTCCCCATTATCCAGTTCTAGCGTCAATGTCTCTTTGTTTTCGCCTGGGCATCGAAACGGCTGCACACCCATCATGTACAATGTGGATATCTTCAAAAATCCGACACCCAGGTCAGATATTCCAGCGGGCCGTTTAGTTCCGCTTACGTCCTGAATACAGATGTAAGGTTAGAGCAATCGGTGGTACAGTGTAGCATTATCTTTGGCAATGGACCGCTTGAAAAACAATTTTTCGGTAGCGCAATGGCCTGAAACGGCACCAGAATTACATGAAGACTAAAATCATTCATGACTTAACTTTTAATTGCGAGAGGCACAAGCTATTACTGTCACTTCTAGCTTACACGAGCCGTCAATCAAGAGGTTTGTAGCGATGACTGCCGTGTTGAGAACCATCTATGCAATGCTTCGTTGTAATAAGCCATGTATTCCGGATTCGCAGCTCTAGTATTCCCAACTATGATTCAAAAATTGAAGCACTATGGATGGACAAGCCTCTACACATTTTAGGACATTGTTTCATCATATATAGGTGCTAGCAACATTTGTATAACCGATATTGTTGTCTTTTGTTCAACAGTTGTCTGACCCATTCATAGCTACGCGCAAAGGATTTCTGTATGGGAAGCTATGACCAGTGCTTTTTTTTTTGGTACAATACTTCCCCGAGATATATAGAATGCTTCTGTGAGGGCTATTTATATACTCATACTTGAACCCTGCAAAACAAATAGGTTACCGAAGAACTGGTAATGTACTCCAGTACAAAGGGAAGCAGGCTTGATTCTTCACGACATACTATCTCTCATATTTGATTCATCGCAGTCTTGATTCGAAAACTCTAGTGTAATAGCCCTTTTTATATGTTTCATTCTAATGTTTAGATCAACCAGAATATGAAGAAAACATTTCAGTATCTAAGTAAATGGTAATCATTTTGTCATCAACATGAATAGTGAGCAATGAAAGAGGGATGATTCTCAACCGATGTAGAGCGGCCGCCCTTCCGTCTCTTTAGGGCAGTTGATGTGCGATCGGACCAACATGCAATGCAGGTAAGATCCTGATCACATGTGCATAAGCACATACATATCCTTAGTCGCTTCCTAAGTATTGGAAAGTTGTGGAGCATTTCTGTCGCATGCAACGTTCAAAAAGTTCTTGAGATTTCCCAGATCTTTGAAGTTGCCATTGTTACCAGTTCTAGTGCTAAACCGATTAGGAAATCTGATCCAAGTTGGTGCAGCCAAAGATCAAGCATAGTTGAAAACAAACTTTACACATTCCGTGACACGCTAAGATTATTACACCATGCCGCTACAGTTGTTAGCCGATGTAATAGGCGTCAACAGCCAGGAGCCTATAACTCAACGAGACTCCGTATAGTGACGGATGAACAGCTGTACAGGACTTTGTACCTGGTTCATAGAAGTTTATAACGGGACACGATGAGCCAATTCACCTAAGTTCCTGGCGGGAGCACTTCAATGCCAACTTGATTACCACTGCCGATTCTTTGACGCCAAGACTCTATTGGACTGGAAATTCGAACGTGCATCAACGGTATATCAAACATGGTATTAATTCCTTTATAACCCGATGCCCCACCCAGCATGTAACGACCCACACTTGCATAAATTTCACCGAAATGGGAACTTTGATGAAGTAGTTTATCATAATGAATGAATGACTCTAGACATGTGTATTTGGAACATTCGCATGAACATTCAATCATTTAATGCTAAGAACTCGACTCGGAACATTAAATCAAGCTACCAACCCATCAAGAAAGGATCCATATGTTGTAAAGTTACAAGGCAACGATCACTTTCAGAGCTATGCTACACTGTTAAATAAACCTAGTACTATTCGAAACAATAGTAATCAAAAATACACACGCGCGGAGGCGCTTTCCTTGAGGAGATAAAGCTAACCGTTGTAGGCTAGGAGGAAAACATATCTTGACACTTTTGGACTAATACATAATGGCAAGTCAATTTTCTCCAATGTAAACACAGAAAACACGGGGCCGTGGTTACTTGCATCTTGTGCCGTTAAACATGACTATTGTAACAGCGATCTTGGACCGTAAGATTGCAGGAACTTCAGTCACCCCAAGCATTTACGCTTAATTGAACCCAAATTTAGTAAGGTCGGTGGATTGCTGAAGAGGCAAAGACGAATCCGAGCGAAACAGCTCAATGAAGCAGTGGATCGACTCCATCAGCAAATACTTTCCAATCTTCAATTCGACATTCCGCATCGCGTCACACCGCGCTTCTAATGGACCATTAAAGCGTGAATAACAACGATTCTGTGTCGTCTTCTTAAGTTCAATTAAGAGTCCACACCAGGTCTGAGAGTGCCATAACCTCTGCCAAGACGTTGAGTGCAGAGTGGGGAACTCAAGAATCATGATGTCGAAGAGCCAACAACATTGTAAAGGTACAACAAAAGACGTGGGGAACCGAACGACATAACATGGAGGCTTTTTGATTAGTTTCAGTATCTACAGTCTCTTCTGACAGCCTTGCCGGCCTTGTATCCTATGGTAACCTCATGGCGCACAAACCAGCAAGACAAGACATGGAGAAGAATACTCCGCAAAGGTTGGGGGTAGGTAACCTCGTTGCGGGCCCTTTGTGGAACATCTGTGAGGTAATCCCCGCACTTCTCCATTATAATTCTCAATTCTCCGCACCTTTAACTGAAAGTCGTAACTTGGTCCCATTCTCGCTGTCACCCACGCCATGAGGAAACCTGCTGAATAAAGTCAAAGACTGTGGCCGGGCAGTGTTTCTGCATGGTTGAATCTTTGGAGAGACCATGACGTCAAACGTGGGCGAGTGCCGACCGGTAATCGCATCATGATATGTTTATAAAGGTTGAATGCTGATCCAGTCTTTTAGACGGCGGGCTCACTCAATTATACTGAAATTCTCGTTACCATGAAGTCCTCGGTGTTGTTTGCTGCTGGTACTCTTGGTGCTCATTACCTGAGACAAGACATAACTTCGACGGTCGACTACAATTTGGAGCCTGTAAACCTATCAACACTTGCCAATGGTACGCTATTTGAAACATGGCGACCTAGAGCCCACATACTCCCCCCATTTGGTGGAATCGGGGACCCATGCGGGCATTACGTGGATGCTGAGACTGGATCTTTTCATGTTGGGTGGCTCTACAATGGAAATGGTGCTTCTGGAGCAATCACAGATGATCTTATCACCTATATGGACTTGAACACAGATGGCGCCCCATTTATCGTGCCCGGTGGCGAGAATGACCCAGTTGCGGTCTTCGATGGAACCGTCATTAACGTCGGCATCAATGGTTTGCCAACATGGCTCTACACCTCGGTCAGCTACCTTCCGATCCAATGGACGATCGCATACACCCGTGGAAGCGAGACACAATCTCTTGCAGTGTCATATGATGGGGGAAAGAAATTTACGAAAATAAAGCAGGGCCCGGCCATACCCGCGCCACCTTTCGCAGTAAATGTCACGGGATTCCGGGACCCCTTTGCTTTCCAGAGCGTTCATTTGGATTCAGTTCTGGGCAGTGACAGCGGAACCTGGTACGTAGTCATCTCTGGAGGTGTGCATGGCTACGGTCCGAGCCAGTTTCTATACCGTCAGCACGACCCTGAATTCCAATATTGGGAAGAGCTTGGCCGGTGGTGGCATGAGCCAGCTAATACTACTTGGGGAAACGGTGATTGGGCAGGCCGGTGGGGTTTCAATTTTGAGGTGTCAAACATCTTCACTCTTGATGAAGCTGGTTACAACGACAACGGTACATTCTTCACCACATTGGGTGCCGAGTGGTCATTGGATCCCATTGTGCCAGAAGTATCAGACTTTAGAGATTCTCTATGGGCGGCAGGTGATGTTCGCGTCGAGGACGGTGATACCAAATTCACGCCTTCTTTTGCTGGAAAGCTGGATTGGGGTGATTCGGCGTATGCTTCTCATGGACAGGTCGTTCGGGCAACATCTCAACCATCTAGAAAAAGCAGTGCCCCAGATCGATTCATCACGACTACGTGGCTTACTGGGAATTTCTACGGTACACAAAATCCAGCTACCAACCAACAGAATTGGACCGGTGCCCTCTTACTACCACGAGAACTAAGCATTGGCAAGATCAGTAACGTGGTCGACAACGAACTGTCACGAGAGTTAGGGTCGTGGAAGACAAACACGAACGAGTCAGGGGTCGTCGAGCTTATCACTTTGAAGTAACAGATCGCAAGGGAGCCACTTGCTGCTCTGATAGGTGGCAATTTTTACACGGAGGGGAGTCGCAACCTAAGTTCACCAGGAGTCACACCTTTCCAAAAGTCCCCTGACTCCAAGTTTTTTGTTCTCCAAGCAGCAATTACCTTCCCATCATCTGCTCGCAACAGCGACCTGAAAGCAGGTCTCCAGATATTGGCCTCTGAGCATGAAGCTACAACTATTTACTATCAGTTTTCAAACGAATCCATCATAGTCGATCGGACCAACACCAGCGCAGCAGCGCGAACCACAAGCGGGATCGACTCACGGAACGAAGCTGGTCGATTTCGACTGTTCGATATTACGCATAACGGGACTACAAGCGTTGAGGCCCTGCAACTAACCATCGTGGTGGACAACGGGATCCTGGAAGTGCATGCGAATGACCGGTTTGCATTGAGCACTTGGGTGCGGTAAATTTTAAATCCCAGCACATCGTACGCGGTAGTATGCTAACATCCATAAGCTCATGGTATTCTTCGTCGACAGAGGTGCGCTTCTTCTACGAGGGAACTGAGCAGGTTTCTTTTGGCGATATTACTGTCTCTGAGGGCCTCTATGATGCGTGGCCGGAGCGATCGACAGTCACCTTAATTTAGCACCCCGGTATGTTCCAAGCAATTGCTTGCCAATGGCATTAGGTGATTATTAGGCAATAACGTGGCAACAGAAGACCGACGAAAAACTATCGATAGACTTGCAATTAATTCCGGCATAAACCATCAATTCATCATCAGTTATGAAAGTTCCCAATTCTTTGGTGATGGTGCTTCTGTTCTGCTTATCTAAGCAACTCGTGGAGCTTGTCGGATAAATGCTGTGGGCAACACGATCCCGTTTCTAGCTACTAGCACGCTGTATACCAGAGTAAATCGGTGCTATGCGTGATTGTACTTACCGCTGAGATTCAGTTAAGCAGAGTGGCCTCAGTGTAATTTTTCGCCACTGAGTTGAGTGTATGTATTCCAGTTTCTCTGTACATCGATTATTTGGCAGTACAATAGATCAATATTGTGTCGAGAGACTAACTACAATTGGAGGCATCTACGAGCGTTCATGACAGTGGACCACAATGAAAATGCAACCTAGTCACACAGGGCTTGATCACTTAGCTATACTGGTTTGATGAGTAAGAATCAAGTAGTCGTGGGGAAAAGCTATATTTCCTGACAGTATACGACGCGTTTATATGAGTTTTCATGTCTGATTAAGTATTAGGATATTTGTTAATAGTGTCAGCGCTTACGCAAGACGGATTAGGAAATAAGATCGGCTGGCTAACCTTTACTATAAATGTTTCTACACCCATCTCAAAATTTCCAGTGAGGAATGATATCTAATGCGACCAAAAAACCGAAAGAGCTCCTGTGTCGGCGCTTGATATCTAATCCAAAGATTGAATTTGCAAAGCGTCATACACCAATCCTGAATATCACAAGTGCGGCAGTCATATCTTCCTTCTTGGCACCTATTTACGGAGGGTTTCTAACAACACAGGAAACTTTCCCCGGTTGGCCTACGCGTAGCCTCGACCCAGTGCCATGGTGGAATGCTGAATCCTCCCACTTGACCAACTCTCGGTGGTCCGGCTCGATGACACGATCAAAGCCAACCAGTCAACACTACATAGGGGACTGACGACAAGAACTGCCTAGTGGCATGGCTTGCTCTTATTCTGATCTTGCAGGTTGCCTAGCTGTCACGATCGTTTTCACACCACTATTGATTGGTAGCAATGCCGCAACTCGGACAGCTTGACTTGCATCGCCATCCCGGTTGAGGCCTTTTTCTTGCGCCATCTGAAATCTGGTCCTCCGTGGAGCACCATTCCAGGCGTTGTGTCACTCTCGTATGCTTGAATATCTGAGCCCAATAGGTCCTCTTTCGCTGCCGGAGTCCTGCAGTTCTACATGGTCGCGCATGCCGTCATCCGTGTTGTGCTCGACAGCGGCGAAGGAACGCATGTCTTCTTCATCAGTGGCTTTTGACCTGAGAATCGAAATGCCATATGAGACCTCTATGCCTCTCGATGGGCGCTTGTTGAATGAGTTCTGGTACGATGAAGACTTTGAAGGGTTGGAGCCGAACCGTTTTGGCCGGAGCGCCACGAAAATGGGACGCAATGTTGGCAGGCAGCCTATGCAGACATTAGACTAGCTCGGAATGGAACACGGCTTGCATAGAAGGTTGGTCGGTACTTACCAGAGACTATGGCGAAATCAGCTTCGGTTTTGGCCCATATGGCCTGGTTGACAAGGTTCCAAGTTACATCAACATTGTTAGGTTGGTTGACGACTGCAATAAGCCGCATTATTGATGCCAAGCAAACGCTATGCTGATTAGTCTTCGTAGACATGAGCATGGGACCGTTTCCCAGATGTGAACTTACAAGCCACCCAGAAGAAAAATTGTGATGACACCTCTCTTCTGGCTTTTAGAGACATTTAGTCGTATGACGTAGGGAATTGGCATGATAAGAATGGCAACATCAATTAGAATGTTGGGTATTGAGATGGCGAAGAGAAATTTCTGGCTGTCCACATCGCAAGAGGCGTCGATACTTTTGTCCCAGAACCCTCGTGTAGGAATACATTGTAAGATGGTGAGAAGAAACTTCAGATTGGTCAGTTAAGTGCTGGTACTTGGACGGAAATCATAGAAAACCTACCACAGCAATACCCCACATGAGAGCTGCAATCCCCAGGATAGTTATAGGATACCTGATGCTTGTCTTGTTGAAGATGCGCCAATACAAGGCGAGGATAGAGAACTTGACAAAAACGATGACTCCGGTATAAGTTAACTCGCATACGAAAAGACCAATGAACAAGTCTTCAGTCGCATTCGGTCCAAACGTTTGAATGTGCCTTCCAAGGCCACGAGGTATCCCTTATTTTGGTCAGTCGACGAGACAGTTACAGCCCAACACCAAGCAACTTACACCACAACAAGATGGAGGATAGTCCAACCGCACAAGCCTGGATGGTAAGTATATGCTACCTCTGCGAAAGTGCTGTACAGCTTACAGTTGCACCTAGGATAAGCCAGTCATCGAGCCACAAGCCTGCTCGGTTGGTCCATCGGCACCAGAACCGAAGTGCTACGCATATCAGCGCGATGCCGCATGGGATAGTCGACGAGGCATATAGACTAGATTGGCGATTCTCGGAAAGGTCTACCGAGTCCAGTGAGGGAGTCGCCATGTCTTCTATGGGCGCACGTTGGTTGAGCTGCTGCTCGACGTTGCAAGTTCGTGCGGTAGGAATAAAACAAGAGAGACGAGGCTATTCTGGTATGAAATGTAAGGAAGCGGCAAACAGAGGCATCATATTGGAATTGGATATCTATGCACATGTTCGTGTTTGCTACTGTATTTCGCATGCAACACTAGTTTCATTATCCCTTGCATGCCCACATTGAAAACCAAGCAATTAATTAACGTCAACTGTGTGGCGACTGTGTACAGAAAAACACAATCGAGATGTGTGCCGGTTCGTATCCGGTCAGTGATGGGCCTGATGCCGCGTGTCTATACGGGCGGTTATCGACAGCATTGCAGGCTTTCCAGGCCGCCACTCCAAGCGACCTCCCGAGTTTGCAAGACGATGGCGACTATGAGCCGGACTGGAAAGCAGTTCACCAAAAAACAAAGAGCTGGCATTTACGTTTGAAGCATTGTACAGCATGTCCTATCCGCGACGCGGCAGAAAAGAAATGGACGATGTCTCACTTTGCTTTGTGTAAAACTTTGACGGCTAGCAGTGTCGCGCCTTTTCATGCAGTCAACTCCGCTGCACTGCGCTGCGAGGATCTCAGAGCAATCTAACCTTAGGTTAGCCGAGGGGAACGACAATAGAGTTCATAACAAATGCGCAGGAGTTTTGGTGAATTTATTACAGCGAGACAGCTAAGCGAACGGGGCTAATTAGGGACTAAAGATTTAAAGTTAGCGGACGCGATACATATCATGCTTGCTATGCCTTCTTTTTGGTGCCGTGATTGCAGCCACAACAGTGCTGTTCGCTTTCGGCCTAGACTAGCTTAGATAGGCACAAAACCAAGCATCATCAGCGACATAGTTCGAGGCATCCATTGGTGGGAGGGCCAAGACAATCAGCCCAATATCGGAGTAAGATTCGCAAAAGGAAACTCGCTTATGGCTCCATGAATGTTTGTTCGATAGTTGCTCATCAAGGGGGGGGGAGGGGGGTTTGATGAATGTGGCTCGAAAGCAAGCTTCTTCGCCGCTCCAGAGCCTCTAATGGCGCTGTGTAATCCCCAACGTTCGTGAGACACATTTTGCCTTCCTGCTGCTCACATATAGGCTCAAACATATCGATCGGCTTCTCTGTTCCAAACCCTTGATTGCAGACCCTACTGGGTGTGCGAAAACTTGACTCCGCGGCCCGATACTGATTGCCCCAATTCATTAATAAGTGCCGTTGCAGTTTTATACCGACTAGGTACCAACTACAAGCCGATCATAATCCAAAGTTTAGTCCTCGCTGAGTATTGTGCCTGCATATGCGACATGCAGCCATTGGCAGCTTTGAGAATGATTAGCATGTCTCCTCCTGAAACCCGTCCGGTGATCCTTCTCGTGCCTGGTGCTTTTGGAACCCCAGCCGGCTTCGAGAAGCTTGCGGAGTTCCTAAGAGCAGCCGGGTTCTCGACACATCCGGGAGCTTACCCTAGTTGCAATCCTACCGACCCAACCACTGCAACGAGCCAAAAGGACATTGCCTACCTTCGCGACAACGTTCTCATACCGCTCCTGGATCAAGAGAAGAGAGACGTCGTCATTATCGCACACTCGTACGGCGGTGTTGTAGCTGGCGGCGCAGCCAAGGGCCTTGATAAGCCAGCCCGTACAGGGAAAGGTCACTCCACCAGCGTCACTGGCCTGATCTATGTCGCCGGCAACATCACATTAGAGGGGGAAACCCTTCGCGAAGCAGTTGGTGGTGTTTATCCACCGTTCATAAAAGTGGACAAGGTAATGCCAACCGCACATTGGAACGAACCATGCTGACACACGCTTCCCCAGCCATCTAAAGGTCTGGCCCTCATCGAACCAGCAATGGATATTCTGTACAATGACTGCGATCCATCGCTTGCTCCCGAGTTGGACAAGCACATGAATCCCCACGCGCTCCTGGCGTTCGAGACAAAAGCGACAGCACCGGCCTGGGCAGATGCGGGGTTCGACGGCAGAAGGGTGTATGTGCGTACCTTGGAGGATCAATGCAATCCGCCTTTGCTACAGGATGTATGGATCGAGAAAACAAAGGTAAAGTGGGAAGTGATTGATATCAAAGCTGGCCATATGCCATTCGAGAGCCAGCCCGAGACGCTGGCTGAGCAGGTAGTGAGTTCTGCCCATGGATTCTCCGCCGTAAGGCAGAACGTGCTTGTGCAACATTGGCCCATGGAAGGCTGGAATGTCACAGCTGCTTTTTGGAGGATATGCGCGCCAGTACGTAGTTATATTGGAGGTCTTCTGAAAAGCTAAGTCTGTTTGCAGACTTGCAACCACGTCATCATGTACGATTACATATTTCCGTTAGATTCAACAGTGTTTGTACTTCACAAGACCTGCGACAAGATCCAATGAAGACGAATTCGTGACTTACAATTTCATCGCGACCCATACTAGCTTCGGAATATAAATTGCAGCACCATCTCTAGTCTCTCTCATTCCCTGAAGCTCCAAATTGCGCGATATCTCCGGTGTCTGAAGCTGTTTGCCAGCAAACTCCTTCCAAGCACTAACGTAACTATTCATAGTCAGTTGGCCGGTCGAAAGTTCCCTGAGAGGCGGGAACATAGCCTTCATAAGTAACTTACACGTCATTCCAGTACCGTGCCATTCCCAGCGGATATTCGTAAATATACAATTCGGATCCAGTGTATCCGCTATGGTTCATGATTTGCTTTAGCTCATACTTCCAACTGTGCTACTGGTTAGCTGCATGTGATATATTATAGAGCTTTACGGAACTCACGTGTCGCAGCCTCTCAGCTGGGAGAATAGTGTGTCGAGATTACTTGCCGAGACACCTGGCACCGTTTTGATTGAGGCGCCAATTGTGTCGACTTCGTCCCACTGAAGGTGGCCGCCAGGCTCTGAGGAAAGATGTCTTAGTTTTACCCTCAAAGGAAATACGAGGGATTCAGAACGACAAAGCAAAGAAAACCAAAGAGAGTAACCAAATAAGCGACCACATACTTAGCATTTTCGTCAGGTTTGCAAGTATGGGTCTTGGATCATTATTCTTTACCACGACCGTGATGAGCTTAACGTGAACGATATCGAAATATCCAACAAACCGTGGATCCGGCTCTTCGAACATGTTCCATGTATGCATGTGTACGTTGGTAGGCAGCCAAGCTTTCGGTCCAACTTGGTCTAGGTTGACATCAAAGCCATGGAGCTCAACAGAAGCTGGCTTGTTGCGGGCGTAATCACATAGCCAGATGCTTCATAATTTTCTTGTCAATACTGACCATTCTAGTTTTATGCCTATTATACATACCCATTTCCGGTGGCAATATCAGCGATACGCAAGTCGGATGCTCGAGTTGGAATATTCGGGTGTACGAGAAACCCAAGCAGGTCTTTCCATAGGTAGTGCTGGGCTGTGAGACTGAGACAGAGAAGTTAGAATTGTCATGTATGCAATGGTGTTTAACTAACCGGGCACTGCTACTGCAATCCCGCATTAACGCGTACGGGTCGGAGGCCTTCACAAAGGTACCATTCCATCCATTAGGTTCGTCAACACCGCTTGTGGCTTGTGCGTCTGCCGCGCGGGAAATCTTTCTTTTCTTTCTGGGGAAGTCATCCATCACAGGTCCATGGTTAATGCTTGTTCGTTTTGCACTGATTACCGTCATGGTGCTCATCTTTGCAGCAAGAAGAAAAGAGTTGCTCTCAACTCAAAGAGGTTCTGGGGCAGATAGTGGGTATGAGTCGGTTTGATAAACAAGACTGTATGAAAATTTCAGGTGAATATTGTGAGACACTTGGGCTGCAGTCATTATATCTACATGCCGTGGCACTTCACTCCTCGGCGACATAATCGTAGCGGTATAGCTGCGTTGTGATAAAACTTGGTTGGGCTTGGTATGCTGGTAAAGTCCGGAAACGCCAACATGCATATTGTGAAGGTGCATTATGAGCTGAATGGGGACAATTTAGGAGATGGAGAGATAATCTACACCTCATCCTGGGTAGACTCGTGTCCTGAGGAGATGTGCTGCTGCAAGGGTCAGCACACTTTTGGCACGCTTATTTTGGTCATTCGATTCGGCTGAAGGTTCGGCTGGTCGCCGTTTCCATGGGGCTGATTGGACACATTGATGCTGGATTGGTTGCGTATACCCCTTCGTATCTGTGTGAATGATTGCAATGGCGACGAGTAGTTGCTTTTTCTCCAGCGAGCGTATGCAAGTCCCTTCACCGCTTCAGTAGCGCCAGCTTGTACGCAAGCATCATGCAAGTCACAAACCTTATGCACACTACAACTGATGTGTGCCTGCATGCGTCCCTATGGAACGGGCGTTGGTGTTGACACATGCTTGGTCGATCCGGACCCCAGTTGCCTTGTTGAGGTCCATATCTCGCCCCTTCTTTCCTGCACCTTCAGGGCGCTTGATCGGACCCGTCGTTACATTTTGCGTCATTTCATTTGATGACAAACATGATTGGAGCCCGTTTCTGGAATTGCACTCAGCCATGGAGTTGTGGGTGTCATGCAGTCACGAGAGGCTGGCACATTCTTTTCCAGGCTAGGACGAGCATTGAGGCCACGATATACCAGAACCTACTGGGCGAAGCTCTCACCGGCGAAAAGGTGAGCAGCCTGGGCATGTAATAGAAACGTTTTAGATAGACTACGTCTCAGTGGTCTGCCTGTTTCGTCAAATTATGGGACGTGGTCCGGTACTAAGAGACATCTCAAACCCTTCCTTGTGCCTCAAACAGCGAAGACGTGTTCAAGGAAAGTCAGGATTTTATAAGACGATGACGGGAACCGTGACTTGGGTCTTTCGCCGTCATTTCTTCTCACATGGAGATACAAAGGGCTGCTGATAATTTGCACACTCATATCCTTGCGATGAAACCAAATAACTCATGGACCCAAACACCCCTGCGCCAGATGGGTTGCCTGCAAGAGATACATGGTGGGTTTCCTGGTAAGAAGTATTTCCGCAATCCTTGAATCTCAGTCGTTCCTGTGATTGTTTAGTTCTTTGCCGATCTTTTACAAGTTTGGCTAGACGAAAACGGCCTCACCGGAATCCATACTCCTGGCCTTTTTCTTGAGTGCGTGTTTTCCAACAACTATCACGGAAAACCGAGTGACCCTGAAGGTGTAGATATCGCCCTAGTTATGAATGTTTGCAACATCTCGGTTGTTTATCGCCGTCTCCAACTATCTAACGGCTTGCTATGGGGGCCACCATGAAGCCAGCGCAGCCCCTCACGAGCGGTGTATCTTACATTAAGGTCTGTAAGATTGACCTCTGGGAATAGATCTAACATCAACCTCAGCCCTTCTGCCTTCCCATAAACAGCTTGGCGTTGGAAGTAGAAGCCACCACTTCCATTTATGATTGTGATGACGTGCTGGACCGAACGAGATTGGCGATCATCAACAACACCCTCGTATCTGTAGGCAACACCAGGATGACCGTTTTCAGCATCTAGTCCATATGCGTTTCAATACAAGGAATGACCGCGGCAAATATCGCGTCACATGTTGGATGGCTTACCTGTTTGCTTAGTCTGCAATTATGCGATGTAGGCTCGGCGCAAGATTCATTTGCGCTTTCGGTGCCATTCTTCTCCTTTATGGACAGATGCTTGTTGTAGGTAGCTCCTACATCATTAAAAAAAATGAGTATGGCCCATACAATGTATTAAAAACTCTGGAATAACGGTCCATTTGCACTGCCACCGGCGGCTTTCACACTCGATGCAGGTCGTCAGCAAATACACTCTAACTACATTTGGACCCAATGATGCAGCCTACTGGTGGCTCTGTGATATTGAGCAGAATCCAACTGTTCAGCTTGAAATCTATTTCAATGTTGTGTGTTATGTTCTTCTGTACCTTGCATGGAGCCTCATACGCCATTCGCTAGGCTCAAGCCGTCGTCTTCCGCTAGACTAGTTGGTCATGTGTATGTCCGCCATTCAAATCTCAATGTACCGGTCGAAAGCCCCTGCAGTTTCAATCACGCCCTTCATCGCCTCATAATTCAGCTGTAACTTATCCTTATTCGCTTGCTTCCGTTCCCAGCTCGCAAATTGTCTTGCCGTTGTAATCACATTGCAAATTTATCTGCCGTTCATCTTATTGCTTGCCAGTTGCTCAACATTGTCTTCTAGGTCGACACAATCAATGCCCTCCTCATTCAATTCCCTCAAGTGGCGCAGAAAGTTGCCCCAGATCTGAGTGCGCTAATACATTGTCAGATTATTATAGCGAATCGCCAGTTGAATTCGCGATTTGATTGCTTCGTCAAGAGTGCCGACACGATTACTTGCTAAGACTAGAATCCTGTCGTAGTATTCAAGAATTCGCAAAAACACCGATACCAACGCGTTGCGACGAAGGTCCTCGAAGCTAAGCTGCGCCAGGAATATGTCAGCTTCGTCGAGCAAGACCACACAACCCCAAGTCTTAACTAGGTAAAGAACTGATTCAAGATAGTTCTCTACAAATTCTGGCTCGGTCCCAATATCTCCGCATGTAAAGGGGTATAGGGGCTTGTGGGCGATTTCGGCTACACTCTCGGCCGTCAAAGTCTTGCCCGTTCCTGGTCCACCATGTAACAATAAGATCAAGCCGTTGCCCTTCCCAGAAATAATGTCGGTGGAATTTTCCGCCTCAACTTGGTTACTGACAAGTGCTTGGATAAGTCGTTTTATTTTTCCATTCCTTACTAGATTGTCCAAAGCTCGCGTATTCCACACGACTTCGTTGATCCTGACGACGTTCAAATCTAGCCAACTCTTTTTCTTGAGGTTGTCGCCATTGATCGTCAGAGGCAGCATACGAACGAAATTACCATCGGGTGGGTGGTCCTGCTTCACCGCTTCAGATCCAAGATCGTCGGAACCAACAAACGGTTCAAATTTCTTTCTCTCTTCCTCTTTGGGTCTGTGCAGCTTAAGACACATCGCCATGCCGATCATATATCGGCCATCACCAGTATCATGGAACTTTTGACCAAGGTGCTCATCGTAAGATACCATGTGCTTGACACGGCACTGCCAGAACCATTCTCCTCGTCTTTTAGTTTTTTTCTGGTAGATTCGTCCACAATGGATAAAGGCCGAACGTTTAAATCCACGATCCGCCTTTTTGACCGATCGTTCGTGTCGAAGTTACAGTTCAAAAATATTCATCTTCGCGCAAATACGCCATTGAATTCCCAATATCATGCCTCAAGTGAGCAGCTCTGAATATAACTTTTTTTTTCCCTTCCGGCATTTCTGACGGGATATTTTGGGCTTCAGGTTCCAGGGGCCACGATGTACACAAATACCCTCTTACATTGTGATCTCTTCCCCCGACCACTATTGCCTCTGGTTTGAACAGGTATTTGAGATATGCAGCAGTAATAACACCTTTGTCGATGAGGTCGGTAACGAGTTTATACTCTTCTTCATATTCCGAAACTACATAATTCACAATATCTGAAAATGACGCCGCTGTACTTCACTCAAAGTTCCCAAGAAATCATTCAGTCCGTTACCTAGAGATTGAAGGATGGCAGTGTAAAGAGCAACAAACTTCATGGCTTGCACTTGGTCGAAACGAAACAAACTCAAAAAACGTTGAAATGCAATCCCAAGATCTTCATTAACTGTCTCAATGCATTCTGACGCGTGCTGAGGGCTTCCTTTATCGTATTCGACATCCAGCCACATTAGATAGGAGAGACAAGGTAACATACAGCAGTCTCTGCTGGAGACCTACCCATCCGTAGGATTGCACCATACCTGTTGAAGCACCCAGACATCTCTTTCATCATATATAGACTACAAAATCCCGGACATAAGCGATGATGCCATCGAGGTCTAGGTACATTCTGACTTGATCGTTTTCCTGGATCGACTCGCGATATATCAGTTGAGCTCGAGGAACCGCAGGTTTTGCTGCAAGCTCTAATGCATACGCCTGTAAATTATCTATAGTCAAGTTGGACTCTTCTGATATCTTGAGCGCTCTGGCAATCACGCTCAGCGTGTCGTCCAGCGTACTATCTTGGCTTAAAAAAGCACTTGGCTCTGAATCAGCTTCATCATTCTTAGATCCCGAATCACCCGCGGAAGACTCAGAGAAGATGCGGGAGCCATGCGAGGTACTAAGAATTTTGATACGCTGCGGATGTTCAGCTTCATAAAACACCGGGGCTCGAGAAGGTTGTTTCAGCTCCCCGCGAGGATTTGCTTCGGTTTGCTGGAGACGGGGCATGACTGATCTTTTCTCAAGCAGCTGCACCGTAGGCCCTTACATCTGATTGTACTTTTCCGGCTTTATACTGAAGATCGGGACATATGTGTTGATTTTGAGTGCAGTAAGCTGATTTGTTCGAAGTCTATCAGACCACGAGCTCTGAATGAGTAAACCAACTTGACGCTTCAAGTCTGCCAATCGACAGAGCGCCAAGAGAATCCGACCAGATCGTTCAACTTCACTATCGCGGCTTCTGTCATCTGAAGTAGTCTTCTGTGCAAGGATCGAGTATGTTTGTAGTGCAGCTTTGAAATGCAGTGCACGCCGCAATTTGGATATATTTTCCTCGGAAGGGACGACTCCTGCCACCTTACCGGCCTTGAGTTATTCCGTCGAATACCACGATTGAGGACTTGAGCCTCTCCTGTCTATAGCGACTTCAACCGCTGTTTTCAGGCGAGATTATTTGATCTGTCGTGTTTCCGTGTAGGTTAGTGACGTATCAAGAATGCGTAATTTCTTTTGTGTTTCCTTCGTCTTGTCTGAATTACCGATCTACGTTCATTCGTCACGTTGTAATTTCTTGATTTCCCGACTTTGTCGTTAGTCTCGCCCTCGTGCCACTATGATTGGAGCTTGTGTCGCTGTGTTTACCTCGTGGCCTACGACTCTTTCCCAATACTGCTTGAGAGACGAAGGGTCGCGCAATATCTCTGAGGCGCGCTTTTTTTTAATCGATTATCTCTTATGTTCGTTAAGGCGAGAGCGTTTGTAGTTCTTGTTGTTGAGCGTGCGATAGACGGTTTGCAAAGTGCCTCAGCCGTGAAGTGGAAAAAGCGACATTGCATCAGCAGTCAGCATGTTTGGGCCACATGCATGGCAGCCCAAACAAGGGTCTGAAGCAGCCCATACACCCACACAAAATGGCGCAATGCTGGTTATGCCCTTTAATATCCCTACCGGTAGATATCGGAGTTCACAACATGTGGCTGTGCTTGTGTTTGATATCGACCAATGACGTTTGACACGACACCACCTATATTCAGTGTCATGATTCACAAAGACTGCGCATACGCTTTATTTACCACCTCAGCAGTAGCTTATACGGGGAGGGGGGCGAAGTAGGAGCCATCGTTGCCAGCCTTGTGATAATCTGGTGGTGATACTTGCTGTGCACGATTCTAACTTTTGGGCTTTCTTGACCATGACAGAGCGATTGTCAAATCATGCTTCACTTCTCCTTTGCCAGCCTTGCTCTTACGTATTAAAGGAACAGCCCTGATGAGTGGAGAGCGTACGAGAGAGAATGACAAAAGCGACTGCGTTCAGGGCCTTTGTATGCAAATGTAATAAATAGGTAAGCAACTGAGTGTTACCAAATGCCACACGTCTCGCAATGCTAATATTGGCGCGTACTTTAGGAGCAATGCAGCACGCGATGTTTTCGTTGATGCGCTCAAAGCTACTTCGTTTGAGTTATCTAAAGATGAGGGGACATGAGAGTAGATCACCAGCTCCTTTGGTCTTTGTAGGCTGACATAGCTTGCCAGGGAGTTGTAAATCATCAAAAGCTCCATTCTCAGCTCTGCGCTGGTCTCAGTGACATCGGAAGTATATTGCCGCATACAGAGCTCATTATGCGGCTATACTCAACCCAATATATTACAGATTGTTGTGGTGATGTATGCTAATATCCTGAGGTTCTTGCTGCGTGCGCTTCATTTGTATCAAGAGAGCAAAGATCAACATATTATCCACTCGATCACGAGGCTTGCAGAGCAGCGATACAGCGACCTGCTAGTGACCATATCTTCGCTTTCCCGCAACATGACGGAGAGTGCCTGGGCTAGTAGCCATGCCGAGCAACGAGATATGCATACCAGTAGTCTCCAACAGACTCAGGAGCAGAGACAAACACAAGCGACCTTGGATAAAGTGATGGCTGAAATCTCAGACATAAAGGCCTGATGATCGCTGAACAAGGTTTCAACGCGACGGCTAGAATTGAGTTTCGCCCCCAGCTATCCGAGATAGGTAGCGAACCTTCCTATTATCTCCTCGCTACCTGTTCCCTGTCCCGCTCTTCACCGGGGCTATCATTCCCAATCATCACTTCGTGTACCTCAGTCACAGAAGTGGTGTGGTTGTGTGGTGGGTCGGACGTGAATGCTATATGTTATCTGCTCAAGCTCCAATACTCTCGTCAAAGTTCGTCCAGCTTGACTTCAACAGGGCCATCTACTTTATCAAGAGGACTAGGCTTACTCCATACGCACCTGCAGCAATAACAGCGACAACGGACGTGAGTATGCCAGTTACATTTCCAATGATTGACAGAAGACTAGCTTTGCAAGCCGCGCAGATCGCATATTTTTGAGTATCACTGTCTATGTTAGCTTTTTGAATGTAACCTGCGGAAATTTTCTCGGTTTCGGTAGAGGAACCGATGATTGACGTCAGCAAAGGTGTCCAGAGTGGACGGTGCTGTGAGGCTGGGCTTTGGTGGATCTTGGTGTACACGACTACTGCAGCCTATAGTGAAGCCATGGTAGTCGAGATGCTGAAAAAGGACGAATCAGCCACACTTGCGGGGTTGTGGCAGACGCGGCTGTCATCCTTGAAACGGCCAGTTCGTCTTCAGAACTATGCGTAAATTGAATCGGGATGTCGCTCACAAAGAATGTATCGCAGGTGTTGAAATACAAGGGCCGCACTATACCAGTAGGCCGCGGTTGCGATGGCTGGTTGTGGTAGACGTGAAGCCAACCTTCAGGTTCAGAATACAATTAGATCATGTAGTGATCGAGTAACGACAGCAACACGCTATCTTGATATTGTGACTCCTTATCTACTTGCGTTTCGCGATCCGCTTCAACGCTCTCATCTCCTTCTTCATTCTAGAATCCACAATCTTGTACCTGCCCTTAACACCCTTAGGACGACCTTGTACACCTCTGTTAAGACCCTTAGCCACGACGACCTTGACCTGATCCTTGGGCTTCTTGCGGCTTGCCTTGGCAAGCAACTTGGCAATACCGTCGGCCTTCTCCTTCTCGGTCATACCCTCCTCGTTAGCGAGCATGTCACTCTTCTTCTTGAGCTTCTCGAGACGCTGGGCAGTCTTGAACTTCTTGCGAGCCTGAGCCTCGCGCACCTTCTTGATAGGACGGGCATTGTAGGCGCGCATCTTCTCTTTGATGGCTGCTGCTGCTGCCTTGGTGATAGGCTTGTGCGGCTTGTCATGCTTGCCCTCGTCCTCGACGAACCAGTCAGGCAATGCGTCTCTGTCCCTGAAAGCGTGCTTATTCCAGCCTTCGTCCTCAATGTCGTGCCTTGTGGCCTGCCCTGTTGCTAGTCTATGCGCTAGAGTCATGGCCTCTGCTGTGATGATATCGATGTCGAGGCGTCCGTCAGGTAGTCGCTTGTCCTGGTCTTCCCAATCGTCTTCCTGGTCTTTATTCTTCACGACCTCGAAGCCACCATCATCTTCGTCATCTGAGGCAGGTTCAGACTCGAAGACTTCTTGTTTCGGTTTGCTGGCCTTTTTCGACTCTTTGCTGGCCTTCTTGTCCTTCTTTGGCTTAGGAGCAGGTTCGGCAACCTCGGCGTCAGAACCTTCCTCGAGTCCCTCATCAAGAATACCAGGCATGTCCTTGAAGATGTCCTGATTGAAAAAGCTCTTGGCACGTTTTGACAGGCCCCCTGCTTCCGTTGGTGTGTCGTCAAGATCGGTGAGCAACTTCTTGTTTGGTGCGGGTTCATCGTCGTCTGACTCATCACTGCTCTCCTGATCAAACTCCATATCATCGCCACTGGAAGCGGCCTCGTCACCCGAGACACCGTCCCATTCGCCGTCGTCGGCTTCTTGCCTCGCCTTCTTTGCGCGCCACTTGGCATCAGAAGCTGCCTTGTTCTCCCTGTATTGCTCGTACATGCCATCAAGCTCGCGCTCTAGGCGGTCCTCCTCCTCGTCGGAGTCTTCGTCGGTTTCCTCTGATCCGATGCCGCTGTCGCGATCTTTCCTGGCATCAGCTTCAGTGAGGACAGCCATTTTGCCTTTGGAAACCTTGGAGAGGGCATTGTTCTGGTCGATAGGCTTGAGGGCGAACATGGCGTCTTCGCCACGAGGGCCCGCCTCTTCTATTCCAATATCCATAGGGGCCATCATGTTCATCTGCATGCGGATGATTTCCTTTTGCTTCTTTTCGTTCTCTCTCCTCCTCTCGCGCTTCTTCTTCGTGTTGTCTCTGTCTTTCAAGGCTTGGAGCTCACCCTGAATCCTCAGCTCGTCATCCATATCCTCGACCTCGGCGGTCTCCTCGGCAGCAGCAGCCTCGGCTTCGGCTTCCTGCTCCTTGATGGTCTTCTTTGATGGGAAACCAAACTTTTCGCGGACCTTCAGTCTCCATCTCAGCAGTATCTTGAACTCTTTCCTTCCGAGGACCTTCAAATCGTTGCAGCAGATTCTAATCTCCTCTGTGGTTTCGGGCATCTTTTCAAGAGCAGCCAAGGCAACGTCACCGTTGGCAGCACCTGTGAAAGACAGCTTGTTGTAGGAACCGAGGATGGCGATGGGGTCAGTTGTGTTGATGAACTCTGAAGCGGGCAGCTCCTTGAATTGTGTCCAATCGCCCTCCTCGTAACCACCTCTCTTGCGCTTCTTGATCTCGGGGTTGTACACCTTGGCTTCGTTGTTGGGGGCAGGCTCAGCTAGCTCGGCGAAGACAGACTTGGGGTCTAAGAACTTGGGGTCGATCTTCTTGGGGGCCTTGAAGCCGCGGCAGACGACAAAGATTTCGGCGGAGACATTACGCGAGGACGGGGGCTTGGTGGCCTCGACCTTGGTGAAGAGCTGATTGAAGACCCAAAGCAGTGCATTGTAGTCCTTGGATCTGAAGACCTTGGTGACAAACGTACCGCCCTCAATGAGAAACTCGGTGGCGAGCTTCATGGATTGAAGGACGAGCTCTGCTTGGTTGAAAGAGTCCTGTACCCAGGCGGTACCGACGTTGGGAGCACCGTCGTGAAGTACAGTGTCGGCTTTCCAGGTCTTCAAGTGCTGGCGAATCGTGGCTCGGCACTTGTCGGTGGTGATGTCGGACTGGAAAGTGATGACTCCATGGATAGGCTTGATGGGTGACAGATCGACACCGACAATCAGACTCTGGGCAGGCATGACCTCTGCGGCAACTTGACACCATGATCCGGGGGCGGCGCAAAGATCCAGCAGGACCCTGCTCTTCTCGAGGAAGCCATACTTCTTGTTGAGCTGGACCAACTTGAAAGCAGCACGGGCTCTGTAACCCTTCTCTTTGGCAAGCCGGTACCACTTGTCAAGACGACCCTTTCCCGTCTTCTTCTGGAAACCCATCTTGTCGGAAGATAATGGGGGGGATTCCGATGTGGACGGTGATGGTTGAACTGGAAGGTGGCGGAGGGTAAAATGTGAAAGCACGATAGACGAGACGAGACGAGACCAGGCGCAAGGAAGCGACGCTCCAGAAACTTTCAAAAATTCCTTATCGGTAATCCCCGATAAGCGCGATAAGCGGGGCCGTTCAAAAACTAGGTACGGATCCGTTCCGTACTGTCGAGAGTGTCCTCGTGTCCTCGCTATTCTGACGGTCCATTACATACATAAGCTGCTGTAGTCAACCACAGGTACGTACATAAGTCGAACCTGGGTTGGTTTAGTAGTTACAATATGTACGTACGAATAAACGCGGACAGCATTTCTTTGCAAGCAGGCAAGTGGCCTTCACCGGATAACTGCGCCCCACGTTCGCGCTCCAGAGCCTTGCAAGCCTCGATGCCACCCCACCGCCCACCGGCCAACCTTTCGGGCGTCATCACCCCGTCTAATTGGTTTGGCACCCGTGAAAATGCTCCCCACCTTTAAGGTTAGTTAATACTATCGCGTCTTGAGCTGCCGGGGACCGCGTGCAGTTCGCGAAGAAACCACTTAACGTGAAAGAGTCCGTCTCACACGCCTGCTACGTACCCAAGATGGCCTCCTCCGCCACCTGACCCATCCAAACCTATTTCGTAACATCTGTGGCCGCTACGGATCCATACTTCTTTTACAATGGTTGTTTGAGTATTGTACTATTTCTTGTGGTTTGTCCTTCTGCTCCTCTTCGGCCGGACGTCATAGACGACAATTCGAGAATCGACAATAGTTATAGGTGGCAATGGTCAACAGGTCGGCAGTGACAGAGGCTTTGATGCCCTCGTCGCCAATTCGGAGGGACGCAAGGCAGCATTCGCCACCCAGGCGAGATAATGCCAAGGAGCGAAGAAACCCGTCCATCACACCTAGGAAGTTTCGACGCTTCTTCACCCCGCGGCCGCGTGTGCCATCACACCTTGCTCCCGGCCATATCAGTCCAGCACGCAAGGCATTGAGGGATCTTGCTGCCCCAGAACTCAACAGGAACGACCGGCTACAGACGCCCGCACCATCCAGTCCACTCAGAGCACCCAGCGAAGATGTTCATATCCGGGACGAGAATGCCATCGACAATACCCGCGCAAAGCGCAGGAAGATACATCACACACCTGACTCATCACCATGCCAACCTACTATTCAGCCAGCTCTCCCTGCGCCCCCCATTGATAGGCAGTCGGCATTACTCAGTCCTATGCGATCCTTGCATTCGAGCCAGGAAACCGTCGAGTCAGACGAGAGCGACGACGACGACGATGACCTGTTCCATCAAAGGCCAGCCAGGCGCTTGGCTCCTGTCACAGCCAGGGGCTTTGTTGGCCATCTCCTCCAGAGGGAGATGGGAGGCATGCCGAGGGCTGGGAGATCTTACATGGCGTACCCAGTGTCAGACTGGAGAACAGAAACCGCAAACTTTTACAGCCGCCCTGACAATGTCCACAACTGTATCAGTCATGATGGGCCGGGTCGCTGTATCCCTTTTTGTACAGCGGCGTGTCACAGTGAGCATAATCCCATGAGCCCTTTCTCCTCACGACGAACTGACATATTTCCTAGCCAATGGGCTCGTAGCAGTAGGTGATGAGGAGGGCAGAGTAAGGCTCCTCGACTCATCAGGCGATACATCGCAACCTTTCAGCAAGATCCACCTTTCTTTCCCTGCTCACAGCAATGCCATCATCGACCTCACGTTCTCCGACGACGACTATCTGTTAGCCACGGCTTCAGGAGACCAGACCGGTCGGGTTATTGACATGATTACCCAGACGCCCGTGGCTCTGCTCCATGGCCACACAGCTTCCTTGAAGCAAGTGCGTTTCCAGCCCGGAAGGTCGAACGGGTCAGTATTGGCCACCTCCTCGCGGGATGGTAGCGTTCAAATATGGGATCTTCGGTGTAAAGGGCCCGTCTCAGAGATGTCCCCTCAATCTGAACGTGACTCTGGCTTGACCTTCCGCCGTCCACCACCCAAGGAGGGATGTGCAGTGAATAGCATTTACGACGCGCACGCCCGCACATCCCGCCAAGTGAAGCAAGCGGCGGCTGGTGGCCCGGGGGACATGCCTTCACGTGGGGAATTGCCAGGCCGCATAGGGGACGTCTCCGTGACGGCGCTGCAGTTCCTGCCAGAAGGTCAAGAACACCTACTCCTCACCGCTTGCGAAGCGGACGCATCGATTAAACTATGGGACATACGATCTACCACTACCCGTCACAGAACCTCGACTCCTATTTCGGTCACGGCCCCACCGACTTCCCACTCCCATTGGCGTCCTTTTGGCATTCCATCACTTACTCTCAGCACAGACGCCTCCCGGCTCTACGCACTATGCAAAGACAACACTGTTTATGCCTACTCAATGGCACATCTTATTCTCGGCCACGCGCCTGAACTCAGCACGCGCGAACCTGCGAGACGGCGCCACGGCAACACGACACATAACGGCCTAGGACCCATTTACGGATTTCGACACCCATCACTCCATGCCACCTCGTTCTACGTCAAGGCTGCCATTCGACCTGCTAAAGACGGCCGCAGCGAGCTCCTAGCAGTTGGCAGCTCAGACTCCTGCGCTGTTGTCTTTCCCACTGCTGAGCGGCACTTTCGCCCGGATCTCTCTGGTGCCATGTCGTCGCTCTCCTTATCAGACTCCACCATCGCGGCATCAGCGTCTTCCTCCCTACCGCCTTCAGCCTTTACGCGATCTCATCGGCCGCCACTCTTTCAGCGCGCCGCCAGCTCCACAAACCTCGCTGCTATGCGCGAGAAGGACGATATCCCCATTATTAGGAATGTCGGGACGCCTCTTGTTCGTGGTCATGACCGCGAGGTTGGTTCGTTGACGTGGACGGAACAGGGCAAGCTCATCACTATCGGTGACGACTACCTGATTCGATGCTGGAGCGAAGATAGGGAACAAGCCATGGACCTGCGCACGGGTGGCGAGACCGAGGGCAGGCGTTGGGGCTGCGGATGGGCTGATGTTGGTGAGGGCTGGGATGGCGATTCCGAAGATGACGAGTAATAACAAAACAAGACGAACGGGTTTGAGTTTTACCGGCTTATATATAAATATTCCCAACGCCACCTTAGAGGAAGTGACGGATCATGTTTGGTTTTGCGATATTGTTTGCTTTTATGAGAATACCCCTTAGAGCATTTTCCTGATAAGAGCTTATATTTGGCCTGTGTTGCATATTAGCATACTTGGATTCTTTGATCGGTAGGAGTATTATGATACCATGACTTGATATATCTGTGCCTTATTTTGTGAACATCACTCGTATCATTCCTCTTCTAGGCTTTCGCATTATACAGTATCTGGCACGGTGCCTCAATGTCTTCAAAGCTAAGCTGATACGCTATCTACTTAAAGTTCATGATTGGTACCCCGGCCTCTGGCAGAAACATCCTTTAGAAAGAGGCAACAACGTCTCACATTTTCGTACCATCTGAGCATCGAGTTGATCGATTGCGTGAGCTCTGTATCGCTCGTCTTCTTGATACAGCAGATATCGACCCAGAAATATTCTAAGCCATCCATCGAGACTTGTTCACCACGGAATTTGATCATTCTATATCCGGGCTCCCCTTGTCCAGAGCCGGTATAAATGTCTTTAAAGATGATGAGCCAAAAACGCTGGCCCGTCGTCTTAGATCAGTAGTAATCAAAAGCAATGAGCGGGGTATGCGTTTCAAATGCGTTGGCAACATCAGGCTGTAATGCACACATGTGGCTGCAGGTAATCTTGGACATCTAACGCGAGCACATGCAGGAGTCTGTGGCTGGGAGCCTTTTTCCAACGCGCACAACCGCCTCTGGTATTCTGCGCGTACAGATTCATGTTCAATAGATGGAGCGAAATGCTGCCTGTTCTGCATGGGAATGAGCATTACATTGTCAGTGTCTATCATTTTGCAACTATCAAGAACATGGAATAGGTACGCCGGTCGCCTATTTACTGTATCGCTATATATATATTCAGCAATCAGCCGTGCCTCTAATTTTTCTATACAAGTTACAGTTGACCTATCCTTATTCGTAGTTATCAATACGGAAAGTAGGATGAAATCTTGGATGAAGTCATCGATACCTCGCATCAGGCCTGGGGGGGGGGGTTAAGGTTTCATGGGGTTACACCTAAGTTAACTTCACTGGGATAGCGATAGCCACTATTTTATGACAACGCCTCCTTCAGCATATTTTATGTCATCAGCTCGAGGTCGAAAAGGTGATACGGCCAGTCAGGTCAACATATGCACCATCTCCACTAATTATATAACGCGGTGTTGCTAAAATGGCCCCCACAGGAACCCCACGGCCTGGATAGGAAAGTACCCATGGTTCATTTGACCAGCACTTCCAGGGCCACACAATCCCTTTGAGCTCACCGTTCGGCATGTCAGCAGTGTGACAACTAATATCCTAAAGATAATTGCCTACGCGTTGGTGCATATATGAACCAAAATATATTGGTAAAAGCAATAATATCCGGGAACTGCTGCAGCGTCGCCCGAATCGCAAGTACAAGGCTATGGCCAATATCTTGTAAGTGGCCGGCCAAGAAAAGAGATAAGGTACGTCTATGCTATACATTGGGAGTACCACTTGACCGACTCTTCAAAAGAAATTCAATTAATTGGCCAGAAGCAGTTAACGTCAACTGCGCCTGGGGGCTTTTATGCAACGAGATAATCTGAGCTGTATCGTAGCCATACCGCACGTTTCTGAGTCAGCAATGGCCCGTTCACGAGGCGTCACCAGATCCATGGTATACATAGGTCCAGACCTTCTACATGAGTGGTGTTCACTGCATTATTAAATTATATGATGAATCACAGAAGTTTCCCTAGAAAACCCTGAATCCGAATTCTTTCATACTTCGTCTTAAGAAGAATATTTTCTGTGATTTTGATTCCAGAAGATAGCTCTCCGTATCGTCTACGCCAAGGTTCAAACGGTTGCGAACGCCAACCCGCCTTCTTTCTTGTAGCAACATTTCAGAACATCAGGTTAGAGAACCATGGAAGGCGATTACAATGTCTGGCACAAGGCTCAATCCTGCGAGGATTGTGGCCTATTCTTCACATCACAGTTGCTTGCATCTAATCATGCTGCGCTGACACGCCACATGGCGAATCGCTATTGCAATCCGTGTGAGCAACTTTTCACGACGTCTGAAGTTTGCCAAAAGCACAAGCAACATTCGGTTCGTCTTACTAAGCATGGACCTTTCTATGACAATCCGTCTTTCTGCGAGGACTGTCTTCAACTCTTCTCTTTCAGGAAAGAAGCAATCGACCATGCTGTAGGGACTGGTCATATGGCAACTCGCTATTGTGGGTCGTGTGAACAGCTCTATGATACGCCGGGAGCATTCCAACAGCATAAAGGTAACTCTGAGCACCACGAGAAGCCTTATACATTGTCGATAACTCCTCGCGAATCACATGATTCTCCAATTGGCCTTTCACAAAGTGCATCAGCTGGCCAGCCGCATGTACCACAAATAGCCCAAGTTGTTTCATCTCACGAAGTGCTACTCAACAGATTTGCGTCAATGGGCGTTTCTTCTCGGTCTTCTCAGACTGGACACGTTCATGAAGACGCAATACCAAAGAGTATTGAAAAAGCTATTCTCCCACCAAATGTAGCAGATAGCTTTCCCCACCAGCACATTCAGCCTAGACACGAGCAGTCTTCAAACATTCCTTCCACTTCTACGTCGTTTAGCCTAAGCCCACCGATCACTACAACAGGTGATATTTACAACGGCACTGGCGATGGGGAGTCTAAACCTCTTAGCAAGTGTACGTATCTCCACATAAGCAGTCGAGATGAACATTCGAAGCAAGTTGTCTTTATACTAACGCAAAATCAGACACACCTCGAACATCCAAGCCTCTTGTCTTCCGAACTCCCCCCAAATATCCTCCTTTCAACTGCAAAGCCGCTTCTTGCATCCGACATAAGTGTAATAAGTACAGCCTCTTCGACAACTCTGACCAAGAGATACTATTTTATGCTCTACAGCTTCGGTGTCACTCAAGGGAGCTCTTGCGTCGAAAAGGATTTCCCACTGTTGTCAATATCTGGTCCTCGCAGAAGATCAAGCTACCAGCTGGTATCAATGCAGAAGATTTTCTCATGGCCCCAGAACACTCCTCACGAACCACCCACCGAGTGGTGGCCATTGACTGTGAGATGGTCGGCGTCGGTTCCGGCCATTTCGAGGGCACCCAAGAGAAGCAGAGAAGTGAATTGGCTCAACTATGTGCAGTGGATGTTTTGACGGGCGAAGTTCTTATAGACAAATTAGTCAATCCTCTGGAGAAGGTGATCGACTGGCGCACGCGATTCAGCGGTGTCTCGCGGTCTGTAATCAATACTGCTAGAAGGCAGGGCAAACTATTGCTGGGATGGAGGGCCGCTAGGTCGGAGCTATTTACCTATATCGATGCGGACACCATCATGGTCGGCCATGCCTTGCACAACGACCTTCTCATCATGCGTCTGGTCCATAGCAATGTCGTTGACACTTCCTTTCAGACAGCTGAGGCAGTTTTTGGCAGTGCAGGGATTGCCAACAAGACATGGGGACTCAAGGTTCTGGCCAAGGACCTTACCAACCTCTCCATACAGGTGGACAAGAAAGGGCATGACTGCACCGAGGATACCTTGGCCACCCGCGAAGTCGCAATATGGTGTCTCTGCCATCCAGATGAGCTGGCAGTGTGGGCTACACAGAGGAGAGAAGAACAATCGAGGCTAAATGCCGAGCGTGAGAAGCGATTGAGAGAAAAGCGAAGAAGGCAAGTGGTAACAAAGACCGAAATACTCTTTTCCCCACGTCACCTTCAAGACCTCAGCTCCAACAACTCGTCCAATGATTCCGGGAACCCCGAGACTTTGAGAAGGAATGCTTGAAAAACACGACAAAAAAGAGACGCGAAAGTAATATTAAGCAATTAGCAAATTTCAAAAGTGATAAAGTTTGTCCAGTTTTGGTTTCAATAGTTTAATTGCTGTTCTAATAGACGCAAACAAAATATTTCACGTTATTCGGTCGGACTACGTCTTCTGAACATGGGAATTGTCCTTATAATATAGTAAAACTAAATTCTTTTGAATGTCTTTCATATTTGAATATCATTATTAAATATAATGACTCGAAAGAAATTGAATTTAAGAACTAATTAAACTTTACTTGGGTGTTTTGTAAGCTTTCTTTTTACTTTTAACTAACCACGTTAATTAACGAAGAATAAGCGCATATAACGTCTGACTTGTAGTATATTAGCATACTAATCAAGGTGTACGCTGACCGTCAGCTACGGAGATCGAGCATCTTGGTACCTGCTTCGAGTGCCACGAGGAGGCTGAGAGATGAGACAAGTTATAGAGGCAGATGGGCAGGTGCAAGGTACAAGTTTCCGTTCCAGCACTATCTAGAGTACCCGTCTGCAACTTGGCGAGAATTGGGCGCTGACCGATATAATTGTAGTGCTCGCCCACATGATGTGGTCTTCAGTGGCGCTGTTCGTGTGATGGAGTTCCAGCCGGACGGGAATATCAGCATCGACATTGTGGCCTGAAAGTCTTGGAGTGGAAATTTTCGAGCTGTCACAGCGGTTGTTCCCTGGTAAGCCCACTTTACATTTCGAGAACATAATAGAATAGATATCTAGATGAGTGGCGACCCGAGGTATTTATCTAGTCGTAACGTTGTCTGAGTTTGCATATTGGAGATAGTCTTTCTATAAAGACGTGCAGAGACGGAAATTCTGATACGACGCTTTTGGTTGACCGCTGGAAAGCCGTAAAGCCAGGGGCTGCACGCAAGCTCCGCCAATGCCTCATAGAGTAGTCAACACTTGTTATTATCCCTATATGACCTAGGACTACGGTCATTTTTCCCAAACTGCGTGGATAAAAATAGTACACCAGCTGATTATTTAACATGTTCTACCTTGCTATGTGTACGCTAGGTGATTTGAATGTTAGATCCTAAGTTAATTTCTTATCCCAAAAAATCGTTTAACCCAGATACAGAATATGGTATTAACTTTTCAGTGATTGCGTTGTTATCTTGACGGGCGTCAGTTTACGCGTCTTTGCGTTGAAGTCGTTCTTTCGGAATGCATGGGAACAGTAGGTGTTCCACCGCCAGTATGATTCAAAGGCTCGTGTTAACTCCGGGCAACCATTCACATAAATATGCACCCTCACAAGTAACACGCCAATCAAAAGTACATTTTTCTGAAGGTGCCTAAAGTATTATATGAATTTTGTCAATTAAACACCAAACCATGACTCGAGAAATATGGAATCCTCCACTGGTCTGATCCACCACTACAGCCATATAACAATTCAGCATCGCCTTTTCTATAATTGCCTAGAATCTCCCACGAGGGCAAAAAGGATACATTAAGTCGTCATGAAACATATGCGAGAAAGTCCGAGATGAATCTGCTTTGGGTACTCAATGCAACCTTTCGCTTCCCAAGAACCTCTCTCCAAAACCGCAATATTACAAAAACATCAAAAATCAAACTCCCAGTTCATAGAAGAGCAATGGGCACGATAGCGGCGGCCACCAAGCTTGAGAAAGCAAAGATGTTCCTGAATGAGGCGGCACCGGCCGTGACCGCGGCGGTTGGGCTGCTCGTCGTGACCGTGGTGTTGCTGTCGCCAGCCGCGGCGCCAGATCCCATGTCCAGACCAGAGCCGGTGTCGGAGCCAGCGCCAGATGAGCCAGCACCGGAACCTGAGCCGGAGCCAGATCCAGATCCAGATCCTTGGCCGCTGCCGGATCCAGTACCACTACCGGAGCCTGAACCGGAGCCAGATCCAGATCCAGAACCGCTACCGCTACCGCTTCCAGAGCCGGCACCTTGGTCGGCACCTGAGCCAGAGCCAGTTCCGCTGCCGCTGCCGCTACCACTGCCGCTGGTGGTAGCGGCAGCACCGCCCGGAGCCACTGTCGGGATGCCAGCAGCGGCACCGGCAGGCGACGGTGTGATGGAAGCAGTAACACCGTTGCCCTCGATGAACACCGTGGGGACGAAACCAGTGGGCTGAGCACCGGGGCAGGTGATGACGACCTCAGAAGTAGGCTTGCAGGAGCCGCAGGTGACGGTGGTGACGACGAAGCCGTTGGGGACGGCGGGCGGGAGGTAGCTGGCCGGGTTGCCCATGCAGGTCTCAACGACGGTGTAAGTCGCTAGCCACTGGCTGGTGGGGCAGGCGGCCTGCAGCACCGTCACGTACGAGGTGGTCCATACCGTCTCCGTGGCCGGGGACGGTGTGCAGGAGTAGAATACCGAGGTGGCGGTCCCGTTGATTATGTTGGTGGTAGACATGTCTTTGGATGTGGATGGTTGATGTGTAATTTATTCGATAGACAGCTCGAGGGCTATTCGAAGAGCGAAAGACCGTCTCGAGGGATTCCTGGGGGGTTGAGTAGACGACGGCAGGGTCGTGGGTACAAATGAATGTGATAGCCGAATGGCTGGGCGGGTCAAACGAGTGACTACTGGTTAATTAGAGATATACCAAGATCGAGCCAGAGCTGATGCTGCAGATGATGAAACTCTGCCGAAAGCAGCGGGCCGGGAGCTCTTATAAAGGAAGGCGGACATTGCAACATTGCCAGGCGCACCACCGCCCATTTGTCTCAAAATCCGAGCTCGATGGCATCTCGAAGCAGTTCGTCAACAACGTGCATACTGGCTTGCGGGGCCGACCAAAGGCGTAGTGAAGAATGATATGGGATTACAGGACATTCCATCTTCCCATGAGAAAATATGGACGGGAGATGAACGCCCGACATTGCTTCCTAGCCCGGCGCAGGTTGCGATTAGAGAGACACGGCTGAGACTTCGCATGCCCATCCACCACCACGCAAACGTTTGCTCCCTTAAAAAGTGGCGCAACAAGCTGGTATGTCGACTAGGCATATTTATTCACTAATCATTAGCATTATGGTGAGTCGTAGCTACCACGGTGGCCGGGTTTCTTAGTAGAAGCTATCCGCCTGTCAACTCACCACAGTAGGCTCCAGAAACAGAGCGAACTGATGCAAATGCCATGAGTAGAAAACTCAACAGGATGACCGTGGATAACACGATTTGTGCGCGACGTCAAACGAAATACTTGGTGGGACAAACTAGAATGACATAGGACTCACTTCACCATACCAGTAGCGACAGAGCAAAGACCTCTGATTGGCAGCAAGTGATGGACATGATCGTCTCAGCCATCATCAAGATAGTGGGCATGTCGACTGAGTAGTATGTCAAGCAAGCTGACTATTCATGGTTCAAATCTGGCGAAAACTCTTCACTATTGCACAAGGCGCGAAGGCCGTGGAATGTGAATTGGGTGCGGTAGACGAGACACGTGATCATTTCAAAAGCACCCATGTCGCGTCGTTCAACGGCAGTCATCATGGCGATGAAGGCTTTTCTTTGAACATTAGCAAAGGCAAGTTTGTCAGCAGACAAAATTATTCAGGCCTCAGTCATGTCGGCGATCATGGTGGCAGACCGTCATCAGAGACTGATCAAGCTTGCCAGTAGTCGACGCGCAATCTCTTCCTTGCGACCAGTTGCTTATTCGGCACGTATTGGCTTATCTCTATCTACTACTCCAAGCAAATTTTGCTTGATTGAGTTGGAATGTCTCCCCAATATTTCGACATCTACCGCACACTGTCCGAAGACGCGCGGAAGACTTCCTAGCGAGGATGTTCTTCTGCAATTCGACTTCTCTTATAGAGAATGGCAACACATCACTGTAGAAGTTCGAGGTGAAGGTCGTGGCTGAATTGTTTACTTTTTGATCTAAGGAGAAGAGAGAAAGAAACTGCCCGTAGGGCCGCCGCAAACTTCGAGAATTTATAGCCATCCTAACGTGGGGCTGGGCGGTGAGCTGGGTCAGATTCACTGGTCCCAAAAATAACGGAATCACAGCAACGTGGGTGCTCCGTACTACTAGTAGTTATGTAAGCTTGTCTGCCAAGTAGCCCACTTAGCCTGGTTGAATTCTCTTTCAAATCTCTGAATCCATTCCAACGCGAAATTCTCTGAGCGATTCGAAATGATGGTGTCTAGCGAGAGGTTTATCTTCTCACGAGCCACTGACAGCTGAAAGAAAGTATTTCCGTCTATGGTTTTGATGACCCTACGTTTCTCAGTCGCTTGGGAGATTTTGGGATAATGCATAATTGATGGGGCCACTAATTCCGATGTGAGGCAGGCCCCCCGGAGTTTGGTCAATTGCACCGTCTCGCATACCCACTCCCTCCCAACCTCGATTGCGGCCAACTTTTGATGCCACCCGATCAGTGAATATTGACATTTATCACCGCGTTCATTCGGGCCAATGAATACCGCCCTCTGAACCTAAGAAGCACAGACTCGGCTCACCACCTCCGGAGTTCTTTTCCAATCTACCGAAGCTTTGTCTAGAACGGGCCATTCCGCTGGCATTAGTAGAATAAGACATACAGCGCAGGTGTAGCCGCCCTCGATCGTTCGATGCAAAAGAGCTTGGACGACAACGACTAACGCCGGCACGACTGGTATAGTTTGCAGAATGAGGCGGCCCAGATCTGTGTGATCTGAGAGGTGTAAGTTGTCCTCGTCAAGTCAAAAGTAACGCGCAGCGGCTTAAGTATCGCGGCCGCGCCATGAGTTCAACTCAGTCTAGTTTCAGCGGCCGAAAGCGCAAGCTGAAACCTCCAGAAATGTCGAGCTGGTCACCAACATACGAGCTTAGTACGAAGAGCACCGGCGCGTGCGATAGGAGTTACAGCCAGCATCCTCCAGACAACAGCATTTTCGACGATGTCTACGAGTATTCTGATGGCGAGACCCTGCCCGAGCCTACCAACCTCGGCGAGATCATCCAAACACTTCAAGACTATGGCCAGATACCTTGGCGCATAGTTCTATAGAGGAAAGTAAGCAGCCGTCTATGATCAGCCTGTACTTGGTCGCTTCCGGAAACCCTGGACTTACCTGAGGACTGAAAACACCTGTTTGTGTTGCCTAAGCCGATGGCCTCAGTACTCGCTGCCGTGTAAGCAAAGCCTTTGCGAAAATACCCTCTAGGTATGTGGGTAAAACACGAGAGACAGGCCTTAGGCCACGGTCGTGGCTGATTAAGTGGCGGCGCGTAGTAGCTAGCTAGCTTGTTCGTTGATAATGTAATTTCTATACTAAGTATAAGTAGGTATATATATTTTCAGCCGTATGGCCTATATATATAGCCACGCTAGCAGCAACGCGCACGGTGTAACCTTCTGTCACGTAGGAAATACGGATGATATAAGTAGTAATAAGGTGTCACGTAAATGAGTTGTATACATAACCAATTTTTCTTAACGTGATGATGTAGGTGTAGCGCTCGTGGAAGAGTCGCGGTTTGGCATGCGGTCCTGAATCGCTCCGATCAGGTTTGCAAACGCCGCAATGGTCCGGTCCAGAATTTCGGGACTGTGCGAGTGAAGAGCCCAAGGACGGTTGGCTTCAATTGTGAATTGCGCGTCAGTCTCCATGTCGATATCAATGTCGTCTTCTTCCTCATCTTCACCGTTGCTTTCCTCTTCGTCAGTCTCGCTCTCACCAGCCGTGGCTTTTACTAAATAAGTCATATCGAGGTACTCTTGTAACAGAGACTGGAGCGATAGCCAGGGAGTCCGCTTGTCGTCCCACAAGGAGAAGGTCACACGAACACTTGATGAAGACTGATCGAACCTTTGCGTCAAGATTGTCAATGGAGCTCAGACCGAGCGGCAGGCAACTCACACGACGCCCACAGGGTGGCTCCCAATATTAGGAACATGATACAAAATGACGTGTTGGTCCGGATTACCAAAAAGCTCTGGGTTGTCCGGCATCAATGCCACCGGGGGTGCTAGCCCAAGGGTGTAGTAAAAGAAAAAGTCGTAACCAGTCTCCGAGTTCCGCAACGACGGATTAATAACCCGAGCTAATTTCAAAAACTTAATAAGCTTAGGATGCAAACGCGCGGTGATGCCCCGACTTCTGCATTCTTCTTCGTTCTCATCCCACCAGGAACCCGGTGCGGCTTGTTCAAAAGTGAGGTCGTGGTCAACAGCATTCCATCCCAATTCTAGGATTTTATTGTGTAGCTTGGCACTGAGGGCGGGGTCAAAAACATTTGCCTGTTCCCTCGTCCCAGACATTGTGGCCGACCTTGGAAATGTAGAGTGTATGTGTTGTCAGAGTGGTGCAATCCGCTCCAATGATCAGTTGACGCTGCACCAACGAGGAAGAAATGGGGGATTTTAACGCTGGAAAACTGAGTCAGAAACCAAGGCAGGCCTGGGCTGTCGAAGAAAGAAACGAGGTTTGAATAAGGTTCTCTGAACGGCTTTCATGATGCAGGCTTGCAGATTGTTTACAAAGGTTATAGTATGCACTCACGCGAACATAGAGTCTATTATGCGGTCACTTGAATCTACAAATGATTGAGCTGTTTGAAGCAAGCCCATCGTTGGACTGTGCCAGCATCGTAATTAGTGGTTACTGCATGGAAACTGTGTTGCAATCATGTATGTGTATACTCTATTGTGTACGATCGCGTGAACTTGAATCCCTTGTATGAGTGGCGTAATACAACACTGAAATGGTATTGCAAGTTTTTTGATACCGAAACCAGTGATTTCATTGGTGTGATACTTACTGGTGTTCTCTGATGTTGCGACAGTTTACATGCGTCAGTACATGGCACTGCCCAGAGCCTCTTCCCCAAACACACCACGCTAAAGGCGGCCTGCGGTTACAGCAGGCGACAGCCACTAAACAGTGGGGGGCAGTCAGCAGCCTCGTCTTCAGCAATAGGCGAGTGTTTCGACAATCCAACCTTTTCCCTCCGCCGGCTTAATCCAATCTTAGTTGTTTTCGCCCATCTCCTGCATTCCCGAAACCGAGATATGCCGTCGGACGATTACACGTCATTCAGCGGAGGTGGCGCCCTCAAGCTGAAGGGCGGCAAGGTGTCCAAGTCCAAGAAGAAGAAGAACAGGGACAAGCCGTCCGATCTGGAGCGGTCGTTGTCTACCGGCGAAGCTGCGTCGGAGATCGCTGCTGCGAAGCCCAGCAGCAGCAACAACAGGAAGCGCGAGAAGGATGCCGACAAGACAAAGGATGAGGAGGACAGGGCGCGGCAAGAGGATGACGACGAGCCGCCCGAGTACAAGACCGAGGCTCAGAAGCGGCACGAGGAGTACAAGAGGAAGAAGGTGAGTGGAAGCACAACAGCGGCAACCAATTTTCCCCTCCTTCCTCTCTCGTGGGGAGACAGGGGAAGGAGAGGACGCAATCATTGTTCACTTTCCAGTTGGCCGGTGGGCTAACTCAACTCAACCATCACAGATGCTAGAACTGTCGAAATCCGCGAGCTCAAGACCAGAACTACTCAAGACGCACAAGGAGAGGGTGGAGGAGCTCAACACATACCTGTCGAAACTTAGCGAGCATCACGACATGCCCAAAATCGGTCCCGGCTAAGTCAGATGGGAGGGCCCTCGCTTTTCTCTTCCTTTTCTTTTTCGAACGACAAGCACCGTATCTTTGTATCATATCTCTGGTTTAAAATAGGAACTATACCCACGGGCGTCAGGTAGAAGAAACAAATATTGGCCGTTGTTGTCGTGCCGGCTATCGTTGAACTTCAAATTGCTTCTGCTGGCATGTGCAATCATCTGCGAGCATTGCGTTGTCTTGGTCTTGTAGACAAAACAAAAGCTCCTGCCAAGCGCGCCACGTTTTCAACACATGAGTGTCATAACTAGGTTGTGTTTTCATTCCGCACTTTGCACATATTTGAAAAACGGGACGAATCGAAATTAGTGCTGATTTTGATTGTTGTCATCTGTCGATAACCTAAATGTTTGTTTGTATTACCGCCCTGTTGCTGTATGTATCTCTAGTGTCGTAACTCCGGCTGTGCCCATGAAACCGGATGCCCTGTCTAATGTATGCCCGCTATGCTACCCATGGTATCGTAAGGAGTGTGTATGCCGATAACGCTAAAAAAGGAGTGTATATGCCATCAAATGCCCCATATAATGCAGATGCTGGCATCAATGCCTAGGATCCAGACTCAAAACAAACGCCGGGGCTGCGAAGCCCATTATGCAAAAAATTACACTCTCGAGTGTTTATTACTTCTTCCGCCACATGTTCCGAAAATTCTATCAACTTTTCCACGTCAGCCACTGTAAGTCAACGACATGCGCTTATGTCAGCATGAATCCGGCCACGACAGCACCCACGGCCATCTCAAAGACGGGGTTTCTGTTGCTTGACGCCGGATTGCCGGTCTGCAGCGATCCACTCTCGCCAGTCGACGTCGCCTCCGCGGTCTGCGCTGCGTCCACCACCGAAGTAGAGGTGATAGTCTGCACATCACCGTTGGCCAGAGTCGAGGTGAACGTTGACGTCCTCGTCGACGAAGAGTGTCGTGGCGTGGTTGTGGCCTGGTCAGTCGAGCCGGGCGACTGTGTGGTTGCCAAGGTAGTTGGAGTGTTGCCTAGGTAATCGGTCAGTGCATGTGTTCTTCGGAAAGCTCGATCAGAAATGTTCACGCAGCACAAAAAGAGAAATAATAAAGAAAAGAAAGAAATCAGTGAGACGACGAAACATCGCGAAGCGAACACAGCAAGATCAATACAAAAACGTACCCCCGGCGTTAGTAGTACGCGTTGTAGAAGTTGCGGTTTCAGAGGTATGATTTGGAGAAGTAACAGCAGTAGCCGTACTGGTAAGAGTAGTGACTACTTGCGATGTCCCTCCATTGGAAGTGACAGTCGTGATAGTGACAGGAGAAGCAGACACAACCGCAGTAGTCGTAGTACGACCATTTGAAACAACAGTAGAGATAATAGTTACTATGGACGTACCCTGTGAAGTAGGAGAGTTTTCAGTCGTTTCAGCAGCAGATGTACGAGTCGTTTGAGCATTTCCTGTGGTCTTGGTGTTGGTGACAGTGTTCTGTACAGTCGTCCCCGGGGCTGTGGTAGTCTGTTGTACGGTTGTTGTTCCTTGAGCAGTAGTCGTCTCAACTTGCGTAGTACCCTGTGTCGTAGTCCTTTGGGTGGTAGCCTGAGTTGTTGGTGTTGTCTGAGCCTCCGTGGTGGTCTCCTGTTGCGTAGTCGCTTGAGTTGTAGGTTGCGTGGTCGCCTGGGTCGTAGCCTCTGTAGTAGCTTGTGTGGTTGGGCTGGTAGTGGCATCGGCGGTGGTAGTGGCCGTGTTTGTGACTGTGGTTGCATCCGTAGCAGTCACTGTAGCGCCCGAGTCACCAGAGTCCGTTGCCGAACTGTTTTGACGTTTTGCCAGCTCCACAAGTGAGGTTGCCAGAGCAGCATCACTTGAGTGAAGTGCCTCGATAGCCGACCCATCAGACTCGTAGACCCCATCCTTGAAGGTGCCGGGGAAGTAGGCGTGTAGCAGGCGGTGGAGGGCATCTGGCGATGCTGAGTCCATGAGCTTTGTGAGGCTCATCTCTGCCTGATGGAGAGTTGACTGGGCCTCATCAGAGCTACTCGCACCACCTAAAGGCCGATCTTCCAGGGATGATGCTGCTGCCGATGATGCCGTTGCTACACCAAAGCCAACGATACACAGGACCAATAGGCCGAGGACGAATCTTCGTGCTGACAACATTCTGCTCCGGATAGGGTATTCGGCTCTGTACGACGCTGCTGCTGCTGCTGCTGTTGACGACTTCTCGTCTACTCCAAAGGGCGGATAGTATACCATCTTGGAGAGCAGCCAACGGCGGGGGGGATGTTGCAGGGTATAAGAGAAGTGTTTGAGGCGATTCCTTTAGAAACTAATGCAAAGCTACTGCAATGAATGATCCAAGGAAACAAGAGACAAGGACTAATGAGCACCAAGTCACCCTCGTTGCATCATGAGCTTGCTGAAATGGTAAACTTGAGTGTTGGTGTAAGTGGGCCGAGCGAATGGATACCAGCTAGATTAGTTCTCAACGGCACGCTATTCCGTCGGATCAATCGTCACAGAAGTACTTGAACGAGTGTGGGATGATAGCTTCGTGTGCCAGATTTTACTATTGGACGCGAAACTTCGAATGGAAGGGAGGACAGACAATGGCTGGAGCTGACAGGAAAAGCTTGTCTTCTTTATCAGCTTTCAACGAGGGTTCGAAATAGAGAACGATAATAAGCGAAAAAAGAGCTTCCTTGATCCTTGCTAGACCGCAGAGCTGGGAGGCTGGGCAAATCTGGGTGTTTTTACCGTAGCTTCCGTGGTCCTCATCGCTAACTTAGCTAGGCCAGGGGCAAGGGTGTTTCGTTTATCTGCATTTCGCCTGTCGCCCGTTCGCTTGGATCTGCCGCGGACACGCGTGCAACCTGACACTGCTTCTCAGGTGTGTCGAAGCAAATGGAGCAAACTATTGTGGCAGCCTGGCAAACCTCGATATGGGATTCGTCGTTTAAACGGAAATTTCCTGCCGGAATGCCAACTTTTCCAAGAACGAAGTCGCGGGGGGAATACTATATACATACTTCCATATATGCGAAGCCTGCAGAGTGGCCATCCCACGCTGCAGACTGCATGTGGCATCTACCTCTGGTCGCACAAACGACGACGACAAAGTTTGTACGACTTCCGACCGTATGCGTGGTCTATGCGGCAAACGTGCAAAGTATCGGCACAAAATTGACTTCACCCTTAATGCTCGGCCAGAGTGGCCTTGGCCCCTTGGTGAACGTGAGAGCGGTCCAGTCGACTGGAAATGACCGGTTTGCTCTCTAGTTGAGCCGCGGTGCATATTTCTGAAACTCCACAGAATTTGGTCAACCAATTATTAAGTCGCAACACTGTCGAGAATGACGTCGAATACGAGCTGTTGAATGGGGTCTGCTTCCTGTGCTGCGCTGTGCGTAGCGCCGAAAATTGTCAAGCTCGGTTCACGGCCGGCCCAAGAACGAGAGATGGCCCACGCTGGCTCGCGTTTGTGTGGGTGCAGGTCCTCTTTTGCAGTCTCGTATTCTGCTTGCGTGTGATTGATCGACTCTGTAGAAATGACTGGAGGTCCTCATAATCTCAGCACAGCCCAAATGTATATTGCGACCGGCTCTCTCTCCTGTGAATATCGTCAGCATGACACTTGCCATGGCACCACAATCGATTTGGTAGTTAATGAGAGGCAGCCAGCAACAAATGCCAAGACTCGACGATCAAGCATTGCACAGTAGAAGCGCACAGTAGGCTGTGAAAGCATTTCACAGAATTGTGTGCTGGCGGCTCGCACATGGTTCACCTACACACTAGCAGAACTCAATGCTTCGATGTGCCACAACAATGCTACGAGTTGGTGGCACTTGCATGTCCCATCGAGTCTGCTAAGGTTAGTAAGATGCACCCACGAACAAGAGTATCCGCGCGCAGGTGCTACTGCACTGAGTTGCATGACATCTGCTGGCAGGCAAGGAGGCAGGCAAGGAGGCAGGCAGGCTTAAGATGCAGGTAAGCCCTTTTAGGTGAGCATCGTGGTCTGATTTGGCAAACGTATTCGCATTGCTTGGTGGCGGAGTCCAGCTATACCTGTGAGAGGCGAATTTTTGCTGCACGAAACTGGCGAATAAGCCCTTCGAGATCGAGTCCGAGTCAACGTCTCCAATGGTGTCCAGGTAGCTGATAGCACCCACCATCTGCAGACCCTGACCGATCTATTTTTGGATTATTGAAGCTCGAAACGGCGGGCAAAGTTTGTGTAAAGCTTGTTGTCTACTGCTGCAGCACTCAGCCAAACCGCTGCTTTATTTATTAGACGCGTTGAGTGCTAGTCAAAGTTTCTGCAATGTGTGCATATCACTGATGAATCGTGGTCCCTGCCCTTGCAACCAACTGGGAAAGCAATCATGTCTCGGTAGTTGGGGACGGTCATGATAAATTGGCAGGGCTCAAGGTATGCCTCTGACTAAACATCTGTGACATCTATAACCATTGGCAACGCAGGTGACTTATTGGTCGAGCATTAGTAGAGCGGGTATAATTTCGTTCTTGCGCTGCTGTGACAAGCTTCACTTCAATACTGCGAAGACCTAAAAACTCGCTAACACCTGCGCAGTGCTCTGTTCACCTTGAAGCCTAAAGGTTTTGCTCTCATAAGAAAAACCAGTACCGAATCTATGGAGCAGTCGACGGTGTTTTCACTCCACGTCGGCCAGCTCACCCCACCAACTCTTGTGAAAACCTCATCTTGTTCGACGCTCAGCGTCTTAGGAGGGGGGTTTACCATTTCCCCGCAACCCCACCATCAACTTTCACGACTTTATATATCTTCCCGCACCCAGAATTCGAAGTAGGAGTGAGCAAGACTCCACCAACTTTGCCATAGACTTGAGATGCTTATAATTTTAGGAAACAGGCTGGCCGGTTGACTAAATCGAAGTTGCTCTCCACAAGCATCGGCAAATCGATCGGGGCTGAATTATTTAGCAAGGCTGTCGGCATGTAATGCACGTGGCGTGGTAACAACAACCCTTGCTAGAAGCTCTTCTAAAGATCTTGGAATCCTTGACACGTGCGGGCCTCGTCCGCAGCAGTTCTTTACATCTTCAAAATCGTTGTGAGCTTGACTTTTCCGACGGACAATATTCTGTGTCCCTTGAGCATTTAACTTGGTAACTTTGAATCACAAGATTCGGAGTACATCGCGACTACCACAACTAACATTTCACGTTGCAGAAATGCTTATATGAAAGCGTCCTCGTGATCATCCTCTAACTTATGTCCACCCAAGTTATAAATTCTAGAATTCCAGCTGAAAAATCCATAAATGGCCCAAACGCCTGGAGCGGCAGACACCGAATTCCGCATTATCTCCGCATCGCAAAGCAATGTGGGGTTATACTTCATGACGTTTTGCGGCGTTTGTAAGAAGTGCCGAGGTGTTCGTGAATATAAATCTCATATATGGTTATATCTGCCCGGCCCAATTTCACAATTGTTGTCCAGGATTCTCGAGAAAACCGTGGGACCCGCAAAAGACAACAAATAACATAACCATGTCTGACAACTCGAAGATCGCCGTGCTCGATGTACGCTTTACCCCGCCATGAAAGATGTTTATGAGGGAAAGAAGATACCCCGACGACTAACAACTTCTTTTCCGTAGTCGACTCTCGTCGATAGGCTCCCCGCCTACTCCAAAGTCCTCTTCGACGGCAAGGCCCAGAAGAAACTCACCTTCGAGCAGATCGCGCAGGAGCTGGGACGGGGCGAGGTGGCCGTGGCCGCGCTGTTCTACGGGCAGGCGCAGGCGTCGTCCGAGGACATTGACAAGCTCTCGGGCCTGCTGGGCGTCTCCAAGGAGAGCCTCGAGGCCACCATGGGCGGGTTTCCCGACCGCGGCCGCGCTGGCCCCATGCCCCCCGTCGAGCCCCTCATCTACCGCCTGTACGAGATCGTGCAGAACTACGGCTACGCCTTCAAGGCCGTCATGAACGAGAAGTTCGGCGATGGTATCATGAGCGCTATCGCGTTCTCGTCGAAGGTGGAGAAGGAGGTTGATGAACAGGGTGTTGCTTGGGTGAACATTACGCTCAGGGGCAAGTGGTATGCATTCCCGACTGCGCATTCATGTTCGAGTTCAACTAATATGTTTTAACAGGCTGCCTTTCACTCGCTTCTAGATGTTCATGGATGCCGGATAAGCCGACTAGTGGAAGTTATTGCATGATACCAGTACCAAATTATAATATAACCTCAAAGTATATGATTGATAGCCTTCAGCATGAACTGTTTCCATGTAAGACTGTTACAACCAGTAGTGATGAGTGACAATAGTCATGCATTGTTAGCAATTTCGGTATATAAAATCCAGTGGATTTTCACAGTATCCTTCCAGCCTGGAAAGGCAGACCTGAGATTCTTCTCGACCTTCTGATACATGTGCAGTAGCTGCGTCGCAAGAGTGGGACTGTGCGGCTGACTTAACCTCACGTCGTGGAACCGTATTGAGCCAAAGTCCACTCTCCGAGACCCTCTTCTTCTGCCATACGCATATCTTTCCAGTCGTGTGACGAGGTATCTGTGTGTCAAGGCGAAGCCCCTAACCCAGCGACCCTGGAGTTCAGGCCACGAACTAGCAAGGCAGTCACGCAAAGACGAAAAACCCCAAGAATGACCACTTGTATCGTCTATCAGTGTCGCATCCAGTTTCTCTAGGCTTTACAGACCCAATTCTTCTCCAAAAGCTGGCGGAACATAGGCCAATCACCGCCATCGTAGGGATACACCAGATCGGTGTGGCAATTGATCGGAAAATTAAAAATACAGCATTCGGCTTGGCTGAGTTCTCAATCATCGGCACAGTATCGTGTGCAAGAGCATCCACAGCAAGAGTCCAGTTCGAATCATCAGGTTCCTATAAAACCTGGAAGGTAATTCTCCTAGTTCTCTGTCTCGCGGCTATATCGATTTCCCTGTACTCTCGTTCTAATCTGGCGATGTCACGTGTACAAATATGAGATAAAGGAAGCAAACAATGTCTACCACCTCAATTTGTTCCTCCAAAACCTGATTTGTGAGTATGCCGACCCTGATGCCACGAGCAGCGCTACTTGAGCGCCGCGATCGTGTATTCAAGGGGGAACGTTTACGATCGTACATTCGACGTGTGCTAAGAGGTGTCGGCATGTGATGATCCAGATGCTCCAAGCCACCTGGGCCTTCGCGTATTACATGAACGCTCACTGGAGGTGTTCAGAAATCTCGCCAGATCTGAAGCCTGATCTCGGTTGGCAGATCGCTGAAGCGCGAGAAGGCTGGTGAAGGCCCAGGCGCAGTGGCAGCAGTGATAGCATCGGCGGCCATGCTCCCAGGCCGAAGGCGACGAAAGCTGTTGCCAAACCATTCCATCATGTGCCCTGCGGGCTCAGGATTTGCAGTTCAAGGAGGCCGGGGCGCTGTTCCCGATTGTGAAGGTTGGGGCGGATAAAAGCTTATGACTCCATCAGCACGGCGACCAAAGCAGTCAAATTGACTGCTCACGGACGGCTTCTGTCACCAACTCAGCAGCACGATCGAGACGTTAGACTGTTGCATTATTTTCTGCTCAGTCACGCCGAACTTATGTTTCTAATACAAGACAGATTGCTAGAATGTGGTCTTCTCAAAAGCAAGAAAAAATAACAAAAATTCTTACTGTACGAGTTGTTGATGTGTTGGGTTTTATGTGCTGTCGACGACCGACTTGGCATAACCACACTGAGTAAGGGTAAGCACAGATCTATCTTGCGGCTCCGTGAGTGACAGTATCGATACAAAAAGAGTAAATCTGAAGCTCCAGCATCAATTGGTATGAGATTTATGCACAGCAAGTTCTCTTGAACCTGTTTGTGATTGCACGTTTCTTCGGTTAGGAAGTCTGAAGCACTTACATCTCTGACGTGAGCCTTGAGCATCTAACCTAACCTAACTTCGGATTTTAGTGTGCTACGAGTCTATATCTAACTTTAGAGGATGGGTAAACCACAAACGAGACGACCAAGTATCAGAAGTCATGATCAATGATTGCCGGTATGTGATAAATGAACACAGGGCACGTTGAATGCATGGATTGTCATTGTTTTACTGTGTCAAGTGCGAAAAATGCCAAAGGAAACGCCTCCAGCTTCCGCGTCTCCAACCTTTTAGTGGACCGGAGCGAAGACGAAGACGAAGCTAGGACCCCACCTCGTAAGCGGTGAGACGCTGGAACGGTTAACCCCTGCAACGATAGGCAGAAAAAGTTCTGGTATCCCAAAATTTTGGAACGATTGAAGCTGGAGACTGCCGCCAATCTACAACACCAAGATTATTCTGATTGCACAAATCCGTCATCATGGTCACCAAGAGCAAACTCAAGATGGCCCTTGCCGCCGAGAAGGGTGTCGATTTCCAGAAACTGCACCAGAAGAAGGCCCGTAAGGAAGCCGCCAAGAAGAACCCGTCGCAAGGCAAAGGCAAAGGCAAAGCCAATGGCGGGGCAGACGATGAATGGGAAAGCGCCGATGAGGTCCAAGAGCAAGCCGGCGCATCCGCCTCCGAAGACGACGAGAGTGAGGATGAGGAGGCCCAGCATATATCCGTTCCCATGGATGACGAATCCGACAGCGATTCTGAAATCGAAATGGAAGCGAAGATCGAGCGCAAACCCAAGTCCATATTGAAAGCAAAGAACGCCGCAAAGAGCGCTGCCAAGAAGGTTGCCGACGAGGAAGAGGAGGATGAAGAGGAGGAAGAGGACGAGGAAGACATACCCATGTCTGACCTAGAGGACCTGCCCGAGGAGGACAAGGAAGATCTCATCCCCTATACCCGACTCACTATCAACAACACCACCGCCCTCACAGCCGCCCTGACTCGCATCGCATTACCTACCGACAAATCAGTTCCTTTCGTCACACACCAATGTGTAACTAGTTCCGAGAAGACCGCAGACGAAATCGAGGACGTCCAGGACGACTTGAAGCGCGAGCTGGCTTTCTACAAGCAGTCTCTGGAAGCCGCCAAGAAGGGACGCGCTCTTCTCAAGGCTGAAGGCGTGCCCTTCAGCCGTCCCAATGACTTTTTCGCTGAGATGCTCAAGGACGATGGCCACATGGAGAAGGTCAAGGCTAAGCTGGTGGAGGACGCATCCGCCAAGAAGGCCTCCGCAGAGGCTCGCAAACAGCGTGACCTCAAGAAGTTCGGCAAGCAGGTACAGGTTGCCAAGCTTCAAGAGCGCCACAAGGAGAAGAGGGACACATTGGAGAAGATCAAGTCCTTGAAGCGAAGTAAGCTCCCTTGCAACAACCCCTCTGATAGTTTCAACCATTTGCTAACGATCTGCAGAGCGCCAAGAGTCTGGTGATGCTGCTGGCACGAACGAGGCTGATCTCTTCGACGTCGGCGTTGATAGCGAACTCAAGCAGCAAAAGTCATTTGGCCGTGGTCGCGAGGGCCGCGACGGTGGAGCTGGCGCAAAGAGGCAGAAGAAGAACGAAAAGTATGGATTCGGTGGCAAGAAGAAGCATGCCAAGTCTGGTGATGCCATGAGCAGTGCGGACATGAGCAGCTTCAGCGCCAGGAGGATGAAGACGGGCGACAAGGGCAAGACGATGAAGACAGCCAGATTAGGCAAGGCCAGAAGGAATGCTGGTGCTCAAAAGCGATAGGAGGCTTTGGGCATCCAGTCTTGAGTTAAATGCATTCCGGAGTTCATGGTTCTTGGGACATGGTGGGCTCTTGGGCACGCCCACTGCGGCCTTTGTCAAAATATACCAATTGTATGACCTAGAAACACGTTGCTGTTCCTGTCGTGAGAGTCTAACTTCCGAAACCCATTCGAGTCTAACCGTGTTCCCTACCAACATTTGAGAACCGCAGCGACCATCAAAGTGAGCTGCACTCGCATTTGTAAAAACATGAATCACCCGAAGGATTCTCGATGGACTACCTGCTACATATGTGCTGTAGGGTACTCCGTATGCATATCGAAGTAGCGGGGCATGACCTGGATGCGGTAACGCTCGGGCTCTTTAACTTAGACTAGCGTGTGTCTTGGTGTGACTTGGGACAAGTGACCGGGGGGATCGACTGTGACGGGGACGAGGACGAGAGGTCGGTCAATGACGGCGCTTGCCTGATAACATGACCGAATCCACTTGAGGTATCTCGTGCTTCTGAAGCTTCGATCCATAGCAGCCTTCCCATCAAATAAATATATTTGCGACCGACTTCTCAGCAAGCCGCTTGTCTTTGCTCCCGAGCGTCAAATCATCAATTCGCCTCCCATTATTAGCCAACAGATATCTTGCGCGGTATCTAAGAGCAGCTCGTTCGAGCATTTGCCCGTCTCCATCTTCGAAAACAAATCCGCCTAGTCTTCAAGCGCCCACTTCATTATGGCTTCTAGGAAGAAGGTCCTCCTTAAGGTATTTTGGGTCCTCGGGCAAACCATCGAAGCGGCTAGGCTAATGTCGATATTTGCGGCATAGGTCATTATCCTGGGCGACAGCGGTGTAGGCAAGACGAGCTTGATGAACCAATATGTATGTTGATGCGCTCACCGGTAGATCCACGACCGAACTCCCACGAACGCGGCACAGGAGACATGTCTGCAAGAGATGGCATACTGATGATACATGGTTCGAACAGGTCAACAAGAAGTTTAGTGCTAGCTACAAGGCCACGATTGGCGCCGATTTCCTGACAAGAGAGGTCTTGGTTGATGACCGACAGGTGACCATGCAGGTAAGAAGAACATGCGCAGCATCCTTGTCCGTCTAGGCGAGACTGACGACGGCTAGCTATGGGACACGGCCGGCCAGGAGCGCTTCCAATCATTGGGCGTTGCCTTCTACAGAGGTGCCGACTGCTGCGTCTTGGTGTACGATGTCAACAACTCCAAGAGCTTCGACGCCCTTGACAGCTGGAGAGACGAGTTCCTCATCCAGGCCTCACCCCGCGACCCAGAGAACTTCCCATTCGTGAGTCAACTAGAGCTGTTTGGACAGGCGCATTTTCGCTAAGCCCGTGATCAGGTTGTCCTCGGAAACAAGATCGACGTCGAAGAGAGCAAGAGAGTTGTGAGTTCGGCCTCAGCGTGATCAGAGACAGCCAGCTGACTGTCTTATCAGATCTCAAATAAGAGAGCAGCAACCTTCTGCCACTCCAAAGGTGATATCCCTTACTTTGAGACCAGCGCAAAGGAAGCCATCAACGTCGAGCAGGCATTCGAAGGTAAGCTGGGCTCGACTGGACAGCTGAATTTCCCAGCTAACACTGCATCTAGTCATCGCAAGGAATGCTCTCGCCCAAGAGGAGTCTGAGGAGTTCAGCGGCGACTTCCAGGATCCCATCAACATCCACATTGAGAACGACCGGGACGGATGCGCATGCTAAAAAGTCTTCGCCATGTCTGGTAGACAGACATGCTATGAAGATCAAACTCGACCCTCTGACATGGCAGTCGTTTCGCATTTCCTTCGGCGTTAACTCAATGTAGCATGTGCCATTATGTTCGAATATGTCTTCGGCCCGCTGTCTAGTCGCTACAGCCGGGATCAGGTTTAGTGGTCATCATGAACTGTTTGGTTGTGGCAGTTTTGAGTCGACGCTTTTCTGGTGGCAGTGCGATAGACGGAACTTCTTGGTGCATTACGCAAAATACAGTAGAACAAACAACCCTTTTTTTCTTCTTCTTCGTCTTTTCTTCTTCTTTTCCCTTTCGCTCTTGAATTGATAACGACGTATTGGTATATGCACATAACAAGGCATCATCCTCGTGCTGAGTAAATATTGTAGATAACCTAGAAATAGCATCAGTCTGCTAATCTTGCTGATCCCCGGGCGTGCCGATAGTCCCACTGTTCATTCTGCAGGTGTTCACTAAGGTTAACTATTAGAGGGGTGGCGCGCACCGGCACCCGTTCGCCAAGCGCGTCCTGTGCCTGCTGGCTTGCATCAGGATCAGGGGTCCATGTCTCGTGTCCAGGCCTCAGGCTTGTGAAGGAATGGAGTGCCGACTAATCCGTCCAACTTTCTTCATTGAAACGTGCCTATCTAACAACCATCGTCACTCTTTTCAACTGACATTCGCAGTTATCGCTGAATATTATTTCCTCTCGTCTTTGAGCATCCATCTCGCCCTCCGCAACCGGTTACCCTCTATCCTGCAGGGCCAACCAATGTCGTCATACTCACAACGGTTGGACGGCATCTGGAACCGACTTCTCCGATTCTGTACGATACCATCCCCATAAGGCTGCCACTACAGCCCGTCGCGAAAGAGAGTGCCGGCAGTATGGCACCAGAACAGTTGCTGCCCTCCGAGATGGAAGCGGAGACGGATCTAGTTGGGAGGAGGCAGTCGGATTCTCTAGAAATGCCCATGGAGGATCTGTCAGCTTCATTCATGTCGCGGCGAAGCGCTGCCTCGACCGCCCCGCGGAAGACCAGCTTTCTGAACCTTGCGAGGAGGACTCTGGGCTTGACTTGCCTGTTGGTGACGGTGTTTTTGTGGACAGCATCGAATTTCCTTGCTAGTGTGAGTTGCGACGACACAACCCCTATTATGACGAAAGAGCCCATATGCTGACAGAGACGCTTCACAGTACATTTTCTCAGATCATACCTACGACAAGCCTTTCTTCGTCGTATATGTCAACACCTCGATGTTTGCCTTCTCCATGATACCCATATCCATCAAGTATATCCGCGAGAATGGCGGCTTCGGGCAGGCGCAAGAGAAGTTGATGCAGGCATGGAGGGAGAAATCACTGCGGCCGCTCAACATGGAGAGTATGAAGGCACAGGTCAACGAGGACGACGACGAACTGGCGGCGGGACTCCTCGGGGATGATCAAGGCGACATCGACGCACACGAGCTGCAAAAGCCGACGGAGAAGCTTGGGCTGCGCGAAACCGCCCGCCTGAGCTTGGAGTTCTGCATGCTGTGGTTCTTCGCCAACTACTTTGCCTCGGCCTGCCTGCAGTACACGAGCGTCGGCAGCGTCACCATCCTCACGTCTACGAGCAGCGTCTGGACGTTGATCTTGTGCGCCGTCATGAAGGTCGAGGCCTTCTCCGTCCGCAAGCTCATTGGCGTCATGGCCTCGCTGGCTGGCATCATCTTGATTTCCACGGTGGACTTATCGGGCAAAGACAACGATGCGGATCGAGGAAACTTTCCCCATAAAACACAGCGACAGATCGCCATTGGCGACGCGATGGCCCTCATCAGTGCTATGGTCTATGGAGTCTACGTCACTGTGATGAAAGTACGAGTCGGCGATGAGGACAGGGTCAGCATGCCGGTATTCTTTGGGCTCGTTGGTATCTTTAACATTGTTTTGTTATGGCCATTATTCTTCGTACTGCATTTTACTGGCATCGAAACAGTAAGTCAATCAGTCTTCTCACTTGCCATGTCGAGCTGTTGTATTAACATCTGTGTAGTTTGAGATGCCACCGACCGGGAAGGTATGGACGATCATTTTTCTCAACTCGATATCGTCTTTCGTCAGCGACATGTCATGGGCATACGCCATGCTTTTGACGACTCCTTTGATCGTGACAGTTGGGTTGTCACTGACGATACCCCTTTCTCTCGTCGGCGAGATGATCCAGTACCAGCAGTTTTCCAGTTTCCTATACTGGGTTGGCGCAGGCATCGTCCTACTTTCTTTCTTATTTATCAATCACGAGAGTCACGAAGAGACCGAAGAATCTGTAATCGAATCATAGATCGGATCTTGGGACCGAGGATAGACAGCGTTGGCGCTTGGATATAGCATTTAACATGATTGAATATATGTCCATAATATCGCATGACATTGGATAACCCGACCTATGCTCACCAAATACATTGGTCCAAGAGGCGCAAATCCTAATCACACAGTTTCTTATCAGATCGTGCTGAAACCTTGGCGAATCGCAAACAGCATATGCAAGGGGTCCCTACTGTGGCTTGCCGCATGCTTGGGTGCAAGGAGAAGTCCAAACCCCGCCACTTCTCGTCACTTGTCCAGTCTCCAATCCTTCAAAGTGCCCCTGAGGACAATAATACTTGATCTTTCCTGCCTCCTCATAACTGTTCTCCGAGTTGGCAGAATCTGCATATTCGTACAGCGGGAGGATATTGTAGATCCTGCCAAATCAGTGGAGACAGTCAAAGAGATGCATTGAACCATTGCTGGGCCTACCTCGTTTCCAGACGAGGTGATCGCCCATATGACGAACGCCATCGGCCGCACCCGTAAACCGGTGCAAAAGGCCGGTCGTATCATGAGCCTCCCCTTCGACCCCGGAATTGACTTGCTAAACCCTTATAATAGACGCCGATGCCTCGATGACTATGGCCGGGGTCTTGATGTTGTGAGACTGGAGTATCCTGGTGCGCAACCTAACCCTCAGGATCGCGGGCCTTGGTTCCCGCGAGCGCTGGCCGATCCACCTGTTGAACGGCCACCTCACTGCGCAGCGCGTCGCGCAGAAAGGATGCGCGCGGAGAGGGCACGCCTCGACTGAGATATACCTTGTTCGCGAGACCCAGCGGCGAGGCCCGCCAGCAAGGATGGGGGATGGAGAAAGTGGACGACAAGGTCGAGATTCAAATTCTACCGGATCAGGGACGCCCAAGTCACCTCGGGGTCTCAGGAGCAATCGCAGCTGGGCTTTATCGAGCAACTGAGGATGCGCTAGAGGACAGGCTCCCGCAGTGGCAGGACACGGTCAGGTTCCATTGATGGTTGTCGATGTGGACATCTCACGGCAGATCTCGAGATCGGTACTGCTGAGATTCTGAACAAGAGCGGTGTGCCTGGTGTGTTCGTGACTGAGCGGTTGGTTGGCTATCAGAATGGTCTCAATAAGTCCTCGGACGCTCTCAACCGCGAACCAGTGTGGGCTTTGCTCGGCAGTATATAGCTATAGTCGAATACCGCGTCGTGGTTGCAGTTATAAGCGAAGGGGGCACGTTCTAGCAGAGTTTCAGTGCAGTGTGCTACTGGTGAACTTATGAAAACCATTATGGCTGTTCCGTCTCGATCAAGGCTCCGAGAAGGGCCCGTCTAGCCCTTGAAGAAGTCAATTTATGTAATGATTGTGCTTGTGTACTTGTTCGCATTGCCAAACTGTGTTTGATCATCGTGCCCCAATGATCATATAGTACTTACCACATCGCGAGATTTCTAGTGCACCTGTGTGTCCAACCAGACTTTGCATGGTCAACAGCGCGGGTTTCGTGTCGCAGTGCAGATCGAATTCGCTGCGGCTGATAAGAAATCGAATGGCCAAACTCTAACTAATACCTCAACGGGGGATCTTCAGGGGACCCCAAGCCGGGCGGGGAGAGTTTGACCCCGCTTGTGTGAAAATCCCATGCTCGCGAAGATGGGATTTTAAAAATGCGCGTTAAGACTACCACCTACCTATCCTATGTATCTGCTTTGTGCTTCAATCCTGTGAACGCTTCCGAAGCAACACGAAGCCTTGTCTAAGTACTTGTGGGAGCTAGTTGTAGTTACGTTTTATAATCTAATCAAATATTTCGAAGAATGAATTGAAGGCGATGGATGCATTCCATCGAAAATCTGCCATGTCTTTTGTTTAGCTTGGCATAGTGTTATCCAACGTCCCCAACCTTGATGAGAATTGAAGGCCGGCACCGACGCTTTGCGTTAAGTTATCGTGACCACAACTGGCGATTGATTTGAAAGAAATGAGGAATTTGTAGATGAGATGGGATTGTCAATTGTCTGGAGACCGCTCCGACTCCTTTTGTAAGTCCTGGCTTTTGAGGTTCTGTGGATCCGTACGTGCAGTACTGGAAGACCCCAAATCTCAAGAGATCGCTCGGGCGGGTACAGTGGCGGTCACTATTGCCCTATCCGTCCTAAGAGGGATCCACTGACCCAGTCATATGGCTCAAAGGTCCGCCTCGAGGCACCTCAATTATGTGACCGGCGGGCCATGGGGCGACTTCTGGTTAGAACTTTTCCTTTCCATGAGGGCGACTTTACCCTGAATGCCACGACGAGCAAGAGCAAACCAGCCAAGGTCCCGATCTTTCTGCTACACTAACGTTAACTTAGAGCCTTGCAAATCCGTCGACTAATTGTCATTGGGCCGCCGCTTGTGCTGCTGCTGGAGTCATGTCCAACTTTAGGGCGCCTTATCTGCAAGTCGAGTATCCCACATGGTCGCACGTGTCGAGACCTTTTGTAAGGAGCCTCAATCTTCTAATTATCACCTACCTGCACCATCACGTCACACGACATTGATTTATACACTTGTTTTCCCAGGTTTGCGACGAGGCTGTCTTTGTGTTTCGGGATCCTCGTGTCATGATTGACAGCTTTGCTCCCTTCCGCTACGCGCTGTGCTTCCTTATTAACCTACCTATACTGGGTCCCGCTCGCTCAACGTTGTTCTCTCCGAGCAGTCGCTAATAGGCGAACACGGGTTGCCGTTGTGGTCAGCACCTGAACGTCATCTGTTCAGGAGCGACCAACAACTGCCTTGCACATTGCGCCTCCCGTCAGTCACGTAGTGCACCAGCTCACATTGACGACTGCGACGTGATTCCGTCATTGTCGCTTTGCATCACCTCAGTTTCACAAGTCAGCTTTTAATGTCACCCAAGGACGTCCTGGTCTCGCATCCCTCAGTATCGTCGATCTCAACTCCGCCAATACACCTATGAGCCTAATGATTTTTGAGTTTCGAAACAACAACTTTACATCATCATACGTCACAAGATTTCTCACCCTTCTCGCATTTCCCGGAAGATGCCCTTGAAAGCGGAGGAAACAGCACGCTCTCTCGGAGACTCGATCAATACGGCGACGAGATCCGTTCACACGAAACTTAATAAACTCATCGTTGCCCGCCTGCCACTGGCTATCCCGCCACAGGCTCAGGACCCTTCGAATTATGTCTCCGGTCTTCTTCACATCACCCCTATCTACAACACTTTCGAGTCATTATGGCAAGACATCCTGAAAGCGCCAGTCTCGAAATCAGAAGGGAGTGGCACCGTGTCGGATGGCCACTCGTGTGAGGGTTATAAGCCATCCTCGGCTGTCCACCACGTACCCAATGGACTGGATGCTCCACATGGCCCAGTGGTTTGCTCGAGAGTACAGTCCCTCCTCGATCATTTGCACACGACCGACTTGGAGCGGACCGAATCCTTGAAGCAAGACATTGCGTCGATGTCAGGATGGTCGCCAGAATTACTGGAGCAGCAACTCGGCTCCGCCGCCGAGTCACCTTTCCTCTCAGCCTTTGTCGAGCATATACGGCGGGCTGTACAAGAACGCCCACATGTTCTTCTGGCCTACGCCTGGGTTCTGTACATGGCCCTCTTCAGTGGCGGCCGCTTCATCAGAGCCTCCCTGTCTAGAGTCGATCTAAGCTTCTGGTATGCCATTTCCATGGTATCTGGCGCTCGTAGAGAATCCGTTATGATACCTCTTCAATTCTTCACATTCACCTCGCCCAACGATGGCGATGACATCAAGCTGGCGTTCAAGAAGCGCTTGGCTGAGTCGGAAATGCTTCTGACCAGAGAGGAGCAGGACGACGTCATCACCGAGGCGCAGCGCATCTTTGAGTTCATGATCGAGGTTGTCGGTGAGCTTGACGAAATCTGTGGGATGGATGACGTCGAGATCAAAGAAGACCAGGAAGAGGGGATCATGTGGCGCATGAGTAGATTGCTGGGCTTGAGGACGAGGGATAGTCAGTAGCGCTTCCAGACTCTCCACCAGTCCCTCTCGCAATGTTGTTTCACTACCTGCGTGATCTGCCCTTCTTGCCCAGCTCCTCTTCAGTCTAGAGATGACTAATCGTCGGCTGCTACAGGTGTTGTGGTAGCCAAGGAGCGCAAGGCGTGGACGAGACTGCTCTCAGAGCGCAGCATAATAGAAGAAGAGGACGATTACAACGAGTATGAGGAAGGCGGCGACGGCGACTACGATGCAGATGGCTCAGTGCAGACCAACGAAAGTGCAAATGATGGCTCATTACCTTGTTGGCATGGAGAAGACCGCAGCGAGGAGAACAGACACCTAACCTTCGCGGAGAGGCGTGCATCGGCACCAAGATAAGATGAGATGGGACGAGATTAGATGGATGATTGGCCATGAGCATTGGAACCGGCGTTACGGGATATAAGGATAGCACTACACTCACTACGTATACGATACCCCTCATTGATAACATTTTATCAATTGTCAACAGAGATTTCAAATCTTTCAAACTTTTATTATATGCCATATGTTTATCACAATTTTATTTTATAGGAATGACAAGATTATTTTGAAAACCAATTCATCATAGTTGTTAAATAAGTATTCGAACCACTCTCAGACGCGTGACACATTATGACGAATTCATGAAATCGCTCGGAGTTCCTCGCTTGCATACGTAAGCTTCCCCACCTAGGGAAGCGGAAGCACGTTGAACCAAACCAACAAGAAGTATATGCGTTAGCAGACTACAATTGCCGACGTTAGCATTCTTGGCGAGATGAATTATGTGTCGATCTTCCCAAGACCTCGACCCGAGGCTGAATTATCTACGAAGCCTTGCAGCTATAAAAACACGCTGAAAAGGAAGCGCAGTGCGACACAGGTTGCTTGTAATGCCTGTCGCATGGGGAAAGTCCGCGTAATGTTTAATATCCTTATTACTCACGGGCTTTCTGCTAATTATGTCACTGCCAGTGCGATGGAAGCCAACCGGTTTGCGGGAGATGTCGCAAACGATCGGCAAAATGCGTGTACAACGATCGGCTGGAGATGAGCCATGATGCCGTCGAGGTTCTAGAGCTTATGCAGGTTTTACCCCAGCAGACAGCCTCCCAGATCCTGAGCCTCTTACGGACAACTGACCCAGCTTCCATCCTTTCCATCGTGAAAGGCGGCATGGACGGCAAGCGAAGCCCCTCGGTCCAGGACGCAGTGCACGCTGTGGCAGCCTCGAGTTCCTCGCCGCTGGAGTTGGAGTTAATCGCCAGAAATCCGGCATCGTATGTTTTCTTGCATCAGGTCTCGGTCACTAAATTGGAAGCGAGTGATCTGCTTCGTCCCACCCATCTGTCTCGTGTGTGTTATCAGGGGCAGATGTGCATTCCGTTGCCCTATGTGTACCATCCTGAGTCTCTCCGGTCCGCCACCAATCGTGTTGGATTGATGCAAACGCCTGTTAAATTCGGCAGCAGCAGCTTCTCCAGCAGTAAAATTATTGGCGCAGCCAATATCGCCGCTGGCCGGGATATCGCACCTTCTCGAAACCAAGCTTCTGTACACTGTCGTCCACAACAGAGCGTACAATTATGTGACGACCGCTTAGGGTCTCTAAGGATAGGGTTCTGGACAGATATCCCTATAGACAGCGACTTCGCAGCACGCATTATATCATTATATTTGGAAACCGATCATCCCTTGCTAGGCATATTCGACCCTGATTGTTTCGTCTCTGACCTGGTCAGCCATCAACACACGTCATGTTCCTCATTCCTTGTCAACGCACTACTCTCTTGGAGTTGCGTACGTATACTTAATAATGCAGCATTGGCCAACACGTGATGTGCTAACACTTAGCATAGCAGATGTATAGTGCTATTGACAAAGTTGCTGAGGAATATGCTCGACAATTTTGTGCAAAGGCGGAGCGTCTTTGGACTGTAGAAAAGAATTGTGACTCATTGCTCAATATGGCTGGCGCTCAACTGTTAAGCTTGGCCTCCATGGCAAATGGTAAAGACTATCGCATGCTGGATTATACAAAGGTGGCAATTCAGATGGGCACACGGCTGGGACTTTTCGGCCTCGAGGAGAATAGTACCAGAAACCTGAATCAGGACATGTCCGAAAGTCTACGAAGTGCCAGCTCTTTCACTGCCTGGGGGATTTTCAACTGGACAGTGTAAGTCAAGCTGCTTTTTCTTCGATTGACAGAAATACTCACGCTCTAGATTAACTACACTTTTCTACCAACAACCGGGTACAGACTGTCCAAGGTACCCGCCTACCTTGCCGATACCCGGACACAATGCTTGCGAGGACTACCGGGACTTGAGTTTCGACGGAGATTCACATAAGAGCAATGTCAGGATGCCTCACTATATGGGGATGACGTTCCCGGCAGCCTGCCAATTTTGGCGCATATTACATGAAGTGTCTCTAACCTACCTTGATCCTCGAAACCATCTGAATCGACACCGATTGAGCCTCGGTTTTGCAGAACTGAAGTATCGAGAAATCCTTGCATGGGCAGAAAACTTGCCATCCCCACTCATCCAGAAGGGCAAGAACCCACACCATGTTGTAATTCTCCAGTAAGCCCTATATTTACTCTGTTCCAAAATCGGTCGGGCGGCAATGGTTGGTAACAAATTCAGTATATGGCTTCACGCCGCAATACTCGACATCTTCCGTCCCTTTCTCAAAAGGCCGGACTTCGAGCGTCTGCACCTAAAGACTTTTTCTGCCCCACGCAGCACTCCCGCAGCCGCGTACTGCGCATCCGTCAATCAACTCAAGCATCTCATTATCTACTATCGCTGCGTATACGAGTCATCGAGCTATACCATGCTGTGGCACACAGCCCTTACGTACGTGGCAAATGCCGTTTTACAAGATACGAATGACCCGCAATGGTGGCTGTACTTCCTCCTGTGTATATACGGCTACGAGTCGCTGTGCCGGTCCTTCCGTGTCTCGCAAGCCATCGGTCGCGGGTTGTTGACAATGGCACTGCGCGACAGGGATACCACAGTTAGTTCCGCCCGCAAGGTCATAGGAGAGCTCAGGGAGCGAGGGCTTGGTCACAACCAGGGAACTATTCAGGCAAAGTTTATGGCGGATCTTGAGCTGGCTGTAACGGATCCCAGGGTCGCGACGGTTGAGTATTTGGCCGAAGATTTCGAGGGTCTGGCTTTCTTTCGGGAGTTCACTAATTCTGTTGACGGGAACAGGTTGGAGCGAGATTGGGCTGATGGAGCGGATCCATGCTCTGTCTCTGGCACTGGAACACCACTTGAGCAACTTCTTGACGTCTAGGCCTAAAGTCCTGTGAGCAAGGCTTACAGGTGCATCTCGTCCGGGTCGCTGGCGGTATCTGAGGTTTCTGAATGCCTAAATTGAGGCCTTTGGGCTTCGTAGGCGATTGCCATCACGCTGAAAGACTCTACCAAAATTACGAGCAATATTCAAATGCTCGACAAAGTGGACTTATTAAAGTGCTTTAATACTGAAATTTCGTGAATAGCGATACTATTGACTTTTCTATATAAAGTTAGCTTCTAATTAGTAATAGGGAATCTTATTTATGACAGTTTTACAAAGTCTACCTTCTTCTATCCAGTAATTCCTTAACGTATACGAAAAACTGAAAGTGATTGCCTCGAGTGGCTAACTCTCACTGCCATGCGCAAGGAGGGCAGTAAGCGACCTTGCCAGACCAACTGCTAGCGGCATTAGATTCCAGTGAGCATTCTGTGAATTAGCCACAAATTCTGAGACGGAACTTGGACCGTCTCCGCGTGAAACAAATGGGTATCATTGTTAGAACGTCGGGGTTTGGCACGATAGTTGATCCAAACACTGAAACGGGATAGTTCCGTGGATTGGCTGTTGTATAAAGAACTCGATTCTCTAAAGAGTCTTCCTTTCCCTCGCAACACTTCGTAACGGCTTCCTCCGCGATTCCTGATCGGCGCAGCCGCGGCGTACAGTGGGGTTTGCAGAATTCAACAAATCGTCGTACCACAGACTATGCATTGCCACCAAGTCCAACGACCATAGAATTATCAAAACCTCCTAGACAGGTTTGACAATGGCATCTGTAGATGCCTTATAGTATTCATGGGTCATATAGGCATTTACCCAGCCACTGAAAAAGTATACAGTTAGCAAAAGATATCGGGAATCTGAACGATATAAAATTTCGAAGAGATAGAGAGTTGTTACGTCGTGCTAGCCGTTACAATGTCAAATTTTATGGAACATCAAGCTGTCCTCCTAGGAATGTTCCGGACATGAGGGGGCAAACCTGGATACATAATTTGGCGGATACCTTATCCTGCTATGATCACCCATATTCCAGTAGCCAGATCCTCCATATTTCCAAGCCCCCGAGCGATCCTTGAATGAGTCATACATCTCATAATAGGCGGGATTATGGATCTCAACTTAATAGCTCTTCAAGCGCGGCATGTTCGTGAACGAGTTTAGCAAGTCGTATCGCCGTCCCCTTTGGCGGCGAACCATGCTAGGCGAGGGCCTAGGTCCTCATCCCCAAGGTTTTAAGGTGGAAGCACGGCGTTGAGTTCTTCCAGGGTGTATTCGGACAGGGCCAGATAACCCAAGGCGACTTCAGTTAAGGAGAGACTCAGCAGGTCATACAGACGGCGACATGTCGAGTCAAGAGCTGCATATAACAGAGCTCGCTTGTTTTCGTGTGAATCGGATTAGCAAACAAGGTCGATATATTCAAGACCTTGCAACAACTACGGAACCATTAGTATTATTCCGCCTAGAAATTCGTCATGGAGCACTAAGCGTGGTTTACCCATCGTTCTCGCTCGGGAGAATATTCATTTACCGGCGACAAGTAATCAATTGATCGTTCCACGAGACGCACATCATGGGCAATTACATCGACGGAACCTCGATTTAATGTTGGCATGGACGTGCACCTGATCAACTGCTGTGATAATAACCTTGCAGAAATTTCTTGTCTAAAAATGCGATGGCACATCCGAGCTGTCCGATTTCTCAAGGTGGTAATCTTGACACGAATACTTGCCAAACATGATCGCTGACGGACTCTGTTCCGTTTTCCAAACGGAAGGAGGTTGAAAGGATCTCCCGTCGATAGAAACCCCGACAGAAACGGAAAGACTCAGCCCGCGTCAAGGACAGATTCCGTGGAAAACCAACCGCGGAAACCGGGGAAAGAAGAGCCCAAGCATCTGCTGCATGCCCGAGCGCATATTTCTTGATCAGGGTATGCTTATGGTGCATTCGCAGGATTTTGCGGAAACCCAAGTCACAGAACGGGTCTATTAATCGTTCCGGCACATCATGCAGCACATCGAGAAGCTCGGTTTCAGGGCGATTTGGGCGAAGGGATGGTGGTCCAGACGTTTCTACTAAAAGCACCGCATACGGCAGCAAAGCTCGAGGCGCATATTGCTGCAGAGTATCGATTGCCACCTACGAAAACTCCTCCGATATCGCGTAAAAGCAACGATAGGAAAGGCGGCATTGTGCTAGGCTTTGAATGTCACGAAGAATTCTTAGAATTGCTACTATGAGTTCGCATGGTAATTCCGTGATTGAGCCATTGTTGTACTCGGTTGCTCATCATGCAGTGTGTTGAAGCTGAGAGGGTGGGGGACAAACATACAATGGTGTTGAGCAGATATTTGACAATGTTTATTGTGAACATCTAATAATTCTTGTTGGTGACTGTGCGACTTCAAATCGTATATGTGAGTCAGCGTTGCAGAGATAAGGGCCTTGTCTGCCGTTGGGGGTAAGTCGCAGCACGGTTAATTCCGTGTCGCAGCAGTCCCGAAGGCACTAACTAAATTCTATAATACGACTGAATTAGTTTATATGAACGCTCAGAAAATCATTGTCAAGCTCCGATATCAACGAGATCTATCAACATTATTTTATAGAGATATCATAGCAAGATAATGGGTCGGATTCTGAACTAAGGCAGCTCAATATACCCGGTATCCTGATAACCTTTGACGTTGATCCGACGGAGCCAGTGCAGATAAGAAATGCTAGGCTTACTCGTATGATATGCCCAAGCAGCCCACAAGCCAGTTGGGATAATCCATTTCCTGGAAGCGCAATAAAAGAAAACGGAAACGCAATCCTATCATGTTTCAAAGAATGTCGCCAGGCAGCGCGCAACCGCTTGCAGTCCCATTCACCTCATTCGCACAGTACAAGGAGGCACTCGAGGAGTATTACAAGAACGGCTGGATTGGTGTAACAATCCGCCCATGAAACATCCAGGTTACCGCTCTCACGTTGTTACCTGGCACCGATACAGTCGCGGCTTCCCGGATCAACCCGAAGAAAGGTTCCCGATTTTCTTTTTCGAGTATAATCGGTATGGATAAGGTACATCTCATGCATCCCTTTGATTCTCAGAATGCTTTGACATGACAGAACCAAGATCGAACTGATGCTGATATTGCCTTTCTGTCGAGCCTCCTATATCACCAGACCTAAGCGCCACCACTTTCGCGTGCTTCACTTCCTTTGCCGTACAAAAGAGGTGCAGAATAAAAGATATCGCGCGCCACATCGTAACCTAGCGAAACTCATTTATATGTCACAGAAGTAAAGCACCAAAATGGGTATTATATTTACTCTAAGTATATCTTAATGTATAAAAAATTATAACAATCAAAGCGGTTTGAAGCAAAAGTCTAAAACATGATGTCAGTTTTTCATTGGCTTGGAACGCCACCTCTTAGCATTTTGGCCGGAAATCTTTAAGTGAGAAAACGTTGAGATTTAGTGATATATGTATGGGGTGGTCAGATATATCATGAGTTGTATTTTACGAACAACCCTAGCACCCTATCTGTACAGACCCAATTAAAACAACGTCAAACTACATTTACGGTCACAGGATGTGAAGAGCCCACCATGACTGAGAAGCCCGCTGAGCAACTGCGGCATAAAACAAACTAGTATCCGCAATGCAGCCACTGCTCCAGAATCTCCTGAACTGATACATACTTTTCGCCGTATAGTTGCCTTTCCTTCATGCTATCAGTAGGTACACTTAATGGACATCCCTGGCACTTCCTGTTAGAGCTACTTGTCGAAGGAAAACACATGATACGATGGCTACTTTAAAAATTCCTCGTCACTCCAGGGCTGATCTTTTCCAGCTCATCCCTGAGGTCTCGCCAAACACGGTCTTGGAGACCCTTGTCTGAAATAAATACTGATGATAGTTCTGCGATGCCACAATCTTCCAAATATTGACCATGTGATTCAGGACCTGCTAAACCTGCATGGATCAAAGTCCTACTTCCTTGCTCTGTCGACCGCGCCAAGAGGGCTTGCATGGCTTGAAAAGCAAATCTATCGAATCCCTGCGCCTCGCGAGCTAGCTCTGAATAACACAGTCCCGGGCTGACTAGGTTAATAGTTACCGGGTAGCTGTCCGCAGGGTGAACACCAGCGATACGACGGAGGGCAAGGATGCCCAGGAGCTTTGATATCGGATACTGTTCTTTCCAATACACGCCATTAGCGTAGTCGGCGTCGTTAAGCGCTTTGAATATCATGTCCTCTCGCTGCTGTGGGAAGGTTGTATGCTTATGTGCTCCTGAGCTTGTGATGACCAGGTTTGGACGAACGCTTAATTCTTCGGCCGTAGCTCTGAGCTTAGGAAGCACCATAGCTACAAGTAAAAAGGTGGAGATGAAATTGACGGTAATCGTAGTCTCGTTTCCCTCAGTCATGGAAAATCTAACGGGTATTACACCGGCGTTTGCATGGAAGATATCGACTCGATCCAGCTCAGTGTCCAGTCGGCCGCAGAAAGCCTTTACACTTTCATAGCTGGCCATGTCTAGCAGCCAGACGTCGATGATTGTATTTTTGGCTGCTGTATGCTCGATATCTTGTTTTGCGGCGAAACCCTTTTGCAAGTCGCGAACAGCGAGGATCAATCTGCTGGCACCAAGCCGTGCATAGTGTCGCGCCGCTTCCTTTCCCAAGCCTGTGTTGCTCCCAGTGATGACAACCGTCCGTCCGTAGCAAGAGGCCGCTGGGTAGGGTAGCTTGCGTGTTTCCACGATTTGGCTGTATAGAAAACCCATTGTATCTTAGTCACTGCAAGTTGTCTACACTTGTACCAGGAACTTATTTGATAATGATTCTCCAAAGTTGGTCTATGTACAGGTCTCGTTTGCACATACCATCAGCAAAATGACTTTTATGTACTTCCTCCGTCGGCGGTGTTCTAGACAAATCAATTCCGCCGTGTAGAGGATGGCGTTACGCATTATTTTAACTGGCTGGTTGTAGGCTCTGGGGCTCATCATAGGATCGGCGGGGCACCCCTGATATACCCTAAATATATCAATCTCACGCGATAGGATGACCTAAAATCGCATTTCGGAAGATTCGGACTTTGACGAACCCCGCTTCCAACTGTAGTAGTAGAGGGCAGCGCATCGTACTCAACACCTCAGAGTAATTGTCTTGACAATCTTTATGACTGAATTGTGCTAGACTTGTGAGGCATATTAAAGTTAAATAAAAGCACTGTGTAACTTAAACTCGCAATGACGAATTATTGCGAGCGTGATGTTGGCGCTCATCACTAGTCTAGACTAGTGGTATTTGAGAGTCTTTTCCACGAAGGCACGAGCATCAGTCACCATGCATAAGCCGCGCATAAGTAGGTGATCTACGGCTACTATACGGCTCAATGAACCGAAGCGCTAATCCAGGTAATTGGACCTCGCTTAGATCCTTGATTAAGATAGCTTTGTACCAGGTATCCTTGAGTCGCCGCATTATTAAAAGCTTGTTTTAAGGTTGATCTTCGAGCAACCAGTTATTCGAAGAATGAAAATTGAGTTGATGGTATACTTGGCAGAGTGGCGCCGGTTCTCCAATAAGAATAACGGGACGTATACGACCGCGCCTAAACTAGAAAGGCGCACTCGTTAGGGGAAAACGGCGTCGGTTTCCGTCAATCGGACAGAGGGAGCAGTCGAAAAGTGGGCAAACACGGACCTTACGGAGCATTATTCAACACATTGAAATGGTAAGACTGGGGCGCCCGTGGATATCAAGAATTTACCATAAATATAGGTGATCTCTCGCGGGCGGTGTTTGTGATATGCATCCCCTAAGCACTCCCTACCCGGACGTAAAGTCGTCACGAGCGCTGTCCCGCAACCATCGAAAAAGTTTTGCTACTTTTGTTCATTTGAACACTGATTCAAAATGAGGGCATCTCTGTTCGCCTGCAGTGCCATTGCTAGTGTTGTTGTTGCGCAACAGCCTGCCTGGGCCCAATGTGGAGGGCAAGGATATACTGGCGACACTAGTTGTATTTCCGGGTATACATGTGTCACGCTCAACGCCTGGTACTCTCAATGCCAAGTCAGCTCTGCCACGACCTCATTGGTCACCGTGACCAAGACCACTGCTACAGCTACAGCAACTTCCTCGTCAGGAGCTACGATCAAAGACGTCCAGTTCCTTGGCAGAGTCAACCCTGCAACCAAGGAGCTGAGTTGGTCGGGCACCGGTATTGCTTTCACCTTCAAAGGAACGTCTGCTTCTATCGGTTTGAGTTCATTGTGGGGCACCAACAGCGCTGATTTGGTTGTTGATGATGGGGAGCCTATTGTTATTGCCGACGTCTCAGGCAGTTCCATATCGACTCCTGCCGGGCTATCCAGTGGCACGCACACTGTCGTCCTGCGCAAGCGTTCGGAGGCTCAGATGGGCTCGATATACATTGGCGATGTGACGACCAATGGCGTTGCTGGAACCTATGCCGCTCCGACTCGCCGTATCGAGATCATCGGAGACTCCATCAGCGTTGGCTATGGTCTCGACGGCACACTCCCGTGCACGAACAATGCGTCCGTCGAGGATGCTCCCAAGACATACGGCGCATTGGCTGCTGAGGCGCTTGATGCCGACTACAGCATCATCGCCTGGAGCGGCAAGGGTCTAGTCCGTAACATCGCAACTGGATCTGTCGACACCAGCCCGCTCATGCCGGAGCTCTGGACTCGATATGGCGGCAACGATGCAGACAACAGCTACACCTTCCCCTCTGGATCCGTTCCTGACGCTGTTGTGATAAATCTTGGCACCAACGACTTCAGCTATCTCAGCGCTCGTGATCCGATTGATGCGTCCGTGTATGAAGCTGGATTGGTGGATTTCGTCCAGACCATCCAAGAGCATTACCCGAAAGCAGAGTTTTTTCTCCTGAACTCTCCGATGCTGAGCGACACCTGGCCCACGGCGGAAGACGCGCAGAAAACAACACAGACCAACGCCATCGAGGCTGCCATCGCCGAGCTCAACGACACCAAGGTTCATTTTGTCGACTGGCCTACCCAAGGCTCGGACGTAGGTTGCGATTATCATCCCAATGCTGCCACCCATGCAGCGGAGGCAACGGTTCTGGCTGACGCTATAAGTGCGGCGCTGGGATGGTGAGGTGCTTTTATGCACTTTTAGTGTTAGTGTGTCGGCCAGAAGTGCTTAACGACGCTGGGGTTTAAAATCATTCATGTTTATATTTTGAGCCCATCAAATGTTCATTTAATCCTAGTAATTTGTATATTCATATATCCGGCTCTACTGGGATACACAATGATGAAAGTAGGAGATGCGGGTCTTGTTGCTGGTCTCCTATCTTGTTACAATCTTGAGGCATGTGAATACCGTACAAAATTCATCTGTGAATTATTTCCCACTAAATCCTTATTTAAATGTTTTCTCCAGAGAACCGCACCGAGCTCTGATTTTAACATTGGCATCCGTACATAGCCAAAGTTGATATGTCTTTAGAAGAAAAGCGTTTAAATTGGTTCCGGTTGAAACCACGCATTCGGCCGTCTTCTCTAAAAGTTTCTCACCTCTGGCCAACTCTAGCTCTGGTATGTCTAAATCTTCTGACCGACCTGCCAGCCTTACGTGATGATCTGCATGAGAGTTTCGTAGGTAGAATACTGAAGGTTCGCAACAAGGATACCTAGGATGATGATAGAGCATCGGCGGACCGTAGCCACTTCCGAGAAGAAACGTGTATTGAAACATGCTTTGTTGAAGATACACTTGGAGTCTGGAGCCTACGTTTGACAATTCGACAGACTGAACATTTCTTTTTCTTAGGTTGCCATGAGAGAGGTTAGTGGAGGTCTAGATTAAGTTAGTATTGCGTGAAGCTTGGCCGCGTTACTTCTGAAAAAGGCATAGAGAATTCAAAATTTTCTTTTGCCAGCTTCTTAGAATCGCTCCATACAACCGCTAGCCTGGTCACGCACACCAAAATCACCGCTGTTGTGACATGCCCTAGCCGTGGCGAAGATCTCGGAGGAATCCAAGAAGTGTGGGCCCCAAATGCTCACCCTTTATCAGCAGATACCTCCTGGATGCTGCATCGTAGCTGACTCTGGCAACGTATCGTCGCAGCATCAGCCAGCATGACAACAGAATGCCCTCAAAGAACCATGCGCGCCTCGGCTCAGGATCGGGGAACGGCTCCTTGTTGCTGCCAAGGTTACACTCCTGGCTCTCGAAGGCCACTATGTAGTGGTCTATCCAGGCCTGTCGAGCGTTGCACCAAGCAGCTGAGTATCTGCTCTCCAGCTGGTCCTCCTCGGCGTCGTACTCGCCTTCCGGATTACCGGGCCAATCTGATTCATGCCAGACGAACGAGGTTTGATAGTCGGGCCAAAGGCAGTAGTGATACGCTGGCGGCAACAGTAGCGCCAGGTGGGCCGCGCTGTTGGTGCTAGTTGAGCTCTCCTCATCGCTCATTGGCGACCATAGAGTCGGAAAACCGAAATAGGAACTTCGTCCTATACAAGCGCGCCGATGCTAGTAAACGTCTTTTCTGCGCGTGTTTGAGATCCTAGAGGCCCCCTTCAAGTGGTCCAAGTCAGTATTATCACCGATACTATGACGATGGTTTTAAATCCACCGATTGTTGAATACTTGAAGTTACTAGTAGGTAATGAGTGATGAAAAAGAAATCAAAGTCCAAGCAACCGCTCTAGAGAGGGCTACTATTACCAAGCATTTGATAAAATAGTTAGTAACTATTGAAATAGTAAGTTTGAGCGTTGGAATGCGTTAAAAACATGAGTATACCTACGTAGGCAAGAATCACGGGCTTTCCAAGTCAGACATTTAGTGCAAGAGTCCGACTTAGACGCTGCTCAGTGACCAGAATACACACTGCCCAATATGCACATATGGAACCTCATACAAGCGGGCCCAGCTGCCCCGCTCCACGCAGCTCAATATTTCTCTGCCCACCATAATCTGATACAGATCCACCAATGCTTTTATCGTATCTTCATGGGCGACAGTCAAGGCGAATACTGCTATCTCATTATGCTTGATCCGTAGGCTTCGAAGCCACCTAAACACATGACGGGGCGCCTCGAGATATTAAACATACTCTATCGTTATTTCGTATCGCGTTTATTAATATAACTAAAACAAAAATCCTAAACTTGAACGGTTGAAGAATTCCAGGATCATTTACGATAAAAAAAAGTAGGAATCTTAATCGTTCATGCACTTTACTAAACCTAGAGCTTATAAGCCTTGAGACATGGGTTTAGATCTAACCCAAGTGCAAAGCACAAAAGCTGGCGCGCCTCAGAACCTTTTGTCGCCAGCACAACTTCCACCGGCTTTAGGTCGCACGATAAAGGTGAGGCCCTTGGACACAGTACATGTCCAATAGGTAATCAACATAAGCTCTGGTGGGTAGAATGATGGTGAACGAATGCGACTGCCTCATTTGATCGAGTGACCGCCGTAGTCTTCGCGGATGCACGAGCACTTGTCTTCAACTGGCTACTGCTTCAGGAGAGGCTGATAAACACACGAAACCGAACTTTACTACCTAATCTTTTATTTTTGGTAAATACACAGAGCCTGGTGCCTTTGGTGCACCTTTATCGAAAAGACATGGCTGTGTTCGTACTTTAAAGGCACCGGAAACTCATGTTGGGTTCGTTTGTGTGCCAGAGTATCACCGGAGTAAACTACTCAAGTAGTACTTGATAATCTCCTTCATGTTGAAATGTTATTCAGCAGTACTCTGTATTTATTGTCTACTCATTTTGCACTTTGGAGAAATCATGGAGTCTTCAAGATACGAATTCTCGGTTCAAGTTGACTACTATCACTACATAAGAAGTACTACCACCCTTTGAGCTCGATCCGGAATTTGAGTCTGCTATGTACGCACTAACGGGAGGCGAGGAAGCCATAGCTGTGGTTCCCAAGGATGGACTTTCATCTAATACATCTAGGTCTTCACAAGTCCTTAGGAACCTTCCCAGCATGAATACAGCTTCCCAAGAGTTCTCACATCATCCAATGAGAATCCTCTGAGCCAAGACCTTTGCAATATAATTTGCCAGACCAAGTTTGCTATATTGCTATTGATCTTCGCCAAACTCGTCCAAGTCTCGTCGAAATCTTCCGGGATCCCGATTTCGGCCGTCCCACCAGCTACTCTGAACTCCAGCATAGAGGTTTTGCCTTCAGCCGTATCATCAAAGCAGATTTGAAACAAGATGTCCTTCATGAAGGCATGAGGCGCGATGGAAGGGGAATGCATCCACTCTACAGCGTTCTGTCCGATGACAGGCGACTCTTGCCTGGATTTGAGATCAAGTTCGGCTCGGAGGCGCCTGACAGATGCCTTCTTCCTTCGCAATAGACGCAAGATGCTTATCGCAAAAGGTACTTGATGAATAAGTCCACCATTCGCGATTAGAATACCAAGACGAAGTCTTAGTTGGCTAACTTCATGGATCTCGTTGACGAAGTTCTCATACAAAATAAGGTCGCTGTTCACGGGAACAAAGAATACGCATTTTTCGAAGAGTATCGGGACAGCTTCCTCTCGGATCCGGCTGTTGGCGTGGAGTAACTTGGGCACCTGTGAAGATATTATTATTCATCGATCCTTAGTGTGCTGCCGTGGAGCTGCTCACCTTGAAGCTTGCAAGATTAACGGCAGGTTGTTCGTCACTCATATGCATGAGATAGATCATGTAACGCAGCTCGAGCGGCAGCTCGAAGAGTGGGAATTTGTGAGATAGCTCTGCGTGTGTCGGGGCTCTCTAGGCCAAGTCAGGCTCGATTGAGACGGCCACATTGTCGCTAGATGATGTCATTGTTCTGCTGTACGGATTACAGACGATGAAAGCTGTAGATATGGCCCGAGTTCGAAACGGGCGGTACAGATAAAATAGCGTCACCTGCTGATATGGATGCGAAAACAACGATGATTTGGTGATGATTGGGGCGATTGATGTTGTTTCATCTCAAAGGCAGAATGGGAGACAAATTGGCGGCTGTGTGGTCAAGTTACCAAACTTTGAGAGTAGCAGCTTCCAAAACTTTGTACAGTGTTGGTGAATTGATATCAATGTAGCAACGCGGATAAGTTCATCTGCCTCCAGGAGTTTCCGCAAGTGCCGACAGCTCAAACGGGTAATTTCTTCAGACCACAATATTGGGGAGGACGATATTACATGATCTCATACTACCCTGATGATCTAGAATGAATCGTCCCTTCCTGATTTTACGTCCGTCAATGATGATTCTGTGCTGTTTACTAGTACAGGTACTATCCTAGTGGCAATTCTCGTCGCCAGAAATGCTCTGCCGGCAGAAACTTCGATACTACTCATGATAGGCAAGCAAAACTATCTGCCCCATTCGAATAGTCCATCCCCATCTGCCTGGTATCAAGGTACAGACCACGATAATTAATCCGTTAGACGAATGCTGTCCACCCTTCACTTCGCATCATAAAACCACGGATCACGCCCCCTCTACGAGCAGGGTATGACAAGAAATACGGATTGCAAGCAGAAAGTGATGGTTCCCTTCAGCCATAGCCACATCTTGCTGCGGACTACATACAGGATTCCCACATTCAAGTCCACAGTTTCATCGTGGGTCAAGATTCATGTACTTTAAACTGAGGCGCCGCAACCTAGAACGCCCGGGGTTTTTAGACTTGCTGTTCATAAGACGAAATGCACAACCCACCCTGGAGGGGGTGGGGGCTGTTATAGGAAATATATGAGGAGATAGACTCCGAGCAATGCGACCCTGATTGCCTCGTACACACATAAGATAAATCACGGCAAGACTTGATGAAACAAAACACAAGAGTGAGAACGACCAGACAAGATAATGGTATTTCCTTCCTGTACCTCTGTGGGCAAAATCGTCCACACGAAAATGCTACTTCTACAGTACCTATAAACAGCCCCATATGAGGATGGCCTTGTATGCTATGCTTTCCTTTCCTTTCCTTTCCATTCCAACCCCAAAAACTCCTTTACGAATCGCAATGCGTATAAAATAGTCGACACGCTTGTCGAGCAAAGTTGAAACAAGACACAAAGCATGTGCATGTTGTTTTTCAAACAAAAAAAAACGCCTTTATTTGCCCGTACTTTCGCCGTCATTCTCGGCATCTGTGCCCACAGCGTTGATCTGCTTCCAGATATCGGCATCGTTGGCATCGTAATGGAGATGTCCACCGAAGGAGACGTGCTGCGCTCCTCCATGTCGCAGGACGGGCGGCGAACTAGGTATGACGCCGTCTGTGCTCAGGAGGTTGCCGAAATCCCAGCTTCCAGGTGCCAGATGTACATCACTATCGAGGTGAGGCAAATTACCTAGATCAAGCTCAGAGCCCATGAAGTCATTGGCTTCGGAGAGGAGCTGGTTGATTGACTTGGTGAAAGGAGAATCGAACTGATGGTTATCGTCCAGAAGATGCGATGGGAGGCCTGCCACTCTAGGGGAGCGTCTCACCATAGAATGCACACTGGATGGCATGTTGGACCGCGGTGTCCTGGATGGTGTTCGCTGTATTGTTTGTAGTTCCTGGCCCGACTTGACAGAGCGCACAGACCTAATAGACTTGGAGACACTTCTAGTGACAGGTCGATGACTTGGTGTGGGTCGAGTTGGAGTTTTGAACGACCCGCTGCTGTGAGCAGACATTGGGGGAGGTGTGGACGGGCGTGTCGGAGTGTCGAACAAGCCAGCCATGTCGCCGTGTGCCTCAATGCCGGCATTTTCCTTATCGTGCACGCTGTCTCCTTGCTTCGAGCCTCTGAAGTCAGGTGCGACATGCACGATGTTAACTGCAACTTCGCCCAGGATCTTTTGCTCGCCGTCCTTGCGTGGCGATGGGAACAGAATGCGTCTCGTGGCACCGAATTCGTCGTCAAGAGCGATGGGGCTACCAGGCGTTTTGCCACTGCCTCTAGAATGTGTCGAGCCTCTGGAGTGGGTAGAACCAGGACCCTGACCTTCACCATCGCCCCTCTCCTCGTTTCCCGCCGTCTGTATAGACTCAAACGGGTTGGAAAGTTCCTCTTGAGGTGAAGGGGGACTCTCAAACCCCAGAGGATCAGTCATCAGGCAGGCGTCTGATGCGGGATTGGTCTGCGAACCACTCTTGGTACGGGGCTTTCTGACTCTGGGAGCTTTAGGGGCTTTCTCGCCTGCCTCTCTTGCCTCCTTCCTCTTGCGAGTCTGACCAAGACGTTGTTGGTCCTTTTCCCACTTATCAGCTGGGCGAGGATATTTCCACTTTGAGAACCATATACCACAAGGGTTGCAGAGTATAAGCTCTGTCCAGGCACTCTTGTCCTCGTCAGCGCCAAGCGATTTCTTCACAATCTCGTATGAGGTTATGTTGTTCTGTGTGTCTTGCGTCAAGATATTGATGGCCGTGACGCATCCTGGCTTGTCCGAATAAACGTGAAAGCTTGGAGCACCCTTCTTTTCCTGTTTGTAGATTTTGCGCCATGTTGGAGTCTGGATAGCCCCGCAGTTGCTGCAGAAAGGGGGCATCTGGCCTGCAGCAATGGCTTCTTCCAATCTTTGCTTGATAGTCTGCTTTTTCACTGCGTTCTTGTTGTATGCCGCGTCTGTTTGAGGGTGAGTAGCCTCAGAACCCATCATGCCAGATTGCGCAAACACTGGATCGCTCGCAGGTACCATAGGTGGGAGCTCTAGCTCTTCCGTTGCCTCCTCACTGGCCGTGGGAACGGGAGGAGCGTCCATTATGGAGTCTCCTTGTTCGATTTTGGTTGTGATTTTACCATTTTGAGCATTCATGCCAACGTTGAAACATTGCGAGCCTGCGGGAAGCCCTTCAAAGTACTGGTGATTCTGTTGCTCCAGGCCATTCATCAATGCTCTCTCCAGCTCGTCGAAATCATCTGGAGAGCATGCGCTTTGCTGAGAAAAGCTCATGTACGAATCTTGCCGCGTCAAATGCACCTGTGTTGGCTCTTGGGGTCCAGCTAGAGGGAGTTGCGTAGGCATAGGCTGCTCTATTGCTGGGGGTGTGGGCTGATCTCCCGTTTGTTTTCTATTGTAGTTTGGGGGATTATACATCGAAGTAGTTGGTAATAGTTCAGGAGGGCCGGGCGTTTCTGTTTGGATGATGAGTGGGCCGGGCTGCTCTGCTGGCTCATCCTTCGCTGCTTGTTGCTTCTTTGCGCGGCTCTTTCGGGGTCTGGACTTGGGCTTGGGTTTCTTCTCAGCCACGGTTGGTACTGGAATCGGCTGCGGCTGTGGCTTGGTGATGTCGTCTTCGTCAAGTCGGCTGCCTTCAATCCCGCCGCTCATGAACCCTGAATCGACTTGAGATACTCGCATCGGAGGAAGAATAGGACTCGATGGAGCAGGACTTGATCGTGCACTTGGGTACATGACAGACCTCGGGACTGGTGGCGAAGATCCTATATCAGCCGGGCTAGGCCCTTCGCTGTACTGTGAAGGCGACGGGGCCAGAGAATCAGGCGATCGAGCGTCAGGTCCGAACGACATTGAGCGGTGGACATCGAGATATGGGTTTGTATATACCCCATGCCGCTCGGCCATGTTGGACGTGGATTGACGTCTCAAATGAGTCGAGGAAGTAGGATTGGATGGAGGCGGCCCGGGGAATGATCGGTTAGCAGGTACTGGCGTAGGCGCTCTGGGAACTTCCTGGAGATGACTGCTTTGAGGGGCTTCACCACCTAGTGCAGGCCGGAAACTCCGCAGGGAACCTGAAGTACTTGCCGCCACCCGAAGAGAGTCAGGCGCAGAGCCGAAAGTCGCTGTATTGCTTCGTTCAACTTTGGTAGTCTTGGCTCGTTTCTTGGCCCGCAGTGGCTCGTCACCGTCTGTGCCATCTTCGTAGCCGGAGGTGCTGCCTTCGACCGCAAGAGGCTTCTTTCTAGGCCGACCTCGAGGCCTGGATGCTGTGGACGCTCTCGACGATGGTCTTGATGCTGGCCGCGGTTGCGGGACCGGCCCGGTAGGTGGCATTGGGACCGGCTCTTGTGCTTGAGGCGGAACCGAGACTTGTGAGAGCGTTGAGGCCTGAGGTGTAGCGGCGCTGTTGTAGTAGGCGTTCGGCTCCATTGAACCTGTCCGACTGCCTGGGCGGCTTCCAGGTCGACTGCTCGGGTGCATCTGGGCGTTCTGGAAGTTAGAACCATGAATGTCGTTTCGAGCCTCATAAGGTGAAGCGTAAGGCTGAACGGGTGCCGCAACCGGTGACGGGATGGATACATGTCCACTATGGCCGAGGCTGGGGTTGGACTGGACGAATACATTCCACTCATGAGCCTCGGACATGGCAGAAGACTGTTGTACCATGGCTGGTGGAAAGGAGTTGGATGTGTTGACGGGAACTGGCGCGGGTGACGGTGCATGCATTACAGGAGTTCCGCGGTTGGCCTTGGGTACCGCGTTCAACTTCAACTTGACCTCGAGGGTCTCCTTGATGCCATTACCGAATATGGCCAGGAGGTTCTTGGTGACTCGTCCGGTAACCTGTTTGGGAGAGTTCACGTCGCCCTGACCAAGTTCCCAACCAAACATACCCTGCCCAACGAGTGGCGTATTGGGCTCGGAATAATCGAAGGCATAGACGGTGTAATCCCTCTCACTGTCGGCGGCCAGTTCGGGACTGCATTGTGCTATCGACTGCAGACATATTCTGAGATCCACCACTCCAATTGAGTTCCTGTCGTCCAGGGGAATTGTCTGGATTTGGAGTATACCAGCCCACCGGGCCAGGCAATTGACTGAACTATCCTTGTCAAATGTGTAGTGGACTTTCACTGTTCAAGTGTTAGCAATCGAACAGTCCAAGGGAAATGTCATGCCGTACACCCCATGGGTCTCGTTTGCACACCAGCCTCCTCATAATCCGGGGGCGTATTTGCCCAGTCGTTGTTGTTGTTGCACGCCATGCTTGGAATGCGTACTCTGCGTGGTCCGATATTACTGTAGAAATTGGAGACTGGGGTATTCTAGACAGAGAATATGTGCTGCAGGTGTAGCTTTGGAGCCGATAAGCGTCGGCGTCAAAGAGTTGTGATTTGGGCTGTGGTCATATCCATACCGCGCGTCGAGTTGTGTGGTTGTACCTCGAGATGGTGCCAGACGCGAGCTGTTTGGCGTCTCGAAAAAAAAAAGTGTCGACTTCGGCTCGAAGGCGAGCTTGAGTTTGAGCAAAAATATGTGAAAGATGGAATTATTCGTAATCAAGAGGAAAATACAGAAGTCGCTCAGTGTGTCTATGCCCAAACAGCAAAAAACAGGCTCAATCTTGAGGCAGTGAATCGTAACAAGTCGTGAAATGCGTGGGTATCAAAGTCAAGAAACTAGGATTGGAGAGAGTTGGTGGTTGCCCAGTTAGAGGTACACGGACGATCCAGCAATCTAATTAGCGGGTCGGAGTACCACGCGTGCAGGATGCGCTAGAGCGCTGAAAGACGCGCTGAAGGAAACGCGAAATTGACGTCAAACGCCCGAAAACGGGAAGGCTGGGGGGGAAGAGGTTTGACTTCGGGCGTTTTTTGTCCAACGCGCTGCAATGCCCCAAAGGCGCCAGGCCCAAGGCCCGAAGAAAAGAAAAAGACAGCCGAGGGATTGACGCCAGGGGTGGTGCAGGTTGGCGCTAAATGGTGGGGCCAGGGCGAGAAAGAGGCGTTGAGAGAGACGTGACCTTCAAGTCGAATTGTTAAGCACAGACCAGCATATACCGCACAGACCAGTTATACTCGGACTTTAGCAGCCTATTCCGGCAATTTTGAAGAAGGGACAATCAGCACTTGACCGGCCGCCCAACACACCATCTGTTTGAGAAATGATGTTGCAAGCTTGCAAGTGTCATTTCCATCCATGAGGGGCCGGACCTCCTTTTTATACCTCCCGAAACCCCCGGAAAGAGCCCCACTCGACAGCGCAATGACTCAAAGCCGCCGTGATTTCCTAAGTAGTAGCCTTGCATACCCTCCAAACTTCAGAGTTGCGAGTATGCGCACCCATCGAACCATTGGTTGACCGATTGATTGATTGATTGATTGATGGATTGATTTTGCCATTCAATTGCTTGCGACCGCCATGACTGATCATCCTCACATGGCCCCTATCTGCACAACTCTTATAGTACAAGACGCCCCCTCGGTTTGTACAATCAACTGAGGCTGTTTATAATACAGTGGCCATCAATCAACTGCTTTGATTATGATGTTGCATCCACCCAGGTTGCTGCACCCTCTCCGCTCTCGTATGTTTTCCTGGCCAGGATCTCTTCTACAATGGTCCTGACACCTTGTCTGCCCTTCTTCAGCTGCACGAAATCGTCGGCGATTTGGCGCTTGGACCTGGAAGCTCCCTTGACAGCCCGTTCAACGTCCTTTTCTGTGGGAACACCGACGTATAGGTGGGGGTACTCATCATAGTCCCGGTCTACCAGAGTCTGTAGCTTCTCCACACCGCTGGCACCGTCCTGGAAGAACGGTCCTGCAACGTCTTGGCCGGACTCGTGGACGTCGGCCAGAGACGCAGGCTGCCACTGTGGCGTTCCGCGCTCCTTGGATAATTGCTTGTCCACGCCCTCGACAAAATCGGGGTGTCGCATGAACTGTGCCGCGATTTCGTGCTCCTTCTGGAAAGTCTCGGTGATGCTCCACTCTCGGCCTACCTGCATCTGCCTGAGGGCCACATGAACCGACGTAGGCGAACGCTTTTGCAAAGTAGTCAATGTCTTCTGGGCCCACTCCCTCGTAGGACCCTGCTCCTGCTCCAAAGCTTGCATGATCTCAGCCACAGTCGCCTTGCCGAAACATCTGTCGATGGCATTGCGGAGCTCGCCAGCAATCAGGATAGGTTCTCGGTCCAGCGGGGGAAGACCGGTAGCGTATTCCTCAATGGTCATCTCGATAATCTCCAGTCGTTTCCTGGTGTCATCGTAATCCCTGAAGCGCAACTCAGCTAGACGGGACTCGAGCTTGGCCAACGTGGAAGAGTGCAGGTAGTGAGTGGCGATTCCAGTGTAGAAGACATTTGCACCCCTCAGCTGTTCGCTGGTCAGAGCGAGGTATGTTCCAACCGAGCCAGCCAACCGTGGCAAGAAGAATGAGGCGCCGACGTCTGGGAAGAAGCCAATGGTGGTCTCGGGCATGGCGAAGACAGTCCTCTCGGTAGCCAGCCTGAAAGGTGCGTGCAGGCTGAGGCCGACACCCCCGCCCATGGTGACGCCATCCATGAAGGCAATGTAGGGCTTCTTGTATGTTGCAATGAGGTGATCGAGCTTGTATTCCAGGCCAAAGTAATCAATAGACTCCTGTTGTCCTTGGGGCCCCTTCTTGTTGAGGTCGGACAGGGCCTTGACATCTCCGCCTGCACATAGGGCGCGGTCGCCAGCACCCTTCATGACAACAACGTTTGCCAGGTCGGACTTTTCCCACTCGATGAGGCGTGGGACGATCTTTCGGATCATGGAGCCGTTGAGGGAGTTCAACTTCTTGGGGCGGTTGAGCTCAACGGTGCGCAGACCGTACAAGCTGTTGAATACCACATCTTCGGGTTCGTCGTCCTTTAGGGGCTTGATGACCTCGTTATATTTTGTCGACATCTGGGAGACCATGTGTTTGTTAGATGGAAGTCATTGGCTTGGGATGACGAGGAACAACAACCACTAGAAGAAGAAGAAGATGGAAAAGTAGAGTTGGTTGTTGAACATACCGCTCTCGACGCGACTTTGGAGTCGAGAATCTTGGCTTTCAAAGGCATTCTGTAGCTGTACCCGTAGCTGGAAATGCAGGGTCGGCCTGGATTTGCAGCAGTAGCTGCGGTTCCAGCCCGGGTTATTATAGCTCTGAACGACATCTACGACAATTGAGGCTCAATGCGCTATGTGTGAACTATGCGCATCGAATTGCCGAGTCGGCCGTCTTTTTTGATCTGAGGGGGCAGGTATGATGCAGATGGAACCGAGGTCGAATTGCGGCTATGATTTTCCCATGCAAACTGCACTTCCGCTGGACTGAACTGGACTCGACTGCAGGAGCTTTCTCTGTCTCGAGCGAGCGGCCCCAGTAAAATTTAGAGTCGTCAAATGGATTTGGGAAATCTAATCCGATAACTTGTTAATCCGCGTCAACCCGCATTGGTATTGGCATTGGCATTGGCATTGGACGGTTGGACGCTGGACATTGCGTAGTTGTTGCTATTGGGCATTTTGGGCCATCTGCGGTCCCACTCTGGAAAAAAAAGCTCCAGCTCGGTGAGCGGCCAATCATAATCATATTCTCCTCCGACAGCTCTGCCTTGACCGAGAACTTTTGCGAGTTCACCCATCCAACCACTTCAGCCTTGTGAACCTCCTGCCTCCTGCCTACTGCCTCTTGCCTCCTGCCTCTATACGCGACCGTCCAATCACCATACACCTGCACCGCGCTCAAGATGGCCGACGCAAAGATTCAGTAAGACTCGACACAACAGCCCACCTGAAACGTAAATAGCTGACCACATTCTAGAGATCTCCTCACCAAGCCTCGCAATGAGCTCACGTACGTCGTCGCATCGCTTCCCATCCCATCCCAGCCCAGTCTATGTACATCACATCGTGTGGCATGGCAGTCACGTCGCATCATCGTGACCAGGCACCGGAGAGAGCACTAACTTGTCCACGCGCAGGGAGTACGAGATCGCCCAACTGGAAGAGTACGAGTTCAACAGCGGCCCGCTCTCCATCCTGCAGACCGCCGTGCGCAGCCACACCCAGGTCCTGATCTCCATCCGCAACAACCGCAAGCTGCTGGCCCGCGTCAAGGCCTTCGACCGCCACTGCAACATGGTCCTCGAGAACGTCAAGGAGATGTGGACTGAGACCCCGCGCCTGTCTGGTGGTAAGAAGGGTAGGCCTGTCAACAAGGACCGCTTCATCTCCAAGATGTTCCTCCGCGGAGATTCGGTCATCCTCGTGTTGTTGAGTTAATAAAAAAAAATATAACAATCAAAATAACATGGATCAAAAACAAAACAACCACCACGGAAAGAGGGGAGGCGAAACAGCTGGGTAAGGGGGGGTTCATAGAATCTCGGGCCGCAAATGTCATGGTCGCTGGATGATGAGAACACCACGGATCCAAACCAGATTGGACCCAGATCAGAGTGCGAAGAAAAACGAAAAGAGTGTCACACCACGACATGACGGCACACAACTCCTGCTGGCGGCTACTCGACGTGGGCGTTTGATTGGGGTTTGTGAATGACTTTACTCGCGCCGGAATGGTCTGGGATATCACAGATGTTTATGTGGATGATGAACGCTTCGAGCAGGCCGATTTAATGAGCAGAGCTAGAATTGCAAGTCTCGAGACTGAGGACGGCCGAGACCATGCCACAAAAATATAAACGTCCCAAGCTTCCATGTTCTGCATTCTGCGTTGTGCATTGCTAGACCACAAGACACTTGCTACATTATTCTACCTAGAGATGTTCTGCAGCCGAGCTTAGATATTCTCCCAATCTTCGTAGGTCGCATCTTTGCCGTCGGCGGCATTCTCAGCAATCGGCTCCAAACCGGCAAGGCCGAGGAAGAAGCAGGCCAAGCCCCAGGCACCGGGGTCAGGGACCTTCTCATAACCTGTGCCACCCACGTAGACGGTGCGGCCCAGACTCGCCCTCATACCCTTCGTGCCCTCGGCTGCCTTCTTCGCCGCCTCGGCCGCCTTCTTCAGATCGGCCGTCTCCTTCAACGTCTCGACAAACGGATACAAGGCATCGACAACCGTTCGATCACCAGGCCGGGCGGGTGTGTATTTCGACAGGGCGTCACAGCTCTGCTTCAGCGCACCGGCCCAGACGTCGGGCGAGGCCTCGCCGGGGGCTTGTGTTCTCAACGAGTGCACGAGTGAGTTGAGGAAGATGGCGTATAGCGCGCCCGACGTGCCGTCCATTTCGGTCTCGACGACGGACACGATCTTGGCGAGATCCACGACTGCGTCGCCCGTCAAAGGCTTGTTGGACAGATGCCTCAAGATGCCTGGGAACTATTTAGCATTCTGTGGACACGCTGGACTGCTGTTAGTGGGTGAGATGAATCTTACCTTCGGCACCTCTCTTCAGGCCGATGCCACAGTCGCCGTCTCCCACCACGGTATCGTACCGGGTCACATCTGGCTCGGCGGCTATCACTGCCTCCAAGCCAGCGACCAGCGCTTCTTTGGCTTTCGCGGCGTCGTATTTCAGATCGCTAGGCTTGGCATCTTGGTCGGAAGCTGTCGCCCCTTCTCGAGTCGCCTGGTTCTTGGCTTCCCACGTCTCCTTGCGAATGGGAGCAGCCCAGCCGGGCGCCTCGGCAGCGGCGTCCAGGAGCTGAATCATGCTTGGCCCGCCGATATTTGTGTTGACCACGTTCAGAAGTGAGATGCTGAAGCCCAGACCGTTCAGACTGGTCATATATGTACCGCTCAGCACTCGGACGGGGCGGATGCCCTGTTTGTCGAGCTGCTTGACCACCTCTGCCGTGATACCTCCTAGCTCCAAGACACTGACACCACCCAAGTTGTTCACCAGAAGAACTACCTCGTTCGAGTTGACGTTCAGGAAGGCTCGGTCCTTGTCGTTCTGGTCGAGTAGCTGAGAGAGCATCCGACCAACGAGCTCCGGCAGCTCGACCTCCCCTCTTCCAGACCCCGGCTCGTTATGGATGCCCATGCCGATCTCCACCTCCTTGGCCCCGAGGCTCTCCTTGGAGCCGGGGTCCGGCGGAGCTCGCCCGGGAACATGGACATGTTCGAGACTCGCGCCCACACTGACAAGGTTACTCGCCGCGAGCCTGGCGACCTTGGCCACATCCTCCAGACTAGCACCCTGCGCGGCCAGGGCTCCGGCAATCTTCTGCACCAGGACCGTGCCGGCGATACCTCTCCTGCCGACCTTGCCGCCCTTCTCCCGGCCGACGCCGACGTCGTCCCCGACGACCACCATCTCAGCCTTGATCCCAACGGCCTTGGCCTTCTCCACGGCCATGCCGAAGTTGAGCACGTCGCCCGTGTAGTTCATGACGGTGACCAGGACGCCCGCGTCAGTGTCCACCCTGGAGAGGATGGCGCGTCGGACCTGCTCCGCGCTAGGCGATGCGAAGATGGTCCCCGATACGGCGGCGGACAGGAGTCCTGGGCCGACGAGCGCCGAGAAGCTCGGCTCGTGGCCCGCCCCGCCGCCGCTGATGATGGATACTTGCGAGGAGACGCCATCCTGGGGTCGCAGGTAGATAATCTTGTTCTCGGCGTCCAGAGCTACCGTCGGGTTGGTGTAGGTCAGTGACTCCAGTGCCGAGTTCACCAGGAGGGTGGGATCGTTGATGAAGTGCTTGGCGGACATGTTGTAAAACTGCTGGACGGCTTTTTACCTTTCTGCACGTATACAAAGACTATAGCCCAGGCTCAAAGACGGCTGCAGTACAGGGTGTTATGGCTCGAGGGTACAATATTGGTGCATAAAAGTGTATGGTTGATTCTGTACGAACACCGCGTGATATTTTTACGCAAGTTGATATATTCCGGGTGATGGACGGCAGTCAAGTAGTTATGATTAGAATGACGGCCTCAACTGACACTTTACCTCTGGCTGATTGAGTAGCAAAATACAACTATAAATATAAATATAACCGCAGATATGCTCTCGGGTGTGCGACTGGAAACAAGAACCAGGTGGGAAGATGCAGCCCTTGCGATATTCAAGAGAGGGGGGAGATTGATACAAGTTCAGCTCTCTCTTTCTCTCTCTCTCTCCAAAACCCAGAAAAGATGGACCGACACGATACGTTCAGTCAAACCTACGTGATGATCATCTGATGAGCTCCATAGCTGCTCCCCGGACAGCTCCTCTGGGACCGCCTGAGTGACGTGACTTTGCAGGCCGGGAAAAGCATTGGATTCAGACCCCGGGGGAAGCTTCTCCCCATATGGAGGTAGTATGAGGTGGGGTTCATGGGTTCATTCGCTCGTTCACTGGGTTGATTCAACCCAAAGCCAGACCCCCGTAGCGCGGCAGTGGTGGGGGCAGTTGGCGGGCGCGGGGCTGCGAGTACTGTAGGTACCTCGAACTCGAAAAAATGCCCCACGTTGAATTTTATGGAATTCGATTGTGACTCAATCGATCATCGTGAAGCGCAAGGCGAAGGCAGTGAAGGAAGCACAAAGCATTTTGCACAAACAACAATCGACAACCCATTTCCTGGGCATCCACCCCCACAGACCTACGATCACTGCTTTGCCGAGTCGAATCCAACTGCATACAAAAAATCACCTGCGAAACTACCACTGCCCACGCCGTCAGTTTCGCACCATGTCCGATCAAACCAATGGTGCGCCCGCTGAAGGCGCACCCCCCACTCCAACACAGCAACCCGACCCGACTCCAAAGGTCGAGGAAGCGTCCAAGTCGGAGAAGCCTGCAGCAGCAGAAAATGGAAAGCCCCAGAAGGAAGAACAAAAGGCAGGGGATGCGGCGACCGGCGACAAGAAGCTTACTGGTGCTGAACTAAAGGCCAAGGCCAAGGCTGAGAAGGCAGCCCGAAGAGCGCAAACCAAAGTCAGCAAGGAGGTCTCCAAGGCCGAGGCCGCCGTATCGAGTTCGCCGCAGCAGCTAGGTCCGGCCGTGTCAGAGGTCAAGGGAAAGCAGAAGGGAAAAGAGGGCGCTGCAGGAGGCCCTGGAGCTCGGCCTGCGCTGGCAAGGGCCACCTCGACAGCCATCGTCACCGAGCAGAAGATCCTGATTCCGGAATGCTTCAGTCACCTGTCAATGGCAAAGAGAATACCAATGACACAGGCTGATAAGGACGTGCACCCCGCTGTTCTCGCCCTTGGTCAGCAGATGGCAACCTTCGCAATCGACGAGAGTATCCAGCGTCTCAAAGCAACTCTGTTGGCTTTCAAGAAGGTGGGGTTTTCGCAGAACTGCTTTCAAAAATATATGCTAATAGGTTGTAGGTTATCCAAACATACAATACCCCTCCCGGTCACTTGTTGGCACGCCATTTCACTCCCCATGTTCTCAATCCACAGATTGAGTACCTCACGGCATGCCGGCCAATGTGCTTTTCTATGGGCAACGCCATAAGATGGCTCAAGCTTCAAGTCAGCAAGGTTGACATGGATGCAAGCGAGGAAGATGCGAAGCGGGAGCTGTGCCAAGCCATCAACACCTTTGTTGCGGAACGTATCACTGTAGCAGACGAGGTCGTCACCGAGGCCGGCGCAAAGTCTATTCGTCATGGTGATGTTGTACTCACCTATGGCCGGAGCAGTCTGGTCGAGCGCACTTTGCTCCTGGCTAGAGCAGCTGGAACCAAGTTCTCAGTGTCTGTTATTGACGATCCCTATGAAAAAGCTGGCCAGCAACTCGCAAAGACACTAGCATCAGAAGGTGTCACGGTGTCGTATGCCGGTGACTTTGGTGGCCTGACGAACCACTTAAGACGTGCCACCAAGGTTCTCGTCGCGGCCGAGGCAATGTTCAGCAACGGTGCGCTGTATGCACGATCAGGAACCTGCGATGTTGCTCTTGCGGCAAGCCAGCTGGACAAAACCGTGATTGTCCTGTGCGAGACAATCAACATTACCGAACGGGTTGCAAATGACTCCTTGACATATAATGAGATCGACCCGGAAAGATGTCAAGCCGCGGCCTTTAGACTGCTGTTTGACACGACCCCTGACAAGTATTTACAGTTGCTAGTCACGGAGCTGGGGACCGTACAACCGAGATCAGCACCTGATCTACTAAGGAAGCTCGAGGAGTTCAACTAGGAGGTGGACTCCAAGAAGTATCCTATCGCGGTACGTGTCGAGGAATGTCCGGATGATAAGCTAGAATTAGAGGTATGTGGTAAGATCTACAGAGTCTCAAAGCTTGTCGCGTTGAAGCCGTTCGCAAGCTCGAGGTAAATTATACGCGGATGGCTGTGCTTCAAAAGACCAGCCAGAAGCACAGAACCCTGTTGAGCTTGATGCAGGGCCCTGAGGCATTATCTGGAATGACAGAATCCCCGCCGTCATATGTCTGTGTCAAGTGCTCGGTAATGCAAGGGTTTGGGGTAGCTGCGAAGTTTTTGGGGGGTCTCCGCCTGGAATAGCAAATATACCGAGACGTTCAAACACATATCTAGAGACAGCAAGTGGAAATAGCACGTTCTGACAACAGTATACCTCCATCTTGTGAGATCATCAATGATGCCATTGTCACATTATTGTCGTGAAAATGGTAATGAGACGTGGCCTCTACTGATTCCTGCATCCTCGTTGAGATACAAAACGACCTCTAGGACGCAGGCGCCCAGCAATGGGTCGTGATCTTGATCTCTGCCAGTGCGAAAACATCAGCATCTATGGGAAAGATGTAATGTCGGTGAATTGTTCGAAGAATAGCATCTGGCGTAGCGCGACGTGACGAATGGGCCAAGAAGAGGTTTCTCTGTGTGGAAAGAGAGTCCCATTACTTTCAATATGTTCTTGATTCATTTGACCTGAAGTAGCCAAGGTTCTGACCTTCGCCCATCTTTGTAGACTGGCCCCCCATCTGCATGGCCGATTCTGCCGGTATGTACACAGTTCAAACCCATTCTTGCAATCTGCTCTCTCCCCGGGATCGTTTGGCAAACTCGTCGAAGCTTCCCTTTTTTTTCCTCTTCTTTTAGCGTCATCCCCCATCCCATAGATTTATTGAAAATTGTCGTTGTTGGTTACAACAGAATCCTCGCTCTGTGCGTCTTTCTTCTCATTTCCTTTAATGCGCGGCCTCGGCGTGGATCTGATCGGCGTTCTTGGCGGCCCTCCTGGCGCGCTTCTCGAGGATGGCGGCCTTGCGGTCGTCGAGGACGGCCGTCTGGCGCTGGTCGACGCCCTGCAGCCAGTAGCCGAAGCTGCCGCCGACGCCGGCGAAGACGGGGTACGCCCACAGCGAGCCGCGGTTGAAGAAGGGCCGCATCTCGAGGCCGAGCTGCCAGACGCGGACTGCGACGCCTGTTCATGGGGTTACCGCAAAGGTCAGCTATGGGATATATTTCTGTGCAGCGCTGCTGCGGAGTTGGGACCGCGGCACCCGTGCCAGGGTAGTGTAGAGCAGAGTAGGTTGGGTCATACCGAAGCCGCTCCAGAAGAGTATTCTCGAGACCATGGTGTCGGGAGAGATGGAGAGTGCGGATCTGTAGGTGATGGCCTCAATTGGCTCGAGCGATCGTATGCCGGAGAAGGCGGATTAGAAGCTGCCCCGTCCCGGCTGTTGGACGTGTGCTGTTGATCGAGGGTTGGGAGGGGGGTCGGGAGTCGCAAGTTCTGAATGCTTTCCTGAGCTTCCTGGAGCAGCTGTCAAATCAGAAGAGCGTCAATTGACATGAAGTTGAAGCTCGGACTCTGGGCCCGTTTGTCACCGGCCGAAGTTTTGCCTAACTTGAACAAAAGTGGAGATCAGATGAAGTGGTTGTTCGGTTCGGTTCATATGGGGAAAAGAGCAGGATAACTTAATATGGCAAGGGGCCGAAAGGGAAGGCGACGCCCAAAGGTCGCGCCTACCGTACCCGTACCCGTGACTCTGCAGGAAAATGCGACGCTGGTATGGAGTAGTAATTGCACATTTGTGTCAACTAAACCTACCTAACTTCTTGCCTACTGTGTTGTACGAAATTCATCTACTCTAGTCTTTGTCCATCTTGGTTGGCACTTTAGTACTTTCGTTCATTCCTTTTCCCTTCAGAATCCGATCTTTTAATCATCTCCCTCCTTCAGTCGCGCATGCCATGCGAACGGGCATGCAACTACCTGTTTGATTTGGCGCGCCGGCTGCAACTTCCTTTTACTGCGCCTGGCTACCTAGCACTCTTCTTTTTGCTTGCCCGCATCCTGCCAGTCCCGGAGAAACATCACGCGGAGCATTCTTGTATTGCGATACCTACTCTCTTGCAATTTGCCTGAAAAATGGCATCAGCGTCAACCCTCAACATGGCGACACCCGCTGAGCAAACGCCGAATGCTCCAGCGCCCATCGTTCGCAAATTCAAGGCTTCAGATCTTCCCTTGACCACCGCTACGCGAACCGCCATTGAAAACCTTGCTCATAGTTTCAAGAAGCAGGGAGGCTACGATGCAATTCGGAAACAGGTCTGGGATAAGTTTGAAGCAAGTGTAAGTGGTCCATCGCACACTCCTCCCTCCCCATGTATATGTGTGTGTATGGGATTTATGGAACCAGTTCTGACAGAGGACTTCACAGGACTACGAAAATCAGGTCACAAAATCGATTCTAGAAGTGGCTGAAAAGGAGCTAGAGCGCAATCCGTCCCAGCTCCTTACACTCGACCGGCGGAAGGCTGCTGCCCTGATCGACGGAGCACTCGACCGTTCCGGCGTCTACCAGAAGGCGGAAGAAGTCATTGATCAGCTCATTGACGTGCAAGCCATCGAGGATCGCATCCGGGAGCTGCGAAAAGCTGACATTGGCCATGACTCTGCTCTCGCCGAACAGGAGAAGGGCGCCAAGACAGATGTTGAATATGCGCAGGATACCGCGGCTCGCTTGCAAGAGCGGGAACACATCCGACGTATTCTCAAGGAAAAGGAGGAGCAGATTCAGGAAGAGAAGCGAAAGATCGAACGCGAAGAGCAGAGACAACGTGAGCGTGAGGCCGAGAAGGCTGAAGCAAAACGACAGGAGGAGCGGGATGCCAGAAGACGTGAACGTGAAGCAAAGGAGGCTGAGCGCGAGGTTCTGCGCCAGAAAGAGCGGGACGAACGCCGAGCTGCCCGGGAGAAGGAACGCGACGAACGTGAGAAAGATAGAGAGGCTAGAAGAATCTCTCGCGATCGACGTCGAGAACGCCGCTCCAAATCCAGGTCAAGGGACAGATCACGACGCCGTGACAGGGAACGTGATCGCGATCGAAGCCGTAGCCGCAGGCGGGATAGCCGTGAGAGAAGACGACGAGGCCGCTCAAGGGAGGATCGGGAGAGACACAGGCCGGAAGAAGTCAAGAAGAATCTTTCCAAGGAGGAACTCGAGAGGCTCGAACGCGCGGCTTTGGCGGATCTGTTACGTGAGAGCAAACGGACTACAGAACCGCAACCTGAAATGGAAATCGACGAGGCTCTCGCACCGCCTCCTAAGAAGACGAAGCCAGCATCCGCCATTCAGCCTATTCGCCGCGACTCACCAAAAACGGTGCCAGATGGGAAGAAAATGCCACAGCTTACCAAGGCAAATTCCAAAGATACGGCCAAGGAGACCAAAGAGCCCAAGGAATCTAAGGATAACAAAGATTCCAAAGCACCAGCGAAAGAGAATAAGGATTCCAAGGACACGAAGGCATCGAAAGAGAGCAGTACATCCAAGGACGCCCAAAAAGCTCCTAAGACAGTCGGCTCAGGAGAAGAGCGGCGTGGTAGTGTGGCGATATCCAGTCGAGATACTCGAGAGCCTCGCGACACTAGGGAGCGATCTCGTGGAGTAGATGATGATCGTCGAGATCGTGATCGGGATCGGGATCGCCGCAAGGAGCCAAGTCCTTCCCGAGCCGGAGACCGAAGAGATAGGAGTAGATCTAGACGCAGAGAACGCACTCGCTCTCCTCCGCGCCGCTTCGCCTACGAGAACAACTATCGGCCTGGGGAAGAGCGCAACAGGGATCGAAGCCGTTCTCGTCGCCGTGATGATCGAGATAAACGGGAGAAGAGTCGCTCCAGGGATAGAAGGCAAAGAAGCCGATCTCGTCGCAGAGAACCCAGCAAATCACGGGCTCGTGATGACCGGGAAAGGCGTGATCGACCGGAGCGTCCTGAAAGATCCCGTTCTCCACGCGATCGTACTGAAAGAAAGGACAGAAGTCGGTCTCGTCTACGTACTGAGCGCCGGGAGCGCAGCCGCTCTCCTAAGCGGGTACGTAGCAAGGAACGGGAGAAATCTCGCGACCGTACTCGCGACCGCCGCAGCAAATCACGTTCTCGTCCTCCGACCGCCACCAAACAGCCAGATGTCGAGGTGTGGAAGGTCGGCGAGATCAAGAAGCGTGAGCAAGAAGCCAAAGCCTATTTAGCCGCACAACGCGAAGCCCGTCAAAAAGGCTTGCCAGTTCCCGGTCTTGACGATAGGCGTGACGAAAGGCGTGACGAACGACGTGACGAACGACGTGACGAACGGCGCGACGAACGACGTGACGACAGGCGGGACGACAGACGGGACGACAGACGCAGTGAGAAGCGTAGTGAGAGTGTACGATCTCCCGAGGCCAAACGCTCCGGTCCTCAAGTGGGAGATGATATCGACCGGTACCGACCGGGAGATGACCGGCGCAAAAATCGTGATACAGAGCGCGCAGACACTGACCGAGACCGAGACAAGGATCGAGAACGTGAACGTCGTACGAGTATTCGCGATGCAAGTGTTCGCGGGGCGACTGTTCGCGATGCGAGTGTTCGTGATGTGAGGGACGACCGCCGCGACAGAGATCAGGACCGTGTCAGAGATGATCATCGGGATCGTGACAAGGATCGGGACAGAGACGACAGACGTGAGAGACGACGTAGCAGAAGCAGAAGCCGCAGTCGCCGCCGTGAGCGCGAAAGAAGCCGAGACCGTGATCGAGATAGAAGGACCAGACGGGAGCGCAGTGTCGACATGAGGCGGGACAGAAGAGACCGCAGTCGTAGTCGAAGACGAAGTAGAAGTCCGCGCTAGCCTCGACAGGACAACTGCTCATCCTTGGCACTGCCGGTTTACTATTCGTACTCGATGCAGTTTTGAAACCAGATATTGCGGTTTAGTGAAGCTTTTGATATGTATTGTGGCCTGGCGATGATGTTTGTACGAGCGAAGGGGACTGATGAAGGATGATACGGATGATGGATTGCTACATTTGTTCAACATTTTTGTCTTGAAGGAGTTGGTTCGAAGGCACATATACCCCTAAGTATGCAATGCAGGTGTTGAGAGACGTCCGTAGATAGCGCGCCGAAGCGTCTCTGCTCAGTCTTGGAGTGCATGGAGTCTTACGAAAAGAACAAGTGCGTCTCATTGGAATCATGACATGGAGTGATGTTGCAATTCAAGGTGTTGTTGATGGATGAACATAGCTGGCATCTGCTGTGACACACCGACTAAGCACGACAGGCTGGGATATATCAGGACCATAGAGTTTTGGTAGCTGCCCAGTTGTCCAGCAATTGCACGTCTGCTTGTAGCTTTGAACGTTTCTACTATCTATGCCATTTGATTGCATGAGTTTGAAGGATGGAAAGCCGTACTGCACGGCTATGCTGAATCCTTCCGCTCGCCTCCCTGACAACGACCTCTCGATACAGCAATAACACTCACCCAATCCAAGGGAGAAACCGCAGAATAAGAACACTTGCGATTTAACTTGAGCAGAGAATATAGCCGATATATGGCAATGACAAGAGCTGGCGAGACAGGTACGCCAGCCCCTGAAACAACCGGTCGTAAAGCGCATTGTCGAATAGGAGAGCTGAAAGCGCGTCGCATGATGGTGCACTAATAGCAAGGCGACAGGGCGGCATGTTTCATCAGGCGCAACGCTTTCTGCACATAAGCAGGCCCTGTTTCCAAAGTTGACACATTGAACCTGAAAACCAACATGGTAGTATACTGACTGGCTTGCGTTGCGAGACCACGGTTCCCTGCTATGACCTGGGTAATCTAGGTCAGGAAGAGACGGTTGAGCAGTCAGTCATAAAAATAGTAATAATTAGCAGATCGTTGGCAAGGGTCGAGATCGCCCATGGCGCCCATGGCGCCCAAAACAGGACCTTGCCTGCTTGCTTGGGAATATAGTGGGCTGAGCTCCCCCCCGGAAAAGCAAAGTCTAAACCCAGCACGACGGGACCCGGCAAGGGGACGGACGACTCGGGAGTACTTGTGATTCCCCACAACCAAGATAAGGAGTTGTACATGAATGGCGCCGGATTTGCTAACATTTAAACTTTCAGCAGCCAGTCACTCCACTGCGCGGCTCATCAAGCAAAGCCCAAGCGGCTGTACAGTAATGCTACGCTGGGACTGCGCTGAGGGGGGGGGGGGGGGGGGGGCAGATTTGGAGATTGGATCAGTCCCACTTTTCTCTCCCGTCTGTTTTTGGTCTCTGGTCTCCTCGCTTCAGCCATCATCCCTCTTCTTGTGTGGCAGACCACCTCCCCGGGCTTCGTCATACGTCCCGCACTTTCAGCCTGTCGCCTTGCTTTCTTTTCTTGCTGATCGCATGTTTCCTCTTCTCCATTTCGGCCCCCATAGCAACGGCTGTTGCAATAACCTTTTATTCAATTTAATTTTATCTCCAAGAACTCTTACAGCTCCAGGATATCGAGCTGAGGTTTTACCTTTTTCTTTTTTCACCCGTCCAAAGTTGCTGCTTCGTCTTCGAATCCAAAATCGGAGAAACGGGGGCCCTGATTAGGTAGCAGTCCAGTCTAGTACCAAGGCGACATTTCCCAAGCAGCTGTTTTGCATCTGGGTGCAGCGGTCTGCGTGGAGTTCTAGGCCCGTGATCGTGTGTCAAGGTCAAGGCCAAAGTCGAGGTCAAAGTCGACAGAACCCAGCACAACATAGCACGCGACATAAACCCAAAGTGGTCGGTTTTCCATTGACTGGGGATTCGTAGCAATTCACTTCATTTCTCACACTAGTCTCTCTACTCGATACGGAGAGTAGGAACAGAGAGACGCAGACCCCAAAGTTCATAACGACTAAAATATATAGAGGTAGGTTGGATCACCAGGTCTGTCTGGTCTTCTAGTTAAATAAACCTGGTCAAAACCAGTCCCTCACACATGCGCCGCACTGCATCTTTTGACGCAGCTCGCAGCAGATCTCAAGTTAATCCACACCCACCCGGCCAGCTGCTTGTCCTTGCTCCATTCCACACCGGCCTCTCCGACACTCAAGTGGCTGCGCTGGGAACTGGAACTGGAACTGGAACTTGAACTTGGCCTCGATCAATTCAAACCCGCCCATTCAAACTAAACTCAATTGTCCAAACAACCCAGCCATTCCGCCATCTCTGTTTCTTTTGCTTTGCGCCCGAGGTCGATCCTCGCACTTTCATTTCGACTACTAGATTATATCCTTTGATTTTCTCCTGTCGACATCTCTCACTCATCGGGGGCCTTCGAACCTCGATTCAAACCTGCGAGCCGAATGACAGGCCCCCCCGACGGTGACGGCACCACTATCGAACGGTAGCGCCACTCGACACCGTCGCCAACGTCGATTGAGGCTTGTGATCACCGTCACACCCACAACAACTGCCCGATAAGAGCAGCAGCGGCAGCGGCATCAGCAGCATTACCATCATCATACAACGCTGCGACGAGTATGTCGCTGAGCTCGCCCACCATGAACGGCGTGATTATCGGTCTTCTTTCATCCTTTGGCTCAGCCATCCTGATCGCCCTCATCTTCCTCATCATCTACTTCTTCAGATACACGAACTCGGGTCGCATCTTCCTCGATCGCATTGGACGACCAGGTGAATATGACGACGAGCAGGCATTCGCGAGGGAGGAGGCAGAGGCCCTGGAGATTATGGATGACATGCAACGGACAGAGTATTTGAGAGCCAAAGGTAGGATGCATTTCATCTCCCGCCCTCGTCTACGGATACTCTATTGCATCTACACATCGTGTCACCGCACACTTGCTAATACACCTTCACTGTAGCATTTGTCCAGGCGAACCCTCCAGAGTCCATTCAAACCGAGATTTCCTTATCGCAATATCTAGCCATCCAGGAGAAAGGCGTGTCTGCCTGGGAATTCGAGCCGGAACTCGAAATCGCCAACTGCTTTGTTGAAGGGAGGACCGAGATTGAGTTCTTCGATTCCGAATGCACAGTTCAGAGCAACTTGCCTGTGCCCAAGCAAAACGAGGTGTATTACTGGGAGGCCAAGATCTACGACAAACCAGAGAGCACAACGCTCAGCATCGGCATGGCCACAAAACCTTATCCGTTATTTAGGCTTCCAGGTATGTGGTGCCATTTTGCTCCCTCGCCCGTAGCTGGACTAGCTAATCGTTACAGGATTCCACAAATACTCCGTGGCGTATACTTCATCTGGTCATCGACGCCTCAATCAACCCTTCAACCCGACACCGTACGGTCCACCACTTGTCCAAGGTGATGTTATTGGCGTCGGGTACCGACCCCGGACTGGAACAATTTTCTTTACGCGCAACGGCAAGAAGCTGGAGGACGTCGCACACGGCTACAAGACTCCGAACTTCTTCCCTTCCATAGGTGCAAATGGCCCCTGCATCGTGCACGTCAACTTTGGACAAGCTGGTTTTGTCTTCATCGAGGCCAACGTCAAGAAGTGGGGTCTGGCTCCTATGACCGGCAGTCTGGCACCACCACCTCCTTACGGCAGCGAACAGGGCAGCATTCTACTCGAATCTGGTCGACGGAAGGACGAATATACCGGATCGCCAGCTAGGGGCCACAGCTATTCGCAATCCGTCCAAACTTTTAGTCGTCCTCAGTTAGATACAGGTCATGCGAGGACGAGGAGCGGCAATTTTAGGATTTTGCCACCCACAAGTCCAGGGCCTCAGCGAAGCCCGACGGATATATCGTTGGCTCAGCTGGTGCCCAGCGATGAGGCCGGCGAAGGTAGCAGCAATGCCGCAGGCACATCAGAGGACTTTTCCGTAGATGTCGTTGGTCTTGGTCTCCACGAGGCTGCTCATCCTCCCCCCGAGTACACCAGCCCAGAGTCGTCGGACGTCGAGGAGTCGAGGAGTAGTACAGAGACCGATCGGAGACCGCTGATAAGACATGCACGGAGTCGGGGCGCTTCAGCTGCTACAGTCTGGCCATCAAACAACCACAACCCGCCGATCCCCAGCTATAGCGATGCCTTGCGTATGGGAGCTGGACGGGATAGGAGCCGCAGCGACATTACCACGGGTCGACGTCGAAACAATAACGCGTAGGCGGTGTGGTCGGTTGGAGGTGGGTGTATGATGATTCAGGGTCTGCAGTCTTGCTCGGTCATGTGGTAGCGAGGAGCATCCATCCATCATTATGGTCCAAGGAGTCATCGGGCAAAGGCGTTCCGGCAAAGGGGCAAATGGAAACGAAAGTTCCAATTATTAACCGTCGTTTTTTGCTCATCCCTTATTTTCCTTTTTCCCTCCCCCCCTTTTTTTTCGTCTTTGGTTTTAGAATCGGAAGTCTATTGGAACGAATGGGAAGGGCAAGCACAAGCTCTTCTGATGATGATACCTCGAGAGGGTAAACAACGTTGGCTTTCTTATTGGGTCTTGTTGTTCATTCCCTCTCGCAAATACTTACTACCTCGAATTGGTTGAAAATGGGCATCGGCCATTTGAAAGAGGTGGATGATACCAGCTCCTATAACACATGCAGCATTGTTATCATAAATACAATAGCTTCTATGAACGTGTCGGCTTCTGCGACTATGGGTGTTTGTGATGTTTGAGCGATCGCGGCGTAGGGACAGTCGTTTCAAGGCACCATGGCCGTAGGCTGTCCTCTATCTGGCATAGATGTCGGGTAATCAAATAAGCGCAAAGCGATGCCGCATCCAAATCCAGTGGCAGACTCTAAGGGTAGCGTCGCTACAAGCAGCACCACTATACATTGCCGACATGCCAAAAGGCTTCACTCTGCTTTGTGGGCCCTTCTTACCATGATGATGTCAACGAACATAACGCTCTCATCTACCAAAGCTAAAGACCATTCCCCAGCTTCTACCCTCCCTCGTGGTTCCCGAACACGAGTGCGGGTCAGAAAGAGGCTGCTGCATTGGCGCGGTCTTGTTTACTCTTTTGACTCCACATCACGTGCCGTTGGAGTCGTGCCCTTTGCGTGGATAAAAACTGCAGTGAAGAGAGGCATACGTCGTAGAGGCATCATTGGGCATATTGACGAGAAGACTTAAAAGACCAGATCATTGGATCAGACGGTGCATCACTATAGTGGGGTGGTTTGCTGGGCTGCATTCGTGGGCCCCTCGTGTGTGTTAAATTTGCAGTGAATAAGTGAGTGGCGAAATCACTACCGTAAGGAATACAATCAATGCATGTATAACTAACCTTAACATCGTGAGGCAGTAGTCGTGCGAATATTCGAGCGAGGTTCTTGATATCGAAGGAACAGGAGCACTTCTCTACGATTGCCAACTGTGCTTAGAGCAGCGAAGCCTTCTCGGGTTTCGGCAATAGACTCATGGAAGCGCTGTTGGATCTGTGGTGGAAGTTAATGGTAGATTGTTGCTACGCCGGGAACAATTACGACGGGCATACATACATACCCTCGCACGTCCTCTGTGCGTGTTATAGATCGCAGTAGACGTACGGCAACTTTGGCGGGGGAGAAATGCCACCTCGCACACATCGCTACCAGGACGACAGTAAGATGGTGGCATGTTGTGGGAAATATTTTCGTCGATTCTTGCATGGTCAACAGCTTGTAACACAAAGCTTGTTTCCGTGACTATCGTCTCTCAATAGATGTTGTCGCCGCCGTATCAAACACAGCTGTCATTCCAAATTCCTACTTGCTACTAATGGCACTCACGATCAGCGCATAAGGCATAGTTATTCGGTGTGGAGCATCTGACGACGATTTCCGTTAAGCTTGGTACAATAAAACTACCTGTCATTTTTCTCATGGATTATGTGACAGCTCATACAAGAATCCAATCCAGGATTGCTATCTGGTGTGCAGTATAAGAGCAAGAGAAACTAAGTCCTTGCAGAAGAAACCAATTATTCGAGTATTCGTGTCTGATGTAATTACTAGTCTAGATTCACGTGAGAGAATTGCGAGGAATGGGATGGTGAGCACTGGGCTAACCTATAGCTTCGTTCTCGTGTTACACAGACTAGAGGAGCCGAGTCGGATGACTGCATTTGACTTCTGCCCTTCGTGTGGGTTAGATGCGCATTGCAAGAAGACTCATTCGTGGAATGATCGACAGAGCCTCATCTACACAACGTTTGTAGTGCGACCCCTATACTCTTCCAGGACTCGTAACTAGTCTAATCTAGAATGGTACTGCTCAAAGCTTGCATCCAGCAGTTAGGCCGAGTAAACTTTGTGAAATATCTGGAAAAGATAGCAAAAGATCTATACTTGTCTAGGTTACCTGCCTCTATAGATATTCGTTTACAACTCTCCCCGATTATCTCCGCTCTATAAGTCACGAGTTGAAAGGCTTACGGTAGAGCTGACACGGCTAGGATACACAAAAGTCTCCGCCCGTTGGATTAATGCCTACAAGCGAGGAGCATTAAAATCATTCCAAAGCATACCATGAACATTATGATAAATTAAAAAAAAGCTAAACCGTAATTATTAATATGATAAATGGAATTAAAACTGGATATATTTACCATTTTTTATGACTCGTTATAACATTATAAAAGTGATAACTTTTGGTAAAAAATAAGAACTTGCATACGGAGACTTTTGCTCGTCTATTATATAGAGATGTGGGGGCCCCATCTCCTGTAGTCAGGCGGACTAAGTTACGATTATGCTTTATAAGGATCACAATTGCAGTGCAATTCAGCTATAGAGAATAGTTTGTCGACGATCGCTCTGTTACAATCGTGACAGTATGATAGGTAGTGTTCTTGCCAGATTTCAATGTTTAAAAGTTGATCCTTACCCTTTTGTTTTCTTACGAAATGCTGCTGACCTCATGCAAGTATATACACCATCAGAAATGGCTTGAATAAATTGCCATGTGTACATGTAAAGACAGACTAACAAAACCTGAAGCTTCTTTGTAATAGGGAGTGCCGGCCAAGAGTATTCACTGGACTAAGACAGCATGACTTATGTGGGTGAAACTGTGTTCCGTTCAGGCATGCATTCTCACTCTGTCAGTCTGTGTGCTACACAGTAACATTCTGCCTTGTGGCCTAAGGCAACCAAGTGCCCCATGACAGCCACCAATCACATCATAGAGCGGATCTCAAGCGCCCAACCTTAAAATGCTATTGGTAGTAGTACATGTATGTATGTATTCGATTTGATAGTCTCGCAGACCAAATCTGGTGATGGTCCAACTTCTCACCATATAATCATCCTAACGAAATTATGATTTACCACTAGGTAAGGATGCCTATAGATGCACCGATGAAAGCATTTGATAATAACAAGACAACCAACAGCACAATCAGTTGGGCAACTGGGGCAGGATCATCGGATAGTCAAGCCCCCACTCTAACACACTATTGTTATGTGGCTAGGCCGGGTGATGCATATGTATGGGGGTGTGAATGTGTATATTAGAAAGATGAAGATCGATCTTCGAAAGGAGCTATGCAGTGATTTTATAGTCCTTGCGGAGCCCATTATCTAATCTATCTAATCAGTAAGGTGGATTCATATCACTATGGTCATGTCCGGTCATAGTTCTTAGGACCCCCCGCTGCCACGTATCACTGGGGCCAGTCGCTAAAATCAATGATAGCCGTGAGGCTGCATCAGAAGAGGCAAAGTAAAATATGTTGAGCTAACTGCCTAGCCGGAAGAGAAGATGCGAAATTACCACGTCACTCTCAAACCAGAGTATGTGCATAGCCCCTTCAGGGGCAGGATAGCCAACACATTAATATTCTCAGAATACCTTTAGCCACTTCTGTTGGTCTGAAGACATCGCGGAATCCACCAATTCGAACAACTATAAGCTTCTTATCCGTTTCCAAGTTATGCACGGCCTCCGCCATGAACATCATCTCGCAATTCGTGAAGCCCGTCCACGAGGAGTTGCACCTGGGCAGAGAGTGCTCCGGAGACCTTCCTCATTTCTGTTCCTGCAATCTTGCCGCAAAGAATCAACTTTTGTAGACCGCCAAGTGCATCTCCATCAATGTTAAACTCGGCCTTATAGACTAATGCTTGTTGAATTATGTCCATGTGCCATAACATCCAATTGTCTTTTGCGTTGTCAACCGACTCAAATATGTCTCTGGAAGCATATATGAACCACTGACATACCCAGTAGAATGTTACATCGGCCTTGATACCTTTAACGAAGAACTCATTGACGGCAAATTCGGCAGGTGCCAAATGCTGGAGAATACCCTTCCTATATAGTAAAAGACAAAACTTCTGGAAATTCGCGAATTGAGGAGCGAACTTGCCTCCGGCGACAAAGTGAGGAGCCACGACAGGGTCTGCTCCAGCATCAGTAAATAATATACTACATTCAGCTGATTCCACATACCTTCGCAGATCGCGATAATATCGTCAGTGACCTGGGACGGCTGCAGAAAGTGCGGGTCATTCAGATTCTGGAAGTTTATGATGGTTTCTTCAAGCCGAGGCCATATCACTTCTCGTCTCTTCTCTATTGTGCAGGTCTCAGCTTGGTGAGTACTTGGAGCTGGGCATCTACAAATAAACCCGAAAACAAAAAGGCGAAAGAGAGCAGAGAAGTATGCAACGACTCGATCTGGAAGTGTAAGCTACATCATAATCAGCACTTCAGGTAAGTCATACCTTCTGTGATATGGGCATGTGCACGCCAATTTCTCAGACCGTCGTCAAGAGAATTTTTAGCATCGTTGCGATGTTCACTGTTGACTAGATAGATGGAGTCATACAGATTATCAGCAAGTTCGCCTAAATGATCGTTTTCCTCTGGCGTCAAGAATCGAACGGCCCAAAAGTACGCATGTCCTCTCCATCTTTTCGCTGTTAGAGTACTTTCCGCTTCCTGGGTGTCAGACATGGTACTTCAAAGTGATGCTTCCGTGTTCGCAGAGGTGCTGTGTAAAGGTAATGGTGCGTTGTTAGGAAAGATAGTTGAGGGCTTGAGGTATTTTTTCCTGAAAGCCAGTTTAAATAGTGCTTGGGTGACGTGGTTCAGTACTAATGATTCCATTCAATCACAACTTTGGTAACTGCATTGTGTTATATTCACGCATTGGAATGTCACGGCATGTTGGCAGAAAGTAAGCTTAATCCGGTCAAATGTCCAAATTTCTCAGATTGACTAGCGCCAAAGCACAAGAAAAAGTCTTTAAGTTTGTATAGTAACAATATGGGAAGTCTGTGTGTACCACCAGGACTCTGAGGTTAGTAATGTGCTTCGTTGCTAATGTCGCACCCATGGAAAACGCTGGAATAAAGAGTTATCCCCTATCAAATTTTCGGCCGCTCGCCTGCTAACGTAAGCATTTGCTCTTGCTTGATATTTTGGTTTGGTGTGTCAAGCAACAGTTTGGTATGGCATGTACAAATCGCGTAAATTTTCGAATTTACGTAACGCTGAATCTCCGACGTGGTTTTCCTGGTGACATTCTGATACAATATCCAAGCAAGTAGCTGATTATCGGAATCTGCTAACCTAGTCACAAGAACCACGACCGAATGCGCCAGTCATAATTTTGCTCTGGCGTTCATAAGAGAAGCCCCGACCATGAGTCAAGTTGTACGGAGTAGCCTCATCAGCTCGTCCAAAATACGATTTATTGTATGGTAATTCGAAGTCATGACATATTTCCAATACTTGCATCTTAGACTACACTTGATTCCAGTATGCTTAACCCACGACGACCAGTGCCACAATGCGTTCCTCCAGAAGCTTGTTGCACCGTCTGGCAGCGATTGTAAGACTAAGATATAAGTCCCAGTCTCTGTCTCTTCCCCATTACCGTCGAATAAAAACCTCTGTGATAAGCACTCGCCATGTGGTACATGTAGGAAATAACAAACCGCATGTACGGTCCCATCCAGATGAGTCCCTCGCCAATCACACTCAGGAAAAATCAAACAGCGAGATAACACAACTGGGTTCTTGAAGCCGAACTGTTAAAGCAAATAGGTGAGCTGGAATCATTTTGACGCCGTTCTGCAGGCAATATTACTCACTTTGAGAACTTTCATACAGCTCTCTATGTACCCAAAGACTCGGTCTCACGACTCTACGATTTTCTCAGGTTTGCTACCGTTTCCATCTTTAACGAGGTGGTCTATGGGAATGTTCGTGATATGTCCAGCGGCGGAAGCTGCACTACTTCTCAAACAGGCTTAAAAGATCTGGAATTAGCGACTATGAATAGGCGCATTTTGGTACTTTACTGCAAAAAACTATCGATGATGAGTTACGAACTTTATCAGTGCGTACGAAGTAGGCGTCACAGTTAGGGCTGAAGAGCTATCAGTGCGGGTGGAGAGCTCGATGACGTGAGTGGGACGGAGACACACCACCACGTATTCTTTGTGTTCTCCAATAAAGCCTTTTTATTCTTTAGTTTTCTTGTTTTCACAATACATAGGGTAAATGGTGAGCTAAGTCTTCCTGCTCCGGTGATCGTGACGCCAGGGGTGGGTGTCATGGTGCCCTTCGGCCAAGAAACCAAGTAACTTTTATCGCAGAAAATAACGAGCAGCCCGACTACCAGGAGCTCTCTAGTGCATATGTGCTGGATGCAGGTTAGGGGTTGAGCATTCCTGGGTGGTATTTACACATGTTGCTTGTGAGGTGCATTTTGGCACGTCGCGTATCACCGATGAACCTGGTTGTGATGGCTAGCACCGAGGCACGGAACACGTCGTGTGGTCAGCCGTATAAAGATACATTCATATACATGCTCAAGATTGCATATGAATTTGTAAATGCCATGAATTTCGATTTGATATCTTATTCAGATGTTTTCAGGGATATGTATAATAAACAGCAAGCGACTCCGTTCAAGCGCGTTATTTCCACAACGAGTAAGTTAGTGTAGGCTTGTAGTGCTTAGAAAATGATCGCCAGCTACTGTGTGTAGATATGGGTAGGGATACAGGCCACCTTTGTGCACAAATGAAATCGGTGCGACAAAACGATGCGAGGCACAACGACGCCAACAGTGTTCAGCCGGATCTTGCCCTAGAGTATATTCCGACAATACATTATTCGTATGCTCAAGTAGGTGAGGAATGCATTTAGGTCATTTACCGACGAACTTTCCGATACGCCACATCGACGATCTGCTTCAGCGATGGCATCGTTCAAAGCTAATTCAGATATCTGACAGTAGAGATACGTTGTCATCACGAGAACCGATGTGGACATAAGACATGAACAAATCCGCATGCCGTCAGATTTGGAAAATTAATATTAAACAAATTGCACAATCTACACGACTGATCTATACTTGATTACACCTATGTTTTGTTACCTACACGATGAGCTCTACTTCTTATAAACCAGTCTCTGGTAAGGTCGCTGTCGGAACGTTTGCAATAGGTCCGAGAAGGGTGTTCCCATAATTGGCGTCCATTCAAGTGACTGGCTCCAGTCGCGGTATATGAGTGGTAATTACTCTCAAGCTTGCAGACTTTAAAGGGGATATCGTGATCAAATATGGTTCCTCAGCACCCACAGTTGAGGCAGTGGCAGACAAGCCTTAGCACAAGGTGTCAGATCCATCTGCGTAAGGGCCAACGTGAGCAAGCCAGATGACATCGAACGGCTGCTCCAGAAAACCGTACCCGATCTCGGTAATACGGATATGATCATGAGAAACTCCGTAGTTGAGCACTTTCGAGACCTAGATTCGGCCAAGGAAGAAAAAGTCGACAAGGCTTGCTGTCAACGTAAAAGGCTATTTTTTGTCGCCTTGGACGCCTATAAGTAGATGTGAGGCAGAAGTCGTTTAATGCAGATTTCATCCATCTGTGCGGGTTTGGGTAAGTACCGGTATGTTTTACTACCTTTCAACCTGTACAGATTTGTCGATATTAATGCTTGGGCAAGGCGTCCCACATCAAGCTGTATATGCGGCCTGAAGACTGCTATCACAGGAATGGTCAAATGTTCGCCCATGATTTCGGATCTCGTAAGTTGATCGTAAAATGCGTCAGGCATGAGGGCATGATGGAATCAAGTCAAAAATGTATGCTGAGGCGGCAAAGGACTATATACCTAGGGGAAGTGAATATGACCATCGCAGAAAATCGATGAAAGGATCGGGAAGTTGAGTTCGATGAAACAACTTGGCCACTTTAAAGATGCTCTTGGTGTCGTAGAATTGCTCCCATCACTAGCGTCTCAATGGCTTACCGGGCAGACATTTTAAGTCAATGGAGGGCGTACATGGTAATATCTTAGTGTATCTATCATATGAAGGAGGTAGTTCCTGACGTGCTCGAATGTGGCTTATTCATTATCAGGTAAATACATTGATACATATCATCCAATGACGTGGAATTTTGCAGTCCCATTGATTATATCTAGCTTATTCTCGACAACTACCCTCCTATTATGCATCGTAAGTTCTACATTGCGGGCCAGATGTGAAATATACTGACTATAAACAGCAATCCGCCCTGAAGAAGCCGTTCGTACACTCTATCATGATGCCTGTTGACGAGGCTTTACACAATGGTCAAGTCACATACATGGAACACTAACTTCAAATTGCCCCCAAATTTCATACTTCTGCTCGAAGAAGAAATGATCAAGCAGTACAAACAGTTTCGTAGGTCAAGCTCTGCCTACCGCGTACTCATAGCCTGTGCGAGAAGTGTGCTTAGGGTTTTCGTAAGAACGCTGAAAAAAACGTTGAGTGTTCCTTGTGCAAAAATGTCTCCGATGCGAGCAGGAAAGTAATGGTGTAGATGAATTTTAAATATCTCATAGTTCAATACATTCGTATAAGCAATTCAGCCTTATTCAAGAGGGCCAGAGTTTAGATTAGGGGTTACAACACCCTTAAGTAAATACACTGTTCTTTGTCCCGTTCAAGGATCAGGCGTGGGCGTTGGGCTACCATGGGCTACGACGGGTGAACAGGCAGCACAAGTGCTCCTTTATTTATTCTTCATAACAACAAGCCGTAATAATTAAAATAACGAAAACTGTTATAATATAATATTAATTGGACAATTTACCTCTTCCCCTCTTATTTCGCCTTCTTAACGTCTACCTAATACTGATACCCCGGTTCTTACACGCAGAAGCTCGCATAAACATCGGTGAATCCATAAGACTTGTGCCACGAAGGAATCTGCGTCCAACCTAATATTGAAAACATCACATTAGTGATAAGAAATCATAGCAGAGGGAGTTGAACATACCACCCTCGATCCAGTTCTTCGAAGAAGAAGTGCACTTCTTGCCGACGGTATTAATAGATTCCCACCACTCGTTCACGTTGCAAGGATTCGGTGTCGTATTGCACATAAAGGTAGCGGTATCTTAAGGAACAGAAATTCTAGGTCAGCTATTGTTTCTTATTTGATGTGTGATGGTGAATGGGAGGGTGCGATTCTCTTAGTAACGCAAGCTACTGCCGGCACACCATTACTTACTTGATGTCTTCACGGCGTAAATGCCCTTGCCCAGCTTGTTGCTGGCGCCCTGGTTCGAGCACCAGAACCAAAACTTGTCATATGCAATCGAATAGAAATCATTCTCGTCGACCGCAGTGCCATCGCATTCGGCGTACGCGCCCGATGGGAGATAGGTGTATCGCTTGCGCGATTGCTCCGACGGCTTAAGACCCTCGGGAAGAGTTAAATTAAAGTCCAGCTTCTCATAGACTTCTTTCCCAGAGTCTGCCGTCGAGATGAAATACACACCATCCTCGTGCTCGGCGCTGAATTGGGCGGCGGAGCCTAGGCCGGCTGCCATAAGCAGGAGGCTAGCGTTGAAGAACCTGGCGAGGGAAGGCATCCTGGAAGTGAAGGGTTATTGAATATGAATAAAGGCGGTGCTGGTGAGTGAAGTGACTTGTGAGCTGATGGATGTTTGTATCTCTCAAAAGGTGATATGTCGAAGAGCTATATATGTTTTACAGATGTGGTGGCTGTCGCTACTCCACTGCCAAAGACTGTCACTGAAATATACTAGGATACTAGCTCCTGGGCCGGTTTCAATAACCATGCTTTGCCTGAACCTTAAAGTGCACAAAATAGCAATTTTGTTGTGGTCTCAGTAAGAACATTACCAATAATAGCCACTTGCGTGGAGCCCCTCTCCACTTCTATCCATTATTCAACCTTTTGCATGGTTAGCTCCCTGGCTAAGTTACATGTGGATTCAGGTACGGATTGGAACGGGGAATAGAATTATGATTGGCTTGCGATCTAAGCTATGGGTCTAAGTACTGACTAATACACTGTATAGAGAATCACCGATCATCAATCGTAACACTCAGCGTATTGTGGAGTGGCACTGTGCAGAATGTCTGGTATTTGCAGCTGCACTCACTTTCACTGATCATGCTTCCGGTTAGTCATGGATCAAGTTGATGTTACTCATTTGCAGTAAAGAAATGTTCTGGGAGGCAGTCTAAATTACTATCGGTACATGGAAATATCTGTAAGCATATTGTATTTCATCTCTAACAGCCCACTGGCCGTGATAATTTGCCTCCTGGACTACAGAAGTAGATCCATGACTCCCATGTCCTTGCATAATCGTAAGAACTTCTTAAGGCTAGCCCATTCGCTAAGGGAGTATAAATTAGCTCCCTGGTTGACTGGTACCAAGTGCCCTTGAATTTCTACCATAACGTCTGCCAATGCCGGGTCGCATTCCTGGGTGTCATGGACCATCATCCCAAACACCGGAAGATCAACCCAGAAACACTGGCCCCACTGGCTTTCGAAGTCGCGCAAAATCTTCATTGCCGCGGGGGAGATATTTGTGGGCAATTGATGAGATTTGATGACTAGTAAGAGCTCAACCAAACGCTGCATGTGTGAATGACTCTGCTGGTTCTGGTGACCCTGCTCGACAGTGGGCAGCTGAATGGCAACTGCCAGAATGGTCATCCACAAGACTGATAAATGACCTTCCACAGAGCCTCCCGGATGCTCGCGTGATGTAAAGCTTTCAACATCTTGATAAAAGGCAGTCAGAATATCTTGTGCTGATTGGGTCACACCAATTCGTCCGTGAAGATACGATTCAATATGTTGAAAAATGATTGTGGCGCGTGCCTTGGCCTCTTCGTGCATATGTGGATTTTCCGGGAGAGAGAGAGAGAGAGCCATGACAAGGAAGATTTCGTCCTGATGCTGTCCGTGCTCTTGAAATCATTGTAAAGAATCAGAAGTTCAAACATTGGAGCGCGGAATAGAAGTACATCTTGGGCTGAGCTTGGGGTCATCTCGGCTAAGTGGTGGGGCTGGGGCTGTGGACGTTACTAAGCAATTAATTGCGACACCTGCACGGCTCTATCCGGGCCCCATAATACTGTATACGAGGCCCATTGTGGGCGCCTGCGATAAAAGCGATCTTACTCACCAACATGCATGTATCCTGGCTCGGAGGATTGAAATATCGGCGAGGCTACCAGGAGAGTGCTAGTATCCATTGGCAACCTGAAGCGGAACTTGAATAACCTATGCTATACCACATCCAAAATTTCAAGACTTATTTGAGTTAAACTCTTTGACTATACTAAAAATGGCCGTGCCGTTTACGACTGGGAGCATGGAAATACGGGTATAAGTAGCCATACAGCCGCCACAATTATATCGTTTTCCCTCAATTTTTCAGTAGGCAAGCACTCAAACTACCAGACTCCTCTGCCAGGTTTTCTCTTGCCCCTTATAAACCGATTCTCTCAATCGCTATGCATCCACTCACGGCTTTCTTGGTCGCTGCAGGTTTTGTTGCCGGGGCAACTGCAGGTCCTATCGGTGAGAGAGGCACTTGTGGTTCAGATTCTCTTGCTGTAAGTCTTCGAACGTAACCGCTTCCTAATGATTTCGACCTTGGAAAATTCCCAGTAGCTAACGGTTATGTTATCGCGCCCAGAACAGTGTAATCTGGAATCAAAGTGGAGAAGACTTTACACCCAAAAAGCGAGATCTCGGCTCTGCAGCCAACGACGAAAGCCCAAGTCTCCTGGAAGAGCGATTGGACATGAATGCTACCAGTCGGGAGCTGGACAAACGTAGCGACTACCATCGTTGCTCTCACAAAACTAACCCCAACATTGGCGTTTCAATCGACGATAGTCGCTCGTATGCTGCTATAACACAAGGTCACCAACTTTTCCTCAACAGGCAGCAGTATTATTCCTATACCGGGAAAAAGTATCCAAAGTTCTTTAGGAATGATGAGCAGATCGCAGATGTTATAACATTTTGCAATAATAAACCTGTTTTCGAGTTCCCCGTGTACAATAACGGATGGAGGTTTGGGATCGACACGGACAACCCCGGTACAGAAAGAGTCATATTTGATTCATGTGGTAACTGGTGCGCAACAATCACGCATCTCGGGGAGTCTAATAATGGTTTCCATGGTTGTGTTGGTTATAATTATTGATAACGATATTCAATGATTGCATAAGTAGGGCACAAATAGGAAGGGGGGGGGGTGTAGCGGTGCTACCCGAAAGTATCAGGACGCCTAGCAGGGGACAGGTTATGGGAGAAAACCACTTACAGTCACGAAATAGAGAAAGGTGTGATCCCATTCTGTAGACTTACGAGTTGCGCGCGCGCAGCATGCATAAGTCCCTCAGGGCTTCGCCGCAATCTAGAAACAATTGTCCTGGAGGCCGTAGCTTCTGTTCTTGTGTACAAAATGATGGTCCACACTACCTGCTAATGTGCTTTCAATAGTCTGAGTTGAACTAGCCAGTAGACCGCTATCTGCTAAATAACTACGACCAGCTCCGGTTCAACCTGCCAGTGAGCCAAGGAGATGAGGTACCACGGGTTTACTCTGATGACCATCATGATATCAGATGGGCTTTGTAAGCATCAGCTTTAAATTTTGTGTAAAGTACCCATCCGAAGGCCCACATCGCGCTGAGGCCCGAAAATGGCCGGAGAAAAAAAGGCATGGCTGCGAAGACGTACTTTCACATTTTACCACTCATATCAAGTCTGCCTTGCCCGACCAGGGACACAGCTCTGATGGAGATGGTGAAAGATATGGTGGTATATACTAGGATACCTGCTTTATCATATTGCTCTGTATGATTCATTCAAGACTTGACTTCTCCACCGACTGCTCATCGTACGTATGGCTGGGAATACCGCGGTCGTCAACTATGGGCCTGTCTACCATGGCTGCAAAAGCGCAGTTTGAGGCATAGACACAGTATCCTTGAATGGAATAAATATCCTGTGGGTTGCGTGATTCAACCATGGATTGTCTCTAATCGGAGAAATTTCGAGAATTCGTCCGCGACGTTAGACCCATTCGATTAGGTTGTGCCGATCTGTATTGGAGTGATTATAAATATGAGTATTCTCGCACTCGTACTGCGCCGTCTATGGCACTCTAGACGGTCCTCTTCCACAATCTGACACTAAAAACAACTGCTCGACCCTATTAATAGTCCAAACGTTGTAGATTGTTATCACCATGGAAACCCACCAACGAGACCATTTCTTGCTATATGGACCTTCCTGTTACTATACAGGACGTCTAAGCTTCCCTCTTCAAGACGACGAAAGCATCCTTTTCTCTAGAAACTAAAGCGCATAATATACTGACTATGAGACCACTAGTACTAACAGGCGTCCAACTATTAATGGTTTCTACACTATAATCGGAGCGTTGGTCGATCCTAAGACAGAAATACGTCATTAGTTCCGTATGACCGTACCGCAGAATCCATCGCGACCATGAACATGCCTGTTCTTCCTTTCAAGTTATCCGTCTTGGCATAGGTAGCAGAAGATGACCTGTTTTGGTGTCCGTCGTATGCCGCTCCGATAGAATATATCTGTAATTAATTATCCTCCGGCTTCCGATTTCTTAGATATATCTAAAGGCCGGGACAGCTATGACTATGGTAGCACAAGACGGATGTTATATTTCTATGGCGGCCCCTCGTCAAACCTTAGTAGCTAGGGAGCAGCCAGGGAAGTAGCAGATAGGATACCTGTCCTAACGTTAGAACTTCTTTAATACTATCATCGTTATCGTCTTTATCATATATGCCCTAAATGAATGGCCTTTATTATGAGCATGAAGAGATGATCTCGGGCTATGCTTTTTTTATGTTAGCCGGTTAGAAGGGCCACTTGCTATAATAAATACTATAATAAATAGCTAATGGGTCGACAAGTTGCTTAGCAAATAGACCCGGGCTCGGACAATATAGTAGTAGGAAAGATAAAGTAGTTATAGCGATAAATACAATACATAAGAAAAGTAAGAGGATATTAGTAGCGACTTAATCGAGGAGTTCGACGTGAATTATAAGGGGAACGACTTCGCGGTAAAGCGCTTGCTTACAAAGCAGACCTAGCGTTATAAGATATAATATCTTATAAAGTAAAAGGGCTAAAGCGGTAATAACACTTAAGATTTTAAGGCTAATATTAGCCGTTTATAAATTATAGAGTTTAAGGCAAGTCGTTAAAATTTAAAGTCCGATTAATATAATTATTAGATTATTATTAAACTACTCTTTTTATAGTTTATTAGACTATTTTGGTAATAATTACGATAAGATCACCAGGTGATAAGCTCCTAGGCGTAACGATTATATTCAGAGACTTATTCTTAAGGAGAAGGGAAGGAATTTCCCCATCGCTAGTCACGAAGCGGGAATACAACTCCTAAACAAGGGGAGGGGGGGGGCGAGGACTTGGTCGACACAGAAGGCAAGGGCCCGACCGTAGTAGTCGGTGAAGTCGAAAGGCAGGAGGAATGAGAGCCGTGAGGTTAAGAGTATAAGATAGGGACAGACAAGAAGAAGTCCCTATTTATGTTACAGCGCGAGAGGTGTTACGACCACGGGATAATAACGAAAAGCGGCGAGTAGGGCGGATGTCAGCGCTAGGCAGCTTCCAGACGGCGCCAAACCCGGCGCGGCTAACACCGCGTTCTTATATTATTATTCCAAACCTTAGCAGGGAAGCTCTTATCGATAGCGGGCGATTACTAATTTATAGTACTTTTCTCTACTTTCCCCTTTATAAAACTGTGCCCCGTATTGAAGTAGTGAGTGTTGGCTGTACGATTATAGCAGGAAGGCTAAGTGGGTCATACGGCCTCTATCGGAGTTGTTCTCGGCCTGATCATTATAAGGTCTGAGAAATGGGACTTATAGATTGTTTTCTTCACCATGCTCACACACTTTTGCAGAGTTAGTTGCCAGTTTTTGCAGCGGTGCATTCGGAAGACAACGAGAATGGCTCGTTGTCGCTAATTAATACTATTTTGGTTGTCCAACTGATCCTTTCCACTCTTTACACATTGATCAGTCTACGTATAAGCCTGCGTGTTGGAATATATTATTCGCGGTCTCGTACGACGGTTGACTACGTAGTATAGGTAGTCACCGGCGTGCTGGCAGTAAGCCACTACAGCCACGATGTGGCTGTCGGCAGCCAGCAGCCGTACGGGTGAACCCCAGACCCCTATCTATAGACCACGTACGAGGGGAAGAATCCCTTCTTCTCCTTCGTACGACAGCGCTGAACATAGATCTATTTGTCGCCCACCCCGTACGGAAAGAATTGAATGGAGAAGCCATTCTACACTACGAGCACATCGTAAGGCCTATATCCAAAGGGACAAGACAGTAGTCCTGGTTCAGTATATAAAAACAAGACTTTATATTTAAATTCTTTATAAAGGTCTTCATACTTTTATAAATTTAAAGTTCCTTTATTAAGATAAATTCATTTAATATTTAATATCTATGACAGGTTCTGCAGTTAATATAGCGCATTATGATAATAAAAGTTTAATATAATGCACTAAAAGGAAGAGCCTGAATTTACTAAAGCATTAGATAGTAAATACATGCTCGTATTGAACCAGGACCACTGTCTTGTCCCCTTGGTTATAAGCCTCGCGATGAACTCGCTGGTTCACTCGCGGACTGATCACTAACAAATGAATGGAAAGAATGAACTTGGCGACCAAAATAGCATTAATTAGCGACAACGAGCCATTCTCGTTGTCTTCTGAATGCACTGCTGCAAAAACCAACAACTTGACTGTGCCAAAAGTGAAAAGCATGGCCCAGGAGACTATTTACAAGTTCCATCCCTTAGACCTTATAATGATCAGACCCTGAACAACCCCGGACGAAGGTCGCACGACCCACTTAGCTCCCTTGCAGTAATAGTACAGCCAACACTCACTACTTCAGTATAAGCGTGGAATCATAAGTATAACGCTCTTAGCGTGAAATGATAGTCTAAGTACTGTTAAGTAATATATAGAGGTCTAAGTTTATAAAAGAGAATTTCCGTGTATAAAAAGTAGGCATATACTGTGACATTCAAAAACAGTGGGCCTGTGGAATGGCTTCTCCATTCAATTCTTTCCGTACAGTGTGGGCGACAAATAGATCTATTCAGCGCTTTTTTACGAAAGGAAGAAGGGATTCTTCCTATCGTACGCGATCTACAGATAGGGGTTTGGCCTATACGGCTGCAAGCTGCCGACAGCCACGGTGTGGCTGTAGTGGCTTGCCGTCAGTACGCCGGTAACTAGCTAGACTATATGGTCGTGCGAGACCGCGGATAACCACATTCCAACAGGGCCCACCGTTAATAGAACGATGGTAATCTCAGGGTATATATTCGTTGCCACATATACCCACTGGCTAAGTCACGTAATCACCACTTCTTAAGTTCAGTGATCCGCGAGCTCGTCGCCTTAGTGTACGGAGTGCTCCCCGTACACTGTGGCCATCTATAGTCATCCATATTGCCATAAAAAGCCTTAAGCTAGCCATGAAAATATATACCACTAAGACATCCTTCCTCTTATAAAATGCTCGCCTTTAATAGAATATCCACCACTTATTTATTCTTTATTACTAGGCCCAAATTTAGAAAGCCCTCTATGCTTATCCTTATAAATATAATAACTTAAGGATCTTTGCGTTATATTTAAACCATGTTATTATAATAACAAATATATATAATAAGTAATAATGTTTTAGCTGTTCTATCCTAGTGCCCTTGAATTATGTATAAAAACATTGACTTCGATGTGGAGTGGATATTAATCACGGGTTTAATACACTTTACGAATCCTGTGCTACTCCTCGATATCGGCTAGAAAACGATCTCAAAAATTAGCGCAAGGACAAATAAAGGGACCTGAATTTAGGCCTTAAGGCATGATCGTTTTGGCATTATGAATTTGTAACGCTAGTCAATCTTTTAAGCTTAGAGTTGCGATGCGCTTAAGTCAGTTAATTTAAGATCCACTTGCTGTCTAGTGGCCGCTTTTGTATATTCTAGTTTTGACAGTTCTCTAACTAGGGACTCCAGAAACAGACTACGGAATTTCACCTAAGTAGATAGCATTGCTAGCTTAATCTCTAACCACTACTTTTTTATAATACATCTATTTTTTCTCCTTGTTTCATAATCAAAAGAACTATACTTCCTATCAACATACTAAATCATTTCGATTCTTTATAAGATCGTGATTATGTTAAGTCTATAAGTATCCAATGGGACAGCTGAGAAACCCCTGCGTCCACTAAGGTCGAAAACTAACATCGTCCATTGCACAAAATCCCGGGAGGTTTCTCAATCCTCACGAAGAACAGTCCTAGCAGCATGTCAACATTGCCGACGCAAAAAGGTTAAGGTAAGGATTAGCCCCGATAATCAAGTGATTGAACTTTACTTAAATTAAGTCCTCCAAAGTGCGATGGAGCCCGCCTAAGCTGTTCCAACTGTGTGAGATATCGGCACTCCTGCCTTTACTTCACTAACGACAACACCGAAACCCGTCAACAAGCCGCACAACGCAAGCATGCAGAACTTGAGCAACGTGTGATACATTCTAAGAGGCTTAATAAACTGATGGCTTCCCAGCCTTTTAGTGTGGCGCAGGCGATTCTGCATTGGATTAGGTCTGGCGCAGACATACAAACCATACTGCATCGTATCGAAGGCCCTAATCTACTACACAAAATCAATTGAGGTTGAAAATATATTCAGTCCGTGGATCATTTTCCAGAAGGTTCGATATCATGATTTTGTGTAAGACTACATGGTCGAATCCGCAAACATGGATTAGTACGTTAATTCAAAAATGACCAAAAGCTAATTTCCTGTTCCTTTAGTCGGATCTGGTGGGCTAGGCGGTCCCTCAATGATCGTGATCGTTCTCTCCAACACCTCGCACTGCAAATCCTTCTCCAAAACCAAGCCACATTGGGATCCGGACGAATATCATCGCTCTATTCCAGTATCGATCCATGCCAGGGCATTTCCGAGTTTCAGATTGACCTTTTGGAGTCATGAACGAAAACATCCCGGAACAGATTTTGTAATCACCACTACCGTCCCTTGATGGGTCACATCAAATATACCAGTCACTTCAATGGCAAGGGTACCAAGTCAGTCAGGCGAGCGAACAAGAGATGACGAATTGGACGGACAAATAACAGATAGGACGGATAATGGACAGGATTTGCAACAGCAACTTCAAGTGGGACATTGATCAAAGCCTCTAGATCAAGGTAATATACCTTACATGACGGCATCAGGAATACTAGTGGGAGCCCATTCTCGAAAGAGCGAGTCACCCGCGACTGGAGTGAGCCAATGCCAAGTAAGAACGCGCGAGAGAAGCAAGAACGCCCAGGAGAAGCAATAGCCCGAGTAGGACCCTTGTCTTGGGAACAGCGAAGACCAAATCCTCCATGGCTGTTGGAGCACGATGACTGCTCTATGTATGAGTCCCCGGCTGGCATAGTAGTGTAGCCTCGGATCGGTTCTGATGGCAATGCCCGATGGCGGGCTAGAGCCAGTCAAGTGTTTTCATCCATCGTTCCTGCTTTGCAGTTTCTAAAGAGGTTGGGCCGCGCAACCGCCACTGGCAGTTGCCTGTTGTGAGATAGAAGGGCGCTAGGGCCACTAGTCTATGGGACAGGGTGAGATGAGGGACCTACTATGGGACAATATATCAGGGTATCGCTCGTCCCACGATTTTCCCTTTCTTTCTTTGCTTTTCTTCTTCACGCCCGTGTCGTCCGCCTGTGACGAAGCTTAAAGCCTCCAGGTTGCATTGCCCTGAACCGATGTCCATACCGGCAGGAAGATTACCCTGAATCCGATGTCGACTCCGGCAGGAGACCAGTCGAGCTTGTACGCTCAAAGGCCGATGAGACCCTGTCATCCAGCTGGTCTGACTGACTTCCTCAGTTTCTCTCTGTCTTTTGTTCTTTCGGATCCCAGGAATGCGCGGCGACACGAATGGGCGATTGCGAGGCGTGGCTTGTTATGGTTTTGCGCATTTCCTGGCCCGAGTCGAAATCGTCCTTAATTTCTTGGAGACATGTTGTCTTCCGCTAGTGATGCGCGCAGGAACCTTTACCGGGGTCGCAGATGTCCACTCCTGTGTACCGGCCAGCGAAGACAGCCTCTGCAACCTGTCCATGGCGGTGGCTACGAACCTGTTTGTCCTGGCCGAGACTCTGTTTTGTAGTCTTGACAGGATGACAGAGCCAATGCAGAGACGCAGTAGATAGTCAAGTAGTGAATACAAGAGATGAGTCTTTCAGCACAGATTCCAATGCTGGGCTCTTAACACAGAGATGCCGCTACAGAACTTTCAGTACAGAGATTGTGCAAATCCCATCTGGGTCTCGTTTCCATACAGGCTTGTCTAATTTATCATGCTCATTCGTAAAATATTAGCGTCTACGACTTTGACAAAAACGATGTGTAATCTGCAACAGTATCGGTGAGTCCTACGCAGGAGCAACCATATCAGCATGCACGGTGTATGCGCCTCTGTCTGCTACTTCTGCCAACCTTGGTGTATTTCTCGATCGTGCCTGCGACTGAACGTGTCGCCTTACGCGCGGTATTATTACTGTACATACAGTATTGTACTGCAACGTTAGCACATTCGTACCCGGCCCACAGCTGGTGCACAGTTCCGGCAAACACCCCCAAGCAGCACATCGCTTCATTCCATGGAGCTACTCGGTCGACTCTCGAGGAGACTCCGTCCAGCGGCAGCGCAGTCCCTGCTAGAAAATATCTTGAGGCTATCGGCTAGCGAGCTGTGTCATTTATCCGTTTACATTCCTGCGCCTGGCTCGGGACCATCGGAAACCGGCGAGCTCAAAAACTATTATCAACCTACAAGCTAAGGCAGATGCGGCGTATCGTAGCAAGATGATGGCCGCGTCCGTAGTCATGGTGAGCAACAACGACGAGAAGATAATGATGCCGACAAGCACATGAACGAAGGAAAATACGGTCGCCACCCAGTGCCAGAAAATCAACCTAGGGGTCGGTCTGAGGGCGTCCAAGTCGAGTGGCTCCTCTCGCAGCGCATACAGGGCTACTTCGGAAGTGAGAGAAGACCAGACCAAGGACTTTGAACCATTCATAGCTCTTGCGGGTTCAGATGACGTCGATACCGCAGCTGGTGCCTTCTTGTTGGCGCGCAGAGCTAGAGCCGCCGGCAGGTGAATGAAGACAGGCAACGTGGTCCAAATCAGGGGCATGAAGGAGCTCTGGCAGACAAAGTTGAGTACCGTAGCCACGCCAAGCTGCCACGACGTATAAGTCACGTTGAATACGGCCAAAGCTACCATGACATACTGCGCCACGGAAATAGCAGTCGCTCTCCTGCGTATGGTATCATGTACAAGCGTCTTGTTCAGGAACACAGCCAGTGTGGTAGGTTCTGCAATAATATCGAGTGCGGAATCCTCCATATATGAGAGGATGCGCGAGGGATAGACGCCTACAGTTCCGAACGTGAGCAACAGGGACAAGATAGGCCGTCTGAGCGAGAGGAGTCCAATCTCGCTGACGGTGGGGCCGATAGAAGAAAGGAGGATAGGGCTTAATCCGAGAACTAGGCTGGAGCTAGACATGTAGGACTTTTCTGATTCGCTCATGTTGACTAGAATGCAATCCTGCTGCGCAAGACACAGGCGGTCCGGATCTACCACCGGATCGTTGTAGGCGCTCATGTAGTCGGCTAGAGTGGCGGCGCATATATCATTATTGACGTCATAGAGCGTAGATTCGCTCAAAACGGGCAAGAAACGTTGAAACTTTGCCGGCCCGCGGATGCCGATATATCTTCCGACGCAGAGCGGTGTCCAGTGGACCACGACTACGGCAAGATGATATTGCTTGATTGCCAGCATGGTTCAACGGGTGGTCAGCCGAAATAGATGACACTTTAATATAATAAAAAGAAGTTGCATTCATCACAGACGGGATCTAGAACAAAAGGCAAAAAGCTCATATATGGGGTTGGGTAGTTTATATAATCAAACGCCCCGGTTACTGCGTTTACTAGTGGCCGGCCCAGCTGTAATCGAAAAGCGTTAAGGTAAATGAGTTATTATGCATATAATATAACGAACATTAGGTTTTACGAGTATTTTTAATATACCTCTATTAATTCCTAAAATATGAGGCTGCGAAGGCATGCCACGCGATTATGCTGTTTCCAAATGGTCGGCTGTGCATTTCGGCAAAAGTTCTGCGCATAAACTATACCAGATTCGGCTTATGATAGATAAGACTTTTGAATATCTCCACATGGAATGTGACCTTGTGTCGACCGATGTGGCACCCTCTTACTCTATTTAGTTAGCAGTATCTGACTATTCTCCAATAGACCCTAGTGACTTAGCGATCGTTTTCAAAACCGTTAGCCGTTTCCAACCTCTTGCAAAGCTATTCGATAGTCCTAGGTACGTACAGTACGCAATACTGAGTAGAAAGATCTCGTGCCCCCACCTTTAGCAGCCAAAAATTAATGGCGTGTAACAGTGCAATTTGTTGTGATCTCTTTCAGCACTTCACTTCACTTGCCATAGGAAGTCGCTGACTCATAATTCCGCTGTTAAGAACTCATTTGTCGGCCAGTTAACAAGCGGCCCGGATATCTTGTCTCTTGGCGAAAATGGGGAGTCGCACCGAATCTCGTTGGGCTACGTCAGAACAATGGGAATCCCATCGCAACACAATCTCTTACCTTTACCGCGAAACCAGCCTGAGAAATATTGTTGAAATAATGGAAAATGAGTACCGATTTTTCGCAACGTAAGCAACCATATCGGCGACTCTCATTCTTCTGTTGACACAACTGCACTAGTCCGAGAATGTACAAGTTGCGTATTCAAGCTTGGGGTTTACGAAAGAATATCAGTCTCATCGAGGCAAAGGAAACACTTAAATCCCTGATGTATGATCAACAGTCTTCCGAAGGGGAACGGGTTGCCAAACTTTCGTGCATCCACTCCTACATTTGCCGCCTTCCTTCGGACAAAAGAGAGGAACTGATGGAACTTTATCGCCAAGTTGTCACAGATTCGCCGGGGGAACAGCCCGGGAAAGGACCCCCTACTGCCATTGCTATGAGCCTGGCCGCAGCTGATGACCTACAACGCGTAGAACAATGCATTCATCACCTTCGAACCTATGTACTCGGTTGCTTTGGCAAAGGCATATGGTCCAAAAACGCGACCCCTGAGCCACGCATCACAGTGCTTTTGACAGGGTGGTATCATGCCTCCGTTACAGCCCAAGGGGCTTTGCGCCGCGGGCGACCGGCACAGGCTTTCACTGTGCTTCAGCCCTTTTTTGAGCAGCAATTAGATGCACTCTCGAGCCATGATCCACGGATATTTGTGTGTACCATCGCCTTCGCAGTGGTAGTCTCCGCAACTGGCCCAGAAGTTGGGGCTGCGGCGCTCAATTTTGCTGCACAAATATCTAATACAATATATGGCCAACTGAGTCCATATTTTGTGACGATGAAATTGCTAGCAGGCATGAACTCCGTCGACCAACGGCTGTCGCTTCGAACTCTTCTTCATTCATACTATCAATTCATAGAAGATCAAGTTGAGCCTGACGATCCACTACGACAATATTTGCAACAGTATCATGATGCTGCTCGAATATTTATTTTACGAACCGATCTGGATGGGCAGAAACTCAACGATAACCATCGTATCTCTCAGGAGCTAGACAAGATCGCTGATACGATGTGCAATCCTTCTCAAAACAATCATTTCAAAGTGACAGTAGTTGATATGGTCAATCAAAAACCGGACACTCAGAGCTTTCTGTTACAGTCACGAGAAGTTATATATGGCAATCTCTACGATACAGTGAATCTAGAAAGCCACACTCAGTGGGACATAAGCCATGCATCCGTCCTTCGTGGCACTCTGGTCACACTGTCTTTGTTGACTGACCTCGAGCTATCACATGCGCAAAATGGCGACGTTGTTCAGGCTGATGGGATCCGCCGGAGATTGGAGCCCTTGCTAGACGTGTATTGCGGAATCCTCACCAAAAGATCAGTTGAAAAATAAGAAATACAATCAAGTGGGTTATGTCTTGTCGGTACTGCTACTGCGAAGGTGATAATTTTAAGCTTGATCCCAACCATGTCTTGTCTCATGCTATGCGCTAGCGTGATCCATTGTTTGAGAAGAATTGGTTGTGCTGTTGAATGGGTGCCTCGAAAACTTTCAGCCCGTATATGTATACTTACATACATACTGCCATCCAACGAATCTTTATGGAGGGGAAAGAGAGTGTAAAGTGCGCGTCTACGCTGGGTCGATCTCTATGCGTGGTTGCATACGTTGCATCTATGTGGAGATTTGGTACAGGGTATGCGCAGAACTTTTGCCGAGATGAATATGGAGACCCCCTGGGAAACTCCGCGCCAAAGCACCAGAATCATACAGTGCCTACTGGACATTGGAAGAGGCCTCTAGCCATCCGAGGTGCGGAAAGTGTCTTGTTTTATCTCATGACAACTCTTCCGTCAAATTATTGCTTTGCTGCATTTCTGCGGTCTTGGATTATGAATTGTCTGACTTCTAAGATCACTGCCGTAGTTACTCGCACATTTTGTCGAAGAGTTCCTGTCGCCCTTCAAGTGTTTGCCAGGCTTCACTACGTCATTTCAGCAAAGATTGAACTTCGGAATATGGCAAACGTAAATCAACCCAATTTTCCATCACGGTTTTGAGTTTCCATGTCCCAGGCCATTCAGCATCTTCGAGTATCCCGTTACTTTCATATCCATCGGAGTTATTAGCGAGCAACAAGTTAGTCAACACAGCCAAGAAAGTCTCCTAACTCAGTACCCCGCCAGTTTACCAGCTCCACATCTCGATTCTCGAACGAACTTGGGGAGCGACTGGGGAAGCTATACAGGGCAAAGTGCTACGCTGAATAACAGAGCTACACTCTATGCTACATTCTGAACCAGAACCACTGTCTTGTCCCTTGGTTATAAGCCTCGCCACGAACTCGCTGGTTCCCTCGTGGACTGATCACTAGGAAATGAATGGAAAGGATGAGTTTGGTGACCAAAATAGTATTAATTAGCGACAACGAGCCATTCTCGTTGTCTTCCGAATGCACTGCTGCAAAAACCAACGACTAACTGTGCAAAAGCATAAAAAAAAATTTACATGCCCAAGGAAACTGTCTGCAAGTCCCATCCCTTAGACCTTATAATGATCAGGCCGAGAACAACTCCACAAAGGTCGTATGACCCACTTAGCCCTCTTGCTGCAATAGTACAGCCAACACTCACTACTTCAATTGCCATTACATTCTCCAACAGCAATTCTGGTACTATATCTACAGAAATGTCCTACGAGAAACAATAATGCCATCATCGGTTCATCGCGCGTTGTGGATTTGAATGAAGAGCCACAATTCACGGCCTTATCTTATGTTTGGGGTGACTATTCCACACCAAAAGATAGGATCATCTGTAACGAGCACACGCTAGAGGTCACGAGAAACTGCTGGTCAGCGCTGAACCATATCAAAAGAACACTTGGAAACATCACCATATGGATCGACGCTATTTGCGTCAACCAGTACGACGATATAGAGAAAGATCAACAGATCCCTCTAATGGGCTGGATACATTTCTCCGTCGCCGTAGATGCTGTTTTTGTCTGGCTTGGTGAAGCCACCAAAGACACCGATGACGCGATGGACTATCTAGGACAGGGATGTCTTCCATTCAAACTCCTAATCACTAGAAGGGTAGGTGGTGACTCTACAGAAGATGAAATAGCCACAGGACGATCAATGGCTCTACGCCTCGGATTCCACAGGTATCGAAGACGTTGCACAGGACGGTTGAGTCCGCAATTTCAAGGTTTAAAAGATATCTTTGGGATGCGTGGATCACACAGTTGTGGACCTTGCGGGAAGCATTACTGTCAGACAAGATTTTCCTCATGTGCGGAACGAAGATCGTCCCCATTCGGGCCGTGATCTTTAGCTTATATTTCATGAACACGTTCTGGACACAGACGCGGCTCAGATTTCTAGAAGAAATTCAGCAATGGCAACGACTCGTTATGCTCTGGGAGGGCGATTTCGGTGGACTGGAGTTGCATGGATTACACACTCGCACTCTTATGCAAAAACTAAAGGTGCATAGGAGATTTCTAAAAGAGGGCCATATTTTGTACAGGTAATTTTCGCATCTATCTTTGGCCTCTGGGTCGGTGCTGGATTACATGGCTGGTCATTTTCAACAACGTCGAGCAAATCAAAACAACTACACCTCCCAGCTTGACTCCTATTCTATCGACAATTTCTCCCCTCCTGATATCTTACAATGTTATCCTGTTAGCAAAGGGGTTGCGCAAACCAAAGGGATCTGGTCGAATCTATCTATTCACCAAATCCGAATCTCTTATTTTCGAGATCAATGAGAGGAAATGCAAGTACGCCAAAGACAGATACTACGCGGCACTTGACCTCATTCAAGCCAGGCCTGATGCACCCAAATATACAAAGACAAGCAGGAGCGTTGCTTATCGAATTCTCTTCATCAAACTACTAAAACACACCCAAGATCTCAACATCCTGCTTTTCGCATCCCACGCGAAAGTCTGTGGGACACCATCCTGGGTAATCAATTGGAACTCGGCACGCTCTTCCTGGCTGTACACTATGTTCTATCATGGTCAAGGCGTGAGGCATAAGAATCCCGTGCATGCGCCCGGCCGTGGCGGAGTGGTGTGGAGGTACACAGGTGCTACCCCAGGTTCTCTGTTTCTCTGCCAAGTTCCGATCGAGCCCTTTGACATTCTTCGCGTCTAAGGAAAAGTGGTTGCGCAGATCGCCTGGTGCTCGGGAAGGGCGAAATCTGTGCCTGACCTTTCCACATATGATGAGCAGCTCTTCAGCATCCATTACTTTCTCGAGGTACTCCCTCACTTCAGGACCATCATGCCATTAGGACCAGACTATCGAGTCAGCGCTGACGTTCCTTGCGAAAATGAAGTTGGACCGACCGGACGCTACGTATAGCGTTGCTTGGATAAGGTGGCAGACCAAGGACAGCTTTTGAGTCAGTCCTTTTGCCAGAAGCAAGTACCAATCAGCGCATTGTTCGACCTGTTGTTGCTGGCTGGTGGAAAGGGAACGCATCTAATGCGCTGACGCGACCCATGCCCGTGACGGCAGAGACTATACCTCCTTAGGTCGAGACAAACATGGCGGCAAGTTATATGCGGCTCAAAATGATAAAGCCCGTGACACTGACGTTGTAACGTTTAATTTAAACCTACTTCTTTCAACCAATCAAATGCCAGATGTCTAAAAGCGTGGCTAGGTATTGATGAGGTAGTCTAATAAGCCTAGCTGAAACGGGTAAGAAAGCGCCCAGTCTATCTACGGTCTGCGTATATGTATTTAGGGTGGAGACAAAAAAGTACTGCGCATACTAATCCCTGCTTAGACAAGGCGAATCTGCCATAGCATGTGCAGTCCTTTTGCCGATGCATACTAGTATATACTAGTGCCGGCATGATCACCTCAGGGATGATGGTTATCACAGCCGCACCTTGGATTACAGCGTACAGCCTACAAACCGCGCGGCTCTACAGATGTCCAGCAGCTTGTGAACCGCAATCTGTGGGCACATTGAATGGTCTTGAGTTTGCTTTAAATTCAGGGAGCGGCTCAAGGACGGTTTGGTGGAATTCGCGAACACAAAAACACTGGATTTCTCAATACTATCTTCGGAACATCTTCTATCGGAGATATGCTTGACTGCTGTTACTGGTTTCAGAATGACACGACCAGATCATCATCATCATCATCATCATCATCATTATCAGATGAGAGCATCAAGCGACACTGAGTCTGATGATACAGTGGCCCGCGAGCACTACGAAGGTATGTCAGAATTCCAAGTCCGTAGGTTCACAAGGTTGTTCCATAAAGCTTACTCTCTCGCAGTCAGCGACACCAAGTGCGAGTTCCCTCGCCTGCCTCGAAAGGCCTCCTACAGACCGTTCAAACTAATAGCACTATACCTCCCCTGGATATTGATTGCATTATTCGGGGTCCTTCAACTGGCAATTTTTGGCATCATAATTGCCTCCGTGAATACCGATAATACCGGCTTTGAACCCGATTCTGCCACATTCGCACTTTACAAGAACAGCCGCTTCGCGCATTGCTCTTCGGTTGCCCCTAGCCCCACGAATTGCACTTCGATATTGAGAGGTCTTGAGAAGGATTACAAATATGAAGTGTGGGAACAGGCGGGGGTAACATACATTCCCAGACCGACAATATATGGGCTTGACGGTGATTCGTTTGAATGGTGCGAAATCATCAGTTGCTTTCAAGATTTCAAAGTAATTCCATCAAGACCGCTACCTTCAGCTATTCGATTTACGGACCTAACGGCCTGGAGCAACGCGACTATCTTCGCACTGCTTGCACTCTGGGGGTTCAACAAGCGAAACCGCGCTCTATATAATGAATCATCTGTCTGCAAGGGACGCAAGGAGCTAGGGATTATTGATTGGATAGACATTGCATATACCATCGCTGGGCCTTTCGCCTGGTGGTGGATATCGTTCTTCCAACTGGTAACAGATCCGGTCCAATCGACATCCCTTTCCATTCTAGCCTGTGTTGCTATCTGGAGTAAGGCCATGGATCTCAGATTTCACCCCTACTCCTGCGCGCTTCGTCAACAACCCACCATCAAACGCTGGGCACCCCGCGTGCTCTACACCTTGGCGTTGGTGCAGTGGGTTGCTACGATATACCCATTGCTACATCTCGGATGGGATGATGGTTCCCTTTACACAAGCTACGAATGCCTTCAAGACAGAATTACAGCAGCTCCTGGGATATCTTCCTGCTCAGCAGAGGAGCTCTGCTCCAAATCGTGGATGCTCAGCTCGCTTCCGTTCTACTTTAACTTGAGCACTGGAGGGCCAGCCCTATACATCCTGACCTTCGCGTCTGCAACCGCCGCCGCCTTGTCCCCGACCGTCATAACGCTCGTACAGACCATTAGAAAGAAGGCTTTCTCAAACGACGAATGGTCTTGGCGCGAAATCAAATTGCATTGGCATAGGTGGGACATTGGTCCTATCGCAGGGCCTGCATCAGCGGGAATACTCATGACTTTTGCTCAGGTATTTTACCTATATATCGTCATATCAACGCGAAGTGAACGTAACCGCCAAGCACCGGTTACATTCGATATTGAGTGTAATGCGGTACATGTAGGGTTAAGTTCGTGGAGGTATTACCTTGACGTGAACGTTGCCTCTCGGGCTCTGCGGATCGCGAAAGCGTGGTTTAATGCTTAGCTTGATGGTTGAGGGGAGCTCTTCATATACCACCGACATCACTTTCTGAGCATAGCTCTGGCAGTGACATGCTGACACGAGCCGCAGAGGGCTTGCCGCAATGGCAGCTCTGCGTGATTTTGCCGAGCAGTTGAATAGCACAAGAATGAATCGATGAAGCGTCGGTTCTTTCTACGGAGAAATCCTGAGCGTTAGTTGACCAGTAATATTTCGCGTTTACTGGACGCTCCTATAAAGTAGATCTTGCTTGGCTTGTTTTCCTCCTTCTCATTTCTTCATCGTAAGATTTCCTTTCATCTCAGGATTAGATGCTCGGTAATAGCAATATTTTATGTCGTGCTTTGGGCAGTGCGTATCATGAGATTTGTGCATACTGTCGCGGGTAGATATTACGAACTTAGAAGATGAGTGTTGAGTAAGGCGATGATCTTTCAAGTCCCCGGATAAGAATCATGGTCAAAGGGTTGAGGATTACGTTAAGCGCACAAGCTACCAAATCGGAAGGGCAGGAGAAGTCATCGACCTAGGCCGAACATGTAAGAGAAGGGAAAGTCATGACTGACGATCTTGATGATAATCCATCACGGGTGCGGTATTGCTAAGGGTAAAACTAGCATGTTCATTTTGATGTCGTATTAAATACATCGCATAGACGGACACAATTGCAGTCAATGCTCGTCTATCGATGTAAATATGAAGCGTCGGGCCATAAAAGTATCCGAGGTCGAACGACAAACGGCTCCCCATAGACCCTAATCAAGCTGCGCAGAGCATTCAATAGGATGTTGGCCCTTCTGATCTGTTTTTACAACCTTTCTTTATTCTTCCGGGAGAGGGAGAAAGATGGCGCTCGATTCGTTAATAGCGATGGCGTTGCCAGGAACTAGTCAGCCTCACGGTGAGGGGCCACGTGAAACGTCATCGTGTGGGACGACTACACGCGCTGATCTCATAGCAGAGATCACTGAAGACTATGGAGGGTAATGGTACGGCGACCCACATTGATAGTTACGCTCTTGGTATGACTTACTGTCGGTGGGATATCATTTGATCCAATAGCACATAAAAGGTTTGTGTCGAGTATGGCAGAAGCTCCCTTAGGGTTGCTCCAATCAATTTCAGATCTTGCATATTTCCCAGACACTTCTCGGTCTCGAGTGTGACACTACCATATATAGAGACCCCTTCACCCAGCCGCTTGTGGTCAACTGCATCCGATATCATCACCTCAGCCACCCTGGTCCCTTCACCAACTACGCCGACTGATTCACCACCAGCTACTAAGTTTAATACCTCCATCATGGCTGAAGGCTTATAAACACGCAACCACGAAGATATAAGCTATTCACGCAGGACCCATGCGCCCTCAGCATCCCGGCTCACCAATTTGAGCCTATGCCTCTGGCTTTAATCCTGACTAAAAGCTTGGGAACGAAAATGTCTATCCACCGTGGGAGAAGCCAGGATTTGTTTCTTGTGAGAAGTGTTGTATGCCTGTGCGGGAGCGAATGCTCAACGATCACTTATCATCGCACGGCTTCGAAAAATGCTTTTTTTTGCGGCACCCGACTTGAGCTTGAGTTTCGCGACGAACATTATGTCAATTTCAAGCATAAGTGCAAATGTAGAGGCATTAAAGACAGAAAAACTCATGTACGGCAGTCTAGTATTATATCCTGGGGGACCCGAATCTCAGAACTGGTCGCCATCCTCGGGCTCATGTCGCTACCTTGCCCTCCGGTTTCACACACTAGTTCTGCAACAACAGCAGCAAAAGACACATATCTGCACCTTCCTCCTGTCCTGTCAACCTAGTGCCTCGTCGTCTGGGCCGTACTACTGCCTGACTGTTGTTATTTATCGAGCGCGAATACAACAACTCGAAATGTCTCGCATCGTTAGTTTGTTTTCTGCTGCGAAACGTCGAAAGTTGGATGATAGTCCGGCACCTCGGAGATTGTCCCAGTTAGAACGTGCAAAGGAAGCCCTTGAGCTACAGTTTAGTCACGAAATCCTGCTCAAACACCAGGAACATCGCCTCATCAGCCAAGAGCTAGCAAAGTGTCAAGTCGCATTGAAGCACGAAAAAATTGACAGATTTCCTGGCCTGCATACCCCTCGCGATTAAACAGGCGTCTATGTATATGTTTCGCACGGGCATATCGACGACTAAATACTTGGGGTATTGCTCATCGTCAGAAAAGACTCAAGTCAGGCTTCTTAGTGAGCATTTCGAGGATCGTAGCCGGTACCGCGAGACTGCTAACCCGATTGCTACCACCTGGCTCGTTTCATTCGACCATATAGCACGAAATCACCCGTTGGCAACACACTATCTAAAGTTCATATCGTTCCTGGCCGAGAAGGATATCCCGATCTCCATCCTTCCTCGGGGGGATGACGAGCTGAAAGAGGATGAAGCGATCGGGGTTCTGACTAGATACGCTTTTATCGTTAAGTGAGACCGTAGATTCGTTCGACATCTATCAACTTGTACGGCTAGCAGCTTGCTCATGAGCGGGATACATGTATAAAAGATGTAGTTTACCGCCTTGCTGCTATATACCCATATCCGGAGCATGAGAACCGAGATGTGTAGATCGGATATATGCCGTATGTGGTAGCAGTGCTAGGTGTATATAGAGAGCCGGCGAAGGAAGTAGCCGACTTGAAACTTCTATTCAATGTTGCAGAGAGCTTTAGTATGACAGCGAGCTACGAGGTGGCGGAGTAGATGTATCGGTAGATACTGGACTTGCGGACGGAAGTGCTAGGCGTGAAGAATCCCGACACACTCGTAAAATTTGTTGAGTATGGTCGCTTATGCGTATATGCCGTGCGCCCTTTAAGATACTTCTCTGCTCGGTCTAGTCTGACCATGTTATGGATATGGCGTAGAAGCAAGGCCTGATAGACTTCAGCAGGAATCTCATGCTTATAGTCCTTTTATAATGGGAGGATCGTTATCGCCAATTTTTCTATAGCAATCTAAAGCTCCAAGATTGTCAATAACATCAGAGATCTGCCTTCTAGACGACCTCCGTAGTAACCCTAGGCGGATTCATGATACTGTTAAATCAGATTTGCCAGGTCATCGCAAGTGGATGGCTCCAAAATGGTTTTTATAGCCATATATCGAGGTGCTCAATTATCCAAGATTCAAATATAGCCAAGCGAATGGCCAGTACTCCTTACCGCCAGCGCTCAAAATCGCGTTGGGTGACTCTAGAGATGACATCGTTAGGAGTTAAGAAGTAGGCTTGAAACATAGGTGATCGGCCGATTTGGTACAAACCTTTATGGAGTCCAAAAATTCATTAAGTTCTAGCAAACGAAAATGAACATCATCTTCTAGTTTAAGGCACGAGAACAATGTAAAGTCAAATAGCGTGTCTAGCTACTAGCTAATTACACCTTAACGCTTGTTTATTAGATTTAATGTATTTATCATGTTATAATCGACTATCTTAACCTACTAGCTAAACCGAGCTTTTAGCTTTAACGTCGCGAAATCTTAGTAGATATAATATATAATATATCGCTCGCTATCGAACGCGTATAGGCTACTTTAAGTATACGCGATAAAAAGAGATAAAACGCTTATATAGTTCGCAACTAAGTTAGGCTTCGTCTCTAAACGAGCTTACTTAATTAATTGCCGGGAGTAAATAAGAGATTATATAAATATAATCCATTCCGCGAAACGTTATTAATATGTATGATGAATAATATCTAACATTATTATACCGACCCCGAATCCGAAGATTACTCGTTATCGAATACGGGGACTTTATTACGCACTAAGTACTAATATATATAATGAAGTAGTGAGTGTTGGCTGTCCTATTACTGCAAGGGGAGCTAAGTGGGTCGTACGACCTTCGTCGGGGTTGTTCACGGTCTGATCAATATAAGGTCTAAGGGATGGAACTTGTAAATAGTCTCCGAGGCCAGGCTTTTTACTCTTTGCACGGTCAAGTTGTTAGTTTTTGCAGGAGTGCATTCGGAAGACAACGAGAATGGCTCGTTGTCGCTAATTGATACTATTTTGGTCACTAAGTTCATTCTTTCCATTCATTTCTAAGTGATCAGTCCGCGAGTGAACCAGCGAGTTCGTCGCGAGGCTTATAACCAAGGGGACAAGACAGTGGTCCTGGTTTAATAATTATAACCTTATTTATAGCTCTCGCATGTAATATTATTCGTCTTTAATCGTTATAAAATAATAAGTCCGGAACTAACTTCCTTTAAACGTTCAATATGTCGTTACGTTATCCTTCGATTAATTTCGAATCTATTACTCCGGAGTTTTAGCTCGGCGTATCGATTAATCGGGCCGCAAATGATAAAGATCCTTATTAAAACTAATCTTATTAAATTAAATAATAGCGGTTAAATTCGATGTTCCCGTTATATTTCGTAATTAAAGAGAAGTATAAATACGAACTACTTTAAACTCGCGTTAAACTTACTGTAACGACCTAGCCAAGGTGCTAGGCTAGAGCTCGAGCAGAGTACGAAGTACGCTTGTGCGTAGTCGGTGTAAAATCCCCGCTTCATAACTAGCGATACAGACATTCCTTTTCTTCTCCTCAAGAATAAGTCTTTGTGTTGAATGGCTTCTCCGTTCAATTCTTTCCGTACGGTGTGGGCGACAAATAGATCTATTTAGCGCTGTCGTACAAAGGAGAAGAAGGGATTCTTCCCCTCGTACATGGTCTACAGATAGGGTTTGGGGTTCACCCGTACGGGCTGCTGGCTGCCGACAGCCACATTGTGGCTGTAGTGGCTTACTGCCAGCACGCCGGTGACTTCCTATACTACGGAGTCGACCGTCGTACGAGACCGCGAATAATATATTCAAACACTTTGAATATAATCGTTACGCGAAGGAGCTTATCACCTGGTGATCTTATCGTAGTTGTTACACTTACGCCATGACTTACATCAAAATTAAAATAATTATAACCTTTGAAATAATAAACTATGACAGTTTCTACAGTTGATATAGAGCACTGTTGTAGTGAAGGTCTGGTATAATGCACTGAAAGGAAGAGCCTGAATTTACTGCAGCATTGGATGGTGAATACGGTGCTCGCATGAGTGTGGGATCGCAAGTATAATGCTCTAAGCGTGAAATGATATTATAGGTACTGTCAAGTACTATCTAGAAGTCTAAGTCCACAAAAGAGAATCTCGGTGTACAGAAAATGGGCATACACCCACTGGCTAAGTCACGTGATCACTACTTCCTAAGTTCGGTGATCCGCGAGCTCGTCGCCTTAGTGCACGGAGTGCTCCCCGTACACTGTAGCCATCTTTAGCCATCCTTAGCCATCCATATTGCCACAAATATGGACGACTCGGTATCCGACAAGAGATGGGAAAGCATAATGTCAATGCTGAGGATCGCGTGCTTCTAGCAAACATCAACGTACCTTCGTCGGCGTTCATATACGGCTCACAAGGCTCGGGCAAACATTATACACTGTCTTGCTTGTTAGAGTCGTCGCTACTACAATAGAATGTGGTTGGCAAGCTCCTTTTTCCTTTGACTAGCATGACTATACATCACGACAACTTCACCAGCCACAGCGCAACTCAATTATGTGAGGCAGCATACCTATGCTCCTTAGGGATACCCGTCACAATTATGGTGTCACCATCGAATATATGGCCATGGAGCATCTCTATAGGAACCTTCCTTGACTAAGTCCTTCATCATCACGACCACGAGTAGTGTCACTCTACTTCGATGAGAACCAACTCAACATTTCTCGGATTCTCAAGCTTATGGCAATCAAACCTGGTGGGACAAACGCCGTCACCAGTTACAGCAAGAACGACGAAGCCAGCAGCAGCCGAAAATATTTGGGCATTTGAGCCCGGGACATTGATAATTGTCGACCTCAGCGATACTTTCCTTAGTGAAAGTTGAGTCAGCTTCAAGTGCAAGTAAGTGCAGTAGCCGCCATTCGTTCGCCCGCCCAGAAATCGTTCCAGATGCTTTTGGATCCCAGGGCTCTAAGGAGGAGAGCCGCTAATGTGGGGGTAGTTCAGTTGGATTGATCCTAGTGCTGGACAGTTTATATGTTGTTGTGCAACAAAAAGCCCCGCATTTACCACAGTATGGCCCTAGCCATCGGATTCTTTTCGAAACGCTTCATATGTGCATCATCATTTTAAGACCATGCATTCGCGCTCATGATTCACTCGTCCTCTTGTCTTGAAGGACTCGACCAAATCAAAGCAGTACGGCTTTGAGTTTCAAACTATTCAGTTCGAATGACCAAAGTCTTTCAGCAACGTATCATGGCCGCTACGCAGGTATCATGCATTCTGTGCGGTGCACCGATTGAGAATGTTTCACCTCAAACCATAGGCTGGATGAGTGAATTTCGTGCTTGTAAGTACGCACCCGCGGAATTGCAGATTGAGCGAATCTTAACCAAGATTTGCAGTATATTGCACCTTTGAAGAACCAGACGTGGCACACTTGTCTATGCTGGGGTTGAAGCAGCATACTGGAGACATTATTCCTCTTGATCCTCAGATGAGGCTGGGTATGCCTGAGTTGAGCGACGAGGATACTTGCGTGGCTATTCAACTGATGGATAGTGCTCTTAGAGAGCTACCACACAATTCACATGTGATATCTCACCGAGTCTGGGGCTTTCCTTTGCATGGACGCTGTTGGCGCGTTCTCACAGTTGCATACTCTGGATCGATCGATGACAGATTTATCCAAGCTTTGTTTGAGCTTTGCAGGTGTTGTTCCATTCAACTTGGTACATTGGACTGGGGACATGACTACGGCGGCCTTGCTGGGTATAACGATGAACCAGGGAGGTTTCGTCCCGGCAACACAAGGCTCACAAACCATAATTATTATAGAGTCGATCCATTTCGGCAACCGGAACTGACTAAGATTTTTTCGAATGTGCACGCTACAGAGGCATTAGTGGAACAAAAATACGACCAGCGGAAACGCAATCTTGCAGCCTCGAATACGAACGAGCTCAGCCAGCAAGACTATTTTAGGATGCTCCCAACAGAACTGCTTGACCAGATACTTGTCATTCTCTGTTCAAGTGATGTTAGAAATCTTCGACAAGCATCTCGTTCCGTCTCTGAGGCGACTCTCTCAAATGAATTCTGGCACTCCAGGTTCCTTCCCGGCGGAGAATTCGCTCATGTGTTCGAAGCAGCCTGTGAGTTGCCAGGTGCTAAGTGTTGGAAACACTTGTTCGACCGAGTAAGAGCGATACAAGGGCAGCCGGCCCTCGTGAATAGAAAGCGCATCTGGAAGCTAGCATGTGGTCTCTGTGATCTGATCGATATGCGCCTAGCTTCTTCCGTCTGTTATGGGTCTCCTAATGAATATAACACCGGGTTCCGTATGGGAATCGACTCGAGCAGCCACGGCATAGTGCTATAACATCTACGACCCCTGTTGCCCCTGTCCCCCTCAAGTCTCACGACTCTTATTTGAGCGAGCTATAGTGGTTCCTTCACAAATCGTCAGTATCAGGACATTCTCGATTGTCCTGCATGGGAAAACCTACATCTCCGGCATGCAACTTATACAAGACGATGATAAGGACCCGATATCTTTATGCCTCAGTAGATGAGAGTGGTGTTCGTGGATTGTGCTGCCTATCAGAGTCCGGCAGAATGTCAGAATGGATTGGAGACTACTAGGGACTGCCGATTTGGCAGATGGTTTTGCCTAGTAGTGTGAAAACTATAATTGGCACCTTTGATGTAATTATCTTTGACCCTTCATTCCCAATAGCCACCTTCTTTTAGTGCGCGATTATTCTCTTACACATCTAGGCGCTGAAACTCATCTCTTTATCTGCTCAGAGATGCTATAGAGGCTACCTCGAGAAGTCACTGAACAATACTGGCGTGGCACAAGTGCAGGACCCAAAAGAACCACATCATGTGACGATCAGTGAAATCGAGCCCTGTATGAGAGTTCGTTTTGTTTCCGGTATTCGTGGGTCACACCACAAGAAGTCCCTAAGCTTACACTACTCAGATGATGTCTAGCTGTGACGCTTCGCTTCGTCCCTATTACTTGGAATGCAAGCATCATGCGATGTCCTCCTCCTCCTTCTTCTTTTTCCCGGCTTTCGCGAAATCTTTCTTTGTCTTGATGGTTTATGAGCATACCAGTGCCGTAAGCGGCAACCTCGCAACGAATGCGGAAGTACGGAACGAAGAATATGGCTAATTGAGAACAAAGAACATCACTTCTTGAAAACAAAGGCAACAAGTAGATGATGCATACTGAAAGCTCATTTATCAAGTGTTTATCTCATGACTCTTTTTCTTTATCGACATCGCTACTTTGATACACAGGGACGCCGCCTCTATCCACTGGCACAAGTTGGTTTATCCATCATTATAATTCAACTTTGTCTCCCATTTGAATTCCCAGTGACAACAATGGCTTGCCCTGACTGCGGCAGGGCTAAACACAAGGCCACAGTCAAATTTTGTGCGGGGCCAAAGGATACACGGTTGCATACGATGCCCAGGTTTGTAGGGACTGCGATGGCCGTGGAACAAAGTCCCATAACAAGGACAAGGACTGCTCGCATTGCAAGGGCTATGGGAAGGAGCTGACGAAGTGCGACTACCACAAAGGGAAGCGCGATTGGACTTGTCACGATGAATATCATAATCGATGAAAGAATTTCCCGTGCTGTCTTAGCATCGAGCGGTAGCATCCTGGACGACAAAAGAGAATATACTTAGGAAGAAAGAGCAGTTTGGTGGTACGACATGCTGATTTGCTGGTCAGTGATTCTCTTTAAATCACTCGGTTGGGTTGGGTTTCATTTTGGTTTTCAGTCTTGACGTTGGTTTTGGCCTAGCATGTTGCCCTATTCATCGTGAAGGCCATAGGATTTGGTCCAGACTTGAGTCCGATGGCTTTCAACTGGTTACTAGTCAATCGAAGTGTCTTGGCATAGTTGCGATTTGGATCTCCTACACTCTCTGGTGGCGTCTCTGGAAGTGTTTCCAGCCCATTTAAGGTACTGGCATCGTAGGCTGGTCGATGATGGGCAGTGACCATTGGTGTCCGGATATCACTCTCGGCTGCGCTGTGGTTACCAGTGTCCGAGGCAGCATCATTGATGCCAACGAGAGCGGCTCGTTGATTGGCAGCTTCCTTTGCTTCCTCGCTGCGGTAGATCAAGAGGTTCCATTCTCATCAGCGCCGATGAAGGCACCAATATCGTAGTTACCTTCCCACTCTTCCGACAAAAGATTTCTTGCAGACTTCAGCTCGTAAAGCATCATCTTCACTACTCTTGTATCCGGCCATGTCCAGTATCAAATCGCCAGTATCTGTGACTTGCGATGGTATATTCGCGACCGAGAGCCTGTTTGACAAAGCCACTGCAGGCTCGATAGCTTCTCTCGTAGGCAATGGCGGAGGGCAGTGAGACCTTTTGGTATAATCATCGGAATGTCCATCGACAAGGGAAACTATTGGGGTCGAAGATCGTGTCTGCCGCTCTCCTTCCGTGTCATGGCTGATATGTGTTCGTGCAGAGGATGGAAGAAGTCCGTCGGTATGGCATCATACGCGTTCGAGACCTGCCCAGTCGCCTGAGACGGGCCGCTCTGTTGGAAACTTTGGAGACGCAGAAAGCGGGGTAAAAGGTGCCTGCTATGCGTTAGAGCGATTTCCAAAACCGTAGCCAAAACGCTTACTCAAGTTACTGGGCCGTCTGGAAGCCACGTGTCTTGGGTTGTATCCCAATCCCAGGACGGCTCATACTCACAGATCTTGCCTTCCCAGTCAGTGCTTATGTCTATATCCAGAAAATCCCGCTCCAACAGAGGGACAGGAAGCTGGAGAGACCAGAGGCGATGTCTGCATAGCCTCGGGGATATTGTCGCTGGTCTCGAAGACAAAGAAAGCTTCTCCTCCCTCTGCCAGCTTCATTGCATAGTCCTGCTTGACATCGTTGACCCTAAACTCCACCTTCTTCTCGTATGGCCGCAACAGAGAGAACATTCCAAACCGCACATGGAACGGAGAACATGCCAGGGAGCCATCCTCGTGCTCGATGACGATAACATCGATAGCGCCACTCAATATAGAAGGGTTGATGCTATTCCATGTCTTGGAGACAGGCCCCGAGATCCCTCGTATGTAATTCATTGTACCAGTATTCGCATGTCGTATAGGTAAATCAGCGACTGAGGAGGATTTTGAAGTTCGTAGGGAATAGCAGTAGGATTTAATTTGCGCAAGGGCGCCGACTCGTCATTCGTTTGCTGGGGAACACAGCATCGCTAGGGAAGGACTAGGAGCAGGCTTAGAATCGGGATTTAAGCTTCGCAGAATAGTGGACTTACTGATGCATCGAACATGGTACAGAGAGCCAGAATCCAGAAAATGTAGACAACGTTGGAGAGTGGTTGGGAATGGGCGAGTCGTGTTGGGGTCACTGTGGGCCAGTGCGGGCCTAACTCGTCTAACTCGTCTTACTCGCCTCCCTGGGCGCTAGTCGTATCTGGCGGGCTCCGTAGCACCATCCATACCTATATATGGCTTATCAATCACCCAAAAAATATAGAGGACATTTCTCAAACACCGGTTTTCTTTTCCCCGCGATTATGGCGTTTTTAAGTTGGTCGTACGTTGAAGGTGTATCAGCATGGGGGGAAATGACTTCGGCAACCAGGTAACATTGACATCCATTAATTAGCTGAAACTGAACAGAACACCACTAATGGCCTATATTTCAACAGGTTTTGTGAAATAGTATGACTTTGCGCCCATCCAATTATTCTATTTAAGGTTCTGATGAAATGCAGAATAATTATTTCACAACCTATATCGCAGGTTTCGTGAACACGCTTACCAATCTCGCATACGGTATTTAACCCTATAATACCATTCCGTTGTCATGCTAAAACAGTCATATACTGGTGACAATGAACGACATTAATAGTGGAAATAGTGTATCTTGGAGTTTGTGGAATGAGCAACAGCAAACAGCACCCCATAACCAATAGCACCAGCATCCGCCTTTGCTACATGTCATTACTCGTCGTTGGAGCATGTTCAACTATATTTCACTCCAACGTCAAGTATTTCGCTCAGATACGTAAGTATTACATTCTTTGTTTACTCCCAAATTAAGTCTATCAAATGTCTTCTCCAAAAACGGAGCCGTGGTCGATATTATTCACCGCACACTCATTCATTCTCGTAACATCATTAAGACAAAGAAAGCCAACGAGACTAACTCGCATATTCCGACGAACAGTAGATCAAGGATCAATCCTACTCCCTACATCCACTATCCTCTATGCATCATTTAGCTTCACACTCGCTCCCCTCCCGCGTCTCCTTCTCGCTTCCGGTCTTTCGCTCGGTTCCGCGATCTTGGTCTCCTATCACGCTATCTACCATTCCCAAAAGATCTTTGGAAACGTATTCCTTGCTTTGGTTTTCATCATTGTTGCACGATGCATGGTTTTGCTTTCTAGAGTTACGGATGACAAGGTGAAGAGAGAGATGAGAAGTCTGGTCTTGTTTGGAGGTGGTAAGTTTTGTTGAAGTTAAGTGAACTGGTGGGACGAAAACTGACTAAAGATGCAGTACTATTCGTGGTGGGCAGTGTTGCCTTTAATGTCGACCGGAACTATTGCGCTCAGTTGAGAGCAATGCGGGAGGTTGTAGGTATCCCATTAGGATTTATGTTGGAGATGCATGGCTGGTGGCACATTGGTAGCGGACTCGGGGTATATTACTTCATCGTATTGATCGAGTATTTACGTATCTACATCGGTACTAGCGGCGCAGAAATCACATTGAAATGGAAAAGCGCACTACTTCTTCCCAGATTGGAAGTACAGGATACGAAGACTAAATAGTTTGAGAGAGTAACGTCTCGTGCGGTTGTATGATAGCGCTGCTACAGGCGGGGAGTTATCAAAAACTTGGCATCGAGACTTAGCTTTAGTTGACGTTAGAAAAGTGGGACATCAAGGTGCAACCACATTTTTCCACTTGTCTCGAGTATATTTGGACTCTTTTGGTCCAGCTGCCTTTGCTTGACATCCGCAATCATTAACCATCGTCCATCGCAACGACGAACCCGATTCATAAATTTTTTTTTTGCGCTTGGGCCGATGTTTGAACTCGGGACTTTGCTACACCCTCCCCAATGAACAGTACCTTTTGGACGCCCGACGATAATATAATTATTAAATAACTCTATAACAAACATAATTTAGTTTTCTTTAAATATAAGTTCGATAAAACGCCCAGGGTACCCTAAAGATGGTCTTGGTGTCGTAGAATTGCTCCCATCACTAGCGTCTCAATGGCTTACCGGGCAGACATTGCAAGTTAATGGAGGGACGCACGTGGCAACATCCTAGTGCATCTATCATATGAAGGAGGTAGTTCCTGACGTGCTCGAATGTGGCTTATCCATTATCAAGTAAATACATTAATACATATCATCCATCTGATGAGATAGTTCTCCCTCCTTGTTTCTCGCTTTTCACGAGTTGCACGATCCGTAGTTCTCCAAATCCGGTCACTAAGATAATCCACGGTTCTTATATTCTATGTCTACGAGTATCTGATTTGCTTCCCATACGCCGTGAACAATGCGTTTATTCGATTCTAAGGAGGCAGTGAGAGGTAACATCAAATCACAGGGTGTGTTGAAAAACGCCCCGTTTGGGGTGGGAGCTTGGCCCCTGCATGTTATACAATGGTGTGGTCGGTCATTTCCCGCCACAACCATAGGATCATTGGTGCAGATTCATATAGCGGTTAAAGGATATATAAAACGAGTGCGAGAGGATATCAAATGTAAAGCCAATTGGTTAGCAAGTCTATTTCATTTGAGATGAAAAACAGAACTCACTTATCATCCTTGGTCTAATATGTTTCTCGTATTTCTACAATGTGCAGGGTTTTCTATATATAGCTTATCAAGCAACGGGAACGAAAGGCGCCATAAGGAGTTTAGACTAGCGGCGGACTTATAATAAGTCGCGGATCGTAACTGAAGGCTGGTGGGAGACCTGCAGATGTTTTTCTAACTTATTATACGTTAAGCTGGCAGTCTGATGCGATCAAGTTCCCCCGGACGGTGATTGATATCTTTTATTCATGGAGAATTTGGATCCTCATACTCCATTATGACATAGGTTGAAATTGAATTAGATTGATTGAGAAATCGTCTTCTCAAAGCTTTCCGGCTCTCGACCCAACAATTCACCTAACAACGGGGATACGACAGCCGCTTCACCTCTACGAAATGCCTCAAATGCTGTTGTCCAAGCCTTTGATAAATCGACATCTTTATAGGTGAAGTTTTGCGATACCTGAGGCTGCTTTGCAAACTCGTCTTCTGAGACTTGATGGATATGCACTTGCTTCTTTGCTATCTTGCCCAAAATATCCACAGTTTCCTTGAGACTCAAGATCTTGACACCGGAAAGGAGAACGGTCTGACCACGGAACTTGAATTTCGATTCGCTCTCAATAAACCGCTTGATAAGCTCAGCTGTTCCCTCACCAAGCTCTTCGCGCTTCACCCAAGCAATTCCAGGTTCTGAACCATCGTGTGGGATTTTTATCTTGTCAACGGGGTTGGTCGGGTCGAAAAATGCCGTGTACAACGGGTACGACTCCGAATATAGGCCCTCACGGACAATCGTGTAGCAGAAGTCGTCATGCTTGCTGGCGCATTCTTCAAGATATCTCTCTGTATCCAAATGGGCCTGCATCACGTGGGCCACTGATTTCTTGCTGCTTTCCTTTCCAGCAAATCCAAGCGATCCGTAGAAGATATACTTGACTCCACTGCGGATAGCAAAATCTATTGCTGCTCGGTGACGCTATTGTCAGTCCAGGTTAGCTGATACGGCTTCTGAAGGACAGCGTTGTTCCAGGACGCCAGATACTGACCTCGGCTCGGTGCTCATATTCGATTGAGGCATAAGAGATCAAGAACAATGTATCAATCTTGTCAAAGGCATGCTCAAGTGCCTTGTTATCGTCGTAATCCGCTTTGCGAACCGTTGCACCAGCGTCACGGGCAAAGTCCAAGTTGGCAGGGTTTCGAGCAATAAACACAAGGTTCTTGGGGGAAACACGTGGAAGGAGGTATTTCACAGTGCTGCCTCCAATGCCTCCGGATGCAGGGAAAACGCCGACAGTGTTGTTGGACATTGTAACAAACTGCTGCGTTTCTATAGCAATTGGAAAGAAGGATGACGGGATGGTAAGTCGATGTTGTGGTGAGAGTTGTACGGAAGAAAAAGAATATTGATCATGCAGGGTTTGGAAGATTATAAAGCTGTACAAAATAATGTTCAATGCGTAGATGGGTTATAGCTTTCCCGCTTTATAAATACACTAAACTAGTGGTAGCATATAGCTTATCAACATACGGATGCGCAATGCTGATTGATTTTGCATGGTTTGGCATTTTTTGCATACATGCTTGAGGGCAAGCTTTCCATGTCGAGAATTACAAATGGACTTCCAAACTGCATCATGTATAGTATAGTTTCTTAATAATTACCTTAATTGGGATCCATTCTACAGGAAATATGCACGCGTTTAAAATAAGCCTCTAGATAAAAATCAGGAGTGCATACATACGATCTTTACTGGATCTAGCATGGTGGTCGTCATTAGCGTGACTCGCCAGGCATTGACAGCCGTGCTAAATTCTGTGCACGTAACTACGTAATATTTTTCACACCTGTTAGGGGGAAGTTTCTGCCGTGATGATGTAAGTCATGGTGTTTCTTTAGTACTATTAGTAGCTCTAGGTTGATCAGGTTTTTGAGTCGATTTTACGGTTCGCTAGTCAGGTGTTTCGTACCACAATTCGGATGATACGCCAAGAGAACCGGCTTTTTCTTAACAAGCAGAGCGCCGGTGCACTAGATAATCTTATTTCTCTCTTGCTTCGTCCCGGGACAACTTTCTTCCTTGAAAAGATTGCGAGTCGCGAATCCAGCTTTTCTCACTGCGACCGCCGTGATATTCAGTAGAATCATTATTCTTCGAAGTAGAACACTGGTATAAGATCGTTGAAATACATAGGTACTCCTATTCCTAGAACAAAATTTCCCGGGGCAACATTCTCCCTAAGTCGATGTCACTATCTATCTTATGAATTGATCTGCAAAACTAGCGCCTAGTCCAACTTCTTCATAATGTGCCTTCGCCTTTTCCAATTTGCTATACACGTCCTCGATACCGACGGGATTTCCTTCTGGGTCTACGTAAATGTATGCCCCTGTGACGTGAAACATGGTCACCATTTCCTGGACGTCGTCTGGAACCTCCAAGGTATGTATATCTCCGGGCGGCTCGTAAGCGTAGCCACCCTCAGCGGCCCACCAAGGATGTTCAAGATAATGCCAACGACCTTTGAGGACAGTAGCGTGGACAGGCCCGGTATGTCGGTGTCTAGATAGTATGCCAGACTTTCGTACACGCAATATATTGACAAAATAACCCTGCGAGACAGAGAATAGCAAGGGCCGAAACCAGACGTCGGGAGCCTGCGGGACCCACAGTCTTTCATCGCATTCGAGATTTAAGATAGCTGGGACAACGAGATCGTCTGGTACGTATGGGAGGGAAGGGCCGCGGTAGGGCATCGCAGATGCGTCACGAACATAGGCATTGTCCGAATTCGACTGATCATGGGAAGTACTCGGTACCGCTTCAGAGGCCATGATCCGAACAGGGCGTAAGTGTTCGAAGAGGAGGATGGTTTCTTCAATAAATCCTATGCAAAGAAACAAGGGTTGAGGTGAGTGCAGTGCAGGGACAATTGAAAGTATAAGTGGTGAAGATGTTAAGTAGACTTGCTAGGAATTGCTGCAAAATCAAAAGTTTTGCTCCAAAGGAATACTTTAGCCAAGTTGGTCATAATATAAGTATGCTCGAAAGAAGCATGTGGGTACTAGTAATGAGCATTCAACCCAGCCCTACTCATTTGGTGAGTTTCGAATCGCCTCCTGATTAGACCGAAAGACCATTAGCGAGCACGACCACAATTTGCAACAAGATTTGCATAATCTGCAATAGGCAAATCCAGAGAAGCGAAGTGCATGTCACAATACTGTTATTACGATTTCTCTAACCAAGTGAGATGTGGCTCTGGACATACTCCCGGCCTTGCTGATGGCCAGCGATTGTTCAAGAACAACTTGACGATTAAGAACATTTTTAATTTTACTCCGAACAAAACATTCAGCAGTGGGAACGATAACGACATTACACAGACCAAGAGGGCAATATTTATTCTTAACACCCAGCACATATCGTACGTCGAGATGTTGATGATATGCCACTCGACTCACAGGGGAAATATTCTACACCTCATTTGTAAGCCATTAATCGCCTTATTTCTCTTCAAGTTTGTACTAAAGGTTACGGCTATTCCATTTCCAGTATTCAATGTGGGTTACGTAGTTGCGAATGACGTCAAGAGCATTAGTAATGTTAAGAGTATTAGTCATGACTGCAGTCCGAGTGCAAAGTTATCTCTACTGTATCAACCTAATGGACATAGGGCCGAAATTCGAGCTCACTAGGAAAAGCTTCCGGCCGTTATGAACAAAGATTATATAATAGATGAATGAATTATAGGCATACAACCGGCCCGATGGCGATCGCTCCTAGCAATCGTCCATCGAAGATATATAAATGGAGTTCTCTGGAAGCGTATTTGTTCAATGAATCAAATCTGGCTTTTCAATTGCCACTGAGTAACTACCAACATCGACAATGTCCGCCTATCAGATCCAACGCCTCAGTCTCTACCAGCAGGAAGCAAACGGTCCGAAGTCACTTCGCAATGTTGCTGCACCAGATGTGCCCTTCTTCACGCCAGCGCAGGATCCGGCTCCTGGTACGGCGATACGTCAACAACCTGGCGGAAAACCTATCCCGAAGCTCTTCACTCCGCTCCAAATTCGTGATGTCAAGATGCCAAACCGTATTTGCGTCAGCCCGATGTGTCAGTACAGCTGCCATGACGGATTTCACACGCCGTGGCATATCGCACACTACGGAGGAATCGCACAGCGAGGAGTGAGTTTCAATCCCATGGCAAAACATTTTCACTTTGCTGACGTGATAAGCCTGGCCTCCTTATGGTTGAAGCTACAGCCGTTCAGGCCAATGGCCGTATTACGCCTGAAGATTCCGGAATTTGGCTTGATGCACATATGGAAACCCTTAAAAAACATGTGGATTTCGCCCATAGCCAAAACTCTTTGATTGGCATTCAATTATCACACGCTGGTCGGAAGGCTTCGACTGTCGCCCCTTGGCTACAGTCAACCGGTGTCGCCACAAAGGAGGTGTATGGGTGGCCAGACAATGTTTTCGGGCCAACCGATGTGCCGTTTAGCGAAGACACTCCTAAACCCAGAGCTATGACACTCGCTGATATCCAAGAGCTTCGAAAAGATTTCGTGTCCGGTGCGCAGCGCGCGATACGTGCTGGTTTTGATGTTATCGAGTTACACTTCGCGCATGGATACCTGGTATCAACATTTCTTACTCCTGCTGTCAACCAGCGCAGTGATAAGTACGGTGGGAGCTTTGAGAACCGTACGAGGCTGGCTCTTGAAATTGTTGAAGACCTAAGGGCCATCATGCCCAGCGGCATGCCTTTGTTTGTCCGTATTAGCGCTACCGACTGGCTGGCAGCTAACCCGGAATATCAAGGACCCAGCTGGAGTGTTGAAGACAGCGCCAAGCTGGCACTGCTGCTGGCTGAACGGGGGGTGGACGTCCTAGATGTGTCGAGTGGTGGTACCCATGTTTTACAAAAGCCTATCAGTGGCCCGGGTTACCAAGCTGGATTTGCGAAGCAGATCAAGGAAACCGTTGGTAACAAACTACTGGTCAGCTCCGTCGGCAACATCAAGACAGGGGAGCTGGCTGAGCAATTGATACTTGGTGGCAAGGATGCTAATGACACGCCCTTGGATCTTATTGCTGCGGCCCGCCCATTTCAGAAGAACCCTGGACTGGTTCTGGCTTGGGCAGATGATCTTGACGTCGCTATTTCTGTAGCACATCAAATCGGCTGGGGGTTCCGTGGAAGATCGAAAAAGACGAGTCAGAATGTTGTGTAAAATACTTGAAAAGTTGTGAACTAGAAGGATGTTTAGATTAGAGGATATCATAGGGAACTTAGTTAACACGGCATAACATGTTATAAGGATATGAAAAATAGCATATCATCAATCAACAGAGTGGCCAGATACCCCTTTGCCGACGAACCAGCCTCGGAGGACATTAATCCTGATAGGAGGGAGAATACGCATGGGTGTGGAGCGGGTGAACATATTTCCGAAGCTCCCCATGTCTATAGCTGGCTCGTCAGCTACTTTCTTTTGTAAATAAGAGAGAGGGGGGTAGCCCCTTTTTTTAATGCTCTCACGCTACAACTAAATTGTGAGATGTTACAGAATGTGCTTCCAACCACTGACAATATGAATCGATCGATCAAAGCCCTTCGGTTAAATCAATTTCGCACCCTTTACAGAACCTAATCAATCAGCGTAGCTACTATATGTTTCACTGATCGGCATTTAGTAAGCCATTAGATATTGGCGTAACGTTACTTGGTTTCGTTAGGGGCATTGCCTCAATGGACAACAACAGAGTAGAACGACCATGAACGGAGAATACTGTGTGAACCCAAGGTCACGAGAAATGACCAACCATAAATGCGATGTCATCTTATATCATCAATAAGCGGCCATAGTTGAGTGCAAAAGGGATAATGATCTCTAAGCAGGCTAACGAGCGGAGATAATTAATCACGTAGCGGTGCAAAGTGATCCGGGAATGACAATGGACGAAATCAATGGAAAAATCAAGGACAGAGCTTGTTACGGCTTCAAAAAGAAAAAAGAAGAAGATTTACTTAAGAATTGTTGATGGTTGCCTAGTGCCACCAGTTAGGCAGACGCCTGAAGTGCACGGTCCATACTTAATAGATAGCCTTCAGGGATCCCTCAGCCTCTGGTATAGTAGTCACTGCCCCAGTCAATATTGAGTAACCCGGTAATACTGAGTTCACACGCGTAGTGTAGAAACAGTTGTTTTAATGCAATGGGAGATGATAAGTAGCTGAAATAGAACATCGACAATCTGATTGGGATTGCTGATTGCGCCACAATTACTGATTAGATTTCCATAACAGCGACCCATTGATATTGAGAAACTGCACCGTACACTGTAACAGAGTAACTGCGTCCAGTAGAGGTGCAAGAGTCCAAAATCTTCGGTAAATTGGAAGACTGTTACTCGGCGGCGGTCCCCTAAGTTGTTCGGTTTCAGTCTTAACTACGTTTGATCGTTACTTTGGCCATGACGAGGTCTTTCGGCTTCGGTGGCAATCTGCCGTCTTGGATGTCAGATGCCGTTAGATTCAAAAGCAGCTGAGTTGGTAGCATTTGTCCTTAAGATCTATTTGAAACTTCCTTACTGAAATATACCCTAAGAGTAACGCTGGTTAGGTCGCTCCCTTGCACACTAAGTGATGACCTTTGGACGTAAGACCTGGTTTGTACCAGTTTTATTGTTAGGTGTATATCTTCTGATGCCAATAAATGGATAAAGGTCGATGTTCTAGTGGAAGTGGGCAACGATAGAGATATGGGTCCTTGTGGCACTTGATACGATGGTCCGGTTACTGATTAATAGCGATGAGATATCTTTTAAATCCACATTTGGAGGGATGCCTTCGGCATTGCACACAAGCATAAACAGCATATAACTATTCCTTTCACAAGGGTCCCCCTGACTCCGTGCGCACCGACATTGATCATGCCTGTCTAGTGTCATCATTCATTAGCTCGTTGATATTGAACATTTACCCACGCTGAAGAAGGGAATCGTGTTAAATGCCAAGAGATAAGCGTGACAGTGCTGACTCGTAGTTCATATGGTACTTTGGCTGTTCGATTGAATACAATGAAAACAGCCGCTACTTTGGTGCTCGGGGTATTGCTTAGTTCATATCTTATTGGTTCACGAGTCTTAGTCTCGGTCCTATATTTGAAAAGCGAGGATATTAAGTAAGGATGTCGAGAGGCGGATACTTGACGGTATGTACTCCGCGGTGTACTCTGACAAATCTTAAGATGAAGCTGATATAACGACTATGGAGGTGACTCAAGTAATCAGGGGGACAACTGTTAATTGAGGGGACTATTTAGAGTTACATGGTGAGGTGGAAGATGAAAAGGTTTTATGGAGTTGTGGCAATAAATAGAACGGTGAGAGTAGGAATTAATTGCTGCTGGAAAGTTTGTTTAATTAAGTTCGTGATGTTTCAAACCCGTTTCCTCTAGCCCTTTACGGTACATGTAACCGAGGGGGTTTGGCAAGTGAAGCTAAGCACGTATTTCACCGTTCCCTGTCCGTATTATGCAATTCTCCACATCATACTGAGACACTCTTAAAAATACGACTACCATAGCGGCATGATACATTAGCAAAGCTTACAACTCGTATTTTAGAACATCTTTTCACTTCAGTACAAGACTTGTTCAATGTCTATGGAGAGGAAGTACGACACGCAACCCCTAAGGCGCTTGAGTACTCAAAAGCCATAGAGTAACAACAAACAATGTCAGCACATGGTAAAATACCATAGTACTCCGGAAATAGATCATCAATGGCTCGACTCACCTGAGGCCCCTCCGAGTGTGCATGCATAACAAATGTTAAGGGTATCCGTGGTTCTCCAGATATTGTCACCAACAATGAGTAGAGCGTCTCAACGATTATCAATGGAAGTGTACGAGTCAATTGATTGAACATCCTCACAATAGGTGGTGAGCGTTTGCCCGGTGTTGAGCAACTGAAAAGTCATCCACTTTTCACTACACCAATTGCTTGGCTACAGCACTTGATCTGTGCTTTCACTAGCATTACCTAGGTCTAGCGATGTAGTATTTGTTTTGTTTAAATGGCAATCGGCCCGGTAAATATGGTGGAAAATGAACTGATGACAGTAATGGCAGCGTATGAAACAAAGTGCCAGTATTAAACGTACGCGCCTTACCATCAGATTAAGATTTGAACATATAATGGTTCTTTATATAAAGCTCAAGTCAACTCAAACGTCAATCTTAGGGAGAGGCATCATTATTCCAGCTGTTGATATTGCTCCTTGTTTTCACCAGCTTCTGTTCTTTCCTGCCAATTCCTTCACTACCCGTGTATCAACAATCAAATGCATTTTACAATCCCTTTCACGCTCCTCACGATTTGTGAAGCCGTCCTGGCAATGCCAACTTTCAATTTGGATATAAGTACACGGGCAAACAGTGGTTCTTACACTGTTTCGGGGCTAGGTTCTCGCAAGCAGGCGATTACGGCCGCGGGAGGAACAACTTTGGACATCGCCATTGCCATGCTCGAAACTGATACTATGACTGCAAACTACACTTATGGTACTTGACCCTCTCATCTTCGCAACCATCTTATCATTAACATACTTTCTAGGTGACGGCAAGACATACGACAGCGCCAACTTTGGTATAATGAAGCAGAATTGGGGAATGCTCCGGGAGTGTTCATCCCAGTTCAAGGGTGATTCGGTAGACAACTACAACGATGGTGCCGTCCTGAACTCCAACCTCGGCCAGGACGTCACTGCATGCCACGAATGCCAGAACTACTATGGAGTGGACAAATGGTTCCGCGGACACCGTAATGGTGCATCTGGACTGATGAACAGCGATACAACCGACATCAATAGTCAGTATTTCTTATATAATCGATAACTTTTGAACTTAGCTAACGCTCTGTCTAGACTATAAGGAAGCCGTATATTGGATTCAAAGCCAGATTCAGAGTAGCAGTAGCTTCCTGACCGATGATACTCGATTTTGGGTTGACGTGACTGCCATCTAAAGGCCAATTTTGACGGTTGTAGGCTCAACTGAGCTCTGGCGGAGGCGTAAAAGCCATGGAACAATATGGCATTTTGTCCCTTGACAGAAACATACATACATGACCGGCTTTCCCTATCTCATATTCCCAAGCCTGCCGGTAGACAACCGGCAGATTGACTAGCTGTCTCTTTTACTTCTCTTTGGTTCGTACATATATCTTTAAATGTACATAGAAACATTTTCATCAGAGGTAGCTCTGATATATATCGCTACTAAATTACTCGGAAGTGAAACATAGTCTTCCACGTTCGAACAGATCTACTTCAAACCTCTGAATAGTCAATAGTGGTTGTATTGCTTACGGAAGGAAATATCGTGATTTGTTTGATTACACCTTGGTTGTGTCGATGGTAGCTTCTAGGCCTTACCACGATTATTCTAGGGCTTCGGTTTCGTTTGCATTGAGGCGATTTGTAAGCTTTCAGCAAACCAACAAGCCTGTATTTCTTTTAAACTACGGTTTATCTCACGGTAATACATCAGCATTCACCTTTCAATCTAGTCTAGAAATTAAAGTGCATTCGCTACTCTTGGCCCATCATAGGGCTAACCGGAGGACACTACACGGTGCATCCTTCAATACAGTGTCACCCATGGGTCATAGACGTTCCATTGTGCTTGCCACAATATTTTCGGTCATATTCATTCTAAAATCATATGCCATGACATTGGATAAAAGTGGCATTTTGATGTTGTTCAGCAGCGCAAGGCAAGGCGTGAAAACAGACGTCGGACGGAGCCAAGACGCAATTGAACACTTCTACTGCACTGTGGATATGACCATTCGCCCTAAGCCAGTACGGTGCCAGACACGGAATAGCCACGCAGACAGGCTAATCGGAAAGACGAGCACAGCTCATGGCTAATGGGTAGCCAAGGGCATGTTCTTGTTACATGGCAACGCGTGATCCTTGGCAGCCTTGCTAGCGTCCATAGTCGCGCGCTTACAGTCTGCGACATGTACTTTACTGTCAATCTAGTCTTACGAATTTTCTTCCGACGATATTAACTTTAATAGTGAGATTTATAATATAATAGTGGATTATATAAGCGTTAACGGTAAAATCGAAGTTCGCCACACAAAAGCTAGCCCTTACGAAGCTCGTACGAATGGCGTGGGGAATAGAATTCCTAAGAGCAAGGCTATTATACACGGTAGTAATACGAACAGCACTCGCATACGGAGCGGCTACGTGGCACACTATCAGCGAGAGACCCGTAGGCCCGGTTAAAGCATTGGCAAGCTCTCAAAATGAGTGCTTACGGGCAATCTGCGGCGCGTACAAGGCTACACCAACGCAGCTACTTGAAGCCGAAGCAGCGATCCCACCGCTAGACATTTACTTAAGTGCTCAAGCGGCTAAGTTCGAACTACGGATTCGCAAGAAAAAGACCGACAAGCTAATACGTACCGCTTGCGCAAAGGCGGCGCATATACTACGAGAGGCGAAGCCGGTTAGGCGAAGAAAGCCGTTATCGCCCCCCTTACGCCCAGCAGCATACCCGATCGAGAAGTACGAACGAGCACTAAGACGGGCCGATAGACCAGATCTACGACTGGCTCTCTCTAGACACTGCCAGCAGTGTATATAAAGTGCTAGCGCTTCGCAAGATGACCGCCAACGCAAAGCACTAGCCGGTGAAGCCCCCGGAACTGGCCTAAAGCAGTATGAGAAGTTTAAGAGGAAAGAAGCCACGATAATCTTCCAGATCCGATCTAAACGAATTGGACTCGCAGCTTTCTTGTTTAGAATAGACGCGTTCGGGGCGTATACACCCCTTTGTCGCTGTGGCGAAGCCCCCGAAACGGTCGGACACGTATTCCTCCATTGCGGGCTATTAGAAGAGGCTCAAGCACGCCTATAGAGCTTTATAGCTCCGGTGAGGTTAGATACACGCCGCGACCTTGTCGCGGCTACGTTAATCCCGGAAGTGGCGAAGATTTTAGTCCGGTGGTTATTACAAACGGGGAGACTATCCTATATAGGGGATAGCTAGTCTTTTCAGGGGTAGTTTCGTTGGTTAGGTGAGAACTAACGTCGCATTATAGATACTATAACGTAGACGCCGCGAGGGCGTAAAGCACACGAAGCGTACGAGTTTCGTCCAGCCCTTAAGGCAAGGTTTACCGTACGGTGTAATTCGGAGAGGTACCGAGGGACTTAGAGTCCTACGGCGTATTTAATAATAATAATAAGCGTTAATCTACGGTATTAAAATGATAAGTCCTTTTAAGTGTTTAATCTTTATATTTATTTTCTTTGAATTCTTCGTTAAAATTAACTAATTATAAACTCTTTTATATTCTTTTATAATTTGATAATGTTACCCTCATTTTTAATATAACTAGTCGCTTATATTTCGGCTTATTTATAAGCTTTTTATTAAATACATACTTATTAACTTTTATTACCGTCCTTTATTTTATAATCTCGATTATAACGATTAACACCTTATATTTATTAAGAATTTAAGTAATTAAATCAAGTAAAGACTAAGTTAACGCCGATAATATTTTATAACTATTAAGTCCATTAATTCGAAGGATCGAATCGATTTAGTAACAGAACTTATAAGCTTTACGAAAGGCTAATCATAAAGCCTTTTATCGCCATACATATAAGAGTCAAAAAAGCTGCCTCGATATAAGGTATAGATGTTAGACTTTAGATAGCTATATCGGCTACGGTTTTGGCTTTATAAGGTAAGGGACTAACTTTAGGCGTTATAGGCTTGGTCGCGACTTTTGTAAATCGGGTTCGAGAGCACTTAAAAGAGCTTCGTTAATAGCTACGGAGGCGATCGTAAGCTCTTCGACTTATTATAAAGGTAATCCTTACACTAATTTATAACGAATACGGCTTTATACGTTGTCGGACAACGGATACTAGAATAGCCTAATGTTATATCTCGTTCAACTTTTCTTATTATAATAAAATAGCCCGTCAATCAACTATGTTCTTTCAATAGTAAAGGGAAATAGTTAACCTTAAGTTCTAAGCGTAGTCGGTTAAGTAGTTTATCGAAAGTTTAATGCCACTAAGCGTAAGTAGTAAAGTATAATGTAAGTTATATTCTTTTATTCCTTTATATAATCTTAGGAGCTTAATCATGATAAAGTGTATATCGAAAAAGCATGCCGCGTCTAAATATAAGTAGGAATAAGACGACTTTATGGCACCCACAAGTTTAGGATATGTTTTTGAATGAACGATCCGCCCAGCAACTACACCTGCACTTTGCGCCCGATCGCGGTATGTGCAGCGTGATGAGGAGAAATGCAGTATCAAGTGCGGAGTAATGCCACTCACGGCTGTACCCGATCTAAGCCACACGAAGACGTGTAAAATGTCATGATCTTACAAACTCCTGTACTCGTTTTATACGCAACGCCATTCATTTAGCGTCTAGGTTAGACCATTTATAGCACACTAGCTCTGGGCTACACCATTACCATGGAACGGGCCCAAGGACTTCTGTCCGCTATCTGGCCACTTATCGTTACTGTTCTAAGCCTTTTGACAGCCCTGATCATCCAACGCACACCTTCAGCAATTATCGGAAAACCTCACCAACCGCATACAAACTAGACCCAACCGACACATCACCCTTCACATCCGAGGTATACTAACAGAGAAACCCGATGATGAGGTACGAAAAGACCTCCAGACAATCGCTGCGACTGATCCGACTTTGGAAAGGGTCGTTAGCACCCTCAGCCGAATCACCTCGGTGATTAATTGCACGATACTTGGGCTGCATTCGAGGCTGATCAGAGCCCGCAGAGTTGATAGACTGCTCTAGCTGGTTCTGATCCCTCTAGATTGAATACTGGCGGGTCATCATGATTGTAGGTAGAAGGTGATGGTATGTTTGACTTTAGTGTGAATCTTAGGAAGGAGGGAGAGTTTCCTCGGCATTCTGGAGCTGGACAAGGGCCTTTATTGTTCGGCCGGCCATAGCCCAAGCTGTAGACGGTGCATTGTCCTCCAACTGAGTTGCGTTTGTGCAAGTCTCTTCGCTTGTGAGCTATGTAGAGTTACCTAGCAGATTGGTTCTGCTCCCTCGGAATTCTCTTAGAGGTGATTACGAGGAAGTTACGGTACCCAGACGAGCTGTCTCGATCAGCACTGCCACAACACATGCATTTTGCCCTCGTACGGATGGTCTAGTAAGCCATCGCTTTTAAGAGACGCACTCCTGCACCGAAACGTCTCATACGGACGACTTGCTTCTTCAGTACCATTACATGGACCCCCTCCTCCTGGGCATGTCTGTATGATATCCTATAGAGTCACCGCTGGTTGATGAGATTTCGGTTAGCATTGCGCCCACCTATTGAGCCCTCTTCACTGTACAACTTCCTAGCTAGCTACTGCTATTAAATAGATCCCTTTCTGTCGGACTCCCTGTCTGGATGACTTCCTAGGAAGTCATCGCTGCTTCATATAGCGTTCATAAGCCTCATCAGGCTTAGAGTGCCCATTAAATTACTACGATCACCCCTCCTAATAGTTCATTTATGCAAGCCTCTGATTATGGCAATGGTGTCAAATTCAGGCATCCTAAAGAACAGAGCGCTACTCCTCGAACAGGAGCTGATGAAAACCAGGAACCTGAATGCATAATTGCACGTTCGCGGCATCCTTCTCTTATGCTAGGTGTTTAGGAGGATAAGCTTATAGTCGCTAGCGTTTTCAGAGCCCTAACCAATCTGTTATAGCATCCAGTTTAAAATCTACTTTGGTAGGGTATAAGCTGATATTATGTACCTCTCTCGGGGGTAATGTGCATCAGTCAGATTTTTTGATCTGTGTACAAAATCATCTATCCATGCATAAATCCTCTAAGCAAAACGGTCAACTTGATATGCAGTTACATTGTTGTACGGAGCTTACATCGTTTAGTGGAGGCATCTTGTTCTGAAGCATCACTTTTAGATTCCACGGTTCCTTCGCTGATGGGTAAAATCGATGATTAAATTGACTGCTAAGGTAATGACTGTCCATGTAGAATAGGAAGTACCGTCTTTACTAAACCTATTTATTCGCCCCACTGTCCCCTATGATTCGGCATGATCCTTTCCTCCTGGTTTATCTTGGATCACCTCATTTCTAGTGCTCCTTAACGATCTACCACGTGGCCTATGGTCTTTATTCCAAACATTGGTCCTCCCAATCGAAGAGTTATTAAGTTTCAATATTTCCATTCTCTCGGTCCGAGCCCCGGGCCTCGCACGGTTGGATATTTGGAAGGTGAGCGCAGCCTTGCTTTGTTGGTAGACTCCTCACGAATGAAACTTTAGCATTTAATTGGAGTTGACCAAACTCATCCTAGATATTGGATTTCTCAAGTAGCGTTGCTCCGAACGATTCAAATTGAAGAACTCCCTGGCATGGTTTGTCTTGCACTTCCCCATTTTCGAGCATGATAACGAACAATCGTTTTAGTTGTTGCAGCCTAACTAGGCTAGGATATGCATCTGGGTCAATAGGAAGGTTACCGGGTAGTCTTTTGAGTTCATCCCATTGATAAAAGTAGATAGCAAGAGATTCTGTTTTGTTGAAAAATACGCAATGGAGAAACATAAACGTCCCAAAGCTTCTTGATTGCATGGCAAGATGGACAACGTCGTCTGATGGGCTGACGTAAATCGTAGGTGACTCATTCGAAGCCACTTTGTTGTTGCGGCCACATCCGAGCTGCATGTAAGCACCTCGACGTCCCCCGCTGAAATGGAATACCAGGTCCAGTAACCCGGTGAAAACGGATGACTGGAGTATTATCGGTAGAGACTCGCTCTGAAGGCGCGCGTGAGTAACTCGATTGACACTACCGCAACGTATATGGCCATTTGTCTGACGTCGTGGACTTATGGGCGTCGAGACCTATGCTTGCAGAACATACCGCACGTACAAGAATGACAGATCACGCCGCCTTCGAAACTGCCCGCGATCATGCCTGATTGAGTTGGTGCTATTGGAATGGCGTTGGAGGCTTTTATTTTTCAGAAGGAATTGAGTCAGTTCAAAAGAAGTCACGAAAGACCGCAGTTTATCATCATGGCGGATAGGGTATGAGGTTCGAGCATACATCGACTGATCTATTGCCGCTTTTTTTAGGCATTGTTCAGTAGCATTGTTACGTGGCTTTATTTCTCAGAATCTGGCAATTACTTTGTTCTCCCAAAATAGACAGGTTTATTGATGGAAGTTATGGGAGCCAATTCACGATGAAACATATAGGTGGTGCCCCGTCGAGATTGCTCTGCTTATTCAGACATTGTTTCTTCAATCCAGGTCCCGCCGTTTAGTGCTTATTTTCGTGTTTTTAGAATTTTGAGATCAATATTAGATTATCTGAATGACAATATCTGTCCGATCCTTAGACATGAGACCCCCTCATATTAACTGATGATGAAACGAGTTTTTCTAAGGTTTGAATTCCTCTATTTCCTCGCGTACGCCAGTCTTAGGGGTTAAATAAGGTAACCTGGCTGTTATCGACTGTTGACAGATCTCCGATGCGGATACTTCCGGGCCGTGAGTAAATCATGACATGCAAGCAGAGGCAGAGTTAGCTTGTGCTGAGGCGTGCAGCTGTAGGTTACGTTGGATGAAAGCAATCATGTCTTGCTGTCATCGTTATTCGGCATGTTTTGAACTGGCAGATAGTGGAAATAATGCAACATCTGCGGAGCAGAATCGGCACCAGCGCTCAAAGTATCACTGCGGTCTCACGCTGGAACTGGACGAATAAGAACCAGTCTTTCTACTTGAACTTCATAGATTCGTGTTTACTTCGAGCACAAAACGAACCACGTAGTACAATAGAAGGTTATCCTCAACGCCTCCAGAGCCTGCTAGCTGGGGCATGGCATCGAGCGCCTCATTAGTTTTGAGCAGCAGAAAGTAAAGTGAATAGCGTTTTCTGATCTCAATTATTTCCCTGAGCAAATATAGATCACTTGCTGGCGTCCCGTACAGAAAGGATCAAGATTCGTACGATGTTTTATACGGTGTTTAAGGGTTTTCTGTTCGGGGGATAGAAGCACTAACGAAATGGTGTCTGTTATAAATTTATTGTAGAGAAAGCATTCCCACTTCCTGTTCTCAGTCTTTGGGAGGAAACAGGCCGGAGCACTGAACGTAAATTGTGCGATGATGGAGTGCCATTCATTGGCTACAAGAACAGGGAGTGGAGGTGTCGTAGATCACAGGCTGGACAGGCGTATTGGGTTGCTCTAATGACAGCGGTCCGGAGTGCCTTCTTGCTTCCAGCTGATTCCTGGTGTTGGCATCAGGGTAGGGTGGGGATAAGCTAGGGAACGGACGTTTAGGACAGACAAATTGGTGACGCCGAAAGATAAACAACGAGGGAATAGATTTTAACATTATGACCTATTGTGTACCACTAGTGTGATTGAATGTTTGAAGTCAACACATTCTTTTTTTATTGTGGAAATTTTGGGAACCCAGTAATCTTGTGAGGCGGAGGCTTCTTCGGTGGAGAGACTCAAGATTTCCATGGCAGAGAGTGCTAAGCCGATGCCAGTGCAAGTAGCGGAGTCTGTAATGGGGCGAAGAAGACACCGAGTGGTGGTGTTCCTGTTTGTGCCAGTTGTACAGATGGTGGTGGATCCCGAGCTGATGAGGGAAATGTCGAGAATGGAAGCATATTTAACTAGATTCTGGGACGACTGGGAGAAGGAAGCAGGTCGCGTGCAGTCGGGAATGGATAGTACGTTACAAGGTTAATTGAAGGCAGTCGTACCTGCGATAAAGCAGGAAACAGAGAAGCAAAATGAATAAATCATAAGTGAGCGGCGGGAGCTAAGCTGCAGGTTCGAACTTATCTGAAGTCGGCCTTCGATATGTAAATTTACTTCTCTGTATTGGGATAGCTTAACCACTTCCATTACCAGCCTCAGCCTATATCGGATTCCATGTGAATTTCAAGCGCCACTGAAGACTTTCCAACTTGTGAGCGCCAGGATACATGCTGCGTGCCAAGATTATGACAGTGTATCTGACTCTGATATATCAACTTCAGCTCACAGTTAACAACCATACTGCTACGCTTAAGTCTTCATACTTAGCCCCGTGAGTTTACTGGGATGTTCCTAGCAAGATAGTTGTGCCATTTAGGCAGTGTCCTCTTGTACTGCGTCCCCGACTTCAACTGCAAATCCTCAATGGCGCTTCCCCACGCGACCAGTTCAGCCTCCGCCCAAGCCGTCTGCATAATGGAAAGCCCAAACGGCATGCCAGTGCCGGAGTGAATACCCACCGGCAGCGTGATCATAGGATAGCCGGCTTGCGCCGCAACCTGGTATGTCTGTCCGACTACAGATGGTACCAGCAGCCCCGCCAGATTGGTTCCGTTGTGTTTGAGCGCAAAGTCGATTCCGTTGCGGGTCGATGTCTGGACGAACTCCAGAGCCTGCCAGTAGGTCTCGTCCTGGACACCCTTGGTAGCTGCTGAATTCAAGAAACCATCCTGTCCGGAACTGAAGGCTGCCATTCCAGTTTGGTGTCCGGACTGGTTGCCATATGCATAGCCACCCTCCGTGCCGTCGTTGGCGTAGTTGTAGGCAATGATGTCTTCCAGCGACCGCATATCGGTATTTTCAAGCTCGGAAAGGTAGGTTTTAATGTTGTTGTAGAAGTCGACCTTGATGACTGTGTATTCACTCTCGTTGGGGTAACCACGGGTGGTGCCCCAATCCCAGTTCCATGTGGTATTACTGATAATGTTCTCGTTGTCGAGGATCTCCGTATTGTTAATGATCGTAGCGCCGGCCGCTTGAATCATGGAGACGACTTCGAGCAGCTGGGTCTGCTCTTCGATCGTAGCATATACCCAGAAGCTCTTCCAGGGAAGGCCAAAAGCAGCGCCTTTCAAGTTTTCGCAATTGGTAGTCAGATACTGTGCATAGCCGCCATTTGGGGTCTTGCCCTGCTGAGCTGAGGTATAGTTGTCACGGGAGTCAATACCATAGATTCCATCAAGCGCATAGACGGCGTCGCGAACAGTCCGTGCAAAAGTGCCTACAGTATCCTGGTGCTCACTTTCGGGTACAACACTAAGCTATAGTTAGCATAGCGTACCAGACTGTGTCTGAGTAACAGAGATATACCCGTTTCTGGAGGTTAGCCCCACGGTAGGTTTGAATCCGACAATACCAGCACGCTCGGCAGGACTAATGACTGTTATACTTCAGCAGATAGCCAAAAATTCGAACATCTACAATGACTTACCACTACCATCAGTCTCAGTGCCAAGTGAAAAGGCAATAGCATTAATCGAGACACCAACCGCACTACCCGAGCTGCTACCGCCCGGATTCCTCGTGAGGTTGTACGCGCTTCGGCACTGTCCGCCTCTGGCTGAGTAGCCCTCAGAATAGTGGTTGCTACGCATGTCGGCCCACTCACTCAGTGCCGACTTGCCAAACAATATGGCACCCGCCTCGCGGAGGCGCTTGACTACAAATGCATCCCGCGGCACGATGCTTCCGAGGAGCGCCCAGCTACCAGCTGTGGTTTCCATGTTGTCTTTAGTAGCGATGTTGTCCTTGACCGTAAAGGGAATGCCGTGCAGAGGCCCACGCACTTTGCCTGCGGCGCGCTCGGCGTCCATCTGGGCCGCGGTGGCGAGAGCATCTGGGTTTATCTGCAGTAGAGCGCTATAGGACATCCGTTAGCTCTGACATACTCCTTCTTTCTCTTGAGGGTGATATAGATGGCTTACTTGGCGTACTCCTCCGTCTGATAGTTCCGGAGCATGTAGCATATGACCAGCTGCAGTGAGGTCAAAGTACCGGCGGCCATGGCTGCTTGCATTTCATCAATGGTTGCTTCCTCCAGTTCAAAGTCACCACACTTCGGCATAGGGAAGAAGGAGGTAGTGTCCGCATTAGCAGCTGAAGGAAAGAGTGATGGCGTCAGGGCCAGATCAAGACTGACGACTGTGTCTGCAGACACAAGACTCACTAAGCAAGTTACTAGTACAGAAGAGGTGCGCATGTTGTTGTTAAAACTAGCGATGGTAGCTAGCTGTGATTTGACATATTAATAGCTGCACCGATGCAATTTATACTGGTCTTAAATCCTTGGGGCATTCGGGTCGCTTAGGTCAATACACATGATAGGATGATAAGTCCTCTACATAACCCAGCAGACCCCAGAGGACAACTGTCTTACAGGGCTGACACTTTAGTGCTTCGGAGTGAAACATAATGTATTTGTCTAGTTTCAACTTCAGATTATCTGGATTTATTGGATTTAAGGTTAATGACTTAGGTTTTTTCTTTTTACTCTTGTTTCGTTGTTAAAATTCGAACTAGTACTTAAATAATTTAAATGGTCATTTTCAAGTTGCCATACTAACAAATGACATTTTTGGTATTCTTTCATTGATTGATGCATTAATTTATTAACATTATGAATTTCTTGAAACTCAAAAATAATTAAGTTTTTCGTCTGAATGAAACTCGTTTGTTTGGGATCAACTCAAAAATAAAGCTTAAGATTGAGTTTTGTATTTGTCTTTCACCTTTGAAGTCGCTTGGAGACGAAAAGAATGGCGTATTTGAGTTCACTGAAACTCAGAAGTCAATCTCAATCATAACTCCGGTTGCACAGCCAAGCGGTCTGGCAGATGTTGGGTTTTCAAGGATCAATACAGTCAAATACCGCTGTTTGTGGCAGCGGTAAACGGATACGAAGCGGTGGTAAAGTATACGCGTAAACAATGCAGTGAATCCAAACTCTAAGGACAGTTACGGTTGGACATCACTGTCACGGGCTCTTGTAATTCACCGATCCAATTGCGGTCAAGTTCTTCGACAGAACTGAGAAGCGCACGGGACTTCACTCTATAGGCTATGAATTCTTTCCGCGGGCCATGGCAGTAATCGACAGAAATCATATATGGAGACATGGCAATACCGGCGTCAACAAGCTCATTAACTATCTGTGCAAGTCGATTTTCGACCGTTGTCTAGAATATATCAGTTGATGTGAGATTAGAAGCACTTAATGGTGTGCTTACTGTTGGATGTGTAGGGTAGTCGCAGTCGAGAATTGTTTCAGGTTCCTTGCATCAGAAAAATATGCATAGATCTTTCCGGGAGCTACAGAGCGAGAGTGAGATGAATTCAACACTTTCATCAGTCTTTGGATCCAGCCGAGGGTCATTATTAATGTGAATATGAAGATGAAAGATTGGAGGTAAGTCGTTTCGAATGAATGCATCGTCTCGAACTGATCTATGTGAAGTGACTTCTCCAGACTTCGAGGTGTCGGTATGGCAGGTCACGGCGCCTGGCTATATAAGAGACCCCCTCTGCCCCCTGTCACATTTGTTTCCCCGTACCACGCAGGTTTGATTGTAATGCTTACTTTGTTGGCGATGAGACTTTAGGATAAATATTCCTAGGCATGTACATCAAGACACAAAGGTTGAAACGACCCGGTCTTCGAATTAGATCATATCTTGAAGTAAAGACGTAGTGAATCAGAAAAGAAGGCCATCCTTAGCTCGCAAAGTCTTAATCGTCGCAAACAAGATCTTTGACATTGCCTGTTCCCATCACACAAGTACCAAAAGACAAAATGACATTCGGATAGTGGTGATATAATTTGTTACTCTACCACAATCTGTAAGAGCTCCGTGAGTTTACAGTGACCCATCATTGCCCATTTCTACAGGTTATCCTGCACACAGTAGCCGTGACTTGTATCTTGAAGTCCGGTCATGAGACTTTCGGTGAAGCCGAGCCCGGTTCCTCGAAATGCTCGTTGAAATTGATCAATCAATTCTGTGGTACCGGGACTTTGGGGAAGGACAGTCCGAGATTTGGAAATTCCGGCCTGAAGAAGAGTGGACCTGAAGGAGATACCTGCGAAGTAATCTAATCACGGTATGCCGTCATACTTTTCTTAGATTAAAGTGGACATTTGCATTACAGGGGATTGTTGACACGGTTCAAGACGGGCGGTGGACTTTCCCTGATTCGTCGTGATTGCGGCGTCTTGATGTGCAAAGAAAAACTGTGCAGCCGCAAGCGCGGAAGTTATAGGACCTGGCGCCAGTCAAGAAACTTTAGGGGTTTCTCTACCCACATTGGGTACTAATTAGGGTGTGAACAAGCACTGCCAGGTTGAAATCGAGCATCAGTATTATGAGTAAGATATGATGGGGTAGAGGAGGATAAGTCCCATCATTTCCACCGTCCATGACTTCAAGCCTGAACTTCTACGACGGCTTTGCTATATGTACAGACAAAGTACTATTCAACATAATATGGAGCACGGAGGCTTTTAACGAGAAGGCGACTCAACAACAGCGTACTGCTGTATTGGCACTGGCAATTGAGGAACTCCCCGATCCAGGTACGAGTATCTTGGACTCAACTGCCCTCTAGTCAACTGGGGCTCAACACTGGAGAAGTCGCATCTTGTTGGCTCGCTTGCATTGCGCTCCATGTCAGAGGCAGAAAGGAATGGTAAGCTTACAGAGCACCTAGCCTTGTTGAGGGGAACATATGTCAACTAAAATTCGTATCAATATACAAGATCTATGATGTTTCAAGCCGTATTTGGGTATCTCTAAAGCAACGTTCTATCCGTTGACTCCTCTGAACATGCATCTTTCTAGTACGTGCTTTTTGCCTCTCCACGACGAACTTATTCCCCTTGAAACACTTTGTCCCTCGAAGGAGGCACCAGAAGCGACCAGCGCTAAGATGGGCAGATTGGAGCAATAACGCTATCTCCAGCCCCGCTCAGGCGTGGGTAGAGCGAATGCCACCGTGCCCGTCTTGACTTCGTCGTTGTGCGTTGTAGGAGAGTATGATAAAACGCTTTCAACATCGCTGCATAGCTCGATATCACTTTCCCAAGGCTGAAGAGCGGTTTGAAGTGATGCGGCGTTGTCCGATAAATCTTCGTACTTGTTTCTCCTTGCAGACCTTGATCCTGAGTGCGGTGTGAATGTATTGGTTGTGGTGGACTTCTGGTTCGTGCCGAACACAGATGGAATAAGTTTTGCGAATATCATCTTCACAGTAGGCAAACATAGCACGACGACCGTTACTTTCACCTGGAGCGAAGTCCAAATGACGAGATTGATATAATCCCACGTTGGATTCAAGGACTTGGCGAACTGCGTCAAATAGTGGAGGCGGAAGCAGCTGGCAAGCACCACGAAGATACCCACACTGAACATGAACAACGTTAAAAGGCGCTTTCTTCGCGGCATGTTGAGTTGTGCAATAATCGGTAGTGGCAGGATGAGGATGGTAACGTCTTGAGCGATGCCCATACCGGCGGCAGCATAAGCGAGCACGTTGGTGTCAAAGCACTTGTGCTCGCCAAAGTTCCCAAAGACTCCTTCCCAGTTGTAGTTGATCGGCCAACATTGGAATAGTATTATTAGGATAATAGTCACTACCGATAGTACCACCCATCCCATGACCGCCCACCATATGATCCGAAATTTGGGAACGGAGAACACTCGGATTAGGAAGAAAAGCAGGCTTACTCGATAGAGTGCGAGGACTGCGGTTTAGAAGAGCTCATCAAGAAAGAAGAGCTAGGTTGGTATCAGCGAAAGTAACTTGGACTCGGACATTGAGGCATGAAATCGTACCATTACAGCAACTTTGATCGTGGACACATCAAGATCCGAAACATTGTAGCCGATTGCCGTGAATCGGACTGAAGCTAGATATTAGCCCTTGAAGACACAGATTGAGCACCAGGACTGAGTGACTTACCATAGTTGCCGAGAACTATGAAGGTCAGAAAGAAGAACAGCAAGACAAAGATGATCAAATCGTCTATCTCTACCTTACCAATCATCATAGGCCTAAAGACCAATCTTACCAGCAAGTAAATCAATGACACAGCATCGAGGACAAGAAATGGAGGTCCGCACCAAAGGACGAGAAGCAATCGTGGGCTGTATTGATTGCGTACTTGTTGCTTCCCTTCGCGTAGTCGTGTTCTCCATGGCAGTATCTTGTTCTAGTACTTGGCATTGCTCCAGGATTTTCACACATTCATGAGCTTTTTTGAGCTCGCCAAAGGCTTCATCGAAGTTGCCTAAGTAATTTGAACGAACGTTCTGACGAGCGGACGAACCAATGTCCAGGCAGATGGCACAGCTGCGTACCCGTCCATGCCACGTGGCCACCCAGCCCTGTGGACCCGGGCCCCTAGCTGAACTAGAAACGCTTAGAATCATGGCCTGCCCAGCGCAGGAGTGTCGTATCGATAAGTGTGAGCTTACTTTTCTCCACGTCCACAAAATGACTCCGCATTCAGCGGGATCCACAGCAGCTGCTTACACATTGACCAGAACAGCATATAACGTTGTGTTCGAGGCGTGCTATTCTTTGCTGTTGTGCCTATAATCTTGCTTCTTGTTAATCAAACCTAACTTTCTGCTCCATTATGTTTATAGGACCTAATATTGCATAGCGCAATACAACATGTCCGGCTAGTGCCTATAATTCATTTGGGTCTAGGTCAGCGTTGACAGAGAAGGGCCGTGCTCTGTACGAACAACCTCGGGCGTAGCGAGACGACGATCCACTATGCCTTGTAAGAATGTTTTCGCCGAGAGGATGACGAGCATGGGAGCTGGTTGGTAGTCGAGAAGGGGGAAGCGGTCTTTAACAGTAGACCGGCGCCTTCGACTTCGGGAGAGCTCTTCAGCCTTGGTCGGCGGCAGCTCTGGCTGTATGCGATGAGGCACTTTGCCCAGGTAGCGGCCCCGTTGACCAGCTCAGAGGAATGGCGCTTGGCCTATGTCGGACCAGAAAGAGCCGACGATAGCGTCCTATGCAGCTTTGCTTCTCTGGCCTAACGGTTAGGATTTCGAAACGATTACATTCTACACTTTAAGCAAAGGTCTCTAGATAGGGAGATTATACGTATGGACTTGTTATAGGCACGGAAATGTGTAATTTTAAAGCGGCGGAGGCCATATAAGGTGAAATTCTTGTCGTTAATAATACGGGGCCAGATTTAGCGGAATTACTTTATAGTCGGTCAAACCATTTTAGTTCATTACGGAGAGCGCTTAAGATATTTAAAAAAGTATTATAAACGCGTTTTGAATAGTAATGGTTTCTGCTCTTATTAGATAGCATTTCTCGCTAGACGACGTAAACTAACGACCTTAGGACATCGTAATTAGCTCTTCGTTAAGTGCATACTATAAGGCTTACTAGCCCCACCCTAAGTACGCCTTACGTCGTAATAAGGCGTTTCCTTAGACTTACGCGGTCGGCTTCTAATTATTTATCTTTTAACATGGATAAATAGTAGTTAACCTAATTATATAAGCGTAAATTTAAGGCTAATAGCTATTAGGAGGCTTTTAAACTTGTTCGGCACTTTCTAAAGGGCTCTTAAAGTGTTTAATTAGCCCTTATAAGAGCAAAAATCCCGAAACCACTTTCTTAACACGTTAACTCTTCGAAGCACGTTTTCACCCGTTTAAAACTCTTTACAAACGTTTTATAATGCCCGCTACCTTTAATTAACCTTAGCCCCGCTACTTAAATCGATTGATTTTAACTAAGCCTCTTATATTCTAATAATATTAAACTTAAATATTAAACCAGGACCGCTGTCTTGTCCCTTGGTTATAAGCCTCGCAACGAACTCGCTAGTTCACTCGTGGACTGATCACTAAGTAATGAATGGAAAGGATGAACTTGGTGACTAAAATAGTATTAATTAGCGACAACGAGCCATTCTCGTTGTCTTCCGAATGCACTACTACAAAAACCAACAACTTAACTGTGCAAGGAGTGAAAAGCATGCCCTAAGAGACTATCTGCAAGTTCCATCCCTTAGTCCTTATATTGATCAGGCCGTGAACAACTCCGACGAAGGTCGTACGACCTACTTAGCCCCCTTGCTATAATGGTACAGCAAACACTCACTACTTCAATATAAAGTGGAAGAAAGGAAACAATCCCTTCCTTTAATTATATAATATTACTAAATACGGCAAAACGATCCTTACGTTTATTATAATCGAATATCTCTAAAATAACCGAACTTTCCATTTACTTTTACTTTAACTTTACTAATAATCGGAAATAGTTGTTCAAAAACACTATCCGCTCTCTTACCAATCAAATATACTATTAAAATGAAAATGCTTAAAAAGTACTTGAATTCACTTTATTCGGCTTGTCGAGATGGAAAGGACTAGCCGAGCACTAATTCTCTAGGTAAGACGTTTACTAATATAATCTATAATGTTAGTAAAGTATAGGCTATACTTAACGCACTCGACGTACTCGACGAATGCACGCCGCGGAACGAATTGTTACCATGGATACGAAGTCTTGTTTAGAGGTCTTAATCCTAGACGAATGTCCACCTCTTTGTTACTAGTCGACCCGAACAAGACATTAAGTCAGCTATTAAACGCTATGTTAATGACGCGTAAATGGTCGCCATTTAAAAGGACTTGCTAGAAGCCGATATACACAACTACGTGTATATAAGAGTTAGAGAAAAGGAGGGTTTAAGTCGATGGCGAGGACGATCGGATATTTTAGACAAAATCGAAGCTAGTCTCTTAGAGAAAGCCGATAGAATATAAGAGATCTGATTTTCAAATTCTCATAAGGTTATGCTAATATTGCCTAGGTTTTAGTGGGTTTCGTGCCAGCTTAACGCATTAGAAGATTGCTTAGAAGATTGCTTAGAACAGAAATCTTTACTAAAAGCACTTAAAGATCTTCCGAAAACACTCAACGAGACGTATGCACGGATCTTGGCCAATATAACTTTAACGCATGTACATCATACGCGACGGATCTTGCAATTCCTAGCATACTGAGAACAGCCCCTACGGCTAAACGAGGCAGTTAATGCGATTACAGTGGATACCGGAGACGATGTGGCCACGGGATCTCGAATTTGACCCGCAAGACAGGTTGCCGGTTCCGCAAGAGATTACCTGATACTGTTCGAGTCTAATCATTCTCGTCCGAAGAGAGGGCAGATACAACGAAGAAGGGATAATAGAAGAGATTCAACTAGCGCACTTCTTAGTACAAGATTATCCTGGATCATTACGATCCTGAGTATTGGAACGCCCCTTATTGCTCTTACTGCCAAGGCCAGAAGTCCGTCGACCAAGAACAACCCATGTTTCGCATTGAATAGATTCTTAATCTTCGGTAACGCTCCGCTACAGACCTCCAAGCGGTGTAGGTTCCATCCCTTACCTTGCTAAACCTCAGCCAGGTCAGCAATGGGCTGAGTCAAGCTTTTCTTCCTCATCGGTCTAAAAGTGCCCCTCGTCATAAGCCAAAAACAGCTAGACTGCTGATCACAGATGTACGACATAACAGTCTTTCCACACATCCGTAACATCTCATCGCTAGTCAATTCAAAATGATGTGCTGTCTGTTTATGGACCCTTGCACGCAGGATCCCAGCGTTTGTGTACTCACGATCTCGTTCAAGATGATTATAAGTATATGATCTACGTCTTCCTCTGTTATAAAAGTCAATACTTAGATGAATTGCGGACATGTTTGGGTAGCAAGGAGACACATCGAACAAGACTGTGAAAATCCTGAAGCTTCGCATTTACAGCATAATTCCAGAACGCCGTGCAAGCAATTAACCTCAATATAAATTGCACAGAATACAATAAACCTCCCCATGTTCCCTATTCGCTAAGAAGCTACTAGGGAGATCAAGTCCATAGATGGAATCCAGGGGTCGTGCTTATATACAAGAAAATAGCCCTAGGTTTTGGAGCTACGGCGCGGAAGCAATCGTCACGACCATGAGTCTAGGTACTCTTTCAAAAATCGGTAATCGTGAGACGTTGTTCCTTTACAATTACCTGATGGTGTTACCTTAGGTAGACAATTGCACATCTTCATGCATGAGCATTCCAACAATGGTTCTGCATATGAAATATTTATGTAGATGCTTTTCTAAGCATGAATCTTGCATAAAAATGGCGACATCGTCAGCTCTTTCCCTGCGATCTTATCTGAGTCGCCTATCATCCCCAGTCTCAGTCAGGTGGTCTTTTGATTGGGTCTAGAGCTCCGCTTGAATCCAATCAAGATGTCCATGCAGGAACGAAACACTGTCGAACAAGATACTGGTCGTTCGAACCATTCGGTACCTCAGTCAATATGTAGTTCCAGGACGCCGCGAATCCGCCAGCACTCCATGAGGTCCAGCCAAGGTAAACATCGTTGTTTTGACTTTAGATCGATTAACACTAGCGCTAAGAAGTCGAATTTGAAACACGAAGCTTACTTGATATAAGCAAGCTGCTGACACATGTAAGTGCCGCAACTTGCAACGTTCCCACCACCTGTTTCACTGAGGAATGCCTGGCGCCTATTCGTGCGGAGCCATGTGGCCAAAGGTGCAAATGTTGCGTCAATGTTGTCGGTGACACACTCCACATGCGACCCGCTGTTGTCTGAATCCAAGTATTTGTGCATATCGAATATCAAATTAGTAGTCGTACCATCGGGGTTTGTAACGGCCATGAGCGCCGCGCCTGAGCCGTTGCTGATGAAATTACCAGCGGAAGTATAGTCCGTTCCCGGCAACAGGATCATCTGGGACGTGGCGCCCGCACCACGTATGGCAGCCACAACCTTCTGCACTGTAGCGACCCAGGTCGAAAGCATAAGGTCGTGCGGTTCGTTCATGATGCCGAAGACGACACGGCTCTGGTACTTGTACTTGGTCGCCAGCTGGGTCCACAGATTCACAAACTGGTCATCCGTCGGCCCACCCTGTCCAATGATTCCAGACTCCCAACGGGCATAATTGTGAATGTCGATAATACAATGGGAACCAGTCGCTAGACAGCCCTGGACTAGCGTGTCATACTTGCCGAAGTTGGTCAAGTCGAGAGTACCACCAAGATTACCAGCAAGAAGGAATTGCCAGCCAGTTGGCAAGCGAAAAATGTTGAATTTATCATCGTTGACGAAATGCTTGATCTGTGTGACACCATCAACTGACTCGTCCACAACCTGGGACAGATCTTGCACGCCGGTTGTGGCCATGCCAAAATCAAACCCGGCGATGTTCACTCCGGCAAAGTTGACTTTTCCTGACGACGAGGTGCTTGTCGACGAAGCTGCACTTGATGTAGTAGTGGTCTGACTGGTAGTTGTGGATACTTCGATTCTTGAGCTTCTCTTGTCCATTAATCAGAAGGCGAACACACTAACCGCCGCCCGTTACGCATTGCGAATAATAGTCGTTGACTTTGCTGCAGATGTAACCCGCTACGCAAGTCGTCGAGCCGGTCCAGCCAATGCCTCCACCTGCTCATTGTTAGATACGAGGAAAATTTGCCTAATGAAACGTCCTCTACTGACATTGACCCCAAGCTGATTGCTGGGCCAGCGACCCGCCGGCCAGGGCAAGAACTGCCATAACGATCGACTTTGCATTGCCCATTAGAACAACCATATATTCCCCGTAGGTATTTGTTGTATCAATCTGATGGCTAAGCAAGACTTTTCATGCCCGAATTCAACTTCAATGTTAAAATGCTGCCTTTTGCGTTGGCCTGGATGCTTATCGTGAAGCGATATATCGCTGATCTCGGACACCAAACATCTACCATAGATGTATAAAAACCTCGGAAGAAATTTCGTATCGTTTCCGCCAATTGATGCGTTATACTCACGATACATGTAGCTATATTCAGCTCTCCTGGACATCGGTCCGATTGATATCGGAAGAGCAGCCTCCGCAGCCACCATGGTGCTCAGCATTAAAGACCCTAAGGACGTTCCGTGCCACAAACGGAATGGAATTCCCTAGCTACTTATTAAGAACGGCATTGCAATACCCGCCCTAGAATAGGTTTGTCGTAGAAATAATCAAGTCTAGGCGTCCCTGAGGATTTGGGACGAGGCGGGACCCCGCAGGTCATGGACGGTGACCAATGTTCGAGCTAATTCATACGCTGAAAAAGTCTCTCGATCTCAGCAATTCTCGGTCCAGTATCCATACGTACGGCTGTCAACTTATCTACACGCCGCTATGGCAGGCATATTGTAAAGTACTTCGAGGATCGTCTTAGCCAAGAGTTTGATTGTGGGCGTTGAGCCAGCTCTTGAATTATCGGGCCGGTATGCCTCCTGCCAAGTTTTCAGCTTTCTGATACTCAAATTGTCTGTTCGCACATCTTTGTGATTTAGAAGCATAAATATCTGTCTCAGCAACTAGCGAGCTCGTGCGCTGATTTTTTCGTGCAGGATACTCGCCAGTAACCTTCATTTATTATCTAAAACCGCGTCGGTGTCAGCTAATTAAACATGCGCTAAGTTCTCATGTTTAAAAGGAGATTTACAATGTGCAGCCCCCTTCCTACGTGACTCGGGTAAGAGACATTGGCCAAGTGCTCGTGCATGCTAATTTAAAACTACACACGTACTTATCTCAGCCAAGGTTGTTATAAATATCTTAAAAGTTGGAGCTTTAACTTAATAATAATATCAAGTCGTAAACGTGGTGCGCAGCGTATAGGATGTGAAGTGGATGTATAAAAGATGCTTCGGGAAGAAGCTACTTGCGGACCTCTGGGTCCGTGGTTTCATACATATACTATAGTAGCTATTTATGTTAGGTGCCTTAAGCAACTACGATAGCAGCTATGGTGGCCTGGCCATTTTGACCCTCTTTCCGCCCCGTTACTAGGATGCAACATCACTCAAGGAGTAATTATAATAAATCGTGTAGAGTTAAAGAATATGGTTTATCGCGTGGTATAAATACTTACATTATGACTTAGAGCGTCTTATCGCGGTAATAAAATCCTCATCCTGTTAATACGGTTTTATGTAAACTTAATTCGCGATTTCCCGATTGTTTGCACGAAGTCATTACCAAAGACTAAAGTCGGCGTTTGAAAACCTGGCTGAACAATTCCCGCTAAGACCTTGCCTGCAATCTCAGCGGATGCTAACCCTGTGAATGTATATCCGTTAACCGTATGGAGAACAGCGTGGCTTACAGTCCCGCTTTCTGCAGTGACGCTTACGGCGGCATGATACGGTGTAGCCTCCCTTTGCTCCTCTGTAGGTCCATCTGGCATGGAAGTCAAATCTCCGGTGGGAAAGCATCACCAGCGGCATGAACAAAGGTTCGTATGTTACGCACCTTGGTTGACTTCCAGACTGTGATGAGGTCAGGTAGCGTAACCGGATGATTGGCCACGGTACCCTGGCCGTTGTCAAAGTCAAGCTCGATGATGCTTGTGGTGTCGTGCTTGACAAGCTGTCCGTTAAGACGCTGAAAGCACTCGGCCGCCATATTCTCCGATGCACTGATGGCCGATCCGCGCGACATAGAACCGGCAACGTAGAGGGATAGGTCAATCCTCGATGGATTTTTGACTCGCTCGACAACCTTGCCGGCCAAACACCCTAACATAACTACGCTGCCGCCACAGCCTGGCATCAGCATGACGTTGGCTTCCTTCGCCTCGTGGCCATTCTTCTGAGCAACCTTGTAACTGTCGAGCTCGGCAGAAATATCAAGGTAGTGAACAACATTCTGGATGCATGCCGCAATTAGAGGCGCAGCAGTGCGCATGAAGGGTCCGGCGCAGTTGAGCAAAACAGAAATTCCCCGTAAACCTATCTTGATGGATTCAGGATCACTGAGATCAAAGACGCGATATCTAACGTCTAGCTCAGACGCAAAATGCATCATTTCGGTGCTCTCTGCACGTCCGGCAACAATGAAGTCAATGCCAAGACTCTTAGCATGGTGACTAGCCAGGCGGCCAGTATAACCCGACGCCCCGTAAATCAACAATGTGGGCATGATGGGCGTGGGGCTGGGAGGTATGCGAACACAAGGAAGAAATATGAGTGTGGCAACTGGAATTAATCTAACGTAGACTTTAGAAAGGTTCTTATAATAGGTCCAGACCTCATGACTCTATTAGATGTCCATCTCCAGACTCTCAAAGCTTTCTTTCGGAGTTCCGAGTGTTTGAGCACACTAATTGTGCTTCCAAATAAGTCCACATATTTACAATGCAGTGAGTCAGTTGGTTATTCAATCCATTCGGGCACCCAATCGACCCATTTAATGTACTGTTACGTTGATTGCACGCACATGCATGTGATGACTACCCGTTGGCTCATTTTAGAGCATCTAAGCCCAAAGAAGATCAGAGACTTCATCACTTTCTTCTACCTTGAATAGGATAAAATGTTTGATTATATACCAACGGCGTTGACTGTTCGGCATTAGTCAAATACGAAATTCGAAGAAATTCGAGAGAGTCATTTACCTTCAGCCATTAACATCATACCGAATTCATCCGCCTCAGCAAGCCACATTTCGCTCCGCATGTCCAACTCGCCGCCCGGGTTAATGGTGAAGAATTCCGCCATCTTGAAGCCACCACCTTCCCTCCAACGCCATAGCCACTCGCCGTAGAGCCGCTTCCATTTACTCTCATTGGTAGCCTGCCAAAGAAATTTCGCCGCGGGGGCAGGTAATGGGCCAAGTTCAAAACAGGTTAAAACAGGGTAGCCAAAAAATACTGACCAAGCCCATTCCAGATGATGAAGCCCTTGAATCGTCCTTCTCTTGGCTGACACGAAAGCCCAGTCGCACCAAGAAGGATGTGATGGGCCGTGATGCGCTTCTTGCCCAAGGAACAGGCCCGTCATTGCGAGTTTGTGCTTGACGTCCCAGACTGCGACAAGGAGCTGCGGCTCGTCTACCAAGTGTGGCGGAGAAGTCGATGAGTCACCTGATTCAGGCCTGCCGAGGCCGAAGAGTACAATGCTGAGCAGCATGAGAAGGGACTGAGTCGCCGCTAGCAGATCAAGTTCGCTATATACACGGTGCTGTAATGTGATTAGAGCAGAATCATAAGGAAGCATCACAAGCTACTTTACAAAGAATAAAATTCAGCTATGAAGGAGCTAGAAGTGGAGACATCTAAATGACTCACCTCGTGAAGTAGTCTCCTGATCTCTTGGATTATAGTATTCCGAACGAGCTGGCGACTTCCCCGGGTATGGTCTGTCCACATTTTGGTTAGGGTATGGCAGTTGGAGAGCGGCCCCGGAAGTTCTTCATTCCCTGCCGTTCCTAGCTGGAGCCTGTGAACCATCGGGGGAAGGTGATCCGCGGAGTAAGATGCCAAAATGCGCGGCCACGACATGAGCACACGAATTACGAAATGCATTGTGTGACGTGTGGCGGGGTTATCGGTGTTTGAGGTGCTCTGGGAACCCATACCCCAAAGGAGGACGCGCCGTCGAGCTTCAGAAATCTGCATTTCGGGTAGAATTTCGTATTGCGTATCGTTTGTGCTCGTTAACTCAAGCATTCCCGGGCTAGTATCGCCACTGGGGTCCGACGCAGTGATTTCTGACGAGGCTACATCTCGCGAATGACCTGTCCACAGGGAATCACATTGTGGTGCCGTTAATGAAATAGCCGCGACACATGATGGCGCTGCTATTCCAGTCGCCGACAACAACCTATTTTCATTTTCGGGTTGTATTCGTAAAGCAGTTCTCGGAACAGCACGCCGCTGCGTTGTCACTGGCGGCAGCGCTTCACCGTCTCTCGATAAGAATTGGCAGTCAAGGTCGCGCGATCGACATCTACCACAAGCCGGTCGTTGTTGATCACAGCGCAACTTGGCCCCGGAACATTGCTTGCAAACTTTCTGTCGCGGCGGAGGCTTGCGACCATGGACACAGCGCTTGAGGTGTCTTGTTAGCGACGATACTAGTCCAGCGACAAGTCAGCGCGCACAGCAAGAAGGGATGGCGGTTGATGGAGGCTACTCAAAGCGGCGATTGACTTATTACCGTACCTTTCGTGAAACTTAGGGAGCATCGTGGGCACGACGGAGGTGCCTGTGGTTCAGTCATGCCAACGCAATATACCCAAGTCGAATTGGGGTGGTGTGGTGGCTGACAGCGAAGGACGTCCCGTCGATGTGCTCTGTCGGCATTAGGGATAGCGCAGCAGCGAGATCGCCGTTAGTCAGAATATAGCTCACTCTAACGAGATTCTAATGGGGTAAATACTAAGGTCAGTCTAGCGACAAGACCAAGCCAACCACTATATTACCGTTGGGTTATAATTCCAGGAAAAGAAAAATACGGAATAGCGCTGACTAGGTTAATCGAGGTTTTCTACTGTAGTGCCGCAGGTCGGAGTTCCGAGTGTCTAAGAGTCAAGTTGGCTTGGCAAAGCGTCAGCACGACTTCATGCATTTAACTATGGCGAATTTACGAGACTCGGCGCTTCGCAATATTTGTGAAGTTCGGCGCGCCCACCACCATGTCCTATTGGAGCAGATGGTCTGGCGAGAAGGGGCTAACAATCCCGGTGACTCTTTCATACTCTTGACTATACGCCTCCACACCGTGGATACCTGAAGGATCTCGGAACTCCGAATTCTAAGTGTCCGCAGGTGCATAGCATCTCAAATACACGACGGCTGTATCAGTTGTCTTACGGCGTGCTTATAGCATGGTACAATAAGTTGATGGATAAAATGCATCACTATTGTGGGTTTCATGTTAAACAACTGCATGTATTCCTGTATTGTAATACTGGTCATCCAAGTTCCCCATTTGTACAAATCTGTTGTCTCGACGATTCCAAGACATGAGGGTTTGAGTGTCTATACATCTTCACCATTCTGCTGACTCCCCATGACTTCTCATGACTTCCCATGTAGCATCTGACAAATCAACTCGATAAAATTTGATCGTTTTGCAGTCGAAGATTTGTAAGCTCTAGAATCTTCAAATAAGTTTAACGAGGGTCATAATAGCTGTGACCCTTGGAGTATTTAGCTCTGCAATCGCTGCAAACTGCCCACTGCCGCACGACAGGGGTCTGCTGACTCATCCCGACGCTCGGGCGCGGCCTCCATTTTTACGGCTTTTTAGCGCCGACCAAAAGCTGCTGAACATGGCCATGATGCTGTCGTTCACGTGTTTCTCGAGAACAATGCTCAAGCCGATATCCTCGATTTCTATGGTCGAACTCTGCTATCCTACGCTGCTGAAAATGGCCACGACACAGTTGTGCGCTCGCTCCTTGAAAGGAGCGTTCAGGCCGACATACCAGATACAACAGGTCGAACACCACTATGCTATGCTGCTAGAAATCGTCACACTTGGACATTTGGGTCACGTCCTGCTGGCAATAACTACGAAGCTATCATACGCTCGCTCCTCCAAAAAGGGCCCCAAATCGACCGGCAGGATGGTAGCCATCGGACGCCGCTATCTTACGCTGCTGAACATGGCTCTGAAACGATAGCACATTTACTCTTAGATAATCATTCTCAAGTCGATATCCCGGATAAAAATGGCCGAACACCTTTATCCTACGCCGCTGGACATAGCCAGAAAGCCATCGTACGCTTACTACTCAAGCATGGTGCGCAAGTTAATACTCCAAATAGTGACGGCTTGACACCACTATTCTATGCTATTAGTTCTCACGAACAGCTGCCATCCAACGCTGTTAGCTATAGCCAAGAAGCTACCATACACTTACTTCTCAAGAATGGCGCTCTGTTTGGTATGGTAGATAACTATGGCCGGACATTATTATCGTACGCTGCTAAGTATGGTCCTGAAACGATAGTACACTTACTTTTGGATAATAACGCTCAAATGGATGTCCCGGATGAAAATGGCCGAACACCTTTATCCTACGCCGCCGAATATGGCCAGGAAGCTATTGTACGCTTGCTTCTCGAGAAAGATGTTAAAGCTGACATAGCGGATAAATACGGCCGAACGCCGTTGTATTATGCTATCAACAACACTCTCGACTATGAACACGATAGCCTTGTGCGTTTGCTCCTTGACAAAGGTGCTCAAACGGAGATACTGGCTGATGACGGTCAGACGCTACTATCTTACGCTACCGAATTTGGGAATAAAACTATCGTGCACGTACTCCTTGATAAAGGTGCTAAAGTCGACATCCTCGATAAATACGGCCGGACGCCATTATCCTACGCTGCAGAACATGGCTTTGAAACTATAGTACAATCACTTTTGAATAGCAACACTCAAGCCAACATGTCGTGTAGAGACGGCCGGACGCCCTTGTCCTACGCCGCCGAACATGGCCAAGAAGCTATCGTACGTTTGCTTCTTTAGCATGGTGCTCAAGCTGATGCCCTTGATGACGACAATAAAACGCCGCTATACTACGCTGTTGACTATAGCCACGAAGCTGCGTTCTTGTATGGAGAATCTGGCGACGAATCTATGGTGTGCCTGCTTATTGAAAATATCATAAACTCGCATCTCCAGAGCAATGTTCGAGTTGATGTTTCAGATGGGAGCGATCGGACTCTGTTATTCTACGCTGCTGATTATGGCCAAGAAGCTCTCGTACGCTTGCTTTTTAAGCATGGTGCTCAAGCTGATACTCCAGATAGTCATGGCCGGACGCCGCTATCCTACGCAGCTGGTTCTGGCCTCGAATCTATTGTGCACTTACTTCTTGAAGATAATGCTCAAATCGAGGTCTAGGATAATAAGGATCGGACGCCGTTGACGTATGCTGTTATCAACGGTTATGATGTATTAGTATGCTTGCTGCTTGGGAAAGGTGCTCAAACCGACGTTCCAGACAATTACGGTATAGCGCCAATATCTTGGGCTGCAAGCAGAGGCTGTGAATCTGTCTTTGACCTGCTTCTTAGTAATACAGTTCTGTTCGACACTAGGGACAAATTCGATCGGACACCTCTATTTTACGCTGCTATCAATGGTCATGAAGCCATTGTGCGTGTATTGCTCGAGAAAAATGCTCAAACCGATATTCCGGACAAGAAGAAATTCACGCCACTGTCCTACGCTTCTTTACGAGGTCACAGAGCTATCGTGCGTTTGATCCTTAAACACGGGCACTGACTCAATAATCCAATACAGGATTCGTTCGCAGGCATGACGTTATCTATGTAGAGCATTAAATCGCAAGTTATACTAAACCGTCGAAAATATCGATCTGAATATCATTTGTCTACGGCATTCTTATAGACTGTAAATCAAGAAATCCAGCAATGGCTTACCAGCATCAAATATCGCAGCATAGTGTGGTGATTGTGCAAAGCGCTCGGCATGGTTGAATCATATTCTATGGTTAATAACTAACGGACAAGCCTCCACTAGCTATATCTGACATTAACGGTGAACAATTAGCTGTACAGTAAGAACACTCGCCCTGTCATATACTTCAAACCCCAAGTATTAGAGACGCTCGAATTCACTATCCTTATTTTGCGAGATTGGAGGTCAATTGCACGTGATACAACTCTACCGCCTGGTGTTGAACATCAATCACGATGATTTAAAGCTATAGCCGAGTTTAGTATATATTAATAAGCTATCTAAGCTTACTGACCCACTCATCTACCTGTAACTCATATATCATTTACTACCTGAAATTATTACTAGTATCGCACCCGCTTCGTACTACCGCATTTGGTTACCGTTACCGGTAGGTACTGGTAGCATGCCCTAAGCACCACTGGTGTGGATTCTGTCACTGGTAGCATGATTTATAGTGTACTGGCGCATAGCTCTACCATCTTCTAACGGAACTAGTAACCCTTAGACATTTTACTGCCTCCTGCTGGAACTGGTAACCCAATTTTTATGCACTAGTGTGCATTTCCACCAGCGCTTACAGGTCGTATACAAGACGCCATGTCAGCTACAGTAAATGGCAATGAAATCGCGACTTCCGTACGGGAACACATATTTGGCTTTAATCTATTTCGCTCATTACTTCGCAAGCCTGGGTGCACATTGTGAATGCATTAAGCATATGAATGAATCTGCTCTCTGTGCTATAATGTAAACCGTTCTTGTCTGATATAATATATCGATGTAACAATTCGATTGTATTGGAGGAAGCTTGTTTATAAGACACCCTTTATTTATATAACGCATTAGAACAAGCAAATGAAAGACTGTATGTTCTTCTGTACTAGCAGTCCTCACGGGCTCTTGAATTCTATAAATACCTAAACTATACGGGAGCTAACGGCACTAGGACGCTAGGCGTCATGGTACTATTTACCAACACCGTTTCTGATCCGGCGGAATACTGTACAGTTCATATCTCACTGCTGTTTTTCGACCCCGCCGGACTTATTCCATTAGGTCCTTGTTCTTAGGAATCTCAAGGTTATCACCCGGGAACTTGTCCGTGTCCTCTTCGTCGAAATCGACGCTGGAAGTGCTGGCGGGATGGTGATTTTTGTGATGAAGTGCCGCCGTCCTCACTCTTAACTGCCGCCTAGTTGTTGGTGACTCTCTGCGACCACTGTCGTTTTCGGTAGCTAAGTCATGGGTGAGGCGTGGAAAGGCGGCGTGAGTATCGCGGAGATTGACCCTTTACTCTGGGCCATGACTCCTCAGCGGTTTTGTAGTGTGTGGCCTGGCCAGTGGATACCTGCCCAGGTCCTGGCTCGGCCGGTACTGCTCCGGCTATGGCCTCGGCAAGGCAGGCGACAGTTGTAGTGCCGGGGTAGATGGCGGTGCTGAAGAACTCTGTCGACTATACGGCTCCTGTTGTTGGCTTGATTCAATCGATATAGTTTCATCGACAGCTCCCTCGATGCCTCTTGACAATGGATTCATACATTGCGCATAGCAGCAGCACCGGAGGCCAGGGCTTTCCTAGGTCGACCACGTTTGGGCCTGCTGGAGGGTTTGGAGATGTCGTTGTGAGCCAGATATATGTCGTGTGCTATCGTCTCTTCGAACTCTTCCACTGGTTCCCAAGTCTTCTTCTGGGAGTTCTTCCATTCAACATGCAGCTGGAGAACCCCGTTGTTAGGCTCGGTAAATCTGTGGTGTCGAATCGCTTCGATATGGCACTCTTCCTGATCATCTTGTGTAGCATGACCTGTTTCGCGCTGGGCGCGCCTTCTTGTTCCCCGTTTCGCTAAAGGAGCCGCAGCGATAGATGACCGGGGCTCTGGGCTTCCAATTGCATGGTACTGTCGTCCATGAGTGGCACAGGTGGCCTCGGTGAATTGCAGTTGAAAAATCGTCCGGCCGTCCTCCGTGATTCTTTTGAGAACAGCATCAACGAGAGGCCACTCCTCGAACACCGCGGTAGGTGTGCCTCCAGTACTTTCTCTCTTTGCGTTGTTTTCTGAGGACGGCGGGCTTGGGATGTAAAGTAAATCTACCCTAGATTCAGTGCCGTCCAAGCAATCTCGCCGCCTGGTGGACACTCTGGGGACCGGATACTGTCTGTGACGTTTGCGTTGTGGCGGCTGAAAATCTTCATCATCTTGCCGCCAGTCGTCCACCACTCCCTCGTCATCTGATCCGGAGCTGGAACTATAGAAGACATGGGGGCTTTTATAACGCGCTGCCACCCTAGGTCTTGATTTCCGCTTGTGTTGTGGCGAGTTTCTGCGGCCACTATCGCCACCACGACCCAAGTCACAGCCGGGCATGCTCTGGACATCGGCAACTCCCTCCTGCAGTGTCGGCGGAGGCGTGCGGGGCAAATTGGGGTAGGTGTCGTTTCGACCGTGAGTCTGGACGGTGACGCATGCAGGATTCCTTCCGCAGACGCTCGGTATGTAGCGTCGCTCGAAGCTGTCTGCCCTGTATTACAGGAAGGACTGTCACAGCGCCCTAGTAAATCCTGACTCGGCGCCTGAGCCGTCTGCGAATTTTCAACGTTATCCCCGTCGCGCTCTATAGTCTCATTGCTTGTTCAATGTAAGTATTTAGTGGCTGAGATCTCATGGTAGTCCTGGCTAATGTAGGTGACCCGAAGCTGTTCAGCTTCGCCGTTGCTAGCACAATCTATTCGAAGAGTTTCTTGAGAATTGCTGTCGTTCGATTGCATAGATGCACTAGAGTCACGCACTGGGTTGGACAGATGACGAGACTCGAATATGGATGGGAACGCGTCAAGGGCTTCCGTAATAGGTGTACTCCGTGTAATGTGCCTAGACGCAGACCCTGCGCCGTGCGTTGCGGCATTGGCGGAATATAGTAGGTCTTGCCTTGTTGGGAGAGCCAAGGGCGACTCAGACCGGCTCCGGGATAATGCGGAGGTAGATGAAGATGCTTGGAGAGGGCTTCCTTGCTCTTGGTTGAATGTGGACTCGTTGTTGGGTCTGCCTGTCTCCTCTAACCGGTTTTCGTCACTATCGCCACGAGTATTGGTGGCAACCTTGGATATGGCGTTGGCGCCTCCATATACCCAGTCATGTTGGTAGGAGCCTATCAGGATAGACAGCCAATCACATACTTATAGCAGCAATGCTGCCAAGTCCGTCAGTTTTGGTAGGTCGCCGAAAAAGTTCGTCAATCGATGGGAGAGGAGCGTCAGATTCGTCATCGGAGAGATAGTCATTATCAGACTTATCCTTGCTGGATATCAGGAAAGCTTTTTTAACCGACTCTCCGGTAGGCACTTGGCTGGACGAGTTTGGGACTGTCGGAAGAGAAGACATATGTTTTCCATATTGAGAGGCAGTATTAGCCATTGTGTCGGGATGCAGGTGTAAGCACGTTGTAACCTAAGTCAAGTAGATGAACAGTGATTTAAGAACTGATATATCAGAGGGTAAGTTGAATACGCCTGTTCTGACCTTGGTAAGGCGACTTTTATGTCGCAAAGGAGACAGGGGCTCCTCATCATGGGACAGTGAGAGCGCATGCTCGCCGCTCGTTCCACTTAGTCTCGTCTCGAGGTAGAGGGATTCAACCTTGTATTGATGAAGTGTGCCCAGTGTGATAGCAAGAGACCGGCAGGATACAGAACCACCTGCCTCTCGTATTTCTGCCAATCGTATAACTACCGACAAAATACGAAACAGCCAGAGATCGACGTCGAAGGGCACCGCCAACGCTCTCGCGAATCACAATCCGCCCTGACGGCATATGACACTCGGCGTCCCCGACATGAGCCTAGGACAACCTGGCTGGCGTGAATATCTGCGTCGTCATCCCCGCTGGTCGACCCCATCGTATGTGATCACGTCCCTCGTATCATGCCATTCTCAAGTCAGCACCAATGACGGTATAGGATAGCACAGCACTGCCTCCACAGCGCCTTAGCGAATAGCCTTTTCTTGAGACACGCTTGTACGTGGCTGTTGCCCTGACGAGGTCGAGCGCCAGGCTACGCCCATGGGAGCTGATCCGTCACGGAGGCTTCAGAGGTGGCCACGTCATCCTCCTGCCCTTCGTAATCTCCTGCATCATCGCTGCCTCAGAGGTCCTCTTCCTTCTCAGAATGAACCCAGATTTGGTGGCGTTGTGTTTTACTCAAATGGTGAACTATTGGACAGCGCAGATCCTACTTGGCTACGATATCATTTTGGTGTATCTTATCATAAACGTAGTGATAGTCGAGCTCTCCAATCGTGTAGTGGTGGGTCTGATTTGGGCTGATTCAGAACCTGGTGGTGTGAGATAGCTGCACAGACTTGTGCTACGCGGATTGGGCTCCTCATCATATGCCCTTGGAAAGGAAAAACCAAAGCCAAGGGTGGTAATAGGTTTCCTCGTCCACTGCGTCTACTATCAGTGGCAAGTACGTCGCATGCCACTCCTCTTGAGAGCCGCTGTCGAAACATTCGGGCAGTAGCTTGACCCGCCGCGCCTTACAGAATTCCCAGTACGTAGGGTACCATCCAGCTTGGCCCCAATCAATAACTGCGGCCACTTTTGGATCAGGTCCGGATGACAGCATGATATTACAAGGAACAAGATCATCGTGTGTGAACACAGTGTCCACTTCAGGACTGATGTCAATCCCGCAACCAGCTTGAAAGTGTTGGACCGCGCCTGCGCCTTGGAAAGGCCCAGCAAGTGCCGGGTGATTTCTCAGAAATATTTCGTTCAGCGGCTGTCCCCCCAGACTACCTTCGAAGTCAAACTTCGTATCAGTGATCTACTTTTGATGCAGAGACGAGTGGACTTACCAACGTACTGGCCCTGTCTACCATGCTCCAGTGTCCTCCAGGCATAGACCATTTGCCTGAGTTCTTTGCAAACATTTCGTCTTTCCCTCTCGTTGAGACCAGGCCATCTCTCTGCCAACGTATCGCCTTCGATGTAGGACATGTAGATGAACCGTTGACCTCCTTCTTCAGCCCAGCCGAAGACTTCAGGAACGAGTACTTGGTCCTGCAGTTGCTTGTGGATCATCATTTGTGTCCTAGCTTCAACTATAGTCACATCGGCACCGTACTTTACAAGCAGTCCTAGCGACGGAAGGATCACAGGGGGCGGCCGATTGAAGTCTTCGCTGCGTGAATCGCCCGTTAATGCACCCAGTACTCGCACCTCATCCGGCGTAGGGAGCGCAAATGCTCCTCGCTCTTTGAAGAAACTGGATTCACGAACTATCTCCATGTATTACTCTCTGCTGCAGCGGCGCAAATCGCTCAAAATTGTGAGAAGGCGCAGAGGATTGACTGTAGTTGAATGAGAATCTCCTTGCGCGTTGAGACTTCGAAGATGATTCTTCGAGCGGGGCTTAGTGAGTGCAAGCAACTACAAATAACATTTCAATTAAAACGTGCACCAACATACCCAAATTACTTCTAGGTCGCTAACAAGCAATATCCAGTGTAAAACCCCACCAAGGCGTTTCGCTGTGGTCGGCGAGGTAAGCACCACCACCGTCAACCACTGTTAGTCAACTCACGATCCCACAGAGAGCAAGTCAAGCGCCATGTCCTACGCAGCGTCCAATATTGGGTAGTTCCCAACATGCAATCCTTTATCCGTTAACATCACGATGGAACAAAGGGGTCTAAACGGCCGGACCCAGTAATGAAGAGCTTGGCGCAAATCATGGGTTCTTGCTTTGAAAAATCCAAGTATAAAAGGTCTCAATTGTCTCGCAGACTTTATTATCACATACCCCTATCTAAAATCACACTAATCTCAATCAACATCAACAACATACCACTGCAAGTTCACATAATCACTTTATTAGTCGTGCCATTTGCTATGCCTTCGATGCCTTCGAAGCCAAGGCTCGGTGCCGCTCCTCCACCTCCCCTGCCGCCTCCACCTCCCCCCGCTGTCAAAAAGGCACCTACCCCGCCTCCAGCTCCTACGCCACCAAAATTGACTGCGACCGGACTGGCCGGGGCGTTCATGGTTGAGCTCGTGATGTGGAACGGAGCGCCGTATAAGGACTATTGGGCGTATTGGGTGCGTTCGCATGTCAACTCTGCCGTAGGCGTTTTGATTCATGCCGCCGGCGATGTGATGAACGGCTTCAGATTTGAGATCAAGCGACACCATGATTTTCGAATCACCGGCAACCCTCCCGACAAGAGGATTCCGCTGCAATGGGTCGACAAGTCGCATTTTAACGAGGAAGCCATGTTCAATGGTGGGCTATACAAGCTGGATTACACACCAGTTTGCGGGTTCGAGGCGAGTGCGTATGAAGCTTGCCGGGCACACCGTGGAATACAAACCGCATATACTGGCAAAGAAACCTATGCCCTCTGCGCAGAATCTTTTCGATCAAGGCTTGGAGACGAAGTGTGGAGGCGGAGAACGGAAACAAATCGGTATTGCTGAAAACATCTGCGATTGCATCTTGGTCAGTACCCAGAACTCTTAGCACATCATGAGGTGCAAATTCAATTGTTGACGAAAAAGGTGCGAGGAGTTGGTAATGATGAGCATCGATTATGGCCGAGGGGCGGATTAAGCGATCTGGACGACCGACGTGGTAGCGCCAGTCCGGAGCCCAGCTTGGCAGACAGAGAACATCCATGGCTGCCAAAACTTCTCGGGCGTATTCCAAAGCGAAGAGCCGTTGTTGCGTTAGGATCATATACTTCGCTATTCGAACGTAGGTGTCACGGACGCTGAGGTTATAGTCAGGTTTGATCAGGTGAGAAAGTGGTCGTCCGACGTCACAAAACCTCTCAGCGCCAAGACCTTATCTCTGGGATTGCTTGCACGGAAACGAGAGAAGTTTTCTAGTACATTATGCCTCAATACGTCTGCAACAGTAGCAGGTGAATTTGCGGAGCGGATTTGCCATAAAGCCTCGAGCATCGTACACATATCGCAATCTCCATACTACTGCAGTTCTAGCCATAAGGATGCTAACTGCGATGCTCCTGTAACCACACAAAAACCAAAGAAAATATGTTATTTTACGCCAAAATTAAGAAAATTATGCAGTAGTGACCATGATAACTAGTACGTATAAAAGATCGAGGACGCCCGAACACATCACCGACTGCAACACTGACCACCCAAAAGGGACCATATGAGCTATTGGAGATGGATGATGGAGACACCTAAGGCTTTTAAATCATTACTCAATATGACACGATTTATATAACTCTATAATCATGGCCCAGTTGATAGCATAGCGCTGGAACCATTACACAATTATAAAGCCGCCCACCAAGCACATCTTGTTTCATTGATACGGCTCGTACTAATTCTGGCCCCAGTTGATGTTAGATTGACCAGAGTACTAGTTGAATCCCATTGGGGGAATGGCTTCATGCTGCCGTCAATAAATGTCTCAGGCACGCCGCTGACAACGAAGTTGGCGATTGCTTGCTGAACTGTGACTCTGACTTCCGGGTATAAGACGGGCCCAGCGAAGGTATAAGGCAAGTCCTGTGTGTGCAAACCTGGAGAGATTGAAAATTCATCTGATGATTATTAGCAAACGGGCTGTGAATACTTTAAGACAAGCTTCTCAATTACAGGCATATGAACTACCACCTTTTGCCTTGTTCATGTACAAAAAGTTGCAATCAAAAACGGCCTCGCCCCACAGGGACATTTGCCGGGTCCCCTGATCAATATAGCCGAAGGAGCCGTCGAAGGCGGCCGGATAGAGGCTTCTCATGAGATGATCGACTTGGGAATTGTTAAGGCCAGGGATGGATCTGAAGAGCCATGACTGGAAATCGGCTTCAGTTCTGACATTTGGATCGAAGAAGAAGCCTCCTTCCAACGAGTTATGCGAAACCATTACATTGACGGCCTGATCTAACTGTCTTTCATTCAGAGCTCTCAGTACTGGGACAGGGAGAGTACGATCATCTTGGACCGGCCCGAAGATGTAAGTGTTGGCGGGTGCTGCGCCGATTTGTTTTGCGTTAGCAGCTATAATAACATCTGAGGAGAGTTCCCTCGCTTCGGAAAGGCCAGAAACATTTAGGATGGACATGAATTCCGAGAACGTATCTGGAGGTTGATATAGGGTGGGGACAATGGCCGGCGACTGAGAGATAATTTGGGCAAATGGGGCCTTCTCCTGGGTCAAGTGGACGAGAATGGAGCCCCCTCCTCCAGACTCCCCAATGACAGTAACGCGCCTAGGTGACCCTCCGAAAAGGTGTATGTTCTTTTGCACCCATTCCAGCGCGAGCTTTTGGTCGAGAATACCTGCGTTCAAGGCTCCATCCTCTTGGACTAGCGGACCAGCGAGGAAACCAAGGGCCCCAAGTCGATAGTTAAGTGCTACGTAAATGAAACCTTCATTACCATGCTGTAAAAGTCCGGTTGGGTCAAAGTTCCCATTCGGATATCCAGTTTTTGAACCCAGAACGTAGCCGCCACCATGAATCTGTGCAACGATTAGTAGCAGTCGTGCGTGTCTTCAAGCTTAGGAAAGCTCACCTCGACAAGAACCGGAACCTCAAAATTTGATGATTTCCCACGATTTCTAAAGAACTGTCCAGGCACATGAACATCTAAGAAGAGACAATCCTCGGACGAAACGGCGTTGACGTTTACGCCGGCAGCATTTGCTTTTCCGAGCGTCTCTTCCCATTTGGTGAGATTAAAAGGGACTGTCGAATTTGAAAATTGCGCAATGGCCTGAGATGCCTTTTCTTGCCATTCTGGAATACCTTGGGGGCATACCCTAGTACCAGTGCCATTCTGTACCACAGTTCGATTTTCTAAGGGAGGCAGAGGTGCACGGAATCTCAAGTCTCCGATTGGTTGTCGCGCGTATCGAATATTAGAGAAAGTATAAATGTCAGTCGTCTCGTTGTACCTGAGTGCTTGGTGTAGTTCCTGTTTGGTCGTGAGCATCTCCCTGCTTGATTTCACGACATCCTGAAGTCTACATACATAACCAAGGTCCACTATAGGCATCTCGATGAAAGAAGACGAGATAGCAGCGCTTTGGGACGCCGCAGAGCAAATTACAAGGCTAAAGAAACATTTAGCCAACATCGTGCAAAATATACAAACTGTAGTCTTAGAACTGGATGGTTTGAGGGTTGAGAACAAGAAGGTCAGAGAGACCGATGATAGATTGACTCTTAATTGATGCCTTTAAGAATGAAGACACGATACCTTTTTTATCTCGAATGATTAACATTAGAGTCTCACTATTGTGAAATCACGTGGATTCCCAAGTCAGCCCGCATGATAACCCCAAAGAAGTAGTGTATAACTCGAATAGGAATATGACTACGAAGCAAATTTGTAAGCGAATGTGCTGCGCCTCTTTCTTTCGGGAATCCGAAGAAGCTAAGACCTGAATAGCAGTGCACCCCCCAAAGAAGTAGTGTATAACTTGAATAGGAATATGACTACGAAGTAATCTGTAAGCGAATGTGCTGCGCCTCTTTCTTTCGGGGATCCGAAGAAGCTAAGACCTGAATAGCAGTGCACCACCCAAAGTGGAATGCTATATAAGAATACATATCTCCGCCGGGTTTTAAGTTGTCATAAGCTGAATAAAACTTTCTTTCTCATGAGTATGGCCTTTAGACAGAAGTCCGACGTGACGTGCGACTGACACACAATGATGGTGCTGCCTAATAGAGCTATAGTCTATGATGTGCTTGGCATGCTTGCCAGTTTGATTTAGACCTCATACGACCACCGCCAACTAATCAAGGTGCGAATCTCCCAGAGCGGAGAACAGAGACAGGAGCACAGACAGGAGCACCATATCCGTTCCTGCATTAGTTGAGCCTGCATACAACCCTATCGAGGGGCTTGGGGCCTTGCCAATGGTTGCGAGCCCTGTCAGCGACTATAGCAACTCTTCATCCACGATGAGCTCTGCAGAAGCGGATTTCTTGTTTATAAACAAGGAGCCCTCCTCCTTGTTTTTGTCTCGCAGCAGTGCAGTGGAGAACTCTCAGATTCTAATGCACATTCATCAGAGACGACGGAATGGACAGAAGCCTCAGAAGTGGACCAAATTCGCCTCACACTTGTCAGTCAAAGCGGAAACACAGAAGCAAATAGATCCCAACAGAACTGGTTTGTTTCGGCTCTATCCTCGAAACAACGCCACTGACCCGTTTTACTGTACCGTGGCTGCCACTGACGCTGGAATCCATTCGCTTCTGGACCACGCCTTTACGCATGCCACTATACCTACCTTTCTGGCCGAGGCCTACGCATCACCGGCTGTGGTCCAGCGAAGAAGTCGAATGAGACATGTGAGAACACTTTCGGCCCGAAAGAGACAATGTGTCGACAATCCGGCTCTTATGTATTCCACGTTGGCATATGGCTCGAGTTGCCTCGGTTGGGTGACCGGCCAGCTTGACAAGAAGAAATCACCAGAATACTTCATGGACAGAGCTCTGGCCGAGGTCAGAATGCAGTTCTCAGAGATTGTGTCGAGGGCGGACACATGGTCCCTCTTAACTGTGTACGCGCTCGCAATCACAGAATTATGGATCGGATTACCGAACATCTGGAGGAGATGCCCAGATCGGCAGGCTGCGATCCTACAGACTGATGTCTCTTGCGCTTTAAGGGCTTCTCGGACTCATTTGAAAGCGCTGCTTCGTATGATTGAACATGCCGGAGGTTGGAGCGCAGTCGACTCTTACATTAGAGAGAGCGCGATCCTGGCTGATAAATACCTTTCATTTACAGAGGCGACACGTCCTCTCACGAACTATCGAGCGTGGGATCCCGGGCCTATGGGAGGGTGCATCGAGAGGACACTTGTTACTCCGCGATTTAAAGACGATCGGCTGGGAGAAAGTCTACTTCAAGTGTCGATGTGCTTGGAGCTGCGTTCTGTTGTTGAGGAAGTAATTGGCTATGTCCAATTCGCTGAGGAATCCTGGTCATCGCCCGTTCAAATGACGGAAATGCAGAGGGAAACCGAATCTTGGCTTTTTTTGCGTTTACAGGCCCTGATCTTTCGACTCCAGTGTCTTGAAAATCTCGTGGGTATCGAAGAGTGTATTCGCATAATAATGACAGTCTTTCTGCTCGAAACCACTCAATACTACGGATCATGGTTGTGCAGTCTAATGACTATTCAACGTGCTCACTCTCAACTATTAGAAATATACGCAGTGGCCGATCAGGATTTTGCTTTCTGGTTCTTCTGTACTGTGGCTATGAGTCACGAACCCTCTCGAGAGCGAGAATGGGGGGCTAAAAACCTAGCAGCTCTTAGATCAAACATGTGTCTTGAACTTTCTGAGGCCGCGTTCGCTGCCAAGATGGAAACATATCTATACATACCTAGGATGCAAGGGGCCCAGCTACGTGATACTGTTAAAAGACTGAAGAAATAGTTATAACAATTTCACTACCATTACGAGTCTTGCCACACTTAGCCGTGTCAAGAAGCATTGAGGATTGGATAGTCTTTATTTCGATTTACAAAAGGAAGTGACTGTTGAATCTGCTATTTATAGGAGAGCATCGGAACTTGGTTTCCCGCTCTCTGACTATACTCTACCACACATGACATGTGTCTTTTGCATGGGGTGCAGAAGCTAATGTGGCCATTTGCCTAGATGCAAGGATCATCGTGGGGTAGCCTGTCCGCGTGCACAGGCATATATGTGGCATTTGAAGAAAAGCACAAGGCCAGGTCTACAGAGTAACGTCAAGCAGCACCCTTGGACGAAATATGAACATACAACGGGACTGCCTGCCTGAGGAGATGGAGGTGGCAGTCGTGGTGCAGCAGAGGGAACAGGTGCAGGCCAGCCAAAACCCAGGTCCCACTTTCCTTGGTCTCCCCGCTGCATATCTGGGCTAGGGACTACATAAAATAACTTTTCTTTTTCTTAGGTCATTCCCTCAGTGGTGGAAATCGGATGCTGTTATTGGTCGAGAGTATGCATATGCGCCAAGCATGTTACTTTATCTCCGTGGTTTGTTTTCGATGACTACTGCGTAGATCCGAGCTAGCGCGCAGTGGGCCGTGCGCATCGCCTCCAGTAGCTCAGCCAAGAATGGCCTTGTCGAGTAACCGTGCCCACCCACTTTCGCACGCACCCCCTTTTGCACGCCGATTTACCGACGTTTCCTTAAACATACTAATAGATAGTGAAGTAGTGAGTGTTGGCTGTACTAATGCTACAAGGGAGCCAAGTGGATCGTACGACCTTCGTCGTGGTTGTCCAGGGTCTGATCAGTATAAGGTCGAAGGGATGGAACTTGTAAATAGTCGGAGGGCCATGCTTCTTCATACTTTTGACCACGGTCGCGTGGCTAGTTTTTGTAGCAGTGCATTCGGAAGACAACGAGAATGGCTCGTCGTCACTAATTAATGTTATTTTGGTCACCAAGTTCATTCTTTCCATTCATTTCTCAGTGATCAGTCCGCGAGTGAACCAGCGAGTTCGTCGTGAGGCTTATAACCTAAGGGACAAGACAGTGGTCCTGGTTCAATACTTCGCTTACTTAAGGGGACAAGTTAACTAGGATTAATGTTAAGACGACGATTATATAAAACACGCCGACTAGAAATGTCGTACGTAAAGAGGACTACAATAATACTATTAATAATTTACGATTCGTATTTAGAAAACTACTAATAACGAGAGGTTAGATAGATTAATCTACTATCTTAAATAATATCTAAAGAAGGAAGCGATCGACCTCTAAGTACTTAACGAAGTTTCTAAGATAAGTGATTAACTAAGAGCACGACAAAACAAGAAAACCCCTAATATCGATGATAATAACAACACGATAAACAAAAAGTTAAACGAAGAACTAATAAGAATTAAACGTATTAAGAAAGACCTTATGAAAGGAACAATACCTCAAGAAAGATATAACGATTACAAATACTTACTCGAAAAAGTCGAGCGAAGGATATATTAACAATACGACGATAATAATGGCTGGCCGTCATTCACGGAAATATATCGGGACGTTTACCGACAATAGGGACAACTTAGTCTAGAACTATACCGACAGAGAACTAGCATTAAACCAACAAATCAAATTACAATTTACGGACGTATACCGACCCTTAACAAACTGCCTAGCAGTAAAATCCAGAGATGGATACGAGACCGACGACACGAGTTAAAGCAGTTTTGACACTGACTACAAATCAAAACGACAAATTCGTTGACATTCCGCTATATAAGATGCGCATCGCCGACAGAGCTATCCCCTCGGACTCGACTGTGGTGGTGGTCGGAGCCAATGGATACATGGCTGTGGAAACATGTGAAAAGCTTCTACAAGCAGGATACCGTGTCTGTGGCACAGTCCGAGATGTTGAACGGCACCGTAACTGGATGCATGCGCTATTCGACGAGAACTGGCCCGATAGATTTGAACTAGTCCAGGTCCAAGACTTTCAAGACACCGATGCTTTTGATAATGCTTTTCAAGGTACTCGTCAGCTGTCAGTGGTTTTGAGATTGGCGACTAATTAGTATTTCTTTCAAGGAGCATCTGGCGTGATCTATCCTTCTATGCCTATGATCTTCGATGCAGATCCAGTCAAGGTTTATGAACCCATGATCAAGGGCGTCGTTAACACCCTTTGCAAGCGGCAGCTCGTGCTGGCGTGCAGCGCTACGTTCTAAGCTCGAGCTCCAAAGCAGTGCATTCCAATGTCTCCGACGAGCCTTACGAACTTACCAACGACATGTTCAACTACGAAGCGATCGAAAAGGTTCAGGATGGACCTGTGGACGCTTCGTTCGAGAGAATCTTAGCTGTCTACAGTGCAGGGCGGACTTTGGCAGAACTAGAGTTTTGGAAGTGCGTGAAAGCAAATAACCCGCCATTTGTTGCTAATTGTGTAGTGCCAGACGGTCAATTTGGTCGTGTCATAGACACGCAAAATATCAATCTCGGCGCTAGATCATCAACTAGGCAGTTAATGCATGCCCTTCAAGGGCAATGGGATAAGATCAAGCTCGACATTGGTAAGCTGATACCTCTGCAACTGAAAGAATCTTCAAACTGGCTCTAATGTGTTTACGCAGCGTCCGTGACGGATGTTCAAAACTCGGCACGCCTACTAGTGGCAGCAGTTGCCTTGGCATCGATCAAAAATCAGAGAATATTTTCTTACTACATCAACATGACATGGAATGATATGCGAAGGAAAATACGTGAGATGTGTCCAGACCGCCCTGAACTGGTGACAGGAGACAATCGTCAAAAAGAGAGAAGGGACACCTCCCACGCATCTAAACTAATCGCACGGGCTGAGGATATTCTGCGAGCAGTTGGCCAACACGGATTCGTCAGTGAGGATGATATCATCTGTGACTTTGTGACTTCCGTCTTTACCTAGACCGAAATACACCGGAGCTAGAGCTGAAATTGACAAAACATTAGAACCAAATAGCTGCGTTAAGCTCTCTGCATACACCGAAAACAGAAGATGGCGTACATTTTATCTGCCTGACCCGACTAAAGCTAGGCTCCAGATACCTTTATATATCTTTCTAAACCGTACAAAATACTAGCCGCTACTATAATTCCAATCTTCCATAGACTCCGTGCGAACACGTAAACGCATACGATTATACTACCACTTATTATCCCCGTCGCTTACATTCTTCCGTAAGTTTGAGTAACTCTATACACTTTGCAATTGAACTACGTACAGAGTCAGTTGTTGACCCTAAGAAGAAATGTACCAAGACGAAGAAAGCCGCGCATCAAAGGACACGGGGAGCAAGTCGTACTTCTAGTTCATCTTTCGGCCGGAGACTTATCGTCGCATTATGGCACATACAAAAGATCTGCGACCAATGCGGATCGAGATCCCATCCTTACGTCAGGGCAAGCTTTTCGCATCGTCGTGGCCTTGATCATGCGAAAAGACAACAGTAGTCAAGTAACCCTGGGTAGAATAATTACGTCTTTGATCCGTTGTGGATATCACCGCGACCCACTCATCGAGTCGCCGCTGAGTTGCCGCTGAGTCGCTTAGTGACTCGGTCTAGTGAGTCGCTCAAGTGAGTCGCTCTTACGACTCGCTCTAGAAACCCTCCGACGCTTTGGGCTATACGCAGGCAAACACGTTTCGAAACATTCATTTTGACATTTTAAAGTTTTAGTGTAATGAAATCCATCATTATGGGGTATTTGACCGTCTCTAGACTCCACCATCAATAACGGGCACGATAATACGCCAAAATGGGTATATAAGCAGTGTCTGTCCTCGAAAAGACCTTAATATTTGACTCGCAGTTGAATAAACACTTTGACCATTCCAAGATGGAAGGAAACAATACGATAGCTAGTGAGAGCTTTAAGGCCATCATCGTCGGGGGAGGCGTAGCAGGGCTTACCCTGGCAAACATGTTGGAGAAGTTCGACATCGACTACGTTCTTTTGGAAGCTCATGGTGATATTGCACCAGCGGTGGGAGCAAGTATCGGCATGCTACCAAATGGCCTTCGCATCCTCGATCAGATTGGGTGCTACGAAAGGGTACTGGATCTTCCCCGACAACCAATTGAGGTCTCTCATGCTCGCAACTCCAAAGGGAAAAGCCGGTTTCGTGTCAATAATCTCAGCGAACATATGGAGAGACGGTAAGAAAACCGGAAAGGCCATGGTTATGCTCTTTTTACTAAAAGAATACCGTGTGTTAGACTTGGGTATCCCATCCTGTTCTTCGACCGGCAATGGCTTCTACGGCTTCTCTACGACAACCTGAAGCACAACGATCGCGTCTTACTCAACAAGAAGGTGATCCAAGTTGACCACATTGATGGTGGCATTCAGGTTACCACTAAGGACGGCAATATCATCCGCGGATCCCTAGTCATTGGCGTTGATGGCGTGCATAGCACTATAAGAGAGCATATGAAACTGATCGGCGACAAGTTACAGCCTGGATATTTCCCAGCCGGCGAAGATGACCGTGTACCATGCTATTATAGATGTAGCTTTGGTATCGCGCAGAAAGTTGAAGGCTATATCACCGGCGAGCAAAATAACGTTCAAGCTAACGGCTGGTCGGGCCTAATTATTTCTGGTCCTGAGGACCGAGTATACTGGTTTATCTTCCAACGCCTGCCTGAGCCAAGATATGGCCGGGATATACCGAAATATACCAAAGAGCACGAGTCGCAGTTCGTAAGTACAAATCATTACCGGGAAGTTCCCAATCTGATCTACCAGAATAAGACGTCTCATCCTCTTTTCATTCATTTTTCTTTTCATTCACTGTCGCCAAACCGCACATCTTGCCATCACTTACCATCAAGTTTAGGTGGAAGATTGTTGGAATTTACAGATCACTGACAAGGTCACCTTCGGCCAAATATATTCGAGAAGAATTTCTTCTACTCTTACACCGTTACACGAGATTGTATACAAGAAGTGGTTCTTCAAAAGAATTATGCTGCTTGGCGATGCCGCACACAAGGTATGTTTTAATAATCTCAGATCTGGTGCGTTCTAGCTAATTATTATCTCTAACCATAGCCCAACCCAATCTCCGGCCAAGGTGGAAACGGCGCCATCGAATCTACCGCTGAGCTTGTCAATGCCATTCTGCGGATGAAGGATGCTCGGGATAGCGGCCTTGAAGCTCTAACCGATAAGGAAATCGAGGAGATATTCGACCAGACACAATCTGCCAGACACGAACGGGAGAGGCTCCTTGTTGCTGATGCCCATAGGCTGCAAGCCTTGAGCGCATACGAGAACTCCACACTATCTACTTTGGTTTGGAACATCATTGGTCCAATTATGGGGGACGAACTGATCCTATCGATCTGGACGAATCCCATGGTAGGCGGTGCGCGTCTGGAGCAATTGCCCATCCCATGGCGCAAGCGGATAGTCCCATTCACAGACGAGCTACCAGCGAAGCCTCAAACAGGTGCCAAAACATACATGGGTCAGGGTGGGTTCGTGATAGGTATGAGTTTCTTGATCTGGCTCGCTGGGAAATCCTTGCGTCTTCCAATGGCCGAACTTGGCTTTTGGAAAGGAGATGTTATAATCGCACGACCTTGGGCTGGATCCGGACAGAGTCTGCTCAGCAAGCTCGTGTCTTTCTTTTCTTACCCACTCACGGGGTCAGCCCTTGCTCCAAAAGTGCAACTCGTCTACTTTCTCTGTCAGCTCGCATCACCAGTACTGATGTACACTATTGACGGCTATCGCAAAGGCAATCGAGCAACTCTTCTTGCTCTGCCCAGTGGTTTCCTTGGTATGATGCAGCTCAAAGGCATTGGATATATCGCGCCCTTGCATGCTGTATGTCGTGCGCTTCAAGGAACTGATTCGCCAATAGGGCGTTTCGTGCAACCTGAGGTGAGCGAGGCCCTGCTTCTCGCGCTTACGCTCGGCTATGCGATCCCGACCGCTCTCATGCTCGCGCCTGGAATGGATGTTTCCACCCGGCAGGACTTCACTGCACTCTGGCAGTTCTCCCCAGTTCTGGTCTCGGCTTGCACAGCGCTCTTCTCGACCGGCCTTCGCTGGTATAGGGTACAGCAGAGAAGACGACAACTAAGCTTCCAAACCCACGTAGAAGGCTTCGAACACTATGCGACTGAAGACATGCGTCCTCTAGAGACACTTTACACTCATGGCATCGCAATACAGGCCGCCTCGCACATAGCGACGCTCACGTATGCCTATTTCCATCCGGGAATCTCCATCTCCAAGATGCTCTTTGGTGTTCCCAACCCTTTCAGCGCTACATGGAATCTACCCGATGTCGCCAATAAGATAGCGGTCTTCCTGAAGTATGATTTCGGCATTGCTTGCTGTGCGTGGGCAGCGAGTGGCATATACTCCATCTGGAATCTGCGACGCCTTGGCTATATTCAAACCACAGACGCGTTCAAGGCATCCTTGGGAACACTTATTGGCCAGATTTTGATTGGTCCTGGCGCGACCTGGCTAAGCATTGCTTTTTGGCAGGACAGGATCTTGGCTGGTGCCAGGCGCAACTGAACATGTTTAAATACAAGAGAGCGAGTTTTGGGTATCACAGCAGACGTGGCAGTATTGCGGTGTTGGCAAGCGCCTCTAAGACCATGTTTGCCTTTGTTGTTCAGAATTTTTGACTTCGTATATAGATGTAGACCGTAGTAGAGTATTGCCATTGCCGTTAACATTCAAGTCGGTAACAGGTGCTCTTCGCCTATCCTGAAATTGTAATCGAGCCCTTCCACAAGTTCCGGGTATTCTGTCCAGAATCTATCTAAAACGCCCCAGCCATCCTCCTGCATGAATCGCCTGTAGAAAGTCTCGTCCACTTGCGGTTCGCCATCATTCTCCCGGGTAACAAAATTGCCATTGAAAGAGGCTCGCACGCGTATTGTGCAACTTAGCAAGCCGAACACGTTTTCGAGGTTGTACTTGCGCCAGTGCAAGACAAGCCTGTCGCGCAGGCTGGGCCACAGTAATGCAATGATATAGACAGGATGCTCCAGGAACAACTGACATGGTGTCGGCCGCATATGCTTGGGAATTGCTAAATATGCCTGCTGTGAAGGCGCAATGTACCACCGAAAATAGAGGTACATGAGCCAGCCAATTGCAAACTTCTCCGGTGGCAGTACGGGGTAGGGCGCCAATGCCGAGACAATGAGGTTTGCAAGTTCATTTCGTGACCCTCCGAACAACATGTCCAGCACCTTTGGCTTGACAGGTAGTAGCATGGCGACATTTGGTGTGCATCTTAGATGTTCAATGACAGATCCAAACCTTTCATTGGGAAGCAGAACCCTAGGAGCGGATAAAGTAGAGAAGGTAAGAAGTGGAAGCCGAAGCCAGTCGGGTGTGGCCAGCAGCTTGCCTAATGGCTCCAAGGATAATGTAACCACGAGGCCGGGCGAACTTGAGCGGTCTGTCACTGTAGATTGTGCTACCGACGTCTCCGTGGACTGATTGGTATCAGACAAAGCTGCTACAGGTATAGCGGGTGAGCTATTTATGCTAATAGTACCGGTCAATGTGCGCCATGATTGTAGTTGCCCTGAAGTTATATCGCCTGGCGGTCTGGTCGCAGCATCAAGGTAGGTAAGCTGTCCCTGATCTTCGGTTTCCGTGGAACTTTGTTGACATAGCGTGGCGTTCCGCAGTTCTTGCTCGAGAGAACGAATCTTCTCTTCGAGCGCGGCTATATGCTCGCGTTCGCGTTGTCGTTTGTTGCGTTGGTTGAGTTTGTCCCGCTCACGCTTTCGCTGAGATGTGGTTGATTGCCCAGTTGGCCGCGCGTCTCCAGATTCAACCATACCCCCAGTGGTTCGGCATCCGTGGCAAGGTTTCACAGGTAAGCAGTAGTACTTGCGTCTAATTTCAAGACTTGGAATGCATATTGCTGATGATGGCGTTGCGGTAGAGGCACAATCTTGCCTACGCGAGTTATTCCGAGATGCCGTTTGTTTGTATTAATCTATCTCAGATCGACGACTCCAGAATGCCGAATTTAGTGAGGCTTTTGCAATTGAAAAGCGACGAGCTTGTCACGCGCTAGAACTAACGTTAGGGGACCACTGCAGTTGTGGGGTTCGCGACAAGCTCAGCCACACTGCGATGGGGCTCCTCTCCTCTAACTTACGAGGCACTAACTAATGTTGAGGTTAGTTTGGCTATTTAGTACTGTGGTCATTTGATTTTCCCATGGCAAGATTGCTTATACATGGTATATTGCACTTTACCGAAGTCGCATTATGCCCTCTAGTGACAAAACTTGCGAAGTTGCCATGAAGCTGCTCAATTTGCGACCTGTCCTAGGGTTACCAACTGCATGCGACAAAGATGCAATTCTCTAGAGTGCCGGTTCATCAGGTGCGCTCCACCCTTCTCAACTCAGAATACGGTTTTCTATTTTGGTAGTTCCCGCATTCACTACTGTGCAGACTAATGGTCAATTGACATCTGAAACCGCGATTCATCTAACCTAGTCTAGTCAATAGACATCCCTCTCTTTAAGCAGTAGGCAGCATGCACTGAGCCCCAACGCTCTAGCAAAGGACGGTATTTATTGTTGTAACTTTAGTCACAAACCTAACTATATCACTTTCCAAATGGCAAATACCAACATAGATGGGGATTCCGAGATGAATAACTAGATATGCACTTGTCGAGCCAGCCACTGTTATATCAGCACGACCACTACTGCCATTACGCCTACATCTACTTCAAAACCCACTTCAAAACCCACAGTCACAACGCGGCAGTAGTTATGTTGGTTGCCTCATATTCTAAATAGCCCATTGCTGATAGTTTAGCTTTTTAACCGTAAAAGTCCTTGTGGTCGGCCTTGATAGCATCGGCGCCCTTCTCGGCCACGGCGTAGACCGAGTTTTGAATTCTGCAATCTGGGATTACGGGTATGCAAGAGGCGTCGATGACACGCAGGTTCTTGACTCCATGGACCCTGCAGCCGGGGTCCACGACACCTTGGTTGATATCTTTTGAAATTCTGGCAGTACCGCAGGGATGGAAGGACGTCTGAGAGCGGTCGAGCACAGTCCTATTCATTAGCTCGTCGTCATGAAGAGGCATAGGCCAAGGGTACTCGGCGATGACGATATCCTTGAACGAATCGCTGAACTTAAGAATGTCGTAGGCGTATCTAATTCCCTCCCGGATAGCAATAACATCAAGGTCGTTGTTGAAGTAATTAAGATTGATGCTGGCTTGCTGAAGAGGGTCGGTACTGTTAAGAGTAACCTCACCAGGCTCGGAGACTGGCCGGACGAGATCGACCATTACGGTCAGAAAATCGCCATTGGATGGTGTGGGATAGTGCCACTGGAAAGCGCTACCAAACAGACAGACAAAATCGAGTTCGAAGTGAGGCTGGCCGCCAGGGCAGAAGGGGTCCTTGCCATCATTGGAGGCCTTTGCCTTTTGATATTCGGGAACTTTGTCCAAATACTTGTCAATGCGAGGAAATCCAACCATTTCTAGAAAGCCTGAACCCATGGGACCGCCATACTTGCCATCAGCGTACGTTTTTAAAGCTTGGTCATGCCTTGCACTTCCCGGGCGCAAGACGTAATCGTCCATTCCGAAACCCTCCTTAACCTGGAGCACAAATGGCACACCAGGGTGATCCAGTAAATTCTTCCCAACGTGGGGAGAGTTAACAATGATGGGAATATCGTGCTTGTTAAGTTCCATAGCAGGTCCAACGCCACTCAGCATCAACAACTTAGGAGTCTCGAAAACACCTTCGGATACAATGACCTCGCGGTTGGCGTAAAGCTTCAACTCCTCTCCTGAGGCCAAAATGACTTCCACGCCATGTGCAACCTTACCCACATCGTCGATGATGAGCTTCTTGGAATGAGTATCGGCAAGAATGGTAATGTTCTTTTTATTTGCGACAGCGAGGAAACTGCCCGAACGACGGCCACGGTAAATGGTGTTGACGCTGTGAGTCAAGCCACGCATTTCCCCGTCAAAGATGTTCTCAGTAATAGGCTCGCCAGTGGACTTCCATGCCTTGGTTATAAGGTCACGGAAAGGCTGCATCTCGGGGAGGAGTTCCGAGTGGGCAATAGAGATGGGGCCACCAGTACCAATCTTGTGGATCTCCTTGGGGTAAACGCCTTGATCATCGTAATACGTAACGCTCTTACGTAGGTATGGGACAAGGGGTTCCCAAGTCCACTCCTTCCCACCATACTCCTCCCACATATCAAAGGTGGCCTTGGATCCAGGCGCCCAAGTAAAGTAGTTCAAGGACGAACTGCCGCCGAGAGCCTTGCCGCGGGTATTGGGCTTTTCGACGCGCTCATAATCCTCACGCTTCACCATGGTCGTCTTGTAAGACCAGTCGTATTTGCTGTTGCGGAGACCCATAGCCTCCGCAGGTGTTCGGATCTCATCAATGTTTATGGAGTCGGCAGTACCGGCTTCAACAATGAGGACCTGAGCATTGGGACTCTCAGCCAGGCGAGCAGCCACGATGTTACCAGCTGTGCCCCCACCGACGACAATAAAGTCGAACCGAGCGCCGTTCTTGACAGACATATTAGGCTGGTTGTTTTGAGAAAAGTGTTTAGCTATTGAATCGTTGTGAGAATAGGAAGAGATGAAACTTGTTCAAATTGTCAGACAATCGAAAAGAGGAAGAGGATTGATTGAAACTTGAGGCACCTCCTACCTTTATACATAAACAAAGCCATATACTTCTCTCTATCTTCATCTTTCTCCGGGCAAACTCATCACACGTCACAGATGCAGCGTGAGAGCCGGACTTGAATGATCTCGCCAATAAGGGGGAGAAGCTGTAATTGCCGGATTAAATTCGGTCATTGTTGGGAGTTCAGATTCGTCGAAAATGGAGTTTAGGATTTCTGTATGCGCAAATCACTCGAGGTCGCTCTCTTCGTGGGTCATCAGCACCTCAGAATTTGGCAGAGCGAGGAATACAAGACCGGGCGAAACCATAGAACATAGCGACTTTGTGGGGTAGATGAGCAGATAATACGCTTCTGATTGGGCCATTTGCAAGCCAAGCTGGTCAGGTTCTATCACGAGATTTCCGGCATGTCCGCGATATGCAATGTGAGTAGTCAGCGATCCTGCAACGAGATCCGTATAGGTCGTCTATAGAATCCCAACTACATGACAAGCGCTGTGCACTTCGTACTAGACTAGTATCCACTATTGATCCAGAAATCCTACTGTATTAGGTATGACTAGATCTTGAAGTACTTATACTGAATCTAGCTAGGCTGTTTCCACCATTCGCCAAGAAGTCAACCCGGATCAGGTGTGACTAGCACAGTAGATGACAAAATACTCGTACCAAATCCGGCTTAACGTTGCCTGGCTGCTTACATGTTTGCGCATTGAACTAATGCAGCTGCTAGAAATTTCAGCCCATTTTCTGACAACCAATTGGGGAGAGCCCAGAGTCGGGAGATGTGCAATAGGAAACGGGGGAACTCAGCTGTCAGGCAGATCGGCATTATACCTGCTTTGTGACCGATGTTGGTGGGAAGTTGTGACGCATGAAACAATATACCGCGATGCAGTATCAAACCCAGATCATTATGCACGCTGTGCATCACACTAGGTTAGCAACTTGGCCTAAGAAAGGACTCGGTAAGCTAAAACTTGTAGTGCAGACTATGAACATAGGACAGCCTAGCGATAACCCTGGTTCCGTCCGTCAGGTGCGCTATGGCAATACCAATGGTGGCCTGGTCGTACTGGCAGACGTTCAATTAGTCGAGGTGCTTGCCCACTTCGCCCGAGAGCGTATTCCTGAACGGTACGTCAAACTCTGCAATGAATGTCGGAAACTTTAGCATATCAAACCTGCTGAATACGAAAACAGAAGCGTTCACGCCAAAGCAGCTGTGGCCTTTGGTCAATTTGAGGTTCTTGAAGACATCTCAGATCTGACGGACGCGAAATTTCTTACTGGCATCGGAAAAACTACCAAGCTACATACTCGTATGTCTACTGTGGGTGGTGAGAATGGGTCTGCCGATACGGTCCGCGATGTCAGGGGCTGGTCGACCAAGTTGTATACCGAAGAGGGAATTCAAGATTTCGTTTTCAACGACCTCCCTGTTTTCTTCATTCGAGATCCAATTAAGTTTCCTTCAATGAATCGTAGCCACAAAAGGCACCCACGAACAAATATTCCCGACAACACTATGTTTGGGGATTATCATGTCAACAACCCGGAAGGCATCCACGCGATTATGCATCTCTTCGGACAACGCGGCATTCCCACATTGTTGAGACATATCAATGGTTTCAGCGTCCATACTTACACATTGAATAAGGCCGTAAGTAACTCTTCTGCGCGTCTGATGCTGGAAATTCTTACACAACGATATCTCCCAAGATAGGACTTATGTTTATGTGAAATGGCATTTCCGGCCTGAAGGGGGCATTGAAACCATGGATGCGGAGACAGCTGCGCGTTTGGCGGGTACCAAGCCAGATTACCATGTTCAAGACTTGTTCGACGCCATCGAGAGAGGAGATTATCCCAAGTGGCTGGTGTATGTTCAGGTCATGACACCCGAGCAGGCACAGTCCGCGCCGATCGACATATTCGATGACACATTCACTTGGCCGCATAGCCAATATCCGTTGCGACTAGTGGGCAGGATAACTCTCAATAGGAATGTGAGAGATTTGAGTCAATACGCTGGCCAAAATATGTATGACTAACTCGCCACAGCCTAATAACTACTTTCAGGACATTGAACAAGCCTGCTTCTCGCCATCAAACATGGTACCAGGTATTGGTCCTTCCGCTGACCCAGGTACGATGTTCTTCCAGACCAAGTCCGGGAAAATGTCAACTAACGGTAACACAGTTCTCCAGGCAAGGATGTTTAGTTATCCAGATGCTCATCGCTATCGAGTCGGTCCCAACTACTTCCAACTGCCTCCCAATTGTCCTCACTCGCACGTGTACTCGCCATACGTACGGGATGGACCGAGCACCATCAATGGAAATTACGGTGGAGATCCAGACTACGTGTTTTCTAGCGTCCAGCCCGTCACATATGCTAAGCGAGTTCGGGTCCCAACGCATGAGACTTGGTCAGGACAAGTCACTGCATTCTCAACCGCCATCACCGACAAAGATTTTGTACAACCTCGTAAGCTTTGGAACATCATCTATCTAGATCCTGATGTGAAGGAGCAGTTTATCTGTAACATTGTCCACACTTTAGAAGGTGTTCCGTCCGATCTCCAACAACGAATTTTTAGTAAGTCGGTGTTCTATTTTCGCCACTTCTTCCTTATTACATTACTGACGTGTAATATCTTTTTGTAGATTATTTTGGTTGCGTTGATGAATTGATAAAGACGTCCTTAGAAGAAGCAATGCAGAAACCCCTCTCGTAAAGTTCTGATGTTATTTGGACTATTTTTTGAAATTTAATGCAATACAACATCAACTGTGTATTGTCTTCCTATTTTATTGTCATCTGGATAAGATTGAGACAGTCATCATAAACCATGTTGTAATTGGAATGCTCCACGAAATTAAATAGTAATTCTGCCTGTTCTTGTAGTTTTCCACCAGGCAATTTCACCAGCCTGTATGGGCATTCGAATGGCTGTATATGAGTTTTCTGTGTAGCTTAATAAAAATGACTCTTTTCGACTGCCATAATTCTCTCCACCAAAATAAATGAGCATAATAATGATCAGTAGTAACACAAGATCTAGCACCGGCGTAGTCGCCTATTGACGTCCATCGTAACTTCGAATCACTGCCCACACACTTGACGATACGACTCGTCTATATGATAGGGTTCGTGCTTCTTCTAAACCACGTCCTGGCCGGCTCAGGTCATCGACCAGGCACGGATAAGCAACTTGAAGCTCAGTTAGGTGTATTGGAGATACGACAAATCATATCGATGCTAATCGTGATCAAACCTCGATCCTCGTCAATTGTTCAGAAATGCGATGATTCCCTTGGAAATTCGCATCTCTTGACTACCTATTCGGCAACGAATTAGTAGTTTGCAAACATTGCAGAACATCCAAACCTTTACAAATGGATGGTCGAAAAACGGACTGACGTTAAGCAAACAGCAACAAATGACGCCCCTGGCCGTAGTTCAACTGAACATCTTTCTCTTGGCAAAAGCCAACTTGATGCTGCATTATACTGCAAAATGGGACTCAATTTCTTTTGTTGAATTTCTAATGTCCAGGGCCCTTGTGCATGACCGTCCCCTCGGTGGAACCCACGGCTGTCATATCTCGGCTAGGACCTGACTAACCTAGGGTAGGACACTCTCCAGCCCCTCGGAAAGATAAATTGATAATCAATCTATGGCGCTGAGTAATACCCGCAGCGGCGATGCAGCCTGTGCAGCAGGTCAATCAAGATATATAGCAGGTTGACTAACTCTTCTCGGCACTGAGCCCTGCTCACGTACCAAAGCTAAATCAAATGTACTTACAAAAAGAAAGAGCGTACCGCCATCACTGGGAGTCTATGGAAGACTATCGTCGCCGCCGCCAAAATTATGGCTTAATGACACAATATCAGACCTTGAAAGTAACTTGTCCGATACCCACAAGCTTGTTAAATAAGCTCTTTTCGCTATGATCAAAAAAACACGGACTTCGTAATACTATAACCTAGGTCGACCAAAATTTATCACCACTAATGTGATCGTTATAAATAGGACGGAATCACCATCTTTATCCATTAGATCTACGTGAACCAAGGTATTCATATTTTGGGTTAAGTACCTTGGAAACCGTGAGTAAGCTAACATACACTTTAGGTAGTCGATCTGCGGCAAACCCTAGTTGACCTGCTGCATCTTCTTTCCAGTAATACCGTTTAATACTGCCCTATTCGGTAACTCCGATTGACCATTATTCCCTGGCGGTGGGCTCTGTGCTTGGGTCCCGTCTGTCTGCTGTCACTGAACGCATCCGATTGATAGAAACGAGCAGAAAATTTCCGGTTAAGGTATTTTGGAAGAGCGCTTCTCCATGTGATGGTTGACTATGTTAGTCAGTCTACTATGGTATGGAGGGTTAGAGAGGGTAACGGGGTACGTACCAGGTCAATTGCATGGGTGGTTTTCCGCGATGTTAAGCTCCGAGCCATTTGCACCTTCTCTTCGAAAGAACTCGCCCCACTGCCCTTTTCAAGGCCTGATACCATAGTAGGGCTTTCAGTGACGTGAACTGTGGCTGTGTTTGATTCTGCCCCACAATGGCTACATCTGGACGAAACATAACATAGCTCTCATTTCTGAGTATGAAAAGTGATAGTCCGTGTTCACAAGCATAAATACCGAAATGCGCATGTATAACAAGTTTTCACCGTTGTCTTTGGTTGTGCGAGTCCAATTACTTACATGTCAAGCAAGGTGCTCTGGACCTGGCAACACGAGAGGGGCAATACAGTATCTATTTCGAAATATTACTGTTTCACATCCCTACATAGCGCAGAGAAGCCAGTCTACAAGCGCTAGTCGCGGTGTTGTCATGCCTCCGCCGACGACAGATGTTTCTCTGACAAGATCAGCCACCTTCCTGGTCCTAACTATTACCGACCATCCGGAATCTGCGCAAAAGGTCAGGTCGACGCTGGCTGGCCTAGGAGACCTCGCAAAAAACATCGCTGCACGTGATCCCGACGCCCGCTTTGCTTGTACTGTGGGCATCGGCGCATACGTATGGGACAGAATCATACAAGCTCCTCGACCAGCCGAACTTCACCCGTTCCAAGCAATCTCTGGAAGTAAGCATGAAGCTGTCGCAAGTCCAGGGGACTTGCTTTTCCATATTCGCGCGGAACGCCGAGATATGTGTTTTGAATTCGAGCGCCAACTTATGGATCGTTTAGGCTGCGCTGTTATGCTGGTCGACGAGACTGTGGGATTCCGCTATTTCGATTTACGAGATCTTCTTGGCTTTGTCGATGGCACTGCAAATCCGGTTGGGCCCTATGTGCCTCAGGCAATATTGGTTTCCGAAGAGGACAAGGCCGCAAAAGGCGGCACGTATATTGTGGTACAAAAGTATGTGCACGATCTGCAGAAATGGCGGGCTATGTCAACGGAGCTACAAGAGGCTGTCATTGGCCGCACTAAGTTCGACAATATCGAGCTTGAAGATGCCCCCGGTGGAAAGCAAAAGTCCCATAAAGAACTGGCAACGATTACAGACGCGGATGGAAACGAACACGAAATCTTTCGAGACAATATGCCTTTTGGATCACCGGCTTCTGGACAGTATGGGACCTACTTCATTGGATATTCTCGCCATCTTTGGGTCATAGAGAAGATGTTAGAACGAATGTTTGTTGGAGAGCCGCCGGGTCTGCACGACCGCATTCTGGAATTTTCTAAGCCTTTGACGGGCACGACATTTTTCGCGCCAGCATCCAGCCTCCTTGATACTCTAGATTAGATTCTAGCATCTCGATCGTTTCCTATACGTCTTTCGTTAGCTATTCCCTAGTAGATGACATTTGTTTCATATAGCATACATGCACCTAAAATCGGCAAGTCTTGAACAAAGGGCAATCCTCCACGCTGGGTCACATTTCTATGTATTCTATGAAACTCCATGCGCTTATCAAGTCGTGGTACCACCGCAATCATAGTCGTCCATTCGTAGCAATTATCATGACCGCTGAGAACCTTTCAATCCGCTTATTCTTGGTAATAACCGGAATGACCACCAGTGATGAAACAAATGTGGTATCAGCAGGTTGCACTGACTTACCTCTAAGATTAAGCAGTGTTTGCGATACGGGTAATAAGTTGCGGACATCCATGCAGATACCCAAATCAACCACATCCTACCGTGAAGACGTTGTTGCTCGTTTCATATTTGAGGCCTACGCTGAACTGGATTTCACCAAACGAGCATACCACAGTATGATATGATTTGGCACCACAGGTCCTGCAACCAGTACAGAAGTATGTTCAACATTGCAAATAACTTCTTTGAATCGTAATGGAACTCTGCTGAATGATAACTGGTGGAGTATGATTATACTTCTCTTAGTGCCATTGATTGTCATTGCGACACTCGCAGCTGCATTAATTCGCTTTTAAGACACGATTAAAAAGCGGATACAGCTAGGCTCGATTTAGTACAAGTATTTTGGCATCTAGTTGTACCTGATACAGTATAGCTTCCCATTGACATGCTGTGGTCGAACTCTATAAGCTGATGTACGTCATATGTATTAGTGAACCAACACAGCGATGATCAAAGCAGTCCAGCGGGGCTCTATATGGTTGAGTTTCGCCGCATTGACGAGTATTTGGTGAAAGATCAACAATATTGAAAGCTGCCCATGATGTATCATTAGTGGTTCCATCCGGTCTGGCTACGGGTAACCGGATTCCCAATTTTACAAGGAAAGCTACAGTGTCCTGAGCTGGAGTCCAATGATATGACGGCGCACAAATCACGAGATCTGTAACCTGCCGTACCATGCTTTGAGTCTCGTTCTGACCAAATTTTGTAGCATGCCAGAGCCATTGCCCAAACCGACTTCCTCGATCACGCGCCCTTGTTTTGATTACATAGTAGACACAGTGGGGTATTTGATCTTCTGGTCATTATGCAATTTTGGGCGAAACTACAGGCACAGCTTATTACTATGTTTAAGGCCATTCGCCAGAATGTCAGGCACCCACGCTTCTGCTGGTCATTGCAGTAGTGTTGCGTTTTATGTTGCAACAAGCCTGAATTCAGGTGGAATGCAACCCAAGCACGCCTTAACAAATTGACGTGCGTAGCTTTGAAAGGCATAATGCATACAACGTACACGAGGGGGTCAGCGAGGTGTGGGGACTCGGCCGATATAGGATGGGGTTCTGTGGCCGTAACGCGAGGCTAAGGCTTTAACCTTAGTAATAACCCGACCTGTTACGGCCCAGCCCCACCTCACTGAACATCATCCAAGAGCTTGAGCGTACGCTTTCTATGGTGGCCTTCAATGAATCCCTCTGCATAGCGCAGACAACGACTTGCGGGTACGAGGCCTGAAGAGACGTTTGATGGATGGAACTGTTAGCGAGGGCCGTACAGGCCTTCGATTTATGTTTGTACATGACAGCATGCATGGTAGCACACGAAGTCATGCAATGCGCGAGTATTGGAGGCGTAGGCGAAGAAACGAACAGCAATCAGCGTCTACTTCCTCCCACGGTAAGCAATATTCACTTCCCGGATTCGTATCATCGGCACTCACAGGCATCTTAAGCGTCTAGTTCATCTGCCCAGGCAGATAGACTCCACCACCTATCAGATTCCGCCGTCAAAGTAGCCAGACAGGACATTCCTCGTGGTATTCCAGGACAAATCCTTGCTGGCATGGATCGTCTACTCGCATGTGGCCGCCTGGACCCATTCGATTCATTTCCTGTGCAGCTTACTCCGGAGCATCATAAGCTGATACATCATTGTACAGTCCCTAATCTTTATTCGTCTAGCACTTTTTATATCCAGGCGTGGCAGTGCACAACTTCCCACGGCCGCTCTACTCAAGTAAGTGGGTATGTCGAGGCACAGTCTAACATGTTTTGGAGCAGGGCTTAGCACTTACGCCGGTATGGTCTTCGGAGCACACCCTACAGACTCGTTCAATCCTATGATTGACGTATGGTTTCCGTTAGACTTGTCGAATGCTGCATCTTTCAATGCAATCATGGCACATGCGGCAGCCCATCTCAATATGATGCAGGGGAAGAAACGCTCAACTGAAGCGTTGCGGTTTAAGAATGAGGCTATTCGTATCATCAGCGACTGGATGACAGCATCTTCTGGATGTCCAAACGATGAGGTGTTTGCTGCTGTTGTTAGACTGTTGACGTTCGAGGTATGTCTCTACTTTTCGTTGCTCGAACTCTGAGCAATCATGTGTCAAGCGTTTCAAGGACTGAACCTTGATTGACAGAGATATTGGGGGGTGGAACACGAGTGGACAGTGCATCGTCAAGGCCTAGCAAGTATGACACAAGCTCGAGGTGGCATCGCTGCGCTGAAAGACAATTGGAGACTTCAGCTTGTCGTTTATCTGTACGTGCTCCTGGCCAGCCTGCCATCCCAACTTGATCGTCACTCATGGGGCTGACCCGTGGACCCAGTATATCACTCATGTCCAAACCGTCTTGGTTCGACAGTTCCAATGAAACCGGCATCGTATCATTGGCAACAAATTCAACCCCTCTCATAGGGAGCACCGAAAATTTGCATCGATTACGATGTCTTTGGCTGTTGTCTTTCGTTCAAGACATGACAAATTTTACGAAAAGGCTCCACATGGTTTCTCCCAAAGGGTTGACACCCCTGAAGAGTGTGGAACGTAGCGTGCAACTTCTACAAAAGTCCATGTTAGTTTTCAATGTATGTTTGGATGAAATTCAGCAAGGTGACCTCGCTGCCAAACAGCTTCAATGTTTATTTTTCATATGCGTGCTGTTGCAAGACAATCGACATACTACAGTCGAGGCCAACCTATCAAGTTCAAACAAGCATACATCACGTCTCACCCAATCAGTTCCTCTCATAGAACGACTTGATATATTCCTGGAAGAACATCAGATCTACTGGGAGCAATCGGTTGTGCATCTCCATCAATTGCTATTCGACAATTATGTTGACGCCGACCTGGCCAAAATAGCCGATTATGCGATGCATATGACCGAAGTACTTCTCGCATTAAGTACAGAGGCGCGTTATGGGGTTCAGGTGTGTTTGGTGAACATATTATTAAGAGACAATATTGAGGGCAGAGATGACTCATTATACGGTGACGAAACTCCAGACTCTTTATTATCATCTTTACATAGATGGTAATACGGAGAATTTCTCAATTGATATAAATTTAGTCGATCATTGCACAACCTAGTGACTGGGCTGGGTAACTTGGGTTTCGAAGCTTAGCCGCGGGAGAGTTGAAAAGACAAAGTGGCATCATTATCGGCACTACTAATGCTTTAACTACGGTTGGCGGCAACAAGACGGTTGAACCGTGACGAGGTCACGATATTACATGCCCTATACATATCTCTTCTTATGTTGATGCAATGAATCCAACACATACTCATGATCCTGCGCCTCTGTGAGTGCAGGTTACAGAACAAGTAAACCACTCTACTCCAAAGAAAACCTGCAGATTAGCCATAAGGCAGGTTAGGACCTGAAAGTCTTCATTTTCAATTCGATCTCTGGAGTCACATTATGACAAGGCTGGCTAAGCTCCCGCGGATTTTCTTTGATCTACTTAAGTCGTAGGCTACCATGCTTGCGTTTCGTCTGCGCTTGACGGGCTGAATATCCAGCTTGGGAAATGAGGACGTTGACTCCGGTTTTGACCAGGCACCGAGAGCTGGGAGAGAGTGGCCGGCACTTCCTAGACCGAGATTAGCATCGTTTTGTATAACGAGGTTTCAGCTGTTAGCTAAACGCTTTCCCCTACGCACTGAAGTCCCCAGCAGCTATGTTGGCGAATGTGATAACCAGAGCAAGGCGAACACGCATTACTGTAAATTAAACTCCACTGCTTCTAAATACAGATACGGCCAAGATAGCACAAACGCCATTGCTCGCCTCAGGTTGCTTGGCTCACGCCTATGCTCTCTTAGGCTCTTTATGCTAGTCTAATCTCTAAAAGACTTCTGCCCCTTCTTCCATTCCTATAGAGGTCACTGAAGTATGTGCTTGCTGAACCATAGCAGAATAAACGAAGAAGCAGAAGCAGAAGCACAACTAACACTAAACAGTGCGCGCTTCCGTACGTTGGAGGAGTGAACGAAAGCTGTAACGATCGCCCAGTCGTTAGGGCTGCCAGCCACTATATATCAGTCCCGTCCGTCCCATCGTCAGTTAGTCCGTTAGTTTGCAGTCTTGTTCCAACCCAAGTCTTTGGTTTCCGTCGTCGCACCTCACCTACGTCGCCTACTTGTCGTGACTGTTCCGTAGTCATTACAAAAGCCAACGTGGTCGCCTCACCGTCTTCACGCGGGTGAACTCGAATGACAAAAGCAAGCCAAAAGAATGTGGTAGCGCTAGATATCGAAGTATAACTCGATAATTTGGTTTTATTGTCGAAGAACTTATCGAATCTCATGTCGAATTTATGACTCTCTATGATTGGTCCTTAGCATCTCTATGTGCCTACGTAGTATTCATTCAACGATATAGCGGGAGTATCAGCCTCTCAACCTCATGCGACAGGTTATGCACTCAGGATGAAGCGAGTATTGTCTTTCACTGCTATTGTCTCGGAAGCGCTTAATGATGGACTTCAAACCCCGAGGATAGCCCCGTAATATTGTTCCGAAGGCTCCGACGTTGCCGAAATTTAGCTCCAGACTAGCCTAAGGTTAGGTTAGCTAGGTCGCTCACTAGCCGGGCCTTTAGGCTGTCTCCCATTAGGCATTTCCTCGCTCATCCCCTCGAAACAATATTAGTTCGTGGTTTCAACATACCGCATGTTGTAATTGGTATTCTATCATCATGAAACGGTTTTTCCTTTTGAACACTTGACCAATCACATACAACACCGCCGCAGTCCTGATGATCAAGCTATGCTCGGACAGCCCGCAAAAACAAAGGTCTGAGCTCTCAAGACTTTGAGAAAAATATGATGGACGCTAACATACAAAAGCAGTGACAAAGTAAGACTGCCTTGGCGTCCGGTCTGAACAGCGCAACGCGATGGGGCAAAGAAAGAGATTAGAGGAATTCAAGTTCTTCTCACAATTGCCCTCCGAGATTCGAGTCAAGATCTGGCGCAGCTCTTTCGAACCACGCGTCTTAGAACTGCATTCTAGTCGGGCCCATTATGCTGTCAGAAAACCTTCTCTATGGTTTTCGCGCTGTGTAAACCCCGTAACTTTGTTTGTCTGTACCGAGTCACGTACAGAAGCCCTCTCATTTTACACTGTCGCGCTCCCGCTGGGTGATGAATGCGGAATTTCCCTATACGTCAGTCCGGCCGTCGATACGCTGGTGGCTTTGGGTGAAGTAGACTACCATCAGACCCACGCGCTACTATCCCTAATTGCGTCCCTAGATCCTACAGGCCAGGGGTTACAGCGCTTCGGCCTCAGCTTTGCCTGCTGGACTTATACGTTTGCTGGTGCTACGCTTCGAGCTTGCTCCAAGACAATCTTTAAAAGCCTGGAACAATTTGTATTAGTCATGTATACTGACTTCTTGCCACCAGCTGATTTCAAAGGAGGATCTTGCTACTTAGAGGACTGCGAAAGAACGGACCAGTTTACTCAATTCGTCAGAGAGTGGGGTACGGAATTTAAAAATGGGAATGAATGGATGACGGTCGGTAGAAGCGAGATGCAAATTATGAATTTAGGGTTCTTTCACAGAAATTAGTATCATTATAATAGAAGCAAGCTGTATTAGAGGAAATAACGTCGCCAGCTCTTGCTTTTTAGGTCCGACCTCAAGTTGGTGGAGAGATTGAGAATTTGACTGTGCAGCCCATGGGGGGATGCTATACTGGTATCCCTACACCTAATCATGTCTGTTCACGTGAGGCTGCACTATTACCATTGCCTTCGTTGCAAACAGCATATTCTTCAATCTAGCAGGTGCAATTTTGCTTCTCGAGGACGACCACTTAACAAAAATGACTCAGGTCTGATATCGAATTCATGTTAAAGAGGTGCTATTATATTTACATCCTCCATGGGGAAGACCAGGTTCACACCGAGAACAGCTACATTACTTGACGGGAAAAACCAGCATAAATTTCTCTTTTATATACCTAATGAGCATGATCTGTTCCTCTTATTTTACTCTATCCCTAAGATGTATATCCAAGGGCTTCCCACCTTGCAAGCACCTTATCTTGGATCTCTGGAGGGAAAGAGTTTTTAAAATCAGCCGCCTCCCAATTTCGCCCCGCCGTGTATTCAATAGGCAGCAATGCGTCCGACACAACCTTTCCTCCTTTATCTCGAGGCCCGTTACCATGAGACATATAGGGAATCAGCGGGAAGCCAGCCACGTCCTCGAAAAGGTATTCATCGATACCCGGACGACAGCGTGTGCTGAATGCCCAGATTACATCCTTGAAGTCATAGACATCAATGTCATCACCAACAACGACGAGTCGGTGGATTGTATACCCAACCTTGTCCTTGAAAACGATTTCACCAATCTGGTTACAGAACTCCTTTGGCGTGGTTTTCATTGCGCGAAGTTTCTCCGTATCAACTTGCAAAACGACCCATGTAACCTGTGACTCAAATGGAGAAAATGCTTCCTTGATGGGCAGCCCCTTCGATTTCAGGAGGAACCCAATCTCAGCTGCCGCAAGGGGACCGATCATAGTGTGCTATCATGCGCGATTAGTATTACCAAACACTATATAGCTTTTATCAAACTCACAGTCTCGTCAGTCAGTCTTCCGCAGTTTGAGACTGGCAGAATGGCGTCTTTACGGTGTGTGATCAATTCAACATCATATTTGGGCCACGGGTGAGTGTCTCCAGGGAAAACGTAGCTTGAGAACGAGTCAGTTAAATAGTTGATGCGGCGGCAACGAGGCAGAGAGGCACTTACCCATGCATTTCGCCGAAGGGCCCTTCTGGCACCCTCTCTGTGATTGAGCAAGTTCCCTCGAAAACAATCTCAGCGTTGGCGGGGACATAAAGGTTGTTCGTTTCGCACTTCACAACCTGTAACGGCGCACCGACAAGTGAACCAACATATTCAGCTTCCGAGAGACCCGTTGGTAGAGGCATGCTTGCAGCCATGATAGCAGCTGGGGGCACACCAAAGGCCAATGCCCATGGCATATCCTTCCCGACCTTCTTCCACATTTGGTGTATTTGCCAAATATGCTGAGGTTCGATTACAAGACCGCCCAATTCATTTTTCCCGTGTACCATAGCACGAGCAATCGACCAGTTGGTCCACTTTCCATCTGGAGACTGAACAATATGCATGCCGTAGGTTTGGATGTATTTACCACCATCTGCTTTGTGCAAGAATGGAGATGGCAGTTCATTCAAGTCAAAATGATCTGGAGTAAGCTGAAACTCCTTGCATGGACCAGTTTCGACGATCTGGGGAGGGATAGGAGTAGCTGTTTTCGCAGCAATCATCTTATTCAGTATGTCCCTCATTGAGACTGTGGGCTTCAGGCCTAGATGTCGAGCCAATCGACCAAATCTCTGCTTGGGATCCGATCTCAATGAGTTTGGCGCGCCGAGAATACGCCAGAGCCCGTTCTCATTTTGACCCTTCAGCTTGTTGAACAAAGGCGCCTTTTCATCGTTTTCTACCACTTTCCGAATGATAGCACCGACTTCGAGGTTTGGGTCGCATTCTTCATTGATATCGACCAAGTCGCCATCGTCTCTGAGGGCTTGGACGAATGATCGAAAGTCCATGGATGGGGTTGAAATAGTCGACATTGTCAAAATATCAAGTAAATAAAGTTGTGTTGTTTTGGTATCAAACTGTGTATATCGGATTCATGTCGTAACTCTTCGACAATGGTGAAAATACTTGCCTCATATACCTGTTTACAGCGTCCCTTTTTGTCGAGGTGTCCCGGCGGAAGGAAGCGGTACTCCGAAGCCTCCGAGGTGTCCGAGATTACAATTGAGTACCAGGGTGCTGGATAACACGAGTCAGCAGGCCTTAGAAATGATTTCACGGGTACTGATGATCGTCGCCAAAACGTTTTCTGTTCAGTGCCGGAGCTCCCGTTGCCACCACTGTGACTAAACTGGGGTAGACAACTAAGGTTAAAGACATTGTTCAATGGCAGCGAGGGCCTCCGAACTTTTCCGACCAGGGAGCCGGACATGCAAAGTAATAAATAAAACCACTATCACAGTTAGCAGAACACAACCTCTAGATCGATATAGATATCACGAATGCTGCACTGTACCCCCTACCGCAAAACATAAACTATTCCGCCACCCAAAGCTAACGCATCATTGCTGTCGACATATCTTACTTGCACCACCTACACAAACTATGGCAAAGCAACCTCAAGACCGGAAACGCATCATTGTCGCAATTACAGGAGCGACTGGTGCCCAGATTGGTATTGAGATTTTGAACACCCTCCGTCATCTCAATATTGAGACCCACCTCATAATCAGCAAGTGGGCGGGAGAGACGATCAAGTACGAAACGGACTACACAGTAGCCGCCGTGCGCAGCCTGGCAGACCATTCATACAATTCGTATGACCTCGCTGCCCCGATCTCAAGCGGCTCTTACCGTGTAGATGGCATGATTATTGTCCCTTGCTCGGTCAAGACACTCGCCGCCATTAATGCCGGCATATGCGACGACTTAATCACTCGAGCTGCCGATGTATGCTTGAAAGAACGACGACGGGTTGTGCTTTCAGTGAGGGAAACACCGCTTAGCGAGATCCATCTCAGGAATATGCTAAGTGTTACAAGAGCTGGGGCTATTATTGCGCCCCCAGTAATGGCGCTGTATACGAGACCATCAACGATTGAGGATATTGTAAAGCAGATGGTTGGGCGAATTCTTGATTTATTTGACTTGGATGCGCGCAATTTTGAGAGGTGGGAAGGTATGCGGAAAGACAATTAAGATTACAGTGAGCGTAACCAAACTAGAGATAATTAAGAACCAAATTCACCTTGGAAGAGAGAAGTGCAAAAAATTGAAACATCGCATCTACATAGTATAATACTAGTGTTCGTTTTATGCATTTATGAGGGATGCTTCTAAGGGGGTGTGACGGCAGAGCAAACTAGGTTAAATGAATGCGATTTAGTTAGCATGCGGGTATTTCTTCTGCACCTTGGTTATATTCTCTGCCTTGTTCACTCCAGTTATCCTATTGAGCTTAGTAGGCACCCAACGGGAACCAATCAGCTAGCTCTACGGTATCTACAATGTCATTACCAAGAACAACGCCACAACCCAGCAATGCCGGTAATGCCGACTCGTCTTCAAGGGACCTCAAAAATGTACTTCGAGAACGGCAACAGGGGCGCAGCTTAAGATCATGCCTCCCTTGTCGCGAGAGAAAGGTCAAATGTGACCACCAACTACCATGTGGCACGTGTAGCAAACGTGGTCATCCAGACCTGTGTTCCTATCTGGGTTCTGGTACTCGAAGATTACGGCTCGGTGCCGACGCCCATGGCAGCCCTCGCCGTGCGAGGTTACACCAGTCAGCCCAAAGTGAGACGCAGTCCAACGACGGCGTACCGTCATTTTTGAATAATGATCCTCATCTAGATCCGGCTCCGAGGATAGCCGCGTCATCCTCTGAAAGAGAAAGAAACTCCATTCTCAACCAGAACGTTACCAATAACGCCGAGCCCACGCTGCTAGGAGATATCTCAATCGTTCCGACAGCGCTCGGACTTTCATCGTCGCCCGCAGGGGATTTTGAGCGTCGAAATGCTTACGAGAAGGGTATTCTACCTTTATTAGGACTGGAGGACGACGAAGGTGTGCCAACTGCGTTGCCTCACTTCGATAATGAAGTCCTCTACAATTCTCTACCGAGCGATCAAGATATGGTGAGCCTCTTTGAGACTCATCGATTGCGCTGCAACCCCTTTCATATTATCACTTATGACATTGAAGAGGTCCAGAGCAAGCTTTGTAACTTGATCAATACTCGGAAAAAGGCAGGTGCAACGATGGGGGCACAACTACAGGGCGATCTTCGATGGGTCTGCTTGCTCCATGCAATACTCGCGGCCGGTGCGCAGTCATCTGACTTGCCGCTCGAGCGTCGATTGTCATTATCTCAAAGTCACAGTAGGTTACTCGCCTGGAAGCATCCACTTGCGCGGAACTAATCTGTCATGAAAGCAACGCGGGCGTTTGAGTCGCTGAGGGCCTCCAACTATCTAGCAAGTCCATTTAAAGAAGCTCTGCAGACGTTACTACTACTAAGCTACGTCCTTCAAAACGATATGAAACCACAAGCAGCTTGGGTGCTCCAAGGTAGCACTATTCGTCTTGCACTATGCCTAGGACTCCATAAGCAAGCACATCAGACCAGGAATTCACCAATACCATCTGATGAGGCGAGACTTTTGCGGTATGTGTCTTGAATCTGGTGTGGTCGAGTCGCTGATGATGTTTTAGCCTTGCTATTGTCTGGCAAGATACATTGCTATCGCTCGCCTTTGATCGTCCCCCGGCTTCTTATGACTTCGACTTCGATGAAGACTTACCAAGCTTACGTTCTGACGCCATATCTGGAACGGTCACTTATCGCCAGGGAATGTCTTGGATAAGTCATCTCGGTCTCCGATACCTACCACGCCAACACCGGAGAAGCCCGGCTCTATCGGCCCGTTCTGCGACGGTTTGGCAAGATCTCGAATTGATTGAAGCGAATGTATTGCCACATTTGAAGGATGCGCAGCTCTGCAGCACGATACAGGAGATTCAAGAATATTACTCTTTTAGACTCCATCGCAATTTCTTCGCAGCAACAGTTTGCCGCCATTTAGTGTCACCAAATGGTGCCATGGAACTAGGTTCTGATGATCAGTTATCCATAGTGTCTAAGGTCCAAGATGCTTTGAGGCATGGTGCGCAGGCTTATCTGGATCTACGTTCACTGTCAACCTATGCCAGGCATTCCTGGGCATTCATCCATAATGGTCTAGCTTCGGTGCTATTGCTTAGCCTCCTCCCAGACACGAGGTGTACAGCTGAAACAAAAAGATTGCAAGACGACTTCATCAACGGCCTCAAGGCATCGACAAGCTCGGACTGTGATCTAATGCCGATCAGCTATTTGTCAGTCACTCTCAGAAAGGCTTTAAAGGCTCTTGTAAGCCTCCAGAAACTTGCCGATCAGGAGACCAATGCTTCACTGCGAGTTCATAATACAGTTCCATTGGGTGGTACGATACAACCATTTGAGCAATCTTGCGACCCGGGTACAGTGAATGAAAGGCACATCGAAGTTGATGGAGATAACACGAAAGAAATAGAGTATGCACTCTCGCCCTCATATTGCATGTTCTACAACGCTAACTTCTGCAGCGCATGGGCCATGGGTGGCTGGGATATCCCACTTGACTTCGATATCTCGCCTCTTCAGACATTCGATTATATAATGTCTGATCCATACGGCATAGGCGATAACATGTAAACTTCTTACCCTTAGCTAAGCGAATGCACTGTACGCGTAAAGACCACGAGCGCCGTCAGTGTGCAGGTAGCCCAAAGCTACCAGAGTCAAACAGTTTGCGGACTATTGTAAATCATATTTCAACCGTGTCTTCGATGTTACCTATAGCTCTAGTGATTGTAAAGCTGCGTATGTCCAATTATAATCTAGATGAAGCCACCTTAAAGCTTCTCGCGGGCGCGACTTTGTCGGCTGTTTGCCATACTATGATGCAGATAATTTACAGACAGCGGTGCACATATTTACCCTATCTTGGGTCGCTCCCGACTATAGACAATAAAGCTAGGCCAATTTACACGTCAACAAACTAAGCTGCTTTCCAACCGAATATCGATTCATAGGTTTTTGACATTAATACTGACACGCACAAATATGACAGAAACTATGCACTTTAGATATTCAAGAACGTAGAGCTCGAGCTTGTCCTGGAACACCGAATTCTGAAGTCCACCTAATCGGAACTAATATGGGATTTTAAATAATGATTTTATTAGCGTTCTGTCTCTTTTTATAACCACGTATTACAGGTATTTTCAACTCTTGGCTTAGGAGGGCACGGGCGATTTAGCCCTCGACAGCTTCGTGACATCGTATGTCAAACCGTCCATGTAATCAATAGACCGTTCCCCGTCTCTCCAACCCAGCCGCATCATAGCCCCAACACCATCCAAGACCAAGTCCAGGGATTCTCCTTCCGCAAACACTTTGGAACAGATGGCAGCAGGTAGCAGCCTATTTGGCTGTTTTTCACGCCAGCGCGCCTGCGGCTGCCCATCGCTATCAGCTTCGATCGTCCATTCGTCGGATTTCTCTACCCATCGACCCTGCCAGTCCTTCCAGTCTCCACGGGTCTCATGGTTGTGTAATTTCATTGGCGTGACGAACCACGTGCTTTGGCTGATGATGGCCCCCTGACGCCATCCCTTGAGGTAGTTGATAGTTTGCAGGGCCGTGTATGCCGGAAGGGTACCGTAAGATGAGTTGGTCATGACGACGATGCCGCACTCCCCGTTCAGGAAGTCCTTTTTTTGGCCTACAAGGTCGGCAATCCCCATGGCTATACATCTGTATCCTGGGTCGTTGGATCCGGTATGACCGAAGAAGGTGCCCGGGTCTTTCGGTGCAACCCACCCCAGACCCATCAGATTAGACTCGACCTCCGTGAGCATCCTTTTCGTTGTACCCGTCTTCAAGAAAGAGCTGTCGCTTCCTCTGAGGGACCGTTGTACGGCATGGAGAACCTTACATAAGTCACTCGGAGTCGTCCAGAGTCCAGCAGCCGCCAACTCGGGAAAATAATGCCAGTGTGGGCTGGGCGTAACACCGGTCCAATACGAAGGTGCTAATTTGACCCCATCTCCCGGCGTTCCGTAGTTGGAGTCATTCATCTCGAGTGGTCGCAACACCAGCTCGTCCATCAGCTCGGTGAACGGTTGCGAGGTGAGGTTCTCCAGCGCGATCTGCAGAAGGCTGTACCCTCCACCCGAATATGACCATTGCCGCCCTGGCACTCCGACTGCCTGAACTGGCATGGAGTTGACAGGATGCCTCCCGAGCACGACTTCAGTGGGGCTCGGATGGTCAGCATCACTATAGCCTATAAAACCTGAGGTCGTCAGCCCAGCAGTGTGGCTCAGAATATGCTCAATGGTGATCTCTTGGACCAAGGCAGCAGGCCCAAGATTATCGACTATGATCTGTGGTAAGAATCGTGCTATCTTGTCCTCTAGTTTCAGTCGGCCCTGATCCACGAGTCTCATGACCGCCAAAGCAGTGACGGGCTTGGATATACTGCAGGCTTGGAAACGCGTGTTGGTACCATCTCCGATGGTGGAGTAACACCGAGCCGAGATTTCACCATGATCGAGAACGGCAATCGACACGGATGGTGCGCCGAGCGAAGTAAAGAACTCGTTGGGATCAACCTGTGGGTTCTTTTGAGAGGATATGAGCTTATCCAGCTCATTAAACAACGACATTTTTAGCTTTTAACACCTGAACTATTCGAGGTCCGTTATATCACAACATACACTCATATAGTATCAAGAGTGAATTAGAGCAATCAGGGATAGAACTTTCATCGTAAGGACATTTTATAGACGACGTTACCGTGCAGCCTAAACAAGCGGGGTACTTTTCGTAAGCCGACCCTTGCTCACTTTTCGTGCCCTTTAGGTTACGCGCGTCCTGAACCGCTTTGAGTATCCAAACATGTTTCTTTACTTGAAAGACAAGGGCTTTGTTAGGCAGCTATATAATTAATATTGCCGTAATCGAGGAATATTTCGGAGCAGTTTCTCAATTTGCACTATTACAGGTTGCGGCCCTAGGGAGGTGAGTCAAGTTCTTCGCCATGTATCTGTTTATACCGAGCCAGAACTTTCTTTGCGCTGAGGAAAAGGATGTACCTGTTCTTTACCTATCCTAGATGCTCGCGATCAATACATGTATGATTCTAGCAGTCTAATTTGGTATGAAGTAGCACCTATATCGAGATTTATATTGGCACCTGGCATTCAAGCTTGATGGAGAGCCCAACGGATGGTTTTCGTGGGCCGTAGACCGCATTCCTCAGTGGACTGAGTGACACGGAGAAGTATGGGAGTGATGTTGTATAGCTGAAAGAGCGTAAGGAGCAAAGTAATCCATAGACTCATACCTATATACCTACACGTAGCAGGTGGCCTGGGAAGTCGCAAGCTGCATCCATGGTGGCCGCGCCCACCACAACGTATCACTGGATCGGATATGTCAGGTTTGTAGTCGGAGAAAATGAAGATACTACTTTGTAGGGATATGACATCCACATGCTGCATATATAATTGCACGCAAGTGTGAAATCTCATTTTCGGTCTGGCTAGCGTTCTTATGGACCTGTGTATTATTCACTTCAGAGGCACTTTTGACCGTGAAGGCAGTCCAACCAAGCTCATAGGAGTACTAATGTAATCGATTCATTCATATGGAACATAAAGCGTAGGCAACGCGACTCCAATTCAGCTGCGGCAGAAACCTGTGGATGGGCAGCTCCAGCCCTAGGTACTCATCTCTGCAGGTTTGCGTCTCAACGGCATAATAGCCAATGAATACGCTACCATGGAAATCGTATCGGAGATAGCCTTCGCCTTGCTCTTTTTGTCAGTCCCCGGCAGGGAGAGCAATGAAGAGGGGTTTGCCGGTCTGGCGGGAAGGGTCCTAAAATCACTGCCACGTATGAGAACACAATGATGAGCTACATGTAACTTGGGCTAGGTCCTCGTAGATATCCTTTCAATCCATGAAGTCAGGCTATTAAATCCAAAGAAGATGATTCAAAAGTTGCTCGGGGCGCTGGAAACCGAGTATGACCATGGTGTCTTATGCATGGGCTGCAGACGAGGTCTACAAGAGGTCATGTGCAATTTGCACTCAAATACACAAAAGTAGTGATGATCAAGCTTGGAATCGATGGACAGCAACTGATTTCACGATTTGAATGAGATATACGGCGCGTGTGCAAAAATTGACTGCCAAGTGATGTCCTTCAGGTTCAGAGAACTGGAACAACCAAATCTTGAATTTCCCGAACGTCTCCTGTATTGAAATAATCTAACCTTGTATATGTATAGCAGCCCCGCAGTGCGTCACTGCTTAAGCTTATCGCACATGGCCAATCACTTATCAGCCCACCTTTGGGATGCGGATGCAGCCGCGTTGCGACCAAGTAACTTTAGTTTGTTTGTTTGCGACATGAACATCAACAACGACAATATCGCGTATTCTCGCACCTGCCAAAACCTCACACAGTCGCCTACGCATATGCTCACGGACACCCCCCTCAGAAACAGACGTACAGCCACAATGGTACGCCCACCAACTCCCAATCCCAACCCCAACCCCAACCTCGGCCAGGCCAACCACGCACAGACTAACCCTCCTCCCTCCAGAACAAAGACTCCTGCCACACGCAAATCCACCTCCACTCCCCCCGCTACGCCGACCTGTTCGAGGACTTCTGCTCGCCGCACGCGCGGCTGCCCGACGACGAGGTCTACGTGCCGCCGCACCACCAGCCCATCAACCCGGAGGACGAGGACGACGTGGTGCCGGACCAGCACGCCGCGTTCGGGATCCAGCGGGCCACGCAGAAGACCCGCGAGTCCGCCTGGAGGGACCTGGGGCTGGGGGAGCTGATGGGCAAGGGCCCGGGCGAGGGGAGCAGGGCCGCGGGCGGCGCCGTGGGAGGCGGGAAGAGGAAGGGCGGGTCTGCTAGCGGGCTGCCGAGGTAAGGATCGGATGCGGGGCGAGGGGCGAGATGGTCTGGTGAGAGCTGGACTTGTCGGAAAGGCGGTGTTGTGCTACGGGCATCTGCCTGTGCGAAGAGGGTGCATGCATGGGAGCCGTGGGCCGCCGTTGTGAAGCGGGTGTTTAGACGTTCTGGGAAATGTGCCACAGGGAAAGGGCCCGAGCAGTTCAGGTTTCAGCATTATAGAATCTTGCAATTCTTTGGGCTATGTATGCCCTTCACAACTCCAGTTTCCATGTCATATCTGTGGCGTGGGTATATCTTCCATCCATGTGCCTTCAGGGAGGGGATAGATGCGTCCCTGATCCGTCGACCAAGTGCTCTTCATCGGCCATTCGCTCTGTCAAGAATTCCAATGCTTCTTCTCCAACTAAACATGCTTCATCGATCTCATCTCGCACTCATCAGCCCTTGCCCAAGAAGCCCTCCCTCTCCATAACCTCGGGCGAGAACTTGACCAAGAAGACCGTCCTGCCAGGCCACATCTCCCTCCCCTCCTCCTCGCCGGGCTGCCTGACCGTGTGCGCCGACACCCGGGCGGGGAACCCGCTGCCGTCGCAGACGCCCTCGATGACGCCTGCAACGTAGGCGGCGCAGTTGAGCTGGTCCATGTTCTTGGGGACGCTGATATACTTGTTGACGAGGGGCTCGTTGTCGATGATCATGTACTCGTCGGGCTTGGATGGGTCCGAGGATTTCTCGAGCCCGTCCGCCGCCCGCCCGAACAGGTGCTGCCACAGGTTCAGCTTGATGAAGTGCAGCAGCTGGATGATGGTCAAAGGCCGGGTCTGCGTTCGCGTCGGCTCGCGGTACAGGAGCAGGTCGAGGAGTTTGAGGCCCAGGGGATGGCCGGCTGTGTTGAGGCTGTGGGATTCGTTGGTTGGTCAGTTGTGTCGACAGGAAGAAGAGCATGCGGGATCGACGTACCGTTTCTCCAGGTCTTGGATGCTGGCGATCTTGTTCGACGCATAGCTCACCATCTCCGAGAACAGGTACGCGAATGCGGCGCCGCTGAGCTCGGCCGTCTTGGTCCGGTTTAGTGGCCGGTGGTAGATGGTCTTGCCGCTTGTCGGATACCGAAGGCCCGGCGCCTCTTTACCCGAGCTACTCGAGCCCTTTGTCGGTTGTATATTTGACATGGCTGCTGTGTGTGTGTGTGTATATGTGATGTGATCAAGAGAGAGATCATGAACTTGCGCCGGCAGGGCTGAGCTTGCATTGGATTGACGTTGCCGGTGTGGGGCGGGGATTCATTTGGATTTGCGGAATGCCCCCGCGACTGAAACTCGGGGGTTACACTGAAAAGTATCGCACATTGTAGGTCTGAATGCTTAACGTGACGAATTCGAGGTTAAATCAGAGCGTTTTTAAATAGCGGAATTCTGAATTTTGGCTGTATTCCTCGACTGGAAACCATCCTGCAAGTTTATTCTATGTATATGGTATCTCTATAAACATGCCATCTATTGATCCCTCATGCTTGGTCATGCGTCTATCTTCTGGCTGGAGTTCAAGGGGATGTCGGGGGTGGAGGTCGGTCAATAACAGCAGGCTTCTCGTCCTCCACCTTGACAGAGTGTAGCCTCTGTGCAAGTTCCATGGCATCGATCTCACCCTCTGACGGCGTCTCGGCACGCTCCTTCTCGTTCTCCTTCACAACAAGGGGTGCGATTCCCTGAGGAGCCAGGCCGCCTAAGTAATCCTCAAGCTCACCAATCTGCTTGCCACCTGCTTCCCATCTTTCTCTTCTTTCGGCGCGCCTTTCCTCGCACATCTTCACTAGTGCTGGCCAGTAGACTGAGTGGTCGTAATCGAACTCCAGATCACCCATGAATTCCGTCCACAGCTGCTCTTTGGGGACGTATTGGCTCATATCCTCGTTGAACTTGAGCTTCTCCCGGGTGAGGGGGTCGATGAAGGGCGTAATCAGCTTGAAAAAGCCCCAGACCAGGAAAGGAACTACTTTGAGTCAGTACTGCATCTGTCATGTATTGCTTCAGGATCATATACCATTGATGATCAACGCCTTCCCCAGTCTCTCGGGGTAGTGGCTTTGCAGGATGTTCAGGACTTCTTTGCCTTGACCTATTCCTGGTGCAGTGTTTGATCTGCTCTTGCTCGACTTGAAGTTGATAAGCAGAGCCAAGGTCTCCTGCTGCGGTGGCATAAGCTCGATGGATCGCTCAAGCATGAACACGAGGTGTTGGTTCTGGCGAGGCGAAACATCTGTGTTCTGGCGGCCTGGGTTCAGGTACTGGCATGGGCGGCCTTGCTTGTCAAACCCGAGGATGATCTGCTTGCCGGTCTCGTTCTCGGGTGAGATGTGCTCAGGGGTAAGCTCGTCAACGCCATACTCTCTCCGCCAAGTGAGAGTTTCTAGGATACGCCTCTCGGCGTCCTCCTTCTTCCATTTCGTGGCACGGAGATACCTCAACAGACACTCTCGTGTGAGCCACAGCCTCTCGCTATCGGTGAGCGGACCGCCCTTTTCTTGCGTGGAGGCGACCGCAGTCCAACCCTTTGCCTTTTCCAAAAGCCAGTCATACTTTGATTGCTGCTCCTCGGTCAATGCTGCCTTCTCGGGAGACTTGCTGTATGCGGTTGGAGCAGGAATCGGGGTTTTCTGAACCCCTGTGCTACTGGATGCCTCTCCCATTTTGTCAAGTGGCGAAATAGACGGCAGCTGCGGAGATAAAATAGCAACGAGATGTCTGGTCAGAAGTCACTGAGGAGTAGGAAGTCTGAAGTTGTGATTATGGAGATAATATTAAATAAATAAAAACACCCCAAATCTAAATAGATAGGTACAACGAAGGGAGAAAAGCAAGTGGCCGTCTCGTATGGAGATTGCGAGATCAGCAATTTTGTTGGGCCCCGAGAAACGGTCAGGTTAACTGATCAGGACCCTGCATGCAATTCTGCGGTCAGCTCAGGACTGCGGGCTGCACGGGGGCCACTAGTGGAAAAGAATGAGGCTAACCGCATGAATCACTGGATCGAGCGGGCCCCCTGCAGCGCCCTATCCCCCGCTGGGGTCGCTATCGGCGCCGAACTGCTGCCAAAAACCGCCCTGGAAAAAATAACCCCCCCACCATAAAACCACTTTACACCAAGACGCGTCTCAGTCGCGTCTCGCTGTGACAAACGTGAACACCAGCCCAGCCGCCGGGTCACCCCACCGACGTTTGATTTCAAGTCACCGAATCATCCCATCAATTCTACTCGTAGACAAGTTTTCCAAAAAGGATCATGTCGGACGCTGACGTTCAAGAGCTCAACGAGCGCTTCGCCTTTGGCGACAAGCAGATCGAACCCGATATGCTCGCCGAGTTGCAGTCCATCATGAGGATGCACTCCTTGTCAGTGCAGGACTTGTTCTTCAAATGGGAGAGTTACTGCATCAAGATGGACATGAACGAAATGAAGCTGTCCGTCGACACACTCCGTAATTTGAAGAGGGACATCCAGGATTCGCTGGAGCGCGAGGCCCGCAATCAGCAGGCTCATGTCGTCAAGACGGAGAAGAGAGCCGGCGCGACGCCAAGGATCTCAGGAAAGGGACATGTGGGCGGCGGCGATGTTTTCGGCATGTGAGTGCCCAGAAGCCTTGGCCGGACTGTTTCGGCTACTGACCATGTACAGCCTGGAGGGCATGACGACCCCCGGCGCAGCCAAGCTGAATAGGGGTTCGGCACCAAGGAGGAAACCCGAGACCCCTTCAGTTTCACGAGCCAAGGGTAGCGTGCCGAACAGCTCGCCGGATTCCAGAACTGCAAACGCGGTCGAAAGGCATCTGAACGAACTTAACTCTCAAACGTGAGTAGCTCGGCGGGTCTCATCGGAGAAGGATATTGACAATGTCAGGGCCGCTTCTTTCAACGACAGACAAAACCCAGGAGAAATCGTGGAAGTTCTGAACGATCATCTCAAAGCAGCAGAACCACCGATCGCACCGTACGGGGAGTCGCGAGTCAAACTCACTGCAGCGTCAGATCTGAAGAAATTGGCATACAAGCCGTTGGCAATGAAAGTATCGGAAGCATCAGAGATTCTTGACGACAGGATAGATGAATTTCTTGGCCTGGTAAGAGATCATTATCAGCTCGACGACTCTGCTTTTGGTAGCGCAGCAAGCCAAAGTACCTCAGAGATCTATGCTGTTGGCAGAATAGCGTCCGACTCAGCAGAAGGTAAACTCAACGCGGCATCGTTAGTCTTAGAGACCTCGAGGAGGACAGGGAATGGTGTGAGAGTGCCCCTGAACCTAAAGAAACTTCCCGGCTACCAATTCTTTCCTGGTCAAATCGTTGCTTTCAAGGGTATCAACACATCAGGCTCTGAGTTCATCGTTCATGAAGTGCTCATTGCTCCTCTACTACCAAGTGCTGCATCCACACCAGCCGCGATCGACGCACACCGGGAGAAGTTACGGGGCGGTCCAGACGCCATGGATTCAGATGATGAGCCAGCGCCTCTGAACGTCATTTTTGCTTCTGGCCCATACACAGCCGACGACAACCTCGACTTCGAACCGCTGCACGCCTTATGCAGTCAGGCTGCCGACACATATGCCGACGTCCTTATCCTGTGCGGCCCGTTCATCGATGTGGATCACCCCTTAATCGCATCCGGTGACTTTGATCTGCCCGAAGACGCTCAGGTGGACCCTGATGCCGCAAACATGAACACAGTCTTCAAGTATATGATCTCGACCGCTCTCAACCGGTTGACACAATCCAATCCTACAATCACGATTCTACTCGTGCCTTCCGTACGCGACATCGTCGACAAGCACGTCGCGTGGCCACAAGATCCTTTCCCGAGGAAAGACCTTGGCCTTCCCAAAACGGCTCGCATTCTCGGAAACCCGATGGCACTATCTCTCAATGAGACTGTCCTCGGTATCTCTTCACAAGATCCCCTTTGGGAACTGCGCCACGAAGAGCTCGTTGGCGGCCCGAGGCCTAGCGACCCACAGATTCTGAGCCGGCTGCCACGGTATCTGATCGAGCAAAGGCATTACTTCCCGTTGTACCCGCCTGTGGATAGAGCGAAGTTACCTAAAACAGGAACGGCGGATGGCATAGCGACTGGTGCGATGCTTGATACAAGTTATTTGAGACTGGGCGACATGGTGAATGTGCGCCCGGATGTGCTGGTCGTGCCTAGTGCGCTGCCGCCCTTTGCCAAGGTCAGTATTCCACCTCACTTCTGACATTGCCCTCACCCTTCTGCTTTTCCCGGCTGCTTCTTCATCTATGTCTACGCTCGCTAACCCTCTCCTACCAGGTCGTTGAAAGTGTCCTAGTCATCAACCCAGGCTACCTCTCCAAGCGCAGAGGTGCGGGAACATACGCGCGCATGACATTGTATCCGCCCACGGTGAACGAGAAGGAGGCAAGCGAAGTCGGCGTGGTCAGTCACAAAGTATTCGAACGTGCACGGATTGAAATTACGAGGATTTAGTAGCGTGGACGGCGAGGCGACATAGCAGACTAAAAACCAATATGCTATGGCTATGAACAGTGCATCATTCCTTAGAGGATCTGCTATGAAAGCCGTGAGGGGCGTACCATGTCGACTGTGTCAGATGCACTTCCGCTATATGACCTTGCAAGCCATGAATCCCGGCGTAGAATAATTGCCATACGCACACTTTGTTGGCCCTCCGTGGTAGGCTGCTCCATGACTAAATTTAAGGCTCAATGATACGAGGCCTCACTCAGTTCCTCAAATCGATAAGAGCGAACGGACTCTTCAACATATCTTCTTAAGAAGCCATTGAAGTTGTCTTGCTCCGATACCAGCTTCGGCGCTTCTTTCTCGATACTATGACGGGTTTTGGCATACTTTTCCCTGTCAACGTCTTTGGTTCCTTCCTTCCATGCCTGAAACTGGTGCGCCGGCCATGTGCTTGGATGTGGAAAGTAGCAACCATTCGACTGTCGCCGTCTGCACGGCTGATCACCTGGAGTTCGATGGTCCTGACGAAATTGTGTGGCTCAATACTTGTCAACTGCCCAAGAGTAGAGCTCAAAGATGAGGATACTAAGGTCCATCAAGTAAACGTGCAGTTTCACCTATGCCAACACGAGCCACTGCGCAAGTCAGTTGTGGGCCCAAGGCAGCCCGTCCACCACAATAGGTCCCTCAACACCAACCTGTAAAGTCACTCGTGAGTTTGTTAAAAGTTGCCTAGGTCATCGCGTTGCTCCATAAGGCAACAGCTTCATACTGGTATATCGGACTGAACCGTGACAATGCAGTAACTCTCGACAAGAATATGTGCAGGACTTCGTGACTAATGGTCCTACTGACGTGGAATGGTTTCATAATTGTGCGAATATTAGAATCCGCACATAAAAATGCAGCCTAAGTCATGTTCTGCTTTACCCCTGAAATTCTTCAAGTATCTATTCGGCTCCTCACCTTCCATGTGAATGACATATATCTCGTCGCACCGCACTCGCAGAGGCAAAGGAACTCAACTTCCTCGATTATTGTTATCGTGTTAAAACTAGACAGATGCATGTGATGATTTGTTGTTGATGGGCGGTTCTAAATGGGTGTGGTTGCTTAAAGTGAGAATGAATTACGCAAGATCTAGAACACATGCCTCGGGCGAATCGACGAGCCCGAACACTTTTGCACACAGCTATACCTCAGGTGCTAACCGTATTTAGCCGCAGCGCAATCAAGGGTAAAGTACGGAGCAAATGCTGTACAAAATGAATTGATGATCTGGTCGTCACATCTGTTGTTCGTGATCCTGTTAGTAGGTTCCTCTCAACCCTTGACGGTAAGTTCAATGGCTTCTATTGTCTATACAATTAGTTAAGCCTGTGTTCTAACTCAAGAACTTTCGTGGAGCCATCACTGCTCAACTCGTAGTCTCCGTGCTAGTGCCTCAATGTCCTCAATGGAGAAACCCTTAAAGTCATCACGCTTCTCGACTATCTCCTGAGCCGCCAATATAAGTCCGTGTTGGACCCCATAATGGATAGCGTCGTCTTCTTCCAGCTCCGCTACACCCGCACCTGGACGAAACAAATGGTATTTGAACTGCTCGCCACGAGTGTTGATGTACACCCTGCCTACATCAGGAGTCCAAGCGCGTATCCGCTCATTACTGCACAACTGCTCGGCAAATAGAAGGATTTTAAAAAACGCGTGGGGCCTGATATCAGGCAACTCAAGCCATTCGGCGAGGCCGGGTGAGATTGAAGCGAGGCCTGAATACGCACTTTCCATGGACAGGCGCTGTACGCGGATGTGCCTCTCTAACAGACTCATACGCCCCTGCGATATGGCTCTCCTGTATTTCACCCAGTCTCGGACATTCGAGGTGGCCGTAACTCGGAATTGGCATCGCTGAAAGAAGAGCGGGATTACCTCTTCTCGCATCTGCTTATTGACGAGAAACAGCGGGGACTGGCTCCAACGCGAAGGTATGTAGGGGTCTTCGGGGTCCTCCTGATCGAACACGCCATCATACTGTTTTAGTTTTTTTTTTTAGTTAATGGTTGATTGAATCTTCACTTTTGACAGCAACAGGAGGTACCGTCTTGTCATAACTTACCCAAAAGCAGGAAATATCTCTTGATTTCTTCTCATCAAGATGCAAGAAGTAGATCTCATCACGGAGTTCTCTTGGCAGAGTAAAGAATCCCGGTGTGGCCAGAGAGGATGGGACAGTCGCAACTGTCATCACGCTCATGCCACGGGTGAGGTTGTCAGTCGATGATGCCATTATGACTTGCTAGGCAATAAATTTATTTCGATAGCGGTAGGCTGCCTCTCGTCAGGCGAGGTTTTATTATTAGATAGCTGATTCAAGGTCCAGTGCAGTGGTCAGGGTTGAATTTATGCTCCTAGATTCCGCGTTCTGATTAAGAGCCGGTGCCGTGATCATGCGCTGGCGAAGCGATCACTAGCGGTGCCGTGATCTATCAATCGGATGGCAGGCTGTATTGTTTCATTATCACGCACCATATCTCATGTCTTTTGAACATCTTCAAATCACGCACCCGTATACGAAGATCGCTACCAAAAGTCTTCGGTCGCTCTAGTTTGTATGAACAGCTGTGAATGGCCCACGGACAGCTGCAAATCAGTCGTTATCGAGCATTAAACCTGCTAAAGGTAGCTCTGTGCGATACTATATTTAACGATCATGCTTAGTGGCAGCTGAAATCTCGATATGGCAAGCTATCGGCCAGTTGCTATGGTGCGGCGTGCCGAAAGTCTTGGTGACAGAAGATCTTTGGTAGCGACTTCCGCACCACCTTCCTTTTTCTAGAACTTGGTTTCTATAACGTAGAGTGGCCAGGCAGCGTATAATGAGTTACTTGCAATGATGATGCCTCAATGGGATCGATGGAAAGTCAAACAGGGTCAATGCAACGCAAGCATCTATTGATCTGCAAACAAATATTCTAAATGTACCCCCGTTCGTCGACTTCAGTGATGCACCGTGACCTGCGCGATTACCTTCTGTCATTGCCAGACCTATTAGAATTCATACCAGTATGTCTTTGCCAACTCCAGGATGTCATCTATCGAGAAACCATCGAAGTTTTGGCGCTGCATCACAATATCGTGTGCCTTCTTCTCGAGGGTCTTGTGAGCCTTCAAATACTCTTTTCCTTCATTGCTAGTGCGTTCGACTGGCGTCACCTCGCTGAGTCTGAGATGCTGGCCGTCTGTGCTGATCTGGACGTCCTCGTCACCGAGGCGGTTGAACTCCAAATGATCGAGTCCGTAAGGGTGGACTTGAAAAATGATGTTGCTAAAAAACGCATATGGCTGAACGTCTGATTGATTAAGCCACTCCATGAATCGAGGCTGAATATCTGTGCGCGACTCTTCGGGACGTCCTCTGAGAAATTGAACCCACCTCTCAGGAAAACTACGCCGGAGATAAGAGTGCCACTCCACTATGTTGCTGGAAACCTTGACACGGAAGTTGCATCGAAGGAAGAATACTGAAAGGGCTTCTCGTCGGATTTGTCTGTTAACGTGGAAGAGTCTTGGCATCTATTGTATCTCAGAAACAGAACTCTTTCCATATGATTTGAGACGGCGAATCTGGAAATGAATGAAAGGGGGGCCTGATGAGGGACGCATGGCATAGACATAATACTATTAAGATACCGAAGGATCGGAGGGCCCACCAGAAAGTTGCTGAAATCCCGGAGTCTCTTCTCATCTCTCATGTAAATGACCCATATTCTCACTCGTAGGTTTCGCGGCAGTTTTAGGAGAGGAGGTACAGGAAGAGAAGCATCGGCTTCTGCCGAAGCTGTAACTCCAGGCGCGGCAGGCTCTTTGGCGGAGGATGGCATTGTTGTCGAGGCCAAATGCCAAGCTAGTGTATGTTACTGCACTTTGTTTATCAGAGACAACAGGCGGTATGCTCCGAAAGGTGGAAAATAGAAGTGCAGCAAGGGCGGTGGAAAGATCAATGGAGAGGCTTATATATTCGAGGTGACCCTGATTCGAATAAGGTCCCACTTCCTGATAATCACGAAAGTGTATCGTAACAGAAGTTGCATTTGCTATGGTGACACTGCTCTGAACGAACTAGCAACTCGCTCCTGAAGAGTTGGCCAAGTCACACACACACACACACACACACACAAGCCTCTGAGAGGGCATAGATTCCAAATCCAGCGCATCCTATAAGCCTCGATGATACGGCTTCGCCAGTTCCGTAACATCCTGGATAGTGAAGCCCTTGAAATTATCCCGCTGTACAATCTCCGTGGCCACATCCTCCACGAGTTTGCGTGTAGCCGTGAAGTCTTCTTCAAGTACAGGCTCGCCGATGATGCCATAAACATTCGAGTGCTTGAACGTGACGCGATGGCCACATGTACATATGGCAGACCATCCGTAAGAGCGCGCATTATTCGTGAGGCATGGCCAAAAATCGATCTTGATGTTTCTGATGAAGGCGTGTGGTTGAATATCCTGTGAACCAAGCCATAAGACAAGATCTGGTGCGACATGTGGGATGCCTGACTGTGCGATGGCGCTTCCTGTCAATTCATGGTAAAACGAATTGACGAGCCATTTCCATAACAACATATCGGAATTTCCGTAGTCTCTTGATTTCATTTTCCAGGCCCAGAAAACATCTTCGACGTTCGAATTGACGTACACCGCAAAGTGGCATTGCTGGAAAAACACAGGGATGGCTTCTCGCCTGACCTTACTGCTCACGTGGAATAGTGTTGGTATCTACGTCGATTAGCATTTTCCCTATCCCAGATAGTAACTGACATGGATTTCACCGACCTCAAGTCTCATGGTTCCAGGTGACATAGCTCCAAGGTATCGTAGAGCTTGTTCGTCTTCCATGTGACTAACATAAATCTTCTCTCGTAGTTCGCGTGGTAGTTGAAACAATGGAAACCTCGCTTGGTAGTGGCTTCTCAGTGTATTTTCCATTACGGTAGTAGTGGTGAACAACATCTTTGTGAAGTGCAAGTTATGCCGCAGCATGCCAGGTAGAAGGGAAGTGGATGGCCTAATTTCGGTGGTTGATTCGAAACCGGGGACCACGAATATGACGAGCTTTGCAGCTCGGTCGATGAAAAGGAAAGAAAAAAAAAAAAAAGGAAGGAAAAAGTCTGCGAAATACGTTGAAAGAGAATCTCTGTTGAAGGAATGGCTTGAATGAAGCATATTTGGTCTTGCGTGGTCCGGATGCAGTGGCCGTGATGTGAAGATGGGCTGGTGGAGGATAGGATTTGAGAGCTTTGAATATGTAAATGCCAAACTGAAGCGGCGTGACTTCTTTGGGCACTCAATTCTGTTTTTGGAAAAGTAGAACATAAGAGAAATGACACTTTTAATGCGGGCTGTCTACATATTATGAACACGATGTGTATCCCTCATCTCAAATCTAGTCATGTTTGGTCCTTTGGGAATCCCTCTATCACTCCCACACTTAGTAACTTCTCAATCGGTCTTCGCGACAATGTTCTCCTCCTGCTCGAGGCGGAAGGGCCTCACGATGGTTCGGATGTCGTCAAGTGTAAACCCTTTAGTCTTCCCGTTCATGCGCGATCTTGCGGGCCCGAGTTTTGACCTCCAGAACTCTTGCAAATTCGTCCCTGCAAGTCACAACCTCACAGCTTACTGGACTTCTCCGCCTCTTAAACCCGAGGATTCTCTGGGATGGCTTCGGAAAGAATAAAGTAAAGGGTTCGCTCTCCTCAAACTCGATGATTCGGCCATGTATGTTCGTTTCCAACAGAAACTTGGGAGACAAACTGATCACGTGGCGATCTAGATGCGGAACAGTGACCGCTATCTTCCTCAAGAAGACGTGCTGAGAGATATCGTAAGATTTGCACCATTCCAGTGTGTTGTCCCTGAAATCAGGGATGCCCACATCATACTGTGCGCAGTCGTGCGAATAGTAGTCCTGTATTGTTCTGAACCCATTTTCTTTAGCTACTTTTGACCAATTAATGTTCGGATCAGTTCGCCATGGTGCAAGCAAACAGCCGACTTGGAGGCCAAATTTGCAGTGCTGGAAAAACACGGGGATTGCCTCTTGACGAACTGCAGGGACCTGAAATAGCGTAGGAATCTACTTGACATTAATATGTGGTTAGTGTTCGAGTCGACGACATGCCCAGTAACCACCGAACGTTCAAAGCTTGCCCACCATACCACCTGGCCTGTTTATTTGCATGCGGAAGATATGGATGCGCCCTCTCCGTCCTCGAGGCCCGAGCCAGCGTCGCGGCTCTAAGGGCTTTCTCTGCTGTCTGGCGTACCTTGCGATCTTTCTTTTGGGAGGGCGTGCTGGCTGGGTAGGCGACCGTGGTAACTAGACCGTGCCCCTGACGCGGCGGAGACGGCTGATAAGTGACGGACGTAGGGTGTGATGTGAGTTCGAAGAAAGGGCAAGTCCTATAGACAGAAAAGAGGACGGCGAAGTTTCCGTTGTGTCCACGAGGTATGAATGGCCCGAGGTTCAATATTACTCTTTGTTCCGCCTGGCCTTTGCGTCTTCACAAGTTCGCCTCAGGAGATTGGAATCACGGACGCCGCAGAGATTGCAATTTGATCGAAATTGTCACCAGTCTTTGGCTATCCCAGCCGGTAGCTTTTGTTCACAAACATCTGTTGTGTCTCGGGTGGTTCAATCCACCAACGCGTTTCCCAGATCCAGATCCATACAGACGGTCACTGCCTGAAAACCCCGACGTAGCTGGCCAATCCTCCTCGTCTACATACGCACAAATACGGGTGGATCAGGGCACCACAAATCGTAGACACCACTTGGAACCAGGTACCGGGAACATATATACATCGAATCAGAAGCACAGAGGGTCTGGTACAATCGAAGCGGTTTCGGGTTTTGTTGAGAAAAGTTTGGTTCAGTTGCAATGCCAAGTGACGATTTGTCTCTCAGGGCAATGATCACGGGCCCCCATTTAACTCAGGAGGTCCTATCTTGAATCGACTCGCCGCCGCTTGTCGCCATCATACCGATCCGCCTCCCTTGACGAGTCTCTTTTCCTGCGATGGCTGTAGTCGTCATCTCTACCGCGATCCCTCCTGGGCGACCTGCTCCGTGACCTCGAGGCTCTCCTCCGCCTATCATCACGATTGTCTGTGTCCCGCGACCGGTGACTGTCTCTGTCTCCCGTCTCGCCGCGATCCCTCCCGCCTTTTCTCTCGCCCAGAGGTATGGCGTTCGCACCACCGGGGCCATCCCGGTCCTTGCCCCTCCAATCGCCTTCCCTGTCGTCTCTGCCAGGCCGGTGATCCCTGAACTCGCCCCATCGCCCCGTATCTTCGCCCTTGAGGTCGCGATACTTGGAAGCGCCCTTCTTGCCCAGCTTGGTGAAGTCGCGCATCTGAAGCGCCTTGGGCAACAGCGAGCGATCGACATCGTCCTCGAACTTGGCCCCCATGACATCCCGCTTGGCCAGCTCCTCGGCCTCCTTGGAGTCCTGGAAGTAGGCACCCTTGTGGAAGTACCTGCCCATGTAGCCCATCTTGCCCTTGCCGTCCTTCTCCTCCTGCTGCTTGGCGAGGTGCTCGTCGTCCTCCCTGCGCCTCTCCTCGTCCGTCAAGTTCCTCCTCCGCTCGACCTCCTCGACCTCACGGTACCGGGCCTCGACGGCCTCGCGCTCACGCTTGATGCGCCTCAGCTCGCGCACCTTCCAGGCGGCGTACTCGGCCTCCGGGTCCCTGTCGTCCTCGGTGTCGACGTCCTCCTCGCCCTCGGCCTCGTTCAGGTCCTCCCAGAACATCTTGCCGGCGGCCTTGGCGGCCGCGTCCTTGCGGATCTGCTCCTCGATCATAGCGTCAGCCTCGGCCTGCTTGCGCTTCGCCTCCTCCTCGGCCATCTTGGCCTCTTCGGCCTCGGTGAGCTGCTGGGCGCCGCCGCCGCGTTGGGATTTCGGTATGAATTTTGGTCTGATCATGAGATTTCGTCGCGGCCGCTCATCTTCTTCTTCGCTGCTTTGTTCTTCGTCATCATCGTCGTCATCTTCTTCCTCTTCCGAACTGGCCTCTCCCGCGCCCGGTCGTCCCGCGGCGGGATCCTCGCCCTCGTCTTCCTCCTCGGTCACGAACCCTTCCTCGGCGGCCCTCCTCTCGAGCTCCTCGGTCGTGACTGTCGGTTTCACCAGGGCGGCGGGGATCTTCTTGGGCGCGGCGTTCCCGGAGCTGATAATCCTGCCCGCGGAGGGAACCTTTGGCGGCGGGGCGGGGGCGGCTTTCTTATTCTTCTTCTGCTGCTGCTGCTGCTGGCCTTGTTGCTGTTGTTCGTCGTCGGAGCTCTCTGACTCGGACGAGGAGCCGCCACCGCGGTCCTTGCCGGCGAAGTGGCGCACGACGCGCGGTTTGATGACCATGTTGGCGGGCCTGTGTGAGGTAGGTGTCGTCGTTTGATGTGTCCTGTCTCTGGTGGTGCGAAGGTTCGTGTTCCGACGGGGGTTATGAGGATCTTGGACTGTGGCTTCCGTTACACTCCGAGCGGAGCTTCGCTTCAATGTGTACAGGATGCAAAAAGGGTAGCTCTTTCGCTGGTTGGTCGTAAGTGGCCGAGATTTCTTTGGTTTGTAAAGTCGTCCTTCTCAGCTTTCATGCAGCCCTTTCCGTCACTTTTTTAGTGGAAGCTTGCAGACGCGGACGCAGACGCGGACGCAGCTGCAGACCAACGTTAGTCTGGCTCTAGTCTAGACTACGGTTAGTTAGGTTGAGAGCTGCAGGTGGGGGGCTCTGGGGAAGATACCGATAGGGTAAATACATACGGCAGTATACTCGGTGCTGTCACGATTGCATCTTGGCTCATACGCCCGCAGGTTAAGCAGCTTGGTTGTTTTATAGATCGAACTGAATGGCTCTTAAGGCGGGAGCGGCATGCCACTGTCGAGTTCCGTTCCTGCATCCTACCAGTATCAATTGGCTGGCATATCACACACCCGCAATAGTTGTGGACATCATATCACAGCAGCTACTTTCTTCAAAAGAACACAACGAAGCATGTAGCGCAGCAGCACGCCGGAGAACGGTCAAGGCTTGTCTCATATCTTCTCATTATGATAATCATTATTACCAGGTGCCTAGCACACTGACTGCATGCAGCCGGTCATTTCCGCCAAACGCCTTCGCTATGCCAAGTAAAAACAACATCCTTTTTTGGTGACAGCAGACCTCAACATAGTCCCCCTGTCCGATCAATATCCTGTTTTCCTGTAATTCCTGTGACCCCCGTTCCCTCAGCTGCTACGCATTCGGTCTGCCCAGCAGAGATGAAACGAAGGAATCCCCAGAGCTGTTTTCTTCAGCAGATGGAGCAGGTCGTGATAATATGATTTGGCCAGTTTCTGCCGTCGCTTTCGACGCCAACTGCGGCGAGTTTGGCCCACTCAATAGGCTGGATATGGAAGCGTCTTCCTTCAACAAACCCTGGGGTTGGCTTGGCATTTGTTGTTTGGCATTCCCAGTTCTTGAAGTAGCCACAGAATCAGAAGCTGGCGGAGCAGATGATAGTTCCTCACTCGTTGTGGTAGCTTTAGCGTGTCCGTCCCCGCTCTCAAGACTAGACGATAGGACCGAGTGAGGGTCTACACAGTCGTAGAAGAGCATGAACACCCCACCCTGTGCAAGGACGTTTTCCTCTGTCACGTCCCAAACATGTTCGTCGCTCATGCGCCACCACTTGTCACCATCCACTTCACTTTCGGCAGTTTCTACTAGGGTCTTTTCATCATCGAACGACTTGCTGTCCTCTTCCGGCGTGGCCGAATCCGACTTGTCTTGGGTTTTCGCAGTCCGAGCAGAATGTTTTCGGTAACAGATATAGTGACCGTTCTCATGCTGACCTTGGTGGGTAACCACGGCACGCAGTTCGTAGATTGGTCCGCTAATTTTGGAAGGATACTGGTCCCCAGATATCATGGATGATTTGGGATCAAATACCCATGTCTCCTTGTCCGGCGTCAGGTCCTCCTTTTCGGCGTCTATCAGTGTATGCTTGCGAAATATGGCCGACTGGTCTGCGCTTCCCAAGCACCAGGGGCCAAGATCGAGCGTTCTGGGAAACCTGACTGCAGCAAGGTTCTTCCACATGTTCCCCGTGTTGACGTCGAAGACTGATCGATTGACATGGACCGCCAGGCTCCTTGGCGGTCTTGCCACGACCACCTGCTTCGTTTTCGTCGAACTGGATCGAACCTGTGCCGTGACTTTGCATTTTTCTTTCAACGTCTTCTCGTCGAAATCATCCTCTTCTAAAGCCCGCTCGATCGCCTCTAGTCTTGCCCTTGGCTCTGCCAATTTTGTCTCGGGCTGCTCACTCATGCGATCGAGAAGCATGGTCAGGAGCTTCTTTGCTTTGAGCAGAGTGCACTTGTTGCATTCGACTTGCTCGATGGACTCGAGCTGTGTGTATGAGTCGAGTAGTTCGTACAAATCATGCTGCATAGTCCCGACGCCGAGGTTTAGGGTGATGCAATTGAAGGGCTGCAACGAAAGGCCTTCAGAGAATCCACATTGCACACAGGCAACCCTTTGCGCCGTCATGCCCTCGAGGGGGTTCTTAACCATCTTTGCGTCGGAACCAGCCTTGGAGGCGGTTGAGACGGACTGGTACCCACTGTCATCGCTATGTTGGCTCTCTGTATCGTCCTTGGGCAGGGCAGACTCCAGGCCGGCGGGCTTGACTTGGCCCTTGGTAGCTCTCACAACCTCCTTTTCAACCTCGTCCAGCAGCTTGGAATAGTACTCTTGGGCGTCTTGCTGCTCCCAGCTGTGTAGGGATTTGAGCTTGCCAGGGGTCCACAGTGTTTTGCCATTGTTGTCGTTGCTAATTAGCTGAGCAATGAGCTGCTGCAGTGTGCTCGCAGAGCCTTCCTTGGAAGCGGCCTCTGCTTCGGCATCATCTACGCGGGCAGCCTCGAGATAATCTGGCAGTGGCTGCAGCGAGGCTAGACCTTGGAGGATGCTGTTCTGGAAGCACGAGTAATCGTTGTTTCCCAGGCCAGCCGGTGCGTCGGTACCACTCTTCTTGAGGAGAGAAGCACCGGACAGCGTGGACAGGCTCTTTTTTCCGGCGCTCGTGACCGAGCCGATGATACCGCCTCCTGGCTGATCCATGCCCAGTAGCTTTATCAACAGCTCGCTTTTCGCAGTAAAGGTTCGTGGTCGCAAAGCCTTGGAGACCAGGAACATGGGCGGGTTCAGCCAGTCGTCTAGGGCGTAGAGGAGGGCGGCGGGAGTGAGGGTTACGATGAGATCCCACAGTAGTTGGCCAGGATGTCTGTGGTGGTCGAAAGGCGAAGAGTGGAGGGACTGGTAGAAGGCCGTAAATAGGATTCCGATAGCGACGATGATGACGGTCGGACTCTTAAGCCATTCGAGCAGAATTTGATGAGTGTGGTGCACTTTGTATGTGCCAGGGGGTTCGGTTTGTCGTGATGTATACCGATGTTCCATTCTGAAAGTGAAAACTTCGGCTGAATGCAGTGTGAAGCAAGCAAATGATGGTGTTTATTTTTTTTAATTCTATTTTTTTAGACGAAGGGCGCTGCAGGGTTGCGCGTACATGCTTAGTGTTGAACCGATGGATTGAAGGACAAAATAAGCCATGGTCATGCGCAAATGGATGACAAACAATATTAACCCAGCAGGTTGCCCTTGGATGCTTGTAGAAGGGTTTGCCACTTGGGAAGAAAAACTCGAGGCTGTCGTCGCAGATTCGAGAACCCGTCTAGAATCAGAGAAACAGGGCCTGGAAGAAGATGTGATTGATTTATGATTCGACTTGATGGGTAACCAGAGGGTACTACTTTAACCAAGGTTACCGCAATGTTAGTCTCCGTGGTCCAGGTCTAAATCAAACAGGTCTAGGCTAGCCGTTGCCGTGCGCGGGCAGCGGCTGCTATTGTATCTTCAGTGTGAAAGGCCGACGTTAAAATTTACCCAGGTTAGTTGATCTTTGTACTAACCTAGGTTACATGCATACAGTACAATGCTAGATGGGGGCCCAAGCGTCGTTCCTTGTTCGCCCGCACCCAGGCACCTATGTATGTACGGATCCATACTGTACACGGTAGTCTGTAACTAACCTGTGTGGTGCGATGATGCGTAACTAACTTACTGCCGTGCCCCGTCACAGGCTTATCGGGTGCTGTTATCGACGCTGTTATCTGTGCGATGGCGGGGCAGTCTGCAGACCATCCCAAAAATTTGGGGGACTCGAGGGTCCTGGACTGGCGCACAAGAGGTTCAAATCAAAGCAGTGTAAACTCGAGACCAAAAGCAACCAGAGAATTCCAGCACTTCAAGATGGGGAAAGGAACTATTACCAAGAACAGAGGTGAGCACTGCCACAAAGACCGTTTCGTCACTGAAAGGACGGTCTGTTTTGTTTTGTTTTGTTTTGTTTTATTTTTAGTTTATTAACCAGATCACATCCGTCCAGGCCTCTCAAAGCACTCGCGCGCAGCAAGAAGAGCCACTGATGTCGACATTGACACGGACAAGTCGCTGAAGGAGGTCAGACCGCCAAAGGACGACTCCATCAACAACCGACCCTCCGTCCTCGCCATCCACCAGGGCGCAGGCATCAGCAAGAAACAGAAGAATGGCCGGAACATGAGCTCCAGGGCCAAGAAGAGGGCCGAGGAGAAACAGGACAAGGCCGCCGCAATCATGGAGCGGACCGAGAACAAGATTGAGAAGAGCAAGAACAGTGCCAAGACTGTCCTGACGCGGCGCAAGAACTGGGAAGACATCAACAAGGATGTGCCCTTGGACAAGAACCCCTTCGCGAATCTGGGCGACGACGATGAGGATGAGGAGGAGGAGGAGGAGGAGGAGTCTGAGGCTGACGACGAGATCAAGCAAGCAAACGCTGCTGTGCTGCAGGCTCAAGCCGCGCCTGCGACCATGGGTGACGATGATGATGACCAAGTGTTATAGGTAGCACAAGCGTTGAAAGGGTGCTGCTGGGCATGGGGGGGCGCTTGTTTTTGGGCGTTATTGGAGTTCGGGAAAAAGGACATGATGATGGCAAGTTATCCAATACCAATGCATTCTCGTTCGTTCTCCTACATCTTATTTTCCGGCATGCCATGACTGTGATGTGATATTTTTGGTGCAACATGAAGGAAGGGTGATAGTCCAATGGTTAAAGTGCAGTAACTTTGACCCCCCCCCTGCTGGCCCGTCTTTGGTCTTGATATATGTAAATAGCATTCAGCTGATAAGATAAGCTTTTCCCCGGCCTGCAGGGCCTCAGGGTAACCTCAGCTCCGGCTCCAGTCGCGAACAAACCTCGCCCCTCGTTTCCCATCCTCAATCCTCAATCTTCAATCTTCAATTTCAACCTCACTCACGCCACAATCCGGCGTCTTCTTTCTTCCGTCAACCTACCTCTTTTCATCGCTTTGATCTGCAACGACACCACCTTTCCCACACCCGCTCGCCCCCAGGACAAACCCCCCCGAAATACCGCCAAGATGCCGAAAGCAGAGGCCGGCTCGCTCAAGGCGCTGAACAACAAGATGAAGTCCAAGGGTCTCCAACGACTGCGATGGTACTGCCAAGTTTGCGAGAAGCAATGCCGCGACGAGAACGGCTTCAAGATGCACACACAGTCCGAGTCCCACGTGCGGCAGATGATGGTCGTGGGCGAGGATCCCAAAAAGGTCATCAACGAGTACAGCCGCCAGTTCCAGCGCGACTTCCTGTCCTTGCTGAAGACCGGCCACGGCGAGAAGCAGGTCAACATCAACCACTTCTACCAGACATACATTGCGAACAAGGAGCACGTTCACATGAACTCTACGAAATGGCCCAGTTTGACCGAGTTCGCCAAGTACCTCGGCCGGGAGGGCATCTGCAGGGTCGAGGAGAACGACAAGGGTCTTTTTGTCGCATGGATTGACGACTCGCCCGACGCCATGAGGAGGCGAGAAATCGTGCGTCGGAAGGAGATGCAGGACAAGGGCGACGAAGAGAGGGAACAACGCATGATCAGGGAGCAAATCAAGCGCGCGCAAAAGGAGGCCGACGGAAAGAAAGACGCAGATGATGACCTCGAAGAGTCCGAAGAGCGAGCGCTGAAGCGTGATGAGGGCGACAAGGTCAAATTATCTTTTGCGGCAAAGCCTGCTGCGCAAGCAGACACGAAGCCCTTGGGTCCCCCAAAATCCGAAGGCCCACCGCAAGACGGAGACGCCGCGAAACCCGAAGCTACGGTGGAAGCACCATCAAAGCCCACGGCGGCTCCGGTCTCGTTGAAGATTGGCGCAGCAAAGCCTCAACCCAAAAACGTCTTTGCCGCAGCCAAGAAGAATGCGCTAGCCGGCGGTCCGAAAAAGGCAAATCCTTTCCAGCAGGAGAAGAAAATGAGCGAGGCAGAACGTATCATGAAAGAGGAGATGGAACGCAACAAGAAGAGATCAAGTTCAGGGTTCGGTGGGTTTTCCCTGAACAACAAGAAACAGAGGACGGCATGAGTTACCCATCGCCTATGAAATCGAGGGCAGCACAGGCACTGCTTTATATCATTTGCGTGTAACGATTCGCATCCGGTTTTGGCGTTCAAAGAAAGGCGAGGGTCCATAGAAGGATGATACCATTTGGTTTCAGCAACAATCAAGAAAGAATTAACATCGTAAAATCGTCTATTCGTACTTCTATGGTATATCTGCATAGTCTATCTGGGGTATTGACACCGGCGGTTTAAGGGCAGTTGAATCAAGCGATCTTTTCGACAGTCAACTCGCCCTTCTCCTCGCCGTCTAACTCTAGGAGTCCGCCGGTCTCTATCTTCTTCTTCCACTTTGCGCTTTCATATCGTGCAAGAATCAGGGTCATGCGCAGCGGTATCTCGTCGCTCGAAGCGTGTTCGCCTTCCGCCCTAAGTGGGGTGAAATTCCAACGCCCAAATGCCCAATTCAGGATGTACCTATTTGATGCATGTGGCGGAGTTGGCAGCGACTCGTCGTCCCCCGAATTCCTGACCGTTGACGAGGCTGTCAGAATCGATTTGATCCTGTACACCTCGTCCTTTGGCGCCGCATTCAGCAGTGCCATCAACTTTGACGAATCCACGGCTGCACCTTTGGCGCCGTTGAGTGTTACGGACAGAACCTCGACCTCTGTCTGGTGGTCGTGCTTATGCCCGTCCTCGTGCGCGTGATCGTGGCCGCTCTTCACCAGCCCGCTCCCGTCCTCCAGCACCCTGGCCAGCGCGCCGTCGACACCAAATATCACGTCGGCGGACACTCTTCCCTTGTCGCTCTTGACCCATGCGATGTCGACCTCGAGGTCACCGACCCTGTCCAGACAGTCGTCGAACCGCCTCTCGTCGCAGCCTTCCCACTTGTTGAACACAATGAGGTCCGTGTAGCGCGCCTGTATCCTCGCCGTGTAGCTCGTGTCCTCGTAGCCCTGCCAGTTCTCGACGTCGATGACGCTGACGACGCCGTCGAGGACGTAGTCGCCCGTGTCGCGCGCCAGGCGGTTGACCTCGATGGCCAGGGTGGCGGGGAAGGCGGAGCCCGAGGTCTCGACGACGATGCGGTCGGGCGACTGGCGGGACGAGAGCTCGGCGAGCGCCGGCCCCAGCTGGCCCACGAGGTTGCAGCAGATGCAGCCGTTGAGCAGCTCCCGGACCCCCGAGATGGACGAGCTCGTCGCCAGCTGCGAGTCCACGGCCAGGTCCCCGAACTCGTTCTTCAGCAGCGCCAGCTTGTACGACGGGTTCGTCGCCCGCAGCTGCGGCAGCAGGTTCAGGATCAGCGTCGTCTTGCCGCTGCCCAGGAAGCCCGTAATTATCGTGATCGGTATGGGCGCCATTCTTGATTTTTGTTGGTTAAAAGGGACTGGATGGCAAACTTAAGGTTCCTGCGTTGTGCGCTTGCTTGTGTTGAAACTTTCTACCGTACCCCCGAAGAGGAAAGAAAGGGAAAAAGTCACGCGAAAGCCGTCACGCAGTCCGTCTCGGTAGGGCTTATCGGATCGAGGGGCAATCGACCGAGAATTCGGGGAATAGCTTATCTTAGCGTCTATGATTACTTCATACTATGTACTCTATGCACATAATAAAGCAGCCTGCGACAGGGGGGCAAGGGATCTCGGGTCTAGATCTCCACTGCGGCAGCCGGCACATGGGAATGACGTAGCGCTACTTGCGTGACGCTTTCGGCCTGGGCGATCTAGAGGACCTTGCAGAGGTCGCACTTTTATTCCAAGGTTGACGAGTGGTTTGTATGAGAATCCATTCCTGTAAGAATCTCATACTGGGGGTACTACTTGGTTTCTTTGTTCGAGACCACCACATAATCTCCCTATCTCATTTCAGTACAGCATACACCATATACATCGAGATCAAGACATAGAAGCAATACAGATCCCTACCATGTCCACCGCCGGCCCCACATCTAGCTCCCAGCAGCCGCAGACCGACGGCGATTCTACCTTCAAGTCGCAGCTCGACCACAAGGCGCGCGTGGCCCGTGATCCCAACTACGGGAAGGAGGAGCCTCAGCCCACGTTTCTGGAGAAAGGTAAGAAGCACCGTCACGAAATTTTTTCTCTCTTCTTCTTTTTTTCCCCTTGCTATATATTCACGTGCATGTCTACTCACACCGTCTGAAAGTGGCCGACTATGCGCCTGCCGTCGGCAAGATCCTGGGAGTAGAAAAGAAGGGCGACAAGCAGACCGAGCCGGAGACACCAGAGGTCGCTCCCGGTGTCCCGCCCGTGCGGCCACATCATGATGGGCACATTGAGGAGTTTATCAAGGATCAGCACAGGAGCAAGAAGGGCGAGAATGGGGAGCTCATCATCTGAGTCTGCTTGGCGGGCATTGGTTGGGGCGTTACAAAGGGGCAATTCCGTGTACTAAATCAGGCAAGGCTTTATTCTGAGACGGCGTATGGTACAAATTGACTACAGATTTACGATATGTGCCTGTTTGTGCTTTGAGGTTGCGAGGGTCACTGTGCCGTGCAATAGGGTCACCATCAAATTCTCGAGCAACAAACGGTTCCTCTGCGTTCTTGAGCCGCTGTTCTACTTGGCCGAACATGAAGATGAGATGTTTGGGCACGGTCAATCCAGCTGCAGTCGAACTCAATTATATCTGCGAGACTTTTTCTTGTGGAGGGGATGAATTATCTGGTTGTGTTTGTTTCATGTCAGTGTCGGGCAACATCTACAGGCCGCCACATTTTCCGGGGAATTTTCCGTTTGGACGACGCCCTAAGATGAGCAACCTTGATCGGCTGGATAAAGTCTTACCCAAGATGGATCTCCTTGTTTGGTGGACTGTACTCAGCTGAAGGGTGCGCACGCTATCCAGTGTTACAGCTTATATGCTGTTTCCTTCAAAGAACAATCACCAACGGTCTGCTGAAGGTTAACGATCATTTCTAATGAACACTCATCGAACAGTTCACCGTGCTTGGCCATATATTCTTTCCTTTGATGTTGCTCAGAGGTTATGGTGGTTCTACACAAAGTATCGTTTTCTGGAAGTCGAACCGAATTAACGTTCTCTAGAGTTAGGCCTGCGATCTATCAGGGGAAACCCCCATCCACTTCTCGTATGGGGAATCAATACGGTATCGAATTTTCACATGGGCTTTTGTGAGTGATTCATGGAAGTCTCCCGACATCCTGCTCCGCATTTTGCTCTTCTCCATGAGGCCGCGGATATTGCTCCCATCATCAAAGCGCTAGCTCCGGAGTGTAAGTCGAAATAAGGCAAGGGTCATGGTCACCCGCTGCCGGCGGATGATCGCCGATTGCGCAAGTGTCCCTGTCAGTGCCAGGCTCAAGCTCTGTCAGGAGCTGAAGTCATGGCGATCTGCATTCGTCACGATCCAAGGTGAAGATGCAAAATGGTGATTGCCGACTTGGTGGAGGCTTAAGAACGTCAGCCGCTGGAGGGAAATCCCATATGGGAATGCAATCCGTGGCTTATCAGCCCGCCACAATATGCGCTCTCCCAACGACTAGCGAACTGAAATCAACTACTGTCTGTCCGGGAGATAAGAATGGGGAAGCAAATTTTCTACTGTTGATATTGGAAGCAGAGACTGCCAATCCCTAATAATATCTTCCAGTTTGATTGTCTAAAATGAGGCATCAGCTCCAGCCCCGTGATGACTTATGGCCGAGCAACAGCACCGATGGCACCGCCGCCGGCCCTTTGCCTGCCGACAAGCAGAAGGGGACGAACGTCAATTTTGGTTCAATGGACTTCTCAATGAATTGTACAGCCAGTGACTAAACTACTTCGTTTTATTAATCTACTTCAATCCAGCGTTCAACATGTCCCATCCTGATAATTGTGGCTAGATATGGATATCTACTAGATCCAAAATTAACTGTAGAACTCGGCCGACTTATTAATGATAGCGGGCCGTAGCGACTAAACATTCTTGTCTAGGAACGGTCAACTTCTGGCGAGATCCGGGCTCGACCCGAGCAGCGCCAGGGTCAGCGGCATTTGGCGCTCAGACCTTCGAAGTTGTCGATCTTGATCCGTGGCTCTTGTGGGAAATTTGTATGAAACACTTTTATAAATGAATATGGATTATTTGCCTAGCCATGTTCCCTGTTCATCCGTTTTGGTAAGAGTCGAGGCGGGTTTTCACGAGGTTCAGCAACAATGCAGATGGTACCATTGAGCTGGAGAACAGAATCAACTCGCCGATCTGCCGTACGGGTCTCATTCACAGGGGTCAAGAAGCCACCAGATTTTCCGCATCAAATATAGCCAGAGGAGTTGATGAGATTGGACCCAAACAATCCCAAGTACCTCGATCGCGATACTAGACATCGTTGGGAAGATAATTTCCAAGAAGGCTGATTGTCGCGACCTTTTGAGTTCAAACTCATGATAGGCGTTTACTTAGAGACCTGGCAATGATCATGGCTAAGGCTTGCCATCGTAGTGTCGCAACTGGTAGCTGAAATGCACGCTTGGTATACGATGTACTATGGTAGTGGACACCCTTGTTCTGTTAAGGGATGTAAATGAGGTGGGCTTGGACACTCTGTGCTCTCGATGCACCATGCAACACTAACACAGCCCAAGCGCCCTGCTAACCATTCCGAGATCGAGGCGAGCGAGTCAGTATGTCACGCTGATTAGCGCTCAGGCTTGATTGGCGTTTTCCTTGGACTGACGCGTTACAGACTATCGTGCTTGGTTGGCGAGTGCAAAAGGTCCCATAAACCCCAGCGTACTGAATCCTTGCGGGGACTCGACACTTGGACCAAAAAACCTGTTACGAGAAACCGTCAACATACTGCCAAATTTGGAACAGACACAAGAGTCGCTGCAAGATAAACCCCGTGGCCGCATGAATCTAGAGGTGGTAACCAACAGCCGGGCCCGAACAACTAGATTAGTTAATAGACACCAACACTATATTGCAACTAACTAAGCCCCGGGTTCAAGCCTCATGGCCTGATTTGCTGTTCCAGACTTTGCACTTTCACGTATAAGCAATCCCATTGACGCAGAGAGAGCTCATCATGGAGTCGTTAGGTTTTGTTTTAGGAGGTGTCGTGTCGGGAAAGTCGACGTTTTGACCATTTCCGCCTAAATTTGGGCAGGCCTCGAACAAAGTTTAGCTACTGCATAGTCCAGTCCCAACTCAGTCGCTATGAACACCATTGACATCTGTCACGCTCCATTCAGAGACTCTACTTTCAGGTAACCCTCTTTGCTGGTCGTCCTTGATCGTCGCTGAAAACCTGATGCTGGCCATGACCTTGTTGGCGCTATATCGGAACCTACCCCCGGGGTCCCTAGAGAGCCTCCCGGTGCAAGGGACGTGAACGTATACAGATAGTAGGCAAATAACAATAACGGACTCCCCCAAGAATAATCGGTCGATCGTCAGGCCATATTTTCTTCTTTGTCTCCGTAGCCTGGCAACACTACTTCGGTAGACACACTCATTCGCCACAAAGACTTACTCGAGACGTGACCGGACCGAAACAGCCAAGATGCCTACCGGTGAAGTCGACCAGACGGTATGTGTTTCCACTTATCCTTGGCAATTGTTGATGAAAACGACTGGGGAAATAAAACAACTGCCGGAACGAGGGAGCCGTCAGTAATGAAAGCAATGAGGCTGATGGAGTGTATACAATAGTTCCTCGATGAAATATGGGCACTCTACGCCGTAGGTATGGCTGTTTTGATCTTGCGCTTCGTTGTGCGGTTCAAGTCGGTTGGTATGCGGGGCATGCAAGGCGATGATTTCTTCGCTCTGCTGGTGGCATTATTCTACACATTAGATGCTGCAACGGTACATATAGTCTGTGAGTGACTGGAGCTCATCTAAAAAACGCGGTCGTTGTGGAAAAGGTCGCCCACTTACATATCGTGCTTCAGATTACGCCGGCACAAACGTCGAGGCATCAGTCGTTCAAGCTACTCGAGGTATGCTACATCCTTATGATTAAGTATACTGGAAATAATTAGCTGTGACGCGGACGACGCTGACTGTGGAACTATTTATAGCCCTCACCGAGGAGGAGATCGCCCAGTACGAGTACGGATCCAAAATCGAGCTGGTGGCTTGGTATTCGTATACAGCATTAATCTGGTGCCTTAAGGGTACTATGTTGTGCTTTTTCAAACGAATGACAACTGGTCTTTGGCAACATCGCTTGGTAAAATGGCTCATGTGGGCTTGCGTAGCATCTTACATTGCCGTGTTCCTCACTGTAAGTTGACTGCAGACCTGAAGGCCGGGAGATCAGCTTTTAATTACTTGTTATAGATCACGTTCGGGTGTTTTCCTACTCAGAAGAACTGGCAGGTTACGCCAGATCCTGGCTTGAAGTGCACTTTCAAGATGCAAAATTTCCTGGTCTCTGTCGTGCTGAACGTCATGTGAGCCCTGACAATGCCAAGCCTCTACCACCTGTCTTGAAGTGCTAATACATTCCAGAACTGACGGTGCGATTCTTTGTATTCCCCTGCCATTGTTGTGGACGCTTCAGGTGCCAATCAAAAAGTGAGTTGATCTCTTTTGTGTTATGTTCGGCCACGCCTTGCTAACCATTACTTACCAATCATAAAGGAAGGTCATGATCGGCCTGCTTCTATGTTCCGGACTGTTCGTCATCACCGCAGCTATCATCCGCGTCGTGCTCACACTCGGTTCCCACCCTTCGGCACTCAACGTCAACCGCTGGGGTGTCCGCGAAACCATCGTCGGCATCATCACCGTGAACATCCCGATACTGAGACCCATGTTCAGCAAGACCTTCTGGAGGACCGGACAGGTCACCTCCCCGACCGGGAGCGGCAACACCAACACTGGCGGGCGCAACGGCACGCTCGCCACCGGGCATGGGCCGTACGAGATGGCGAGCAGCATCGGGGGGGTCAGCCGCGACCGCAAGGACAGCTTTGGCGGAAGCGAGGAGTGCATCATCGGCAAGAACAGCAAGGCCGTCAAGCCCGGCGAGAACGACGTCGTCGTACAAACAATGTACCATGTCACCAGCGAGGATGTTGCACCCAGCCAAGCTGGTCGTGACTGGGATGCCCACGGCGGCCATACTAAGGCAGTGGCGTATGGAGGCAGCAATGCGGTATGAGAGACAACAAGAATTAGACCGATGACTTTCTGGCAACACGTCATAAATTAATTGTTATTATCGCAGTGAGACTAGCGAACCACGGTGCATCATATCGTTCATTAGAAGATGCCCCTGGGACAGCCTTGGTCTCCTGTACGATAGAACGAAGTAGCCAGGGCGATATCCTTAGCCCCGTCGTACAACAAACAAGTCTCGAGCAACACTCGTCGATGGTAGCGTCGAGATGAACGGGTCTCCTTTGTACTTCTCCCTGCGGCACTTGGTAGTCTACCGAAAACGACTTTGCGTAAACGCCCCTGAACTGATTTGCGGATACAAAGTGGGCGGTGTGATGATATACAGCGTCGATGACTCGATGGTATATTATATTTAGTTCACTTGCTTCCAACTACATCTTTATAATTCGATTCAACGGTACAGCTCATTAGCAATGAAGCCTAGTTTCCGTGCTCATTGGTGGCACGTTCGCTTCAAAGTTTGAGTAATGCGACTGGCAATGCAAGAGCCATCCTCTTGCTATCCCCTGGTGCAGGGCCTTCGTAACCTGGCACTCGGATACCGCATTTCCTTGCCCAGCTTAGATCGAAGGGCCGAATGATCGCCGCAGCGAGTAAGGGGAAAAGGTATGCATTCATTGATCTGATTGTGCATCCCGGGATGCACGAACGGGCCTGACGGCCAACATTGGCTTCTATGATCCACCGACAAGGCGTCAATATGATTTGTCGATCACACAGTTCGACTCGATTTTCCATTTACAGACCTTTGGACGTGGATATAGTTGATATGCGTTCTGGAGACCAACTCGGCCCCGACCAAGCCATAAAATTACATATCATGCATGTCGCGATATCTGGGGCGTGGCTTGGGGGCTGAAAAGGGCACTATCATCCCATCCTTCCTGTTGGAGCCCATGACGTCAGGAGGCTTATGTGGTCCGTCGCCTTGTCGCAAAACGGAAAGGACTGCAGAAACAGATTCGATTCACAACGAAAGAAAAATAAGCTGCCAGCGAAAGGTAAAACCCGACTGTTAAGTTGAAAAAGTTTGCATCATTCTTATTCAGAGTTTGTGGAGAGATAGGCGGAGAGAGGTGTCCACCAGTCTTTCTCGGGGGATCGGCAGCCGATCAAGCTGTCAGCAATTACCGGATCCGGGAACCGCTGAAGTCATTTTCTTTGGACGGACGCCGCGATGGCTTTTCGGGGATTTCAAGGATGGAGAGATCGACTCGCCCATTGAGAAAGCAGGAAAGCTCGACAAGTTGTAGAAAGTGACAGGGAAAGTAAAATAAGTTTAGATGTTCTGGCTTCTCTATATTGTGCTTCTGAAAACACTCTTTCATTTCTCATAACCATATCTCGGAAGTTGTCTCGAAACGTTGAGGCAGTGTGTGGGGCCGGTGAAACATTACTATACTGGACTTGTGGGGGTATACCATTGGTCAATCAGTCAATCAGCGATGGGCGAGTATCCGCAGGAAACAACTGCTTTAGCAAAAGTTTCAACGGTATTTGTCCCCAATTCCGCATCTTGATTCACGAGGAGCTGATCTGACGAACTTTAGCATCATGGTTATGTTGCAAAGCAAGTTACAGAGCAGCGTCAAAGACATCTTGGTATATGACTATGGACGCTTTCGGAGCTGGCATGATTGGATTCATGATCAACGACCGCTACGACTTGCAGTGCGACGAACGCGACAAAGCAACAGAGGTATAACATGTACGTTGCCCATAGTTTCTACGATCTGTGTCTTAGTCGGACCGGCTGTGGCCTGACTTGGATGATGCTTGGCTATGGTTGCCGTTTTGAGGTGTTGGAACGGTTACCAGCAGATTTGATATCCGGTAGAGCTCGTGTCCACAAAGATCTTGCAGCCTCTTCGACGATATTTCACGAGTGTCGCCCAGAACACCGGGCACTTGAAATGGCTGGGATCAACGCTGATGGACGTTCTTACCAAAGGTCCGACTTATTGGTCGAGCTTCTCCGAGTAGGAGTCAACTAGGTTACGACGACGATGTGACTTGGCACCGACTCGGCGATCGACTCCACGACACATTATCGCAAGAGAGCAGAGGTAGGGAGCTTCGCAAATTTCTTTTCGTTATGGAAACACTCACGCTCTTGAACGCTGCTGTAGTAAGCAATGATGTCTCCTTACGTACACAAACCCACACGGGTATAACCTAACACCAAACGCCCCCATTTGCACCAATCATGAACGCCAAATGCCATGTATGGACCAAGTCGAACCCATATATATTTCCTGAAAAATCAAGTTCCACATCATTTCAATCACAAGTCAAGTCCTGCCTGCACCTGTCGACGCTTGCCCTGATGCCTATTCATATCATGCTGCCTGGAAATTTGCTGAAGCTATTCAAGCTATTTGGATCTTCGGGTTGGGTTGGAGGAGATATGAGATACGAGGGGCCGGCTGTGGGCATCGGCCTTACGTTGGGATCATGCGAGCTTTGTGGTCGATAGAACACGGGCGAATCGGGCATACCCATACCCGGAGGCAACGAGACACTACCCCTGTGTATCTGCCTCGGGCTCATGCTTCGTGGCATGGAGAAACTTCCCCGCTGTGTTGGGCTCATCAGTTCGTTTGTCGCAGTGGTATATTCTGACATGGACGACAGGCTGTCATTTCTGGGCACGGCGGCTAGTGCCATGCCGAAGTTTGCCAGCAAGGAGTCGTACTGCTCGCCGGCTCCCAGAACATAGCGTTTCGCCTCGTTCTCGATCCACTTGTCGATCCTGGAATCGCTGCAGTTAGCATGTACCATCAATATGGCTCGCGTCTGGTTGAGTTCGTTCGCGAGCTCATTGCGCTGTTGTCGGAGTCGTGAGTTGTGCTCTTCGAGTTCCATTTTCGTGTCCTCCAGGTCAGTCATCCACGTTTTCCTTTTTACTCGGCATTTCCCTGCCGCCGCCCGGTTTCTCGCCAGGAACTTTTCTCTCTTCTCTTCTTCCTGCTCTTGGGTCAACTGAGGCTTGGGCCGGGGCTTCCGGGGTCGCCGCCGCCTAGGGAGTAATGGCGCCGGAGGAGGAAACAGAGCTTCAGGAGGTTTGGATGGTTGAATTGCACTACCTAGCCCCTCGGGTGGTGTGATGTTGGGGGTAATAGGCGCGATGATTTGACCAGAAACTCTAGTCTCGGTTACGGAAGATCCGGATCCAACAGTGTGCCTGGAAGGTTCCAGTTTGACAGTATTCAGATTGGGGACCGACGATAGGCGCCTTTGATGCTGAAATTCTGGTGGTTGAACATATCCAGCAGCCTCGAACTGAGTCTGCGTCCTGCCTGACAACGACTGTTGTATCAAGGGCGGTGGCTGCATCGGCCTAGCCGATAATGGTGCAGGTTGCGTTGGCACATTCTCAGGAAACGATACCGTGGTGAAGTGTTGCGGATAGGTTCCCTCGCCGTTGTCCCGGGCGCCATCAAAGACTTGGTAACTTCCGTCACTGGGGCCCTGGATACCATAGTCGAAGAAATGCGATGCTCCGTCCATTTCCTTGACGCACAGTTGCGCCGGGGATCAGATTACGCGCCAGGATAGACGTGTTGTTTTGTGTGTAATGCGGTGGCAGTACACCTGTACCAGCGACTATCCTAATGCTCATCCGACCTTTGGGCCGTACGATCGGTCCTTTGGGGCCCAGATCAGGCGCAGTGCGCGTGGCCAAACTGCACGAGGCAAATGATTCAGTTGTCGGATTGGGATTTTCCAGGAATAGACTTGACAAATATGGTAGAGTCTAGCCGAAGTAGCTATCTGGGACATGGTATGCTGGGTGCTTGAGTGGGGATATGATTGATGTCGTGCGCTAGCACCGAGTCTGGACAAGTTGGGAAGGATGAAGCTAAGGTTAGCGGATGGAAAGGTTCGGGGGAGTCTAGCTAGGTACTGATTACATTGGCAGACGTCTCTTGCTGTCGTTTAGATGCTCTCGTAGGACTGAGGCGCAGGATCGAGAACCGCACACCACCTCCGACGTCCGAATCCTCTTGACCCGAACGCGTCACAAAGACTTTAGGTATGTGCTGCTTGCTCATACAACCTTACATTATTTCTTCCCGTGCTCGCCGCATGGTTTTCTTTCTGTGTGTGAAGAGATAATTGTAGCCCAGTATTGATTTAAGCTTCGACGGTCCAAGTTCGAGTGGGGAGACGACGATGTTTGGCAGCGGTGTAGTAAACCCCTGAAAGTTTATGTATCCTTGAGTAATGTTTCTTCTGTCTCGCGATAGGTATAGGTAGTCGCACTCGGCAAGCTTCGTCTATTCGATTCGGCTACCTACTTACGGGAAAGAGGCATACCGAGATTGACTGTATGATACTTCAATCGGTCTTAAAAAGGAAGATTGTCGATTTAGTTACTGGAAAATCAAAGCTCTAGCACTAAGGAGAGAGATGATTATAATATAATTACACATAACATGTGCTATGTCGGAGATACTGGCCTCTTTGTTTGATCGCAACTGATTTGGAGACGGTGACTGACTGGAAGAAACGAAGACTTATCTTGATTGTCATCAGACGACATAGGCTACCGTCGCTAGAAGTCTGTCATGCAGCATGGCTATGCTTCGAGTCTCGACTTTCATCCCACGAATAATGCATTAACTAAGTGGGAGGATTTTGCAATAGTAGGCCATGCTCTCGCCTTACTCGAACTGCAAAGTACGTAGCTCTAAACCTTCTCGCAGTTTACAAAATTGACTACGCGAAATAGCAGAATTCCTTCGACTGTCAGTATACGTGTGGACGTGACTTTCTGAGATATCTGAGCCAGCGAACATGGTTATAGCTGGCCAAGGACGGTGGACTCTTTTACCAAGCACCTCTAACCAGAGATAATGTCGACCAAGTCATTAACAATATGCTACCCAATCGAAAGCAATGGGTGCAAAGCAGACAAACTTCTGTCTACTAGTGGCGAAAATGGCTCTGCAAGAAAATAATGAACGTATACCGACCATTTTGGTTCGCCGAAACGCAACGTCGGATGGCTTCAAGGGAGGCCACTTGGCTCAACTGTTTTCCACACACCTAGGTCTGGGAACTTGCTCTTTGGCACCGTTGTGCGGAGGCGCATTTGAAGGAAGAACACAGGCACACAGTTACGCACACACGCATTACTTTGAGAGGTTCATGAACGACGGACCGGTCTCGGATTCCTGGAACGGCGAGGCATAATCTCGATGGAATGAACAGATGGGGGAAAAAGAAACGAAGGTTGCCTTGCCTCCTTCAGCATCTCATTCGGCTGGCGAAGAAACGAGACGCAACGATTCCCATCCTTCGATCAATCAAGTCGCCGTAACCGTGTTATTTGATTGGCAGCCCTATGGAGGATCAGCAAGCCACTTAAAAGCAGTGCCCCCAATCCCAGAACGTGGGAAATTGTTGAGCCTACCGTATCATCCATGGCCGCTGAGGTAAGCGAATGTAGACCTATTGAATTGACTCTTGGCGAATTCGCACTCGATCAACCCCCAAACAGCCCATTTCACCGCAGTAGGGTCAACGACAGTTCCTGGAGTTTGCCATCGCGTCAACAAATGAACATGGTGCATCGCTATTCTTGTGACGGCGCTGCAAAGTACTGGCAAAGATCCACACATAACCTGGTCTTGGCGTGTGTAGCCCCTGTTACTTTGGCTGGCTTGATTCGTTTTTATCAGGCCAACAATCCTTCGCTAGAAAGCTGCAGGGTGATCCTTCGGATTTGATCCGCTTCAGGCTACCGAAGTCATGGTTACGGTAGCATATCGCGTCTATTGGGACCAATCGTCAAAAATGACAAGTTGTCTAGGCGGGCTAGGTTCAGGTGCAGAGCCACGAAGGATGAGGCGGCTAGGAGGGAGCAAGGTACCTGGTCTCTCGATCCTCCCGGAAGATCTGGGGGCCGGAAATAACTCTTTTGTCGTACCATAGTAAACAGCTAACTGTTGATTTTTTTTCCCTTGGAGAGTTAATTCGCACTTTGTTCAAACTATGGAATACTGATTTGACATTTGACCCTGTCTTTGCCGTGGCCCCCAGGAATCCCAAATGTCTTTAGTCAGGTAGAGTGCCAGCAATTGCGCTGATCAAACGATACTCTTCGTCTCAACGGACCCTAGGACGACTGTACATATCCCGCTATCAGCATCACCTGACCTGAAATCCATAAACAACTTGCATACTACGTATTGTTCGCTTCGCGCGCTTACCGTCCAATGTTCATCCGTGCTGGGCCTGAGTGTTTCATTGATTAATTGGATGTCGTGGACCCGAACAGCTATTGTGCGTCAATCATGCCCCTGAGTCGCATAATGCGTCGGCTGCTTCAGACATACAACGGACAACCATATCATGCAGTTCCTCAACATGCATCCGAGATTGCTGGGGCCGGTTTTGTCTAAGCCTGCATCCTACCCATTTCTAAGCAATCCTTAGATGTCACCCTGGACCTTCAAATGGAAAGACCCGCAACAACCTCGGACACATGACCGAAACAGCGGCAGCTCAGCGCAAAGATTTGACCATTGGAGATCCGTTGTAAATGCAAAATCTGAATAGGAATGGACATCATTGCGCACAGCTTTTGGGACATGCTGACTTGATGATATCTAGTTCCTAAGTGGCAAGAGCTAAGCCTACTTGTGGCTCAACATATGATATGATGACATGATGATATTGCAATACCGACACACAACCTGTAAAAAAAAACCACCCCCCCAAAAAAGAGAGAAAAAGGACAATTGCGTTAGAACTTCCTTGTATAGCTTTGCATACAAATTCCCAACCAGGATGGAAGCTTAGAAACAAGATAATCTTTGTTTGCTTCGGAACGAAGTACACAATACCTACCCATACCCAGCTTAAATGGGTCCATTGATGGTCAGGTGATCACGCGAGGTGCGCTTGATCGTGTTTGACGCGCTCACCCCACCAAATTCAGGTCAATTCTACCATCTGGGAAATACCACAGCATCCAACACCTTGACCGCTTGAACTATCGTATTATCTAGAGACCAGCTGAGAAATAAACACAATGGAGTCCGTCTCAACACCTCGCATTTCCAGCCGCTACATTGACTCTTATGTTGGCCGGACTGTCATGGTTGTGGGCAAGGTCATTCAGCTGCGTGGAAACGAGGCCTTGATTGACTCGGACGGTCAGATCAACGTCAACCTGAACCCAGTAAGCTTCCAGGACCAAGACTTCTTCATTGGCCAAGCAAGTGCATTTATTTCTGACTTGTCGCGTCTAGCAATGCCACCTCACACCCGGTAATGGAGTACAAGTCATTGGCAAGGTGAGCTCGGATCTGACCATTAAGGTCATGAGCTCAGTCGACTTGGGTGACAACGTCGGTACGTTACTTCTCTGATGACAAATATTCCACTGCGACGAGTCCGCTTACACAAGTCACAGATTACTCAATCTCCCAGTCAGTGGTGGACGTGACACACCAATACAAGGAGCTCTTCGTCTACGAGCAGTGACGAGGCGATGCGCGTTCGTCGAACCCTCCTCCCGGCAGCACGCCCGGACATGTGGACTTGCTCTGGCCGGTGGGCTCCCCACGCGCCTTCTCGTTATCGTCTCACCAACCAGCACCGCTCGATGGTCAGCAGGCGACTGTGCTGACTCCTCGGCCGTCCTGGCCACTCTCCTCATCTCCCTCTAGGTCTAAGGCTCCGCACACGAGGACCAAGTCTGTATCTTTTATCACAAACGACACCCCTACACCTCGACGCTCTCCGCGGAGGAGAAGGTCTATCCCTGAACTTTCTGGTACGTTGGCCGCGAGCCAAGGTGATATGAGTGCCAGCCAGATGGGTGGTCTTGGAGGAAGGAGGACTGTAAGAGAGCAGGAGCACGAGGATGCTTTGATGAGTACTGTTTTGGAGGGCTTTGGGAGGCTATCGGTCACGATGCAGCAGGACGATGGTGGGCGTTGGAGAATGCAGCGAAAGAATCCTTTTGCTGTGAAATGAAGTAATGAATTCCAAATGAGTTGACCCTTACAAACCGGAAGTGGCGTTCCGGTCAGTGATCTTAGTGGTTGTACTGTTTCAAGGCGGACTGAGGTTGCTTTTCCAATTGGAAAGGCAAAGGAAAATCAGAATAGAAGTCTTCGGATCCCAAGATGGGCACCGTGGCGGCTACTAAGATCCTCTATTACGGTTGGGGGTGGCGGGTCTTTACATGACAAGGACGCTCTGAGAACGTTTACAGCTAACCCAGTGGGATGGTCTTGTGTTTGAGTGTTATCAAACCAACTGCAACTTGCAATTCCTGGCTGGCGGGAAGTAGAAACGACTTAACGACTACGAGCGGTGTTGATTATGTATTAATAGAGCACGAGCAAGCTAGCATGCCGAAACGCATGAGCAGATCGTGACATAAGGCAAGCGATCTGTAGTCATCAACGTCTGTACAATTTCACCATACACCTCCCGTTTGCAGTTATGGATTATACGTGAGATCATGCAAGCTCCTTTGACTTGCCGTTTATACAGTTTTGTTCTACAGTCAATAGTACAAGATAGATATGCCAAACTTGTCCGCTCTACTCGACGATGATCTTGCCGCTCTCTGGCGACTTGGATCCGACGATCGAGCCTCCCATATACACACTCGACGCCAAATCGCTCGAATGCCTCTCGATCATCTCCTGAAGCGCGCTCCTCTCGACGACCAACCTCCCAGTCTCCAGCAAGTCCTTTACATCCACATCGTCCACGTCCAGCGCGCGGCCGTAGTTGGGGATCAAGTCCATTGCCGCGAACAGGTCGTCCCTCCAAGAGTTTGTGATAATTGTGCTTCTACCGTTCTGCTTTCCCCACTCGTTGCGCTCCATCACCTGCCGCATCCAGCGAACCTTAAAGCCATCGATCAATTCTTCGTCTCTAATCTGGCGGTTGAGAATGAGCTGCTCGAACTCGGCAGGCAGCGGCAGCTCCATCCCATCCTGACAGACGACCAGCTCGCCACGTCGGTATCTGTAGGACAGCGCCGTCCGCCAGGCGAGATCGTAGACCTTCCTGTTGAGCTTGGTGCCGAAGTCGCGGGGCTTGGGACCGAACGTCTTTCCACCACCTCTCCTCAGGGGCGACCGGGCATCGCCCACACGGGCGCGGCCCAGACCCTTCTGCGCGTAGAGCTTGCGTCCGGAACCGCGGACCTCATAGCGGGTCTTGGCGGAGGCGGTGCCCTGGCGTGTGTTGTCGCCCTCGTAGACGACGGCCAGGTGCAGGATGTCGCGGCGCAGGGGCAGGTTCAGGTGCTTGGAGGACCAGGACTCGAGGCGCTGGGGCTCGTAGGACGGGAAGGAGAAGATGGTCAGGGGGACCGTGGGCTGTGCGTGCCAAAGGTTCGAGGCAGAACGACTGTCGACTGGGGTGGCGGCTTGGGGTAGAGGCGCCTCTGTGGCCATGGACCTCGTGAGTGAGGGTAGCCGATGCTGCTACTGTTAGAGAAAGGTCGGCAGATGGTAACGTCTAGATCATTGGCAATCTTACCGACGCAGCCTGGCTACATGTCTGTGATGATACACTCAGAGCCCTGAAGGCCTCGGTGAGACCACGCGCACCCTTTCCTGCCATTGCAATGCTTGACTAAAATGACTGGGCGATGAGGTTGAGCTTCAGCTTCACCTTTCACTCATTAGTCTAGCTCATGTCAATGGATGTTCCTATCTTGAAAATTATTGAGGCTGCGCTTGGCAGCTGCGGGCGGGCCGCAGAAGGGAAAGAGCGATGAGGCGATTGGACAGGCTTCTCAAATCAGTGGGCCTCGACCCCCTGGTCGGTCGCGCTTGCAGACTGAGCTTCGAAAAAGTTCAACCCGGCGACGGGGTAAAGCTTCAGAGCTCCTATACACGACAACAGGAGATTAGGGAGCCATGTCGAGTTGTCAACGGGTCGCAAGACCGATCGCCCGGTCTTTACGGCAGCAGCCGTCCATCCAAGCATCGTCGTTTGCTTTGAGTCGCACCTTTGCGCAGAGTGCCGCCAGGAAAGATGAGGCCACCACTACCACCAAGAGCACACCACCACCCCCAGAGCCGGTAGCACAGTCCCCAGAGACCCAAGCGTTGCAGAACGATCCCAGAAACACCGTCACGAGCTACTGGGCCGAGCGAAAACTCGTCAAGAAGGGACTCCCCCCCATCGGTTCCCGACGTCGTCGTGCTGCCATTCAGACATCGCAGAACATCCCATTCGAGCACCTGCCATACCAAGCCTTTCAGGAGGCCCGCAACATTCTGAACGAGGACCGTCAGGAGAAGCTCAAAGCCCTGCAGTCGGCACTGGCGTCGATAAAGAGGCTGGAGGAGACCCCCGCTGATCAATTGCCTGGCGGAGAGAGGAAGAAGAGCATGCGCTTGACCAGCTTACGGGAATACGTCGAGGAACTGAAGGTCCTGGTGGATATCAACGACCCCGTCGTTAAGCGCAAGTTTGAAGATGGCCTTGGTGAGTCTCAATCTCTTCTACAGGATACCGCGCGAGCCTCGAGACTAACAGGGGCATGTCAGGCGACTTCGACAAGCCCGTCTACCGTCACTTGGCAGAGAAGAAGTGGCGTGGATACCCTCTCCGTCTGATCCAACAGCGAATTGATACCCTCAACATCGTGCCGGATGTGCTTCCCAAGTTTGAGCCGACTGCCGACGTGCAAATGTACTTCCGACGAAACAAGGTCGAGCCGGGTGAGATTCTTGACAGCAGGGTCACCGAGAACCCACCCCGCTTGAAGGTCCAGGTCTTCAACGCCGGAGAGCGCCTTGTGTCCGTCGTCGTCATGGACTCCGATGTGCCGAATGCCGAGAACGATAGCTTCGAGCGGCGCTGCCACTACCTTGCTGCGAACGTACCCATCTCGCCCAACCAGCAATCATTGCCACTCTCGCAGGTCAACAGGGAGAGCCAACTGGTCGTCCCCTGGCTCCCTGCCTTTTCGCAGAAGGGCGCACCATACCACCGTCTCTCGGTTTTCGTGCTCGAGCAGAAGCCCGGTGAGACCTTGGATGTCGCCAAGCTCAAGGAGCTCTACACCGCACGCGATGGATTCAGCTTGAAGAGCTACAGGGACAAGTTCGCCCTGAACCCCATTGGTTTCAACATGTTCCGTACCGTGTGGGATGAGGGTACAGCGGATGTCATGAACCGCCACAACATCCCAGGCGCCAACATCGAGTTCAAGCTCAAGCGCGTGTACTCGCTGAAGGGAGACAAGAAGCTGCGTGGTTGGGAAATCAAGCGACAGAAGCCCAAGTACAAGAGCTTGTGGAAGTACACCCACAGAGTCCGTGGATTACCTCGTTACAAGGGCCGCCGACACGACTAATCTCCTGGTATTGTGGCTGGGTGACTGGATACTCTCGGCGAAGGTACTGCTTGTTCTTCACCGGGGATGTTGAGGGACTCTCCGTCATGCCGAACCTTCTAGGCCGCCAAAAGGAAAAATTCGATGACACTCATCTTCAGCTACATGAGCTCGTCAGTCTATTGTACCATATGTATCAAGCAGTTGGGCGTTAGAGGTAGATGCTACGCCCTGTATCAAAGCAATGTACAATTCCCACTTAATCCTGTCTTTTCTGGATCCTTCACAATATTTTTTAGACGCTTGCCATGGTCATGTTTACTAATGGCGACATTGCTAGAGCCTGTAGCTCGCTAATGAATTGGTCGTAGCAATGCAAGCATCTTTTCTTCTGTCATGGAATACTGCTGTCCTGGGGACGTGGGAACGTGGAAACTATCCCCAAGAGCTCACACGGAGGTACGGAACAAAACAGGAGAAGCTCATTCGGCTTTACACTACAGTCATGCAAGGCGGTTCGATCATCGTCTGGCAAGATTCAATCCAGTCGGTGGCTCGCTCAGGGTGGCCTCACACGACCCTCCCTGGTTTGGGATTTTGCGCCAGAATAATCATAGATGATATTACAAAACGGCGCCAAGCTGTAGCCCGTGCATATGGTTTTCAGACATTCAAGGACTAGTGATGCTGGAATATACGGGGTTTTCCATTTCTAATATTTTCAGGTCTAGATGCCAAGTCTCAAGAACTGGGATTCTCTTTTCAGCTTCGTCTCTTCGTGACGCTTCTCCAAACCGGGGTTCTGGGGAGTGAAGCCTCCACAGGCATTTTTCTTTCAGCTCTCATTTTTCCGTGCCACCCAATGCGCAGCTCTATAGACAGTCTGTAACATGCTGTTGGAGTCCTGGATGTACGGTGCACTGATGTCCGTTTCGTGGTGTTCAATGGTGAAGCCCATCTTCTCGACGAGCGCCACGACCTCCTCGTGCGTCAGCTCGAAGCTGCCGGGCTCCGCGATGCCCATGGCGCCCGTGGTCTCGTTGTCGCCGTCGCCGTCGTATCCTTGGTGTCCGGGCACCTGGCCCTCCCAGTGCCACAGGAGAGGCCCGACGTTGACGAGGACCCCGCCCGGCTTGAGGCAGTGTCTTATTACCTCCAGGTAGCGTACCAGGTTTGGTGCCGTGTCCAGGAAGAAGCAGGCCGCGACCGCGTCGTACTCATCCTTGTGGTCGTCATCGCCATAGAGGCACAGAAAATCCGCCGCGCACATTTGCATGGCGCCAATGCCCTCGGCCGCCTCTAGTGTCCGTTGGGGGTGTATGTCGGGCACTTTGAAGCTCCTGAATTGGTTCTCCCTGCTCCTGTGGTTCGAGAAAGAGTGGATCCAGGGGTAGATTGTGAACTGACCCGCCTCCTCGACGTTGTTAAGTATGAAGGAGGACGCCAACAGTTGATGGTACGAAATCTCGTTGCCCTCGCTGAAATGGCCCCGGTGGCATAGGTCAAACACCAGACGACCGAGCCCGGCACCGGGAACCAGGACTTTCAGTTGCGAGACGTCGGGGTACTTTGCTTTCTGGTTCTCAAGGGCCCGGTAGATAGGCTCGTAGCAGGCCTTGCGCTCAAGGTATCCCTCTTCCGACCAGTCACGGTAGAACTGACGGATGGTGCTCCGCGCCTTGTCAATGTCAGAATGCTTGGCTATGCCGGCCCATTCTTCGGGCATGGTGGCATGGCCAGACTCGGATGAGCCTTCGCTCATATCGAAGGACCGCAGGCCCTGCTTGAGGACGAGACGCGCCAGTTCTGCATTCTTCTCGATGGCTGCATCTACGCGATCCAGTGTATCCAAATACGAGAACGGGGGCTCAGCTAGCATCTTCCAGTGAGCTCGAGGAAGAGCGTAGAACGCCTGGCGTCGCAGGTGGGTGCAGTGAAAATGTGCTGTCTTGGCATATTGACTATATAATCATGTTAGTTGATAGGACATGATGATCCCAAGCAGAGTGTCCAGGCAAAAGCAAGTATTGCTAATCATGGATGCAGGGATACCAGGGATATCTATAGGTGACTGAACTGCAAGGGTCAAACGGGACTATACTAACGCAAATGAGTCCAACGCTTGAAATATGACTCTAATCTCTTCTGGATCCCCCATGGTGTCCTCAACACCACTCCATTGGTTGTCTTCGGTAGGCGCCGTAGCACCAGCTTGGGCCATGTTGAGTTTGAGTTTGAGTTATGTAGTGAGTTGTTAATTGCGAAAGATTTTGTGGTACTCCGAGAAGCAACTCTGCTATGATTGTGATGAGCCCAAAATGGGTGCTGATGGCGGGGCACTACTAACACAGCGAGCGATTTGGGAGGGGGCAGTATGCAGACGTCACTGGTAGATCAGCTGAGGACCGGCACTGGCAACGCTCATCGGAGAACCAGACAACTATATGCGAGACATTATGGGATGCTGAAATGGCAATAGGCGAAACAAAGGACGAGACATTTTTGCGTTCCCGTTTCGCACCTGCCCAGATGCTTGGAAAGTGGGACTTTTGAGTTGAGGTTTTGACTCCACATGTGAATTTGCGCAGCTGACATACAGTGGTTAGGCGGGAGGAGCAAAAAGGAGCCAACCAAGCACAGGCCATTTGAGACACTGCTTGCGCTTGCATGCCTATTTCTCACGACGTCTATAAATCCATGTCCCACATCTAAATACATGTCGGTAACGGTTTCTTCAAGTACAAACAACACAAGCTAAGCAGGTCTTGCAAATCACGTTCTCTTTCTTTCGAACAACTACACATCAATCAGACTCTGTGTTGAAGGAATTGACAGGATACAAGCCCAACATGGATGAGTCGGTGTCTTTTCCGCTGCCCAGATCTCTGGGTACTCGCATACATGTGCGATTGATTACGAAAGAGAAGGTCTTGATAGCACATCTCTCAACTGTCAACCCGGAAGAGGTGGGCAACGCGGTCCCTATGGGATCCATGGTCTATGCTCTTCCAGATGTGCGTCAAGAGCAAGCAGGTTCCATAACGCTTTGATACTGATCATTGAACAGCGGTTCAACCCAAGTGCACCAATCTCTACACCAATCTACAAGGAAGAGCCAACCTTCGACTTTGCCACTCGCATCGCGAAGATTCTGGTCAAGAAGACGCAGATGCACGTTTATGTCACCAACTCAATCAGCCTGGCCGATTCTGGCCTAGGAGGAACTTTTGAGGAGGAAATGGAAGTATTCAAGCAGGTTATCACGGTCGCTATCGACAAGTTAAGGCATGTCATCAAGTCTCCAAGCAATTTGCCCAACGGCACAAACGAGGCTTGACTATTTACTCCTTCAGTGGCGCAATTTCTGAGCTTGGAGGGCTCCGCACGAATGTAGGTAACCTGGCCAAAGCCTCAACTCTTTCAGCCCTCTAGCTGTTGTATTCAAGAAACCTTTGAGTGTTTGTCACGAAGTGGCCGAACTGAGGCTTCGACTGTTTTACTTAATTCGACAGACTTGATGATAGCGATGTCTCGGTATCGCACACCAACGCCTGCGTCCATCCATGTTGATTTACCGGTTGCCAACGGGTCGTTGCATACGCCTGATCTGGCAACCCTTGCACCACGTGTCAAACGGCAGCTCCAGCTATGGCCGCCCGCAGGGTTCTCAGACTGTGAACATCAGTGTCATGACTGAAAAGCTCCTTTCGTCGTCTAGATTGATCACCGGTCTGGTGTCGAGCGCTTTGACGGTGGTTGATACTTCAAAATGAGTTGAAACTTTCAGTGGGGTGCAGGTATGGTAAGGGCGAGACAACGCCGCCGCAAGAAGAGAACACCACTGCAGTTACCTGCATCGTACAGAAAGCGGCCAGGAATCGGGCGTTTGGAGACTCAGCGAGAGGTGGCTGTCTAGCACAAGGCAATATGGCGAATACGAGATTTCTTGTTTGCTTCACAGTTGTGAACCCGATTCAGATGCTCGGAACACGGTGCCGTTGAGCATCATATATCTTCTTATACTCGATCGATATTGGTGTGTCTCCTGCTGCGAGATGAAGCTCCATTGAGTTGAGGCACGGTAGAGGCCCACGGGGGATAACCAGGATCTCCCGGTTTCTGCACCAGAAGACTCGGCACTAGTCTAAGTGAATATGCGCGTTGCACCAATTGCATGTTTTTTTTTGGTCAATTTAAGTAAGTATTACTTACTGTAGCTGTAATACTGTAGACTAGTTCATGTCGCGTTGTGGTTCGGCTGCCTTATCCTACAAACATGCTGTTAAGAATTGCGACTAGTATTTCAATATACGTTAAGGAATATTGGTAGATTGGAGCATGGCGTATCCACAGTAGGCTAATAATTGAAGAGAGTATAAACGCAGGCACACCATTGAGAACATGTCACCAATCTTTGGAGCGGTATGCGTTCTTGTGCTATATCACAGGCGAGGCTTCTTGGGAAATGGCTGGCATACACAGCCGTTGCAGCTTGGGAGAAATGGGGAGCTCCGCGATCGCCCCACCTGCGTGCCTGTGTTGCACTCATTTAAATGTGCTGATATTCCAGCTGTAGCCGGGAGTAGAGATGCAACCACCTGACCTTGAGCCATGTGCGACACGCCTGCTTACTTGCTTATATATGGGCTGCAGCCAAAGCACTTGTGGCCAAGGTGCTAACGAGTTTTCCTCTCTAGCCTTGGTGCCGTAGGTGCGTGTCTGTTTCCTCCATTCCGTAGTGCTGGGTGGTCATTGGTCATAATAATTTACAATCATGTCATGGCTGTGCAACGGTAAAAGCCGACCGTAATTCAGGTTTTTGCTTGGGAACCAAAACCGCCCCTGGGGGGCGCGTCCACTTGTGTTCATGTATGTACATTACTGTGTACTTGTGTAGGACCAGTGTTGGCGGCAGGTTGAATTAAAAAGTGACAGAACCTCCAGTGGACCCATACAATTGAGGGGTCGTTTGGGGGCCTGGTCTCTAAAACAGCCACTAGCACTAAAGAAAACGTGACGACTAATGGCCCCCTCCATCTGTTCCCCCAGTCCTGCAGTGTGTACATACAGACAGTAGAAGGAGGGCAACAAATCAGTCCCGCTCAAGAATGAAAAAAAAGCGACAACCAACCCCACTATGGATGTGGGTGGACAGCCTGAGCCTGAGCCTGCGCCTGTGCCTTCCATTGCACTGCACAGAAAAATGGCCCGGTCATGAATGAAATTGGAGAGACACAACACTCACTGACGGCATGCTTGACAAAAGAAAAGAGCCCTTGTCCAATCAGCCGTATTTGATCTCTACTAGAGCACCATCCTCTGGGTGTAGAAGCAGAAGCAGAAGCAGCAATACCTCAACCAGGAACCTCAAGCAGGGACCTCAAGCAGAAGCTTTACAAGTAGTCTAGAGAAAAAAACCCCACTACTGTACAAGCATTTCAATGGCCTAACATTAGCACTTTATCTGCGGATCACTCTAATATCACCACCACCACATATTGGGTTGCGTCCTCACCACAGCACCAGTCTTTCATCCGAACGCCTTGATTTCTTACAACCACCACAAGTTCAGATGCCGCTTACAACCCCTTGTCCGGCATAGTTGAAAGCAAGCGTCAAAAATAAAAGACTGAACCCTCAACAGCGCCTGCTGACTGCCTTACTCACGACCCCCCCTTCTGCAGAGCACATCGACTCCCTCTCACTTGGTTCCTGGGGAATTTCATAAGGAACAGTTGGCGCAGCTCCTAAGTTACTCCCAGCGGTACATCACCAGCTCTCTTGGGTCGCCGACCAACTAGCCCTGGTCCTGCACAATCCGCGACTCACCTCCGCCCTCCCCCACCCGCATTCAGGCGCATCCCAGGGCACCTTTTCGTCGCCTCGCCCTCACTTCCGTCGCCTCGCCGTAGCCCGCCATGTCGTGGCAGCCAAATCCCGAGTCCTTGAGCCAGCTTTCTGCTTGTCTCAAGGACTCCCTGAGTGGCTTCAACAAGCAAGCTCAGAAGCAGGCCGAAATCGTGAGTAGACAACCACAACCCTCCCTCGTCACGCGCATCAACGTCGTGAGCACACCCGCTGATATTGACCTCCATTCCAGTTGCTCACTCAAGCCAAGGCATCGCCTGACATCAACAACTATCTCATCTACCTGTTCTCCAGTACCGATCCTCCTGCCGGCGTACAATGTTCGCCCCAGGACTACCACCTCGTGCGATCTGCCGCCGCCATCATGCTGAAGAACAACGTCAAGACCGGCTACAAGCAAATTCCCGAGTCCAGCTTCACGCTGATCAAGATGGCGATACCCATGATCCTCGAGGACAAGCACTCCCAGATGCGCAACTACGCTGGAATAATAGCGACCGAGATTGTTCGCAGGGGAGGTCTTCTCGGCTGGCCCGAACTCTTGCCCAAGCTTCTCGAGTTAATTGGAAATGAGACTGGACAGGTCTCCAACGAGGCCCAGGAGGGAGCCATGAACGCCATGGCCAAGATCTGCGAAGACCACACCAAATTGTTGGAGCGTGAGCTGAATGGCCAACGGCCTCTCAACTTTATTCTGCCTAAGCTTATCGAGGCTACAAAGAACCCCCTGCCAAAGGTCCGCGCTCAGGCCTTGACCGCTATCAACGTCTTCACACCTCGCAAGTCTCAGGCCATGCTCAACTCTATCGACGACTTGCTTCAGCACCTGTTCAGCTTGGCCACTGACTCGCACCCCGATGTGCGCCGTCAAGTGTGCAGGGCTTTCGTCCAGTTGGTCGAGACTCGTCCCGACAAGCTTCAGCCCCATCTTGAAGGCCTTGTTGACTACATTATTAGCCAGCAGAAAGGCGACGACGAGGAATTGGCCTGTGACGCTGCCGAATTCTGGTTGGCTGTTGGTGAGCACGAACATCTGTGGCAGAATTTGACACCCTATATTGGCAAGATCATTCCTGTGCTATTGGAGTGCATGGTTTATAGTCCAGAGGACATCGCCATGTTGGGTGGCGCTTCGGATGATGAGGATGAGGAAGATCGGGAGGAAGATATCAAGCCCCAATTCGCCAAAGGCGCTGGAAAAAGGAACGTCAACAGCGACGCTTCGGCTGATGCTGCTCAGAATGGCAACGCCTACGAGAAGCTTGCGAACATGGAGGACGATCTTGAAGATGGCGAGATCGAAGATGAAGACGATGGCGAGGAGAATCCTGATGAGAAATGGACACTACGGAAGTGCTCGGCAGCCGCACTCGATGTGTTCGCCCGGGATTATCGAGCACCTGTTTTCGAGTCCATCCTGCCATATCTGAACACGAACATGAAACACGATGATTGGCCTCGTCGGGAAGCTGCAGTGCTGGCCTTGGGAGCCATTGCAGAAGGCTGTATGGATGTTGTCAACCCTCACCTACCTCAGCTGATACCGTATCTTATTTCGCTTCTCAACGACCCGGAACCTGTTGTTCGACAGATTACCTGCTGGACGCTTGGGCGTTATTCTGCTTGGGCAGCACAACTCGCTGACCCCGCTCAGAAACAGCAGTTTTTCGAGCCCATGATGGAAGGTATTCTGATGAAGATGCTGGACAGGAACAAGAAGGTGCAAGAAGCGGGTGCCTCTGCTTTCGCCAACCTTGAAGAAAAGGCCGGCAAGAACATCGAACCGTACAGCGGTCCCATTATCCAACAATTCGTACAGTGCTTTGCAAAGTACAAGGATAAGAACATGTATATATTGTACGACTGTGTTCAAACCTTGGCAGAACATATCGGTCCAGTCCTGGCTCGCCCTGATCTTGTCAATCAGCTTATGCCAGCTTTGATCGATAGATGGCAGAAGGTTTCCGATCAGTCGAGGGAGCTGTTTCCTTTGCTCGAATGCCTTTCTTACGTGGCCATGGCCTTGAACGACGCGTTCACGCCGTACGCCCAGCCCATCTTCAACCGCTGCGTGAAGATTATTCATGATAACCTTGAGGCATCTATAAGTCTCGGCAAAAGCCCCGCGACAGATAGCCCTGACAAGGACTTTTTGGTCACTAGTCTGGATCTTCTTAGTGCCATCATCCAGGCACTCGAGAAGCAAAAGTCCGCCCAGCTCGTCAAAGAGTCCCCGCTGCCCGTTTTCGAGCTCTTGACTTTCTGCATGGAAGACCCTTCCGACGAAGTCCGACAGTCAGCCTATGCACTTCTCGGAGACTGCGCAAAATACATCTTCAGTGAGCTGCAAGGATCATTAACCAAGATCTTCCCGATCCTGATTCAGCAACTTGATTTGGGCGATATTTTGGATGAGGAGGTCGAGAGCGGCTTCAGCGTGGTCAACAACGCTTGTTGGTCAACAGGAGAAATCTCTCTCCAATGGGGAGAGGTTTGGCTCCGTTTGTGCCAGATCTTTTCCGTCGTTTCGTGGAGATTATCGCGGATCCAAACATCCCAAAGAGTGTGAGCGAAAATGCCGCGATCGCACTGGGACGTCTGGGACTCGCCAATGCCGGGCTTCTTGCACCACAGCTTGGGAACTGGGCTGAAGAATTCCTCACCTCGATGGATGAAGTTGATCCATCGGACGAGAAAGCTACCGCTTTCAGGGGCTTCACTGCCATCGTTGAGCAAAATCCAATGGCCATGGAGAAGTCTTTACTTCATTACTTTACATCAATTGCCAGGTACAGAGACCTGAAGCTGCGAAGTGACACTAAGAATGGTCTTCACGATGCTTTCCAGAAGGTCAGTTGCACTCTTATATCTATAAATACAGTCAATAGCCACTAACGTTAAGCAGACGCTCAACATTTACCGCCAAATGATCCCTCAGTTTCACGACTTCGTCCGACAGTTGCAACCTCAAGACCAACAAGCACTCAGTGCCGACTATGTCTTATAGTAACAGTCATGGTTTTGGTGTGTGGGATCGCACAAATTCCACTTCCGTAGTCGAGGTCGGCTTCCATGTAGAAGCAACATTAGAGCATATGCGTACCCATCACTTATGTTTCGCCAATATCACTATTGTCGTGTCGATTGCTCGCCAGCAAGCAGTGTAAAGATCGTGGCCGGTGTTCTCTTAACTCGACGGTAGAGATCCAATGGTAGATTGGCTTTATAAGAGCTGTCGTGTGCAACGAATTCGGACGGTCCACTGAATGACTGCATGCTACAGCGGGGAATAATGGGACAAACAGGATGAAATGAGACATGATATGATGTGAAGCTTAAAAGAAAGAGACGCTGGTTATATTCATGTCAATAGGCAAACGGCTCGCATTCAACGAGCTTGACGACACCACTGTTTAAGGCAGTGAAAAACGCAACTTCTTGGTCGACAAGGAGGAGACCGGATTGTCACGTGAATACGTAACCATTTAGATAGCTGGACCAATACCTTAGATAGTGAACCTTTGTTCTCAGTAGCGGGCTGATCAACCCGCTGGCGGTGAGAATATATTTCGGAGATGAACATCCACTGCGGCCTGATTCTGTGGACGATGATGCTTGCATGATAGTGACTCCGCGTGTACGAGTGGCTCTAAGAACATGCACGCTCGTGATGCCAATGTCACAAATAGATTAGATATGCCGCCCATCAGTAATTTATCTAGTGAAGCTCGCGAAAAGTCAGGAGAACTGCGGTAACACAGTACAGGATAGCATGGAATTTCATTTCGCTAGGCTGCTCTTTCGCCAAACACGCAACTTTAGAATCTAGAACCATGAAACGAGGCATCCATTCTTGCTGCCTCGAATGGCCCAAGTCGTTCATAGGCCGCCACCACCGAGCACCACCAGCATGTTGTTGGCCAGTTGGTTGTATTGAGGCTGCACAAACAAGAAGTTAGCCAGCGAAATCACCAAGTACTTGCTCGAATCGAACCAATATGTCTTTTTTACCTGTGCTGCCCACCACTCCTCTTCCATCTTATGCGCTTCGTCGAGCCTCTCTTGATGAAAATCCTGGAGCACCTCGCAATCCACATATATCGTTACCAGCTTTTCGTCGTCTACCCAGTTGTCTCTCGCCTCGATGAGTCGCATGAGTCCGTACACCTTCTCGAGGGAGACGAGCAGTCTGTCCCGAAGTATGTAGATCCGGACCACGACGGGATGCTGGGCCCAAGGAACAAAGCGCGCGAGGGCTGCGCTGATGAAGACGGCGGCGGAGATGGCGGCGGAGATGACATCCATCCTGTACGAGTGTCTTTACTGATGGGTTTGGTTTGATGTTGGTTACCTGGTGGTCGTGTTACGGTGGGGAAGTTATGTGTCTGCTAGATTTGAAACAGAATTCAGGTTAGAAAGCGCGGTCAGGGCGTACAACAGACAAGTCGAAATGAAGAGAATAACAAAGAGGAAAGTGCTCTCTTGGGTATCTGTGCAACCATAACTCAGTGGAGGGGGCGTTGGAGGAGTCGCGGAAGAGTAGGGTGCTCGTGTCCATATCTTGGAATCTATTCCTAACAAGACCTCGGTCATGTCTCGCCTCTCCAACATCTACTGGACGAGCTATTCATATTGTGTTTGTTTGCCCGAGAAGTTCTTTGATGTCGTTTCAAATAGGCATCACTTTCCCGATAATTCTTTTGCATATCAAAATACTACGTCTATCTTATTATCCTACTCTTGAGGACTGGTTTCGTAAATATCGTGCTTTCAGCCAAGGAATTGGTTCACGCTTTCTACTGGAAGCTACCTGATTCTGATATGTTCATCATATAGTATGACTAACCCGAAGACAAAACTTCATGGCCAACAACACCCGTATCGTGTCTCCTTATCCGAGACCACCGTGCGGGAACAGACAGCTCTACTCGTTCAAACATCACAGGCAGCTTTAGAAAAGACATTCGACAAGACAAGGACTTGGGCAATCCAAGGAGTACAATATTGAACACTCAGTTTCTACAAGTCAGGAAGATTATAATCAGGACGAGGAGCTTGCTTGTGATGACTTGGCTGGTTACAAGGAACATGTGCTCGCGATTTACTGTCAGATGATATTATCGAGCTGGTAGAGCCTCACCATTGGATGGATGAGCTGTTATTTGGCTCTTCGCAACAGATCTAGCATACGTGCATGTGGTTTTTGGGCATCATTGTCTCACTTTCTTTGCCAATTGCGCTCATGGACGCTGGACCCGGTTCAGCCTGGCAGCTTCGGACGATAGAACTAATTATCGTGTATTTCAATCAAGCAGTTTTCATTAGTGACGGTATGTACGGCTGATTTCTCAGCTTCTCATCATTCCGGAATCACAAGCATTATCTGGAGCAATGGCTGCTACTAGAAAACATCCTTTAGTACGCGACGAAATATTCTATGACGGTGATTGTATCTCAATGGCCAAATCTGAATGTTCAAAGGCTCCTAAGCTCACATTGAAATCATATTCAATGATACAGGTTCTACCCAATCTAGTCGTCTGCACTGATATCAAAGTACCACAACTCGTATCCAAACTGATATCTCAACTTATCTGCGCTTGTCCACCATTTCGGGTTTCGGTCTGCTACCATGATCCAACCAAACGTTGCTGAATGTAATAAGAAGGGACCAATGCCATGCCAAGAAGTGTATAAGTCATCACTGGAGTATACCTTCGAACCTTTGTCCTCACTATTTGCCTTTTGCCGTTACAGACGCAAAAAGAAAACAATTGCACCAAGGCCTCGAGTGCAGTTGATAACGTTCTTACCGTACTTTTGAACAACAGGGTGGGGGGTTCTGGTCTATCATTCTCAGAATACCGTCCAAGAAGCAATCAAAGAGGTTGGGATGTAGTCGAAAACATGCGCCAGAACGTGGCAGAGTAAGAGACACGGGCTAGCGCCCGTGGGAACTACGGTCCCGAAAATCTGGGTCGGCGTGTATGAAAAAGAAAAGAAAATACAAAATTGCGTATCGTCCATTTCCCCCTTGATTTCAAAGCAAGGCGGCCCGCCACTTTGATATTCAGATCACGCACGTGGACGAAAAGAACGAAAAGGAGAGGGCTGAGCAGAGTAAACATTCGAATTTGGAATCATACGGCCTCAACCATCTGCCGAGACAACGAGACCTTGGATTCTGGCCGTGTGTAACGTACATGTGATAGACGTCTCAGCTTCTGTGGTACGGCATGCGGTAATGTCAGGTACTTTTCCTCTCTTTACTTTTTTCCTTTGTAGTGTTTCACATACTCCCTTGTTTGTCTCTGAAGTTGAGGTTCGGGAAAAAAAAAAAAAAAACCCGGGATCTTCTTTGACCTACAGGTCGATCAACACACCATGCATAGCTATTTACCAAATTCCCTTGGCGTCGTTCCCAAGAACAAAGATGCATCTATGGGGGTCTCGTGACCTGGGATTGAAAATAACCAGCCATGCAGGCCTCGGCAGTGGCCGGACAAGCGAATACGAGCTCAGGTCGGGGCAGAGAGGGCCCAATCACGTGCAGAAGACCGCTTTCTCGTTCAGCTTCGGAGCGGTGAGGACGTATGGCGGGCTGCATCAGAAACCCTCGCCACTGGGAGGCCGCGGGAGGATTAGGACGTTCCATTTGGATGAGATCGCGCCATGTGCGTTCGATCCCCTAGCAGTACGTCCAACTAATATCGTAGAGTTCAATGACGCGTACAGATTGCGCATGCTTGTCTGCAAGGACTTTGTGTGAGAAGCTGTCTTGAAGATTCAATCGACTTTCGGAACTGTTCTGGTTCTGTACCAATAGATATGGGGAGTATGGTGTTCAAGATTGTGTTCTTCAGACGTGGCCCAGCAGGGAACAGCACTCGTCAACATGTTAGTACCTGGACCTTATACCACACTGAAAGCTCTAGTCTGGTATCAATATCTTCGTGGAAGAGGCATTGTTAGGCCTCGATTCTCGTTTCGATAAGTGGGATCTAGCTGCAAAGAATGTGGACGGCAAGATTGATTATCGATTATGTTAAATGCCCGCTGCAAGCCTGACAGTACGTTTGATTACGACCAAGCCGTCAAGGGTATCCATTGGGACTTGCTCTAATGCATGTCAGTAAGGGGGTAGGCTAGGAATATCTAGCTGCATGAAGCACAGCCTCCCCGGTTATCACCACAAGGGAACAGACAGTGTTGGAAGCCGAGAATAAGATTTTTGACGGCGGCGGCGAAGAACATGGTCATCCGATTTCCGGAACCCCTATCCATGCGAGGAACCGTTTGATTGACGTTATACGCTCCCACCCCCCCAAGAGACTGGCCTGTTGCCTTCCATCGGCTAACGGCTTTGCGGCATTTTGGGGACTAGGAAAGATGGAAACGCTCCCGGAGTTCCATGCTGCCTGTTTGTCTGTCTTGCGATCTGCAATCACGGAGTCCCTCTCGCATATCCAATAGTGTTATCTGAGGACCCGTATATAATCGAAGCCAAATGTAGGAACTAGGCGAACATATCATTCAAGACTATTCAGGAGAAGCCCACAACGCGTCGTTGGTGGACGCCGGCGTGGTGATAGTGTCTACTGATAGAGCATACTCGAGCCATTCTTGTCGCTTAGAACAAGTCAGACAATGGTCGCCAAATTGGTCTGCTTGCTCCTCCGCAATGAGACGGTGCGTGAGCCCCAGCTGGAAGCCGGCTTTGGGCAAGACGTTGGCCAGTTGGAGCGGAAGGCTAATAACCTGTAGTGTGTGGTACTTATTGTTGAGCCATCCATGCGGGTTATAAAGCTTGTTTGCTCAGTAGTCTCTCTCGAAATGTCGCAAGTCAGGAGATCCATAATCGCAGCTATTGCAGTCGCACCCTGTGTCGCATCTAGGAACGTATTCCTAGAGTCGGCACGTGGCGTTGAACTACTGTGCCAACAAGTTCAGTGTTGGGACTAGAAACATTTAACTCATAGGGACCAAGTCCCTCCCCACTCATGGTATTTTCATGGCCTGACAGTCATACCAGAGAACCCTTGGGCTCGAATTTTCCTGGCGCCGGTATGCTTTTCCTACAACATAATGCAGGAACAAGACCTCACCACCAATCACTTCAGCCCGCGACGTATGGTTTCGGCGCGATCACATTTTTGCGTTCCCAAAACGTCGGAAATTCCGCATCTGACCTCATGAGCTCCCCGTGTACCAGTCCTGATTGCAGTGGCCTGCTTAGTGAGCTCCAGGAATAGCTCGAGCTAGTCTTTTTCCGGCCTCCGAGGACCTCGTGTACGGGACGCTATACCCCGGTGGCTGCTTTGCTGGTAAACGTGATTGGCTGATGGTATAACGGCCGCTATTGGGGGCTGGCATCCGGCGCGGTTTAAGTGCTTGGCTGCAAGTGCCGGGACAGTCCCGAGGCTGAAGACTATGATTGAGACAGAAAATGAACAGGAGGCTGGTATACGTGGACTTCAGTATATTACCAGCAATTTGACTATTTCGCGAATACAGCTAGGCTTTTGCACATACTGGAGGCAACAATTAGCAGGGAACGTTCATAGGAGAAAATTGTGTGCACAGTATTTGGAAATTCTGATTTGTGTTCGGCAAATAATTAATATTATAATTATGTCCTCGAGTTGGCGAGCTAATGCGATATCCGTCTGGAATCCAGACAAAAATCGCATTGCTAGCTTGCGACAACTTCACACATCCATGCCTGAATGAGTCTTGATCGTGAAGGATCAGAAGACACTTCGCCTGAAATTACAACCGTAATCCTGTCGCGCTGCCCGATTATCTGCGACGCCTTGAACTCCGCGTTATACCCGAACCACATACTGGCTAGGTTTCCCAATCCCCCCTATATAATCAGACAGATTTCCAAGCACAATAAACCAAAAAAAAAAAAAAAAAAAAAAAACGCCGCCCAATGCAACGATGATCCGCAATGATCATCTTTTGTGGTTCCCTCTCAAAAATCTTAAAACAGTCGCTATGCAATTTGGAATGGGGTATCTTAAATCATGAAGATGCTTTTCGAAAGGAGTGGATGAGATTCTATGTCGTATAGAGATCTTCGTAAATCGTAAGGAGTGTGATGGTCTATATGCTGTTTCTCGCGTAAGGAATGTCTATGATTGTAGTTTGCTCTCGTCGTAATGAATGGCGCGGTTAGAGATTAAGTGGTAAAATGTGAGCGTGGTGATGGTTCGTAAAGGAAAGTGGGTATCATTGTGTCGATAGAGACGTGTCTGGATTTCGTGTCGATCCTGTCGAAGGAGTGTCTTGGATATTGTAGTGATCCTGTCAAAGGAGTGTGTTGTACAATTGCGTCTGTTTAAATGTGGTCGAAAAAATAAGCGATAAAAGGTAGTTTAGAAATTCATCTTCCGGGATGTTGGCCGTGGGAGCTTTCACATTCTCTTCTCTTTGCCCTGGGCGTAGAGTGGTAGAGAGGGGATTGATGACGTATGGCGATGATGGTGGTGGTGAGGCTCGAATGTAGGCGCGGACATGAACTGAGGTGAGGGTGCCGAGAGCGACAAAGGTGTGGTGGACCGAGGAGCACCCTGCATCATTTGTGGATGTAGGAATGGCGATGGCAATGGTGATGGCGTGTAGTTGATGGGCTGCGGCTGTGGTGATAGGACTACTGGCGTTGCGAGCGGATCCTGATGGATAGATTGTTCATAAGGGATAGTCCTGAGCGCCTTGGTTAACCTGGTGTGTTCTGAGCCAGTAGTGCGTGCCGCCGATGTGGTGATCCATGATCTAGATCCACACGGTCTGAATTGGAGAGACGAACCCGACGCCATAGTTGCTGGATCCAGCAGGAGCAAGAGGCGGATATCCAGTGAAGCCTCCATCATATGACCCAAAGTCCTCAGTGTCGCTGTAGACGATTGAACCTTCACCGAAGGTAGAAGAAGCCGGGCTGTAGCCACCATACGAGGGTGACGGAATGTTAAGGTACTGTCCGCCCACATACGGGGACGATATCGTTAATGGGCTGGGGCAAACAGCACTGGGAGCCTCGTGCTGCTCGTGGCTCAATGTAGAGAGGTCCTCAGTACTCCAGCTGAAAGCTGGGTTCTCACCATAAGCCAAGTAAGACGCAGTCGATGTCGGCGTGCCCTGGGACGAGTTGTCGGGAATGTAGTAGCTCGGCGCAGTGAACTGGGGGAAGGATGGTGTCCTGGCAGGTTCGACCCAGCCCATACGACTGCGAAACTCTGCAACAGCGTGGATAGGGAAGTCCATGAGCTCAAGAGGCGTTTGCATGTTACCCTCGAAGCTGCCAGAGACCTTCATCGAATAGAGTCGTCGGGCGATCTCCTCTACTGGTCCGACGGAAAGACTGCCAAAGTAGGCCGCACCGATTTCAGGGAACAGGCGCTCCATCAAAATCGCTGCGGTGTAATAGTGGGCAATAACAACCAACGCGCTCGGGGATCCGCCGTTCTGCTTCAGGCACATAACAGGCAACCAGAAGAGCCAGGTCCTCAGTGGTTGGAGTCGATCGAATTGCTGGGATACCGACTGGATCGGGCTGACTTTGCGAGCACCCTTGAGGAATGAAGCCAGTTGCTGAATGAGTTTTGTGTCTTCCTTGTTCTGTTTGAGATGAGCTTCAACCTTCTGGAGCTGGTTGATGGTTCTTTGGAAAGCATCGAAGTCCTCCTTGCGCGGCTGGTTGGGCTTGTGATCCGGAGTCGGGGATGGCGGCGCAGTAGGAAACGTGCTGCTTTCGGCAATGAAGTCACCAAACTGAGACTCGTGTTTCCATGGCTCCATAGCGTCTATGACCTTTTTTTTTTCTCCAATTAGCTTTGCTGAAAACGAAGCATTGCACGGTGGTCAGACTTACCGACGAGGTGCCTTGCATAAGCTGGGTCCAGCTTCGCCTATTGATGTCCCAAGTCAGAATATGTTTAGAAGGATATCTGCATCAAGTTGCTTACCAGTCTGTGGCCTGCCATGAAAGCACGAGCGAGGCGGCCAAAACGGCATCGGACGTCTCTCGAGAGAACGAGGTGATGGCTTCTTGCAGTCCCTTGAGGGCACTACCGCGGTGAACGTACGCCATGTTACCGACCATAGGACAATCTGTTAAGAAGGCGATGTGCATAGCAGAGAAGGCAAGCAAAGCCTCCATTACATAGCGATGTGTTGCGCCAATCTTCATGATGCTACCTCAAGGATTAGTAAATTGTTGAATGGGCTCGAGACAGGGAACGCACGTAGGAATCTGGCGTGTCCACAATGTGAAACCGCCAGCATCGAAAGCGCCTAATTCGTGGCAGATCGCAGCGAGATGGTAAATCAACCTCAGCTCTTCATTCGTGAAGTACTGAGGATCGGGCGTCGGGTAGATGTTGAGGCTGGGGAATGGGAAGAGCCCTGTTGCCCTCCAAGATCCAATGGCGGCTTCGATCTCCGGATTCCACAACAAATCAGGCTTGTCAGGCGTAGTAGATCTGTCGTCGGCTACAGGGACGTCTTGATACGGACATCGAACCTTGTGCTTAGTGCAATTGCGACTATGGACGGTTGTTAGTAGGCGGTTGAGGTTTCGACGTAGAAGGAAGATGACCAACCATTGAGGGAAGTTCTCATCGCAGCGAATATGACGACGCTTGCAGTTGTCACATCCCTTGCGGGACTTGGTGTGACTGCGTCGGGGAGGACCACCACCTGGGCCAGCCATTATGAAAGCTGTAAGTGATATTAAATTTGAACGAGAGAAGTGAATCACGGCACGAGATATCGCGCCGAGTACAAGCGAGTGAAAGGTTACGGATGGAATCCGGGACAGATGTTTTCAGACAAGACGGGTTGAGTAGGCGCTCGGCTTTTCGGGTGATTGTACGATGGTCTGGGTGACTATCGTAGAACGAGCATGAATCCTTGAGGATCCTGTCTTCCCGTGTGATGATTTGACAAGCTGGGAGGTATAGGCGCTTGGGCTGGAGGGTGCCTATATATGGGTCTGATGCGTTCTTGAATGTTTCCCTTCCAGGTGTTTAAGCGACTGTATAATTCTTGGGCTGGATGCAAGACGCCAACAACGTTCGATGAAGCAGGTCGATTGCGATTTGTCCTTCCCAACCGATAAGCGAACCTCCGTTTGGATATACTGTTGTCTTTGTTTTGCCTGGGCGAAACAGTGGCTGGCTGGCTATATGAGTTGACGAGGGGCAAAGGCTTTCAAGTTGATCACACGAATTCGATGACGAACACTTCGAGTCCAAGTCTCCAAACACAAAAAAAGGAACAAGCGAATGACAGGAGTCACGAGGACTTCCTAAAGATTTTTTTGGGCTAAAAAGCGAGTGTGGGTTGAGGTTTAGAGTAGCTGAACGCTGGTATCGTGGTTGATAGTTCAAAAGGTTGGAGGGAGTGTCGACGGGGCATCGGCACCATATTAAATAAAAGGCGGCATGGTTTGGCTCGGGTCACTGTGGTGCAGCTTAGTGGGCGGTGCGCCCAAGAAGGTTCACTACTTTCCTTAAGCGGAAGACATGGGGGGATTGAAGACACATGGTGGAGCACTCGATCGTTAGCTGCATATCCTCTATGTACATACAGTAGTAAACAGGGCCGCAAGGGTTGTCACTTGCAGAGAAAGGGCTCCAAGGGTCCCAAGGGCGCAGGGCCCCGTCTCTCCCAGCGCTCCGAAGTCCACTACATCCACAACCAGGCCAGGCATGTACCAAGTAGCAGCAGATGGGAGGGGAGACAGGGAGACAGAGAGACGGAGACCAAGGAGGCTTGGGGGGGACGTTAGACTACACGCTTATTAACATCCATGAGGTAAGCCCGCCAGCTAAGTGCTGCGTGTGGGAATGGGTATGGGTGTGGGTACGGAGGAGAGACAGGACAGGACAGTACATGGTGCACTTGATCTGTGCTTTCATCCGTGCTCTGGTGGACTGCTGCCCTGCTCGCCATGCGAGGGTATGCATACTATGTACTACTGTACGCTACGCTAAGTATGCTGCGTACTATGTGCTCCGTTCTCCGTTCCATGGGTACTATGTATCGTCTTGGCACCACCGTGCGCTATGCAATCATCGTGCTGTGGAATGGGTGGAGGACCATGCGGAACTGTTCGCTGTCACCGTCACTCGACAAAGTCCCCTGCCAATAGCAAGCCAATGTTGCTTAACAACTTGAAGGGAACAGAGGCGAAGTCTGTTCAGCCGGCTCCAATCGATCCTCGCCAGGAAGTTGGCACTTGCATGAAGCGTGCATTAAAACCAATACTACTGTACTGTACTCTGACGACCTCGTTAAGTCGATAGGTGCGAGGGTGTGCAAACCACAATGCTGGAACCCCCCCCCCCCCCCCCCCCCCCCTCCAAAAAAAAAAAACCGATGCCGTTGAGACATTCCACCGACTGACAATTTGCTCGGTGGAAGCGCCATCTATATTGAAAAATAGGCCAGCGACGGCGTATTTGTTATCAGTGTCCATGCCGTGAAAAGCTTCGCGATCAGTTATAGGTCTAGTATATGACGTAGGGAGTCGGACAGTATCGGGCATCGATACGGGTTATGAACGTGGCTGTGGTCATTTTATTGATTGCTCCCCAAATGCAAATAATGCTGGCGACGATAATGTTCGTTCATCCAAGCGCCGACGGCGAGGACTCTGCAGCGATGACGGATTGGTTTGAAGTGCAGCTCAGCATGCACTTGCCCCCATGACTGCGATTGTGGTACTATGCAGAGGTGGCACCCGATTACCATGCGTCACTAGTTGGTGGTGTGGTGGCATGCATTCCGTCGACTAAATTCTCGAAGAAGACTTATTTTCTCCCATGCGACCCGAAACCGTATGGCCAACTGCGACATTGCCTACCGCTTGTCACCGTCTGGTGGCATCGTCCATCACTCGCCTGCCTTCGATTCAATTTGATTTGATATAACGTGATGCTTCAGTGCCTAAGGCCACCTGATAACTCACTGTAGATTCTAGTGCCGGCGCTTCTTCCTGATGTGCCCCAAGAACCCGGCTGCCCCGGAGTTGGGCCTTCAATGTGCTTAGTAGAAGAGCTGAGCAGTATTCAGGAGAGCAGTTCGCAATGATCAGGGTAAGGGTTCAAAAATATATGTTCATAAAAGATCTTATTAAAAAGACAAAAAAGCATAAGGAAATATGCAGACATTATGTAACTATTCTATCCGGGAGTTTTGTTTAGTACGCTCTGGCTGTCGCTTGAACCTATTTGCATGAAGGTGAGAGTTTTGTGCTATTAGTGCATCATTGTCTATCACATCTGCTGTATGCACTACGCCGAGCCTCGGTCTCCGAATCGAATCAAGGCAAATCATCGGGTCTTTGTCAACGGCTCAGCTCCAAAGCACAAGCGTTAATCTTAACGGTGACTATGTCCCCGGGAACCCACAGTTTCAGGTAAAGAATGAAGCGCTGTCCAAGCTGTCAAACAACTCTGTAGCAAAGGTGTTCGCGTTTGATATGGCCAGGTACAGGACAGGGTTAGTTGAGATCTCCTACTGGGTTACCTCGCCGCGACAGCGAAAGGCATCGGCATGCCGCAAATCCAGCCAATCGATGAAAATGTAGATCGAAATCTTAATTGGCTGCCCTATATCAGCCGTCTTTCTTCAGAAGCTTGTTGTAGTTATTTTTGGCTCATTGGGTGGTCGAACGGCCACAAAAGTGCAGGCTTGCGCTCGTACTCGGGGCCTGCCGATACTGGCAATAATACAGTAGCTACATCTTAACGGCAATCAACGACCCAGCGAACACCATGAAGCCGACGGCAGATATCGTAAAGTAGCACCACCCCGGCAGGCTTGGAAAGGTCGCAGGGAAAAGAGTCATGCTAATATGCGAATTGAACGGCGTGGCATAGTCCATTTTGGTCCCCTGAACCGTCAGGGTGGTTAATGATCCTGGTCCTAAATGCAAGGTCAACCCCCGAGGCTGCGACCACAGAATTATGTCATAGCTGCCGAAGGGCTGAGTTGGTCTACCGGAGCGTCACCTGCCATCTGTCACTTGGGAGCAGCAGTTGAACCAAACTATCGTGTGAAGTGCTGAACGTACTGGGCCTGGGTCAAACTCATGTTCGCATAAGAGTCCATTATAATGGAACGTGAAGCTGTAACGTGAGATGCCAACGCGCCATCAGCTGGTGTTGGCGCTTACTGACCTTGACTGCGGCCCCGTAAATAGTGGCTTCGCATGCCTACTTCGTTTGACTGCTCAAGTCAGAGAATCTTAAATGATGCCAAGTCATGACTTTGACCGCGGCTAATGAACCATCACCGACCGTCTTGACGGGGAAATCGACCTCTGGGATTAGTCACGCCTGGTGCAATGACCACGGTCTGGCACCAGTTTGAGGCATCACGCCAAACCCCATTATGGGAGAATATTGCCCTCGAGGCGCAGCTTGAGAGAAGTGCCGGTCGGTAAAGTGCGCTGGAGACTATGGGGCGATTGTGCTTGTGTGATGAAAATTGGAGCATTTCTCTGCGACACGCCGACGGCATTCTGTGAAAGTTGATGTTAGACGATTTCCCCAGTCGCAACTAGGGGTCCTTGACATTTTTTGCAGATATCCGATCTCATCCTTGAGTGGTCGTTATTTGGTATACAGTGATCGCCCTTTTTGGCAGGGTGAAACCGTCGTTTCTCGTATTCTTTGACGGATACCCAGGGCCCCTAGCTTGCTCACCTGCAGGGTCTTGTCGGTGAACTTTTCGAAGTACCCAAATTGGCTGGCCATACATAGTGAAGAACGACCCCTGATATTGTTTAAAAGTCACGTCTGAAGATGAACGTCATGATCCGCAGTCGCGGCACGAAATGCTCTTCGGCGGGTATTTGAACATCTTAACGGTTATTAGTAGAATCTCACGGTCTAAGAGGAAATGTTCCATACGGTTTGAAATGATAACATATAGTTCTTGAGCACTGTCCACTCTTACTTGGTATATATTAAGCCTTCATCGATACTGACTCCTCGTCCCATACGTACTTCTAGAGTACCCAGAAGAGGGAAATGTCACCCCGAGGGGTACGTAGATAAATAAAGCCTCAATAAATGCATATATAGCATCACACTCTCTGGGCAGATTCTTCTAACCAGGGCTAGCTAGCTTTGAATTAAGTTTGCTCTGCAGCTTTTTCTTTTTTTTTCTATCATGACTTGATTGAGCACTAGTTCGCCTTATTTGAAATGAGGAATGGTTATTAGAACCAGAGAGTAAATATGCTTGTATACGGTAGCAGAGACCACAAGTTCTTGAAAAATTCCTGGAATTTTGTTTGAAATATCGCTGTCAGCAGATGATTCACGGACGAAGACACCAGTGTGGCTGTGGTTTTGGGCGAGTTCCGACAAATGAGGCGATGATGCGAGCCATCCACATGCACTCATAGTGGGAGGGACCATCACTTGGTCTAAGCCAAGAGCGCCCTAGTCTGTTTCTATTTTTGTTTCAAGCTTCTTGTTCCTTTCCGCATGAGAAGCTCAGTGTGCTGGGAAGCCGTCAGGCAGCCATTTTCGCTTCGATGTTGACGGTGCTGATTTATGCCTTAGGACGGGTCATGGACACCACTCAGCACAGACTACACTGCACGCACTCATCTTCAAGCAGCACTGCCCTTAGCCCATATTGCCATAGCATAAGGGAGAATGTTACGTTTCATGCCCCTATTATTTCTCTCTACAGTATCTTTCTCCCTTTCGTAACTTGTCCGATACCTTGGCTGACTTCTAGTTCTGCTATGAACCGAGGCCCTCGACCAGATGAAGTCACCTTGGTCATGCGGTACATGACCTAAGTATTCTCTGCTGTAAATGTTCCCAATCTGTACAAGTAGCTTCCCCATACATAGAACCGTTTTAGGACCCGCAATGCATGTACAAGCTGCTGGAGCGCTGCATCAAAAATATGCACCAATACCAATAAGGGTGGCCGGAGGATAACCTTCAGGCCTACCGTAGTGGAGTCAACGGACAAATCTGCTCAACACTAGGAATGCTATGGCGTTCGCAACGTTCTTCCTCTTTCCTCTTGGCAGTGGTCAAGAAGCAACTCTTGGCGGCACGTACTGTTCCAATATTGAATATGCCACGAGAATAGCTTCTATAAGGCGCACATGCCGTGGTAGTCGCTCCCCCAATAACGACGAGAGAAGGTTGCTCCAGGACTTCCAAGGCTTTTTCTGTGGCCTGGCGACAAACATAGGAACATGGTCAGGGTCTGTAGGGATTATGCTATCTGCCGTCTACCAGAGGGACCGCTCTGAAGCGGTGAGCAAGTTACTTGCATATCCAAGGCCAATTGTTTTGCTATTGTGATACCTTCTTTGTTGTACGGAACGTGCATGGCTTGAGACATGTATTCAGCCAGCCCAGTGCACAGGTGCCCAATCAGAAGATGATGGAGGAAAAGGGTCCAAAGCTCATTGCCAGCCGAGTCACTTTCCTAGTCGCTTATGCCACAAAAGGGAAAAGATCTGTCACCTTGTTCAGCGGGGTCATTCTGTTTTCTGTTATTGTGGAGAAAAACGCTGCAATGCAGATACAGGGGCAAGTAAACCCTCATCACGTTTGTTGAGATCCGGGCTTGCCCCTTGCAAAAGAGATCACGATGCCAAAGAAGTGCTTGTATTGGGAAGAAGAGCCTAACGGGGAATATGTTGGCTCGCAGCGACGCCCAGATAAGGCTAAGCACATGACGGAAAAGCGGCTGCACATGATCAGACATATTACCAAAGCATGGAAAACACTGGAACGAAACTAGAAAAATATGCGAGAAATGCATCCATCCCACTTTGCCATCATGACGACAGAGCTGTCCGATGGAAAGAACAAAGAAAGAAAAAACTACCACGAGCCGATCTGCCAGGGTCGCCCTCCAATCATATCTAATTTTAGACTCGGCCCACGAGAGAAAGTTTTCCTTGGTTTGGAGATCAATTCGCTAATAACGTGACTAACAGGAGACTACGCAGTAAGGTTAAGCTCGGAGTTCTACACACAAAGGGGATCGTGCGAAACTTTTAGCACTTGCGGCTCTGCTCAACTAGGTGACTTAAACTTTTGTCATCGGTCCATAACCCGCTTTTCATTATCCATACCTTTTTGACGGGTTTCCTTGGCATAGGTAAAATTCGACATCCCGCACTTCGCCTGCTACGAAGCCGATCAAGCCTTGCGGAGATGACGGGGGCCCGAGGCTGCTTTGTTTCTCCTCCGAAGTAGAAATGCTAGCCACCCAGCGCCTTGGTCAGGGGCTTCTAACCCCACCCCGAGGGCAACGGCCGCAGTCCATTTATTATTAATCGAGGGTCCTGTGCTGATCGAAGAAGGCTACTCTGCGGACTGCGCCGGACAGACGTTCAGCCTTGATTCTCGTGAGACCAGCAATGCGCTGTGCTGGGCCCAGTGGCCCTCTATAACGCCGAGCCTAACGATCAATGGGCCTACATACACAGTATTCATTCGCGACAAGTGTCGTACCACGATCTGTGGTACATCAACGTCCGATCTCAGTGGCAGATCTACAAGGCGGGTTACTGCTTCCTAGGTATTCTCCGATGCTGGCTCGTCGACTGCAACTTTCCTGCAATCTTGCTGCTGTGGAAGACGAGACGGCAACCATCCTATGTGAAACCATGGAGCCGCGGCTCTTCATTGGCTGCATTGTCGAACGCGGGTGCCAATGCCCTTGCAGAAGATCAACAACTGGTGCTTGGATTACATGGTGATCTACGTGCTGAAGTCTCATAACTATTACAAACCCCTGGAAGCGTGATATACACGACTAGAACGATTTAAAACCAAATTCGACCTAATGACTACGGAGATTGCAGTTTCTACAATTCTTCGCCGGGATTTTAGAGATTACCAAACACTGATTGATCCGACAATCTATCGAAATTCGAATAGATGTTGATCGTGACGATGTTGCTGTCATAATCCGTTCCTGTGACACCATACTTTGAAATGGCTGCTTTCTCGCCCCATACCGCCATTTACACGTAACAATTCACGTGTTTGGCTGAGTATGACTTTGACAGTCGTTCTTCGATTCAATTTGCTAATTTACGGCCCCCATCATAAGACGCGACCTGTACGGGAAAGGGGTACACGCGGGTGGTTCTTTACGATCGGCAAGCTATACAGGAACACAACTCTACCAGTGGCTCGAGAGAACTATCAACACCCGAGGGCGCTGCTAAGGTTTGGCTCCGTCACACTGACAAACGCCCAAGGTCCTCCTTGATGTTTGCTGGACACAACGTGCAACGCACTGTCTTAGTATGGAATCTGCACAGAGATGATGATGTTGGGCTCTATTTGATGTCATCACATCCGAGCGATCTACTTGCCATTCTCATTGATGCTCTGTAATCGTATAGAGGTAGGTCATCACCCGGCTTACAGAGCATGGCTACTTGAGATGATGCCACCCTGACCCTGGCCTATGGCCTTGATGCCGTTGGGGCTGGCCTAACCCAGTAGAATAGATATGCAATACTCGATTTCGTCCGCGTCGTATACACATGGGGTGGTACAGCTACGGGGTGATCGATTTATCTATCATACCGCCCTTACGCTACATTGGGGGCGACCCCCCTGCTATTAAACAATGCTCATAATAGGACGTAGACAAATTTTGTGGGCTGTGGGGGATATCATCGTTGATGCTAGTGGAAAACTGCTGGTACTACCCAAGGTTGCGAGCCGAAGAACTTCAGGATGAGCCCTAGGTTAGATATTTGGCGTGACGAAGCACAGCTTCGATGTACAAAGAAAGTTCACGGCTAGTGTATCGGTATTGCTGATGGACTAATGAAGAGTTCGCTTTTCTAACTTGATGCAGAAGAACTTAGCAATGAAATCAGCGAGACCCGGTATTCACTGCCGACATAAGATGGCACCAAGAGGCACAAGCCACCACCCCAAAGCAGGAAGACTCTCCCTGTGAACAACAACCCTGGATATTAATTATAAGCATCATGCAATGCCTGTTGGGCAGTAGGCTATTGCTCCTAAAGGAGCCACAGTTGAGAAAATTAAGCGACATGGGTTTTGCTTAGGCTTGCACTAAGACAAGCGACCGGGCTTGGCTACGACTACATAGTATGGGCAGAAAATTGCGCTCTCTTCAATAAAGTCTTTCTAGCGGGCCACTAGAAAGAAGTCGAGAATCCGAAGCCAGCCCGGTCTGTTTCGGGTCCGAATTATGGTTCATCGGACGTTATCCGCCCCTGGATCCAGCATGAAACCCATTGCAAGAAGTATGGAGTATGTTTAGCCACGAGTAGATTCTTGGTTGGGAGCGAGGCACTTTTCGACAATATGCCTGCTACGACGGGTACATCGGCTCACATGTCAGCGTAGCTTAGCGCCTGTGATCATGGCCACTTGTCTCTTGTTCCCGGTCTGGCAGCGAGCCAGCATTGAACCCAAACCAGCAAGACGCCGGGATGTGGATCCCACGTACAATGAGCTCCGTAGCTCTGTACCGCCAACTCCGGCGCGAGAGCATGGGACCGTAGCATGCAGCACGGCAATGGATGTCAGACTGGCCACAGGCCCCATTGCGGCCAACAGTTCGTGCATTGTCGTTTCCTTCAGGTCAATCCTGATCTCAACAAAAAAAATTTAAAAATTTGGAATGTCGGCAGTTGACAGCCATTCGCTGTGATAGATGCGCAATTTTCTCGACCAAGCGCTAGGGAAGTAACAAGGACCGAAACACCGTGACACTGTAGGTCGGCGCCGGCAGTGTCAAAGTCCATGTGTCAGACACTCGCAACGTCATCCCAGACAAACGGTTCCTTGCGCTACTGGCCGAGCCCATGAATGCTTCGCCTCAAACTTTATTGAATTAGAACCAAGCAGAACCGCCAGCCGCTCCAACCAGCTGCATGAATTTCTCATTCGCCTTGAACAAATCTCACGCGACGCCATGACTACTACTCTTTCAGCTTGCTCAGCCTTACTACTACAACTAAGATCTCCTGTGCTGCTTAGGTATTTCATTACTACCGATAATCTGTCGGCCCGACCCACCTCACTCACACGTAGCATCTCAGCATCTCATGGCGGCGTTGAAGTTTATCGTCGTGCCTGGGGTGATGCGTCTCATACTTGCCCAAAACTATCCGTCGGGGTGTTAATCAAACATGAGACGATCATGACAGCATCTTTGCCGCCCGCCAATGCGTTGTCAGCCTGTCACAGATCGACACCGTTGATTTGCCCAAGGGTTCCTCACCACCTAGCAGGTATACCCGACCATGCCCTTTGATATTGCACGAATAAGTAAACATCCTGTGCACGGAATTCCCGACCCGTAGGAAGCGGTGAAAGCGATGAGCTTTACACATCTGAAAATACAGAATTTGGTTTCAACAAAGTTCGCCCGACACATAGTCCGCCTGTACGCCTCGCTGTCCGTGCCTCTAGCTCCCAGTGCTAATCGACCTGCTAACCAATCCATCGTGAAATGCCAACATACACAGTACGTTCTCGCTCCTGCGCCCTGTTTAAATCCCGCTTGATGCTATTTCAGGCCGCCAACACCTGCGCTTGGCCAAGTTTGCGGTGCATTTCGAAGATCTGCCATGATGTGCGGCCACGAGACCGTGGAGTTGCCGAGGGACGAAGGCCGGTGGGAGAACCTATCAGTATATGCACCGCCCAACGCTAACTTGCACAATATCTTCCGTGCCAATAGAGCCGGTGGGAGAACCTATCAGTATTTGCGCTATGCATATAAACTTTCACAATCATCGTGCGTCATTCTAGTGTTTTCTAGTCAAACGAACGGCTATCGATTTGGCTGACACTATCACGTCCCACAACATTACTTCGTGATTTAACATCTAGTTGTTGTGGCAAATGGATGAGGAAAATTGGATACATGTCCGTTACTGAAGATGGTGGCTTCGAGCTTCGAATATTGTCCTATCTCGCAAAACGCCCCCGATTCTGTCACGAAGCTGCGAGGCTTTGTTCTCCGGTGGATGTGAGACATGCAGAGCGCGCGGTTGCTTTCCTGTGCCGGACAGCATCAGGACAAAATCACCACGGAGACCTACATGCATCTGCGGAGACTTTTTGACACGTAGGACACATGGCAGCAAAGATAAGTCTCAGAAGAATGGGAATCAAGGTCACCACGGGTTCGGTTGTGGTGGACCGCCAACTATTGCGTGTATCGTAGTGTATCGGGTAATTATCAGGCACGTAAGTTACAGTGCGACAGGTAGCCGCGTAAACGATATATCTTAACGGGCGGAAAGCTGGTAATTGCAGTGGTCCCGCTGAGAAGATAGAGACCAGACTTAATTCATTTAAATAGCCCCAGCTGTAATGTTTATTATTGCTGCAAGCAGGAAAATCCTGCGTACATGTTGGCATCTCGTCATCCCACATTTGCTACTCAGTCCTCTCATGTTTGATAGCATGACTCCTGCCTTTTGCCATGTAGTAATGCCACTCAGGATTGCCTATATCAGTGTTTCGTCATCTCCGTACAACAGTGGAAACCGTGCTTGATCAAGTGATAGGAACTAACTCATTTACCGTTCTCTAGTCCACTCCGCAGCACAGTGGTAGACAGAGACTATGCGAGTCCAAGCATTGGCTTTTAAAAAGATTGACCGATATTGTGAAAGAATCCGACGTTGGATAGATTTTACATCATAGTCCTACTCGCATTGTCGCCTTTAAGAATTAGCGGCGCCTATGTTGCCATCTTGAGATTAGTTGCCTGGCTATAGCTCGAAGCATCGTGGCGAACGAGTTTCACTAGATCAAAACTAGCTAATAGCGGCGT